TTTATGAAAAGGATATTTGATTATTGAGAAGAAACGAGGTTTGTTGATATTTCAAAATATATATATAAGAAGCTTTTCAGAATGTTTATTGATAATAATATATCGAATTCCTGAAATAAAAAGTTTATACAATAACTATTAAATCGAAAAATGTAGAATCTTTTACAAATCGATTGAATTCTCATTTTGGGATTTGTAATATAATTATAATATTTTGGGAATCGAAAGGTTAAGAATTAACAAAAGAAATTATTAAATAATTTAGAAAAGGATAATTTGTAAGGGTATATATATTATATTGTTTATTATTGAATACAAAGAGTTGTTTTGAAGGATTAAAGATATTAATTTACCGAATTTGTCTCGAAATCGACATAATCATTTCGAAAACATTTAGGTATAATCGCAAAGTATAATTAATATATACCCAGAATTATAACGAAAGTAATTTTATCAGATCATATATATACACTAATTTAGTTTAGATCTAGTACTGATCCGGGTATAAATACCCTGTCAGTTCTATTCTTCAATCTATACCCTTACCCTCTAAAACTACTCGCTTTTCTCTCACTCCACGAGTCCCATATACAAAACAACCCTCCCATCCTGTGCGACCCGAATCGAAGATCCAAAAGCACAAAAATCCCAAAAATCTACACCAAACATGCAAAATGATATTTCCGGTACGGGGAATTGAACCCCGGTCTCCCGCGACTTGACCGAAGCTCATGAGCTTTCAATGAGAGGCGGAAATGCTAGCCACTACACCATGCCGGATATTATGTGTTACTTGATGCATAGAGATAAACAAATGAAAAATATATTTGTAGTGCGTGGCACTAGAGAATTTTGCGGAAAGAGATTTAAGCGAGAACGAGGGGCTTGTTTTTACCCCACCACCATATAGAATTTTGTTCTAACGCCCTCCCCGGTGGCCCTTCGTATGTATCTGGAGTTTATGAGAAATATATAGGTTTGATTTTTCATATTCGAATTGTACTTTTATGTTTTTTTGAGTATTGTAGTTCGGAATTCATTGATAAGCAAGATTATAATCTTACTTCACGAAATTAAATTAAGTATGTTTGAAGCATTCATTGAGTTCTAATTATATTCTGGATCATACTTTTGAGATATAATTTTGGAAAATATATTATGTAGAGCTGGAATTCGATCAATTCAGACTCAGGATACAGTATTTCTTCATTCATTTAAAGTCGAACCTTACAGAATAAATATTGTCTTAAACCCTCACAAGACATGGTATTCTTCCTTTCAATAGATCATGATAGTTCACCTCGTCGACTCCCCCATCCCTCCTTCTGTTTGAGTTAATAGAGTGGAAGAGATATATATCCCCTGAGTATTTTCCGATTCTCAAGTCGAAGGTCTCTTTAATTAGGTGGTATATGAATGCTACACTTAAAGCGCCCAATATTTCTGTCCACCATCTCAAGCTCCCTCGTCTTTACCCATCTTATTCTTCATCTGAGCAACTCTCTCACTGTTAAACATATGAGGAATCTCTCTAATCAAAAGTCTCAGTAGTATACATATGAACTAATATATTCCTACGCGCCTCCTTTAACCCCACTCTCCCCTCTCTCAACCAACCTATTCTCAACTATTTTCCAACTCCCCACCGCCCCTAACCAATTATATACCCGCGCCTACTAATCCCAAAATTACATACCATCTCATCTATCACCCATTATTCTCATCTCTGACCATTCCTAAACACTTATTTCCTCCCCACCCCCTTTACATTTCGCACCAATCCCCGCATCCTTCCCCCCAAAAAACACACCGAATATCACCTCTCTACATCCAGTTCTCACCATCTATCAGAATCCTCCCTACTGTAAAACCTATCACAAATAAAGATCCGCAACCAACAAACATGATGTCAGGAGCAAGATGACGAGAAGATGAGGCAATGGCTTGCTTGCATAGCGCTGCTGGATAAAGTTTTTAAATGGGTGTATCGGTACTGGCATAAAACATGAGCTCGATGAGAGAGGTGCGTTTGATGTTGAGATGGAGAGCAAAGAGGCTTTTTATTTCTAGTGCTAAGTTTGATGGATATTTTTATAGGATATTATGATAACCTTTGAGGATGGGTGAGAGATAGCTTTCGCTTGTTGTGGAGTAATGGCTGGGTTTGGAGAGGAGGGGACAGAAAGTATTTTAGGCTATTGTGAAGGTTGTGGAGGAGGATGAGAGGAAATTGTAAAAGGGGAGGTTGATTGACGAATGCCCTCCTAGGAGCGCAAGGATGCTTAAAACTCAGCGAAGACATAGCGTTCGTAGGTTCTAAGATCGGTAGATATGGCTGTGAGATGACCCTTGCGGTTTAATTTGCGTTGTTGGATTTGCCATTGTTAGAAGGGTCTATATATTAATTATAAGGAATATGCAAAGATATTGAAGAGAATACATATCCTCTTACGAACCGGTTCCTGTATTCGACCGATAAAGTATCATCAGAACTCAACTTCTTTCTCGAAATATCCAATACTTCTGAAAGATGCCATAGATGAGCCTACGTACCTGAGATTCGACAACAGCGAGCCTCGTAGAAGATGCTCGGCGTCCATAGCTCTCGTTTTATATAGGAAAAATAACTCGCATCACCAGAATTTTTCGCTTGATAACGAAAGTCTGCTTAATACGTAGGTTAATCTGTAACCATTTTTATGAAGATAGAAATCGAAGTTTCCTAGAAACATAAACTTTAACCATCAATACTTCCTACCATGCAAATACACGACCGTAAAATATATATACTAACTCCATTTCCAAAGGCCTACTCGAATTGTCAGCTCTAACACAGGAGGGTACTTCAAATACTAATTTTGCCATGACGCACCTTGGAAGATTTTTGATACTGTTTTCTGTCGTAGATTCTAGATTGAGACTATTTGCATCAGATCTATTTACATCAGCTCTATTAAAACATGAATCTTATTGCACAGCACAGTTCTAGAAGCACGAAAATCTTGTCAGTTGATTCGATTCGACATTTCTCACGACGGGGTGTAGGTTTCTCTCTGATAAAGCCTCTGACAAGCTGTTTTTTCATGGCTGCAGCAATTGGTGCGAGGCGCGATGCTTGCCCCAGAACACCTTTTACATATATATCCGAACTTATTTAGATGATCCACACGAACTGCCTCTCTACCAACCACTTGGTCTACCTTTCCCGAGCTACATTATATGCATCTGAATTTTGCATTAGCTTAAGAGAACAATGAGAATAAATCAGATGTAGTTGCGTGTGCTTAAACCGAATGCTCGCCAGAAACAATGAATAGGTCTATTTCTGTATCACACGGCGACCAAGAAAGTGATCAAATCATATCTCTTTTCATTTTTAGTCAGAGGATCCTTCTCAACTAAGCATTACCTCAGACGACCCTTCTCATCCGTCAGATTTTCTTTCGATGTTGTAGTAAGCCTCAGAAAACCTCAAACAGAAAAACTTGATTTCCATTGTTGCTGGCATTTTTGTTTCTCATCATACAGGGTCAAAATTCCCAAGTCGTTTAGTTCCGTCGCTGAGATCAGATAGGAATTCTACCATTGCATCGACAAATGTATGCATCTTATCTGTATAAAGAATTGAAGCAGAAAGCCAATGTAGAAAGTGCAAATGTGTGAAGGGTTAATTTAGGAAAACTATCCCTTGTAGTGATAGGCTTCGGTGGATCTAATCTGGTCTATTTTAGGAGTAATTGATTCTGATGTTTTGTATTCTTATGTCACCGTTCAAGGGAATCCAAAAAAAAAACACTCACAACCATATATACCCTCAGTACCCGTAGTCCAAAAGCAGAATCAACAATTCTATATACTTTTCCTCAATCGGGATCATAACAGAAACCGTAAAGAGCAGTAGAATACGGCTGTCGGCTATTGTCCAATCTCAGAGGAGGAAATGGAACAATTGTAATTAGCTCTGCGAAGATAATGGAGGAGAACTCATGGTTGAAATCTATTCAAAAAGACACCGTCAATGACACTTTCAAAGAAAGGAGAGCAACCATCCGGTCTCTCTACTCGAAGCGGAGCTCCCTTACCATTATGATCTAATCGATTTCCCACAAAAAAGATTTGACTTTTGGCCCAGACGTTGTCGCCTCAGTGAGCAATCGACACAAATTATTCATAAGAGAAGTATACGTATCAACTTGCCTTTTGTCAAGATCCACACTTATAGAGTTTTCCATCAAAGAAAAACTTGCATCTTTCGGCCATAAGCCACTAGGCCTGCTCGCGATTATTCAAAAACAGTGAATCAATCAAAGCATCACGAGAATCATCACAAACAACCGCTCACGGATAAGTCGTCGTCGCCATGGACGTTAATTTAAGTGGGCATACTTTCTTCGGGCATCATCCTGCACGAGTGGAAATCCTTTGGATCATCTGGATGATGATTGATTGGTCTTTTGTAATATCCCGTCATGGATGTCGCTGGACTCATGTATATTGTGCCAGTACAGCTTCTTGTTGCCATTCTCGATACCATGGTTAGCGGGAACTCGATGTCCTGAAAATTGGAGGATGGATATGTACCGGTTTAAGGTTACGGAATAATACACTACGAGTAAGTTGACTGCGCGGTGGTTGACTGTGTAGTATACTTCCCAACAATGATTTCTGTTGCATTTTTGAGGGGCTGCTGAACGGCCTGTCGTCTGGATGTTGGTGTGAATTCGAATGGAGGGGTAATATCTTTGTGCACTACATTTTTATCTGGGATCGCATTAAGAAAAATGCGAAAATTACTAAAGTAAGTAGGTATGTTAGTAGTTTCGATGTTGATGTTTTAGATGCACCTTGCATGGATTAGGACAGAATGTAGCACAAGTTCACAATCTTGGAATAGTGCCTTTGTTGTGAATGGGGATAAATAAGTACCGAGATGTTTCTAAATATACCTTGAGCTTGTCGCCGGTGTTCCTCTTTCTCTCCGATGTTCAGAAAATAGATGGATTTCATCTGTCTTAGCCACTGAGTGCGACGAATCGGTGCGAAACATTGAGTAGGAGAGATCTTAGCAGTACCCAGTAACTCCACAAAGCCCGTCGCAACGTCACTCCTTAAGGCTGAGCTGAGCTTTGTGCCCGCAGCTCGCATATCTTGGCGGGGAATTGATTGACAGCAAAGAAAACAATCAAAAAGTTTCCATTGCTCGGATGAGTAGACAAAGCAATGTGAAAATCAATTGCAGCAGATGTTCAAATCTTCGTCTCAAAACCAATAATATATTTAAATAAGCAGAATGTCATCTTCATCACGTCGATCGCCAGCATTAGCACAATCCCCTCCACCAATCTTTCAAGCTTCAATACTTCCTGAAGCTCCAAAGGAAAGCGCTGCAGTAAGGGTAAGCCACTCCCATCGGTTCTCAACATCTGTCACTATCATACTCATCAAATGTATAGCTTATCATTGCCCCTATTACCTTCATCTCATTTATCATATCTCTTTTCCTCATCGACCAACGCAATAGCTCTCTGCGAATAAATCAACACTCTAAACCCCGCACCTATCCGGATACTTTCTTCGGGCGCATCCAAGAATTTCTACACAGTTTGGTATTTAAACCACAACCATATGCATATATAAAGTCGCCATATCGAGGACAGCATGCGGAAGGAGATAGGAAAAGGGAAGAAGAGCCATGGCATTGGCATACTCAACAGAAGAAAATGATGAAGATGGAGGTTTCGGATGCTTTTAAATTTCGACAATGGGTTTTGGTTGGGATGGCAGTTGTGGCAGCGGCAATTGGACTGCTGATATTATATCTTGGGAATTGGATAAGGCGGATGTGGTTTTGAGATGATTTGATAGCTGTTGCTGTTATACACATTGGAAAGGAAGAGATGAGATCTCGTCATTGCCATCTCAGACACAAGCCAGCTGTATGAGTACTCCGCATATTCATCAATTCCACTCAAGCCGAGGACTAGACCAATTATCTAAGCTTCGACATGGTCAAAGCCGTAGCCGTAATAACCTTACCATCCTGGCCCTTATCGGATGAAATACTTCCGCCCTCCAGGATAAGCTCGGAATTTATACATACGATACGAGATACGAGATAAAATAAAAAAAAGATTGGAAAATATGGTGAGGGTGAGGTAAAGTTGAAAATAAAAAGCAAAGATAGAAAAAAGAAGTGAATAATAAAAAAAGGAAATATAAGTGGGAGAAGAGATCGTGAGAGATGGTTTTTCGAAAGCTGAAAACTTACAAGCAATCAAAATCTTTTCTTTGAGGCAAATAACGTTACCTCATTTATATTCCAAAGGATCCTCGTAATCTTGGGAAGTTCTTCAAGAAGCATTTCCCTGCAGTAACTTCTTCGTACTTGCCAGAGAGCTCCACCCAAACACCATTTCCGATTCACGACTTTTTAAAAGCTTCATTCAACCTTTCAACATCAACGCGTTTTGGCGCGATTTGATTATTAGCTAAACTTCAAGCGCTCCACTATTGAAAAAGCAATTTAGCTCACCTATCCAATTGCGCTTCTCGATGCCGTTCGTTTTTAGCCTCGTCTCTCCTCTTCGCATCTCCGCATCATCCTCTTGCTATTTCGCATAACTTCGAATTGATCAACAGTACTCACGATGAATTCATTAATAGAACCTCCCGCCTCACCAGGCTTTTCACTTAGAGTGAAGGTCTTTCCACCGGATGCTGCCGAGGAAAATGATCGCCCAATTCGTTGCTTTCGAGTTATCACATCACCAAATATTACCATACGAGAATTTTGCACAGAAGCTTCAAGAGTTCACGAAATCAACTATGGCCAGTAAGTCTTTGCGCTTCTGCGGATAGACAGAGGGGAAACTTTAAGCTTGAAGTTGAGATCCGCAGTTGCTGATTTTTACTCCATCTAGGCCACTTGCGATCAAAAAGTGTATGGATGATGAATTATTTGACGTCACCCAAAACGATATGCTAGGACCCCTCTTTCCCAATATGTCTACTATTCGAATCATAAAAGCTCCCAACAAACCAAACATTAGAGATTCTCTTCCACCAACTTCAGCCCTTCGATTCAATCCAATAAGTGTTCTTGGTCAGAAAAGAGATCGGTCACCTTTGAATGGAAATGCAGAACCCTTTTGGAATCCACAAAAACGTCAGAGGACGGCCATAGATCCAGATCACCCAATTCCTTCTCGAGAGATAGAATCATGGACTGGCGGAAGGTTGGAAGGTATCCTGGAAAAGTCAGAGACAACAATTCCAGATTCACAACGGAGTGCTATCTTAGATCATGAGGATGAGGTCAATGATATTGTACCAAATGTAAGAGAATATTCTCCCATGATCTCCGACACCCCACAGCGATCGTCCCCATCGCCGGTGAAGCGAAGTTTCCCTCGCCAAAGCCATGCCATAACTAACTATGTCACAAAGCTATCTAACAGTAGTTTAAATGCGCAAACTGCCAAAGTTCCGAAAGAACTTGTCAGTCCGTTCCAAGAACCTCCGCCACGGATTCAGGGTACACCAAAGAATAGTGCAGGGGCGAAAAATGCAAGTTATCATATTCAGAGGGCTACCAACAGAGGCCGATCTGTTTCGACGACTGCGACAAGCCCTTTGACAGGCGAACCACAACTTCCTCCTCACAACCACTCAAACTCTACCCAGAAGCGGAAATCAAATACTCCAAATACCCGATCACCGCGGAACGAGAGTGATATCTATGATGACTTTGGTTCAGATACTGAGGAGCCAACCATTCGACAATCAAAACTCAAGTTTAAGAAAGATGCCCAAAAGGGATCATCTGGTGTTGAGCCGTCAGCCAAGTCACCTTCAAATAACAATTCACATCCTTCCAAGGCTTTCCAGTCGATTTCCACTCCAAACGAGCTCCCCTTAACACCAAAGAGTAAAGTACGCGAGGAGGCATTGCGCAAAAGGAAAGAAAATGAAGAAGCAGCTAAGGAGGCGCGGGCTTCAGCTGCAAAAGCTGCTGAAGAACGACGACGTGAATCCGAAAGAGAGGCTGTAGCAGCAAAAGCAGAGCGGATGCGCAAGGAGAGGTCAGAGGAACGCAAGGCAGAAGAGGGACAGAAACAAGCAGCAAGAAAGCAGAAGGAAGTAGCTGCCCTTGAAGCCCAGAAACTAAGGGATGAAAAAGAGAAATTGCGCAAACAAATTGAAGAAGACGACAGACTGGAGGAGATGAAGGCGTTAGAGGAGGCAGCGAAACAGTCCGAGGAGGAGTCTAGAAAGTCAGAAGCGCTTGAAAACTCTAAGAGAGCATCCGGCACTACACAGGAAAGCAGGAAAGGAACTCCCATCAACAAACGAAGCACCCCTGCCGTTATACTTCCTCGCCAATCATCCACGCCTCATTATCCAAGAGGTAAAAAGTCATCTTTAAAGACATCAAGTTCTTCTGGGAGCATTAAAAGCTCTTCACCCGGTGGCCCAGCTCCTAAGGATACCAGCTTAGAAGCTCAGATGCCATTGCCATCGAAGAGCCCTCGGCGTGTTTCCTTTGACCTCAATGCGACAACCACCCCTGTGAAACCACCGCCCAGGAAGACAACTTCAATTGATATACCAAATAGGGACACAACACCCAAGCTTGCTTCTAGTCAGACCCCAGCGCAAAGTCAGACACCAATTCCATTACCAAAAACTTTTAAGCGACCTGATCGTAGTGCTACTCCAGTCAGACAGCAATCATCAAAACCATCTGCTATGAACCAACCTCCATTGACAGCAGCTCGGACAGGTTCCGCGTCGCGCTCCGCTACACCTAAGCCTGTTTCTCTACCAGCATACAGAAATATTTCGACTGAGCCAAAACCTTTACAGAAAGGTAGTGTTACACAGGAAGCAAAGAAAGCAGTTACTTCTGCGCCCAGCCGATCATTATCGGTCAAAGGTACGTAAATAATGCGCAGCAATCACTAAACATTGTTTTTCATGTCATTATTTTCTCATTTCAGCTCACTTGGTCAACGAGCGAGCAGTCGATTTGAAAGATTATGAACTGACTGTATAATTAGAAAAATCAAAGTCACCAATGAAGCCTGCTGAAGTACCACTTCCTCCAAGTTCCGACAGCTCCGACTCTGAATCTGAAGAAATGGTCGCTATCAAGGAAGAGCCAAAAAGATCTAATAGTCCTGAGACTCTACAGGTCGAAGAATCAAAGGTTAACGAAGACTTATCCGATGAGGATGTCGAAATGGGCGAAAACCAGTCATCGTCGCGCGAGAGTCGATCCCCGGTTGTCTTTCATTCCAACGCACCATCTGGCGATGAACGCAGATCCCGCGCTAATCTCAACCAAACGTCGCGTTCAGTTTCTTCCTCATCTGAGGATGAATCTTCAGACGAAGAACAATCGGAAGACGATGCGGACGGAAAGCAGAATGACACTGAAGATAAAACAGAAATAAAAGAGACTCAAGAGAGTTCCGAAGATGGAGACGATAGTGATAACGATGATGAGGACGTGGAACTGCCAGATGCTCCACCACAGCGGCTCAGTCCGGAATTACCAATCCATGCCCGGAGAAATATGGTTTCTCCTATAAAAACTACAAATCAACGTAAGACTTCTAGCAGCGATGGGGATGATACCCAAGACGAAGTTGATCTACAACTAACATCTGATATTTTCGAAGCCCAAGGTTCATTTTCCTCACCCGCCAAAAGACCAACGATTAAACCATCTTTTAACTTTGGGGCAAGTTTGTCTTCACTCAATAGCCAGAAAGGAGCCATGTTTAAACCGAAACCTTTGACAAATGGTCAGCTTGCAAAATCTAAATTGCAACTTTCATCTCAGATGATAAAGAAGGAATTTTCGGCATCAGAATCTGAAGAAGAAAGCGATAGTGATGATAGTTCCGACGATGATGTTCCAATTCCAGCAACCTCACAAATTATCCATCCTTCAACCCAAAACAATGGTTTCATCTCAACAGCGACTAAGAAAATTCAAGACGCCGATAGTGATTCTGATTCTGATTCTGATAGTGGTTCAGATGCTGCAGCAGCAGCAATGGAGGAAGCGAGAAGATCATTGATGGCGGAGGTTCATCAAAGTGGAATGACTGCTAGCCAGAATAATTTACCACAAAGTTCGCAAATCTCGGTTAATAGTGGGGTAGGGAAAGGTAAAGGAAAGGGGGAGACTGGGGTGCTTGGCAAGACAAATGGAAGTGCGAAGGGTTCGAGGACTGCAGGGAAGGAATTTGCTAAGAAAGGAAAGGATAGGATTACGAACGGTTATGATTTTAAGAATTATGGATCTTTTAATTGAATTGTGAAGGTGGATGAAAAATGGGAAGGTGGTTAAAAGGAAAGCGCTTTAAGGGGACATACAACAAGGAGCGTTAATTGTGCATAATGATGGGGTGATTCTGAGCATGGAGGTGCTCACCTTTTGCTACACGATGAAAAAGCTGCTGAAGCAGATATGATATCCGGTTGATTTTCTTTTTTGAGGATTTGTATAAAGGTGTGTAGGAGTTTGGATTTCAAAGAAAAAGGAAAATAGGAAAATTTCTGGAACTTTTCTTCTTGAATTTTTTTGGGGTCTCTAGTGTGGTGTATGTATGTGTGTATGCGTGTATATTGGTTGATGTGGGACATATGGTGTTGTATTTTAGGGGCTTTTTCTTACTTTGTAGATTGGGTGGTGGGTTTTGAAATGAGGGGAGTAGATGAGTGGTAGGGGTAGGGGTAGGGAGAAGAGAGATGGGAGTGGTGGAAATGAAGGGTTAGGAGAAGGGAGAGGGAAGAGGAGGAGAGGGAAGAAGGAAGAGGGAGAGAGGAGAGGAAATATGATTTATGGAGTCGATAGGATCGGGAAGGGAGGGAAGGGAAAGAAGAGTGGTGGAAGAAATGGAATGGGTGAAATGATGGACATGTATGTAATGTGTATGTGTATGTAATGTATAGATATTATATTCCCTAACTGCCCAGGTGAACAAACGAGATAATTACAAGTAAGATTAAGATTATTGTAGGCTAATTAATTATCATCTTTTTGATTATTTTATTCTAAGAGATTTATCATAAGCTAAGACCTCCCTGCTATTTTTATGAAAGAAATTTATCAAATCAATCATATCAATCATATCCATCCCCCAGCCTCCTCCTCCTCCTCTTCCTCTTCCTCATCATCATCAAACTCATCATCCAAATCCCCCGTACACCGCGAATACTCACTCTCGCTATAAACATCCCCATCCCCATCCCTCGAAAACCCATGGCCGCCACCAACAAACCAATCACAAACACCTCCTGCTCTTGCTCCTACTGCCCCTTCTGCTCCTCCCGCCACCTCCTCAAAATCCAACATCGCATCATCAACACTATGAATTAAACTTTCTAATTCCTCCTGTAAATTTTCTTTCATTTCTTCCATTCCTTTCACACCTGCTCTTCTTTGCCAATTTCCAATTTGGGAGTTCCGTATTGCGGAGTGTTTAGATTTTGATCCTGATCCTGAATGTAGACTTGCAAATGATTCACTTTCGTTCTTTTCCAGAAAACCAATATCAGAACTCGAACCAGCGTTGCGATTTTGTGTTGCGGTTTTGGGTTTTGACTTTGTCCGATTGTTTGACTTTGAATTTAAATCTTAATTTTTCCCGTACGTCTTCCCATCCGCTTATGCGACCCCATAACCAGGTTTTCTCTGATTCTTTCGAGAATATTTCTTCTATATCTCTCTGTTCTTGTTTTGTTGGTTCGAGGAATGTTGTTTGGGGATTAGTTTCATCGGTCGATTCCTCGGGTGGTTTTGATGTGATTGATGATGCATCATTATTGGAAAAATTATTAGAAGAAGAAGAAGATTCAAACGAGTTCAAGCTCAAATCCCTCTCGAATATAATATCAATACGAAGTAATCCTTCCATCTCCAACAAAGCATTAACGAAATGATTATCCCCGAGTAGTGTAGTCCATACCCTAAATTCAAGCGCAAGATACCGGATCATTTGTAGGTTTCTGGAATATAATATGTGTTTTCCGAGATCGGGGTACAGTGTGCGCGTGCTGAGGTAGATGGTGTCGTGGATGTAGTTTATATAAGCGTATGGGTTTGAGGGGAGGTAGTAGGGTTGAGCGAAGGAGAGGGGGGATAGATGGGAGAGGGCGAGATGGCGGGAGAGATGGTTTATATGCAAGGCTATTGGGACAGGAGCGTGGGTTTTGAGGATTGGGAGAGGTTCTTGTGCTTGTTGTTTTGTAACTTGGATGTATGATGAGGATCGTGCTGTGGACGGTGCGTATTGATGTATTTCTATGATTTGTGCTCCGGGTAATGTGCGTCTCCAAATAGTTCTTTGAATTTCCAATGGTAATGATGTGAAGTAAGGAAATGAAGTAAGAGGTTTCCATTTAGTATTCGATAATCGATTTGATGGGATGTCGAATGTAGAGGATGAGAAAGAAGCTCTAGACGAGGTACTAGAAGAACGAGAAAATGATAAAGAAGGTGTAGAATTTAAAGAGAAATCTCGAGGGCGTAAAGGTAAAGAAAGTGGACGCGGTTGTTCATCTTCCGGAGTGAGAGGATATGTGAATGTACCATAGTCATGAGTTGGTTTCACCGCGGGCTTAGGTGTATTGTATTTGAAAGGGCTATAGATGGATATGGAGCCAGAAGGTGGAAGAAAAGGATCGCTGAGATCGATTCCGGGGAAATCGAAGTCGGCCATTTTGGATGTTCGAACTGTATCTATCATTTATTTGGTAGATGGATTGAGTAGGGAAATTTGAGGCAGGATGAGTTCCGATGCGATTGATACTGCAAATTAGAACAATAAGGAAGAAGGAGCAAAGAACAAAAATCGAAATTTCTTGTTAAAGAAAACCCACAGCTCGATATAGAAATTAGATGAGAAAATAATCCGTCTCTACTCAAGCTGAGGATGAGTAACTTTAAAAGACTTCTTACTGTATCCAAAATACCACACTCGTAAGTCTTATACTACATGTAGGTAAGAAGCTCAGCTCAGCACTCATTGCACTGCAACGATTTGTCTATCTGACATCCATCTAAGCACAGCGGTGTCTTTTAAAAAAAGATACAGAAAAATGACAGACAGGGAGGGAAAGATACCAACACATCAAACATAAACGAACATTAAGACATAGAATAACCAATTATATAAACCAAGAGTTTACGAATAGAGAGACTAGAATGTATGATGTGTGTACATAGTATCTAAGTGGGTGAATACTCGTGTTCCGCCAAAAACACAGTTGGTGATCTGGTGGCTGAGATTTACTGCGACTCTATGAGATCCGAATCCAACATAGGGTTAACCTTAGCATATGCGTGCCACATGCACTTTCCGGCCCACCCCCACCAAGGCTGGTGACCTTCCGATTGATGTCAGCATGATGAAACATAGCCAATGAATGCTTGCGATATGGCTATGCCCAGGTGATTTATATAAACTGTTGTGATTTTGTTGCATATCGAAAGAAGAGGGCATTATTTAGGCACTTGGCTGTGTTACGGAGTACTGGGTAAGACTTACTACGGTTAATGTACTGCATATGGCCCGTTCATGACTCGCAGACTCGCAGTGTTACCATCCCCATGGTAGGGAGGTTAAATATCTCTTTTCGTAATCGTAATCATACAAAAGCACCACAACTGATAACTAACTGTACAACATAACCTTAACCTCACATCTAAATCCCAGGCCGCCGGCCATGCATCTAAGGCATAAGGCCATCTCCCAAGAAAAACCCAATAATCAGATTGGTCAAATCAAAAACAAAAAGACATTTGTTGCATATCTAGAAATATGCATGCCCTACTGCCCGAGTTTTAGGGCGAGGGCATGTGGATATTAATAGGGCTATTATACTCATGTTTTAGGGATAGATCTGAGTTTAGACTGATAAAGAGATAATCTTGTTTTTGAGATGTGCAACAAAGACGGACATGTTCGCCGGTTTGAGGTTGGTGTCCGAAAGTTAGTTGGGTAGGGATGAAATTGGTAGTAGTCTAGATAGGTATTAACCTGAGTTTGGGTTGGGGGCTGTTTTCGGTTAAACTTCGGATGTTTGGTGATGTGGAAGCTCGTTTGCCAACGGTACCAAAATCTAAGCCATTTACGAGAGGAGGCTAACTATAATATATTCGTCTATCTACAATATCACTGGTCCTTGATATGGCTTCCATCCATCTACTAAATACCAGAAAACTGCAAATAAAATCGTCCCACCAAATGTCAGGTTACTAAAGTTCACTGTGACCGGGCGACGTTGTCTGTGGGACCAGAAAGCCCAGAACCACAACAGGAATAGATATACACAAGCAAAAACATTATTAAGAACGCCTAAAACGCCAGGGACACGCCACGGTTCCCAATGTAGGTCATCTGCGCCGTATATTACGATACGTGGATCATATGCCTTGATTTTCTGGGATTGTAGCCGGCGCCAGAGAAGCATGCCGCAGCAGACAAGATATGAAGGATAGAAGCCGGCAATACTGAGATTAACGATGTTGTTGAAGGCGACAGCCGAGCCGAGGATAATAAGCGATAGTGTATATGGGGATTGAGGTCCCGCGGTCAAGCTAGTGATTAGATATTAGTACGAAATACGTCATCTCGAGATTTGTTGGCGATATTAATAGGATGGATGGACGCTTACCTTTACCCAATACCTCCATAGTGGAACACCTTTGTCTCTAGCGAAAGACCACAGCATTCGAGAGGATGAGGCGAGAGCTCCCCACTGTGCTGCACACGCCGAGAGCTACAACGATCAAGCCCATTACTGCAGCTCCTGCGGTTGAACCAGTTCCCGTTTGGAAGACATAGAGGAACGGGTATCCTAAAGTTTCCTGGGCGTTCAATACATCATCAAGATTCCCTAGAAAAAAGAGGTATGCGATCATCATCGCGAATCCTAGGACACCATTGAGGATGAGGCCACTGAGCATGGCGCGCGGTACAACAGTTGATGCTTTTTTAATTTCTTCTGACATATGTATTGGTTATCTCGGTGGTCGGCTAGGGGATTTATCTTACGGCTAACTGACTGAGGGTGATCGTCTTACATGAACGGCTGAATCAGCGCCAATAAGGGAGAACACAGAGGCTGGCAATCCAATCATGAACGATAGTCCTTGCGAGGACCACACGCCTCCATTGACAAATGTTGTAAACAGGGACGTATTGCCATGGGGTGAAAGATAAACGAGCCGAATTAAGACAGCAAAGAATCCTAGGATGTGCAGAACCAAAATTACACCTTCGAAGTGCGCAAGAGTTTTGCTTGCTATTGTATTAATAACAACTGCGAAGACTAAGATTGCTTGCCCACAAAAAGAGCATCAATTGCCATGATTACGGAATATAATCTGATTTTGTCATCAATATGATGCTTTGAAAGAGCGTCCCTATAAGATAGGCCGCAGATGCGGTAACTGCTGCCATCCGACAAATATCATCCATCCTAATTGCGATTAGCTTCTTCCTTACCTTTTAGCGGTGACACTCTGAATCAAAAACACCAGTAATGTAGCTCAAGAACCTTTTAGATCGGTCCGGAGCTAACATTGCGACCCAACTGTATTCTGCCATTAGAGGATGGTAAGATGTTGGTAAAAAGTTAATGATGCCTTACTGGTATTGACCTGCTGCTATCGGTGCCCTGTTATTGAAACTTCAATATCGATTGATCGATTATTGTGATCTTATATTAAGGAAGTGTCAACTCACATCGAAGCCAATTCTGACAAGACAAAAAAGGTGGCCCTGAGTCCGGGAATCAAGTAGACCAAAAATCAGAGGCGAGATGGTGCCAATCCACACGATGATGTATCCCCAGATGACTCCCACAGGGTCACCACTACTTCCGTCAGCGATTGTGCGTATTGTTGAGAGATGTGTGTTTCTTACTTCATAAGACTCTGAGTTGATACTCTGTGCTGTATTAGATTTCACCAGGTAGTAATATTGGAGACTCGAAATGATGTCAGCGCATTGATGTTAGGGAACACGAACATCAACATTTCCTCCCAGGTGACAAGGACAGTGCACGAAAATCCCAGAATGGACATCAAGCCAAAGTTGCGCTGTTTTTCATTAGTATGATTAGTCTGTTGCTAGAGCAATTCACGATATGCATATAGCTTGCCTCTAGAACAGGTTTTTTGTCAAGCTGAATAAGATATTTTTCATCTCTGGTGCGACCTATTTCATCTACCTCTCCGATTGAGAAATTGGTAATGCAGTTTCCGTAGCATGCTTTTCGTTTTGGAGTCCATGTCCACAGCGATCGTTTGTAGCTACTCCTTTGTCTCGTTCATGAAATAGAAAAGAGAAGTCAACTGAGGGCGTAAATAAATTGTGAGCGAGAGATGGACAATGGGACGAAAATACCAAAGATTCGCGGCCACTCTGGGCAGGGCGAATAAGAGCTACAACTCATGTTATTTTATAAAATATCTCTTTTCAGCTTACTCAAATAATCGGATTAGATCCACAGGACCCATGTTCTTTTCAAAATGTATGAAAAATGGTACGAGAGGGTCTGTTGTGTCTACCGAGCGGCCAAGTAATCTCAAGCTTCAATATCTATTTCAAATTCCTCCTTCCTCCTTCCTCCTTAATGGAAAAGAAATTACACTGAAATAGCAGCATCGTCGCAATCAGCTTGAAGGAAAGAACACCGGTCGGTCCGAAAGTCCATGCCTATGTTCCAAGAGTTCGCGCCCCTCTTAAGCATATTGGCGGCATGAAATGCTTCCAAAGCACAACCACAAAACTCGGCCGGGGCCATTTGAGACATATCCTCTGGCGGCGTAGCAGCTTACGAGCGAGGATTTAGAGAATGTTAGAAAGATCTCGAGTACCGAAAGAATGGTAACCAATAGGAGAAGGTCAATATGTGCATCGGGACACAGACATGAAATGGAAATTTTCCTGTTCCTAGTCATTAGTATTGTAACCGTCGAATATAGTTCATGCATGCAGGTATTGTAAGGTCTTAGAAAAAGCACTGACTAAACCTTCCACATACATTCTGTGCTCAACCAGGACATTCGCTTCATGTAGTGGAATCTAATCACTTGGAATATGATCTGCAACTTATACAAAATTGTGAATAACCTAAGCTCACCGGAAAAGCTCCGATGGGCTGGATTAGGATGCGTGGTGTGAGGATAATTTCATGGATAAGGAGACCCGAGAGGGTGAGGGAGGTGGCCAGAAAATATATTATCTATATCAACCACCGAGCTTTTACTGGTTATTAGCTCCTGCCGTCTTTTCAAAACACCTTGTTTACCCCAATTGTAAGCTCATCTTTACACTATAGACGAGCACATGCTTGTCCGTGGTTCCATTATTGAAGCTTCACTTCCCCATATACGTTATTATCGACAACTACCTTCCTCTCCAGGCCTTAGTCTTTTTTCCCGAGCACACCGCGTTTCCTATGGCGCCTCGCACGTCAATTATTGTCACCACACGTCCTTTGAGAATTCTCTCTCGCAAATACAGGTTCTTCCAAGTTTCATCTAGCTCAGAAAAACACGCCATCATCAATTTCTGTTGAATCGACTATGACCGGGGTACTGCAGAGTTTATAGTCCCAGGCCTTTCAGAGCCTTGCCAGACTTGGTACAGTGGAATGCTCGCAGCCGTATGGGCATCTGACCCAGCGAGATCTGGGAACTTTCGACGCTTAATTATCGCAAGTAGTCTGGCCAGTATGGCGGTATGGAAGATTGGTCTCAATACACTCAGGAAAAAAAACTTCCGTTAGAAATTGAAAAGGTGTTGGATCACGGAGATGAAAGCAAGGATTATGAGAGCCCGTAATATCAAGCTGCCATGGAGGTCTTTTACCAGCGGCATCTCAGTCTTGCTAGACCATGGCCAGCACCCGAAGTTCAAGCTGCGCTGAACTGGTTTGCTAAGGATGCAACTACGTACGGTACTATGTAAGGCTGTCAGTTATCTGCTCCATGTACATTCGCTGACAACAGTCTAAGGTATGGGCCTTGTGAGCTTGTCCCCAATGGGAATCTTCGCAACTGGACATCGATTCCGAATCTAAGCAAAATCAAGGCTCCGACGCTTTTGATCAACGGAACTGAGGATGAAGCACAGGATGTGGCAATGCAACCATTTTTCGAGCATATCGAGAAGGTTAAGTGGATTGTTTTGGACAACGCCGCACATTTTTGCCACGTTGACTAACGAGAAAAGTTCATGAAACATTTGAAATCATTCCTAGTAGACGCTTAAAAGCAGATACACTAGTAACTTTGTTTAATTGGTGGTAGCAGACATTGAAGGACGAGGCCGATGTTTTCACAATCCAATTTTATTCCACATGCATCCAGTGCATCATCTACTTTCACATCCTCCTTTCTTCATGCATTAAATTGATTACTAGGTGGTATTTTTATAGAGATTAGTTTTTACAGGCACAATATTGACTTTTTCAATGCAAGCCATTTCACGGAGAATCTGGATGGCAATATCATTTTTTCCCTTGCGGAAATATTCAACACAGTAACAGTGATCATGGGGAAGAAATCCCACTAGCAAACAAGCGCACTAAAAGATTTTGAATCATAATCCCGTCGTGTACCAACAACGAGCGACAAGGAGATGCAGACATTTGTTTTAGTGTACATCCGTCGACAGAAACTGTGGACTTGCATATATGCAAATGATTCTTCTTATCAGTCATGTCCGTAAATTTCGCTTCGGGTTGAATTGGTAAACAGGGTGTGATATTACACTTGATATGCAGAGAAATCGACCGTCGTGTGTCTCGGCGGCACAGCACCCAAAGACAAATTATGGGGCTTTCCTAAGTCCTCCAATTTCTTTTCAAGAATTCATTGCAACTGTTTTACTCTTTTCTTGAATCGTGACTTACTGTTATGGAAAAACAGACCGATAATATCTCCCAAGCGATACCACCAAAGGAGAAATTGAATGTCTCATTATGAGATTGATGAAATTCCTATTACTTCTTGGTGTCTGGCATTCACAGGTTTTGCAACACAGCTCGCACGCTTCGGAACTACAGTAACATGGCGTAAGGACTTGATGTCCGCAAAATGTCACCTTCCAACACATAAAAGAAAAGTATCTTCAAAATCCATCTGGGGATTGACTACTTCCCAGCGCCTTGTGATTATGAGAGTCTAAAGCAACAATGGTTGGGAATGCGTTCTTGTTCTTCCGATACCTTAGTCCGATGCCATTTAAATTACTCTCGGATTCGTGGTTTGGCCGATGCAAGACGATGCTCCCGAGTATTGTAAATTTAGCAATTATTACAAGTAGTCTTCATGTCATTTGCGAATCACCACCGTCTTATACCTCGCATTTTTACTATTTCTTCTTCAGCTCTCGTATTTGGATTCCTCTCCGGGACTGAGACTCAATGTATTGACTATTCGTATTTCTGATAGTTTCATTGATTTACCACAGATTTAAGACTTGCAGAAAAAGATTTTGCGAAAGTATTACATAGTCTATATCATTTGGCTCGATGAAATGTTTCCTATCGCATCATCTCTGTTTTCGCTTAGGACATATTAACCCCTCATACACACTTCTCCGGATATCTACTTAGCGAACTATGAATAGGGACAAGCTCTAAACGGCCTGTTTAACCATTGGAAGATGTTAAGGAAATAAAGCTACAGAGAAAATCGATCGCAAACGGTCAACGGCAGCAAGTTACAAATCAACTGTACGGAAACTTCAAACATATATCTACCTTATTCATATACCAAATGATCAATACACACTCACAGTTTGCTCCCAACCACCAACTAAACACTTTATTAAAGCCTCATTATATCATTAACATATTTTTCCTATTTAAAAACAGCATAATAGACATTAAAGGATACCAAGTTCCATCTCTATCCCTCCTTTACCCTATCATACCTTGATCTTACCGCCTTCCCTGCAAGATAAAAGTAACACTCCTTTAAGACATCTACGACCAGGTGCGCCAACAACCTTGATCCTTCACTACGCAAAGGCACACCCCTTCTCAGAGCACCAGTCTCCAAGTTCAACACAAAGATAAAATCAACCAAACGATGCTGAAATTTCCTTAATCTGAAAGTTGCATCCCGAATTCCCCCCTCACGCGCAATAGCAAGCTTATTAATTCCCTTCCCTATAGGTCGAAACCATTTCTTGACTCGAAAGTCATTGCAATAATTTTTGTGAAATGAGGCATAACTTTAACAAGAGTATTCACCATCCTCATCTTTGACTGTCATTATTTCAGCAATTGCGATTTGCTGATCATGCCACACATAAATGGATCCACATCAGCATATGTAAAGAAAGCAAAAGCCTATCCAATTACATCTAAAAGCATCCTGAAATCATCATTATCCGAAGATCGATGAAGTTGCAATTATTTTTGAAATCGATCTGCGCAGGAGAAAGAAATATTGTCCGATGAGAAAGGCTGCATAGATATATACACTATCTTTTGCATCTTGGTCATGAATATGTGCGAGGAGATTCTCTAAGAGATCTATTAAACGTAATTGGAGATCATAGGCGGAAAGGATGAGTAGGCCGTGGTATTTGTAGCTTTGAGCTGCTGCGTCACGCTTTTTTGATGAGTTCTATGTAATTGGAAATCCAGCCTGTGAAGTCAGCCGAGATAAGAGAACGAAAAAAGTGAGAGAATTACGATGATTATTGAGAGGATATTAACCATCATGATATATTTTGATGTTCGTTGTGCTGCAAAATTCTTCGGTAGACTCACACGGAGGAGGTTCGGTGTATTGAAGTACACATTTCTTTCTTCTAGCGATCGAGATTTATCTTCTTTAGGCGTTGGTTGGAACTTCATTTAACATAAAACTATTTTTTAAAGAATCTTAATCTCGAAAGATACACAAAAAATCTGAGTTATGGACTTATAGAAAAGAAGTTACGAACCTCCTCTACCGTGACATTGTGACTACACAGTCAGCTCGCACCCAGCGGCCAAGCCAATGTACTGCTAATAAAGCATTCTTCTTCTCATATCAAATCATAAATTTCAATTAGAACTTTCCTATTAGCGAAGCGCGAAGCCGCACATCCGTAATTTTGTGGGAAAAAACTTCAAATTTGCAGATAGCCGCCAGCGTTGGCGCTAAATAAGGGGCTTCATTGGATGGAATCCTCGTCGAAATATTTCCATTTATCACCATGGAGCTAGATGTGACGTACAAAAGCCTCATAAGAGCTAAATAAACAGGGTCAATTATATTCCTTAGAATCTACAACTGAAGAACTATGGCTCGTAGGGAGCATCCATATATATATACAAAATACCTATATAATAACTGTATGGTTGTGCGCTTTCTTCCTTAAGGTGACCATAATGCTATACTAAAAAGGGTGAATTTGGAAAAATGTACACAGACTATCAGCTCACCGATAGGAATTGTCGATCAATTGGAATTACATAATCGTCCTTTATACGAAGTCCGTGACACTAGAAACCCTTTGGATTCAGTACTATGCCAAACCATGTGTAAACCAAGCCAAAATTTTCATTTGTAAAATCTAAAGGAGAGAAAAGGAAAGTTGGAAACGAATATGGAGTAAGGTGAGTATTTTACAATGAGAGAAGATGTATCTTGATTATAAATTCGGAATATATTAGATTTGTAACGTATTATCATACTATAAATAAACATTTGTAACTTTCGAAAGTAAATTACTAAAAATTTTTTTATAAATCTTTTTCTAATTCTATTATATTTAATTACTAATCATATTTCAAAATTTCAATTTATTTTATTTAATAATAAAAAGTTATTCAGTCTTTAATTTTATGTTTTATATAGAAAACTTTGATTTTGGTAGGGATTCGGTCACGAATTCAAATGGTATGCGATGAGTAATTCAAGTAAACGACGCATTTTTATTTCTACTTCTATCTCTCATCCACCCGCCATCGACGCAGAATATGAAAACCCCATCCCCACCAGGCATATCACCCTATCTCCCTCATTCCCCAACTAAAAGCATAACCATAGGAATAACCACGCAAATAATCATTCCTACCCTTCTCCCCCATAACAAAAACCAAATATGAAAAAAATAAGATTATTAATATTTCCTCCCTAAACTGCCCTCCGCCCTCTCTGGCCACGCTAAATATAAATAAATGAAACTGTATAGCCATCCACCATTCTTCAACTCATCTCTCATCGCTCATTGCAAGATAATTCCCAATCCCACCACACCCGCAATAGAATCAACTTCAACTTCCTTCACCTAGAAATAAAATATTTCGCTTAAACCCCTGTGATGGGAATTTTGTCACGGTTGTTTATCTCTTTTATTTCCCCACCACCCGTAACTTCCTCAATCGCATTCTTTGAATCGGGTTTCTGGTTGTGAATTCATGAAAGCGAGAGACCTTCGAAGAATCTCAAGGTTGTGAAGTCTCGGAATGATCTGTAGATTTACCAATCAACTCCTTTTGAAAAAGCCCTTCATTCTCATTTTCATTTTTCTCTCCATGTCCATCTGCATCCGTCACATCCCCATCAGATTGAAGACCAAGATCAATTTCATCTGGATTAATCTTATTCTTCATCTCCATCTTCATTTCCTTTCCTAGCGTCTTCCCACTCCCCTCCATATCTCTCTTCTCTTCACTTCCACCTTCATCACTCTTACCCATATCCTCCCCACAAAAATCCCCACAAACATCCCTCGAAAATTTCTCTAAACTCTCATTCTTCTCACGATCATCGCTACCTCTCTGACTATCAACCTCACTATCCAAAATAGCTTTTTCATTGTCTGCTCCTGGAACAAAATATACATTCGTATCTGTATCCGCGTTTCTGACTACGAGGTTATTTCTGAAGGTTTTGAGAGTTTGGGTTGGAAGATTCGACGCATCTGAATGGAGAGCTTGAATCTTTTGAGAAGATTGAGTAGATTTACCAGCATAAACAAGCGGTCCTCCAAAACTAGCCAAGAAATTTTTTGTAGTCTTTATTTGAACCGGCGCTGGAGCTTGAGCTTGATCTTTGTTCTTGGGAGGAAAGGATCCAGGCAAATCATCCTCATCATCGACAGAAACAGCAGAAGAAGCAAAAGAATGAATACTATATTCTGCAGAGCTGGGGTCAGGGGATCTAGATTTATTCGTGTTTGGTGGGGGAAGAGATGTGGTTGAGATGGTAAGACGGGGTCTTGGGGTGGAGTTGTTGGAGGTGGGTGTGTCAGGTGTGTGTGCGGAGGCGTTTGGTATTGTTAATGTGGATTGAGATGTAGATGTTTTTGCGCTGGCAATTTCGAGAAGCCATTGTTTTCCGGCGATGATTCGAGGTCCGCGTTTTGGGGTGATGAAAGCGGTATCTTGGTCTTTTCTGGGGCATCGGATGGAGCTTCGATGGGTGAAGATGTTGATTCGTTGCTTGAATTTTTGTCCTGTGGCTGAGGTTTGAAAGTATCAATCTCTTCAGTGCACCTGCTGTTATCCAATGTCGTGACCTCATCAGTACGACAACCAAATGTTTCGACCGATCCACTATTCCCCAATCCATTAACTCCACCATTTACACATCTCTCACCTCTAACTCCAAATTTAGTCCTCGGAAACATAGGTTTTCTCTTCTCAGGTTCTTTCTCCAATTCCTCCAAATCCCCCTCACAGCTATCCCGCTCAAACTGCAATACCAATCTAAAATCCTTATAACCCCTTGAACTAGACAACAGTCCAAACGCACTAACTGCCTCATCCATACTGACAAATTCCATTCTGAGAGTCCCTCTTCATCAATATACCATTCCAACAAACTGTTCGCCTTTAACGCATTTCTGCCGGCCAAATCACTCTCGAGACCTCGAAGCGAGATATGTTGTGGAAAATTGCGGATTGTAAGGATACGGGTACGGTTGAACTCAAAAATTGCCTTGAGCTTTGCAGGGGAAAAGGGGAATGTAGGGGTATGGAGATGAGTGATAATTGCCTTGGTCTGGTTTTCCTCCGCAGAGTCCGATGTACCAAAAGTAATAGGATGAGCATTCGCATATTCGACATACGCTTCCGCATTCGCCTGATTCATAAAAGTGATGAGCGCAGAGTTACTTCCCGAAACATTCATTGTGTCCAGTAAAACCGATGAATAAATTCTCCCTCCTCGAACACGAGCAAGTACATCTCTCAACCCGATATCCTTTGGGAGTCCACCAATATGTACCCCACGCAAGGTATCACGATCATCTGCCTTGGGAACATAAACCACTCCATATCTGAAATAATCAGGGAATCTATGTTCTCTAGAATCAGAAGCTCGCATATGAGTGTTAATTTCACCATCTCTCTGTTGTGGTGTAGCCCAGATACTCGTACCTTCGCTCATATCTGGAGGAAACTCAAAAGATCTTGGTCCGGTGGGTACATTACGATTGTTGAAACGTGCATAATAGTTATCGCGGTTAGTGTATCCACGATTAGCATAATTATCACCACGAACAGCTTTCTCGGGAGAGAATTCAAATCCGCATTTGAGAACTGCGGGAGTGGGAATGTTGATAAAGTTAGCGTCGGCACGTTCTTGATAGAGAATTTGATCTTCAATTTTGACCTCTTGTTCTTCTTCTTCTTCATCGGAGCTGAGAACATCGTCAAGAGTCTTGAAATTTTTGATGTTTCTTTTTCTGGGAGTTGACAGGGTCGGATATCCTCCTGGGACTGTTAAGCTAACGTCTCCAAGTCGACCCAAAAGCACCCCATTCTCTGTTTTCAATCTCTTCACCTCTAACCGTAGCTCTGCCAATTCCCCGGTATCAGGATCCGGTAGCTTCTTCGCAATCAGCCCCGAATTATTGGCAACATTACCCAAAGCTCTAGCAATAATGACTGAGCTCTTGACAGCTTCATCCTTGTCTTTTGTAGTATGAACGAGATCATTCTCCAAAACTGCAATGCGGACCTTTAGGCTTGTGATAAAGTCAACCTGAGAGTCTGCAAAAGGTTGACCTTTACCATAGTGCACGGAATTGTGAGCGGGTGAGAAGGTGAGATTTGGGACATAGTTGTGGCTTTGGTCAAGGTTAGAAGACTCGACTCCATTTTGGTAAGATGAAGTCATGTCCATGTTTTCGTAGTCTTGGTTGATCTAAGGGATCGTGTGTATTAGTTCCACAACTAGGGGCTTGTCTTTTGCTAGGCTACCAGTCGAGAAGAATCGTAGAGGATGGAGTTTTCTAGATTCCGTTTTAAAGATAAAGTGTAAGTGATGCAAAATGGAAAGCAAAGTAGGAATATTGGAGAAACAAGTGTGAAAGTGTGTTGAGGAGTAAGTATTTGTAGATAGTAGAGGTAAACAAAGTTGGTTGTTGTAGAGGAGAAGAAGAATAGAGTAAGAAACAAGAATAAGAAAGTCCCTTGAAAAGAGTAATAGTGGTTGAGGAGCTAGAGAGGATTGGTAGCGGGGAAGAGGGGTTTGTGAATATACAGTGAATCAGCCGCTCATCTGTGCATGCTCAACCTCACGAAAAGAAGGAGAAGGAAAGAAGAGGGGCGGGAAGGTGAATTTGGAAATTCCGAGAGCTATAGCTAGTTTGAATGCATTCCAAGATTGCTTCCAGTAAAGCTGCTAGGTCGAGATAACTTCGAGGAAGTGGGCTTGGGCTTGGGAATTTATCCCAAGTCATCTGCAACACTGATTGATTCCTATCATTGCATCCAATTACAGGCATTTAATCCATCGAAGGAATTGAGACAACGGGAGGCATCACATACAGTTCACAGTCAGCCCTACAGAAGTATGAAACCAGTGAATACCTGTTCCGTTATTTGTGTAGCACCAACATGATAAATTTTACATCTCAACATATTGTTGTAAATTCCAATTTATACACCATTCCAAATAATCATTAAATTCTCTGAAAACAAGAACCGTTGAGTGTTCCTGACTATATACGTTTTGCATCAATCCTGAAAAGTTTTTGCTGTATTGACAATTCGGGATTAGAAAGATTCCTCGGGAAAATGAAGGTAGAGATGAGAACTACTAGGAAATGTTCCCTCTTCGCTGGTTAAAGCGAGGTATGACCACCAAATTCACTTGCACTGGACAAGATGTGAATATGGAAAACTTCATTAAAATACCAGTATCTGATGCCTCCTCAAAAATATGCCCAATAAGACTCAAAGGAGTCATCTCCTTATGTGCTGCATCACCATCCAGTTGCGGGTATCAACAAAGCTCCATCCATTATATATCTTCAATACAGACCATATGTCCTAGACTTTTCCCGAAAAAGTATATTCCCAAACCTAACGCCTTCATCATGAATTCCATCATGATTTTCATCATATGCTACAAGATCCAATAGTTTAAGCTCGTTGCTTTTTCTGAAGACCTTTGCTTTCCCTTTTACCCCTTGTTGCTTCTGCTGGTGTAGATGTCACAGTCGTCCGAGCTGCTTCTTTATGATGTCCTCCTTCGGCAGCATTCATGGCCCCGTCACCGTCACCGTATCCCCCTGTTGTACTTTGAAGTTGATGTGGTCCTAAAGCAATTGGAGGCCTCATTTCAATCTCTCTCTCCCTCTTCCTTAGATATCGTCTTCTAAAATAAAATGCTAGTATCCATATACCAGATATTCCGACAACAAGTACAATAAGCATTGCGACCCATTTCACATGGCTAGAAAACCTTTGAGGGAATTAGCTATTTGAATTAGTTTCTTTTATGTAGTGGCTGCATACCAAGTTGGGTTTTTATTATTAGAACTTGAGGAAGAAGTTGCTGAACTTCCACCACTCGATGTAGTTGATGCCGATGGCGTGTTACAATATTGCTCGTACCAAGTTTCAATTGCCTGTAGATCTGTAGTCGACGTACAACTCGCGGCACCGCACACAGAAGAAACTCCAGTTGTTCCTGTGAGGAAAGGTTTTAATCTAGCATCGGCGCAAAAGCAAGAACTAGAGACATCGGCGATTTTGGGAGGAACGCAAGCTCCTTGAACGTCAGAAAGAGGTCCACATTGTGATGCGCAGGAGGGAAGGTCGGATTGAAATGGAACGATTGCACCATCTGCCAATTGCTGGGCACCAACAATAGCAGGTAGAATTGTCGAAGCAAATAGGAGGATGGGTCGATACATTGTTCAAGTTGTCGCGAATGGTCTTCGCGATTGCGATGGTAATCTGCTGATAGCTTCCAACTCTCTTCCCACCAATTTCGTATCGCTCAAGAATTTTTATTATCGTCCGGTGTCTATCGCGAGAGGCTCCGGTGGAATGCGGGTAGAAAGTATCTTCAAAGGGACCTAAAATCGGGTTGAAACCTAGCGTCCGAGTCTGGTTGATGGATGGACAGATGGATGAATGATGGATTTGACGCAACACGATTTATCGTGATGAGTTCGTAGTCCAGGGATACCTGTACTCTTATTCTTATTCGCACCAAGTAATTTCGGTAGTTACTATTGTTGGCAGGATATGCCAAGGTCCTTGTTCCGTATCGAGTTATCAAAATGGATGGATGGATGGATGGATGGATTTACGTATAAATAATGAGAATGAAAGAGTGTGAAGATACCGTATTATATGAACGAATGTGATACACAGTTGGTGTGGGGGTTTGAAGGATTGAAGGATTTGGAGGAGTACTTGTTGATGTTGATGTTGATGTTGATGTTGATGTTGATGTTGTAGTTGTAAAAGGATAAAGGTAGAGAGGAAAAGGGCCAGTGAATGTGGAGAGGAATTAAAAAGCTAAATGCAGCTTTTTTGCGGGGCTTGTTGATGGGTGAATTCTAGAAGCATGCCATACTCCGTGAACCCCCTGTGACATTGAAATCTTCCCATCATAAAAATACGAGATATTAGCTTATTGGGTAGGCACTGTACACCAAATAGGTATTTACAATTGAGTATATCTTCTTATGTACAGTTACAGTATATGTGTGTAACCTTATATCCTCTTCATTCTGCTGCACATAACCCATCCATCCATCCTCTATTCCAGATGCATCTATTCACCGGAAATTTGAAGTGTCCATTTTGTTTCTTCTTCCCCCACAACTTTTCGTATTAAAGTGGGTGAAGTAAAACCTGCAGGGTCTAACGTTACTCCGTAACATGCACGGATTAGCCCAATTTCTGGTTCGCCTTTGGACGAGTCACAGTGGACATACTGGGTAGTTTTGAATCAAATATAAAAGTAATCGAGGCTTACTAATTATTTGTCGGTTCACTCTCGAGTAAGTACTACAGAGTATTTCAGCTCAGATCTTCTTCTATCTGTATTCGATACCACACAACGTTTCACAGACCAAATCATAGCCGCCAAAATCCGACTCCTCACTTTAGACGTTACGGATTACATGGAATCTCCCACAGTGTAAAGCATTCGAGGCTCAGATGTCGGGTTTAATTCAACAGTGGTGATTCAGTCGGGGCCGAATGCTTTAACATCACAGCTCAACAAGCAAGGATAAACACAAGGCGTTAGTGCGCAAACCTGACAAGTTGAGAAAGCCGCTGATATTGGTATTTGCGCAGTTTGATTTGAGGATTTGATGATGGTATTGAAATTTCTGCTATCGCAAAGCTAAATGATGGCGAGGGCTTTTAACGAGAAAAAGGGGGATACTCATGACATCATATAGTTATGATTACTGAAGCACCGGGTCGCCATAAAATGCTTGTATCGTGGACTAGTAGGGAGAGCAACTTGTACAATGATGGACATTATCTCTATACATCTATGAGTAATTTTTTTTTTTTCAATCTTTTTGTTGAATCTTTTATCTCTTTTAAAAGAGTTGATTTTGTCTGCTCTCTCCGCGTTCAATTGATGTATAATGAGTAGTGCTTGTTTTCTAATACGTTTCTATTCCTATTCCCATTTCTATTCTTGTAACCGTTGGGTATATAGGATTCATAATATAACGTTATTAATACCTATCTTTCGTCTACGAAGTCGCTCTAGTCGCTATAAATTCTGACTGTAGCTACCTACCTACTAATGATCGAGACGAGCTAGAATCCTCGATCAGGAAGAACGCAGTTTTGAACAGAAAAATATAATTACTTGTTACATTTGCGGCCTGTTCTACAGATTCATGTATGTAATCTTGCATTGACACTTGTAGGCTTATATTCCTCGCATACCCTTTCTTCCCCCCCACATTGTTTATCCCCCGTATATCCAATACTGATATACTAGGTAGGTATCTTCCTCCCAGGGAAACATGCTTCCCAAATACTGGTGTCCATTTAAGTATCTTTCCTGTTTTATTTCCCCTGTAATCGTCGCGCTGTCTATATAGTTAATTATTCAATTAGCCAATCATTCAACCAGTTAATCAGTCAATTAGTCAATCAGCTCCATCCAATCCCGAACAATCCCCAACAATCCGTCAAAATACATGACATATATACACCTGAAAACCCATCAACTCTGGCACTAAAATACTTTCATCTCCTCCTTTCCATAATTACCCAAAGAATTCATTAGCTATTTCTCGCCATTTCAAGATCTCTATATGTGTTGATTTAAGTGCTGTTTGTTAGTCGGTTTATCCAGATCTTGCGGCGATGAGGCGGATGGATTGTGAGTTGGTGATTTGGATTGTAAGACTTAGCTTTTTTTGCCGTGGGTATAGATTAGTACGGTATTGCTGGGGCTTCTTGGATAATGAAAGGGTAAGTCTTATATAGCATGAGGATTGAAAGAAATGTGACAGAGCACTTATGTGGATGGATGCGAGAGCAGACGGCTGAGCTAGAGCTGGCTTGTTGGATTATTATGGTTATTTGTGTGCTGGGGAATGGTCGAGACGAAGGGCCAACTAACATTTTTGATAAAGTAAATAAAGAGGTGAAGCATTGAATGGAAAAGTTGGACTAGGGTTTATGGAAGCTTATAGGAATCTCTAGGCTTCAATGCCCTGTAGCAGATGTGCAACAAAACTTTTGAGATTCTGCCAGGCGGTGGATATTTTGTCATGCTGAATATCTCTTACAGATGAGCGGAATTGGAATAATTTATGTTCTTACCTAATTTTCCCTCCCAGCCGAATGTTGATATTGTCTACCTTACTGATAGGACTGTGTTGCGCGTAGAGTCTTCTTAATTGATCAATATATCTTGCAATGGTGGCTATTCGATCTACTGAGACCGGTCTGTCACCCACCCAATATTTGAAACATATATTCGTTCAAATCAATGTTGTATAGTGTAATAGAGTCATTTGAAACAAAAAAAATCACATTCAAATCTGCATCCCACTCCTCGCCACCCCAAATTTTCTCCCCCAACCCCTAGCCTTCCGGTCCATATCCGCCCTAACAAACACCATAACAATACCCATCAGACCCGCTAAGCACCAATCCAGGAGCACTCTCACAAAACCTCCCCTCACACTCCCCCCAAGCATACTACCCCTTACCAAACCCGTCAGTAAATCCGTAGTGATAAGTTCCCTTCCGGCTTCTAATCCCTGGATACTCCTCTTAGCTACCAGCTGTGGGGTTTGTCCCTCATCGCCGTCCTCGAGTTGTTTTGTTAGGCCGTGTTTTATGCGATTTTCAGCCTCGTAGGATTCGGTTAGTATTGTAGCGGGGAATATCGTGTGGAGATTAACACGGGGTGCGCTGGGGAAGGCAGAGGCGTAGAGATTCATTTCTTGGGAGAGAGTATCTGAGAGGGAGCGTAGCGCCGCTTTGGCGGGACTATAAGCTCCGTAGCCGGCGAAACTGAAGAAAGCGAGGAAAGAAGCAGTGAAGATGAGATGGCGAGCTGGAGGAGAAATATTTTTGGTATGGCCTGAATCGAGCATTTTATCTTCGATGCGGCTTTTTCGTTCCTCTAGTGGTTTGAGCCAGCTTCTTAATGTTGCGTGCGCCATGTATGCGCTTGTGAGATAATTATTGTTCATCTGGGATTGTAGCTGGGATACGGGAGTATCGATGAAGAGGGTGGGATAGGAGCTACCTGCACAACACCACACGGTATCTGGAGGAATTCCCCGATTCCATTCCACGACCTCGTCAATAACACGTACGCATTCATCTGGAGAGCTCAAGTCGGCGCTTATATGGTGGAAACGCTGGACTTGGGGTTTTACAGCGCCTTCCTTGATGTATTCGATAGCTTGGAGCAATTTTTCTACATCGCGTGCGATGATTACAATGTTGGCACCTTTTTCGGAAAGTTGGCGTCCGACTTCCTGACCCATTCCTCTTGAGCCACCGGTGATGACTACTGTCTGTTGATGGAATTAATTCTTTTCTGATGAAAAAAAAGAAAAAGATATATTTGAACTCACCTTTCCATCTACCGGGAATTCATTCTTAGACGATATATTGCCCATTGTTTCTAGTAAAAGGATATGTTACTTATTTACGACTGTAACCTAGAAGTCACTCGTATTAAATCAATGCAAGGAGAAAATGACCAGATGTGTAGTTGAAATAGAGTGAAGCTTCCCAAGCTATTTAATGAAACCGATACTAATTTAATTTCGTATCAACTGTGCCTCTCATACGCAGATGGGGTATCACTACCTTATCAGCTCATTTTCATGGGACAAGTCGTCAAGGGGTCATGACCTAAATAGCAGCTACCCCAATACCACCCAGCCCCGCGTGTGTGGAGGAATTATAAGTCTTACAATCAATATAGAGAAAATCTGTTGCTAAAATTGGTCATTCTGGAGTATATTATCAGGTTCTTATCAGAGTATAATCGTGCATGGTACGATAAGAAATTATACGACAGGTAAAAAAAAATCGAATAGCCAATATTGGGTTGATTTTGAAGTCAGCAGCTCAATACTTACGGAGCGAATACAACAAATTCTACGGTAATTCACTGGATTGGACAATGTAATTATATCCAGATTATGGTTGCCACAAGCGGACAAAGTGGACAGCGGACAGGTGGCAGACTACGAAGCAAAAATAATCAACTAATAGGTAGCAAATTCCGAGTCCTCCCCATTGATATATTTTACATGAATTCTCTTTTGGATGGACTCATGGTCTTTATACATAAAGCAAAAGCCCCAATCTGTTGACGACATGAACACTAGCGGCACACATAACGAGAACAATGTCGCTAGGACTAGCGACACAACAGTAACTACAGCTGTGGGAGCCTTGGTTATTGTTCTAGCAATAATCTCTGTGTCCTTGCGATTTTACACACGTTATTTCACGAGAGCTGGATTTGGATGGGATGACTGGCTGATTTTGCTTGCGCTGATAGCCACAATTTTGACAGACGTGTTGGTATTATGGTGTTTGTATCCATTTGCTTGGGTTGGCTTGATAATAAAAATGTAAATCATTCCCTAACGAAATAATATCAGCAACCAGTGTCAACCCCAATGGCCCCTCTGTGGCTTCCGATACAGACCCTAGATACATATATACAGATGCCGACGTGTTCTATACTAAACTGAATTTTGTAGCCACGGTACTCTACTTCAGTATAACCTCCGCGACAAAAATGTCAATTCTGTTCATGTACAATCGGATTTTCTCGGTCTCGAGGGCTTTTCGCTTTCAAGTCTTAAGTGTTGGAGCCATGGTCATGGTCTTCTGGATTGGCTGTACCGTGACTAATCTGTTAAACTGTCGTCCTTTGAAATGGACCTGGCTTAATAGCCTTGACGATCCACGATATTGCTTCAATTATAACATATTTTGGATGGCCAGCGGCTGTGTCGAGGCATTCATTGATGTATTAATCATTACGATTCCTATCAGAATGACGCTTGGCTTGCACTTGAATAAAGCTAAAAAGTTTGCCTTGACGGCTGTTTTCTTGATAGGGATATTGTAAGTGCTGTGCAGAAAATTGTTTGCGTCGAAGATACTGACTGTGACCGTATGAAAGCGTTATCATCACAGGCGTGGTCAAAGTAGCACTCAGTTACGCACCTGGTAGCAGGGAGCCATCATTCAATCGAACCGAAGTTTGGACAACAGTACATTGTGGGATTGGAATGGTTTGTGCATGTCTGCCGGTATGCTGGCCACTCATTTTACGTGTTACAAGGTTTCGATCTGCTTTTGTGCAAAGACATTGGCACAAATTCAGTATATCTTCTCTGAAAGAAAAATTCAAGAACGAGAGAAACACAACCGCACAGTTTGAGAGAACTGCGACGCCTAATACTGGGGACCACTTATTTTTGGAAGGCCTTAGCCGCAGCAATCTCATGGCCTTGGATAGCGTGTGAGACCAATAAAATGGCTGTCGCTCCCAGTAAATCAGAGGAAGTTCCAAAGAGATTAGTAAGTCTTCCACCACGAATGATTGTCGACTTTTGCGAGGCATTGATTACTTATGGATCATTTTCGGGGTCGGATATAAATTTCAGCATGTACTTGTGCAAAATTAATTGTTCTGTCACCCGCGATGGAATTCAAGCAGTTTCGACTGTTGAGTATTCTCTTTCGCCGGGGTCGGCAAGCTATTGCTACGATTCAGAAACCGCATATGATCAACTTCAGTCGGCTACAAGAAGCAGGTTAACTTGCGATCTGCATCTCATTTCGAAAAAGACGATATCACGGTATTAGGTGTCAGACACTTTTTGCACTGATCGAAATATGCCATGTCCAGGCCGTATCCATGCTACATATGCTTGAAGACGAAGGCGAAACTCGATATGATGGAGAAAAAGAACCAAATAAAATTTCTCCCAGATATGTATGGCTACTACCGAAATCTGCGAGGTATAATGATATTACATTTGAAAAGTTACAGGCGCGAAGAAAGAGGTTGCTAGAACATACGTTGGGACGATGTACATGCGACAACGTGCAGCAAATATGTGCATGATGAAATAAATGGAGAGCTTCATTATGATAGACTCTAGCCGTCAAGAACTTCAGGAATTAAAATCAGCAGAATATTGTTGGGCGATTGCTGGTACTCAATTAAATCCAAGTACATATCAAATCCGAGCGATTCTCTGTCGTGATTAATTACCTTGTTCTAGACTTTCTCTTTAAATTGCAAAGTTCGGGGTAGATGAAGGGTAGATTGAGATAAATGCAAAGTTCAGATGTTGTCACCTGTGCTAGGAATTCCCTGGATGCTTAAGAACAGCGCATAATTCATAATTGAGACTGAAATTAGGAAAAAAAGAAAAGATTTTAATTGCGAGCATTGGCAAAGGAAAACTCTCTCCATGCAAAATCAACTCTGAGTCTCTGAGTCGTATTCTGTACTAACAGCAATTGAAATATACTTGGGATAAAATAATTAAGGATTTGGCTTTCGGGTCTTCCGTTCGACATTTGTAGGAAGTGCTTGTTGACCATCTAGGCAATTAAAGGATAAAAATAGAAGATATGTAGCATCACGTGACGCTACCAAATTCCTGGTGCATAGCCACGTTGCGATCCTTACGAACCGTTCCCACGGTACAAAGACGTGCCGCGCGCGTGGGCTATCACTAGCCAAAATGCTTACTAGGTAATATGTATGATCGTTATCTGCAGAAAGTGTACTCGGCGGCAGAGAACGGGGTCGTAAATTTATATGTGAGATCTTACTCGACGCATCGTTACGACGCAGGTACGTAATCTGTGCTTCGATAGAACCCAATAAATATGTTCGCCCGCAAATATTCTCTTATTCATTCGTATTGGCAGAAAATGGCCCCTTTTGGGTTTTCCAAGTCGGTTGATGGACGAATAAGAGATGGTAGAAGACTGTGTTTTTCATAAGGTTGTTCGTTGTTCCTGGCTAAGGAATCGGAACCTGCTTTTCTGCTCTTTTTCATGCATCCTGATTGTCCAATCTAATCTTGTGGAACTCGCACACCTGGAGAACGGATGCTCGGAAAAGATCTGGACAAAGGAGATGGGGGATGTCCGTGGAATACGATGAATAATAATGCTTTGTAGAGTAGGACAAAACGATAAAGGGAACCGATGCCGAGGATTAGAATTCGATGAAAATTGTTGGAAATTGAACGTTTGTTCTCTTTTTTCGTGGTCCTCCTGATTTGATAAGGCAACGGCATGGACATGGGGTGAACAAAACGTTTATTCAGAAATCCACTTTACGGAGTAGATTGAAAGAATTCGGCGGTGAATATACATTAAATAGCTTCAATTGCTGGCTGATACCCTCTTCTCGTGAGATGATAGGCCAATCCATTGCATTAGCTCAAATCTCCTCCTAGATATTAGAATCTTATCGCTATGGCGGATACTTTGATGGTACCTGCGCCTCTGTCGCGGCCGTGCAGTTCCTACTGTACGCATTGTATTATTGAGAGAAAATCCGATGATTGTGATTAATTATGATGCATGCAGAAATCCGGAACAACATCGAATCATTGATTCGATTAGATTTGGTTTGAAATTTGAATGTGTTAGGTATGGATGGGTGTTGGGTATTGGGCATTGGGTCCAGAAAACGAAGCAGTACGACTTTCGACTATCATACACACCTGCTGCTCGCCCATGTCATCTAATAACCTTATTGTGGTTGTGTAAATTTCTCCAAATACAATGTCTTTCTTTCTTCCCTTCCTTCCCCCCGTGTTCATTGTTAGGTCGGTCCACAGCCGCACTGGGCTATCTAATCGTAAAACTATGTACTAGGTATTCTACTCAGGTACAAAGTGGATGTCTAATTCCGCGTCTAAATCATCCAACCTTTGGTACTCGTAAATTGTATCCTGCCAACCTGGTAGAATCATATGACAGTCGAATGAGAAGTTTTAGTACAAAATAGCATGGTTTAGGCTAAGAAAGGAAGCCAGACTTTGCACAAACATAATCTCGTAGACCTTATTACATTCCATCGAGCGAACCTGGAAATTCTCATACGCGACAACTTTCATGCTTGTTTCACTTCACCACTGCGCGCTTCCTCTCAAGGTCCCGGTAGTCTCTTCATCTCAGCATTTCATTTTTCTGCCTCCGTTTCCTAATTCTACAGAGTAATAAAATGTCTGTCGGCGGTGGATCAAACAAGGATTAGCGATCAATCACACAAGCAAGCATCTCATTAATGTAGGGGTTTTCCATCAACCATCCGAACGAATTTGCTTCGAAAGTGCGAAAGGCCGAAAGAGGGACAATCACTCGTTACCTAATAATCCATACGCTTCCAGAAAGAGTCTTGTTTGACCGGAAGCATTGTGCAAACCCAGAACAGCCAACATTGTGCGAATCCATCATCGGCACGCACCATTCGCGCGGTAGACGGGAAAAGGTGGACGGAGTATATATAATTTTTATTTAGGATTTGTGACACAGTTTGAAGGTACCTGAAGGCTGTGCAGTGCATACGCTGCATACGAGGCAATTTGGCAGAACCCTGGGTTGTTGGGGCTCCCGAAAGAGGTCGTCGGCGGATAACAGGGGGAAGATGGCAAAAAAGTCTGGCCTACAGCCGCTGATGCTGGATCCCAATACAGGAAGAAGTAGAGGAAATGGTACAGAACTTAACATTGAACAAAGTCCAAGATCTCCTTTGAGTGCAAAGTCCCCGAAATCACCAAGGTCCCCCTTCAAATTCAATACAAAGAAATCACAATTGCTGCACCAGGCTCAAACTCAGGCTCAAGCTCAAGAGCAACAACAGCAGCAGCAACAGCAAGAAGAAGAACAAGGACAAGGACAATCTCAAAGAAACGAAACTTCTTTTATGCAAGAAGGCGACCCGCAGATAACCAGAAAAGATTTACCATTTACCAGTGGGAGCGGAAGTGGAAGTGGAATACCAACATCACAAACTCTTCCTTCTCTTTCCTCAATTCAATCTTCAAGGGCTTCAGATAAGGTTGGGGTAAAAGAAAGACCTTCTCGAACTGGATTCTTCTCAAATTATAAAGCATTGAAAAGTGCAAGTAAATTTCAATCATCATCCTCCTCACCATCAGATATATCACGCCAAGTGAATGTTGTCGAGGACAATAATATGTCTAGAGACACAGACCGCCCTACGATGAGCGTAGAGGTTTCATCACAGGACACTAAAAGAAGTGGTACGACCCATTTTGTTTCGTCCCTTCCTCTTCAGACAATAATGCCGTTGAATAATTTATCCATATTGAGTGATTCACATAAACTAATACCATTCCAAAATAGATTCAGGTACTGCTAGATCATTAGTTAGTAAACCAGTCGGGGCTTCGTCAAGATCTGACGCCTCGCTGGCATCATCAACGAACGAATCCCCACAACAGAATTCGGATTCAAATTCCATCAATAATCGAAAGAATAAATCAAAGCAATTCAGTCTCCTCGGTAGAACCAGATCATTGCGAGATGATCAAAGCCCCGCCGAGCCATCTCCGCCAAAAAATAATTATTTGGATCCCGACTCATCCACACATCAACACGCAAGTTCCTCAGGTTCTATAAAGACGACGACACCGGCTCGAGGCGACGACGATATGAATCTCAGGGAGATGTCGACTCCAACCAATATTCGACAACGATCGCAAGACCGCCAACATAGTCGCTCTCGAGATAACCGCGGGAAGGAATCCACAAAGGAACATACGAAGGATAGTGGCAGAAATCAATCGTCCTTCTCCTCAACATTTAAAGAGGCTGGTGGACATGCATTCTTCAATAATATTAGATCACAAGCAACAAAGGGAGCTGGGGTGATACACAAGAATTTGTTTGGAAAGGGAGGACGAATTAGCAGCTTTGCACAGAAGGAATCTCTGATCGACGACGAGCATTACGTTCTAAAAGTTATCAACAAGCCTCTTATTGAACAAACACGGCTCACCAGAATATCAAAAAGGCTGGAAGACTCAAGGGATAAAACGGAGTTTTGGATGCCATCCTTCCCGTGGAGAGCAATTGATTATCTTAACTACAAAGGGAGCGATGTGGAGGGACTTTACAGAGTACCTGGAAGTGGACCGCAGGTTAAAAAATGGCAGAGAAAATTTGATGAAGGTTTACAAGACCTTATCCTTGAGTACTTTTGAGAATATACTGACATACCGCCAGAAATGGATATCGATCTCTTCGAATGTGATGATTTGTACGATATAAATATCATCGGCTCTATGCTTAAAGCATGGCTTCGCGAACTCCCCGACGAACTCCTTCCCAGAGCTGCACAAGATCGAATTGCCAGAGAGTGTGCGGGTTCTCAGAAGGTTCCTCAACAACTTGTCGACGAGTTATCTAACCTTTCACCATTCAAATATTACCTTCTCTTTGCCATCACTTGCCATTTGTCTCTTCTACTCGCCCACTCCGAAAAGAATAAGATGGACTTTAGGAATCTGTGTATATGTTTTCAGCCTTGCATGAAGATGGACGCATTTTGTTTCAAATTTCTTGTTTGCGACTGGAGGGATTGCTGGAAGGGTTGTAGGACAGAAGCGGGATATATCGAACAGGAGTATATGCTCTTTGACCAAATGCCACCAGGAAGTGCTGGAGGATGTAGCAGCATCGCCGTTGAAAGTCATGATGAGAGGAATGTCAGCAGCTCGGACAGCAGCAAGCCATCGAGTGTCAGCCTCGAGCATCAGGGTCGAAAACATAGCAATGAGAAGGGCCGAAAAACCAGTGGGGAGAGGAACCAACGCCGAAGCCCGGATATTGAAAAGAATCAGCGCAGAGTCCCGGAGATCGAGAAGAATCAACGCCGAAGCCCTGAGATCGAGAAGAACCAACGCAGAGTCCCAGAGATTGAGAAGAACCAACGCAGAAGTCCAGATATTGAGAAGAACCAACGCAGAGTCCCGGAGATTGAGAAGAATCAACGCAGAAGTCCGGATATTGAGAAGAATCAACGTACAGGCCCGGAGATAGAGGAGAATCAACGTAGAGGCCCAGAGATCGACAAGAATCAACGCAGAAGCCCGGATATCGAGAGGAATCAACGCAGAAGCCCAGACAGTGAGAGAAGTCAAAGGGATAATCATAGGGAGGTTGCCATGAGTCAAAGTAATAGTATGAACAGTATGGATACTGTCAGCACCACTTTGACCGTTGTACAACCAAATAAGCCTCGAAATGGTGATCTCAGACCATTGAGTCCTATCAAGCCACTCTCTCCCATCGGGTTCTGAGTTTCTTCTGCTTAGCATCACGACAGCAATAATACAACACATACTAGGTAGGCTTCCAGAAGTCACGCCAAAATATCGCATATCATTACGATTCCACCCTAAGTATTAGAGCACTACGGTTCTTCTAGAAAAGGGTGCAAACGAAGATACCGGACGATATTGCATTTTTTTTCGGTCGATATTTCATTGCTTACGGACTTTGGGAAATGGAATGGACTGGACGCATTCGACGAATTTCCTTTATACAGTCACGCACAAACGCCGACAAGATCTATATCTACACAGTTCTTGACGTTCGTTTTGTCCGTTCACGCGACACAAGTTTTTCCTTTCCAATTTAATGGTTTTACAAAATTTTCATGCTTGTTTTGTTGAATACCCTCCAGCGCAGCATGTTTGAATCTTGACAGCAAAGCATATCAGCAAAGCATATCAGCACAGAAGGCGGGTTTAATAGGGATGGGTCTGGCAATTGGAAATGGATAGTGGCACAGGGAGCGGATTGTTATTTGAATTTTTATATTTTTTGAGGAATTATAAGCATGAGGCGTGATGGAGACGGATGGACGGGGGCTATGGATGGTCTATTAGGAAGCTTAGAGATGAGGTCCACTCATCGCTTCATGTCGGTTGAAGCATATTCACTATGAGGCATAAGGGAGACGGGGGCGGGAAAGGACCTGTTTGTACGATAGTCAGAGAGTATGTTACGCTTGGAGCCTAGGAGGCAGGGACCACAAATTAGGGTCAGGAGCATTGAGAGATATTGAGAACAACTTGGAGATTATATCGACTGGCAAAATCTAATCATCGATTTGCCGCTCATATCTTCTCATGAGCATTGAATTGAAATTCAATGCTATGTACCATTATGACTTTTGGACATCTACTTGGTTGTTACTGTGACTTATTGTGATCCAATGTAGCGCAACACTTTTCTTTTCCCTTTTCACATGCAATGATTGTCCTCATAACGCCAATGATAACCCATGCCAACGCCATACAATGAAGTCCACCATCATTCCGTCTTCTATCATACCATCCACTTTCCCTCTCCTTCCCATCATGTCAATATTCCACCTCGACTATTTAATCCCTCTTCCCTCCATGATTCTTCCTATCATTCCTTCCATTCTTTCTCTGCATTCTCTCATTCCTCCTAACCTTCTCCTTTCTCTCTCGTCTTCCATCGTTCTGTCTCTCAGTTCCCTCCTTTCTCTCGCGCTCCTGCTTCTCATTCACCTCCACAATCCAATCATCTTCTCCCTTCTTATTAATTCCCTTATATCCCCATTTAGGAACCCATTCACCAGTAGATTCATCATATACAAGCTTCTTTTTGGCCTCGGCAGTCTTGGGTTTAATGCCTTTCTTAGCGGCGAATTTCTGCCAGGTGGTTTGTCCGACTAGGGGAGGAAGAGGCTAGAGAATCTTTAGTTAGCTTGATCAAATATATATAAATGAGATCTCAATGCGGGAAATGCAAATGCATGAAAAAATCGCATACCTTTTCTCTAGGCAACTTGGTAGCAATCCCAGGCAAACTCAACAAAACTCCACTGGGCGTCGACGCAATGGGACAAGTGCTCAATAACTGGTTCAACAATGCTTGCGCGCCATCTCGCGCAGTAGCAGCGAGATCAGCTTCGAGGTTTTCGGATGTGGTGAGGAGGAGCGGGTTTGGGTCCTCGGCGAGGAGGAGACCGAGGTCAAAGGTATATGGTGTGGGTTTATTGACTATGACGGGGAGCTTGGATGGTTTTTGGGGAGCGTCTTCGGACATTTTGAATGTGAGGTTGTTGAATTAATTGAATGGGTGAAAGATTGGATTTGATTTTGATGGACGAGAAATTGAGATTTAGATAGAGGAAATAAATTTTGGAATGCTGCTTTTGCGGGACAACCCTGCGCGGCCGCAATTTAGCGCGGGATGGAATGATCCTAGTCGAGAAAGATTTCTGGAGCGAGAGGGACGACACGTCGAGTGGGATTGGGATTTCAAAACTCACTGAACCTACCGCAGATATGGCATCCTCGGGATGTTGGAAATGTCTCTCCAGACCGAATACTTCGCAATTGATCCAAGCTAATCATGCTACTTTGCGACTTCCAGTTACGGTTGCAGCCACCGCGGGATTTTCAACAAGTGCTGTGGTGTATAAGAATCCGCTGGGACTTAAACCAAAGGGACCAGGGGCTTTTGGGCAAAGCCAGGCGAGGGGAGGGAAGACATTGAAGATTAAGAAGAAGCCGCCGCCTGTTAGGACGGGAAAACCTCCCGCGCAGGGAGAGAGAAAGGCATTGAGGAAGAGGATCGTGCTCAGTAATACGAATGCGTTGGAGGTAGAGCTGGAGGATTTGGGCCTGGAAAACGTTGGAAGTGAGAAATTGGTGACAAAGGTTGTGGGATTAAGTGGAAGTACGGTGGATAGTTTGCGGGCGAGTGAAGCATTTAAGGTTACACAGGGTTGGAATTTATTTAGGAGGCCTGCGTTGTTGGTTAGACAGGAGAGTTTGATATGTGTGAAGCTTTTGGAGGAGGCGCAGGCGGAAAAGAAGACAGAAAGGTTGGTGGTTGACGGGGGTAGGGTATCGGGGAAGAGTCTGATGCTTTTACATGCTATGGCTTCAGCTTTTATCAAGGGCTGGATTGTCTTGCATATCGCTGACAGTATGTCATTTTTTGTTTACTACAGATTGAAGTATGCTAATAACATTTACAGCCCAAGAACTTGTCAACGCTTGCACCGAATATGCTCCCATACCAGATACAACACCAACTCTCTTCTCTCAAAACACATACACTGCAGCGTGGCTAGAACGCATTGGCAAAGCTAACGAAGCAGTTCTCGATAAACTCTCATTATCTCAAGAGCATAGCCTTCCTATCCCTGTCCAAGAGAATATATCACTGCTACGACTTTGCGAACTTGGAGCTCGCGAACCTGATTACTCCTGGCCAATTTTCCAAGCATTCTGGAAAGAAATTACAGCCGAAGGCCGGCCTCCAGTCCTCATGTCTTTGGATGGACTTCAATGGATCATGCAGAACAGTCTTTACCGAAACGCAGATTTTGAGTTAATTCATGCCCATGATCTGGCTGTTATCAACCACTTTGTGCAATATCTTTCCGGCGAGAAATCCCTACCAAATGGAGGTGCTGTACTTGCAGCCACATCACGTAGTCACGCACCAATATCCCGATCCATGGATTTAGCTATCTTGCAACAAATGGACCGACAATCAGAACAAGAACTCACAGAACGCGATCCCTTTGAGAAGAAATACGACGAGAAAGCAGATAAAGCATTACAGAACATGCAAGTCATGTGGTTGAATGGCTTAAGCAAGAAAGAATCGAGAAGTATCATGGAATACTGGGCGCAGAGTGGTGTATTAAGACAGAGGGTTGATGAGAAGACGGTGACGGAAAAATGGGCTTTGGCTGGAAATGGAATTGTAGGAGAACTTGAGCGTGGTGCTTTGAAGATGAGAATATAGGTTTTTACGGGATGAATCAATATTATCTGTGTATATGTATATGTACAGTTTATGAGTCTGGTGTGAATTTGATGCATCATTGTTTGGTTCCTAACCTACTTGCAGTAGAATTGTACACTTTTTGCTCTAGCGAGTTTTTGAGAGGTTCTCTGTAGCTCTAGATCTAAGGTGGTTTGGGGATTCTTCCATGTCTTAAAAGGGTGTTGATTACCCTCTTTCAACATAAGAGGATAGCTGATTGGGGATAAAGAGAAAAGGTTTTGGTTCTGCAAATATATCTAGATATTGAGATATCCGATAAGAATCATGTTCAGCAACAGTAGCCTATATCCCTTTTTCCAGATTTAAACTGGATGCATTGTTATTAGACGTTGTGGAGTGAATGTTATGTTGTTTGGTTGCAATCTCGGTATGGTTTCTTGAAAGTTGAAGAGGCGGATATATTATGCTCCATTCGTAGCTCATTATTTGCTTTAGGAGAACCCGTCAGTTAGAAAATCGTATTGTCAACTATATTTTCACCTCATCCCAAATTCGATATCTCAGCTACGTAGGATCTTACCTCCAGGCCGATTTTCGATCTCGACAGAATCACCGTCACAACATAATCTCCCCAGATTTCTAAAAGCTAGAAGCTAGTCGTCGCTGAGAATAACAGAACGGATTCTTGGAACCGATCGCGATGAGCTTGTGTTGTTGTTGTTAAGGGGATTTTTTTTTTTTTGCTCTCTTACCTATATTAAAGACTGGTTATGTCTCTGATAGTTTTGAGTATATGGTGTAATTAGCATCTTGATTGAGAAGGGGTTGAATCTTGGTGAGAGTCAGATTAATTAGTCGTTTGTGTGCTTAGCGAAATTTCGGGAATGTTTGTTGTAGTTGTTTTGGAATAGGGATGGGGATTTTCATGGGAATTTCCTTAGAATCTCTTCATTCTACTACTGACTACATGTATATAACAAAATCATCCGTACAGTATTTACAATCATCCCTTGATTCACATATTTCTTCCCACGAGATCCCAGACTTTTGCCCGATTCATGCATTGCGGCATGAATTATCACAAACATTGCAAATAATAGACATTCGAAGCAGTGCCTCAATTTATGTTAGCTTTTCTTTCCTATGAGAAGGAACGGGGAATACTTACAAGTCGTTCCACTCACACAACAAGTCGCCCCCGTATATCCAATCCCACCACATTGCGCCCAACGAGCCTGACAATTAGCCGTGGGTACGGGAACATCAATGGCAGTCGTCGTAGCCACACTAGAAGTTACCGTGGGCGCCAAAACAGCCGTAGTACTCGCAGTACTCGTAACGAATTCTCCGGACCCCTCACTCAAAACCGGCACATTTCCCTTCCAAGGAACCCACTGATTCTCATTAAATGCCAAATTACCCGTACTACGAAAAATCTCCGTATTGCCCGTCCCATTCTTCAAAAATCGATTCACAAATGCATCTAAATCAGCTTGCTGCGAACTCGGAAATACACAATGACTATGACCGCCCACTTGGGAAAAACCAAAATTCGCAGATGCGCCTACGGCTTGATATATATATTTTGCCGCCGTCATGGCACCATATGATGAAAGAGGTCCCAACCATACGTAATCAGTATTTTCGATAGCGAGCAGTGGACGCGGTGAGACGAGGGCTGCTAATTCGTGGTGATCGAATGGGAGGGTAGGAATGCGGTTTGCCCAGGTATTAAAAGAGGTGCTGAACCAAACATTTTCGCCTACGATTTCAGATGCCGTTTGCGTACTCGAGCCTATGCTGTCTGAAATGCGCCAGCTGGCGTCTCCGCCGGAACCGGATTCTTGTGGGATGGTAAGCGCGATGCGGGGACAGAAGGCGCCGGCTATTAAGGCTCCTTTGCCGTTTCGTGAACATCCCGTTACGCCTATGCTTGTGGGGTTGATTTTGGTGTTGGGGGTTTGTTCTAGTGCGTCGAGGATGCGATCGACGCCCCAGGCCCAGGCTATCATTGCGCCTGCTGAATGAGTGGAGCCGTAGAGATTGTAAAAGAGTCCTTTACCGCGACTTGATTGGTCGTTTTGCTGTGCGATTTGATCATTGTTGTAATTAATTATAGCGACGCCTGCAGGAGAAGGTATACTTCCACCTCCATAGGCGATGATAGCTGGATAGGGAGCAGTGCCAGTAGAAGGGTAAGTAATGGATACGCTAAAGGAGATTGATTTTCCTGACTCGGAACAAGTTATTGAGAGGGTGTTGCCGGAGATAGAAGAAGTTACGGATGAGGGTTTGGGGGGAAGGATTCCTAGTTCGAGGTTTTGGAAGAGCAGGCTCAGTTCGTTTTTGCGGCAGGTCCATTGATCTGTGGTGGTGATGCGTTGGCCGGCGAGGTTGGTGAAGGGGTCTGGAAGGTAGGATATTGAGGGGGTGGGGATGGGGGATGGGAGAGTACCACATGTCGCTTGTCTGGGGAGTGCGGTGGATGTTGCGGTTTGGAGGAGAGATGTTGTGAGGAAGAGGAGGGTGAGCTTTATGGGAGATATTGAGAGCATCTTGAACATTAGGGTGAAGTCTTCAGATGTTTTTGGATATCTATATATTTCCGATGATAGAATTGGAGAACATCATCGTCCCTTTTAACCTCACATTGTGCGGGGAGGAAAAACTAGAAGTCCATCTTTCATTTAACCTTATGTATATTAATCTAGACTTTATACCGCTCGTATATGCTAGAACGGAAAATATGAGGTAATATCTATTCAACTCAATGTATAGTAATCTGGAATTTATATACGTAGTATATCACACTTGTTTATCACGGGTTAAATATGATCCTAATGCTATAAAGTGACTCTTTATATGTCAGAACATGATGAACCGGAAGACTATAGTAGCGGCCCAACCCACTCAAACAAGGCCAGCTATTATTTTCATCTACAGTTATAGGCCACATTGGGATTGAAGACGCCGTTCATGATGCGAACATGGAAATTCGAATTTTGCCTAAAGATTTAGCGTTCCTGATTTGGCGAACACGCTAACTTTAGTTTTGATCGCATTCTCGAATGTATAGAGTAGATGCATTTTATTCGTAGATCATCAGGTTTCAATCGATGATGTGTTTTGGTGGACAGTCGCTTTAAAGGACAAGAGGAAGGTGGATATATTAAATTGAAAGATTTATTGAAGCTACTATTCATCTCAGCTCTTTCTTCAAACCCACGTTGAATTCTCATCTGTGTGAGTAGAAATTCCTAAGCGACACCTAGCGAAGTGAAAATAACTTAGGTTGTTGATTCACTTGATGATAGGAGCTGTTTGAAATTCTGGTCTTATGCATTACACCTCCGGCAATGGTGGAAGCAGGTGTTGCACGACTAGCTATCCTCGAACATCATTATGCTCAAGAATTAATAGACGCCAAGAACTTCTAGGCCCAAAAACCACTATTGTGATGAAGGAGACATGAGAATGCATATCTGCGATGAATATTGAGCATAGGGCTCAGTGACAGCTCCATATTACTGGGTTCACAATTTATAGCGTGGTGACGAACAATCAGGCAATTGACAACACCACTCGAAGTGTAGTAGTACCGATATCATGACTAGTGAAATATAAATATCTGCGGGGAAACGCGAACTTACTCCTCACGTCAGCCGTTCAATGCATGAACATAACCGCATTTAACCCCTCTTAAACCCTGTCCTACTTTGTCCCGCCCGAGTGTCAAAACCGGACAGACAACATGTCAGGAAAAAATATCGAACCATGGCATACGACCCAAGCTATGCCATGCATCTTGTATATAGCTTGGCGTAACTCTGCATGCTATCGTGTGTGATATAGGCTGAATGAAATGTGCCGGATTATCCGCGTCATGGAGGATCTCGTATAGTTGACAAGGAGCTGAAAAAGTATCACGTGCCTACGCGACGAAGAAAAATATAAAGGTTTGTTGTTTGTTGCGATAACGTGTCGCAATTGTGTTGCGGTTGTATCTATTGATGATGATGAGCAGCAAGTTTAGCCATGCAGGAAGAGGCTTAGGTTCCTCCGGAGTTCCAATAGGATTACACCCCGCCAAGCAGTGGTGCGATATCTAGCAAATCAGATTGTTTCTGTGCTGCGCCGTAACCAGAAACTTCAATAGGCAGGTGGGCAAATGAAAAACTGTAAAGCACTCGCAAATATCTGAGGACAATTGAGATGTGTTGTCAAAGTATCAATCAGCCTCTTTGAATGAGACTATTAGAGGTAGATATAATCGGCAAGCATCGTATGGAATATAACCAAAGCATACGGATTGAAATGGTCTGAGCCACTAAGATATCAATGCACAAAGACTATAGCAAACAATATTCATTTACACAGCCAAGGCAGCAGTTCATCAAATAGGGAGTCATGATGCTTGGAAGGATATTTTGATTCTTTAGACTGCACTAGCTAAAGTATATAACATTTAAACTAATCAGGTGTTAGATTATTTCACAAATCCACATTGCTAAGGGGATACATACTATATTCAAATCGTCCGTCGTTGTTTCCAATACGCTCAGCAAGGTTGACATCACGGCTGTACGCCTCACCCTCCCTGCTGCGGAGATGGGTGCGGAGAACTGGGACTTGTGCACCACCTTCAATGTGGAATGTGACGTCCTCGGCGCTGAGGGAGAAGTCTAATTGAGAGGTTAGATGTTGATTGAAGGACGAGAGATTGTTGTGTATTATATACGTACTCTGACCATCCCAGTGGATCATACCATTTTCGTTTCCAATGTACTCATTGAGATCCAGCTCAGCATCCACCCATTCGCCGTCCTCCTTTCTGAGACGGGCTCTGAGGATGTGGTTATCCTCGACGCGGATATCTTCGGCAGAGAGATGGAAAGACATTATGTTTGAGGTGTGGTTTTGGTTTGTGTTGTGAAATGTATGTGAAAAGTGATTGAAAGTTGAGTGATATGAAAAAGGAAGTGAAAGGAGAGGATAGGATAGATATATGTGTCTTTTGTAGTCTGATGTTCAAGTTTGGTAACGCCTCAGGGTCTACCCCTCCTTGCATGTTTACAGCATCGCAGGGCTATCATCAGCCACTCGTGGATTCATTATGGGAGTCCCCGCTGACATGAATGATCCATTTTTACACGCAAGAGAGTAAATCACGGGCTTGGCACCTCCTTGGCTCACACGTTGTCCAAAAACATTGGACTATAGAAGATTCACCGTGTTTGGGACGACCCACTATGACCCACTCACTGTGGGGTCAGGGTTTTGAATTGTCGCTACTGCGCCAGATTGGGTGGCTATGAGTGATATGCATTACAGGATTATCTGGCATGATGATTGAGTAATTTAATGGTTGGAGAGCTGACTGGCCCACACGAGCTTGTAGCTACCCCTGGCTGCAATACTCGTACCTGGAGAGCAAAGCAGTTTTTGAGTAAGACCAAGAACGATTTATCCAGGTAATGGAAGCTCCTGGAGGTTGGTAGTATTGACTGACGACTGAAACAAATGTACTCGTATAGCGTCAAACTGTCACACGGAGTAACCCACACTCACTCGTGTTACCATTGATGGTCGCAGTCCGATACATGACACGTGTAGCAAAAATAGCGTCTATCAATCCCCAGGAAAGTTTGGATACTGCTAAAGAAAGTGGCACAGTTAACGCACGAACTCCTCCATCAATCAATCCAATGTTACATACCACAGTACCTGTTGCCTGCTTGTATTCCTGAATGAATGCTCACTTGAGCTGTCAAACTGTGTTCGTAAGCTACACATCAATAAAACCCCGCAGTTTAAAGTAACCAAACAACGCACCAATGCTAAGCATGAGCTTTGGAACTTCCTTTTCATAGGTACAATTCCACATATCTGAGTCTATCGACACCGCTATTGCCAGGTCGCTGTATGGTATGATATCACAATTGTCTCATTACTCTATCGGTATATATTATTGATCGTTTCGGAGAGGGGCGTATCCTCATATGGGGATGGATCATGGATGCTGGCGGCGTTGAGTGATTTTGGTGAGCCCCGCTACTCGTAACCTTAGAACTACCTACGCCACTTCGCTGACTAAGCGAGCTACTTTCTTCATTTCCCTCAAACGTCCAGTCAATACGCATTGATGCAACCATCAAGCAGAAAAGTGTTGCAAAAATTATTTTCAACGTCCATGCGAAGACAAAAAAGACTATTTGTGCTGAGCCACAAACATCGAACAACTTCCTAATTCTCACCATGGCGCGAGGGCCGGGAGCAGGAATGAAGTCGTTGATAGCCGATTCTCAATTGTAGTTTGTAGGAAGAATGTTCACCGACGCTGCGGATCCTGAGGCTATATTTTTATATGGTCGTGGTAGTGCCAGTGTGCCAATACTCCGGACTGCAGTCCAAGAATGAGGGATTGTTGATTGAACACCAAAAGCTTTTTAAAAGCTGGAATCACATTGACTATTGAATCTATCGGAACAATAGATTTATCAGAATGATGAGAGCATTTTCCAACATTCGAAGCATGAAGCATGCCAAACCGTGTGGCAGGTCCGGACAATTGAGCACACTGGATTGTGTCTACCATATTAAGTTAATCCTCAACATCGGCAAAAGCATTCGATGGTATGGATTTCGTTTCATCTGTACTGAGTTTGGAGAATTATATACTGGGCATTTCTCTACTATCCGTTTGTCAATTTTCCAAGTATCATCTGATAATTGTTGGGAAACGCGCCATCATGACGACGGGACATATATATGTATATATATAAGAGAAAACGATTTTTATACTGGGAGGAGAGAGGTCAGTATCAAGCAGGATTTCTTCTCTGGTACTCGGTAAATAATATTCTTCATGCAAATAAATCTGGTGCCCCGGCAAGTTCTTTACCGGGTGCTCCCGCTCGCAAGTTTGACTGTGCAGATACAACTTGTGAAAATCCCTTTATACATTCTTCGAACATATGCGACCTGGGTATAGTAATCAAGATCTAGACCACTTTTCGAATAATCAAAATCTGATGAAAATTCGACAAATGAATAAAATTTACTCGGCAACTGGTAAAGGCAAACTGCCATTCATATTCACGGATAATGTCGCAGCTGTAGGTTTCCATGTCTTGATTAGTCAAACTTTCCAATGAGGGATCTTGTCAGTTTAGGTCCGCAAATTCTGTCATTTGATGATGTATGTATATAGCGAGAACACTCTTTTCTTCATTTGCTAAGTCGTTGCTGCAGGTGGCAAATATTATCAGTAAAGAAAGCTACACAATCACATGATAATGTATGGGGGCCTAGGGCATAACCATTAAAGGATCTGAGGAGAATTTGAACAATGTTAGATTGCAAGTCACAGGAAGCATCGGAAAAAAAATATTTTGGAAAAGAAGTCAAGTTTGTATGGTCCTTTGTACGGTGGATGAAGTACTGAAGAATCAGTTTTTGGGTTAACGGAAATGAGGATGTCTTGGGTTCTTCCAATTGCATTTCAATATGAATAGGATGGTATGGATGAATTCGAAGAGGATAGATACCTAGCACATCGTGAAGCTGAAGTTCAGCCTCTAAAGAGTAACATTATTTTGATTACTGATTACGAAGGATATTGCTTCAAGGACTTTTACTTATATCTGAACAATGATCCTAGAAGCCTTGCATCAGACAACATGATCCCACAGCATAGCTACGCCTGGTCTCTTCAGGGTCCAAGGAGGTTATAAGTAATTATCTACTCTAAGGTCACAATCTCAGACGAGAGACTCGGAAAAGCTGTATGGGACTTATCCTGTTTACGCAGGAATGGAACGGAATCGTTGCATGATAGTTAAAACGCAATAATTGGTGCTCTAAAATATCAAGTGAACCACCCGAAAATATGAGCAGACATATCATAAAGTCACAACCACCAATTCTGCTTTTATTATATTCTTTCAGTTATAGTAATGACTAGATACCACTAGTGATCATTGAAATGCTGGCTTCTTTTTTTCCGGTATAAACCAGAATGGTGTTGATAGGATGGGAGTCAAACCCATGCCATCATTTTTGGTCATCAGCCTCTCACTTTGTTCACCATATATCTGCAAATACCAAATCCAGATAAGAATCAAATCAGTATCACATCTTCCGCTTCTAGATCAAGTGTTTTTGACAGAAGGATCTGAAGTGCATGCACGTGATAAATGACGCTAACACCTCGAGTTCCTTCCTCTTCCAGTGTGAGGGCTTACCGGCGCGGGATAGTGTATTTCTTCCTTGACTTCAACAACTTTTCAGCTCCAAGTTTCATCGATTCACCAACTCAAAAAGTGCCGCGAAAGTTCTTTTATAAGTTGCGCATCTGTTCATCTCTCATTATCTTTTATTAACTCTACGGACTGCCATTTGTCGGTCTTCCCTTACTTTTCCTTCAGCTTTCGCGGTAACCCTTTTCATTATTTTCCTTTGGAAAGTTGGAAGTTGAAAGTTGAGCCAAATGAGCCAGCTCAGTTCAACAAACTCACTTCACTGTTCGAAGCGAAAAACTCCTGGATGCCGCCTCGAATAAATAGATTCTATCAACTGGATGCTCCGTTCATTCACAATCGATCACAACCTTGACAATTCTCAACTCTTTTGTTCAGTTACTGACTCTTTATTGAAAGTGAGCTTTACCAGTCTCTCCACTCTCCTTTTTTTTTTGTGACTATTTAGGCATCTGCTGGCGCTTCTCTTCTTAACAGCCATCTTCGCGTGACCCCAGCTCTGCCAACTTGGCATTCTATCGAGATAGGCGCCAGTTATATCTATAAAAGCGTGTATTTTTAATTATTTCATGTCACCACTCCACCCTCCCACGACTGCTCCGCAGCTTGTCCTAACGACTCAACCAATTAAACAGTTCAATAGTGTATCGAACCGCTCCGGCAGGATAGATCGAAGCAGTTTCTTCCTGCACTTCCTTAATAGCTGTAAAGGTACCCACCCATACTTGGATTGGAAAAGTGCCACCGCTCAAACTTGATATTAAATATATCGAAGATGCCTCCAGGTCGCAGATCAAAGAAAGCGTCGCAGAAGTCATCACTTGACACATGCGTGGCAAACTTGTGCCGGGAATTGAACCGAAATTCAGAGACGAACGGCAGAGAAAAGTGAGTTATGCCAGTGGTCTGTATACATCTGCAGCATGCTGACAGTGACTAGGATCGACGAAAATACAGTGGAATCGCTGTGCGAGGCTTTGCACTCGGCAAAGGACAAGGATACCATAACCGTAGCGGCCGTCAGAAATCTTCTCTCGACTTTGGAGAATCAAGACGGCGAGTTCTGTTGTTCTCTTGATATCAAAACTTTCTGTGTTGTCTTGAATATCATTCTTTGCAGCGAGGGTTGTCGAGAAGGGGAGCGTATTCTCGTCCTACTTGCCGTAAGTGTCAAGACTAGTGACATTTGCGAATTTTTGGGTATTGGCTAACTATTACAGAATGAACTCCACCAGCAATTCTTACCTCAAGACGCAGAGATCTCGGAAAGTGTGCTAATCGATATCGCGAGAGCATTGGACGTTGGTCACCTCATAGAATACTTCGTCGATGATTCAAAACCAAACGGAACTAGAAGATGGGTAAACTACCATCGGCTGTCCCTGATATGTAACTGGACTAACACGTTGGTAAGGTTGGTATCATCATGCAACAACTCTTGAGAGGCCCAGAGGCAGTTTCTGAGCAATTTCAACACACACCGGAAGACATTAGGTGAGGAATTCTCCAATTTTCTTTCACAGCCGAGCTAATATATTCCTAAAAGACGGAGTATTGGTCCCTTGATTCTCAATGAAGAAAACGAAATCCATAGGTTGATTTGTGGTCAGGTTTTGGCGGCACTACTAAACGCCGATATCCTTCCTGAAGAAGTGTGGCCTGTAGGGACTGAAAAGAAGGACTACGAGGATTTTCCGACTGCACTGGAAAATCCATCGGAGTGGAAATCGCAATTTCAGCTATGGGTAGACGATAAGTGGCCTGATAGTCCAAGTCAGACGTAGGTATGCCAGAGACTACAATGCCAATGAGTTAACAATTATTTAGGCCACCACATATGCTTTACTATAGTCACAGTGTTGTGACTATACCACCATTTAGGCTCGGAAAATATGGCGAAAACATCGAACTAGTTTTGGAAGACGGCTATGTCCTCTTTTTGAAGACCTCTACCGAACAGGAACTGGATCAAATACTCCAAGTACCATGTAATTCCATCTCTCGAATTTCTGTCAGCGATAGCTCGACTGTAATCAATGGAAAAGAAGTCTGTGATATTGTTTTTGAAATCAAGGACGATCGGAAGGTATCCTGTTATCTGAACTCGAGACCTACCACCTTTCAACAACTATGCCTGACCATAGGCTCAGGCATGAAGGAGCTGATGTCAGATCTTCAGAATGAGTGTACCGAAACCGAGTTCTCACGTGAGAGGATTAAATGCTCTCAAGCTGAGGATGACATACGGGTTCAAGGGGAGGGAAGTCCGCCAGAGGCCGAGATTCGCGACAGGCTGTCTAGCGAAAATGAGCATCAGCAAACAACAACGTCTGGTACACTATCATTCGAGAGTGATAAATTAAACACCAATGTTAGTTTCAAAGGGGTGACTCGGCCCGAGCTTGTTCAAAGTGAAGCAGGCGATAATATATCCTCAAACGTGGTTAGTAAGTTTGAGCAGTTCCAACAATTCCCTAACGGGAAGAATGCAGCAAGCAATACCAATTTACCTGAAAATTATGATAAAGCAAGCTTCAGAGATTCACCTACAATCCCTACCCATCGAGAAATTTTGCCAACGCCTGGCGAGGCTGAAGAACCAAATGATGAAGCTTTGGAAACTAACGACCAGGCGCTTCTCTCGAGACAAAAAGGCAAAGCTCGCCCTCGGATTTCTCTCCCCCTGCAAATAAATGAAAGCCTTTCAGACAAGAATGCAACTAATGCTACAGAAGTCGTCACGATAGAAGAAAAGTTATCAGCAAGTCTGCCAAGCAGAAGAAAAGCTCCTATTTCAGATACACAACCAAGCCCTGTTCTTGCTAAACATTCCCCACCGAACCTGGAACCCAGCCTGAATATAAGTAAGGTACCCAAAAAGTACTCTGTAAAACCAAAACCACCGATCCCGGCTTCGAAGTCCAAGGCGGAATCCTCTGGACAGACTGTACCAGCGAGGATAACTACTGTTCCCAAAAACAAGGCGGGATCCAATGAAACAAGGGAACCAGTAGAGACAAGCATTTACGATTTTCCTGAGAACGTCGAAGATGACGAAACAACGACGAAAGCCGACCGTCAGTCTAAAAAGGAAACCAAAAAAAGAGTTGGTGGATCACAACCAAAAGGACAACAAAAAGGAAAGGCAAGTGGCAAAGGCAGAGGGAAGAGTGCAAAAACCCACCAGAGACCTGGGCCAATTCCAATGGAAGCCGGCGAACCTATATTCACCAAGAGGGGTAGCCAGAGAGCTGCTGCGAATCAAGCCAAGCTTAGCATGAGCAAAATTAATGATGAAATGGAGGACATCGAAGACGATTTCTCAGACCAAAGAGATAGTGGGCCAGCGCAGCCCAACGTCTCGCGAAAGCGTAAGATGATGGAGCCATCAGCAGAGCCTGCTGTAGCAGAAGCTAATTCCACCCCTTTACTAGAGCCAGCCTTGGAGAGAAATCAGGAAGCATTGGTTCTTCAGCAGCAAGATGCTCAGGCATTAGGTCTGCTTGACAGCAATTTCCAGCAAGAGGATCCATTCGAAATTGGTGATCTATACACTGCCAGTCCACCAGCATCAAATGATCAGCAGAGGTACGGTCAAGAAACACCTGAGCCTTCCCGAAGGACTGCAGCCGTAAACTTCGCCAATCAATTGGATGGTCTCCTGAGCGATGATGCGGGCGGAGATGACAAGACGAGTCTTACTAATACTTCTAGCAAGGGTCTGTTTAAGAAGAGAGTACCCCAAATTGCACTGCCATTAAAGCGCGAAACGCCCGAACAGAGCACATCGGAGAAGAAATCTACAGTCATCGAAAAGGTCGTCCCGGAGGCCATGATTCAGGGAGCCAAAACTTATGATAGCCACCAATGCCAAGATGAAGATTCCCTAGGCCCACAGTTACAGGAAGGAAATTCCACTATGTCAGAGGCTCCAACTAATGAAAAATTGGTACCCTTTTTATCATGCGAGACGGACGTCGATAAGAATCAGAAGGCCGTAAGGACAGATGGCGCCGAAGGGGAAACAGACATGAAGCTACTTGTGGGCACAGCTGAGCAAGAAACAGAGCATGTACTCATCACAAATAATTCCGATCCAGTCCTTGCAATTCCAAGCCATCCTTTGAGCAGATTTCCGAACAGCTCCAAGCAGGAAATCGTCCACAAACCAATGGCATTGAAGGCAATAGCTTCTAGTTTCAACCAGCCCCGTTTAGAAAGCTCTTCTCCAACATTACTAGCTGATTTAACTTTGATCGAGGAGAAGAAGCGAAAAGTTGTAGCAGAGGTTACTGTACCATCCAAGCGTCGTCGACCAGTTGCGACAAAGAATTCAGAATATCCGCCAATATCGACATCTGGTCCTCTCGCACAAACAAAGACATATCCTGATATTTCATCTAGTAAGAGTAAAGCTCTACTAGATGATCGAATCATCCGCAAACCAAACCTGATACATTTCGGCGTCAAAGGTGCACAAAATCAAGGTTCTTCCAGTACATCGAAACCTGTCATTGAACGAGACACTGAGGTATCCGCCACTATATCAGATACGGCGAGGGATAAATCTCAAGGGGCAGTGCAGAATAAACGAAGATATGATGATGAGGAAGACGAAGGAAGTTTGTTTGTATCTCAAAGCCCACCCAGAAAACGTCAGAGTAGTAGTCCACCGGCCGTAATTATGCCGACAATCGCTCCAACATCGATGGAAACAGATAGCGGTCCCCTCGTTCCTGTGACTCTCAAAGCCAGCTCACAAGGATCTCGAGTCGACGCATTTGGTAGTCCACTGGCTCAACATAGTATGCCTTCCATAGGCCAAATTCTCAAAGTCCAGCAAACAGCACCGGCACCAGAATTTGGCCAGCTTACGTCTCGCACAATAGACTTTCATCGGGACGTACCTACGATTACCGTACCATCTCCAGATTCTGAAGTCAAAGACACTCCCGAGATTTTTGGTCCTCAAATCAAAGTGGTGAGCATTGCAAAAGCTCGACCTGCCCCGCCTGGAGAGTCGCCTGTTCGATATGTTCCTCATACAAAAACTCAACATGGTACTTACGAAGGCATCTTAACAATGGAGAATATACAAGAAGAAAAGGTTCTGCCAGATCCCTTTGTTGAGGACGTCCATAAAAAATCGAGTGGGTTTACCGAACGATTACGCGCACGACAAACTAATATAACGAGCAAAGCCGATGGAGGCCTGAATGTTCGTTTCAGCGATCCTGACAAAACTCTTGTGGAGATTGAGGTGCAAAACTCTACTAGAGAGTTGTCTTCACCAAGTGAGTCGACCAGTATTTCATCCTTTCGATCAGAGGATTCCTCAAATACTCCAATGCAAGAATTATCCCCAAACAGTCAGTGGTCATTGGCTATTCAACCACACTATAAAGGATATGCAGATACCGTTCATAAAATTGCCAGTGTAAGTCTCACCGTATGGTACAATGTCAATGTGCTAGATAGCTGACACTTGGGTTAAGGAGATGGTGATTAGATTGGCCAACGAAGAAGATGCTTCGAAGCTGGTCGTTCGTCAATACAACGAGAACGCCTCCGGTATGCTTGAAGGTTTGACTAGCAAGCGAGATGTGGAGAAGGCGAGCATTCACCAACAGATCGAAAATAAGAAGGAAGAATTGATTGGAATGTACTCGGAAGCTAGAAATGTCATGACGCAAACTGAGAAGGATATAAAAGCTGCTCCTGTAGGTGATCTCAACAGGAAATGGCAAGAGAGACAAGAGTTTATCCTCAGAGAAATGAAGTGAGAGAAGTGAGGGATATACATCACAGTGGTAGTCCGGTGAGACATTGCTTCGTTTGCTTGTGTAATCTATATTTAAGAGCGACGAAGAGCGGCGAGTGAATGCTATGTCAGGCTTCGATTGCTTTAGATTCTGATTGCATACCTAATCCAAAGTCTCGACCTGGAAGACGAAAGCTTAGATTGTAGCACGTCATTCATAATGTGTCATAAATGTTTAGACAGCTTGAAAAGATTTGTATTTTCGTATGGGTAGGTAATGGCTATAAGAAAGATGAATGTTTACAATCGTTTGCTGTCTACTCGAGTAGTTGGTAGGCAGTGTCGTACTACTGGTGTCCGGTATTCACTACCTAGTCATCGGCAGTGCATTGATGGTGCCAACATTGGAAAATGATGATGTCGGTAAGGTTACATTCTAAAAACAACTTGACAAGGGATGACAATCGCCCGACAACCCCACTTCAATTGCAGCAGCCCAGATTCCAGAACATTTCCTTCAAGACTTATTACGACAACAAACCCAATTTTCTCTGCGTCGCAAATCTGATCGAGGAATTACCGAGTCAAGCTTTCCTCTTGTTTCATTCCAGCGTTCCCCCCAACCTACTTAGTACATATTTATCAAGCTCCTAAAAGATATCCTCGAAAGAGTTCGATTTCCCCGCGTTCCGAAGTCCAAAAATTCCGCTACATCCTACGATAATCGGCAACCCATACGGCCAACTGCATTTGAAGTAGAAAATAAGAATAGAAACATCCATATTAGAAACAGAGAAAGAAATGCCACAGGGAAGCGGTTTCCACCCATTTGGTGGCAGGGTATCCAAGCATTTCGGCGACACGGTACGTATCAAAGCCTTGTGAAATTTGCTTGTCTATTGGTGACACCAGCGGAAGGCTTTTGTAGGGCTGCGCAAATCGAGGCTGACGAGAGTGATTATTTTAGCTTTCTCCTGAAGATCCATATCTGAGTTGTGAGTTTTTCTCCTCATAATGCTTTTGCATCTCTGCGGGGTTGTTCCGGCATGTTGCTAATTATTCACGATCTAGATTACGATGTAAGATGTAGGTTGACTCGATGGTTTTGAGGAGTTACATGTGAGCTGGCAGACTAAACTTTGGCGACGATAGTGACAAGGGAAGATGTTGATACCCTGAAGAATGACTGGCTCACGGATAATGTATACTGCCCATTTATTCTCCTCCTTCAAAGTACTTATTGACCGTTTCTGCAACAGACGATAGCCTTCTGGCAAGAGTACGTAATTCCTCAACCATTCGCAGACATCTTTCTCCACAAGGTCCAGCACTAAAAAATTTCCTCAATCCCAGATATCTCGAGAACGAATATCTCAAAAAATACCCGTCCTCGAACATCGTCCTCCTCCGACCCTCCATGTCCTTTATGCTAAGAATGCAGCCCGACCCCGTCGCGCTCCGTTCCGCCCTTCCAAATTTCACACGCACAACACACATCTTCCTGCCCATAAACGACAACCGCAACGTCTCGCAGGCAGAAGGCGGATCTCACTGGTCACTCCTCCTCGTCTCGGTTATTGATGGCGTAGCCTTCCACTACGATTCGCTCTCAGCATCGAATTTTGAAGAGGCGCGCATGACGACATATAAGATGGCTCAATTACTAGGTCGACCATTGAGTTTTCTCAATCTGCAGGATTCGCCCCAGCAGCAGAATGGTAGCGATTGTGGGGTCTACGTGTGTATCATTATGCGCCATTTATTGTTAAAGCGATTGTTGGCCGCGAATGCAAAGGAAAAGGTCAGTATGAGTATGGGGGGTAAATTGGTGGATGCAAATGGGGCACGGAAGGAAATGTTGAAGATTATCGAAGGGTATAGAAAAGAGGGAGAGAGAAGGAGATCGTGAGTTTTCTCTATTTTCTTTTCTTTTTTTGCTGCGTAAGTTCTTACTCGAAACGAATTTCTCCTAATATCCAAACTTGCGCAGACACGATGAAAGTCGCAGTTCCTCCCCCTTTCAAAAGAATAATCGAAGTCCTCCAAGAATCGATTCATGAGACTCCACGTGCATGCATGAGCATGACTATAAGAATTCAATAGGCGTTACAGGTTCATGGCGGGACAGCGTTGGGATTTTGGAGCACATGAACGAAACGACACGAGCACAAAGAGAAATGGTTTGCATGTTATTCCCATTCTATAGCTTTACTTTTACTTTACTCTACGACACATTTTGCATTTTGGCAAAAAATGTGCTTTGGGAACTGGTTGGTTGGTTGCGTGCGTGCGAGCATCAAGAACGATGATATGAGATTTGCGTGTGCGTTGTCGTAATGTTGGCATCACATGGAATGCTACAGCTTGTATAAAGGGCTCGCGAGACTTTTTGCTATTGTAATGGGTTATGATTGCTTCTTTCTGCTGTGGAAGAAGAGAGATAGAGCTCATGAGTATTAATGAATTAAATTTGAATATATCGTGCCTTAAAGCTTGGTCAATGGGTAATGTTTTTAGTTTTAGTGTTGGAGAGTGGTTCTTTTCACTATACCCCTTCTTCGACTGGCAATTTCTCAACCCGAAACCTTCTATACTAACGAAGATGTGTTTCCGCATTCCTCCAATAACTTCCTATGTCCCTCCATCGCACCCTTACAAAACGCCTCTAAATCCATATTCTCCACGCCCTCCCACTTTCCATCCGGTCCACCGTCAAAAACCTCCATGCTAAACCAACCTCTAAATCCCGTTCCTAGTACTGCTCTCGCAACTTCTACAATGGGTAGGTAACCGCCATTAAATGGATACGCTCTAAAATCATGCGACCATTTTCCTCGCGCTCTGAGTTCCTCTTTTTCTTTCTCTCGTGGGGTTTCCGGGATGGGGACGGGCGGTTTATAAGCATCTGAGATTTGCAGGAGGTATATTTTTTCCGGGGGAATGGTGGTAGTGAGTGATTGGAGAGATTGAGTAAAGTTCGTGTGTAGTTCTTCCTGGGTTCCTAGATGGGAAATAAGGCCTGTGGGTATGGATGGGTCGCCGTATTCGCCGGCGGCGGTTTGGAATGTGTCGAGACAGAGACCGATGTTGGGACGGTCGACGAGTTGGACTATTTGCCAGACTTCGCGCCAGGTTGGGGCGTGCGTCGCCCAGCACCTATAGGGAGGGGGTGTTAGGATTGTGTTTGTAAAGAATGGTGAAAGGATGGTAAAGAACCTCATGGAAGAGGAGAAGAAGGCGTAAATTACCAATTCTCATAAGCAAGACGATAATTATGTTCCGCAAGCATATCAGCCAATTCCCTCAAATCCGCCGCCAAAACATTGAAATCCGACGATATGTCCGGCGAATCTGAACTTCCCACTTGCAACATATCCGTACCCACAGCTTCCATGATTCGAATCCAACCCCTTGCCCTCTCGAAAGCATCTTTCCTCTCATTCGAACCCTTTGGCCAACCCTCAAAATTCGAAAATGGTTGTAGCATCATTATTTCCAATTTGTTTTTCTCGCATAGCTTTTTGACTTCGGTTCCAGCTGAGCATAACGAATCGTAGTCATTTTCTTTTATTTCGCTTTTGTGAAAAATAGATGCAAAAGAGAGTAGATCGGGAAACCCGAGTTCAATGGCTGTGAAGCCTGCTGAGGATATGGCGGATAGTTTGGAGGAGAGAGGGGTGGAAGATGTGCCAACTGAGACAGTTGCGAATGAAGCTGGTATTTGAGTGAGAGATTCCGGGGAGATTGTCATGGTGAAGATTGGATTGTTTCCAAGGTTGTGAGTTCTATTGACCTTAGGAACATGAAGGACGTAGCACTTGATATGATGTTCTTGTATAGGGGGTGACGTCAGGAGGTTGGTGGGGAAGCTATTTCACGTGATTACCCATCATAGAGAGCTGAGCGAGTTTCCCGGTCTTTCGGGGAGGCACTGTTGTTTCTCTTTGTCAGAAGAGGTTTGAGTGTCTAGTTTTCGTAGTGCTGTTGATGAAAATTGTGTATTTGCAATGTTTGACTAGCATCGGCAGTGTCATCATCTGCATTTGCATAATACGCGATTCTTGACACCGAACCTCTCACCCACTCGAATGATACATATTTCTGTGCCACGCTGCATGAAACGTATCCATGGGTATTCTCCTCATGTGAAAAAGACTTGTACTCCGTAGATTGGTAAAGATAAAAAACAATAAGACGTACCATAACGTGGCAACTGGGTATCTTGAAACAGAAAATAATGTCCTTGTCGCTGTCGTTGTGAAAAATCTTTTAAGCTTTTTTGAATTCTTCTTTTTGCTCCATGGTTTGCGAAATAAAACCTCTCAACGCAGCCCATCTACTCGCAGTTCCTGAGACAGCTGATACTGCTTGACCATCCACGGCAGTGACATCCTTCGGCTTCTCCTCTGCAACTCCAACCAATTGTGCCATATTCTTTCCAAATCTCTCCCTCTCCATGGCCTCCAACTTCTCTCTCTTCTTCGTTGCTCCAGGTCGACTTTTTAAACTCTTTTGCTTTATCTTTCCACTCTCTCCCCTACTGACTTTCTCCAAACCCTCGCCTTCAAAATCAGGTAATGCATCTGCGAGACTCTCTAATGTGGTAACCAATTTTTTGTTTGGGCGTCTGCGCTTGAGCGGTTTAGAATTGGCTTTTTCAATACGGTTGACGAAGGCAGAATGTTTGATTGTTCGTTTGTCTTTCTTGGATTCGATGAATGAATCTGATATAACGGCGCCTTCGCGATGCTTAGGAGGAACGTAAACACCTGAGCCTGCTTGAGAAGCTTTTGCGCGCATAGAATTTCGCTTTTTGGGTGCGGTGGGCGCCTGGGAAAATAGTTAGTTTTGTGACTACGAAAAAGGAGGATCAATCTTTCGTCGTACCATGATTACTACGTCTCTCAATGTGAGTAGATACTTCAATATTTCAGAACGTAATAGGTTAAAAAATTATGGATGATGTAAAAACTTTCGAGGTAAAAAAGTTCACTGGCGCAACTGAAAGCTCAAAGGTCTAGTTTAGCGAATACAAAAGTTGTCCTAGAACTAACTAACCTACTCTATCTCGTATTTTTATGCAACTTTCATAACCTGAAAACATTGAAATTCACAACCACCAAAATAAGATGGACTGCGCAGAAGAAAAAGCAAAGTCTTTACGACGTCAAATAGCTAATACGGAGGCTGAGCTTGCCCAATTAAAATTTCAACTTTTGAGTCTCGAAGAAAACGATGCCAACACAAAAAAACTTGAAGCTAAAAGCACAAACGTCTCTTCAGCATCAGAAAAAGATGGTCCCGTGACTCATATTGAGAATAAATGGCCTATGAGTTTGGAGGAATACAAGCGATATGGAAGACAGATGATTGTGCCTGATATTGGCATTACGGGTTAGTTTTTATCTTTTCAAAATGTACTTTTATACGTTTATCTTATGAATACTTTTCTGAATATGATTTAGGACAATTACGACTTAAATCCGCTTCTGTTCTCCTAGTTGGAGCCGGAGGTTTGGGATGTCCGGCTGCTGCATATATTGCCGGCGCAGGAGTTGGTACTGTTGGGATTGTTGATGGAGATATTGTAGAGGAATCCAATTTACATCGTCAGATATTACATAGCACGGATCGAGTGGGTATTAATAAGGCTGTTAGTATTGCTAAATACATATCTGGGTATGGATACACCTTTGGACATATTTATTAGTGTCCATGTTGACAATTTTCTAGACTCAATCCAAACATAAAGACGGATATTTATCCTGTGCATCTTACGCCTCAAAATGCACAGGATATAGTCAAAAATTATGACATAGTTCTCGACTGTACTGATCATCCGACATCCCGCTATCTCATCTCAGATATCTGTGTTCTCCTCCAAAAGCCCCTCGTTTCCGCTTCCGCACTCCGGACAGATGGACAACTAATTGTCTTAAATAATCCTGCTTTACCTCCCGGTGATCTTTCAGGTGGTCCATGTTACCGCTGCGTTTTTCCCAAGCCGCCTCCACCAGAAGCCGTAACAAGCTGTGGTGATGGAGGAATCATCGGGCCTGTGGTAGGCGTAATGGGAGTTTTACAAGCTTTGGAAGCTATCAAACTTATTGCGTCTGGAAAACTGGAGGCTGTTGAAAAAAATGTCAATACGAGTCCTGCTCCCAAAATCAATCCTACCACCATGTTATTGTTCTCTACAAATGGATCTACACCATTCAGAAATGTTCGATTGAAAGGTAGGAGATCAAATTGTTTCGCTTGTGGAGACGAGACCCAGTTATCTCTGGAGCAAATGAACTCCGGTTCTATGGATTATGTCTTATTCTGTGGTATGACGCATCCTGTCAAGTTACTTGGTGATGAAGAGAGGATTGAAGCGAAAGAATACGATGCAATAAGGGAAATGGAGAAAGAACACTTGTTGATTGATGTCCGGGAGAAGGTACAGTTTGATATCTGCAATATTGAGGGATCATACAATATACCTTTCTCGTCATTTCAAGGGAGCAAAGGTAGTGGCGATCACCCACTATCAACGCTCACCGACAACCTGAATCCGAAAACTCCTATATATGTCGTTTGTAGACTTGGCAATGACTCTCAAGTAGTGACGAAGAAGATGAAGGATTTAGGCTTGGATCAAAAAGGCGATAGATATATTGGTGATATCAAGGGAGGGCTACGATCTTGGAAAGAACAAGTAGATAATTCTTGGCCGGAATACTAATCTGGAATAGTAAAACCAAGATTATGAATTTTGGAAAAGAGATTTTGGTATTGGTATTGTGTGCAAAAGTGCATAATGTGATACACTACAACGAGTGGCTCGATGAACGCCAAAATCGTACAACTGCCTGCTAAATTTATGACCTTGCTTGCCATGGAAAAATGATATCAATTACAACCTGCCATTCCTTCACCATTTTCCTATCCGACCCTAGTTGTATTGAGTTTTACACATATGTTTGTCGTTTCCTGTTGAATGCTCTCTGATCCTTCAACCATTGCCTATATCCAGCCACACTCGAGATTTTCTCACCGTAATAATCTAATAAAGCAATTAGTTCATATCCTAAAAACGTTCGCCTGTCCTTCACATAAACCACGATTCCAACTTACCGGGCACCGGATTCGCCATCGAACTCGCACTGGGATCCACTCTATACTTCTTAACCCTCGCATAAAACTCCTTCTCCTTGACATCCATCTGCTGTCTAAACTTCCTATTTTTAAGATTGAATGCCGCAGTCCCCAAAATTGGTCCTGTTAACCATCCCGCTCCGCCACACGCAAACGTCACTAATCCCAATGTAATAAATGGATCCAAAGGAATTTGTCCCACCAGCGCATCCATATCCGTATGTGTGAGAATCTGCGCTCCGATTGCGAAACCACCGAATCCAGTTCCAATGGAAGAACCGAGCTGGAACCAGCGACGAGTGCGGCGGAGCTTGAAAAATGTATTCCAGTTTAGAACTTCGGTTTGCGCGGCGCTGGATGTTTGTGAGGATTTGGATGGTGAGGTAGATGTGCTAGCTGTGGACGCCGAGCGCGAGGTAGGTTTGAATGTGACATTGCGTTTGTAGGAAGGAACCTGCACTCGACGTCGCGAGCTTGGATTTTGATTATCTGGAGCGCGAAGAGGGGTAGATGATGCGGCCGTTTGATATGTGCATGATATGAATACTGATGGCTGTATGCGGCAGGTAGCTGCTGCTGTTCTTAATGTTGGTGCTGAATACAGCATTTTAATTGAGAGAGAGCTGAAGTTGCGGGCTCTGGGGATTCTTTGATGTGATGACGAAAAATGAGTGCTTGCTTTCTGGAGAGCTTGTTAATCCTAGTATTTGGCATTGATGCTTGGGTTCAAACCGGTTATTGTTTTCCTTAGGGCGGCGGGACTTTATGAGTTTTGGGCTAGCGTTCAGAGCTTGGCACTATAGAAATCCATCTTAATTAAAACATTTTCTAAAGAACAGACAAATATAATTAATAAACAAGATAACAGACCGAGGTCGCTTTATTTAAAACTATAAAAGTAAAGTATCCTTTTGAAAAATTGTAATTTGAAATGATTTAAGTTATTTAATAAATATTTTCTTTTTATAAAATTAAAATAATAATTAATTTGATTAAAAATAATATATATATTAAACTAAAATTTAAAGTTTAATAATCAATATCTGTTAAAATTAATAATTTTAAAAATAATATATGAAATTGATAACAAATAATAAATATTATTATTATTAAAAATAAATATTTATTAAATATATTAAAAATAACTTGTTTATTTTTATTGAAATTATCAATAGATCTAAATTAATTGATGTTTTTTAATTAATTATTTATTTATTTTAAGAATAATTTTATTTTTCTTTTTATATATTTTTTTAATTTTTAATTTTTCTTTCAAGAAGAAATCTTTTAAAAATTGTTTTTATATCTTTTTTAAATATTTTTAAACTATTAATTATTGAAATTTAAAAAAACAATATCATCATGTTGTTTTAATTTTATATTTGAGCTATTGAATCTTACTAAATAACTCAAAGCGGAAGAAAATACATTATTATTTTCGTTAATTCGAGATTTAGATTAATCTCAGCTCTAAAACATTCTCAACTTCAATTTTATTCAACACCATTTCAATTTATTTATCAGAATCAATTTTCCTTCTGGGAAGAGCAGAGTCTCATTCAAAGAATTAACTTTGATCTGTTCTTGAACTTTCCGATGTCTTCAGAAAATAATTCCGACTTCACCGGAGAAGATAGGGATTTTCCAAAATCAAAATTGGCCTTTGACTTTAAAGTATACGAAAGACCTATCTATAGACCAAACAGTGGTCCGCCTCTTCAGCCAATTTCTCTCATTCCTCCTCACGATTTAAAGGGAATTATTCTTGATTGTTTTCCATATCCAAAACCAAAGGACCCTAGCCACTTCTTGGTGGGTTACGAAAAGGAGCCACATAATCAGCTTATTATACATCCAGATAATATTCGCGATTATGTATCAGAATATACTCTGGAGAATTGGGAACATGAACGAAGTACGGCGGAAGAAAATCGTGCCATCGAAGAACTCCAACCGCGCTTGATAGCTGCAGAGAGAGCAAGAGTGTTGCGAGAATTAAAAAAGGCCGGGTTGTCACGTGATGTTCTCAAAGGAGAGTATGCCGAACAGTATCAAGCAATTGGGATACCGAAAAAAAGAGGGAGGCCTCCTAAATCTATGGCGAGTGTATTTAAGCCAATACCTAAGCTGGCACCTCATGTACCAGGTGAGAAGCGCCGACCAGGGCGACCTAGGAAAGTAGTGGAAGTTCATGTCAATTCACCTACTACCTCGCACCATCGCCAACCATCCTTATCCCAACCATCTCTGTCACAACCTTTTTCTACAGCATCAAGAGCAATGTTGGAGCATGCATTTGCCAATTCAGGCAGTGAAGAGGAAGAAGATGACGCGGATCTTGTGTTGGATCAACAACTTAACGAAGAGGCAAACCAGGAATCTACCTCCATTATGAATTCCTCTACTGCAGCTTCGAGTCCTGTCATGAAAGCTTCAGGTCATGGAAAAATGAACAAGACACCCGTTCAGTCACCTCAGAAGAACAAATCTTTTCAAAAGTCACCTCACAATCGTTCCCAACGAGCTCCAATTCTCCCAGGCATGAGTGTCAACGCATATCCGTACAAGGATTCGAACATTGATGCTTACAACGAGAACAATAGCAAGGGGGTCGAAGGGAGTCCAATCATGCACAATCGATCTCCTTCAAGCCTTCAGCACTTACCTATTCTATCGGCAGAAAATTGCAAACAGCCCATTTACCGTACATCTCAGCGTAAAGGTCAGGGAGCTCAATCGAAAATCGTCGATTACTTTGATGATTCCGACACCCAAATCCATACTCCAGAGAAGGTAGAAGCGAACCAATACCACCAGTCCGCATCTAGTCTCAAGCGCAAATCTTCCCCATCTTTGGAACAAGAAAGAGGGTCAAGTGGAAAATCTCGAATTAAAAGTAGAAGACTTCACAAAGATGCCTATGACTACTTGGATGCCGATTACAAAGAGCCTTCGAAGAAAGGGGTCCAAGCAGCCATGAATTACCGTGCCTCAAGCTCCGATCTTAGCCCAAGTGCACGACGTGGAAGCGATAGTTTCAATCTCCGTAGCTCCAGAAGCAGGAGTCAAAGACTCGGATCTTCCCCGGAAGCTGAATTAGATGCAGAAGATGAGCGTCGGAGTGAAGATGAAAGCAAAGAGAGGGACTCGGAAAAAGCTTTTGAAGACGAACCGCCAGTGTGGTCTGTGAAATCTATCTTGGACCACAAGTATGAATGGAATGAAAACCACGATAAGCAGGAACTATGGTATTTTGTTGATTGGGAAGGAGATTGGGATCCATCATGGGAGCCTGCCAAACTCGTCTCAGATGGGGCCATCGATGAATACATCGCTTCACGGCGAGCTAATGGACTTGGTAATCTTTCTATTTCCATCAACGCGATGGATATTAGAGGAAATGATGGTGAGGTATCACAGGGAAATGACCTTGAACATAGTATCGAGAATGATATATACTTGTAGCTATTGATGGTGGAGAGGAATTAGGAGGCTCGAGTTTGAAAGGAAAAGAGGAGAAAAGAAGATGGCGAAGCAGACACTGCACAACGGTCAAAGGCTATGAAATCTAGCATGTGGGTGAATTCTAATGGGGTGATCATGGATCATTGATGGAATCATGATAAGGGCGTTCTCAGCGGCATTCTGTGGTATTATGTAAGAATTATTTGGTACATGGCTATAGTATATTTCGGCATTATTTGGAGTATTTTAACTAGGCGAAGAGCCTACGTATATCCAATAGCATAACATTTAAAATTAGCTGGCTCTCAGCATTCCATTGGTACTCGGTGCATTATTGGATGTACTTCATGCATAAAATGCCAGAAATAGCAAGTGCTACCGGGATATGTGGCAATCGATCGCTAACGTGGTATATACCCCGCGCCTGAACCCCCACGTTTAGTTGTTTTTCTAGAAGTCAAGACATGGATCATTAGGGGATTTATACACACATCGATAGTTACATGTGTCCTAGCCACCTCATCTTTGCCTTGTCGTACGGTACTTCAATATACAATTGCTACACATTTAGATTCAAGCACCTTATTTGGGCAGCACCCTACGATTTTCAATTTAAATCATCTAAACCAACAAACACAGCTTGACTTCCATCTTCTCATGTCAGCCCAAAAATGGCATCAGTGAAAATTGATGTTACATCTCCCGAACCATACACCACTCCCGCTGAAATCTATAGTGGTTCCAATTTCAATGTTGATCCGCCATCTACTCCACCCATAGCCCTCCGTATTGCAACCGGAGGTGCCGGTCAATCAGGACTTCTCCGCTCGCTCGCCAACGCATTTATAACGTTTGAGATGAGGACGACCGGCTGTTCACGATTTAGTGTAGCATGGTTATTATCTGATACATCAGCAAGCTTTAACTATTTGGGAAGTAGAGCTGCGGATTGTAGTATTACTTATCATAAGGTTGCCGAGGAAATGGCCATGAAGCAAGGAATTGCGGAAAGGAGAGAGTATGCGTGGAGGGATCATTGGTTGCTCGTTGGTAGGTCATATCAAAATGATGATATGCGACTTCATTTTTGTATTTCTCTTCCCATCTGATGATTTGCAGGCCCGAAGGATAATCCTGCCGCTCTTCCTCTTGATGGTACGCACAACTCGACAATCTATGAACTCTTCTCTCAATTATTCATGGCTTGCGTTGAGAATCCAAATATTAGATTCTTATCCCGATACGATAAATCAGCCAATAATATTAAAGAATCTGCTATTTGGACAGCGATTGGTCAAACTCCATGGGCACATCCTTATTCAAGTTGGTATCATCGATATGTAGAGTTTCCCTTTGCTGCATTGAAGGCTGCATGTGTTTTAGGCGAGTATACACTCACGGATAAGGGAACATGGTTGAGTATTGATGGAGAGATTAGAGAGAAAATGAGTGTTTTTGTATGTTACTATTTCAATAATCTTCAATATGTGAAATGTGTTGAGCTAAGTGGTGCATAGAAATCAAGTACAGATGCTCTAGATGATCCTTTATTGAATCCAGCGCATATCTTAGTAGGTACCAGAAGGAAGAATATATCCATGGCCCACAAATTCGCGGATTGGATGATAGCAAGAGATGGTGGGCAAAAGGTTGTGGAAGAATTTGGGATAAATGGTGCTATATTGTACAGTGTCGCTCCAGATGCTTAAAAAATACCTGCGTCTCCTCGTCCTGTTAATGCCGCAATATTTATCAGTTTTGAAGGATATTGAACAGTAGCTTTTCCTGTTTTTAGACAAAATTCTGTATACATAGTTTTAGCGTATTTCATATTACCCGAGTGTTTAAGTATACATTTTTTAAAGATGATAATGTCACCGTTAATTTCGTAGCTATTGTCCTTTCAAAGGAAGGGATAATAAAATAAATTAGAAAAAACGATTCAAAGTTTCCCTCATAAAATACTGATGCGATTTAAAGTTCTCATAAATGCACAATATCAAGGGTTGAATCATTAAAAAACGAGATGGCCGCACAAATTTTGGTTTTGAACTATTCAAACCATCAAAGGCTTCCTTCATCGAAGACGAGAAAACAGAAAGAGTGGGAGTTAGGAAATTATTCTTTGTCATTCTGCATAGCGTGAGTCCTCCGTAGAAACTAGACAATGGCGTTTTCACATCAATGGACAGAGATGCGTCCAAAGGTCGGGCTACTATCCACTTGGACAACTGTGCATAATAAGAGGAAATGCACAATTCTAGCCATTTCGAAACATCAAGATTGTCATCAAGTAATCAATGCTTCCAGGGCAAGGAGATTATCTGTTAGCACCTTCATGCTTTTCTACCTGAGTCAAAACACAAACGTGAGGGACTAATTATAGCAATTTACTGTTACTAAGAAGCGAATTTAGACGGTTAACTACGATTTCATACTACATATTAAGTACGTTTAGAACAGGAAAAGCAAAATAGACAAAATAGTAGCGCATAGAACATCAGATCCCCACCCCCTTCCCCAACTACGTGCACTGTCGACTAAATCAGGATCCTACACCTGAGCTCATCAACCTTATTTCCCTCCCACTCAGTCCAGAAAGTAACCTATCTGCCCTTCTCCACAATCGACTTTCCACACCTTGGCTACCAATTAATATCCAGGAGCCTTGTTTATTTCCATATCCCAAATATTGACTCAAACGTCTGGAAGTGATGTTGACGAGCTCTAATTAGCAGGAAAACTGCTTCATTTAACACAGCATTCTAACCGGTTGATCCAAAGAAACTGCTTTATTTTATGCATACAATGTGTGCTTTGCTTAATTGGGCAGCTATTCGGAGCACCAATCCACCGAAATCCCACCTGAAGGAGAGTTCTTATCTATATTCAATGTCTGAATCATCACTACACTACCCATGATGATTTCTGCACTAACTAGATAGATTCTTCAATTTATCCTCGCGAATCGTCAGAATAGGGATGATAAATTCACAATTCCGTCTTTTCCCATGGCGTTTGTTTGCACTTGCAACTGCACCTTCTCACCTTCACATCTTTCTCTATTAATATCATGTGCTCAACCCTATACCAAAGCACCGCAAAATATGAGGTTACAATGAATCTATGAACTTTATACATAGCAAACTTGTAAAATTAAATATATTAATCTCCTCTACAGTACTAAATTACCACGGAGAAAGGACATAGAAGAATATTATTCCTCCTCAATCCTACTTCCGCCCTACCATACCTTCCTTACATTAAACTCGACCTACCACCAACTTCCGTTCCTCCCTGTCCATTCGGCATATCTCCACTCCTTCCTACTACAAACTCCCTATAGATTCCCTGCAATCGTCTTCTCTCATCTGCACTAATACTTGGCCTTGTACCTTCCAAGCTCTTCACTAGATGCTTCCAAAGAATAGTGACTTCTTGTTGACTCTTCACTTCTTTCTGTTCTCCTTTATCCTCACTTGGATCAATGCCTTTTGCTCTTAATCTCTCCCTCTTCTTTGCCTTTTTAATCTCTTCCAACTTGGCGGTGATGGCAGCTTTCTCAGCAAGCTGTTTGGAGCGGTTATTACCAGCCTTTGCTCGTGTCTCGGCTTCCGCCCGATCTTCATCTTCACCGTAGCGAAACTGTACAAAACTCCGAGGTCCACTAGATGCCCCGTCCGTTTTAGCACCGTTGCGTTTCCCACCAACTTCTATTTGTTCGTGATCACCAAGTACGTCGTGGATGGCTTCAAGTTGCGCGTTGGATATCAAAGCCTGGAGATCGGCGCCAGAATAGCCCTCAGTCCTACGAGCGATCTCAAAGAGACCTCCTTCGGGACTGTCTCGGACTTCTTCAGATAATTTCAGTTTCTTACCTAGTGCTTTGAGAATATCAAAACGATCATCCACATTCGGAAGGTCGCATATAAGGGACTTGTCTAAACGACCTGGACGAAGCAACGCCGGGTCAATTAAATCTGGTCTTGAAGTAGCTGCAAGAACATACACTCCAGATAAACCTTCAGCACCATCCATTTGTGTTAACAACTGATTGACAACTCGATCGGTAACACCAGTGGAGTCGTGACCACGCTTGGGAGCTATGGAATCGAACTCATCAAAGAATAGTACACAAGGTCTAGCTGCTTCGGCTCGCTCGAAGAGATCACGAACGGACTTTTCAGAGGCACCAATGTATTTGTTGAGAATTTCAGGTCCTTTGACACTGATGAAGTTCAGACCGCACTCTCCTGCAACTGCACTTGCAAGGAGAGTCTTACCACAACCTGGGAATCCATACAAGAGGAGTCCCGATCGTAATCGTAGTGGACATTGTGCGAAAATTGGCGCATAAGTAGTAGGGTATTGTAATGTCTCAAGTAAAATCTTTCGGGTCTCTTGCAATCCTCCAATCGAGTCAAAGGTTGTAGTGGACGTTTGTAAGGTAACATTTCGAAGGGACGCTGGTGTAAATCCTTTTAGAGCACTATCAAAGTCTTCTCTACTAAGTCGAATAGAACCACTATCAGCGTTTTTCAGCGAGCTCGAGACTGTTCGAATCATTGCTTCACTTCTGGCTCGTGCGACCAGGAGGACGAGGTCTCCAGGCATGTAGCCATCGGTTTCGCCAGATAGATCTAAGAAATCGAGATCTTGATCAATGATATAACCATCGCCTTCCAATTTGCTTGAACCTTCCATATTTGGGCCTTCCATCCAATCACTCTCACTATCTCTTTGACTATTGTTTGCTGTGCTTGGGCGGCTGCTAGATACCACCGGTTTCTTGATAATCTCCGTGATCGCATTTTGCATCGCAACCTTTTCCATAACTCTCCTCCGCCCTTCTTTGTTTGGAGCTTTTAATGCGACAATTTCCCGCACAACATGACAACCGATAATAACATTGTGGACTGACTCTTTTGCTTGGGCGGTTGCAAGTAGAACAACACCACTATCCCACTTCAAGTATTCTCTGGCAATTGAAACCAGCCCCTCACTAATTAGCCTACTTCGAGCATTGTCATTGCCTACTTCAAGCTCTGTCTCCGCGGGACACAACTTGTCAAGATCATCCAATATCACAATGGACTTTCCACCAATCCTTGCACCCCATGAGGCTCCCATAAAAAGTCGATTAAAAGTTTCACGTATGGTTGAGACCCGTGCCTCATCCGTAACGAGTTTCCGACATGAAAAATACGTTGTATGAAACATGCGATCTTGCCGTAACCGATGTGCTAGGAGACGACCCACTGACGTCTTGCCGGCTCCCAATGCACCAGTGAGTAGTACCGAAGACATGTGTGAAAGATGCGATTGTAGTTGTTCTATGAGATTATCGATGCCTACAAGAGCAGGAGCTTCTGCATCAATACCGTCAATTGCATTTGTTGCAAGGGCTAAAGGTCTTGGGATAGCTGCTTGAACCTCAAAATTGAATTTTCGTTCAGAACCAAGGAACCAATTGCAAGGTTGCTTTCCAGACTCCGGTTGTGCTTGTTCTAGACGAAGCATTCCACCTTCCCAGCTTGACGGGCACTCAGAACCTAATGGCTTGCCGAGGACCAAGCCGTCAGTCAATGGCCCCTCAAGGATGCCATCATTAGAGCCATTTTTACTGTACATTTTCATGATCGCTTTTGCAGCTTCTTCACGTTCGGCTTTCGATTCACCGCCAAATTTAAGACCTTCGCTCGCCTTTCCCGTAGTAGATGTATAAGGAAATATCTTGATGTATGGGATACCGGATTTAGACGATGGTTGAGAAGTTGGTTTCGAAGCTTGGGGTGGAGCGGGTTCAAGTCTTACCACGCCCCCGACCATGTTTTCACACGCCATTGCGGCACAAAGTGAACTAGATAGAGCCACATGGTTACCATCTGGTGGATCATCCCATGCCATCAACCTAGCTACCACCTTCGATGCAGGTTTTCCAGCTACACCGGTATTTTCGTTTTCTTGTTGTTGTCGTTGTGGGTCAACCGCTTCTTGTAGAGTGGCAGGCTTGATAACAGTGACGCAGACCCAAGTAATCCCCTTCAAGGACTTGGAAAGAAGTACATCTCCATCAACCCAAATTTTCAATCCGCCATCGTCCAAATCTTTCTCTTCCTCGAACCACGCCCCGCAAAGTGCTCTATCGATTCCTCTGTAAAACAAGGCCGGCCTCGGTTCTTCACTCCGTCCACTCTTTCGACGTACTGTACTAGAAGCGCTCCGACCTCCAACACTCTTCCGTGAAGACACACTCCTATTTTCGCCGGAAGATCGTGATGGCCTGGACCTTGTTTTTGGAGCCACAATAACCTCAGCGTCGGGTGCTAATTTCGCGAAGGCAAAGTTTGAAGGCGGAGAGGGGAGGAGGGACGTTACTATAATATTCGCTGTGGAAGTTGGCGAAAGGTGCAAAGTCAGAGGATGGGAAGAGGGCTGGGGTCCATTGGGCGCGGTGAAGCTTGGATTGGGTAATGCGCGGATTTGATTTATGAAATTGAGCTCGAGGAAGGTAGCATGCAATTCTATAATTTCCCAATCTTCTGGCGTCAAAGGCTCAATATTAATTGTATGGGCGACAGGGGGATCAACATGTATGCTGGCTGTAACTTTTTGTCCATCTGATATTCCCAATGTTCGCGCAAAGGTTGCATCTATCTCCACAACCTGAACTTCTTGCTCTCTGCCAGATCCTCTAGCGCCACTTATACCGTCTCTTCCTACGATCGGTGCAAGCTTGCGCTTGCTTTGCATACCTGTCCATCCTACGAAGATGGATCGTTGAATAGGAGCGCCATTCGTTTGATTTGGGCCTTGCGGCGGTGGAAGTCGGTAGTTTAATTCTACAATCACATTCTGTGCAAGCTAGCAAATGTAAGCAATTGTTATTTATCGAGTAAATATTGGGTGGTAACGTACAGCATTGATGTTAACCAGTAATGAAGATAATGATGAAGGCAAGTTAACCAAGCAATTCTTTAGATGAATCAACGATATTTCTGCCGGTGTAGCTTGACTACCACGTCCTTTTGGATTTGAAGCCATAATTAAAGATATAATATAGGTAAATCCCTAAACTAAATGCGCGACCAAAATACAGGAGGCAGGAAGTTTCTTAATAGTTGGAATCCGGCAAGCAATTCAACTGACCGTCACAAGTTCACCTCGGTATCTGGAATTGGACTGGATTACATGGGCTGAGCTATGAGCCACAGTTCAGGAGCCACAAGGAGCTACAAGAAGCCACAGACAAAGCCACAGACACGAAAATTCGCGAGCCGTTAACAATGGGGATTGAACTTTATTACCAGCGCGTTAAGTTCAATTTAGAGATTTGATTTGAGGTCCAAGTTCCGAGTTCCTCAATTCAACCTCATAAATCTTTGCGCCACAGACCCCTCCATAATAATTCCTCCATTTCTGGCTCTCCATCCTGTCTCTCTTTCCCGATTAAAGTTTCTTTCGACTGAAGAAACTGTTTGCGCAAACTTTTCCACAGTCTTTACAAATTCTTTAGTATTATCAAGAGGTTCTGTGCAAAATGGCGCTTCTTCAATACAAGGCTCCCGTCAACTATGAAGCTCATCAAGGTGGGAAGATACTGAATATTAGGGATCTCCATGTTACTGATCTAATTTCTAGAGGCTTTTGAGGACTTTTTATCCACTTTCAAAACTTCTCCGACTGCGAACATTACCCATGCTTTGGGCGGCATGAATATTGATGAGGATGATTTCAGTGACGAATACGATATGATGGATGATGAAGACGACCAGAACTTAAGGAGACAGAATAGAGCTCAAGCAAAGGTCCCCAAACTCAAGTACCTAGACCTGCTGCAAAAGGTCGCAGATAGATACGAGGATGAAATCACAATTGAGCTTGACGATTTAGCCAAAGTACATGGACCGTTTCTCCACTTCCGTAATATACTAACAATTGTAGTATGATGATTTATTGGATGAAGCTGGGACTCCTCTGAACCTAGTCAACTCGATCGAAACTAATGCGAAGCATTATTTGGATATCTTGTCTAGGGCGGTTGATGCAGTGATGCCACAACCCACAAGAGAAATCAAGTGAGTTGAGATGTAATCCTACAGTGGTTTATCTGCTAATTGAGTTTCAGTTACAAGGATGATGTACTTGATGTTCTCATGTCACAGCGAACAGCTCGAAACAATGCCTTACGCCGTGCTGCTGCCGAGCAAAGCGATATAACTGTTGAGCCCGAACTTTTTCCCGCCGAACTCACAAGAAGATATACCCTGAATTTCAAGCCATTGATCGCTTCTGGGGATAATTCAAAAAAAGCTCTGGCGGTGCGACAAGTCCGTGGGGAACATCTTGGTCATCTTATTACAGTTAGAGGTATTACTACAAGAGTTTCGGATGTCAAACCAACTGTGGAAGTCAACGCATATACTTGTGATAGATGCGGTTGTGAGATATTTCAGCCCGTAGGGTCCAAGACCTTTGGACCATTAGTCGAATGCCCTTCTCCTGACTGTACGACCAACCAAACTAAAGGACAACTCCATCACTCCACTCGAGCCTCAAAATTCCAGCCATTTCAAGAGATTAAAATTCAAGAAATGGCCGAACAAGTTCCAGTTGGTCATATTCCTCGAATGCTAACTGTTCTTTGCCATGGAGCTTTAGTACGACGTATAAATCCTGGAGATGTTGTTGATATTGCAGGAATTTTCTTACCTACTCCATATACTGGTTTCAAAGCCATCAGAGCTGGCCTTCTCACCGATACGTATCTTGAGGCACAACACGTCACTCAACACAAAAAGGCTTACGAGGATTTAACGATTGATAGCCGAGTATTCAAGCGAATTGAGCAATACAGAGCCTCTGGTCACGTTTACGAATACCTTGCAAAGTCTATCGCGCCTGAAATTTATGGACACTTGGATGTGAAGAAGGCATTACTTCTGTTATTGGTCGGCGGTGTTACTAAAACTATGGGTGATGGAATGCGGATTAGAGGTGATATAAATATCTGTTTGATGGGTGACCCCGGAGTGGCCAAATCTCAACTACTCAAGTACATCACTAAAGTGGCACCTAGAGGAGTTTACACCACCGGTCGAGGAAGCAGTGGTGTTGGTCTTACTGCTGCTGTCATGAAGGATCCAGTAACTGATGAAATGATTTTGGAAGGTGGTGCATTGGTACTTGCTGATAATGGTATCTGCTGTATTGATGAATTTGACAAGATGGACGACACCGATCGAACAGCAATCCACGAAGTTATGGAACAACAAACAATTTCTATTTCCAAGGCTGGAATTTCCACGACCCTAAATGCTAGAACTTCCATTTTGGCAGCAGCTAATCCTTTATATGGCCGATACAATCCCAGGATATCTCCGGTCGAGAACATCAACCTTCCAGCAGCTTTACTTTCTCGTTTTGATGTACTATTCCTCATACTTGATACTCCTACCAGAGATAATGATGCCCTCCTTGCTCGCCACGTCACTTACGTTCACATGAACAACAAGCATCCTGATACTGATGGTGTTGTTTTCTCACCACAAGAAGTTCGTCAATACGTTGCTCAAGCTAGATCCTATCGTCCAACCGTCCCAACGAACGTCTCTGAGTATATGGTAAAAGCTTATGTCAGAATGCGCGACCAACAATCTCGTGACGAGAAAAACAAGAAACAATTTGCTCACACATCTCCTCGTACCCTTCTTGGTGTCCTACGTCTATCACAAGCTCTTGCTCGATTACGTTTCAGTGAAGAGGTCGTTCAGGATGATGTTGATGAAGCACTTAGACTTGTCGAGGCATCGAAGGAGAGTTTGTATGCTGATCAAGATGGATACAGAAAGGATTCAAGTCCAAGCAGTAGAATTTACAACATGGTTAGAGCTTTGGCTGAAGCTGGTCAATGCCGACCGGAAGAGGCGGATGATGAAGATGACGAAGAGACGTTGGGAATGGAGTTGAGTATGAAGAAGGTGAAGGAGAGAGTTATTGCCAAGGGATTCACAGAGGATCAATGGAGAAATGCAGTATTGGAATACACAGATCTTGATGTAAGTTCTGGCTTCCATGTATTGTTTTTCACCGAACTTTTACTGACTATTATTAGATTTGGCAAACTGCTGGTAATGGAACGAGATTATTATTCGTCATGTCAGAGGCAGCACACATGGCGAGAGATGAAGAATATGAAATGGAGTAATTTTTATCAAATGGGATGAGACAAGATTTAAATATGTTCATGTAGTCGAGGCGTTTATTGGATTAGGGATATTGATATGGCGTTTATTTCTTGAGCTGTATGAGATACCGATATAAGAGAGCATTAGTTGAATACCTAGGTCCTTATTATAAATCCACCAAATGTCTCCAAAGGTCTAGAAAGCAACCCGATCACTTTTTCATCGAATTTTAAAATTTTGAAATCACGGTTGATCAATCCGATAATTAGGACTATTACATCAAATAAATTGATTAGTTAGTTGCAGATATTTTCAATAATTATCAAATATCTTTCATTGTTAGACTGCAATCCCGAGTATTATTACATATCCATCTAATCTTCCATCTTCCCGCTTATTGACTCTCGTCTGGTATTTGGCTTTAGTGATGAATTAATCCAATAAACATTCTAAGATTTTACAGTGCGGAAGCAGGCAGAGGGGATTGTTCTTCTTGCTTACTGTATAAAAGCCACAAGCACAATAATATTAATGGACAATCAACGAATATCCCTATGGAATCTATGGTTATGGCTATAGGTAGCGAGTATGTCTAGTATACCCGGGAAAAAATCAAGCCAAAGAAAACTCGGAGTAGAATGAGATTTTAGCTTCTATCCTAGTACAGCTAGGAAATCTGAAATAGATCCCATTCTTGATCACTTACCCATCATGGTGATGGAGAGATGGTAATATTTTGACTACGGAATTCTTTTGGATATAGTATTTGAGGAAGCTTTGATGTAGCCTTATTCAACTTCCTTTATGCTCTATTTAATTGAATATAAGTAGTATTTGGAGAAGTTTTGATATACTTTTATAGCCTCATCTAGATTCCTTTGTGGTAATAAGATAGATAGGGATATTTTGACTACAGAATGTTTTCTCCAGCTGGACATAGGTAGTATTTGGAGAAGTTTTGATGTACTTTTATAACCTCATCTTTCATATCATCAAAGTCCCTCGTCAACTATTCTAGTTGAAGAACACAACCACAAAAGCAACTTGTTATAAGTCAAGTACCTTTAGGAGGTCACAGATACCCGGCGGTGCCATTCAATGATATTCGTGTAGGTGACCTTAGTATATCAACAGGAAGGGCAAATTGTAACCCAAGGGAAAGTCAAACTTATTCGAAATATACAATGGATCCGGAGTTGATAAAAGATCAACCAAACAAGTTACTGCGGACGCGACTTCGCAATGAAACGGTGAATATGTATTGTATTGTGTTGTGTTGACAAGCCATGAGGTCTATTTGCTCTAGGCATATGCATCCTGGTTGATCAAATGCAAATTAAAGAACAACATCAGCGTAATGAGCCACTCCCAGATTATAAATACCCGGGTAATACTTCTGTGGGAACTACTGGCCATGGGTACATTGAGCATCACAGGTGACCAGATCTAGCGATTATGCAACAAGGTCTAAATGGTACACCTATACGGGCTGTAGCGTCATAAACATATAATCGACGACATACTGACACGATCTACATCAGAAGATGAAGATGAAGCAAATATGGACTCGGCTCGGTCTCTGCTAATCACTGTGGAGCTCAAAAATATCTAAAGGATAATTAGAGTTGCGACATGAAGATCGACGATATGCTTAGACTTGATGATATAGTAGAAACTCATCTGGACATATTTGGGTATAGAAGTGCTTCGCATCCATGACACTTGTGCAATACAGCTCGATGAGAGAACCAATGTTTAAAAAGCTTGCCTGCGAGGTTTAAAGGTGTTGGCTATCCTTGATCTCAATACCCTTTCGATAACTTATATTTGCCATGGCATATAAGGATCTAAAATAAGATTACTTGAGCCTCTGGTCGAGATATGGATACAACGCTGAGCCTTGGAGTGAGTGCATGAAGGAATCATCAGAATGTTCAAAAATAAAAAATAAAAAAGAATGATGAAAGTAAATGGCATATGCTTATGAGGAAGTGTTCCCGGAGTAAGGACTTATTATTCACAGTTGGGCTTTCTCAGGTGTAGCTGTATATAATGCTTTTGATTGAACATTGGCGGTTGGCCCTTTTACTACAACCCCCTTATTCGAGGCTGGGCTTGCTGGAGGACTCGTATCATAGCATTCTTGGCTCTTGATCCTAAAATCCTTTAGAAGGGAAGTAGGAGAAAGAAAGGGAAAGAGAGAAGGGAGTGATGTCGGAAGCGAGCCGAATGACCACTTGTGGAGCGAAAATACAAAACTTTTACGAATAGAAACGGTTCACTATACGACTACAACCACCAAACAAAGCTGAAAGGACGCTTTACTATCCAAGGCCAAGTTTGCCCTATTTGCACCAATCGGTCCCTTTCTAGCTTGCACGGTCAACATCCCATCATCTATATAACAAACCGATTTCTCCCTCTTCTTCTCTTCTTTTCCTTTTTTTCTCATACTTACCTTCTAGAAGCATTTTCGGATCAAGAATCGAGAATGCTATGATACGAGTCCTCCATTGCACACCGGGGAGACAAGAATCATTGGGTACCCTCTGGGGTCCCCATCTGGGGAATTTTTGATTGCTTGCTTCGGTATATCTTTTTTTTTTTCATTATGATTGCGGTCTTGTACTGTATCATGAAGAAGAATCATACTCATTCTTCTTGACTTGAAACTGCGTTGGAAAATGTGAAGAAATGGTGATCTTCGATGATTTTAGGTTGACGGCGATATGAGATAGATATCAAGAAACAACAAGGCAGCGGCAGGGCTGAACTTTGAACACATCGTTATTGGAAAGACATGCGAGACTCGGGGAGATAGTTCTGCGAATCGCAGAACATTCATCTGTCTCTGTATGGCATATTGTGTTGATTTTCTATCTCGGAGTATGAACAGCGAAGCAGTAAGTAGACCTAGTTATTGGATCTCTTTTCAAATAATTACCGGAAGATCTTCTTCATATTTTTATATTTAGATGCATAATCGATCTAGATATCCCAGACAATTCTAAAACATTCGTTTTGCGTTATCCACAGAACCGTTTACATGTCTGGGCTGATGGTGTTTTGGGGTCGCAGAACCATGCCATGCCATGCCACATCAACGCAACAGAAGGGAAGGTGTTTAACATCAACTTTTTCTATAGAATAAACCAAACAATATTATATCCATCCCGAGGTCCTCAAGGTAAAGTAATCAAAATCTAAACCTTTATCAAAATCTTCTTTTCTCCACACAAAAGCGAAACCTTGTCGCAGATCCGTCAATTTAATCTCTTCTACGCCGAGGTCCTCCGTAAACATTCACATGTTGATTAAGGAGCTTCGTGAGCCTCAAAGAATCCCTACAACCCTCCACCGAACAACACCACTCATGCGACGACCATAATCAAAACCATGGATCCAGCACCCAGTGGTGCTCATGAAGCTCCCAAACAGCCTCGCAATCGAATTTCAGCCAAATCAACTGCTGATCCTATCCTCCGAAACGCCCTTCGGTATACCATTTCCGCGAAAGAATACGAAACACTACATAAATATATAATATCACGATCGAAAGTTCTAAAGAGAAATGCACCCACAGTTACAAAGGTAGAGAAATTGGTTGAAAGACCCGGTCGCGATGATTATAATGCTGCGGCTGTGAGGGGTAGTTTGAGGTTATTCCTTGCTACGAATGCGGGATTGAAGATATGGAGTTTATTTACAGAAAAGTTTATGGGAGCTGGGAAAGCTGGGTATGTTTTTTCTATTCGTATCCTTGAAGAAAGAAGATGAGTTGAGTCAAAGCTAAACGATACTATAGAGGAAAGAAGGTCTCATTATGGAAGTCACCAAACTTCCGCCTCTCGCTTTCCCTTTCCAGTATCCTCCTTTTCCATAGAATCCTCTTCCGATTCTTCACTCGACTTCGCGCACATCTTCTTACACCCGATGCTCAACCTTTCAGACAACGAAATCCGAAAACAAGTAAAACTCTCACATCGAGTTTGGCACCAGCAGTTGGAGCAAGTTTGGCTGGGTTTATGTTGGCAGTTTATCCAAGTGATCAGTTGAGACTTACAATTGCGATATATGCTTTGAGTAGAGCGGCAGAAATATCATATAATTTGGCTGAAGATGAGGGGTGGATTTGGGGAAAGGAGGGAAGTAGATGGGAGAGACCTTGGTGGTGGGGAAGTTGGTTACTTTTCCCATTGACTTGTGGACAATTGCTTCATGCTTTTGTTTTTGATAGAGATTGCTTTCCACAGGTATGGATTTCAGTCAATTTTGCAGGGAATGATGCTAATTATGTGAAGCAATATGGAGATTTCATTCTCAAAAACTCTCCTCAGTACATTCAATCACGACCGGAAGATCGTCCTGCCAATTTACCATGGCCAAGTACTTACGACATCGTTGATAATCTTGCCGAAATGGCACGTCTTAACTACCCGTACGTTATTACCCATTTACAATTTCACACGCGGCTAGCTAACTTCTATCCTAGACCATTCGTATCTCCCATCCTCTTCCCCAACAGTCCTACTCTTCCCCAATCCCTCAGTGCCATTTCCCCCATAACCTCTCCAGCCCATCCATTAATAACATCACTCACATGCGCCACTCTCCACCCTTCCGACCCTTCCTGTCTCCGTACATACCTCACCTACTGGATTCAAGTCTTCCCCCGTCTTGCCCGGGTCTTCACCATAATCCTCTCCCTCTTCTCTCTCCCCTCCTACCGTAAATTCTACAATTCCCCCATTTCCTCCCTCAACGCCCTCGCTATCCGTATCCTTAAATCTACCCTCTATATCTCCGGCGCCATCGGTACCAGCTGGGCTAGTATCTGTGCTTTCCAATCAGTTCTCCCAAGAGAAGTTCTACCTACTCAAAGATTCTTTCTAGGTGGTGCATTAGGTGGTCTTTGGGGATTCGTTGTTAGAAAAGATGCGAGAAGCGAATTCCTATACAGTGCAAGAGCATCCATGGATTCACTCTGGAAAGTTGGCAAAAAGAGGGGTTGGTGGAAGGGAATTAAGGGTGGTGACGTGGGAATTTTCGTCATTAGTTTGATGGCTATTGAGATGGCTTATGAGAGAGATGGAAGATCATTGAGGAGTGGGGCGTTGAGGAAGTTGGTCAGTGGAATGAGAGGAGAAGGATGGAGAGATTATGTAGGTGAGGAGGAGAAGAGGCTCATAGAGGAGAAGAAGTTGTAGAGTTTTAGCGGGAGACGGGGAGGATGTTATATATCAAGGCCAGTTGCCTAAAGAGCTATTTTCTATGACTAGGTAGTCAATCTTACACATTTTTAACATTTAGATTTTTGCTTGAATGTGACTTGGCTGCTTTTGTAGCATTTCGCAGATTATTTTTATTAGCATTCAATGTTCATTACTAGGTATATAAATAAAATCAAATAAACTTAGATCAGTAACCTTCAGTAACCTAGTTCGTATACAACAACAAAAAGAAGAAGAAGAATGAGAAGAATATAAAAAATAGAAAATAGACAATAGGATTAAATAGAACTAGAACTAGAACTAGAACTTTTATAAATATTAATAGAGACCTCGAGATCGATTATGATTTGAGGATGTATTTATTTATATTTATTTATATTCTGCAATATTCATGATTTAGAACTTCTAATTCCTAGACTCACCTCCCTTATCCAGTTTCCACTCAACTACTTCTTTTAAATATATATATAAAAAGAGAAAAATAAAATCTTACCCACCTACGGATAAATTAAACAGTTCCAGACGACGCAGTCGCAGACTCCCTTGAAAGGGTTTTTCTCACTTTCTTTCCTTTTATATATTGGTATACGTATACGTTGTAAATCGTAAGTTGTCAAGAAATGTCAGCTTGGTTGGGTGGTTAATAACTCCTTCCTGCTTTCCCTGTCTGCTTCATATTCGTCAACCTCAACCTCAATATCCTCCCATCCCATATTCTATTCCCCTTCACCACTAATAATAAACCTCTCTCAGACAAGGACAAAACACCAGCACGTCTACCCCAGCCAGTTCATTTCACAAACTCCCCATTTAAACTTTATATCCTATCTACTCAATTCCCTTTTATCCCCCCCTTTCTATTCGCTTCCGTAACCTCATTATTTTCCAATTTCCAATTTCCAATTCCCAATTCCTAATTGCTAATTCCTAATTCGTGTCTTCCAAACCCTATAACTTTGAGGTTAATCCTTCAAATTCGAAAAGCTTTTCTTTTATTCTTTAATCTAATCTTTATATATATTAAATACATAATACATCATACACCTTCCCTTCCCTTCCCTTCCCTTTCATTCTCGTCTTCAATAACTATTTTTTATTTTCTAATTCCTACGATCCTGGGATCAATCAAATTTAAGTGTTACATTTTCTTTCATGAACGTGGTTTGTGGTTGAAGACAGGAGTATAATGATATCCACATCCATATCCATATCCACCACACATAGAATTGAATAATTAACAATTAATCATTAACCATTAACCATCAAAAATCAAAAAATAACATTACATCCCAGGTCTTACATCTACAAGTAAAATCCCCAGCTAATTAGCTATCCAACGTACCTGCTAAATAGTCTATCTATAAGTACCTACTGGATGTTTCGAAATTAGTATGCTGATGTTGTTGTTCAGAGATGATATAGAAATGAGAGCACTGTATGCATGCAGGTGGGTGGGTGGATACTTATACATACTCCGTACATATTCAATTTCCCAGACCGAGGCCATTTTGCGCTTGCTACCAGTACTTTCTATTCGTTGCAACTTGCATGATCTGCACCGATGCAGGTTCTCCTCGATTTCTTCATCGTCGTCGCCATCAAGAGCTTACATTCATTTCGCTCAATCTGATTCTTTCGCAATAATTCAAATCCTCATTAGTTTCTCTCTTGAGAATTCTAAAGTTTGACTAATTTCAATTACCCATAAGCAAATATATGTACACCACAAAAGTCCACAGGGGAGGAATCAATCAAATAAACTATGCTAGGGTGCTCCAACCATATCATGAAATTCTCCTTCATTTCTATTCTCATAAACACCCTGTTTACCTTTCATAGGTGTACCCACCACTTGATCCCCCTCAACTGTAACCTCTTTATCCCGAAATTGTCGCATAAGTTGAAGAAACTGACTGTTCTGAAACTTGTCGCTTTGGTTATCACTAACATTTGATAGGAGCTCGCCAGCTGTGCGTGATAGGGCGTCTGTTGCATGTGTGTTCTCTTCTAATGTTGCGGCTGCGGGATCCTGAATAGTGTCTGCGCCAAGGGGAGCTTGATTGAGAAGATCGCTTTCCGCTCTGTCGAGGTCAAACTCTGCTTTTTGATCGGCATTTGCTTGTTCCGAAACTATCGCGGTCTCTTGCTGAGCTCTAGTTATTTCCAATTCTTGCTCCTGCTCTCGCGCTCTCTCTTTCTCTGCACTAGCTGCTTCATCAAAAGCTCTGGCAAATGCTGCATCATCAAAAGCTTCATTGTTTTCCACCGATGATTGTCTTGTGGATATAAGTTGATTTTGTTGCATAAGAACTCTCGGCATTGGATTATATCCATGATTCATCATAGAAGGACCATTCATTGACATAACAGGTTGTTTTCCTTGCGCGATTGATCCCGAACCTCCATAACTTTGCGCAAACTCCTGATGCCATCCACCGCCCATTTGCGATTGATTCGTTTGATGTAATCCTTGTTGTTGAAATTGCGCCTGAGGACCGGATATGCTCATATTTTGAAAATCGGTAGCCCATCCTTGACCTGCGGCGAATTGTGGTGGTGGATTTTGAAAGGATTGAGGAGACGATGTTTGAAAATGTCGAGGAGAAAAGTTTTGGATCGATGGGGAGGGACTAAATGATTGGTGACCAGCTTGAAAAGCTGCGAATTCAGCATCTAGTTGACCTGCATTTGGACCTGAAGAAGTCCGGAACCCCTGTTGTGTTGTTAGTAAGAGTTATAGGTGGTATTATTATGCGATTAGAAGTATGGGAATATTATATGACATACTTGCGAAGGCGATGCTCGCCCAACTAATCGATCTTGTTGTAAGGTGCGGTCAACATTCGAATGCTTTTGGAAATTCTGCAAAGCATTGGATGGGCCACAAAGGTTGTCGGCCATTGTTTGAGGTTATTCAAAAGATTGTTGGTTTGATGATTTAATTGTAATCAAAGATTACAAAATCCAATATGACGATTCGGGAATGTGAGGGTAATTTTCGAACCGAGGCCCATGAAATGAATCTGTAAAAGTACAAAAGGGATGAGAAGAATAAATCTATTAGAGAATTAATTATCAAATGACTATGGGGTATATAGAGGATGTAGAGTATATAGACAAGAGTCTATCTCATTAATCAATGAGCCAAAAAGAAATAATGAGATGAGAAAGGAAAGGAGAGAAAGTATGAGAGAAGAGAAGATTCAAAGATGTCATAGGTAAAGGCTCGGGACTTGTATATGAACATGGGATTTTGCCTCTCGTTGTCACTCTAAATGGTAAGCGGTAAGGATAACGATTACCTTATCACAGACTCACATGCTTTCATTAAATCGGTAAAACGTTTCACCGGTGCATACCAAAGCGGTAAGGACCGCTTAGATACGATCTGGCAGCTTCAATCAGTTGGGAGCTTCAAGACCTGGGAGGTGTTTTAAAATACATAGTAGTATACAACCATTTAATTCTTTTCCAAATTTGAGTCAATATGGCGCAAGTAATAACCAACGCAGGCCATGATGATATGATTGTGAGTATTATAAGTCATCTCTTCTATATATCGCAGGAACCTTCATGCATATACATGAAGCGCTCACACTAATGTCAGTAAACTAATTGGTTGTTATATAGCATGATGCAGCTTTAGATTATTATGGTCGCAGACTCGCAACATGTTCATCGGATCGCACCGTTAAGATCTTTGAAATCGAAGGAGAAACACATCGCCTTACAGAAACACTAAAAGGGTATGTTGTTCTTGTGAATTCCTTCAAACATTTCCAATACGCGGGGCCTACAACCTTGCGCTCAACGCATTACACATATCCCTTCACCTCACATTTCACTGATCTTCATTATGATCTATCTCCCGAACATTCTAGCTAACATATCAATTCCATAGTCATGAAGGAGCCATCTGGTCCATCTCCTGGGCCCATCCAAAATATGGCAATATCCTCGCCTCCGCGGGCTACGACGGAAAAGTCCTCATCTACCGCGAAACCTCCTCAGTTTGGACAAAAATTTACGATTTCGCCCTCCACACCGCTTCCGTTAATTCCCTCTCCTGGTGTCCCCACGAATCTGGATGTCTTCTCGCATGCGCTTCCTCGGATGGAAACGTATCGGTCTTAGAATTCAAAGATAATTCTATGGATCACAAGATTTTTCATGCACATGGTATTGGCGTGAATAGTGTTTCTTGGGCGCCATCTTCGCAGCCAGGTAGTTTGGTGAGCGCCAATGCGGGTGGAAAGGAGGGGGGCGTTAGGAGATTTGTTACCGGAGGGAGTGATAATCTTTTGAGGATATGGGGATGGGATCAGGCTAGTTTGAGTTATAAGGTTGAGGGTGCTCCATTACAAGGGCACGGAGACTGGGTTAGAGATGTTGCGTGGAGTCCTACTGTTTTGCAAAAGAGTATGTTTCGCCCTCTGCCACTTTTTTTGCCCATTAATCTCTCCCTTCTATGAAAATTTATCTCACACAACTAACACCCAAAAGGTTACATAGCATCTGCCTCCCAAGATAAAACTGTCCGAATCTGGACTTCTTCCGCAGCCAATCCAGGCCAATGGGAATCCAAAGTCCTACAATTCGAACGTGAAGTCTGGCGCGTGTCGTGGAGTTTAAGCGGGAACGTATTAGCAGTCAGCGGGGGAGATAATAAAGTTTCTCTATGGAAGGAGAATCTGAGGGGCGAGTGGGAGTGCGTCAAGGAAATCGAGGAATAGACGCGGGAGAAGCGAAAGGAGGCAGTACAAGCGAAAGGAGGCAGTACAAGCGGAGATGCGATGAGGGTAGAAGAGAGGCGTTTTGGGTCGAATAGGCAGACAGGCAAACAAACATAACATAACATACAACATGCATACTGGCAGCCGGCTGGTATGTGAATGGAAAATCAAAAGAAAGCAAGAAGGAAAGAAAGAACGAAACATAAACACCTTATGATCTTATCCCTTTGCGACATCTGATGTTTGTTATGCATGAACCTGTTACTCTACCATTGGTTTTCCCTTGGTTATAGGATGTTATCTTGATCTTTCCATTTAGCAACTGGCCTGTATCTATTCCTTTCTGTTCCATCTTTATTTTGAAAAACAGCTCTCAGCGATAAGCAAGCATCAAATTATCACCCGCAATAGCATGAGGAGCTACTTAGATATAAATCTATATCTACATCTTCACATGCGCACAGCACAGCACAGCATTAGGCGAGCATGATATTTTGACTAATTCTCATTTCCATTCTATCAATCATCACGTTCCTCATATTGGTTGTGAAGTGATGTGATACGCACTTCAATCTACTTCAGCTCAAGCTCCAGCTCCAGCTCAAGCTCAAAATTTTAAAGAAAAGAAAAAACAAAATGCGAAACCATGAACCAAGGAGATTCTATTGATTGCCCAACTCATGCAATACTTTCAGATCCTGATCTGGCATTCCATTGGAGCTCAAATTCTGCTCTCCTACCACCACCAGAAAGTGCAGATGCAGACGGGGACGCGGATGTAAGTGCAGTTTCATAGATTCGAAGATTACCACCCTGATCCAACGCCAAATTGGGGGTATATCCATGACCAGATCCATTTATATCCATCTATAACCCAGTCCTCAAATCAAAGTCCTCCTGCATATCAATCGACTCGCCCACTCCTTCCTGCGAGGGAAAAACATCAATAGGAAAACGAACAAGGAAAGAAATTGCGCGAAAAATATGTCTGAGAGGAAACTCTCGAAGTATGTCGAAGAATGTATGTGAAAAGAATGCTAAAGTTGGTAAATATGTCTAAAGTCGAATTGAAAAAATTGTGAGTAAACGATGCCCGAGACTCGACGGAAATGAAAGGATACTTCATAGAGTATGTTGAAAGTGCTTTTCGTACTTTTGGTCCAAAATGATACTGTGGGTTGAAATGAAATGAAATTGAAATTGTTGTGATGCCGAGAATAGTTCATGTCCGAGATGAAAGCCGCCGGCTGATGCGCGTCGGGATATGTATTTGAACGATATGCTTGATGCTGTGCTGATGCTGATACTGATGCCGATGCTGATGTTAATGTTAATATTTTAATGAAGGTATTATAATATTGACACATTTCTTTTGTATGTATCGTTGAGCTGATCATTGTCGTAGATTGAAGAACTGAATCTCTAGTTTATGGTGCTAACATTGGTCGTTTCTTCGAAATCCTTGTAGGTCATTCATTGGAGCGAAGCTAGCTTGGGAGAGCAAAAGCTAACAATGACCATGGAACTTCATGAGACGGAAGAATTCCAGCGCTTCTTTGCCATCAATAGGCTCGTGCGCATCACTCTCATCCACATTCCAGAAAATGAATGGCCCTGACATAACGTCCCTATGAGCCATAGCTAATGCATCAAACCATCGACCAACAATGATACGACTACCAGGCAAAACACAACCTTCGTAGCCCCAGGTCTGTCCTCCATCGTAGTCTCCATTTTTATCGGGAAAAAACTTCATGATGGTGATTCTCTGAAAGCCAGGGATCCCATGCTGTGGAGGAATTCCATGTACAGCTCCATATAGATGGGCAGCCGAGACAGAGTCACGCGAAGAACCATAAAAGTATTTTACACCAGGGTTTGGGTTCTCTTTGGGCTTTCTGTGGTCCTTTCCTGATCGGCTCGATCGAGTGTTGCGTCTCGACCCATGGCGATGAGTGGGCTCAGGAACGGCATTAGAAAATGGGTCACTTCGAAGAATACTTTCCCACGATTTGGGCCAATTTCGCTCGCTGAACTTTTGGTCGTCAAACAATAACGAGATGTCCTGTAAGACCTCGGTTAGTCATCCTGCATCACTGACATCTCAAGTGAGCTTACCTGAAAAGATTCCCCACCATCTAGTTCGTCCGAGTAGGGGCCGTCATCTGTGTCTTCTTCAGCCTCTCTTATTCTTGCCAATTCGTCACCGTCCATATAAACTAATGTCGGATTAGCTTTTCAACTCCTCAACACGAAAAATTGTCTTCAGCACTCACAATAGGCCCCTTTCCAATGACTTCCCAATTGTTGAGTACCTGACTTCAATCGACCCAACCATGGCTGTGGCAATTGACTTTGGTGCAGGTCGGCATAGGCATGAGCAAGAAGCCCTTCACCTTTTCCAGCCTTGAGGTGGAACTTGAAGAAGTTTGCTACATGCAAGCACCAACGGACGTTGAGATCGCCTTTCCATCTCCCAAGAAATAAGGGTTGCCTTGCCGGTGAAGCATAAGCCTCCGCTTGAGATAAGTCGAAATGAGATATTGTGTTTGTGCAATATCTTGGATCCAAAGATATTGATGTCAAGCATAATTGAATCAATAACACCCGGGTATTAGCATCAGCATCGCCATCGACAGAGCAGACCGCTTTTAACCTCCAATTGTTCTTGGTCTTCGCAATGGAATCAACGATATCAATTATGTCTCCAGTATGAGGTATGCCAGATACGAAGGAAACGTAATTTCGGATGTAGTCGAGATTGCGACTTACAACCACTTTGTCGCCATTATCATCATAGCCTCTGCGAGCATCGGATTCTGTGTTCTCCAATTAGTATGCACACTCTACCAATGGACTCGCAAGGAGACACACCGATGATAAGATTCTGAAGCATATCAAGGACTTTTTCTTGCGCTTGTTCTATTTGTTTGACAACCGAATTGCCCAGGTACCTGTACTCATTCAAGTCGAACTTGGTGTAAAGTTTCGTGGTGGCGCATCTGAACTTGTACTTTTTTGTCAAAAGCGGTAGAGACAAACTTGGTACAGCATCAAATTTCTCTAGGAATCGATAACGCCAGACACTGTCAGAGATGGCGCTGTAAGTCCTCTTACAGACTCGTGAATATCGTGTGATGTCTGCATCGGACGGTAGAAACATAGCGATAGTCTGGTGGACCTGCATTTGAGTGGTTAGTGAATAAAATCAACAGAGAAACACCACAGATCATTCGATCGAGAATCTGCAAGACACTCCGAAGAGCATGGAGATAATGGATGTCGCCGAGCGATAATACATTGGATTCGGACATTCAAACGAAAGAATTTCATAGGTCTTCGCCGGTGCTACTGCGTAGTTGGTCGAAGATCTTGACAGAAAAAATTCAAGTGTTGAAGCGTACCTCAGTTGGAATTTTCCTAATCAACTCATCCAGCTTGACACTTTGAGCAACGACTTCCGCTGTCAATGCAGGAGGTCGCGAATCAACTATAATAACTGAGCCTGTGTCGGACTCATTACCGTCGTCGTCGCTTCCAACAGTAGTAAAACTACTGTTGGCTGCATCGACCTGAGAATCTTCATCGTCATTGTCACTATCCGAAATCTCTATATAGTTCTTGGCTCGCTTGGTTTGAGGAACTTGGAAAGATTGATCCGTCTTTCTCTTAGATACGGCATATGGAAGTTTCGTCTGAATTGCCTGATGAGAGACATTATTTTTCTTCTTGGTAGGCATGTTGAAGTTCGCAGGCGATGACAACGAATGGGTTGGTCCGAAAGAGGAATTGGAATGGTATTGCAAGCGCAAGAGCTTCAATTGAACTACCTTGGGAGAATTATGAGACACCGCAATAGTATTGAAGGATTGGGAACGTACTTGGTGGTGAAGTGATAGGTGTGATGGCTGGATGGGAGTTAAAAGTGATTGAGTTATGGAAAAGATAAATAGGGTAGTGTAGTTAGTGAATCCGGGCCTAGCTAAGTTAGGGCAAAAGATCGTAAGTTCGCAAGCAACAATCAATATGCATGAGAGATCAAATCGATAATGTCGAAGATCTATGTAATGTATGTGATTCTACCAATATATCATTAGAATAAAAGATCTCCTTCGAGGTATTCTCAGAGATGTTGGGAAGGCGCATAGTGGTAAAAAGAAAAGACGACAGCCTTGCCAGCCTTACCCCTCTATGTCGAGCCTCGCGCTAAACCTGGAAAGATTACACTCACCTGCAGAAGCCACAAGTGCATCACGACTTTGGATTGGTCAAAGATAGGGGCCGCAAACAAATGACCGACGAGGCTCCAAACAGAATTTCGAGTGGGAAAAAGATTTGAATTGAGGACAGGAAACAATGGGAAGAGAGGGCGGATTTTCGAACTTCAGGAGATCCTATGCTATAGCCAAGACTTGAGATTCCGTAAAGTTTTCATGACCGTCGTTGACTTGTTGGGACTGAATTTGTGTAATATAATAGAGAGGTGTATGTACATGGGGAATATTCAAATGATGATATTATAGCCTTATAGCCTGAACATTGGAAGTCGAGGCCATACAGGTAGGAAATACCAGAGGGTGTTAGAATAGTCTTCCGCCTTTGGATTCAGCCTTTGGAAATTGATGGTAGATCACGGCAGCATTTCCTGGTGCTGTGGTGTCGTCGTTGATATTTCATCGTTGCATCCAAGCTTACAAGAACAAAGGAAACTCAAAGATCAAAGAGAAAGAAAACTTGGATTCGTTTGCTTTTCCTCAAGGCCTTCTTCATACCATCTCCTTTGCAATCAGGGTTGCCAAAATCCTCTATATAATATAATAATAATCTTTCCTGGAGGATTACCTATAACCTTGCCTAACTTGAATTGATGTTTGCTTTTTGTGATGCTTAGAAAGTAAATATATAATCGTCTACTGCCAGCTACCTCATAAGACCTACAACAAGTTGCTACTGATAAATATCTAGCAGGTCCCGGTGAGTAGGTTCTTTGTTATAAATTTTTTGATGGCAAGCAGAAGTCGATTCAAACCTTCAACAATGTCAATAATAAATTCCATGTTTCCAATACCATGCCGAGGTCGCTCAGCTAATAACGTCAATGTCTCATATTATCTCCATCTCATTTCATCTCATCTCATTTCATCTCATCTCATTTCATCTCATCTCATCTCTTATCCAACCTACTACTTACTTTCAATGCCCATCTTTGATAAGGTTAATGACATCTCCTTTTTGAGCATGTCAGATTTAAGATTCAAGAGTTATCGTTATCTTCGTATCTAGCCATCGGTCGTTCCCCATACCTTACATCCCCAAGTCAACTATCTAGTATCTACTATCTTCAGAATTCCAACAGCCCGGATATCGCCTTTTCCCTAGTATCTTGTGGCTTTCTCGGAAACACCTTCATGGGCTTCTCTCCGTCTGGGCAAGCAATGGTTACGCTTGATGCAGCATTCTGGCAGTGGGCAGGCAATCTGCACCTCATCTTGCAGCAAATCAAGTATATACGGAGTAGCAACACCAACCATCAACATGGCTTCCATGCATGCTCCGTACATAACAAGGATTGATGTATTATATGGATAATGGATTGAATTCTTTCTTTCAAACTTCCCATCGAAGGTTTCTAGATTCATCTACTCGAATATGTCGGGTACCCTGCCTCCACCTCCCCTCTCTTCTCCTTTTGCTTATCTGCGGAGTATGTTACGGCTTAACTTTAACTTCATTTTCTTGACCAACATTCATTGTTAAGAGGCGCCTCAACCCTCAACCACCCTTTTTAAGAAACCTGAAATTAGAAACCCCCGAGGGCAAATATGGATACATCGTCTCCACAATCATCGACTCTAGATCAAGATAAGCATCATGAGGGACAACAAACCAATCATTGATACTCATTCTTCATTATTCCTTGCCGTGGCCACCATTCGACCCAAACCGTCTCCATAGATTTTGACATGGATAAACCTAATTATCCAAGTCAACACAATGCAATGCTGCGCGGCGGATAGTAGGGCTATGCGGCACGGAATTTATTTTCTAAATTTCTTATCGAAAACATTCCTTCGTTCCGTTTTCTTCCCATGATTCTCCAATTTCATTCACAAATATTCTCATCTCGTGGGATATATTCTCGTACCTGGCATCAGCCTCCGATGAATTGATCATCCAACCTTCCTGTTCACAGACCGTCAGCCAAGGACGTTAAGTTAGTGCCCCTAATATTTTTATTTGATATTTTTCTACTACATTATATATACGGAGTACTCTTTTATAAGATCTTACATTCATCCTTTGGGCCAAGCATCTCGTTTGTTGTGCGCTCGCCATGGCTTCTACCGATAATGCCGAGAAGAAGATCGATGAGAGTACCAGGGCTTCAGATTCATCCAATATTGAGAAAGGTGATGTCATTCCACGAAATGAAAACGCTGCGACGAGGCACGAAGATCAAACAATCGCCATTCTCGAGCTCGTCAAAGCCCAAGATGTCCATCACCCCATGCATTGGTCCGCCTTCAAACGATGGGGTATCGTGGTTATTTACTGTATGTTGCAGACTTTCGTTACACTTACCAGTACAACTTATGTATCCGCCGAGTTCTTGATACAAGAGAAGTTTGGGGGGACTACTCAAGTTGTTACTCTGGGCCAGAGTATGTTCATTTTGGGAACAGCGGTCGGTCCTATATTCTTGGGTCCATTATCGTAGGTTGAACACAGCATATGGCGCATACTGCGATTATCGTGCTTGTGAACAGAATCATAACTGAACATCTACAGTGATCTTGGTGGCCGTAAATGGATCTATGTTATTAGCATTGCATTCTATGCAGTTTTGAACTTTGTAAGTGACCTCGAAGGTATCATTCATGGAATCATTTTTAACATGATTTAGGGAACCGCATATGCTCTTAATCTTCCTATGCTCGTCATCTTCATGTTCCTTGCGGGCACAGCTGGTTCTACTGCCCTTTCGAATGTAGCTGGTACAATTGCGGATCTGTTTGGAGATATCGATGGTGCTGGACAAGCGATGGCCCTTTTCGTCATGTGTAAGACCCGAGAAATATTCTAGTCTCCGCCTCATAAGTACTAATGACTTGCATATAGCTGCAAACATTGGTCCATCTCTCGGATCCCCGTGGGAGTGGATAGCGGATAATGCGAACATGGGTCTTAAATGGATCTTCTTAATCAATGTAATTATTGGTTTTGCATTCGCTATCATCATGTGTTTCATTCCAGAAACATTACCAAGATTGGTTATCGCCAAAGCAGCCGCAAAGAATCAAACCGTTGGTGATCAAGAAGCTGCTATCTTGACAAGCAAACTCAATGTTTTACAAGAAATGAAGTTTATCACGACCATGACATTCAGAATTATGTTCACGGAGCCAGTTGTTTTATTCCTTGGCTTGTACAATGGTTTCGCTTACGGTATCCTCTTCTTGTACCTCGATGGAGTATTTGATGTTTTCGTCGTCAATAATGGTCTCTCTTACATCGGTGCCGATCTCACGTACCTTAACTTCGTCGTCGGAGTAGTCGTCATGTTCTTCTTCGTTCCGGTTCAAACTTGGTTTTATGCAAGAGATCGTAAGAAGCATGGTATCAACCGTCCAGAAGCTAGATTCCTCACTTCTTTGGTTACCGTTTGGCTTTTCCCAATCACACTTCTTTGGTTCGCTTTCACCTCTGATGGAAGCGTATCTTACTGGTCACCAGTTGTCGCTGGTGGTGTTCTTGGTTTTGCAGATCCATTATTATGGCTCAGTATGCTTAACTATATTACTGGTATGTTTCCAATCCATCATTAGTTACCCCTTACATCTCGCTAATTTCAATTCCTCCCCAGACTCCTACCCCAACGTCGCCGGTGCCGCCATCGCAGCTTTCCTCATCCCTTCCTTTGCTCTCGCAGCTGGTCTCGCTCATCTCGGTGTCCTCATGTTTGATAACATGTCGACGAAATGGGCTATGGGTACTATTGGATTCATTAGTATTGGTCTTTGTGCGTTGATTTACTTTATCTATTTCTTTGGTGCAAAAATAAGAGCAGGATCGAAGCTCGCGAGAAGATTTTAAATGTATGTGTGTATGTATGTATGTATGAAATGATGGATGAATGGATGGATGGATAAATAAATCAATGTATGTTAGAACTTGGATCGATCGATCGGATTGGATATAGTATATAAGATTTTGCTTAATTAGCACTGTACTGTATTGCATTGAAAATTTCGTTAGTGGATGTATGGTTTGAGGATCACCAGATGGATGATTTATACTGTTATGTTGTATATACATGTTTACATATAGATGATGGATTTGAACTTGGATATTCTATTCTATTCTATTTATTCTTCCACCTCCTCATCTACTACTGCTCAATAATATAAAGAGAAATCTCTGTATGTCTAAAATACTTAGTAGGTAACTCAACTAAGGTTATGAAAAAAATCTACATCTAAATTATAATAGCATAACTCATTAACTCTAATTCTCTGCTAGCGAAGAACGGGGAACTAATTACCTTGGTGTTTTATGTTCTTATATGGCTGACTATTCAGCTAATATGATTTCATCTTTTAGATTACTCTTCGCGAAACTGGTGATTTAGGTTACCTGGTAGTTCTTCTCTTATTCTAATTTTATACTCGAGTAAAGGATTACAATTAGACAAAGAACCAGAGCATTCAAAGTAAAGAAAGCAATTGTTCTTACCCATCTAAAGAACTCTTTATTCCGTCCCTTCACCCTTTGATCAATTAACTTAAGCGACCTATGCAGGAACAATGGCATTGTGTATTATGTATGTAGATAGATATACTCTAATATAATTAGACCAACAACAACATGATATAGATATCACACATAGGAATATGAAGAAAGGAGAACAGAAACAGGAATTGAACATGCTATAGGATAGAAAGATAAGAAGCTTGGGTATTTCGAATATGGGGTTTTATTTTTTATCATTCAAACATACAACATACAACATACAACATACAGCATACAACATACATACACACTACACTACAAAACAAACACAAATAAGCTCCAATAACTCGGTAAGTATTTATATTTTTATACTTTTACACTTCTAAATTTCTAGCAATTATGCAGGATATAATTATGCAGAATGTAATTATGGTGGAAACAATCATCGAAGATCCAAGCGTACAAGATATCATCATGGGCGACAGCGACAACAACAGCAACAGCAACAACAGCAGTATCGAGGAACCCAGCAAAGAAGATACCATCATGCGCGATACCATCCATGAAGAGCCAATTTCCAACGACACAACAATGGCAAACACCGAAATGGAAATGGAAATCAACGACCATGCAAGAATCCAAGATACCATCATGGAAGATCTATGCACTGAAAACCTAAATCTAGATGTAGATGTACAGGATAGCTATATGGCTGATGCAGAAATAGATATCATACTCGGGGATGCGGATATCGCCATGGCTGATGCTGATGCTGATGCGGAACTAGAACCACAGGATGATGATGCAATCATGGAAGATGTAAGTAGCACCCATACCACCACCCAAACCGAAACACAAACCAAAACACCATTCCTCTACCCCGCCTGGATATCCTCTAGAAAAGCACGCTAATAAATGCAAAAATTATCTGATAGGTAAATAGGTAAGTATATATATACGATTACCTGGAGCCGAACTTAGGAGTCTTAGGAGTATAGTATATATATTCTTTTCATTTATTTTCATTTATTTTTCCTTCATTCTTTCCAGGATTGAACAACTGTTTTGGAATTTTATTTGTTTTTTTTTTCCGATAATTATATAGGCTGGTCCTATTTATAAGTTAATTAACTTTAGACTGGTTTTATAAGTCAGATTAAACTCTTGTTATTTCATTTTCTTGTTCATTATAGACTAAACTAGACTAGACTAGATTAAACTAGACATAAAAATAGAATATAGAATTTTTTATGTATATTAAAAAAGAAATTTTTGTAAGTCTTATTTACTCAATAGAATTAAATAATCTTAACCTTAGTGATTGATAAAAAGTTCCGCAGTATAAATTAATTACAAATTATTTAGTTAGTCCTATGACCTTTTAATGAAAATAGCAGAGTCTGTCTGCATATGAGAGATTTCAACTTCACTCTTAGTAATAATCTTTTCTTGATTTCATAACTCTGCTTTTAAATGTCTATGTCTTGTCTTATTTGAGACAATATATTCAAAAATCTCATATTGTCACGGACGGTATAGGTTGAAAACCTGTAACCATTACAAGCAATAGCCCTACATTCATTCATAACACCGACATATAGTTGACGAAACGTCGAGTTATTAAGTTGCAAGACTTTGTGAAAACCTTTTATTGACATTAATATATCGGATTATATTCGATTCGAAATTACTTTTTCGATTATTTATAAAAAGAATGATTTATTTAGTTTGAAAAGACAATAAAAAGCTTTGGTACTAATTGATTCTTTTCTGTGACTATAAATCCCTCGCTTAAAAATCTCATCATGAAATTCATCATCACAACGAGAACGGATTCCTCATTTCTAATACTCATCATCGTGACCTTAATTTATATCATCCATTTCAACTCATTTCAGTTCAATCCATGCCACAATATAAACACGTAAACGTTCTTCCAAATCCCTCATACCATGCCGCATCCAATCCAACCATTGAAACATACAGTGTATTCACAAGCACAGCACAAGAAAACTAAGTGAAGCACAAACCACCAATAGGCATGATAATATCAGCATAAACCCAAAACGCCTCTTTTCATATCTTGAACATTTCATCGTTCATCAAGTTCACAAAGTTATTCGACTGTGATTTCCGCTGTTGGATCCTTTCTAATATCCAATTCCATCAAACCCTCTTTCTTTTCAATGACAAGACCCTTCTCATTAGCCAAATGTAATAGACAGATAAAACAATAACTGGTTGAGATATCATTCATGACTTGCTTCGGGTATACAGTCTGGAGGTTTTGCATGACTGTTGTGAATTGGAGGGTCTCATTTTCATCAGTAGGCAATTTAAGTGGTGGTGCGGGAAGACGTGATGCGGAAAGGGAGGTATCCTGTTTTGATTTATGTTAGTGATAAAGTCTGGGGGCTGATACAAGGTACGAGGAACTCACAGGTTGTTCAGGCTCACTAAATCCAATACCCTTCCATAATTCCTCTTTCAGTCTCCTCACATCAACCTTCTTAGCAACTCTAGCATATTGTACATATTCAGGTCTTAATCTTCGACTTTGTGTAACCAATTGTGTACCAAAAGCACCCTCTTCGCCGTCAACACCTTGAGGTCCGGCATTTAGGATAGCAGTGATAGCATCGATACCACCTGCACCTTGTCTTTGAGCTCCAGGTGAAAAACCTTCGCGCGCATCGGCGAATTCCATATCATCATCGTCATCAATACCACCCGGCATTGCCAAACCATCATCTTGGAAGAAGTTGGCATCGTAATCTCCATGAGGTGGAGCTTCATCCTCCAACGTGTGGGCTGGTTCTTCTTTTCGTGCCCAATAATCTTGACCAATTTCGCCTTCAGGAATGTCATCCTCCTTCTTTTGACCGAAAGTTCCGGATTTTGCTCCGAATCCAGATTTTCGACTACCCATTCTAGCTTTGGGCTTAAGGAAAAGGCGTAACAACTGTTTGGAGTTAAAATGCTTATCATCGGGAAGAAGATTCCTCGTTTTAGATTTCCAGTCCTTCTTTGGGAGAGATATTGTAGCATTGGTTGCTGCATGTGTATAGATAGTTTCAGCTAGGCTAGCACTTAGTGGAGACATAAAGTCAATCTCGAAAGGTTCTTTCTCCTTGCGAATCTTCGTAACTGCTGGTTTGTTGACGTCTTTAATCTTTCGTATCCTCCAATGCTCGGGACCGGCCCAATTCTTTTGCAGGGCCTCGTCAAAATAACTTAAAATATCGTCATGACCACCTTCCGTCTTTGATCCACGATCAAGAGAAATGACGTACTCGCCCGTCTCGGGATTGAATGAACCAGCAGGTCCTTCTCCATCCTCGCCATCGCCGCCATCATTGTCGTATCCTACATCGTGAACTCGCATTCGTGGTTCGATCGCGGCGTCACGAGCCCAAGCTTCACCACCTTCACCAAATCCAGCATCATCTGGAATATCGAAGTTTCCGAGGAGGCCATCATCGTCATCATCAAATCCAACCGGGTTATCATCATCGAGGAAAATGCCCGACCTATCACCTACCCCATTGTCTTCCGTCTTGTCTTTATCTTGTCGCCAATCTTCCGGTGCCTTTAAGAACGGAATGTCCATAGAACCAGAAGGATCTCCGAGGTCGAAATTCTTCAATGATGGACAAATATCCTGTTCTTCAAGAAAATCCAAGTTTGGGAAAAACTTGATGCCCAAAGCTTCCACATCTATCTCTACATCATCTTGATCTTCGTCCTCATTGTCATCAACTTTTAGCGTAACATTTGCCGATTCTAAAACTTCTTCCTGATCCTCTTCAATAGCATCATCCTTTCGCCTTCTGCCCCGTCCTTCTGCTGATGCGTCGCCGGCATCATCACTACTATCAAAAACTATACGTCCTTTAGAATCGATTGAGAGATGATTTAAGAGAAGACCTTTGGCTCCGCCCTCATCAAAATCTGCAGATGCTTTTTTGAATAAAGGATCAACAGAAAACTCAAGTTCAAACTTTTTTAATTGTAATGCTGAAAATGAGGTTGCGAGAGTCGCTTCTGATGAACGTTGAGTCTGAACTTATGATTAGCTACGGTTTTCTAGTGCATGTAAGCAACAATGATGTTGCTGCGTTCGAAATGGACAAGATTTTGCCAAATAAAGTTGTTACAATTCGAGTTTTGTGGTTTAGTGACTTGACCAATACAAAGATTAGGGATTACATCCACCAAACCACAACATATTTAATAGAATCACTGATAAGCCGATAATAGTACATTAAAGTTCAATTGCAAGCAACAAAAGTATTTGCACTCATAGCTGCGAGTATAAGTAGGGAGGAAAAGTGTGACACAAGGCACCGCCCATTAAGTCATCGGACTGGCGCCTTCCAATCGGTCGAGGAACAATAGCACAGGTAGATGTGGATGAAATGCGCCCGCCCTCGTTTCCACTTCACTGGATTTCCTCCTCTGTGGAACAAAAGATCGAGTAAAAATGTATGACAAAAATAAACATACAACAGTGGGGATTCGCTGGTGGTCACCCACCCAACTACTAATCCACCGATCTGAAGCTTGTGTATGGCAGAGCGGACGGGATGCCCAATTCTCTTCAGTCTATGGTCGTATGTGACAGAAAGGGTCTCATCTGGTATTATATTCAGATGAGAGTCCGTGTTCCTCTCCAATTAAACGTGCCACTAGACATAAGGCCTAAATATCCCCATTACGTTCCACCAGTATGCGGTATGCGGTAGATAAATAAGAAGTAAACATAGTTTTGGTCCGCACTGATAACATTTGAACATCTCAACTATGAGACTCCACCAGGTATCAAAGCGCTTGCACTCAGACTGAGGGAAAATAAAACAATTGTGGATGTGCTTCCGACGTACCCTTTTCTTTGCTTTCTTCCTGACAACACCATCTTCGTCTTCGACCTCTTCTTCGCTCTCATCACCTTCACCCTCACCTTCCTCATTCTCGCCCCTCTTCTTTTTGTTGTTCCCGCTGTCTGCTAATCCACTCAAAAGCTTGCCGGTTTCTGTAGCCACACTGTCGACTCGACTCGTATAAATCTTCACACATCCATCAAGAGTGCAACTGGCCTTTTGGAAATTGACCCCGTCACCCTCCTTCAAAAGTGACATATCATGGAAATAATCAATCAGCGCAAAGTTCCAGGAATTCGCAGCATTGATCTTATTGTCTGTGGCCATCTTCATCCATTCTTCGAAATTTGCGAGAATTGGAACACGCTTCATGGGGGTTACTGCGTTTCCCCCCACCATCATAACCCCGCCATCGAGTTCATTCTCTTTCCCTATACGCCCTGGGGTTCTGTGGTTTGAAGATGGCGAGGAGCTCCCTGCTCGATTAAAATTCACCAATTTTCGTGGGGTCGCGGCTTTTTTGATTTCGTTCATCTGAGTTTCGTGGTGAGCATTTCTTGATTTTAATCGTCTTGCCTTTTCTTGCGCATCATCATTGAGAGCCAATTTCACTGGCGATGTATCGTTTAAGGGCACTCTATTTAAAGTCAGTAATGAAAAGTTTCATGTTGCACGGCGCGCAGATGCAAAGTATCACATCTGCCAGAGATATGGACTTCCAAACACCATAGCAACCAGGGAATTCATACTTCACGGGAGATTTTGCTGGAGTCGATAAAGAGCCAGAAGCAACTCCGCCCCTACTCGCATTTCGATTTTGTACGACTCTAGGCATATCAAAAAAAAATTAAAAAATTATCGTGATAGACAAATCTGTTGCGATAATGCTAAGCTTAGGAGTTTAGAAGTTTGTTTATTTTCATTATTTACATTCGGCAGGGACAGCGGGGATCGAATGCACAAACCCCGGCGCAAGTAAAAATAACCTCAGGTATTAAAGGAATGGCTTACATAATATTATCACCTCGGGAGTCGGCACTTTCAATGGGACTGACTGCATGGGATTGCCACATTCATCATGATAATTTCAAGGGTGTTGAGTTCTTTACAATCCATTCGCAGATTCCCAAGTCATATAATATAAGAAAAATACATCCTTTTTCTTCCTAGTATGGCACCAATTTTTCACTGCAAAAGTTGCAAGATTCTCAATTCCTTTCAACACTTTTACCACAGTGTAAGAATAGCCCAACAGCCGCTCTTATCAGTTTTATCGATAAGGTTAACCTTACCTACCCTTTGGTGCTAGTTCCGAAGTTAAGGTGGATTTGTACGCTTTGCCATTCGATCTTATGACGACGATTCTTTTTCCTGCCGGAATCTCCTTTTAATGATTTGCACCATACACGAACGAGCTCTGGACGGCTTAGCTAGCACATCCCAGGTTACGACTTCGAGCTTTTGCCTTGTGCCATAGCTCTTTTCCTTCTCATGAACTTGATATATTTACCATTGTAATCGCACTTCCCCGACGAGAGCTTTAGGTCCAAACCAGATCATGCACCAAGCATGCATCGAATACCCTTTTATAAGATGCCATCCCGCTTACCGACACGATCTAAATACAACTTTCGAGCTTTCTATCTTACCATATTAATCATCTCGTCTTTGGCTGTGATAAGCCTTATCGCAGACCAGAGTGCGAAATACCGTCATGGTTCCCAATATGGCGTTGCACAAAAACGAGCATTGGATGCGCTGGACAGTGGGAGACTTGTGAAACGGGATGAAGAGGTTTGTGGAGACCAAAGGCAATGCAAGTTCTTTACTAAATATCGGCCTTATAGTGTCGTCTTGTCCACCATGCCAAGGATAAATGCGGATTCATACTAGCAAATTGTCCCGATGAAACTGCTGGGCTCCTAAATTACCTCGCGCTTTACTATTGCAAATTACCAAATGCCCAACCTGTGGCTTTCACCATTCTCATACTATGGCTTGGATTGTTGTTTTCGACGATTGGAATCGCAGCGAGCGATTTCTTCTGTATCAATCTATCAACAATTGCGAGCATACTGGGAATGAGCGAGAGTATGGCGGGTGTCACATTTTTAGCTTTTGGTAACGGTAGCCCAGATGTATTCTCGACGTTTGCTGCGATGAGTTCGCATAGTGGCAGTCTTGCCGTAGGTGAGCTCATTGGAGCAGCCGGGTTTATTACTGCAGTTGTCGCAGGATCGATGGCTTTAGTTAGGGAGTTCAAGGTTGGCAAAAAGACATTTGTGAGGGATATTGGTTTCTTCATAGTTGCAGCAAGCTTTAGTATGGTGTTTCTTGCGGACGGCGCTCTTCACCTATGGGAATGTTTTGTAATGATTGGGTTCTACCTTTTTTACGTGGTAACAGTGGTTATGTGGCATTGGTACTTGGGAGGGCGAAGACGCCATCGTGAAAGAGAAGCTGCAGCGCGTGGCCAGTACTTGGCAATGACAAACGAAGAAATAGAGGTCACTGAAGAAGATGGTGACGATGAAGATGCGCCAGCAGGAGAGAGGGGCTTCCGTGGTAACGAAGATTTCGCGGCATTAGAACGTGGCTCTAGTCCTCATCACCGGGTACCAGAAGACGAAGACAGTGATGAGGATGGAAATGAGGGTAGGCACATTGCTGCTGAGGTGGCTAGCAGTATGCGAGTAATCAGATCATCTGGTAGCCGCAGGAACACCATAACTCCAATTCGTCCCAGTTTGGTGGGTGCTCTAGAGTTCAGGTCGGTCCTATCATCGTTACAAAAGTCTCGGGGCTCTCATGGCCCACCTATAAGTTTACGACGATATTCAGACGACCCATCAGCATCACTCGATCAACTTAGGACATCTGCAACAACATCGGCTCCGGCATCGGAATATGCCTTGAGTATAAATCCTGTTGAAAGCGACGACAACGATACGGAGCGGTCTATTCTAGACCCTAAGCGTACTAGGGCTGTCTCTTTGAATGCTGCCTCAGCCCTTAGACACACTGACCCTAACGCATTTCCTGCCGCAAATGTGCCAGATATTGGCATTGTGGCAGCCACTCCAACTTTTCCACGGCTATTAGATGTGCCATCTACAACTAGCAGCCCCGCTCCTAAGTCTCCAACATTATCTATCTCGCCTCCTCCGTCTCTAGATGGATCACAAAGTCACAAACTATTCACAAATAGCACACCGCGATGGAACGATGACTTGTTGGCACCACCTGCAAATGACTCTCCAGCAGTGTCGCCACGACATCCCCGTTCTCCAGACGAACGACCTAAGATTTCACCTACCAATTCTAGTAGATCGCGAACAGTACAACGACCTCAACTTCAAATACCGAATTCATCGAGGGATAGCTCGCGAACTCGGATACAATCACCCATATTACCATTTCCTCTGTATATGGATTCGCCAGCGTTCATGTCGGCTGCTAGCTCTAAGGCTCCAAGTATTGTGCTACCGGATTCGGATATTACGCCCGAATCAGTCAATTTGGAGCATGATTTGTACTATACGGAAAGACCAATTAAATGGTGGCCATATCGCATATTACCCAGCCCACACATCGTACTTTCAGCTTTGTTTCCTACACTATGTACATGGAGAGACAAGAGCGGGTGGGATAAATTTGTTAGCATTGTCTCAGCCCCTAGTATATTTCTTTTGGCAATCACACTGCCGGTGGTCGAATCGGAATCCAAGGATGAGGACGAAAAGATAGACTTTGCTGAAGAAAGAAGGGAATCTGGCACACCAGTGAGGAGAAATACTGGCCCGCTATTGATCCCCGATAGCCCATCAATGGTCTCGGAAGCAGACCCCGAATGGTCACAATATCAAAGAAGTCGGCGGGACACTCATTCCGAGGAATATCCTCGTTCACCTGTTTCAAATTTCAGTCAACACAACACTGCCGCAGTAGCAATCGCGGCGGAGAGTCATCATCCTCATTCTCGTCCAATTCCATTGTCACCCCCCAAGAGAGTCAATTCGACCCACGAGGATGTAATGCATAGTGAGCCTGGAGTAGAGCATTCTAGAGGCTGGAACCGCTGGCTTGTCGTACTCCAATTGTTTACAGCACCTATCTTTGTGGTGTTGATATTTTGGGCTAACAGTGAAGATGGTGACTTGAAGTCGCTCGCACGCCTGGTTTTGTTTTCCCTCCTCGGGTCTTTGGTAGCGGTTGCTATTCTCGCACTAACGACAACCCCTTCGAGGCCCCCCAAACATCGTTTCTTGCTTTGTTTCCTTGGTTTCGTCGTCGCTATTGCTTGGATTTCCACTATCGCCAATGAAGTCGTCGGAGTTCTCAAAGCGTTTGGTGTCATTCTAGGCATCTCAGATGCAATACTTGGTCTTACTATTTTTGCTGTTGGCAATTCATTAGGCGACCTCGTCGCTGATATCACGGTAGCTAGATTAGGATATCCCGTTATGGCACTGAGTGCTTGTTTTGGAGGACCGATGCTGAACATTCTCATCGGCATCGGTGTCAGTGGCGCATATATGACGATTAAAGATGCCAACCACAAACATTTCAAGCACCCAAACAAAGATATCAAGTACAAGCCATATCAAATTGAAGTCAGTGGTACTCTGATGGTTAGTGCCATCACTTTACTGATCACTTTAGTCGGACTCCTCATTGCGGTGCCCATGAATAAGTGGGTGATGAGCAGGAAGATTGGATGGGGCTTGATCATTCTGTGGTGTATTAGTACGGTAATCAACCTTGGTGTGGAAATCAGTGGGGTGTGGGGTGATAATTTGGACTTATCTACCTTTTTTTCATGAGCTTTCAGAATATAATTAATGCACGGGATGGAATTTGTTTCACAAAGAGAAAAGAGAGAGATAGAATTGTATTATACCCCCCAGTTATATAGGTAGCTTTTTGGGTATGATTTCAATGGATGTGATATATTGAAATATCAATACTTTGTTGAAGAGAATGGGAGGAATACCCCTTAACTATATTGGCACCGACTCATGATGACCTCGTTGAATTATCGACCAGTTGAGTAGATGAAGACTGAAGTAGCTTAGCTCGGATAAAGCTGGCAGTAACTATCATTTTCGTATTTTGGTGGGTAGTTAGTGGTGTCTTAGCTGGAGCCATCTAATGTCAATATGTATACAGTTGTAGTGAATAGCTAGATGGAAAATACTCATATAGATGAAAGAGTTGAGATTTTACATCTGCTAACTACTAGGTACTACATAGCTAGCTCGTCTGAACTTGACCCCGTTAAAATAGTAGCCTTGTATCTAAGGATTTAGTTCATCCGAATCTTATCCGGTTCGAGACACCAAGAAACTCCCGCCCCGCTAAAGCACATCGGACAAGACAACAAAGTGCTCCCTCCCAACGATGAAATAGGATACCCAGCAGGATACCTACGTAACCTTAACAACTATTCTACCCCTCACTCCACCCTTTTCGAATTAACTAAGATCACTCTTGCGAGACACCATCATTTGCGACGATCTGCAAAAGCTTAACACTCTCTTATTTACACCACAGTATCTTCTAGCCTTTGAGTTAACCTCGCTGGCTATCGCGATAATGAGCACCATGCTCCCAGGGACACACGTCTTCTCTCATCAACACCAATACAATCCGCAGGTTGACCAACCATGGATGCAACAGCAGACCCACCATCAACAGGCGCAGCAGCAGCATCATGCGGCGGCGTCGGCTGCTCATTACAATCGCATGGCCGCAAGTCAAAACCACAACGCCGCGGTACCTTCAATCTCATCCAACCACGGACAAGACCCAGCTATGATCGACTCCAACGTTTCGGAGGAAAATAGAAGGACTTTAAACTTCATTGCAGATTTACTCAATGAAGAGACCAGGGAAGCTGCCCTTCTAGAGCTCAGTAAGAAGCGCGAGCAAGTCCCGGAGCTTGCATTGATATTGTGGCACTCGTTTGGTAAATCACGCAGCCGGGTACGATAATGAGATGGTTTGCTGACAGATTTAGGTGTCATGACATCACTTCTCCAGGAGATAATCTCTGTCTATACTCTACTAAATCCCTCCCAACTGACCGCCGCTGCATCAAATCGAGTCTGCAATGCCTTGGCACTTCTACAATGTGTTGCTTCCCACAACGAGACTCGCGCCCTCTTCTTAAATGGTTAGTCACCCGGGCATCAATGTACAAAGCGCAGTACTGACATTAATAGCTCACATCCCTCTCTTTCTCTATCCCTTTCTCAACACGACTTCTAAATCCCGACCTTTCGAGTATCTACGTCTTACCTCTCTCGGAGTCATTGGCGCTCTTGTCAAGAATGATTCATCCGATGTTATCAACTTTCTCCTTACTACCGAAATAATTCCACTATGTCTTCGAATTATGGAGACGGGATCAGAACTCAGTAAGACAGTCGCAATCTTCATCGTGCAGAAGATCCTTCTCGATGACCATGGTCTGAATTATATCTGTGCCACATACGAGAGATTTTATGCTGTTGGTACAGTGCTCAGCAATATGGTTTCACAACTTGTGGAACAACAAACGGCACGATTGTTGAAGCATGTTGTCCGCTGCTTCCTTCGGTGAGAATATCTCCCATGACGTATTATTTCAATTTCACTAATATGGTGACTGATAGTTTGAGTGATAATGCTCGAGCCCGAGAAGCCCTCCGCCAATGTCTCCCCGAACCTCTTCGCGATGCCACATTCTCCTCAGTCCTACGCGATGATGCTGCTACAAAACGATGCCTTGCGCAGCTCCTCATCAATTTATCCGATAATGTTGTTGAATCTTCATCCGGTCATCAGGGTCTTTAATCTCCAATTCATACTTCTACTTTCAATGTACAATTATAAAAGCACCGATACGACGCAAACGAGCATGGGGGATTTCATCTTCGGTTTTGCATAGACATAACGATACCCGGTCTTCTTTTCGGAAATGTCGTAGGTCTCTGCAGCTGGTCATCAAGGGATTCATAAAAGCATTGCGGGGCAAATAGGGTTGGTCTGAAGGGTGTTTTACGCGGCTTGTTTCAATGAAGGTAAGAGCTGACAGTTGCAGCTCTCCATCAACCCAAGGGACTTATGCCTTTACTCAAGGTGGTTATTTCCTTCTTATTTACATTGCTTGGTGTCTACTACTCTTTACCTTGTCGTTTTGAAGGCGTTGGGGGCTGTCTTATATGCTGCACTATAATATAATGCTGCTAGGGAAATGGTTTGTAAAGTAGGCGAAGCTTCAGCGTTCAGGAATAGAGATACATTCTTGATATAAGCATAAACATAAAAGCAATGTATAATAAGCATAAGCATCTATGAATACTCTGTAGATTTTGTTAACACGTATAATACTGTCAGGGAGAACGCAAATAAGATGGTTTTGTCTGTCCAGTCTATGAAAGTAGAATATAACTAGCGACGGGTGGGCATAGGTAGTATAGAATTAGCTGAGCTACTCGGTACTTTTTGGAGTCTAGAGTAACCTCGAGGTATGGGTGGTCTAAAAGTTAAGCCGTCTCCGCTCCGAGCGATACTACACTCCACTGGGTACCGCACAAACCGGGTTTCAGACATGTCCGAATCTGCGGATCTTGCATGCTCGGCCATCTGGAATGCCTCGATGGATGGAGCGATCCCTTGATGATTCTCGGTAGAGTAATAATAGATATACATTCTTGGTAGACTAGGTGTTGGGTGAATTGAAATGACATTCGGATGAGATTGAGTAGATTTTATAATTTACATTTACCAAGGTAGGTGGTAGTAAGTTGGGTCAATATTGAAAATGAGAGATGTACGGAGTAAAGAGGTTCAACCATCATGAATCGCCTCATACCTACTCTAGGACTAGTGCCAATGTAAATAGAATTCCATCCCCGCAATTGAATAGTAATCAATAAAATCCCACCCTCGGAAGTGCGGAATCTTAAAACTCTAACTCTAAATTCTCCTTAGCCTTGAACGTCGACACCAACACCAACAAGCTTTGGATTATGAAATGATTGCACTGCAATCATTGCAGGAATGAAAACGACATTCGCAACAGAGAAATTCGGAATATTGATAGATGATGGCTTGCTTGGTATTGATCACTAATACCTTTAATAAAATCAAACTAGGGCATCAACAGAGGACCTAGTTTTCAATTATTTTACTCGACACTGCACTTGGAAATTATTTACAAAGCTTACATACCTACTACATATCTACTCGCTATCTCCAAGACTGCATACATACATACACACATACATACATATACATACATACACACACACACACACACATACATACATACATACATACATACATACATAACCCTACGGCATGTACTGCGTTTCATCCTGAGCCTAAGGGGGAAAGGGAACAAGTCAGTCAGTTCGAGAAGCTGACAAGCCTAGTACGGACTGCCTTGTCGTTAATTAGCTGCTAGCTAGGTTTCTTATATGCGCCAAAAAGTCAATTTGATGACTGAAGGGAAGAAATGTAAGATCTTACTATTATTGTCGGCCTTTTAATGTCCAATTGTACTCTGTATGTTCAATTGTTTAGTCAGGCTATCACTTCGGACTCCGTACTTGAAGATCGGATACACCGCTGACGACAAGTCATCTACAAGACGTGATATTTATTACCTTAGTGTTCAAAGTTCAAACGTCGAAGGGGTCCACCGTCCACCTCAATCCGTCTCCGCCAACACGACCCTGGGGCTTGGGCGAAGATGAATTCTTCGTACGATGATCTTCTTCCACATCGGGATAACTATGCTTTGACCATTCTCACTCAAGCGGCTATGCAAAGAAATTGTAACAACACCAACGGCCCTCCATCTAATAATTCCGATTCGCTATCCAACCCTCACGGTCCTAGCTTCCCGAATACTAATAATAATAATCATGGCAATAATGATAATAACAATAGTAATAATAACCATGACTCTAGCAATAATGCCGTCTCAACAACCCGGGACGCCAATTATCTACCACGTGGAACGCCTATCACAACGTCAACCCCTTCATCTATGATCACTAATCATCCCTCCAATATTTCACAATACACTCTTCAACCTTCACTACCCAACCTCGTTGAAGATTACACAAGACCTCATACAGTCATGGACACACTTGTTTTTAACCCTACAGACCAATTCTCGCAAAGGGCCTATATGAACCATTCATTCCAACCAAGATGTTCTAGTAGTCTGGGTATTTTGAATGCAGAGAAGTACGATGATGGTAGGGGTTCGTTAGGATCTCAAACTCGTAATATGATGAGTATGAAGAATCAAGTGTCGGATCAGATACCATTTGGAATCTTGGAAAGAAATGGAAATAGTAGTGATACGGGACCACCAAGTGACGAGCAAGAGCAAGGGAAGAAGCGTAGGAAGAGAGTGAGAAACGAGTCCCCAAGTCTGGATGATGACGACGAAGAAGCTCGAAAAAAGGCGAGAGGGAGACCGAGAGTCGATACTAAGGATGAAACTGCCGCCGATGTAAGTTATCTGTGTTCATGTAACATTTTTATTTGGCAAGATCTCCTTGTTTTGCACGGTTACAATATCAGGGGTAGGATACTGGCCAGATACGTTCCTCAGTACTTGACGACATCAATAACACTGCTAATTATTACCCAGAGGCGGAGAACTCAAATCCGACTGGCCCAAAGAGCTTACCGTCATCGCAAAGAGACAACGATTTCTTCTTTAGAGAAGCAGGTTCAAGAGCTTCGGGGTACAAATGAAGAGATGAATAATATATTTCTCAGCCTTTACGATTTTGCCATAAGTCGAGGTCTTCTACAGCGTGAGCCAGAGTTTGGCCAGCAACTTCAATCGACTACGGAAAGATTTCTTGCCCTCGCAAAACAGACCGCCAGTGATGATAATTTGAGGGACGATGTTGAATCACCAGACAATACTGCACATGAGCCTCATATTGAGACCAAATCCTCCTCAAGTCGCCGAAACACTCAACGCTCATCTCCTCCCATTTCACTCCCGGAAGAGCCTATTGTCACCGAGACGACAAATCCTTGGGGCGGATATATTGTGTCGAAGGATACAAATCATGAGGAAGAAAGGCAGACCGAATATAACCAACAGGGCACAAAAGATTCTAGAAATTTCGAGGTAATTAGCAGGGCAACCGAGGATAATGCGAGTTTTCCTTTCGACTACATGAATCTCCAGCAATACCGAGTCGAGATACCTTCTCCTCCTACCATTGATGATTTCTCTCAATATCTTTTCCCGGAAGCCCAGGTCCCGCTTCCTACCACCTACTCTTACTTTGAGCTTTCATTCGCACGTCGAATGCACCGTGCAGCGGTAGAGGTGGGTTATCGGTTTCTCACATTGCCAAATATTCCAAAAGAAAAGTTCCAAAAGGTTTTTGGCTATTGCATGAAATATGAAACCATGGAGAATGTTATATCACGATTACAGAGGGTCCTCGGCAGTTCATCGAAAGAATCACTCCAGAACTGGCGCGCTCCGTTTGTTCACCTCGGAGGGGCAGGTACATACTATCCAAATCAAGGCCCTGACACTGACAATGAGTTCATGCCTAAGTTTCGTACTGGATTCTCCATGGGCCCTTTTCCCGCAGCACTTACACCAGTTTGGGAAAATATCAGCTCTGATATGAAATGTACTATTCCTGGCTTTGAAGGTGACTTCTTCGATCCCAATGATGTTGAAGGATATCTCAGGGGCTATGGATTTGATCCTTATCCCGCCGCCGATTATATTACAGGTCAGATAGATCTCGAAGCTTTAGTCAAGGCCGACAGTTCAGAGACTGACAGCACTGACTCGAGATTCCCTCTTACACCTCGGAGTCCGAACGCCTTCGATGATGCTAATCAAGATGCATACGACTTTGGTCATAATAATGGCAATTTAAGCAAGGATGTTCAAAATGATAGCACCTCTTCTCTTTTGAAATTTTTATCATGGGATGCCAATACTTTTAAGGGAACTAATCCCTTCGATTTATCCGGTCCGATATTTGATGGTACAGCCGGTTCCAATCCTGAAAATGCTCGTCCGACCACTACTCCAAAGAGCAAGAAGCGTACTGTGACCATTAAAGTCGATACTCTGATAAATGGTATGTTGTGTAGACATTGATATTTGGACTTGAGCTGATCATTATTTTTATTTAGAATTGGCTGTTCATGCATCCTGCTTAGGGCGCACTCCTGGATTCAGGCGAGCCGATGTTAATGCTGCTATTGTTGCTGCAGCAAAAGAAGCTGGATTTGGATGAGCCGCGAGTGAACCTGTTTCCTAAATAGCTGGGGAACCACGATTTAGCACCTGCCCGAACGCTATTCATTAACATGGAGATGGCTAACCTGAAAAATACTTCATGACGCCTACCAGTTTCGTCTGAACTTAAACCTATCAATACGCCCAAGATCACCTGAAATATCGTCTTCAAATACTTCAGCTTTGGATTTATCGCTATATGTTTAATTTACAAGCATCAATCACTCTCCACCGGTCGTTTCATATATCGTTTGTTTTCAACATCTATTTACCTTGCGATTCAAATCCTTACAGCGAAATTTTACATTCGCAATCGCGGATCAAAGCTAGTACGTCACTTTCCAAATGAGATCATCTCTTGGTGGCATGCAAACTGATCATCTTCAGTACCGACAAACTTATCAAGGGAGGAGTCCGACACAGCAGTTACGGGTATGCATTCGAAGGCCGACTGAGCGTCCATTGAAATTGGCAACCCCCTGGAAACTGGGGAAATGGTTTCAATCAGCCCGCAAAGTCTCATATCCCGGTCACCATATCAGGCTACTTTGATCCCGAGCCACGTGCGTTACAACCATATAAGCCTATTTCCAATATTGATCCTTCAACTACCTATATATATGTAGCAGATATCCGGAGCGGCGAGATGTCAATTGAGGACCTTTAGAGATGCAAAGTAAAATATTCTAAATATCTGTTATACAGTGTCTTCTGTAGTGTGTTATGCAGTGTCTTCAACAGTTCGGACTGTAGACACACCAGACATTTTAATATTTGAAAATAATTCAATCATATTTAATTCATAACTTTATTGTTCTGAATATATTCAACTTTCATTCCCGTATTCAACTTCATTCCCGTATTCAAAAGCCCCCCGCCCCACCTCCACCCGGGCTTCTCTTCTTCATAACCGAACTATGATTCAGACTACTCGAGGATAGAAATAATAATCTTATCACTATTCTAAAAATACCACTCCTAAACCCTAAACCTTGAACATACATACTAACAAATTATCTCATTTCCTCCAAAAAACCCAACAAGTCTCTAAAGTTCAAACTTTTAATCTCGATCTTATAAACCCCCTCCCCGTTCTTCTATAATATGACATAATTCCTCTTCCTCTTCGAATTGTCAACGCCCATACCTAGGTAGGTGTTATGAGGGTAGCCGTCTAGATTACATGGAAGTGCTTTAAACTCTCGAAGTAGGTTTATAATTAAACGTCAAGTAGGGATTTAAGTAACAATAATAATGATATATTATTTGTAACTAATAGTAAAGTATACTAAATGATTGATCTTGAGTACGAAGTTCTATAATAAAGAAATTCATTCTAATTATATAGACCTTCGTATTAATTAGATCCTCTTAGATCCTAAGCTCCAAAGGATCCAAGTCACGTGCTTATTGCACATGACTCAGCTTTTGATAAGTCAGCTGTTACCTTGGTAACATTATACAACTCTATATTTCTAATCGATGAATTCTAATTATATTCTATAATATATAAGATCGATACAAGAAAATATACTTATGATATCTTCTATTAAGTGATATTTGTCAAAATGAGCTATTTGATCAAAATACTTTATCATTATTGTTCTAAACATTATTATTATCAAAACACTCTCCGATTGTTACGAGGGTTGCGATCTAGATCACGTGGAAGTGGCCTGGATCCTCGAATGGTTTATAACTAGGCGTCAAGCAGGAGCTTTAAAGTAATATCAATGGTTGCAATTCGTAACTAATAGTAGAGTATACTAAATGATTGATCTTGAGCACGAAGCTCCTATATACAGGAAACCCCTCTGGTTTATATAGATCTTCGTATCCTGTAGATTCGTATGGACCTACGATTCGTATCCTTGTATATGTAGGGTCCATCACGTGACCTCTAGGATCAGACTATATGTCCGAGCTTGCTGAGGGTGGGGAAACCACATGAGGCGATTACCATACAAATTTGTATACAAATCGCCTTGCTTTTCGATGAGGCCTAAGCTCATGTGGACAGGTTGACTGTTACCTTGTAACAATAATCACTGGTTATCCACTCGAAGGTGAATACGTTACTAGATCAATTGGAATGTAGGTAAACTAATTGATAACTAAGTTGAGCACGAAGCTCCTAAACTATGAAACTATTCTGGCTATATACTAATCTCTTCCTTGCGTGCTAGCTATGCTAGCTGGCTAGCAGAGCTAGCACATCACGTGATTGATCCTGAGGCCTCTCATATCCTAAGGCCTTTCCTTTCCTGGAACACTTGTCCCAGGAGCTTTCCCTCCAAGAACTATAGCCCTAGGATATGATATCCTCTAGGGTGATAGTCCTATTACAACCAATTAGATAGGACACTTGTCCTATTCTACTATAGTTGCCTAGGATACTTATCCTAGGAATCCTGGGGTCCTAGGCTTAGACAATCAGGACCCCCGAAAGCAACGGTTAAATCACACCCCCCTGTAGTCGGCGTATAAATCACCGACATCAATAATACTACTATAATCAAAACCGTGAATCGTGACAGCTCTATTATTTTTACTTGAATATACAACATGACATTATAAAGTTCAGGAGAAGAAGTGTGGGGACAAGAGTTGAATAAGTTTTCAAAATTACAAGACTTTGAATTTCAAATATGAAGTGTTTTACAAGACGAGGTTTGGATATGAAGTCTTTGTTCTCCTACCCAAATCTCTGATGAAAGGACTAAAAGGGAAAAGTCAAATCACTATCAATGATAAAGACCAAGCCGGAATTGGATCATACACCTTTGTGATATTCGGTAGAAAAAGAAAGAATTGTGATGCTTTTATATGACTTATATACCATGCACGACAAAGACAAATGGAAGCAATTAAAATATGGCGGAGAACGTGAAATTTGCAGAGTACTACTAATACTTCTTTCGTAGTCGTGATGTTGGTATATTTCAGTACCACATGCCAGGAGTGACTGGTTTTGATGGAATAAATATCACCAAATTTGGTTTTGATACTTTGAACTCACAATAAGGTAATTCCTGAAGGAGCCATTCAGTTCTTTTGGGACGTTGTGGGTGGTTGGATGATTTATGATTGTTGACGATTTATTTGTCGTTCTAATAGAAAATACCAAGTAAGCTTACACCAAGGAAAGTACTGGAGAGGTCTCCTCCAGAAGCACCTCCCCTTGTTGAGCCAGCTGTTCGGTGGCGGTGGTCTTGTATTGATCTTGTTGATTGAAGGATTGAAGGATTGAAGGATTGAAGGATTGAAGGATTGAAGGATTGAAGGATTGAAGGATTGAAAGATTGAAGGTTTGAAGGTACTATTGATGGGGTGAACTTCCTCTATGCATGTACTGAGTGAGTACTGAGTACTGAGGACTTGTTGCAATTTTGAACGATATCTTTCTTATTTATGAAAGACAACCAGTGTTATAGTATAAATTGAGAGGCAAACAAACATAACAAGTAACACAACAAAGAATTCCTGGGTAGTTAGTAGCTCTCATACTCATTCATACTTTGTTGTCTTCTACTCAAAGTTGTATTCTTATATCTACCAATAGATCTATCAATATAGTGTTGATGATATGTTAGTGTTGTCGGTGTCTCGGGTATTGACCTGATTGGGTAAGATTAAGGCTTTTCGACCCGTGCATTTCCTTCTGTTTTCTATTCATTATAATGTTTTACAAGGCAAACAGCCAACCTCCCTCTGTTTATTTTATTGATAACTTCTATCAACATCTGTTAAAAAAAAGGCTATCAAGATACCAATATCTCAAGACATCACTATCACGATACGACACGATACGACACGATACGACACAATACGATACGACACGACACAATGGTTCAGTCCATTTTGGAAATGGAGATGAAAATCATACAAGAGAACCCGATCCATGGAGAGTTGGATAACCTCCGTAGATCCTTTGGTACCTTGGAATCCCTTGATACCATTAACAATGAAGGTACTACATTGAAAATGCGAGCTCTAAGGATTACCTGTTCTAATTATCATATAGATCTTAACAATACAATCGTTGACCTTTTCTTGTCTTTGCAGACTTGCAAAGCATCCCGTCTATTACCTTCAAGAATAATGAGCGGAAATCTGATGACAGATCTGGCACAAGCCAACGCCCTTATCATGTTCAAAAAATTCGACTTGAATCGTGTTAAACCTCTCCTGAATGCCGTCCGTTTCAACAAACCTGATCAAGAGATCTGGGAAGAAGTTTACAATGCTCTTACTGAATACACTCCGCCTTTACGACCGATTGCGTCCACTCCGCCTTTACGATCGATTGTGTCCGCCCTTCAGCAAACACCACACACTCATGCAAGTAGCGTAGTGAATTCTTCTGAGCATCGGGCGGATGTGGATCGTCTACTTAATATTGAACTTGACAGGATACATGTTGATGTTCCCCAAATTCATGAAACGTTTTTTGGAAGTGTAGAAAAGCTTGCAGGAACTTCTCAAGCCTTTTTTGAGAAATGCAAGGTAGAAACTGATCCATATTTCTGTGAAGGATGGGCTGGATGGCCTAGCGATGCAAAGGAAAATGATGTTATTGAATGGTTGAAAAAATTCACCAAGAAGCTGGCAGCATTCGCACAGGGCCACAGATCGATTCAAACACGAAAGATTATAGCGAGGCCCGAAAAGCCAATTCCAAGTCCGCACTCAATCCGGAAGTTGGATATCGGCTTTATGAACCATACTCTGAAAGATACAGTTTGCGATTGGTCAGAAATCATCATACCGGGAGAGCTTAAGAGCAATCCAGATGCCGATATACGTTCAAATGCATGGACTGGTATCGCGACGTATGCAAGAGAAGTATTCGCTGCTCAAGATACTCGTCGTTTTGTTTTAGGCTTTACACTTTGTGGATCTTTTATGAGGGTGTGGGAATTCGATCGAATTGGTGGAATTGCATCAGAAAAATTTGATATTAATAAAGAAGGACTTCGTTTTGTATCTACGATGCTTGGATTTCTCTGGATGAATGAGGAGGAGATTGGATTTGATCCTACAATCAAAACAGAAAACAATCAACGTTTTATAGAGATTGAACGAGAAAATCGGAAAGAACGTCTTATCATTGACAACTTAATGATGCGGTCACGTTGTATAGCTGCTCGGGCAACAACATGCTGGAAAGCGCATTATGAAAAAGATCCTTCAAAGCCGCTTGTTATCAAGGATTCGTGGCAATACCCGGAGCGTGATGAAGAAGGGGAGCTGCTTTGCGAAGCAACTAAAAAAGAAGTGGTTAACGTTTGCCGCTACTATCATCACGAAACTGTCCGAATACTTGGTATGGAAGATGATATCACTGGGAATATTCGGAAGGGATTGGACATCACAAAAGCCCAAAGTTCAAACTTCCCGCGAAGACAGTCGGTCGTTTCTCGGAATACAGCTTTAATTTATTCTTCAGACAGGACTAGCATGAAGCGATCATCGAGCCAAATGAACACGCCTATGCCTCCGCCACCCAGCAAGCGATTTCGTCCAAAGTCTTCCTTGACACCTTCAGCCGATATCAGTAATGAGGCATCCTTATCCAACAAACGATCCACCTTATTGTCTCCTCCAGCATCTCTATCCAATAAAAAAAGTAGAGAGCACTCAAATCGGATACACCGGCGAGTTATTCTGAGTGATTATGGAAAACCTATCTATTCAGCAAGCTCCCTAAAGTCTCTGCTTATTGCATTCGAAGGTTGTATAAAAGGACATGAATCTCTATATAAAGCTGGCCTTCTCCATAGAGATATATCAATCAATAATCTGATGATTAATGAAGATGAAGAGAATCATTCGTGGTTTTCGTTCTTGATCGACCTTGATTTAGCTATCAAAGAGGATCGAAAGGGCGCCTCAGGTGCAAAGGGAAGGACTGGCACAAGAGTCTTTATGGCTATAGGGATTCTTCAGGGTCACCTGCATTCCTACATGCACGATCTCGAATCGTTCTTCTGGGTACTCTACTGGATATGCATTCATTACGATGGACCAGACAAGGAAGTTGGCTCAACTTTCCTTGAGAATTGGAACTATGGAACAGACGATTTTTTGGCCATTCTCAAGGCGGGCACAATTGCCAACGAACAGGATTTTCTTGAGCGTGCAACGGATCAATTTACGCCATACTACCAGCCATTGGTCCGATGTGTTAATAAATTAAGGAGGGTGGTATTCCCGAACAATGAGAGATGGGTAAATGAGGATCCAGACCTGTACTCCAAGATGAGGAAAATCCTTCTTGAAGCATCGGAAAACCAAGAGGTGCCAAACTTTTAATATTGTTTGGGGGATTTGATGAAGTCAAACTAGGCTTTCTAGCAATTGAAGAGATGGTTTTCAAGAAGTTTCGAGGCTTTAAATTATTATGACAAGGTTGGAAAGATACTTCTCGAATTTCAATAGAGTTGAATGATTTCAATTGAGTTGAGTTGAAAAAAGCTCCAAGTCAGATTTGCCTAAGGTTGTAAGGCTTGTGCCAAGCTTTTTGTTAGATTATTTACCGGGATATCTACCGGGGTATTTTAGACCAATCAGATTATCAGGATCGCGACTCATTTAAGCGGGTAAACCTCGCGTACAGCAAGGTTATGGAGTCGGCAAGCCGACAATAAAACTTTATACAAAGGAAATTTATTTTGTTTATATAAATCTTTATATTCTAGTTTTAATAGTTTTAATTAGATCCTTTAGAATCGTTGGCTTTAAAGGCTTTAGAATCGTTGGCTTTAAAGGCTTTAATTAGATCTTTTAGAGCCGGTTATATGATAGTACTGGTCTCGTAATATGAATATGTTACCCAGTGTAACAGTAGGTATTAAAACCTCGATACCTTGGTACCTTGAGTTGATACTAGGGTTCAGGAGAATTTCAGGATATGATTAGGATGTAGAAGTTGGAATTTGGAATATATATGTGGAATGTGTGTGTGTGTGTGTGTGTGTGTGTGTGTGTGTGTGTGTGTGTGTGTGTGTGTGTGTGTATGTGTGTGTGTGTGTGTGTGTGTGTGTGTGATGTGATTGGGGATGGGGATGAAGATAAGGGTTTGTGGGAGAGATGGAGGTGGAGGTGGAAAGGGGAGGTGGGATGATTTGAGAGGCTTTTGGGGGTGGGATGGGATGGGATGAAGGAAGATGGATAAAAGGTTTGTGGGGGTTTTGAGTTTGAATTAGAGGCGCGGAATTGCATCTCATGAGTCTAGCATGTCGGGTGTCGATAATTTGGTTTGTTGAGGGGAATTAGACGGGATAGGCAGAAGCGCTAGTTTCAAAACTATCTACATTAGTGATTAAATATGTGATTTGTCAAAATAATGGGCAAAATAGTATAATAACTCCAGTTAACCTTCAAGAGAAACCCACCAAGACATCTGAAACCGTGTAGCTGAGAGGGAAAGAGCAAATAGAGAATCTCGAGGAAGAAGACTCAAATTATCTTAAAATTAATAATTATCCATTTAGCTATTCTGCTTCATTGTCTAGGAATACAACTTCCTTAGATTTCAATACTTGAGAGGGTATGAGTATGTTATTTGTAGTTGATATACATTCATATAATGAACCACATCTGAGGACTTGAAGCCAGATAACTTTGGCTTTACTAGTATTTAAAGTTATGACTTGTTGTAAAGAGGGAAAACCGGAAGTTACATTGATCAAGGTTCTGGGGTTATGAGGTGGCATTCGTTCTTGAATCTTAAAATTATTATATACAATGTGTCCAATAGTTCAATTCGAGATACTAAAGAGTTAGAAATTTTAGGAGTATTTTGATCACTTGCTTTGATAGATTCAACAATCAAAGTGATTTCATGTTCACAAGATTCAAACTATTCTTATTGTTGGACTCCATTCTAGAAAGTGTGAACACACTTGATCATGTAGCTCCTTCTAGTTTTTGGTGTCGTTCCTTCTTCATTTGTTAGTGTCAAGATCAGAATGAAAACACATTAAATATTGCTTTCCCCTTCTCACAAAAGCATCAAATTCGCTCATCAACTCATCATCTTAAAAGAATCAATCATCAACTTTCTTCTTGCTTCATTCAGAAAGATGCCGACGAGAGCTCAATTAGAAGAATATGCATCCGGTGTAAACGAGGAGGTTGGAAAACACTTTGCATATAGGGCTGCAATTGCAATTCATGACCTGATATGCCTGAGTGAGAATGAGCAACGACATGACGCAGATTTAATTAGTGTAGGCAAGATTTTTGATTTCACCCCCGCGCCGATGATGCAAGAAAGAGTCAGGCTCTCGAACTACCTATTGGCCCTAGACACGGTTATTCCGAGGTACTGGGCAGTAAGACTCCAAATTTCATGCCTTGAATACGCAGACAGATGCGACATATTCAGAAATCAGCTCAATTATCTGGAAAATTCTCCGAATAATGGAGACTCATCAAAGGGAGAGTATGAGTATTTGATTAGAGCGTCGGCTGAAGCTAGAACTAAAATTTTGGGTGATATCAACAGAGCCCGGAATTTCATCGTCCCTGATGAGCAAAATGCTTTACAATGGGCTTTTGAAATTATGGCTCACCAAGGACCACCGGAAGATTTATGGTTCATAAAGAGCTTGAAAAATTACTATCAGATTTCGAGACCAATAATGGATGGAGTCAGTATTGAACCTTCCGAGTTTGGTGATATTGATCGCGATGAAACTTGGTGTGTTGCTACGGGAACTTGGGGGCCACCAAGTCGTCTGCGGCCTGTTAGGATCGTCCCATCACAAGTAAGCACGGATGAATGGGGTGCATTGTTTCCTATCACACCCTATGGTAAACCATACCATCCTGAGAATGGTTTAATGCTCGACAGACAAATCGCAGAAAATTATGAGGCCTGTCGAATCTCTATAATACCATCAAGTAGGGACCATCACGGAGTAATGGCGTGGGAAATCCGGGTCCTGGACTCCAACCTTTTGCAATGCAGACACGAGGAACTAGGATGTTCTTTTGAAAGTCTTCATACACGGCCGTTGGAGTTTTTGAATCTGTGTAAACCACGACAAGACTTCATGCAATTCCAGTTCCTTCTCTGCCTGGCCATCTCATCAGGGAAGAATTTTGGCAAGGAAAGAATGGACCTTGAAGTGTCTCAGGGTTGCAGATCTTGGGGATTGTTGATAGAAGGCGGCGGGATCTTTCGGGTGAGGAAGGCTGTGCTTCAGGAGATGGACCAATACTCGGGTCGTAGGCTTCCTGGTCATCATACATCAAAAATATCAATTATGGCACCTTTATTGGCAAGGATCTTTAATGTAGAAGAGCCAAATGAAGATTGATAGTTAAAAATAAAGGAAACTGTAGTAGCAGTTAAAGCACTCTGAATGTTGGAAGTAGAGCGCGGGATTTTGGTGGCGTACATTGTCTGTAATACAAAATAAATAATCACAGTATTTTCAAAAAAGATTCTGAATGGGGGACTGATTGTCTCATGTTTAATTCCACTTTGAAATTGCTTACTAGGAGAAAATAAGAATAGTCTTATCTTTCTTGATGTCGTTATACTACCATAGGAATTCGAAATAGAATACGAAGTTCGTATAAGATGTAGTGTACAATTTTGATCGTAAAGACTAACTAATTACCTATTCAAGAATCAAGAATCTTTATTCTTCAATGTTCTTTTTGACCTTCAAAATCGAATTCAAATGTAGGGGAAATTTAAAAAACATTTACTAATATATATCTAAATAATTAGGTGGTTGGAATTTGGAAGTTTGAGGGGGGAGGTTTGATATCAGGAATTGATTGCTTGGTGGGAGTGAAAGTGGAGGGAAAGGGAGGGGGAGGGAAAAGTGGAAGGGAAGAGAAAGAAACGCGTGTAAAGTTCTGAGAATACTTTTCTTTTTACTTTATGTTTGTGTAATATGTAGCTAGGTCGGTATTTTCGGGTTTGGGTTTGGCGAATTAGATAAAGTTGTTGGATATTCTTTTCGGTGAGACGGTCAGTGTATTTATATGCAAAGCGCGTTAATTGGTATTGCTTAGTGGCTTCTTTAAATACTCATGTGATGATTTATGTCAAAAACTTTTCACGACTACGTTCATAAATCACCCCAGAAAAATCATTGATATTGATGTAAGCTTAGGGTATTCCAAAACCCCCTGAATTAGTTTCTCGCTAATTTTGTTGGTCCCACCACGTTTCCGGCGTAACCATTATGTAGGATTAATGTCTGACAATTAAATCATCCAAGGATGTCTCTGAGAATTTTAAAATACAAGGTAGCCCGGGAAAATCGTAGTCAATATTAATGAATATATGAGTCGAATGAGTTTGATATTGCGACAGGAAAAGAGGTGTCCAAATATGATTCCTCCAGCCGAACCCAACACATCCGGAACTTAGCGTTGAAAACGATACAGAAAATCAAGCCCGAATATTCCCCCATGTTCTGAGTTCAAGTGTTTATAGCATAAGCCGGAATCCGTAAACGTTTCCAGACACACCCAACAAAGATGTGCTCCACAATTACACACAATGTGATTACACCCGTTCGTCTTCTCAATATGAGTCTTACAATTTGGACATTCCTTGATCCCCATCTTCTTCATCTTTTCCAGCGTTGCTTCATAGTTTCCTGAGATTTCGTCCTCGTACTCCGCGCATGTTTTGTTCTCGTGTTGCTTGTGGCAATATGTGCAAATTACTGTGCAGCATTCGATACAAGTATTGAAATGCATCGTCTTAGTTACACGATAGATAGTATTGCAATTCGGTTTTTGGCAATAGCGGAATTCCTGCGGATTACGCTGAATGTGAGTTGAGAAGGAGGCTTCCAGAATATCTTCGAATGCCTTGGATGACAGAATCTCTTGTAGTTCTTCGAGGCTAAAGGTCCGTTGACATTTTCCCATGTTGCCATGACAATTGATTGAGAAGTCTTTCCCGGCAGAGCTAGCGGCATTACAAGATAGTTCGAAACACTCGGAGCAATATACATGTTTGCATTTGGTTAAAACTGGGCTCTCTGGCGGCTCCCAGCACACAGCACAAGACTCATTGGCGGCGATTGACCGGGAAACCGGGTTTGATTCTCTCTTGCTAATCATTCTCAACGCAGTCCTATATTGATGTTCTGTACCTTCGATCAATATTCTCTTTGGCGTAGAGATAATGTCAAAGCTGGCGATATTCCTTCCAAGTGTTGCAGTAATCATCCTAAATCCACCATTACATGCCCAAATGTAGTCTTCGGGTTCTAATTCGATGATGTAGGCAGAAAACGGTTCGGCATTGATAATGTTTGTGATAATCGATTCCACCTCTTTGCACTTTTCTTTCGAGCCATACAGTTTGAGCTCTTGCTTTCTTTTGTTCCGCACGATAATGACCCCGTGCTTTTGCTGTGTTTCCTTTAATCTCAGAAAGACGGATCCATTGCTGGTTAGAGAAGGAGTCCATAAAGGTTTTCCATCACTCATCACCGTGATTCCATCCAGTATCTCATTCAACGTCTCCTTTGCAATCGCCACCTCTTTCGATACCTCCCCTTCAATTCTGAGAACCCTATATTGGTTTCTGAGACCAGCACTGGGATAGATCTTAAATTTCAAATCCTTTTCATTCCAAACTTGGCTTGCAGTGCGAATCCGACTTTGCACGGCACTGAAAATCGAGCTCGAGACCTTGAATTTCGCGCTGCTAATAAGCTGAACGGTCAAGCTCAAAGCGGGAGAGAATGGTAAAGGCGTATTGTCTAGCGTAGCGACTGCTGCTCTTGCATCAGATTCCTCGTAGTATCGAGCAACGCCTTTTGCTGTTGTAGATTTAGGGATTAGTAATTGCACATGACAGGAAAAATTTCGGGTGGAAATAAAGAGAAAAATAGTTTGCAGAGGGAGAAAAAGACTGTGGCTTGAAACTAGGGGATAGTATTAGGCGTAAAGAAACCAAAATTTAATGCAACGAACCTTTGTTTCCCTCTACCTCTGTACCGATCTGGCTCCATTCAATTTGGCCAGTCTGAAATAACAGGGACATCACAATAGCACTAGCTTCTTCTCCTTCTACCTCATAGCTGAGGGCTGATAGTTTTACACTTAGAGGCTTGTCTTGTCGTGACGTTATAGCAGAAGTGATGTCTTTTTCCGTGATTGTAGCAGGCAGCATCGGGAGAAGCAGCGTCCAGGTCAGTGTGTTTCTTTGTCCTTCGCTTGCTATTGGTGAGTTACATATTGTTGTTTGACCAAGAACGTTGTAAATTTTTGATTTGAACTTGGTAGATACCCTCTTTGCAATATCTTCGTTTCCAAAATAAAGCCATGCCGACTTGTAAGGCTTATACCAAGAGCACTGAACCTTCTTGCATTCGATTTGATGGGCATTTGTGCCCGGTGGCAATCCAGCAGAAACATGAAATGCTTCTATTTTTGGGTATCTAGCTCTCAACCCACTTCTCCCTCTGAATATCGAACACAATCTCGTCGCAAAGGTAGGATCATCAACTCTTATATCTGCTGATGCAGTGCTATTTTGCTGTCGGACTCTCACACATTCTGGTATGATCTGTATTCCTTCTTCGGACAAAAGTGAAGAAACAGATTCAGATGTACTGTCCGTCGGTAGCCCGTCGATTCGAGCGGCGGAAAAGTCTGTCGAGAGGGTGACTTTAGATACTTGCGCGCCGACATGGAATTGAGCCAGTGCACCACTAAACTGTCTTGTGAAGTTGTCATGGCTTGGTTTTTCCTAGCATTCATTAGTATCAAGGAAGCAAAATTTAGTATCAGGGAGCAAACCTCAGGTTCTAAATCGAGGTCCATCTTATTCTCTTTCTGTGCAACATGAGAGTATGGACAGTTACTCCCGTTTCGACAATTACCTCTAGCATAATGGTGGCATGGAATCTGCGAGCGAGGATCTTTCGTTGAAGGTAGAGATGCGGTCTTGGATGGTTTCCTCTGGGAGCCAGGAATGCGAGGTGTAGTAGTAGTCTTCTCATGGGAATAACGACATTTCTCTCCTCTCGTGCAATTTCCTTTCGCGAAAAACTTGCAAAGGGCGGGTGGCGCCATATTTTACCTAGCACGTATTCCGTTCTTTTTGGTGATCTGAGCTTGTGTGTTTATTGTAGGTACCTAGGTAGGGATAACTATTAACTAGCTAATACCCCTCATTTTCTACTGTATCAACCCATACGCTTGACATGGGTCAATCATCTAATAAAATTAATTGCTAGCCTTTGTGTGGCTGTTCTAGCCTATTAGTATCGAGAATGGTAGATTGGATGAGAAAGTTCTTTTGTAACTGGCTGGTTGTGGGGTGTGTGAGACATTTCATGCAACCAAACGAATTATAAATAACAAACAATATGAGCATGGATTATCCAGACCATAGACTTCAAGAACCTCCTAATTGGTAGTAGAAACTGAACGCATCATGATATTATGAAATAATACTTCCTTATTCACCGTCTAAAAGTGGTTTGTTGTTGTACCTATTTTTCATTAAAAGAAGGCACCTGAAAAGTCGTCGACTCAAAGAAGAAACGAGTTCTACATGGGTCTAATATCAGGCGCTAGTTTCGACAAATTCATCATTGGAGTTAAGCATTCTCATGATCTTGAGCTTGTCAGCTCCGAGTCAATTGATGATGAGAAATGATGTGCTTTAGGAAGTGGGAGCCAACTATTTTCTCATCTCTCATCTAAGATCCTACTTTATTTTCTTTCATCGTCTCTGCGGAGATCTCGACTTGGCTGTTCTGAAACGTAGATTCGAACTTATGCACCCTTGCCTTCATCACTTATGTAGCCTTTATTTGTCTTCGGATCCACAACAAGGGTATACAGACCAAGTTTAAGCCAAAAGAAATCGAGAAAAACTCGTGTGAAGTGAGAGTCTTTCATGAGGTATCCGATGTAATAAACCAGTCGATAGTAAGTGGAAGAATACAAGCAAAAGCAACTAGGAGCTTCGGGACTATAACGAAAGGCAGTACAATAACTAGAAATCTCTGAGGGTCTTGAGGATGTTGCAAGGTAAAATGAAAAGAACGTTGATGCCCTCCCTTATTAGCGGACCAAGCTTCAACATCATTTTTTAAGTGATGCCAGTTTGCCAAAATGGACTATTCTTCAATGATAAAACAACTATTGTGTATCCAAGCACAACTATTAATATTCCAAAAATCATCCAAGAAGTAGTACTTCCCCCAAAATTACCATGTTTATGTGTATCAGGAAAGAGACACTGAGCTGGCATAGCCATATAGTCCCACCAGTTTGGCCCCCTGATAAATAACAAGGAATAGCAAAAAGCTAGCCATTACTAGTAACAGCAATATCATACCGGCTCTGGTAGCTGGATATCTGACCATAAGATCTCAGAGTACTCGTACTGATGGAAGACATCTTCTGGAGATAAATCATGCTACGTCAATGTTAGCCTGCTGAATAATATACCCAGATATCACAATCATCACACTCAATGTCTGTCTGATAGTTAACTATTTCGTTGAAGAATTGGAGCCGTATCGAATGGTGCTTCAATAAGTAACACCCATCATCAGAATTCTATCACAGACAATAAAGGATTGTGGAATTAGTGAAATCTTCTAATCACTGCCGACATAATGACTTTAATCGCTATCGCTACTTTCCTCATCTCACCACTCTCGTCGCCACTTGACATACTTTTGCTGGCACGGTAATACATACCGTAAATCCAAACTCAAAGATAAAAATTGAGCGCAGCCCAGCCTGCCCAGGTCAGCAGAAATCATGAAATTATCGAGGGATAAATATTCAATTCTGCACATGGCGGAGGAGTGATAAGAATCCGGTATCCAATAAACTAATCCTCATTTGAGGGGAGAGTATAGACGCTTATATATTCCTTTCAATAGTGAAGTACTAAGGTAGGTTAATCTTACAAGGAATTTAGTTTTTCCGGAATCGCAGCAATGATTCACCAAAGGGAATTTTGGAAAGAATTACTCCACAACTTCCTATATGAATCTCACAGCTTGTGAATCTATTTCCATCACCAGCAAAGGAAAAAAACTTAGGAACGGTATAAGACTTCTGGAGTTGTCTACATTCTTTAGTAAAGGAAGATTGTAGCCATATAGGTAGGTATAGATAGGGAACATCTGAACTACCTACTCCAGTCTCTAAATTGCTCGAAGCTGAGAATTCTCGGCTTTCGTGCATGGAAAAGAGTAAAGAGGAATCGAAAACAAATGGAATCTTGCCAGGCATTATAGATAGCGAGCGATATTCAATATTTACGATAGTGTGATATGGAAATAAGTGTTGATAGCGAGAAGTTATGTAAATATGGGTGATGGAAGATGGAAGCAAACAACAGTCTCTCAGCTCCATTACAATATGCCTCATCAAAGTGCGGTATGGTCGTTTAAAGTGTTTTGATGACAGATAGGTATATAGCGATCAGTACCATGACAGACTACTACTATCTGACCATGGTAAAATATCTCTAGATCGACTTCAGATCAAACCATCCTTTTTATACTTCCTCACCAGTCTTTAAAAAAGGGTAAGCGAGATTGAAGTCGAGTGCAGACCAATACTAAATGGAATTTTTTATTATAATAAAAGTACTATGATATTGTGGCCAAACTATCCGGAAAACCAGGACCTCTTATTATCTGGAAAGTAGGACCAGAATCTTAGTGTGTTCTCCGAAATCATATAGCTGTGCATCAGCACAATACGAGAACTAAGGCTTTAGCACGGTCGGTAGAGGGAAAATGTAACAGGAGGGTTATGGAAAAGAAGGAAAGTAAGATAATGTGTTCTGATAGTTCGTCTCTATTTTATTGACATTGGGAGGTATAATGTAATTCTATTTGTGATGATGAGATATAGTAATGATAGTAATGAAGACTAAATGATAACAAGATGGGTAAGAGTTGTAAGGGTTTGATATAATAAGAACACGGCATCATTAACCTACAAAACAATAGTAGCAAAAACAATGATGCTAACAACAATTTCTCGCCCCATTTAGAACCACATCTCCGAATCTTAAAAGAATCTTCCCATCTCAAAAATCACTCTATCAAGATCCTATTGTCGAAAAGTACTACAGAATTTATCTAGCTAATGTCAAGGTATCTATGAAGACGAACTTGCTTCGATCTTGATGTAGTTATCATTTCTAAACCTCGATTTGAATAAAGATTTATTATTTTTATTATCTTGATTAGAATAAAAAATTTCTTATTTCAATTCTTTTTAAAGTTTAATTAATTATAATTCTTTATTTGATTATCTTTATAATAATTATATTCATATACAAATATGAATATAATTACAAATATAATATTTGAAGGTTTATATAATATATTCAATAAAAAAGGAATGAAAATAAGAAGGAATGAGGGGATGACGGGATGATGCCGAATGTTGATGTTGATGTTGAATACTGGTATCGTGTAGAGTTTCGCGATGATGTAGATATTAGATATTAGCTATGAGTGGTACAGCGATATACTACCTATCTAAAAGACACTTTACGCCTTGCGCCTTGCGCAGCGTGTATAGGAAGTAAAGGACAGACAACGAATATATATGTATCACCAATTATCAAGCAAATAGATAATACAACACATGTATCATATCACGTCACATCACAAAATCATTAGGCAAACAAATATGTGATCAACAATTTGATTCTTATTCCATCGATAAATATAACAACACAAAATTTGGGTCACACACCACTTAGATCAATTAGGTCAAAGTGGGAGACACACCAAGAATATTCCGCTAACAAGCCAGTCCAACCTAGGAAAAAAGGAAAGAAAAAAACGGAAAAGTATCTATAAATCCATGGCGAAAGAGCCACTCATTCAACGATATTCCCTTACAAATCCCTAGGGTCCTTCCCTTGGAAAGGAACAATGAAAAAAATAAACCATCCAAGACTTCAGTACCGCCCATCTTAATATCAAAGTATGAAATAGAAAGATACAATATAACAATAATACTTTTCGAACTAAAGAAATCCACGACTATAGCGTCATAACTGTGTCCCTTTGCGACAGCTGCTACTATAATCTCCTTGGAGTAAAGAGAACCAAAAATCCCTCCCTCCAATCCATGAGTGTGCCGGTGACTGTACCATAGTCTTTATTGTGCATTACTTCTTCTCAAAGCTTTTTCCTTCCAATGATCTCTCTCAGCGGTTAACTTTGCGATTTGTTCTTCAAGCTCTTCGAATCGTTGCATTTTTCTTTGTCGAGACTTTCGGGCAGCAAGAGTGTTACGAGCTCGTTTCATTGCGGCAGTGTCGTTAGGGTCGTCAACGATGATAGGTGCTAAGGGTTTTGAAGGTTTTCGAACACCAGATGTAGCAGACATTGGTGATGTTGCGGAACCAGATTTGCGACGATTATCCTTTTTCTCATGAAGTTGCTCCGATATTTCGAGTTCTTCCTCTACTGCCAAAGGAGAGTTGATGGCGTTTGGCTGCTCGTTGTTGTCTACGTCAGGGAAAAGAGAGAACCAAGGATCACCTTGAACAACGTTGTTATCGTGGAGACCGTCATGACCGACAAAAGGCGAATCATCCTGATCGAAAGCAGGGGACCCGTCAAACGTAGATGGAGTGGTCAAGCTTGTATACGCAGCTGAGTTAGGAGCAGAAGAGAACGAGTCGCGAAGAGAAAGGTCTTGAGGCGAAACAAATGACATGTTGGAGAAGCTTGTAGATGACAAGTTGTTTGTTGGGTCATACATTGTTGCAAGAGCAGGGGAAGAAAAAGCCGAAGAGTACGAGTTTTGTGTCGAGGTTCCACCCTCGAAAGGAGTGAATTCATCAAAAAGATCCATGTCTGCGTGTAAATGTGAGTCATTGCGGAAACGTGCATGTGAATAATGATTTAATAAATTACCTTGCAGAGCCATGTTTAGATTCCGCGGTATGCTTCCAGTTGATTGTGAAAACAAGGGTACTGGAGGACGAGATCGCTGAGGTCGTTGCAAAGTTGCTGGAGAAGCAGGCGCAGAAGAGTAAAAATTCTGATGCTGCCCAAGCTGCGGAGAGTTGAACCGGTTGGTAAAAGCTGAAGTAGAAGGGTGTCCAGTAGATTGTATTATCGCTGCGACTCTCTGATTCTGCAGCAATGGGGAAGCAGATGCGAGATTGGATGAGTGACGACGATTTTGACCAGTAAAGGTTTGGCTATTGGACAGACTAGGGGTATGATGAACGTTCGGAGTTCTGGTCTCGAAGAGAACAAAGTCCTGCTGAGAGGGATCTTGATGAACCGTATTGTTCAGAGGATACTGATACGATAGTTGATTTGGTGATTGTGCCGGCAGGCTCGATGGATTGGAGTTGGGAAGCCATGTTGATTGGGAATCCGTTGTGAAAGAGTTTAACTCTTGTGGGAGTATTGTTGCGGTTGAAGGACTAAAGCTGCTGAAAGCGTTGCTAGTAGTCAGATTTTCCTGGAGGGGAAAATTTGGAGTAGAGGGGGGGGATTGAGTTGAGAGTGTTGGTATAGTTGGAGAAATAATTTTGATGACTGAGGAAGTCAACTGAGGGATGATCGGGAGGATCAATGACTTAGAACATTTTGAGTAAAATGTCCTTTCATGTAATGTATTATTGTTATCTGTAGTTTCTGTAATGATTGATGGGTTGTTGTGTTTGTTGGTGTGGTTGTGATTAATAGAAGAGAAAGAAGAGGGAGAAAGAGAATTGAGTTGTTCCTGGGGGAAAAGGATATTCTTATGGGACCGGGTGCGAATGAAAAATAATAACCCACCCTACTACAGCAAATGGGTTCTTTCTTACCGAGAATTTTATTTGTTAGTTGAAAAGTTCAAATGCTAGGTAGTAGTAAGGATGTGGTAAGGATATGGAACATTTAATTGATTTTAATTGGATCCTTTGTGGTGTGCGTACAGAAGTAGATGCTTGACCCTAATATGTTTGGAGATTAGCTGGATATTAGGTATGAGTCACAATTGTCTTTGGGTCTCTTATCCGTATCAGCCCGTCACTGTCTTGTCTTGCATGTAACTGTATTGGAGTGCAGGTAAGATTCTGCGTGGTTGGTAGTAATAAGTTGTGGTGGCTGTTGCTTCTCCTCCTTGTCATCGAGTAGCGGATATTGGATACCGGGTACTGAATACTGAATCTACTGAATCTACTGAATCTACTGAATATCTATCTCTCTTTCCGATAGGTTGTAAGGAAGTCGGAGTCTGGGAATATATCTTCTTCGAATTCCCTCCTCCCACAGCTCGGCTTTTACTTTGAACAATCATCATTCCGCTCAACATCGACACAAGATAAGATCTCCTAGCCCTAAAATTTTCATTCCCTTTATTTCATCCTCATGGACCATTGATCCTTGCTTTCACCATTTCACCAAGGTTACGCCCTGCGAGAAAGCCTTGCTCCATTTTAGGTCACATCTCATGCCGCGTTTAAGGTCAGATGTGATAGAGTTCTCTTGATAGGATAGAGACGGGAACTACAGGTACACAGAGTACCTCCGTCTTTATTACCTACCCTTCGAACTCTTACTTCGATGGATTTTACAGATAGAGATGACCACTCTTTGATGTATTATTAACCTTTTCTTACTCTCCAGAAGCGATACTAGATATTCATGCAATGTTTCTTTACACTCGATGGGAGAGTGTATTCAGAGAAGAGTGAGGGGAAGGTCATTTCATTTGGACCAGCAGATATCAAAGTCATATGCCATTTTCCCCTGGGGAATGAGAAACTGTTTGGAGGGTTTGCGGTCTGCCCGCCTACATCCACTTCATCGGACCACAATACCTCTGTACTCTGTACTCTGTAGGTTTGGTTTATTCCGTTCTATTTCCTTTGCCCTCATTAATTCTTAATTCCGCGAATCTTTTTTAATTCCGGTCTTACATTTATTTCTCTTTAACCTCTTCAATACTTTGACATCAAAGCTACAAGGGATTTCTCAGCACGGATAACCTGATACTGCATATAATCTATTTGGAGCCTTTCAAAGACCTTGAAGCAGCACGCCGTGTCGATCATTCTTGACCGTTTACCAAAATCATCTCGCCGGCCGAGCAGCTGACCGAAGGAGGCCGCTTTAAATGGAGTAACTACCGACCTAGTGCACAGTAACCTCCGTACTGCCTATTCTTTTAAATTCTAACCCTAAACCCCCACCCTCAATTTTTGGCTAAAGAGAAAAGAGGGTGGGTTGTTGCGCAACTGAGCCCTTCACTTGACATCAATGAGTGGACATCTTGTCACGGAATTCCGCTTCATTTGTGTCCAGTCTGTAGGAATCTTACTTTGAACCCAGTCCAATTCATGCCAAGAAGCATATGTATCCTCTGCACACGCACACGCAAAGACACCAAAGGTCCTAAGCCTCCACAAATCAATATCACAATATCACTCACCAGTCCTCCGTACTTCCCTACATGATAATACCTAGTAGGTAATCAAAATCGCCAGGAATTCCTAACAATTTCCACCCTCCCTGTCTAATGGTTTATGACTCATAGTCAGTCTGCATCTAGACTTACTACTTTGAAACGCCAAAGTCTCCTCGATTTCTAAGCAGAAAGTAAGATATCGATTCGTTCAACAAGTTTCATTGGTGAGCGATCGAAGCTGCCGCCTGAAAATTCTGCATCAAGGCTGCAGATGGTACTTTTTTTGGCTTACGCATACGCATCGTCGCATAATGTCGTGTCGTATTTTTTATGTTCGAATTTGGGTTTGAGAGGCTCCGAGCTGTGAAACGTTGATTTTCTTTTCGTCATGTTTGTTTCCGCGATTCTTTCTGCGTGGGGTGCATTTAGGTATGGCACGTGATTTTCACGTGTATATGTATCCTTAGAAGCTGCTTCAATCTGATTATATCCAGATAACATTGTCTAGATCGACCTGAGAGATCTAGATTTACTATTCTCCAACCATCTTGTTTTACGCGGTAGCTTGCTCATAGGGCTGAATGCGGGGATCCCGTCTTGGATCTGCTGGCGTGATGGTTGGGCTTAGTATGAGTCATTGACACATCTGTGGGGTATAGATATCTCGAGGAGGGGAGTTTATTGTCGTAGATGAATTGCTTGGATGACTAAAACCTTAACCATAATCCGACGTCAACTTTACCATTAGTGTGGTGGACAATAGTGTGCAACCTGCGGGAAGCTCTGCTTTTTGCAGCAATGATTTGGCGCACCACTGCTTTCCGTGATCTATCCTCGTTAGTGTTTCAAGGACCTGGCACGGATTGTTCCTGGTTTACGGCATCTATACATCTCAAAATATCTGAGTACGAGCTAGCACTTACCGTATGTTCAACTTTAGTGCCGTCGGCAAAGTCTACTAGCTATAAAAAATACATGCTGGTACTGGTGCATCGCCCTTTGGGTTACTCCTCGAGGAGCGCTGTTCAAGTTGTTGCACATTGGCGATGTTAAAAAAGGATGGCAATCAAGTAACGACCACTGTCAAAAGTCACTATTCACAAACTTAGGATCTTGTAATCACTGTTACAGCAGGGAAATGCTAATGTAGTGGTATGTTTTAAGAATATGAAAAAGGGGATGGGTGACGTATCAAACCATGAGCTGTTCTCTGTCCACGTCCCCAAACTGCCAGATAACAGATGATGTAAATCAAATCAAAAACTGTGTCAGGAGACTAAAACCTCATACCGTGCTTCTCATCTACGGAAGAAACACATATGGGGTGCTGATACCATCGGCTCTCCAGACCAGGGTTAATCAGGTGACTAGATTAAGGTGTCTGTGCGTCAAAGCCTCCTTCAACTGCTAAACATCGCTCTTTTCAGAATATCACACACCACAATTCACAATCCATAATGCATATTCTGACTTTGTTCTTCACACTTTATTCATTCATCTCCTCCTGAATAGTACCTTATCTATAAGGTATTCGACATATATGTTACCACCGCGGAAATAATTGTGCAACAACTTTCACGAAAACGATCGCTAAGTTCCTCACTCGGTCATATATGCATTGGACATGTAAGTTGGGGAAGCAAGTCCAAAGCAAAAGAACTTGAGCGAAGCCTTGATGATCAAATTCTATTTGTGATTCTACGTTTACTGAGAAGTTTTTGATTCTTGCTGCTGCACACGGCATTTCAGCTTTTCAGCGCACCCTGCATTCAAGTGCCACCTCTTGGCTATGTCTTACTAGAATGACACGCGTCTTTTCAAATATATGCTGTACCTCTGTACCACTAGGGTTCGGCGTATTTCGTTGGCTCTGCCCGAGTCAGGGTATGCCCTATCAAACATCGTCACCACCACCTAAGGCGCCGTTTTTAATGTTTCGAAATCTCTGACTCCATTGAACTGGAACTTACGGCTTGATTCCCCGACGTATACCCCAGTTACACGTCTGGGGATTAAAATTTAAGATTGACGATGCATTATATTCAAAATGGATTTATACCAGCAACAACCAATTGATCTCGACCGACCTGCTATTCGACTTCTTCAGCTTCTTAAAGGAAAGCTTACAGAAAGCATTCGGTGTAATCTTTTAACTGGATGGTTTGACGAACCCGAAAGCATCATACCATATTCTGCTTTGTCATACACGTGGGGAGGTACAAACAAGTCATGCGAAATCACGGTCGACAATACCACAATCAATGTCACCGCAAACTTATATTCGGCACTTATGCATTTACGCCTTGAAGATAAGGATCGAATTTTATGGATTGATGCTATCTGTATCAATCAGGATAATGTTCAAGAAAAGATCCATCAAATTTGTCAGATGGATGCCATATATAGGGCTGCCGAAGAAGTTATTGTTTGGTTGGGCAATGGTACTAAAGAGACCGACTTTATTATGAATTCTATGGTACTATTGCAAGAGTTTTGTCTGAATCATCCAGCAGACTGGAGAGGCGCAGCTAAAGTTTGGTTGCAATATCAACAATCGCTCACGCGCGAGTATCATCAGAGGTCTCGAATAGGTATCCGTGAATTGTTAGGTCGACCATGGTTCCGAAGAATCTGGATTGTGCAAGAAATTGCGAATGCTAGGCTTGCGACAGTTTATTGTGGCAGGTTTTCTGTATCCACACGGATCTTTGCACAGTTTCCTGTTTTGGTTCGCACTATTTCCAATTATTGCTCTGTTCCGCTTGAGGTACCTGGCCATTGTCAATCTGTTCTAGATATTATGCCTGGGCTCTCACGAAAAGAGTCTTGGTGGGGGGGAGGCAGAGAACTTCACACTCTATTAGTAAAGTTTCGCAAAAGTGAAGCCACTGACGATCGAGATATGATTTATGCCTTGCTAAATATATCATCAGATGCTCGTGGTAGTGATATCTTGAATCCAAAATGCGACAAACCATTACAGCAGGTTATTCATGAGACTGTTTCATTCATCATTCATGAGAAATATTCTCACTCGACTTACTCAAAAAACGATGCTTCGTTGTATGAATTTCTTGATTGGACATTGTCAACTTTCTTGGATAATCTAGAAGAGCTAAATAGTGTCATTCTTGGAGCAGCTTCAGAGGCTGGAAAGGGGCATCTGGTCAAGTTGTTACTTGCGACGGATGGGATCAAGGTCGACTTTCAAGACGATCACGGCCGGACTCCGCTGCAACGTGCATTCTGTGGAGGCCATCGAGTTATTGTGCGGCTATTAATTGAAGAAATTACCCAGGCCAACAATTTTAAGTATCGTGAGTGTAACCAGGGATTATTTTGGGCTGTTGGCTCCGGAGATGAGGGTGCTGTTAGGTTATTGCTTGAAAGGGGTGCTTCGATTGAAACAAGGACTGGATATGATAGAACAGCGTTATCATTAGCTGTTCTGTATGGAAAAACGACTATTGTTAAGTTATTGATTGAGAATGGTGCTGATATTGAAGCAAGAGATCTCGAGGGTCAAACACCGTTATCATTAGCTGCTAGGAATGGGGAAATGGATATCGTAAATTTATTACTCAGGAAAGGAGCTAAACCTGAAGCGAAGGATAAGACTGGAATTATTAGAGTCCTACAGGTCTGGAATGTTTGCATGTTCTCGGCATTCACTTTCACATTCAGCATCCTTCGAATCTTCCTAATTGTTGCACGCTCCTGTCTACATATGGTCCCAGGGATTCTAGGGTTTTATTTTCTTTCGGGAAGGTTTGGGCTTTTTCGAATGTACCGCATCTTTGGAATCTTTGGAGTCTTCCAGATCTTTCTTCCGTTTGTGATTTTTCAGTTCCGAGAAAGCTTTGCAAGCATATTTCTTCGTCGTCGGAATCGCACCGGCTTTTGATACCTGGTTACATATTACAGAAGAACTGGGCTACAATTAAGCTCAGCCTCTTTAATGATTGTTCCCAAGATAAGCTTTCCACGAACCACAAAGAGGCTTTAGCATCTAAACTAGACAAGCTGGCGTCACAAATATTCAACTCCGACGTAACCTCATGCATTCTCTTCCGATACAGGTTGGATGGGATTCTTCAACAACTACTGAGTATATAAGACAATTTTGTATTCATAGCATTAAGCGAGACTCAAAGTTGATCTGGTCATAGATATCGCGATAAGCTGTTCGCAATGGTATGCATACTTCTGAAAAAGGCCTAGAATCTTTTTTGCAACTATGGTAATGCTGTTTTTGTTCCATTTCCCAGTACGGACAGTTTCGTGTTGATGGGTTGCAAATGGTTGGATTGATGAGTCTGGACCTTTCATAACCCAGCCCAAACTTCCTCCGGCAAACAGTCGCTTCTTCCTTCAATACCTGGTGAAAGGTGGGAGCGGATGCATCTACTATCAGAATTATTGAATCACCGGACGTAAAACGAGGGACAGGAAGATTTTTTATGTTGAGTCTGGTTCTTCACATACGGGTATCATGTTGTGAGACGGCCGATACACCATACACAATGAGAAAGAGATTTACCAAGTTCCTACAATACATGCATTCATTTCCTATATCTATCACATTTATGCACTACCATCTCCGATCCCCTATCTCCGAAAATCCCACAATCCCCGGATCCGAATAACGACAATGATTGCCCCAGCATCATCCAAAGATCCAATTTCCACTCATTTCATCCATATTCAGTAATTTCTCGCATCATGATTTCAGCCTTTCCTTTTCGTTAAGTAGGAAAATGAAAGCTACCCATGGAAAAATGAGCTTATTCATTTATTACACTATCACGTGATATCAGACACTGAGATCTAGAAATTGGACCCGAGTTTTGCATAGCGAGTTTAGGGGATAACCATTAATATTCTATGGGGTCTACTGGATATTTGGAAGTGCCAAATAAAGGCAAATACAGGATGAAATAATATAAAAGACGGGAAGAGATCCGAAGTCCGAGATTGATAAAAATTTTCGGAGCCGATGTAGATCTGCAACAAAATGCTCATACAATGGCTTGCGAGGAATTTATTGGTTGGGTTTGCGTGAATGGTGTTGGTGGTGGGAAATATTTCCGGGATCATCGGTTTAGTGTAATCATAATGGTAGTAGGATGGGTGCGGGTTGTTGGTTAGTTGGTGGTTAGTTTACTTACTTGGTGTCCTTTGATATGTGTTATGGCCGAGATTTTCGGCCGAGAGGTTTCGGAGATAAGATGGGATGGGATGGGATGGGATGGGATGGGATGGGATGGGATGGATGAGAATTCTTAGAGTTTGAGAAAGGATTGACGGACTCGTGATTGGAGTTTTTGCTTTGTGGTTTGTACGATGTTATTGTAAGTGTATATTTATTTGGTAATCGTGGGGTGGCTCTCTCTTGTTATGGGAGGGGGGGGGATTTCTGGTTTATTCGGCCGACTAACTAACCTTACTTGCAATAGTGGAAGTATATTATGTTTTATGTTCTATATATTAATTAGTATCTATAAATAAATATACATACGGACCCTCAAAACCCCCTCTCCAAAACACTCCAAGATTCATTACCTTCTCCTCACTCCTCACTCCACATCTCATCCACATCATCCAAGACTATTTAACCCCGATCGATCAACTCGATCTCCGGCATAAGACTCTCTCGGCCGACACGATATGATATAAATATGATATAATATCTTTTATTTACTTGCTTGCTTGCTACCACTAGATGTACTACTAGTATGTATATATGACAATCTTAGTTTAATAATTCGAAATTTCAAAATTTCAAAGATTTTACTATTTTTGTTGTTTATTGGAGTTGGGGGTATCTGGTGGTATGTATTCTTTTTCTAGATGTGGATTTGGATTTGGATATTTGTTGTTTTTTTGAGTTGGGGAGGAGGGGATGTTGAGTTTGCTGTGTGGGGTTGTGTGATCTTTGTTTTTGTTTGGATGGATGGATGGATGGATGGGTAGATGTATATATGTGTATATGTGCATAGGTTATAGTTGAAGAAATACTTATATTTGTATTAATAATAGTAATATAAAAATAGAATCTCAAAAAAGCTTTATATTTACCCTTCAAAGAGAAGAGTACTAGGTATCTTGAATATATAAATAAAAGAAGATAAAGTCTCTAATAGAAAAAACAGCCTCTGTATTGTGAATAAAGTAATAAAATCCTACTCGTACAAATACAAATAACGAATATACAATCAGTGCACCAAAACAGCCGTTTTTTAAATCCAATTCCTTGGATAATACTAACACCGACTTCATAATCCCCACATGAAAACCAAATCGCAATGACGGAAGTTGCGAGGAGCAGGCCCAGCCCATCCCATCGATTCATTCATTCATTACATACCAGTCGCCGTCTTAACAAAAGCCGCAGCTGTACCAGCATCCATGCCATATGTCAAATGAGGCGCTAAAATCAAATCTCCATGTGCGCAAATATTATCACCGGTATGGCAGATAACTTTAGTTTTTGCCGCTGATGCGCCTGCGACTGGTGATCCGTTGTCTATCATGTGTTAGTGTATGGGGTGAATAGTTTGGGGAGGACTTTATTTACTTGGGTCACCGAAAATGACGACGGCGCTCACTTTGGCCATGGTGGCTGCGGGAAGCATTTTCGCGGCGTTGTGTACGAGTTGGCCTCCTTGAGAGTAGCCTGACATGACAATTTTTGACTGCGGACAGTTTGTGACGGCTGTTGATATCATTTGAGCCCTATGGTATATAATTAGTGGTTGATTATTTAATGAATGCGGGGAGGCATACATCATTTTGCTTCCATTTGCATCACCTCCTGCTAAAAATCCCGGGATATCGGCAGGATAAGGAACACCTTGTGCAGCCACCTTGCTGGCTCCTCCAGCGACTTGACCAAGGGCGGCAACTAATGGAGGTCCGGCGACGGTACCGAGAGTTCCTGTTTCTGTGGTTCCGCGAGCGAATATAAGCATCATTGGTGCGCATGCACTTGCACCGGCTGCAGCTTTGACATTTCCACTGCTGCCTCTGAGGATTGGCGTAGCTAGGACGGAAATTGGGAGGAGCAAGAGCGTTAAGTATTGTGGAGTCTTCATTTTGATATTTGCTTTGATGTATTATATATTTGTAAAGTAGTAAATGAGTGATGATTTGTACTATGCTTTTGGATTGAAATATGAGCGATAGAAAGCAAGCTTAACTTGAATAATGAATTGAAAGAGAAACGGCCATCCATCGAGGCAGACATAAACTTATATCTTCAATCATCCAAGGACCTCAGTTACAAAAATGCCATCATCACCGCAAACTTTGCTATAGAAACGAGAAAATTGTTGCGATTGGCTGATATTTTTCATGCAACTTTCAGGAAATGGATGCGATGAACTTACGGCACAGATACAAGATTCATCAACATGAAACTCGTCTCAACCTCACCTCACCATATATCCTACCGAGGTAAAAAAGAAAATCAGATGGTGACTTTTCTCCTTCTGTTCTATACATGGAACATGTTCGATGTTTAGACTATTACATCTGAAAATCTGGGCGTTAAGGCTGTGTTTCCCAAACTTCATCAACTTGAGAATGATGGGTAGTATGGCCGATTGTTCAACATATTTCAGTACTTTGGTGTATAGTACCAGTAGGTTAAATGAAGGATCGGTTGCTCTTTGCAGAGCTGCTAGAATGTCCATATCAATTTGAGTATGTAAACTTACTCAAGATATGAAGCTTTGTAAAAGTCCGGAGCATGATAGTACAGATATCTCCGTGATTCCGACGGATCATTAGTCCATGTTGTCATTTGTCTGTGCGACGAGCCTCAGTCGAGATAGTGGCGTGTAAATCTTCATGCATCGGTACTCATCTTGTCAAAACAACGTGGTTGTGTACAAAACGGAGATATTCGCATCAATATCCTCTGAGACCATGTGGCAAGAAATACCTTTGGGATGGTTGGAGCATTACCTTTCTCGAATGAAATCCGATTCCGATTCGTGAACCAAACCTGTTCCACCAGGGCCAAATCCATTTGAACCTTAACCTTACTATAAGTTTATCCTTAGGGTATTTCAGGATTGTTTTGATTTTTGCTGGGCAGTTTTGGCCGGCGATCAAGGATTAGATCGATGTCATAATCATACATCATACATCATATATTATGCGCTGATGTTCGTTGTATCCTCATGGTATTCGCCATGGGATATAAGTTCTAACCCTGGGAACCTCTTTCACTTCCGATCAAAACAATTTTTAACCAATGCAAAATTTCATTCATTTACAAGTAATAACCACAGCCATAGTATTTGAATCAGTTTATGACTCGATTTTCGGCAACAACTAATTTTTGCTGGGCATCGCAATTCAAAAAGGGGAATTGCTCCGACAAACAATATCGGGTAAAAACCCGACAAAGCCTCACACCAAGAAATGCCCAGGCGAAAGAAATCAAGCTCTCAACATTCTGCTGGTGGAAACGGAAGGGGGAATCACCATAATATATCGGGTTCGAGAACGGAATGCGGGTCGATAATTGGAGCGAAAAGGCTCGAGCAGAACTGATGCCATATCTAGAAATTCGACCGAAGATAAAGGCAAGTCAGCTTCGACTAGAGGGCGAAGTAGTAGCTAAAATTCGGTGCAAAGATATGGCAATCAAAAGGAGGAATATCATCCATGACCTTTTATCGGCATATCTTATTTGATCGCATGGTAATGTCTTCAATTCGATAAGTATTGTGGCTCGAGAAATCGGCCTCCGTCGAAGTCATATCCTGGACGGATCAACCATACAAAACTCTCTATCACTCTAGAAAAACATGCGTTTCCTACAATTGTACCCCAGGAATTGCCCTTAAGTCGAAGGTCATCCCTTGAAAAGAGTACACACCGTGCCATATAATACATCACAATATACCAGCAACATTCCACGAATACCCAGATCCTCCGCTAGAAGCTTAGGGATACTATATCATTGAGGTTTCGTATAATTTTCTAAACGATACGTTGGTTCTTCATGGTGAACTTCATATGTATTTTGTTCCTTGAACCCGTTATTCTACTGTCCATGGAAGTATTTTGGCAGTTTTTACGCTAGAGCAGGAACATATTGTTTCTCCATATGTTATCACTAAGTAGTGATTAGCGTATTATGAACAAAGGCCATTCATTCGTCCAATAGGCTGCTATAGTGGCAGGAAGCTTAATCCGACATTGTATCTAAGATACCTATCCATAAAGCTATAGTGGCTCGACGAAAGTCAATAGTTAACAAGCCAAACTACGATGTGATATTTACAACTGTGGAAGACCTGAGCTTTTAGATTCCAAAAAGAAGTCTTGAACTTGGATTGATTTTGAGAAGATGATTGTGGAGATTTCACTCTAGATTCTGGTCTATGTAAAACCCAGAGCTAAAAGAAGTGAAAGGAATGATGGGCAGGAGGATACAGCTCTTATACCTGTTTATCTACACTCTCAAAGAAAGACAGTGAAGTATCTGATTTATTCTCTAAATTTGCGTACACAAACATACAACTTCAGGAAAAGAGCTAGGTATGAACCAGCAAGAATAATATAACGAAAAAAAATACAATCAATACGTTATTTCCCTAGCATATATACTCAAGGTCATCTTAACGAAATCTCCCTCTTCTCATATCCAACGGCTTTCCCATTAAACATTCCATCCTCCCCACTAACCATCTCCATATCCGCATTACCCTTCAACAACTCAGCTCTGATCGGTGCATCCGCCCCTTCACCCCTCCGCTCCACAACATCAAAAGCAAACCACTCCGGTCTAACAATCACATACGCCGTATAATCATACCACGGCACCTCTATATCCTCACCCTTCTCATTCTTCTTCTTCCTAATATCCACACTCCACAATATCGTCGCCATAATTGTAAACAGCACCATCTCTACATGATCCTGGCCGATGCAAGCGCGTCTTCCCCAGCCAAATCCATGCTGGGATTTGATGGAGGGCCAATGGGTGAGTGGTTCTCGGTATGTGGGAAACTCAGGAGAGAGCCAGCGCTCCGGGCGGAAGTTCTCGGGATCGGGATAGAGGACCGGGTCTCGGCATAGACCCCATTCAAGGGCAAAACAGGTAGTGCCTTTCGGGATGTAGTAGCCTTCGTATATGTCATCTTGTGCGAGAACATGAGGAACGCCTGGTTTGTTTTGTTAGTTCTTCAATTCTTATCGGATGCTATACCCATTTACTCGGAAACAAAGCTTCAGGAGAGAGCAGATAAAATAGGAAAAGGAATTAAACATACCAGCAGGAGCTGGACTTCTCCACCTGAATATCTCCCTGATAATTGCCCTCACTACAGGCATGTTTTGGATATCTTCATAAGTCGGCGGTCGTTCGCCACACACTCTATCTACCTCCTCTTGTCCCTTACGTTGCCACTCCGGACTAACAATCATAGCGTGAAAGAAACTTTGAATAGGTGATGACGTAAGTATACTTCCAATCAACGCCAACATACCAACCGAGTACGTATTATCCTCATCCGAATTAGGGGTAGTAGGCATTGTAAGATGTCTCGACATCCAAGAAGCATTCGGCTTCTCACTTTGAAGCGACTTCCTCACGGCCTCTTTTTGCCCAAACCAGAAATTTCTCTCTCGTAGAAAACGTACGCGTTCTTCGACTTTCCATGGCTGCAGAAAATCCGGAACCCAGTCTGGAAATTTGCGGAGGAAGGGAAGTTTGTTTTGGATGTCTCCATCGGCGGAGATGCGGCGGAGAAGTTGGTTGGCTCGCATGATGGTTTCTTTGGCGGTGGAGAGACGAGAATCGTTCCAGGCCATTTGACTGGAGATTTGGGCTGTGCATTCTTCGCAGAATTGTTTAAAGAGGTGGGGTTCGGCGACTAGGCGGGTGACGAATGTTGCGGCGCCTTTTTGAGAAAGTGTCTTGAGACGATCGGGTGGCATACTGGACATGGTGTTTTTCATCCAGTTTTTTATACGCTTCATATCCTCTAGGAGAGAGTTAGGACGATGCGAATGGATGCAGAAAGATTGAGACACTCACCACTGTAGGTAACAAGAGGAATATATCTATTGCTGTATCTGCAATCATCTCCAATAGCCGCAAGGAAAGGTCTATCTGAGTAGATGGCTCCTCTCTTGACAAAAAGCTCTTCACAAATCTTGTGGGAGGTAATCCAGACAGTGTTGTCTCCATTTAGGTTGACTTGAAATATGGTACCATAATCCTTACTCCAATCCACCATCTTCATCCATGGATTCTTTGGGTCAAGATCAGGAACCGAACCGATGACCGGATATCCTGTAGCAAAACATTAGGAACTCTCGTGAGCGAGGCATCATGCGTATTTTATCTCACCTTTTGGACCCGGCAATGACTTGGCGCCATCAGGTATTTTGACCTTCTTGGAAAGACGGTCATAAAAGATATAACATGCAAAAATCACAGCAGAAACAACGAGCAGGAATGAAGAGTACGCCATAGTTACCAACGGTGGAACGATCGAACGTAAAATGATAAAAAACGAAGAAATAAAAGAGGAAAAAGATCTTGGGAGGCTTGATACTAATAAGTGGTCACCATTTCAGATCTCGGAAAGCAAGAAGCGGAAAAGGCAAAGAAATACGAATGAATCCATTAGTATTAGTTGTATACTAATTTCTCATTCACGACGTGCATTGTGGTCCACTAAGACAAAACTAGCCCCTTTGCCAACTAGACCCTCATTCATCTGACCGAGGACCAAGCCGCGCTCCTAAACACAAAATATACTTTCTAAATGTATGTAGATCACAACAACAAGTGAAGATTGTTCCCGTTGCTGAAACATTGCAGATGCGCTATCTTCCCAAGCACGGATCCTATGATACTATCATACCTAGTGATGGCCCGCTAAACTCTAGGGCCCCTTTTTAGTGCTGAAGTTCGTTTAGTTTCTTCTAACAATGGGTACCTGAGGGCTGATAGACACATGGTTTGTTTGAAGATTGGCCCTATCTTTCTCTCAGCTTGTGTTCGATGAATATGCTTTTTGCGCCAACCTAACTTTAATGACTTGTGTCTTCCATGGGTATTTAACCAAGCTTTTTGAGGATGAATGGCTGGTCCCGAGGACGTGTACAAGGCTGAATAATTAGTACGCTCAGCTGCGATTTTTGATTAACTTTCTAGGAAGGAAAAGACTATCGATATGCAAAGATCTTGATTGACAAGATTATTAAACCGATGTCTTTATTGAAACAGGCCCGAGCTACCGCGACATCGATTGGTAGTAGCGTATAAAATAATCCTAACCCTGCGGGCCTTCAAAAGCCTAAAGCCTGCCGCACAGAGCACCACGTACCCATTAAACTGTATGTAACCTCCCGATTCGAACCTTTTGATTCATGTTCGTGAACGCAATTCTGGTATGTAGGCATACATCATCAATCGATGATATCGCAAGCCAAACCGACGGTAATGCCGAATTCAGCACGAGTGTCAACAGAGAACTTTAAGAGGGTAGGTTTTGTCTTTTCGTGTTCAGGTAACCTACTCTACAAGACGTAGGTTATTTGTCCTCTTAGGAAAGAGCCTTAGCCGTATTTTTGTCAAAACTTAGACGCATGGACGAGAGCCCCGACCGAACAGTGAGTGCAGTCAATGATGGAAGAAAATGCATTTTTCATACCATTTTCATTTGAAATCTGAATGTCCGATATCACCGTCTTCTCTAAATCTGCGTATCTCGGATTTCTAAAATTTTCCGATGGCCCGCGGAGATTTTATTTGCAGAATGGTGATAATCATAGCTAGTGCTAGGTCAGTATCTCCATTTGATTTGCGTGTATAGTGAGGTTATTCTTAGCTCGCACTGTATCTCACAACACGCTAGCTGATACTTCTATCGAATTTGAATATAAGTCAGTATGTTTTCATTTATACTGTGAGAAAGTTGGAATTATAAGCCAGATATATAAGGGTTTTTAATTAGTCAATTATATTGTGAGAAAGTTGGAATTATAGGCCAAATACATAAAGGTTTTTAACCAATCAATCACATGACCTTTTATAATTAGATATAAAAGAAGAGCTTTTGTCTCTTCTTTCCATAATAATTAACCTTCTATATATATATATATATATTTGAATCTATATAGCATCAATCCCAAAACCATTGTAAACTCCGTTTTCTCTATAAGTAATATATTATAATGTGATCTAATTCAGCTTTCTTTTCCAATTCCCCCTTACAACGTGCTATCGGGACGCATGTATCTCAACCTACCACTTTTACAATACCACAGTTAATATCGTGTATAATCTTTGTGACTTCATTATTGAAGAATGTAAGCATGCAAAGAAAATATTCGTGATTCTATCCACAGTTCCTGAACGTGAAGGAAAAGGCATGAGGTAGCCAAACCCTTCCAACCACCGTGCGGAAAGTACATGAAACAAGACGAATGCGCCAGATTTGAAAGTTATCGTAGCCCAGATATACTGAAATAGGCTTTGAGGATTGAGATACTTGGTACATATTATTTTCAGCATATGTACACAGATCTAAGTCTCGTCAAGGAGATAGGTTAAGATCGCGCAGGTAAATCTCAACGGTGTCTCTAGGACTTTCGTTATCAAAGCACACAACGTTGAATTTACTCGAGCATTTGTACAGCAAAGGTAAAAACGATAACGGTGCAATATTACGCATCGAAGAATCCTCTCACAAACATTTGGATATCTGACATTTGCCCTGTTATATATCATACAGGAGACAGAGTACATTTTGGTGGCTTGGATATTTCTAACATTGGCACGTTCGACCTCGAACTTCTGGAAGGCCGACCAAACCATTCTTCAAACTTATCTCCACAATTTCTATTCGAATAGCCAAGATAGTTTGAGGTTCATATTTATCGTAATTATTGCCATATTTGCTCTCATTGGCAAACTTATGAAACGGCAGATATTTGATCATATATCAGCGGTGGAAAGTGGGTAGGTAGTAAAGATTCTAACATCAAATATCTTCAACTCGCCCTACGAGGCATACAGAGTGTGATACGCGATTGCTGCATTTGGTAGACCTTTTTGGGTTATCTACCTTGACCCGTTGAATTCCGAGTTCTCCTACATCTGTGCGATCTGTTGATCTAACTACAGAGGAAGACTTCTCTCGCGGAGGCACACAAACTCATTGTTTGAATGATTTTTTCCGCAACTTTTGATCAGATATCATCTACCTATTTTATCATGATCTATTGATGTCAGGAATGTCAGAAATAAAAAGAGGCAGGTTGAATGATCTTTTGGTACCTAGTGAGTTACTCTCAGAGAAAATCCATCATAAAATTCCCATCCTTAAACACATCATCAAGGTCAACAAGCAAGCTATTCATTCTGTGAATGGACATGAAATCCCGCAAAACTGTATACATACACCACAAACACAACAGCAACCCAAACAATCCCAAAAAAGACAAGTCTCATATAATTACCATCATAGGAATCGTCCATGTTGGCAGTTGTTGGTTTTAATCTTATAAAGCCTAACTAAAGTAAGTCATCATGCAACAATGCCGATTGGTAGACGATATACGATACAGCCTAACCTTGATATCTCAAGCGAGCCTACATCATTTATCTAAGAGCCCCTTCTTCATCTATTTTCATCGTTATATATCATATGAGTGTGTATATCCGCGTGGGCTAATTTCCTGAAACTGTATACTGTACGCTGTGAGCCTGATAGGACAATCGGACCCGTACTTTTGGTAATAGGATGCTTGGTGCGTTCCTTCGAGTCGTGTGTTGTATGGTAACCTTGTGAGGGGATTTTTATATAGTGATATGGACTCGGCTTTATTACTACAGTGTAGATATCACTGCACATGCGGAGAGGTTAGACTGTGGGTTTATGATATGTTCATTTCTTGGAGTGGAAGCTCTATGAGTACTTGGTACAATAGTTATAAACGAGAAGGAATGGGTCTTTTTGTTAAGCTACACCCGCGATTTATCCTTCTTGTTGAAATTCGTTTGATATTCTTATTATGATAGAAGTACTAATTATCTATAACCTTAAGTGTCTGCTGTTGGTAAAATTTACAAGCTGTGGCTCGAAAGTAATACTCACATTATGTTGAAGGATTCCCAATGATTCCTACATTTCCATTCATACCGTTAGATTCTGTAGCATAATTCCGGTAATTAATGAGAAGTTATACTGGGAACCTTAAGGGTTGAAGAACTTGCTCTATCTCGCCAGGACATATAAATATGTAGTAATGATTCTCTGACAGACTTTTCTGTAAGCCATACTCGTTACTTCCTCAGTCTTCCTTTTTGAACTCCTTTCTTTGAAATTCCCAGTCATTCTTTTCTGGAGCCAGTCCCATATACATTCTTTATCATGTCTCCAACCAATTTGGTTGTGAGAACCGTTTTCATTCTTTCTTCTATCTCGATCTCTTTTGCTGCAATTTGCAATGACCAAGTTAGAGCTCCTGGGGACCCTCCTCTCCGGAAGAATTGACAATATTCCTCGATTTTAATGACAAGATCTCTGTTTTCTGTTTGGAGATGTATCAGGGAAAGCATCAGGGAGTCTAGACTTTTCAAACTTAAAGGTAAGATATCTAAGCACATCTATTCAGCATACTAATAGATATAGATATATTTCAAACGTAGCGATATCTCAACATCAACTCTCGAACATTGCACAGAAGCCTTCGAGGACATCATCTCTCAATGCATTTAAACCATCCTATCCGGGAACTTACGGAGGTATTTCAAAATTCGACAATGGAGAAATCTATTACCATTATCAACGAGTTATATCCTCAAGTACCTGCCGTCCCTATGAGTCTGGAGAAACGAACCGAGAAAAAACCAACGGTCAAGCCCCCAAAGTTATTCCAGTAGCACCGGAAAAGTCTACTCATGGCGACTGCAAAAACAACGCCAAAAACGACTAGTACCTACTAGTGCAAAGACCACAAGTCCGAAAATTACGGACGCTATTTCGAAACTAACTGAGACTCCAAAAACCCCGAGGTCAAAAGCCGTAGGAACTACCGCAAATCCGACTGAGACTCCCCCCAACTACGAGTCCAAAAACCACACAAACTACCTCCACTACATCCAAATTATCCCCTTCCACGACAAGCGTAGCTTCCGAAACTCTCAAACAACATCCCAAGCCAGCACATCCAAATCTACCAAAAAAGTATCCACAACATCAAAATCATCAAGTACAAGCAATATCTCCCCATGACCCCCTCTCTACCTCGAACCAATCTTTCATCAATCAAAAATTCCATGATGAACAAAGAAACTGGTACAAGTACAAGCACAAGCTCCGTTTCCAAAACTTCCATTTTAGGTATCTCTCTAGCGAGTTTTTCTTCCACTAAGAGTTCCACAGAGGGAAGTATTACGAGAACAACGAGAACTGCCGAGTCACTGTCTAGATATGAATCCAGTCACGCGACTTCAGGCTCAGGTTCTATCGTCAATAGCAAGTCTATACCGGTCTCCGCCACGTCAGATTCCCTCTTGTCTACTCAAACCCACTCCATCTACACCAGTGAACCTGTATTATGAATACAGTCTCGAAATCATCAGGGATTTCTATCTCTGTTCCTGAAGTCACACCTGGGCCATCAAATTCTGCGCTCCGATCCAGCAAGGCCGAGGAAAGTAATGCAACCCCTGCATCATCAATAACGTCAATGATTTCGAGCGGAGCTCTCACCTCTTCTTTACAGTCCGAAATAACGCCTTCTCTATTAGGTTTACTAGCTTCTGAAACTACGGCTTCAACTTTTGTCTCAGGGCCTCTCCCCCAGGGCATTCCAACCAAATTCATTATATCCTCAATAGAACCAGAAATTACTCCTCTCTCCGAACCTAATTCTCAAGCTGTTTCTATAGGATCTCTGACACATTCCGTAGAGCCTGAAATTACTCCTTCTCCTTCCGATTTGCAGGATTCTGAAACTACCCCTTCGGCTCCAGCGGAAACTTCCGATCCATCAGAGACGACGGACCCTTCCGAAAGGACGGAGACACCAGAAATATCTCCACCAGACAAAACTGAAAGCAGGCAAACGGACACTGCACTTGCTTCTCCAACCTCTACTCTTCCAGCAACCTCATCTACATCATCAACAATCTGTTCAGCCTCCACAGAGGGAAACTGCTCTACATGTTAGCAATACACCGGTTCTGGTGACCTCTCTTCCTCCCTTCCCAACAATACCGATGTACAATCTCGCAGCTTACCGCCATCGATCGCCGGTCGAATATCAACCACTAATCAACACGCGAAGCTACTCAAGCGAGCCATAGAATCTTTCACTTCGTTCGACTCTGCCAATGCATGCGTTTTCGGCCCAGTAGAGATTCCTTCTATCCCAGGTATGCATACGTCCTGCAAATCCCGTGTATACGTCTAAAAGGAATTAAGCTAACATAAGAAATGAAGATGCATCAAATCTAGCTAGTGAAGGAGGCGCTCAAACAGCATACTGGTACGTTTTGCAAGATACTGCCGTGAATGGAATGCCCTGTGCTTGGTTTTACAAAAATTACGGATGCAGTGCTTGCTTCCCAATCTATAAATTCAAATGCGGTTGGATATACAAAATCTGGACCGGGAATTAGCTGGAATACCAATGCCCCTAGGAAGTGCCTCCCTTGGAATATGTTGTCTTTTTGACTAACCGGCTACTGGCTGTTGACGTAGATCATGTCTGTAAGTGTCGAGTTCTTACTCTTGAAGAAATATGAAAGTGTCGAGCTAATAACAACAATAGATGAATCATCAATCTTGCAAGATTTTTTTCGCAAGTAGGGTTGATAGCAATAATTGTGTAGCTTTCAAGGCTATTTTCGATCAGCCAGATACTTACAACGAAGGAAAATCTAGGTTGCAGAATATTTGGGAGTAAGTTTATATGGCTCTACATACATCCACAGCGATTCTAACGCAAACTCTAGTCAACTTCCTAGCGATACTAATCACGACTATGCTGGAATGGACCAAAAGGTATCTAAGCCGGGAAAAGAGACCAAAATGTGTGAACTAATAACCAAGAGATAAGCATCGTCAAAGCACAAGCTTTCAAAGGCCACTGCAACAAAGTTATACGAGCGACGATGGGATATTGGCCTACATCTTCGAATTGGCCGTCGCAATTGCCATAACCAATGACGATGCTATCGCGTCTCTTTTCCGAAGCACAAATCTCCGTATTTACCAAGCGCTACTTGGTGTTGATGCGGTTATTGGAGCTACCAATAGTACTACGTCCAGTCTTATGAAGCCAGATGTGAGTACTACCTCCTAACTGTTTACGCACCACTCTAACATGGTTTCTCCTTGATGCTATATAACACGATCCTACCTAAATCAAATTCCGCACTCCAAGGCTCTCTCTTGATTTCTACTTTTAGAATAAAAGCTAGCCCTGATTCTTTTTCTCCAGTAAGCATCCACTTATCGGACCTACCTCACCAACCTCCTAACCGCACGCTCCTCAGCCATCCTGTCCCAAGTCTCCGGCTACCTCGACAATGATCTTAGACCTACCGCAAGGAGCGATAACGTAAGACTTTCAGATGGAACTGTGTCAACAGCTGAAAACTCCATTGGAAATGGCGTGGATGCATTCTTAGACACTTATTCTGTAGCTAGTGCTTTTGCCTTTAATCAGGAGAAATTGTTGGGATTTCCTGTAGTATAAGTGGACCTGAGGAGAATAAAAGGAAAGAGGAGGTTCCTAAGGCCAGGTATGTGATGATACTGGTTGTGGTATAGGTCGATTTTAGTGATGAACCAATATTTCGACTAGATGTTTTAATTATTTCCTGGTGGTTTTTTGTAAAGAATTTATATTTTTTATGTTTTGTAAGATTACATGTGTTTATATCAATCCCCGTACTCCAGCATCCGAGCTAAGCCTGATGATGCACGGACCATACAAGGCTGATCAAATCCCCCTCCACCAAGCTCTCACACGATATCCCACCCCTCATTGATTCACACTTCTTTCACCACATCGCACTGCAGCAACCCCTTCTCCGACTCCCAAAATGAGTACTCCTCAAACCGTAACTCCTGCGAAAAGCTTCAAATTCCCCCGCGAACACTCATTCCCTCCTTTCTTCACCCTCCAACCCACCTCTTCGACCCTACACGCTCAACTTCGCAAATGGAGCGATTTGATCCTCTCTTATTTCGCCTTTTACCGAATATTTCGTCTTACAATTTCTACGATATTATCTTCTGAGTTATTTAAAAATGAGAGGATCAATAGGAGGTTGGATGAGGAGGCATTGAGGGAGGTGTTGGAGTTTATGAGGAAGGAGGGGAGGGTGGAGTGGATTGGGGGGAGTGGGAATGGGAAAGTGGGAGGAGATGTTTGCTGGGTTTGGTGGAGGAAGGTAGATGAGTGGGCAAGGGTTATTGAGGAGTGGGTTGATGAGACAGGCCAGAGAGGGAGCGTCTTGACACTTTATGAGTTGGTCGAGGGGGAGAGCGGCAGGGGTGCAGGTATGTTATTTGTTTCTTTTTTTACTTTCTTGTTTTGGATTTATTTAATGAGTCTTGCTAATTATTGGATTGATAACAGAATTCCACGGCCTGGATGCGGAAATTTTACAAAAAGCTTTGGCAATATTGGTGAAGAAGGGAAAGGCACAAGTTTTTGGACAGGAGGATCAACAGGGAGTCAAATTCTTTTGAAGTGCGTAACATCTTTTATATATACTTGGGATACACATTGGCACTGAGATTGAAACACATCATGCACAGTGGGAGGATTTGTGGGCCTCGAGGATGTATGGGATATCCAAAGTCATAGGGGCTTGCACATAAGGAGGGACTGGTGGGCTCCTTTATCAAAGCTTGGTTCCCCTTCTAGAACCTCATTAAGCTTCCTCCCACCGAATTTCAGCCGCATCGATATCATTGTTCAATACTTCAGCAAATTCAACCCGAAGATCCTTTACATGCCTGATCTTGAAAGGATCCTCGGAATCGGGAAACATCCAGAAGGCCAGCAAAAACCTTATATTAAAACTTCAAACATTGTACACACACTTAACAGTGCGCAATCTCGTAGTAAAGTACGCAGAGTCAAAACGACTCTTTCGGAAGCAACACCGGACCACGAGCAGGATGGGAACCAAACTTTAGTAAAAAGATGGAAAGGAAATTTGAAAGCCATCGCTAGGAATAGCTTCCAGGTCTAGGCCTGGTCAAGTAAGAAACGGTACGCGGTGTCGTTCTTTTGCCGCTGTCTCCGGGGGACGTACCGAGATTAGATGGAGAACAGAAATTGATCCTCAGCTCACGTTACCTTGTCCTAGTGTCAATGCTAGATTATTTTGAGCTTAGATTCATCGAATATCATCGTCCATCCCTTTTCTCCAGCAAAAGATTGATATTTGATCTGCATGGTGCTGGCGCTTCTAACTCGAAATGAAAATTGGAATATTGGATGGAGTGGGTGGAACAATTCATGATATACACTCTCTGTGTGCGCAGAGGATGGGATAGGCACGGAACTTTAGCATGAAAATTCGGACAGTTCTGAATCTTAAGCCAGCGGGCCCCTGGTGAGATTAGATTTTAGGAAGCACGTTCGTTATCTTAGCCGTAATTTGATGTCAAATAATAAACCTCCTGTTCATGTCTTTGGAAGGGGGGGGGCTTATGGAGGTTACGTAGCCATGGAGCCATAAAGGCATGATTTATGAATGCTCGGGATCTTTTGATTTCATTTTCCGACTTGTCCATACTCCATAGAAGATTGAAAAAACACATTAATATAAGTTGCTTCCTCAGAAACAGACCGGACTCTTTGTAAGCGAGAAAGCACGCCAAAATATCTTCAATATTCCTTTTCAGTTCGAGCCACAAGGAGGTGGGTGGAGTGGGAAATAATCAATCTTAAGCGTTTTACTTGTTTATTGAATCATTTTGAAATACATACCAACAATGGTAGGTATCCAAAGCAATGAACAGATCGAAATAGAATCGATCAAAGCAGATCATGTTGAGATTTAAAAGGTCGATCAAGGTTCAAGAGAGGAGTCGGTAATCAAGGAAAGGGAAGGAAAGGAAAGGAACTTGACCGAGTGATTGGTAAACAGTGGAAGTCTCGGAGAAAGATGCAATCAAAAAGGGACATTGTAGGTATGTATTCCGTGGATGGGTAAGTAATAATACAGTTAAATAAGTAGGTAATAAAAGCAAAGTTGTCAGCAAGCCAAAAGCCAAAAGCCAAAAGCCAAAGCCAAAACGTTGGATTTTAGATCCGTTCATGGATTCGACCAATAGGATACTTAGGGTACCTGGTCTTGGGTTTTTATCTCCGCTTTTTCATATATTTCGGTTAAAGGTTCGATCTATCGTGATTCGGATTCGTGATTAGTTTGTTGATTTGATACTTGCACCTATTTTAGGTAGGTAGGTAGGTAGGTAGGTAGGCAAAACTCAGATGGTGTATTGTATTGTGCCGCCTGCCTTTCTTCTATTTCTGTTTCCCCTTCTTTTTCTATCTGCTTTCTGATGATCTGTAAGTAAACATTCCGAGTTTTCCTGTGTGTTCCTGTTGTCATGTCCCTCACGACTCAGGAGTAAGTAAGTAGAGTACACAGCTCGGCCTTGAAATCACATCACATCACATCACATCACATCGCATCGCATCGCAAATCGAGCCGTCATCATCAATTATGGTAGGTAGTTAGTTATGCTTAGTGCTTGGGAGTTGTCATCATGCATTTAGTGGTATTCCTAATTCTTGATTTCTTGATTCCTAATGCATTTACTTTCACCGCTAAGGCCATCAACTTCTTATATACTTTCTTCCTTGGATTAGATACCTAACTCAATGATGGGTTTTAAACTTAATCCTTTAGGATCGATCTGTAACAACCTTAGCAATTGCTGTTGACTGGAGTCTGCGTCGTTTGTGAGGGACAAGTCCATATAGGATCAACCTTTGGATGGATGGATGGATGGATGGATGGATGTATGTATGTGTGTATATATATATAAATAGAGATAGGAGACTTCAATAAGGAGGATTGGAGTGAATTGAATTATACGACTTATTCCAATCTTATACTTCAAACTACCTACTTATTAACCCCCCTAATAATCGAACCCACAAAGGACGCAGTATAGCATTATCCCGTCACATCATTCACACACACATTCACACACATTCACACACACTCACACATATATACAAGCATCTTCAAAAATCAGAGTCAGGGGTGGAAGAAGATATCTTTTCGTTCCCAGATCCCCAGTTTGTTTAATCTTCTTCTCACTCTTCGACGCCCCACCACCGATTGCTAAATGAAGCAATCGACTTGATCCACAGAATCGTTGTAACCATCTTGAAAAATCCCAAGAGACAAGAGATCGACTCAATCCATTGAGGCCGCGCCCATCTTCTACCCTGTCGATTGCGAAGGTGGGAAATAATACTTAGAGCCTTCTTATCATTGGGTTGTTGTAACTTGTAATTGGTTTTCTGCAGTTGCGTTGTGGGATTCTTGACTCTTGATTGTAATTATTCTTTTTCAACTTTTTCAACTTTTTCAACTTTTAACTTTCAAGACATTTACTTTACTTTATTTTACTTTGCATTGAGCTTTGTTACTTTACAAGCTTCCAACCATCCACATCCTATTCTATCCAAACTTGACTTCAAAGCATTTCATCAAACGCAGACTTTTCCACACACACACACACACACACACACACAAGTCCCTTGCTTGCTTTCTCTCTCTCTCTCTTTCCTTATCTGAACGAATTCATTACGACCCAAAATATATCAATCACATACATCACCAAAGAGCGAAAACAGAATATCATCCAAACTGAGAGTAACTCGACAGACAGCTTCTACAGCAGCAACAAGCATACAATCATTCAACACATCCACAAATAATATCCATCTTCTTATTTTCACAGCCCAAAATTCCATTCATTACAACCCTTATTCCATACCATAAAATAAAAATTCTTATTATTTTCTGGCTTTACTCTCTTTCGATCAATCAATCGGTCAATCCAGCTTCAGAGATTTACTTCAAATCAATTCTCCTCAAATTCCATAATTAGTCCGACTTCGATAGATTATTTCCATTCCTTCTCAAGTTCCTTCGAAACCCAGCCTCAGACCCGATAATTCCTTATACATAACATAATCAAGGGGGGCAGGTATCATCCTATCTTTTTGAAACGGCCCATCACCGAACCTCCGCATTATCCCAACTTTCAATCCAATACCGCCAAAATAGCTACCTTACAAGAAAACCGTTATCCCCAAATTTCATCTTTTGAAGATGCGATGATCTATTCAAATGATGCGGATTATCCAACATCAATGCCTGGTTCACCCCCCGAGCTAACGGGGTCCAAATCCTCCAAATCCTCTTCATTTCACTCCTCATATCAATCAGACAATGATGAGATTCTTTCCGACGTCAATCATTTTGAAGAAATTGGACTCGATGATGAATCAAGACTTGACTCGGAGATTGGAGATTTCGCTGTCAAAATGTCGACAAATCCATATTCTTCCTCATTTACCACCGATCTGCGCAGTCAAGCAAAACAACAACGACAACAACGAGTTCCCATGTCCGCCACACAAGGAAATACTAGAATTCCAAGAGATTTGACATCAAACACAAAAGGTCGTTCAGGGTTTCCAACATTGAGATCACAGATAAGAAGTGCGGCATCGGATGGCTTGGCGATTGTCCCTGTGCCCACTTCATCGGCAAGGACCAGAAGGGGAATGAGTAATCCCAATGCACCTGCATTACCGACTACGACACTTACACGACAGCGAAGTTTAAGTCCAAATATTAGCGCGAGCCCGAGGAGTAGCATATCAGGAGGTTCCGCAAAAGGGAGAAGGGGCAGTTGGGTCTCGAATCGAGAACGAAAAACTACACTGGAGCTAGAAAGGGAATGTGATGAAGACGATGGAGATGATGTACCGGACGAATGTCTTTTGGAAAATGTGCCGATATCACCACGACCTCCTCAAGAACGAAGGAGTGCTGCACCATCAGCATCGACGAGCCCCGAAAGGCCTGCGAAGGAAAAATCGAAACCACTTGGAAATGGAACTTCTGCTAAACCGGCAGAACAGGGAGAACTTAGATCACCTAGAGCTATCATGACACGAGGGGCAACTACGGGACAATTTCCAACTAATCTTTATAATTCTAATAAACCTCGGGCAAAGAGTTGGAATGAAGCTTTGTCGGATTTGAGCGAAGAAGCAAAGGCTTTGACAGAAGCTTTGGAGGCACATGCGGAGGATGAGGAGAGGAATCAATCCTTTTCTCATAACTATGTACGTTCTAAGCCAACTCGAGTGAAATCATCATTCGCCGAATTACCTCCACTACGAAGAACCGAACTTATGATCGATCCGTTACCTATATCGAAGGAAAAGGAAGCTGTTCTTTCGAGGACTAGGCCATCATGGCTTCCTCCGAAGGATCCGGCTGAGGAAAGAAGACATCTTAAAGAATATCAAAAGATGATGGCATTGGCAGAGAAAGTGGAACGCAAGAAAGAATCCGAAAAAAATAGTAAATCGGCTTGTAGAGATGATACAGCAAGTTCACTGTTAAGGATTTGGGAAGAACATGTTCTGCCCAATTGGGATGATGTGATAAGACAACGAAGAACGAGAGAGCTTTGGTGGAGAGGTATAGCACCAAGAAGTCGTGGGGCCGTGTGGACAAAAGCGATTGGAAATCCATTGGGTTTATCGGAACCATCATATACAGCTGCTCTTCGAAGAGCTCAAGCGTTGGAAGCGACAATCAAAAATGGTTCTCAATTGAGTGCAGAGGAAGAGAAGAAGAGAGGTTGGCTGGAACGAATTGAAAAGGATGTCAAGGAAACATATCCTGAATTACGTATATTTCAACCCGAGGGACCTTTACATGTGGCTTTGACAGATGTTCTCAAAGCTTATGCCATGTACAGAAGTGATGTGGGCTACGTACATGGGACAAATGTGAGTAAAGCTTTTTTCTTCGTCGTTCATCAAAAACGGAAGCTAATTTTATCATAGACAATCGCAGCTATTCTTCTTCTCAACCTTCCTGATGCTTCTTCATCCTTTGAAGCTTTGTCAAATATTCTCAATCGACCACTTCCCCTATCATTTCATACCAACGACTCTGGCGCTATTTCTCGTGTCTACAGCCTCTTTCTTACCACACTGTCTCAGAAATTTCCTCGTCTTCACTCTCATCTCACGGCGGAAGATTTAAATCTAAATCCAGATGTCTATCTCCGTGATACCTTTGCTTCCTTATTCACAAGTTCAATATCTCTCGATAATGCAAGTAGATTGTGGGATGTAGTTGTCTTTGAAGGTGATTCAATATTGGTTAGGGCGGCGGTGGCGCTTTTTGGATCCTTGGAAAATAAACTTCATAGTGTTACTAGTGACGAGGAAGTTTTGGCTGTACTTAATTCGGAAGGGTTCAAATTGGGTGAGGAGGATTGGATTGCGGCTGTTAGGGGGGCGGGAAAATCTCGTGATTAGGATGGATAGATTTGATGGGCTATGATGGTTGAAGTGTATGAGGCGAGGAGGAAAGGAGGGAGAGGAAAAGGTGGATGGGAATGTACCTCGACCTTACAATCGTGTCGCATAGTGTAGTTTATCAGCTGCAGTGAAGATTAAGATTTACATCTTTTTCTGTTGACTTGATTCAAATTCAAATCCAAAATCCGATTTTGAAAAGGAAAGATATTTAAATGTTTATTCAAGTGAGAGATGATAGAAATGATTATAATTATAATCATAGTGATTTATCATAATAATTCATTATATATTAAAAATTAAAATGGTTGCTTCTCGACTGTGATATCCGTACAGGTTATCTTTTCACATCAGATCAGATCATGTCATATCATACCACGTCACCACACCACCACCCATACGATTTCCCCCCTCCTCCCGGGTTTCCGCGATGTATGTATGTATGTATGTATATTATTATAGTTTCGATATAGAGGTAAGAAGAAAAGAGAGAGAGAGAGACGTTTAATAGTAGATAGCTATCGGGTGATTTTAATGGGGAACGGGTTAGGAGGGGAGAGTTGGGGGGGGAAAGGTTGGATTTGGATGGATGTACTATTCCGGTTTTTACCGGTAGATGTGCAACATTTTGAAATTTTTGTTTGGCGCGGTTTGGAGCTTTGAGGGTTGGGGTTGGGGTTGCGGATTCAATTTGGGGATGGAATTTGGGGATGGAATTTGAGATTTAGCTTGTTGGGTTGGGGTTTGGTTGTTGATGTGATGGTGATGGTGATGGTGATGGTGATATCATAGCAGAGGAGAGAGGAGTGGGGATGGGGATGGGGGTGAAGGTATAGAGGATGGAGGGGAAGATGAAATTGTATATGAGCATGGGGCTTGAGAAAGGATTGATATACTGAGTTTGGTGTATAAAGGACACGGCGGGGGTATGTGTATTTATACTGAGTTCAATGAGTGAGTGAGTATTATTCTGAGGGTTTTTTAATTTTATATATATATAATATGTATTAATATTTATTAATATTTATTAATAAATAAATGAAGAAAGATATATCAATTATTTGCTTATATTTATATTATCTTATATTATAAAGTTTATAATATAAAAAAGCAAATATATATAAAAAACAAATCAAGTATCTAGGTATTTATATACAACAATTCATCACTTTCATTTTCTCTAAATACAACTAACTAATTAATGATTGCAAAATTCCTCCCTCGTTATATCTCTCTCAATTTGTACTTAAATCATCGTTAACATTCGTGTCTTTTCCCGTCACTCATTTTATTTATTTATCCTTCCAACCATCCATTCATCCATCCATCCATCCGACTTTCTATCTTCCTTTTCTTTTGCCATCCCCTCTCATCCATATCATATCATTGCTTAAACACAAGAAGAAAAATAAAAATAACAAAGCAAATAAAACACTACATGAATGCCCCACACCAAAGGAGATTGCTCTCAGTGTATTCGTAGAAAGGAAATAAAAAGGAGGGAAAAATGAATGTCTCCCAATGTATCTAGAAGTAACAATGATCAAAAGAAAACCCCTTCACAAAAGAAATAAAATAAAATAAAAGAACGAGAACGAGAACTCAGTCAGTCCAAGTCCAATTTTTCAAGAAAAAAAAAAGCTAAATCTCAGAAAATAAAAACTCGCCAAAAACTCCTCTCCCTTCCCGTCCCCAATTCATAAAGGTATTCGTCGTAAGTTATAACTAGAAGAACAAAAATGTGGTATCAAACCCATATATATCCCCAATCATTCAATCATCATCATCATCATCATCATCCATCATCCATCATCAAGCATCATAAACCAACCATAAATACAAAAAGAAAAAAAACATACAAACCTAAATCATATTCCCATTGACGTTAACCTCATATCCCTCACTCTTCTGTTTCAACGCCTTAGCCAACATCAATTCCCTCATCCAATCAATCCTCTCATCGCGACTCCTGACCGCAAAATAATGCGTTTTATTATTCGCGTTACCATTCCCCCCTATACCACCAGGCATCAAACTATCTCTCTTCTTCATTCTCACTCCTTTTTCTATCGCCTGGGGTATCAACTGAAAAGCAAAAACATCTACTTTTTTATCTCGGTCGCCTCCGCGACCCATCGCAATATTAACTCGTTTAAAAGCCGCGTTTAGTTTGGATGATGACGCGAGGGATGAACATGCTATGGCGTAATCGTCTACGTCGATGCATTCGAGTACGTCCATGGCACTTGCGTCTTTGTGCATGGCGAGCGTGGTGCCTCGAAGTGTAAAGTGGTGCTCGTGCCATTCGTGACGCAACATTTTTGTGCGTCGCTTTCTCATCCAGCCAGCATAGGAAGGAGCGTCTTTCTCTGGGGAGGAAGAGTTAGAGGAGGAAGCTGAGGAGGGGTGAGCTGGTAATGGCGTGGATGTGGAGGCTTGAGCGGAGTTGGAATTTGGCGCGCCGAATTGAGCCCAGGGGTCGGTGGTGGAGTAGGCCCGGATGGAGCTTGCTAGACCTAATGGGCGTGTAGGATCTCTACCGATGGTTGTCGTTTCGGGGAAGGTGCGGGCCGGTTCATTGGGAAGAATTTGGACTTGGGCCGGTTGGGAGGGTTGAGTTGTGTCGGTGGCCCGATATTCATCGACACGAGGAAGTAGGGAGGGACGACGATTAGAAATACGGGAAAGACTGCGCTGGAGAGAGTTGTTCATCGAGAGATTGTTGGATGTGTTGGTGGTTGGGCGATAGGTCATGTTAGGTGGAACGGATTGAGAAGCTTCTCTAGCGACGGGACTCATAGGCACAGCAGTAACAGGGACGTCCATTTCGGAAAAGGGGGTACCAAATCGATAGACGGAGGGCGAGCGGGTTTCGTTTCGGAGTTCCGGTGAAAGAGCTTCTGCTCGTTCCATTTGGTAAGGCGAGAACGCAACTGCGCTGTTTGGGATGGCGGTTGCGCTGCAAGGGCCATATCCGTTGGCACTCTGGGATCTGATGGGTTGTTCGGGACGAGGTGGAGGAATAGAAAGTTTAGGTAAGCCCCGAAGACCGGCGATAGGTCCCTTCAGTGGTGGGAACATCTCATATGGAGGAGTTGATGGCTCTTCGGATGATTGACTGGGCGCGAGATGTTGGAATTTAATGAACTGCTTCACATTGTCTTGGGGATCACGTAATGCGACATTTCGAAGACTCTCCTCTTCTAAATAACGAAGAGTAGGAGTTGAGCCTGGACCAAGAACATCTGAGGATGCAACCACTGAAGGTACCGCATCTGAGATTGGACGAGCTGTGAGAGCATTACCTGGGTCTCCAGCAATAAGTAGCGAGCCACCTTCTGTTTCAATCTTTAGTATAGACTCGAATATTTTGTCACAAGTTGTAAACGTACCTTCAGGGCTGACAGGATGATCTTTGTTGAAAGCAGCAATCAATCGTTGTTGTTTCCTCCACTTTCCACAATTTTCTCCCTTTGAGCACTTATGTGGTTTTGGCATAAGTTGCTCTATGCCTACAATAGAGATAGATTCGAAAGGCAACACCGTCTCGTGTTTATGAGCCTTTCTCGACCCCTTACGTCTTCGAGATCGGTTTCGCTCTTGACTCGCCGAGCGATTTTCTTCTCTACCTCTATCCGATCTGTCTTTCCTGATTCGAAATTCCGTGGCCGGGGAAGTTTCCTCGATAGGGGTGGCTGGCTTAGGTGTACTCGGAGCGCTTCCTCGTAGGACGTGGATTTCGTTCCAAACTTTTGTGCGTTGTCCAAATGATGAGATGCCTAATTCTCGGAGATCTTCGAATTTAAGAGTGGTCAGAATGGCACCGGAAATATCATTTTCTTCGAATTTTTCAACGATTGACCACTCGAAACCTGCATCGTGCATCCATCTTGCGACTTGACGTGGTGTCCATTGAACGATGTTGTTCAGGTCGAGATCCGCGATGTTTTCAGTCAATACGGATGATCCCTGGCGTCTCGAAGGACTGTCTGGCGAGATTGGAGTGGGAGGATGAAGTTGATAAAGCGGTGTAAGTGTTGATGGTTGTGGAGTTATTGGCGACATTTCCAAAACATATTGGCTCGGGATATCTATCGATGAAGAAACAGAGCTGCGAAACAGATGAGGCCCCCGAGGTCCCTCGACCGGTTTCTTCGGGTTCAAGTCGAAATTGAAAGATTGGAATTCGTTCGTGGCCGATGTGGGTGTGAATACTTCTTCATAGGAGGATAATGTAGTTTCACTCGCTCGACCTCCCTGGAGGGTGACATGTTAGTACAGGAGGTAAGATGAATGAGACATTGTACATACTGATCTATAGCTCAGGCTCGTGTAGTCCAAATCTTCTTCAAAATCTGATCCATATTGTGCCTCTTCCACATATTGTTGGGCATTTTGGCTCTCTTCAAACTCCTCACCGTCACTTACGTCGTCCTCGAAATCTGTGTCGAATATGGTTGCGGATGATAAAGGTCGTTCAGAATAATATTGTGTTTCCTTGAACCCAAGAAAAGTATCTCTAGGTTGACTAGTGTAACCTTTTTGGAACATCTCTACCCGAGTGTCGATGGCTGTCAGGTGAGTCCTCATGGCCTACAATCAATCGTATCGTTAGTATGATACTCCAATGCGCATGAGTATATCATTGACAAAGCATCATCCACTTACCATGATGCCTGGTATAAAGGCGGAGTGTCAATTGATAACTCGGGCAGGACAAGAAAACTTGCAAGACAGCTTGCTTTCCCGTTGCCGGGGTTTATATTCTATAGGCCGGAACAGTTCTTGATGAAATATTATACACCAAGATAACGATAAAGGAAGTCTGAAGCAAAAAGGAAATTCAATCTGACAAGAATGAATTGTAAGATGTCAAAAGGAACAGAAGGAAAAATCGTGGCAAAGTTAATGGCACCTATGGCAGTATATGTATCGCCATTTTGAAACGAAACGTATATCATGGGCCTCAAATATATCAGAGCACACCAATGGGCAGCATAACGTCCCGGCTTTTTTCTATATTGTGAACTGTGCTCATCACTCCTGCATGAAGATTGTGACTATTCTTGAATATGCCACACAATGCCACAATGCCTCGTTTGTTGGCCCTGGAGCCATTGAAACGATCGGGTTGCGAGCCTTGCGACCTACATCGCAGGAAGCTTAGACCCAATGAGGAGATTCTACCGGGATAGACATGCGAAATGCTCACATTTCCCACATGAGGACAAAAATGTGAAATTTAGAAAATGTTCCAATAATATTCAAGCTTGGTCAGATGGATCCTGCAGAAACTTGTTGTGATTGGCTGTGAAGGGTCAATAGTTCTGCATGTACGCGCCGAGTCACATCTTTTTTTCTTTGTCTACCCCAGTTACCAAATATAATTCGTCAATTGAGCCGTTTGATTTGTCCACTGAAGGATAATTTGCTCATGATTGATCATGATTCGACCGAGGATGATGCCCAGAGAAAATCTCTAAATCCAGACCCCCCTATATCTTTTCATATCATCCCGCCATTATCATCGGGCTTTCGGGCATCGGTTTGTGCTATCTACTTCCGAAACTATAAAGAGATTACTTTAAGTCGATAAGGCCAATAAGCTATTGAGAGTCCGTTTCTCATTATAAGAAATTTACTTGGATTGATAAGGTCGATTGTGCTGATTGAAGTGGAAATGTTAGATTCTCTAGGGTCTCGTTTAGACTTTTACGGTGCGGTCCGTTGATGAAGGGGTGCAAGTATCGCTTGAATTGAAGTCTGCTGAGTTTCAAGGTTGAAGCTTGTTCAGATACTTCAAGTATCGTAAAAAATTGGTACCACCGGGTCTAGATATTACGGAGTACAAGCATGAACACTCACATCAAACGGGACTGCAAGAAATCTGTACAGACGATTATCGACATATTGGATAGTGTTGGTTGTACGTGATATGGATTATCGGCATCGCCATCCTAGGCCTATTAGTCGCATACCAAGAACATCAACCAACGTTCAAAATGGGGGAGGCTGGCTGCTGCTCGCGAACTATGAAAATTGGAGGAAAATAATCCTTCTTTCCTTCCTCTGTCTTCATCTCTCTCCACAGTTCCCGAACTCCCATCTGGCAATGGAAATGCACACGCGGATCTTTCTGATCCTATTAGGTATCTATACTTACGACGGTGGAGAATTCTACCAGTACTTACATTTCCGAGTACCAACATGTATGATACCGGTACATACCATCCGTGCAAGGAAGAGGGAACTTTGGAATGTAAGCCTTTTATTAAAAGAGGATATTCCCATGTTCCGCTGCTGCCGGCCCTCTATTCCTGCAAGTATATATGTTATGCAATATAGGAATTATCATCGGTACATGGATATTACATGCAGGCAATAGAGCAGAAAAGCAAAGCTGTGCTGTGCCGTTCCCGTACATTCCCGTCGCATGCGTTTATCCAAACCGTTCCAGGTCCGTGACTTGAGAAAAACAATCAATCCATCTTCCGAGACTTCCTCTTCCTTGGATAAATTGTTCCCGTCCCATGAGATTCGTTAATTTTGTACCATGCCCTTGTCCCGGGTATTGCTTCTTGATAAGCAACCTCGGGCTTGGTCAGGGAAATCTGCCGCAAAGCATTGTAGAATTAAGTCACATACATAGTCAGCTCGATTCGACTATCGCTGTCGCAAATCTGAAGGATTCAATTTGCCCCTCAGTTGGTTTGTGTGATTGTTCAGCGTCCTTGATACAAGCCCGATGTACCACGGTCCAAGTGATTGACATACATGATTGAGTCAGTAGCAGCTTGTCTCAGGCCTCACCGTCTTCTTGACCTGCGTAAATGATGTATTCTCATGCGATATGCTATGTGTAAGGTATAGGAAATGCATGGCATTGTAGGTACAAAAGAGAAGAACACATGTATGGAAGTGGATAAAATGTTGGACTTTGAAAGCACACATGATGTAGGTTACATTTGTGGAGTATTGATTTATTGATTCATCAGCAACAGGAAAAATCAAAATTCTCCTTGGGCGAATCAATGTTGAAATAGGTACGTGTAATGTCGATATCCCAGCTAGAAAATCCCAAATGCAGCAATGGCCTCTCCAGGTCTCGATATTTTTCGCATTTTCCCGCAACCAATGGCTGGCGAGAAGAGCACTCACACTGGCCTCACATGATTGTATCTTCATGCGGGTTTACAGCAAATGAATGCTCAATGAGATAAGTCAATTCAAGAAGGACCGAACGTTACATACGGAAGCTTTGGTGTTCAGTACAACATATAATACGCTCCACCATAATAAAAAAGAAATATGAATATTCATTTGAAAAAGGATGAATTAGAATAATGGAAGAGAAAAATTAGTTTCGTCTCTGGCTGGCTGGACAAGAATGAATGACTTCGGCAAATGCGCAATATTCGAAGTCGAATCGCACATCAGGGACCAAGTATTGTCAGGATGCAAGTGCCTGTTTTGGAAAACATCATCATCGGAATGAGATATCTATCGAAGCTATTGATTGATCTGATACACGAGTGTGCTGTACATATCTAAATGGTACTCATACATCCGTCCGTGATGGAAAAACGTCGGATTTGTGTAAGAAACTCCGCCTTCCGCTTCCCATTGAAGATCGTGGCCTTAAATTCAAAAAGTTTAATTTCATCTTGATAATTTGATTTATTTTTCTCCACAATTTTTGACAACTTTTTAATTTGAAGATGTGAAGTTGAACGAGCTTGTGCATATATAGCAGGTCCACAAATAATCTTCACTATGTCGAATATGTCCTAAATGGTAACCTGAAATTGCGGAGCACTTTTGGTGGAGTTGTCTGCGATGGAAACGGCCGTTACAAGTTGCCAGAAGGCCTAGATGTTGCATGAGCCACCTCCTCTGCCCCATCTTTGTCAAGAATGACGACGTCGACAACAAGCCGCGAGGAATTATTTTTGTCTCGGAAATTTTAACATAGCTCTCCTACAAGGCAGACACATGGAGACGATGAGGAGGATGATATATATCATATTAAAGATACGATATATGAAACTCTCACATAGGAAATGGATCAATAAACTCATCTCAACCCTAGTAAGACACGAGGGACGAAAGGGTCAGCGTACCTACCGATATCAGACGATATCAGACAATACTGGGATCGTTGAGGGAATCTTCTTCCCCACTCGTCCCAGTCATCTCAAGGTCGTAGAGAAGCTTCACAACCAGCCCAAAAGAGTGAGGACATTGAACGTTATCAGACGACACTGACGTCGGTAACGGTGTCTCTCTCCACTTTCGTTGTCAGTAATCTCAAAGCCCGCCTCACAATCGAATGTTCACCCTCAACAATCCTTTGTTTCGTATCCCGCCTCGAATTCCTACACCATAGCTGAATTGACATGTATACGAACTTGAGTCAGATCCGAACGTGCAAATCTTCAAGGTGAGCTGCATCCTCAACACATACCACGCATCCTACAGGTCTTTTCGATGAGGATTTCGGGGCCAAGGGATGTATTTCAAATATGCAACAGTTGTGGTGAAGATATCTTGGTCCATTGTCCTCATACAGGCCCAAGCTCCATACATTATCAACAGAAACGAAATTGCGATCTTGTTGATTCACAGACGTGGAGATAGAGATGTTATTTTAAGAATAAATACTCGGAGGAATAGGAGGTGAAGGCTCTTGTTGCATCGAAGGCCCTTTCTAGACGAGCTTTTTCATCTATTCCATATTGTCAAAGAGTGGCAGAAATGGGGAGAATCTGTGAGTGTAAAGGAATGTGCACAAAAACGTGTGAAGATGAACGTGCGTACCTTGAGTAATTTGTAGAAATGAAGGTTTAAGTTGAATCCTATGAAGGCTTCAGTGCTTGATGATGATTGTGGAGAAGGTAACGATTAGCAAAGCCACATGGCTCGCGGATAATTGTAAACATGTGTGTGTGGGGGTGAAGCGAGCCTCTTCGGAGATATGTCGACCATAAGGAAGACTACTCCGTACAGTAGCACAAGCGAAAGCGAGAGAGACTATTGAAAATGTTGATTAATTAGGTCCGATTTCTGCAAGGCCAGCAGATGTGAATGTCCAAAAATAACACCGCATTTGGAGCGGAATATGTTGCTAATTAAGGATAAATGTGATGAGATGGCAGATGGGACAGGAAGGAGGCCAATTGATAATCAAATGAAAGTGTTAGAAATGACACCTAATTATTGACAATAAGCGCCTAATTTGTACCATTAATAGGATATTGATGTGAATGAGGAAGGAATGTATTGGATGTGATGAAATGTTAGATTTGGCTCGGTTAAGGGGTTGACAAGGAGCTTGGGCCATTATGCGACATTTCATAGCCAGGATTTCTACCCAGGAGTTCTACCAGGGATTTTTACTAGGTGTTCCTTTCCTTGGTTACACTTCGTACTGCCGGAAAAAAAGCGCATTTGAGTAAGGTTATGGCACAGATGCATCATTGATCTTTTTGACATACAGGGCGAATACCCCTACCTACCGTTATTATCATTCAAGGGTTCAAATTTTGAAGTTCCATCCGAGCAATCCTCCCATCTCGCATTTTGCATCTTTGCATGCTTCCCTTGTAATCTTGGCCACATCCACTCTAATCTATACATCCCGCTATTGTATGTTGTATGTATACTCTCTCCACTAGCCAAGCTCGAGACGGAAAAAAACATCTGAAGACAGAGAAAGAGGTTCACCGCTGTCGATCATGGATGATGATTGTAGAGAATTAGAGATGTAATTGCGCAAAGCAGACGTGTAGAGTCAAGCAACTCATCGTCATTCATTGATCAACTGGGCCCTATGGAATCTAATCAACCAAATTTGCACAATGAAAGGTTAGTCTACGCTATGATACTCAATAGCTTCTCATGCACAGATAAAATATTACTTTGCACAAGCAGCATATTGCGGGGTGTGAAGTAGGTACTTTATCCTAATCATCCATCCTAGTTTATCTACAAAATATTTGTCGGAATCCTTGACTTTATTTTCTTCAACGCTGTCAGCCGTACCTGACCATTTTCCCCGATCAGTTCTTTTATCTAATCGAACCATCCTCCCCCGTACAATAAAAATTGACAGCCCCTTCATCAATAACTTTAGCTTCGCTTGCATTGTATCATGAGAACCCTATAAACTCCATTAAATATTTGATCATCTCGTACGGTTATTTCCTGTAAAAGAGCGTGAACCACTAAATTAACTTGGTCGCACTGGCAAAATATTTTGGACAATTTCCTTCATACTAGTAGATAGCAGCAAATGTCAACCGTTGGCCACGGGTAAAGCCGCTCTTTCCTCGCTAATGCAAGTCGTCACACTCATTCAACGACATCTTCGAATCACAATTCATCAAAGCACTCTCTCCAATTCCCATCCACGAAAATCATGCAAAAATTCAGATATTCTAAATGGTTACATTTTATCACCCTGTCGTGATCGATTTCCGCCCAATCTTACTTGACCGCTATTTGATGCAATACGATTTGTTACTTTGACATGATTTCTTTTCAGAATCGGAATCTATTGAATGGGGATGTAATCTCCATCCGTCATTTGTCTCGTGATATCGAATATCCATTCACCGCTGAATGAAAGAAAATTTCACGAATCACAATGCCGTTGACCGTGTGTAGAAAGTCAATTTAGCAGGTTTCATTGGACAATGGCACTGAGCACGGGATTACGGCAGAAAGAGGAGAAGTACAGTAGGTAGCGTTCATATCGGGATTCGGGAGGTCTTGTAATTTTTCCACAAGGTCTCACTTGTTGTATGTGGACTGCTCCGACTGGGGGTCAAATAAAGGAATATCACTGCGGATAAGCAGGCAAAGCAGGTATCGATTTCGAAAAAAAAAAAATTAAAAAAATTGCACCCGGCAATGTCTAATGCTCAATGTTAATCCACAAGCATGTGGGTGAATGTAACCCTCGAGAAAAAGGCACGCTGTAGGTACCGTTCAATGGTGAGATTAGGAAGGTGTTGTGTACCACTTTTTCGGAAGCGGGGGATGCATTACTCTATGTACTATGTAGGTACTATCGATATTATCTCCTTTAGGCTTTTGTCAAGCTGACAAATGAGAACAAATGGACGAATGAACAAATAAGACGATTGCAATCTACTTTTGTGTACATGGATATTTATCGCGAAATGGCGAAATGCAGGTGTTCTGCAGAAAAGAAGCATAGACCATATCTCTCTTGAGATGTGTTCATCCGTTGCACAAAGTGTAGCTATCCATACCTAATATTCGATATTCGAGGTCATCGAGTAAGAAGAAGAAAAAGTGGGTGACTCAGGGAAAGCCTGACTTGCTGGAAGGGAGAAAAAGAAACTAAATTTTATCTATATGTCTACCTATCACATACAGCACAGCCGGATCCTCTCTTTGCCGATCATCGCCCTAGAACCTTAAAATCATCTGAGGAGTTTGTTCGGATAGTATCCATAATGATATCAAGAAAAGGATGAATTCATGGATCCTTACAATGGATGCCAGGTATGTTCTATGTGCTATTGTGCTAGCTATTGTACGATATGCGATGTGTTATCGTTCCCATCGATCCATCGTGCCAGGTGAATGGTATTCGTGGTACAAACACACAAGCAAGGCAAGCAAGCAAGCATACTAGCACTGAAATGCAAGATAGGTGGGGGGCCGATTGGTACAGCCTGCATGGGGAGGCGCCTCGCGAAAATAGCACAATCGCCCTTTTTTACCGCTGAGCTTCCCCACTGGGCCAGCCACACTTGTTCCTTAAGCGACCCATAAAAGTTTAGTGTGATAGTTTTCACTAACAAGGGGAGTAAATACAAGGGGGCACGGAGAAGGATGGGATCAAAAAATGCAGCTACTTGGGTTGTCTATGGTACGACATACTGTGGAACCAACCCCAATGCATGGATTAATCTCTTTTACACCAATCACAAATTCTGAAGTTATCCACAATAGTATATTGGAAAATATTTCCTAATGTTCCTTTAGGCTCGTGAAGCTAGTCGTGCTCAACTGCATAACCCCCATGCGGATACCACTTTTTCGCTAGCCTTTCTTCACTCCCTGGTCTAATCCTGAGCCTAGCGTACAGCTGCACCCACCTTTTACTGCCCACCTTTAACCCACCAATCCTTAACGGGAAATGTCCTATATTCGGACCTAGTCGATGTTCGTCCTCTCATAGGGCCAAATAGTAACCAACTGGTAGCCGCACGTGTGCATGTATGTTCGTGGGCGGGAATATGAGCTAGGTAGATGAATGCAGGAAAAATAGCATCGCTCCATTCGGTATCCAGAAATAGATTTTCAATTCTTCCATGGCTGAAGATGATTATTGTACAATTTTTGACATCTTCATATATAGGTCGTCAACATGCAACCATTACCCTACTTCTTCATTGAGGCTCTCGAACATCGAAAAAGGTCAATTTTATAGTCCCTCCCCCTCCGCGTCGTCGTTAGATTGTTGTCTCTTCCTAATTCAACGTCTATCACCCACACACCCACTCATTTACTCGAGGTCAAGCTGGACTTGATTTGAACCGACATTCATTAATTTTATCTGTCCCCGGTCTCGCCAATCACGCACGCTACTAACCCCAGTCGCTCATCGCAATATCACGCACTTAGACCGGACTCAACTCTCACCCACCCCACTATTATCTATTATATACTGCTGGTACAGTACAAATGTCAACACAAACCCCCAACGCTCAATCATCAACTAGAACGACGAACGTCAACATGGCTGTCGCTCAACCTAAAGCAAAGGTTCCCAAAGCTGCCCCAGCTACAAAAGGAAAGATGCAAATGCATAGGCGATCAAGGACAGGTTCGTTCGACTTTAATTTATCTCAATTCGCCATCCTTTCCTTGATACTCGTCGTCGTCGGACTTTATATACTGACCCTAGCTATCAAGGTTGTTACACATGTAGATTAAGAAGAAAGAAGTGTGATGAAGGCGCCATAGCCTGTAGTGCTTGTAAGCATCTCGGTTTACGATGTGAATACAAGAGACCCGGATGGTGGGGAAACAATGAGTTGCGCCGCCAACAAAAAGAAGTTATCAAGACCATCATCAAGAGAAAGAAGCTTACCGAGAAGACCACCGCATCATCTCAAGCTCAGTCACAACAAGTTATGGCATCAAGTATCGATACCCCTCCCGGACTTTCACACTCTCTTCCTACCTCCGCAACTTATTCCGATTCCTTGGACCGCAATCGATCATCGTCAATCGATTCTCAATTATCCCTCTTTGATTTCAATGTTCCTCCAATGGTCGATTACACTACCTACAACACGCAAATGCATTCATCGCATGCTCAGTACGCAACAATGTACCCTGAATACTCACCATATGAAATCGATGTAAAGACGGAACGACAGATGTTTGTTAATGATGTTCCTACTCATCGCGAATCAACCATTTCGACCTTTAGCACGTTCCACCCACCACCGCCACCCAATTCCTTGCTACCATCCTTCCCTATTGATCACGAGTGGGATACCGTCTACAATGAGCGTCATGAGGTTCTGGCAGAAGAAGCATTGAACATGAATCTTTTCGACTTTTCACACGGTCCACCATCTACATATAGACAAGTTGCTATTGAATTGGACGAGAGTGATCAAAGACTCCTCGATCACTTTGTCTCCGATGTTTTACCTACCATATTCCCAATTCTTGAAACTAATCAACATGGTTCCGCACGAACAGATTACATCCTCCCAGCACTCCAGAGCAACAAATGCTACTTACATTGCTGTCTTAGCATTTCTGCTCAACACTTCAAATCCACCATGAATATTCAAGGTGATCAAATCGATAACGATATCATGCGTCACCGTTACGCAACTATCTCTGAACTCTGCGACGCTCTCAACCGCGACACAGATCACGTATCGATATTGGAAGCTACTTTGGGAATGATCTTCTTTCAATGCTCAGTAGGTCGATTTGACGACTCTCTACCAGACATTCCATGGCACCAACATTTCCAAGCTGCCATTTCTCTTGTTCAAAAACTTGAATTACCTCGTCTAGTCGCCGAATCGCATGATCTGATGTCCTTCAACATGACTCTGACTGCTTGGATTGATATCCTCGGTTCCACCATGCAAGGCCGTGCACCAACATTCGCTCACACTTACAGAGAAAAGCACTTGTCGCAAACCAACTCATCTTTGGGATTGAGAGAGCTCATGGGCTGTGAAGATCGCGTGTTATATCTCATCTCCGAAATCGCTTGCTTAGAAGCTCTCAAGAATGATGGCATGGATGACATTCAGCTTTGCCAACATGTTCATGCTTTAGGTGATCAAATCGGTCTCACGGAGATTGGTGAAATGGGACCAAGATTCCCATATAATGCCCATGGTGTTCTGAGCCCAAAGCAATTGAGCAGAAATATGACGGCCGCTTTCCGTCTCGCCGCTCGTATCTACCTTTGCAGTCTCGTTCCCGGTTTCTCCCCAACTCAAGATAGCTGTGTTGGTTTGGTTGCAAAACTGACTCAAGCTCTTGAATTCATCCCAGCCGGACCCATCGGTTTTGACCGCAGTCTCGTATGGGTTTATCTCATTGGAGGATCCGTCAGTACTGCCAACTCACCCTTCCGTCATCATTTTGCCGATCGTCTCGCTGCTCTTGGAGATCTTGCCAACCAAGGAAGTTTCGGTCGCGTAACCACCCTTCTCCAAGAAGTTTGGTCACATGTCGATGGACGATACAGCCCTGGTGGTGGTGATGCACATTATGTCTCCTGGAGAGACGTTATGCAGATGAAGGGCTGGGATTTCTTGTTGATCTAGATTCCTAGCTTGAGGATCTTTCACTGGTTTGGAAGATTTACCAAAACTTCATTTTCGCAGTGCTACGATACAGATAAATGTACTGTATCGTAATCATCACGCCGGGCATTGAGCCCATCCTCATGGACCTAGCTCTTACTAGAACCAAGAGAAGACGAGACTTTATGAGACATCGAGGATTATGGATAGCAACATGAGCTATGAGAACGAGATACGGTGTCAAGAGTTAAGAATTATTGAGATCAACGATATGATTGATAGCACTGCACGAGGAATTATACAAAGATCACAACGAGAAGACGCGAGATGCATAGCAAGGATTTAAGGTTTTCATTCTAATTTTACATACGGGATACTCACTGCATTATCATTATCATTATCATCATTCAGTATACCCCATTCCCTTACAACGGCGTTACGGCACTTTAAGAAAGATATATTTGGAATCACGAGGTTATTGAACGGAGGCGGGGGGCAAAGGGGGTCAAACAATCGGAGAGGAGGAAATACCAACACTAGCACTAGGCGTTCAGCGGCATTTTGATTTTTTTTATTACTACATACCATTTGGTCGCTTCGCGTCCAATACTTACTTAGCTTTCTATCATTGATGTATATTATTTAACCAGTGGAATTTCGGGAGCGAGAAGAAATGGAGGCTTCTATCTCGATTCCACATCGTGTTTCTATACCCTTTTTCGGGGAAAGGGGAAGGGGTTTGAAGAAGCTTCTATCTAGGCTTGGATTTATTGGCATGTTTATAGTGTTGTATAGGGCTTTTTTGAATATGGGTTGAGCGCTCACGCTGCTCCCCGATTGAGGATTGGGATGGGAAATAAGATTAGGAATGAAAAATGAAAAATATCAAAATATGAAAATCAGCGTTTGATGTCTTGTTTTCGATGTACTTATCTATGTGAGATGTCTCTTTTTTTTCCCTTTTCTGTTTTTCCTTTTGTATTGTGTACTCATGATCAAGCTCAAGAGCAAGATCGTATATATACAGCATAACTCCAGCTATCTTCCTCTCTCCTCTTCCCTCTCTCCTCTCTCCTCTTCTCCTATTCCCTCTCTCCTCTCTCCTCTTCCCTCTCCTGTCTTTCCACTTTAGAACATAACAGCACCTCAGAACTCCAATCCCCATATACTTTCCCACTCCTCCTCACATAAGGTTACTACGCTATACACAATATCCAAACCAAACACCTATACCAGGCAACACCAAGACCGCCACTCTGATTAACCAAAGGCCTTCCCACCTTCAAAACCTCATCTCATAACCTCACTTTGACAAATCCCTCCTGCTAAATCGATATCACCCCACGCCGTCTCCCAATTATCCAACGATAAATAAGATAGCAAGCAGCCTTAAGATCACCTTGCAATTAATGAAAAGCTATTTTTCTACTATTCTATTATTTTTGGTCAACGAAACGAAAACTGATGTCTTCCTTTTTCCTAATAGATAGGTTTGGGAGCAGAAGGATAATAGAATTTTCTTTCGGATATACGGGCTGGATTGCAAGTGTTTGAAGGCGATGATGGATAGTGTGTATATGGAGGAAAATGTAGCTGCGAGTAAGATAAGATATGATTGATATCGATAGAGATGCTAGGGGCTCGCGATGAGAAGGAAATTCTTGATGTACATGTGTTTAATAGATGGTAGCTAAATACATATCATAACTGGGAGTTTGCCTTGTGATGCGTGGGGATTACAGGGCTGAGATGTAGGGCTTAATTATTCGCACTTTAATACTTGGATGGCCGGACTACAGTTTTGGAGAAGCGATATAAGTTGTGCTATTAAACTAATTGTCAATTGTCTCTAAGATATTACAAGGTAAATTCCACAGTAATAGCAAAATTCCACCAACGTCGAAACATCAGGATATCATCGAGACCTTCTAGTAATAACCCAGCGGCGCAACAGCATCTTAAATGGAATACAGATGCAATGTACAAAGTTTAGACTTCGGGAGGTGACCCTCAAGAGCCAAAAAAATAATCTGCTCCGGACTTCAAACGTTCAGGTAGGCAATGTCTTCTTCACGTGGGGAAATTTCTTCAGTCGCTGTATGTGCAAAACCATGAACATGATATGATGCATACAACACATACTTATCGATGGAGCATCAAGAACACTCCTATCCTCGATGATTCAGGTGCAAGCACCTGACTGCGCGGCAAGTTTCTTTTACTTTCAGGTCTGGGACTCACCTTCAAGGACTAATTAGAAATTAAATTTTATAAATTCACGGCCTGGTGAGGTAGATGGGCCTAATGACGATTGATGCTTTCATGAACCAATGTTATTAGGGTGAAAAGGGGATTTATCGCTTAACCACTATCAACCTAGTCCCCGTATTCACTTGGATAGAATCCCTCATAGAATTAAATTATTACTTGTTCCAGCATATGGTGCCTAGGTACTGACCTCCCAATCAGATTTTCTATTAAGGAAAATAATCGTAAACAGATCATTACTAAGCACACCCCATGAACCAACCGAACCTATCTCTAAGGCTTCCACTTGAACCCCGGATGTCTCCAATCCAAATCTTGAACTTGTTTCTGAGTCAAACCATCCAACTCGGCATCCACGTCTCTCTTTTCCCTTTTCTTATTATCCATCTTCATCCACAAAAGCAACGCAATCGATAAAAAGAAGATGGTTGTTCCAGTAGCTAAATTAAGTCCATTCCCGATATGATAGTTAGGTGCATCTGAAGGCAAAAATGACCATGTGGATATGAGACCTCCAATATTTCCCATCATAACATTAGTACCAATGGCACTCGAGCGTGCGGTGTCCGAGACGACGTTTGCGGCGACTTGGGCATTGGCCAAAGCGCCGAATGAGAAGGCTCCGCTGGCTATGAGGAAGGTGGCTCCGTAGCGGGTTTGGCCATCTGTGCTGGCGAGGAACATAATGTAGCCGCACATCATTAGGGGGGCGCTTATGATGAAGAAGACATTACGTCGGTCGAAACGCGAGCTGAGGAAAGGGAAAAGAAGTGTGAAGAATGCACCGACGATGTAAGGAGGGACAGTATGGAGTTGCTGGGAGATGACGGTTGCTTTCGGATAGATAGTCTTCACAATGGTGGGAGCAAAGAAAGCAAGACCTTGGACGGTAATGTTGTCCAGGAGGAAAATAAAGGACGTAGCAATAGTTACCGGACTGAAGATACCACGGAGGATCTTCTTGGAGTCGAATGCATCTAGAACTTCAGTAGCTCCAACTCTCTCGGATTTGACACGCGCGATAGCGAGATCTTTTTCTTCTTGTGTGAGCCATTTTGCGGTTGCCGGACGATCGGTAAGAGTTAGGAAGGCGATAAGTGAGAGACAACAGGTAACGATACCTTCGATAGCGAATATCATTCGCCATGAGTGGAGGGAGCCAAAGCTTGGCAGCTTTAGAATTCCCGACGCGAGCAAACCTCCAAAGGCACCAGCCAGCGGAGCCATGACAATGTATAGCGATAGACGAAACGCCAATTCGGATCGCCGATACCAACGAGACATATAGTATGCAATACCTGGCAACACACCCGCCTCAAAAACACCTAGGAGAAAACGAACGCCTGAGATAGCGTGAATGTTGTGCACAAATGCGGTGCAAATTGAGCAGATTCCAAAGGCCAACGAAGTTGCGGGAATAAACCAGCGTGGACCCATCCATTTGCAGGCCATACTTGCAGGGATTTCGAAGATGATGTACGAGATGTAGAAGATTGATAGAACTTTGTTGTAATCATAGCCCACCAATTTCAGGTCTTTTTCGAGCCCCGCAAGTTTGGCATTGCCTAAAATATTGATATTACTATCGTCCGATGTGAAAAGGAGTGCTTTTGTTGAGGACTCACCAATATTTGCACGGTCGATGAAGCAAAAGAGATACAATAATGCCACAGTAGGGACGATCATTAAATCAATCTTCAATCTTAACTTTCTTTCCGCGATAGGGTCAAATGTTACAAGCGACTGGCCTCGCCTAGAAAATCAATAAGCAACCGACTAACATGGGGTGATATCTCAAACTACAAACCTATCAGTCGCTTCATGACCTCTCTCTGCAAGCGCATGGGCGCCCTTATTGAGATGACCCACATGCTCTTCGTGATCAACACCAGGTTTCTCATTCTGAGGCTCAAAACCAATCGTTCTCTCCTCAGCATTAATGATTCGAGGTCCCATTATGCAAAATGAGACGAGGTCTTGTACTTGAATTGATGAAAGGAAATTCACTGGTAAAATAGACGATGAAGTGAATGATTCACATTCATTGAGGAGGATGTTGGATAATATATATACCATGCTCAGACGCTCCCATTTTCCAAAGGGGGTCTAGATGTGGAATCACCAGGATAACCTGGGGAAGCGAAAATGCGGGGTTCATATCATACTAAAGCTTGGATTTCGGGATGCCAAGTGTAACACTCCACTCCACCTTCAGTCCACTTCACATGCTGGAGCCCCACAAACTTAGACATTGCATACTCAGCTTTTGGGAGCTTTTCGCCTCGATAGAGTGTGTGGATTGCGTATCATTTACTATCTAGCCGTGTGGGACGTCACTTAGAATTTCCTTGGCTAGTCAGGATCGGTCAGTCAACACGAAAGCAGGAAGCCACCGTAACTTACGTAGGTGCATTTGAAGTATGTTAAAGTTTGATTAATCTGCCGCTCATCACTGCCAGAGTTAGAGGTGGGGATGAGGTAGTGAAGCTAGGTTCCAGAGAGATATTAGAGGCCGCCGTCACCAAGTATGGATACATGCAGGCATTGCCAATTTGCGTCAAAAAAAGCCATGCCGCGCGTGACTGCTTGCCAAATTGTGGGGACGGGAGGACTTGGCCTTTTCGCGGGGACTATATGATAAGGGTAGCTATGACTGCCCTTTGATCCTGGACTTCTAATGCATGAAGGTGAAGTAGTAGTCCTAACTAAGTAGGTGTTCATGTCTGAGCAATCTTCGGGTTGAGTATTAGATGTGTATTCACAGCTTTCAGGCTGAGTTCGAACATTGAAAATATTTGTGCAATATGAGTAGATAACATCAAAGATTTTCCATATCATACTTTCTTAGCACGCTTTCAAATAGAGGGATAAATTCGTTTAACTGATCCACAATGGACGCGAACATATCATAAATGAAATGGCTATCCTTGACTAGCTAGTGGACAGAAGCCGGGTTAAAAAAGAAATTCGTCGGCGTTTGAGATTAGACTAGGATTTGCACCACAATCTATGAACTTCTAATAGATTTAGTTAGATTTTTCGTTGCTATGCACTTTACTAATGTTCTATGAGTCCGGAATGCAGTACAGATTCAAAGACTGCCGGCTATAGAGTAATAATTTGAGTAGGATCAGTATACCAACAAAATCAGTAAAGCCAATCGAGCTGATATATCAAACAAATCCAGTAGATCTGCGTTATTGGAGTGTCGTTCAGGGTCGTGGAAGCTTTCCCTACAAATATTTTGTATCTTCCAATGTGAGCGATGTTTTATGCGCCAGAGCCGTCTAATTCTAACCTACAATTTCTATGCTGCTACAACCTGCAATGCGATGCCGTGCTATGTCATGTTCATAAATCCCCAAAGACTTCCAATTCTCATATAGTAACACCACTCTGCCACCAATGCTCCCCGGTATACCATCCAACCCCTATATGCTTCCAACACCACCACCCATGATCTTTACCAGCAAATCCCAATCCTCTGAATACAGAAAAAGGAATCGGTTCATAAAGCCAGATCCCCCCTCGAGCGAAATCATCCGCTAACCACCACCCAGTCAGTAGACCCCATGATAATGCATATACCACATTCGTTGTTTGTCGTATTGGTTTCGGGATATTCTTGATGTATTGACCAAAGAGAGTGCAAAAGCCCGTTTGTAGAAATATCCCAAGAGCTTGCAGCATAAAGAATATAGGTGGATTCCAAGGTTTTGTAGAGGGAATCTGGGATATACTACCACTAGCATGCAGAACCCCAGATATAGCAAAAGCAAAAACAGAAGCGATTAGTTTTGTAGTTGAGCTTTTGGGGGTTAGATATCTGTTTGCAATAAGATAATTTGTTGGTGCAGAAAATATAAGGCGAAAAATTTGGTGCCAGGCACCTCCCCAAAGCCCAGCTAGACCTTTACTTGCAATTACTGAGAAAGAACCCCAGGTGGTGGGGTAGTACCATGGTTCACCTCTGAGACCCATGAATGAGGATGAGCCAAGAAGTAAACATCCTGTGATAGGAGCAAGAAGAAAGGCCATATCTAAGGAAATAAGGACCCCAGCTATTGATAACAGCTCGCGATATACACAGCGTATGAGTGGAGACATTGCTGCAACATGGACAGGCATAGCATAGTCGTTAGGGCCAAGCCAAAAATATGAATCATTCATCATGGTAGTTTTAACAGCGTCAAGTAAGAAATATCCAATGATGAAGCGGGGAACTTGAGTTCGAAGAATTTCAAGTCTTGTGGTAAAGCGCTTGATTCCCGTCGATGATTTATTATTCTTAGATGCTTCATCTGCAGGTTCGCCCAATTTAGCATAGACGAAAGGGGGAGGCTTTGGTAGAATGGAAATTGCCCAATTCCAGCCAGGTCCACGGAAATTAATGACCAAGTCAGATATCCAGTCGAGTCTCTCCCAGATATTATCTGGGTAAGATTGCCAATAATATTCAAACTCCGTCATCCCATCTGGATTTGATTGGCCATCGGCTGTTCCTACATCTCTTGCATTTGAGGCCTTTGAACCAACAGTACTTCTACTTCCTTCTCCATTTATTCTTACACGCGACCTTAAATCAGATTCTGTACTCTTTGTATGTGCTGTAGCTTTTCCCTCGTTACCATGTGTGGCAGGTTTATATTTCTGAATCTTCCTTGTCTCAATCCTCTTAGCATCGAATTGCGGCCGCATAAACACAAGCCAAGTCAAAGTTGTAGCGATACCATAAGAACTCATCAAGCCTGCCACAAAACTAATTGCCATATTCTTGCTGCTCGTATGCCAAAGCGTTTTGAGCTGAAACCATGTTATAATAGCCAACACTATCCACCGAGCCTTGTATAATATTGGTCGATTCGTGTGTGGCACAGAGAGATATATCCCTAAAAATATATAGCCATAAAGATGATATGGTAGAACCATAGGTCGAAGTGTTCCTTCCGCTACACGATTTTCGAAGGTCCGCTGATGGGTGGCTATGACATCTTGTGGACTTGGGGCACCGGTCTGTTTTGCAGTGAAGAGGCTTGTCATTTCCTATTGCCTCACGGCCGCACAGTGATTAAAGAGAAGAAGGGGAGGAACAGGCTCGGAAGTTGTGACTGCACTTCACAGTACCTTGATTGAGATGAGAAATGCTTGACAAACGCAGCTGTTAAGTGGCGTAAATCAATTTGACGATGTTTTGTGCGCCGTGAGACACTTCTCCCGGACCTCCAGTGAAAGATATGATGGTAACTCCTGGACCCTTAATTTTTCTATGATTAAAATTGAAAGGCGGACACCTCAATTGTTTTCATCAAAGTTATACCTTCATAAGATCTTACATTTTTCCTGTGTCGATATCGATGAGGTCACTATAAGTATAGCCAAGGTCGAAAACAAATTGTAGGACTGTCTCACTTTGTTGTTGAAATTGAATGAGAACCGCATATTTGATGAAAGTAGAATCCAGAGCACCAAGAGCATTGGACGTTGGATTGGTATTGTTTGGAAACATTGTTGTATTATATTAAAAAGGTAGCTCATAATGAAGATACATTCTCCGCCTTGTTATCCTGTTGATAAGAAATGACAAGCCGAGCCGCCCCAGTGGGTGCACGGACTGACGGATCCGACCTACAAAGTGTTACGGATCTCGTGTAAGAACGATCACGTGATTCCAACTCCTATCGGTGAGCTGATAGTTTATACCGATTTACCTATTTTAGTATAGGAATATGATGACCTTAAGATCGAATATATACAACCATACAGCTACTATATAAGTATTTTGTGTATATATATAGATACTCTTTACAAGTTATAGTTCTTCAGTTGTAGATTTTAATAAATATAATTAACTTTGTTTATTTAACTCTTATACAACTCTTGTATGTTATAATTTCAATAGAGTTGAATGATTTCAATAGAGCTGAAAAAGTTCTAAATCAGATTTGCTTGAAATTGTAAGGCTTGTTTATATGAAGTTTTTTGTTAGGTTATTTACTGGAGTATTTTAGATCAATTATATTGTTAGGATCGCGATTCACTTAAACGAGTTTTTCATTTTCTATGATCTACACCGGATAAATTGCGGTACGCTATATATACAGTAAGGTTTTGCTGTCGACAAGCCGGCAATTATCAAAATCTTATTTTTATTTAAAATAACAAATCAAGATTTTTATATATCAAGTTTTACTTTTATCAAATAAAAATCTATTATTATTACTAATTTAACTAAAACTGAATCTATTATTATTATTTTAAAACACATTATAATTGAGAACGATACTAGATATATTCTTGAATTCCAGTTGCAACATGTACCAGACCATCTGCACCTGCTCAAACCTAGCGCTCTTGAAGTACGCCTAGCAGGACCTAAGGGGAAGCGCGCTCAATGACAGGCAGATCAGCACGAAACGATAATCAGGATGAAGAAGGATAGTTGTTCTTGGAAGGAAATCCATAACGCCCTCCCGTATAGGATGCAAGCAGCGATTCAAGTATAATATTCTATAAAACTTAAAAGGTGATGACTATATTTCATACTACTTTTCTCCATAATGCCAACCCTCATTACAGTCTACTCTGCCCGTCTATTACAACTAGGAACTTAATACTTAGCCACCTATATTTGCCTTGTTTTCCAATCAGTTAGCAAAGAAAGCATTGTTCAACCCTTCCCTTGTCCCAATACGACACTATCTTCTTCTCGTCGACCTGAGTATGCCAAGTTCGGAAGCCTAACAATATATTAGAAGAGTAATAAATCAGGCTTTTCCAACTATACCTGCTTTTTCCCATCCTTTTTCTTATTTCCTCTTCTTCTGTTTTCATTGCCTCTTCTTTTCTTTGCATTTCCTCCTCCTCATATTGACGATTCAATTGAAGCTGATACATTAAGTATCCCGCATTACCTTTATTAATACTTTCTTCCCATTCTATCTCCTCAGTTCTTGATTGTTCCAAATCAACAATCATTATTCGATTCCCAACATCGATTGCATTATATAAAGCAGGATCTCTATGAGTTATTCCATATATAATTAATGCTTTATAAACCTCTTCTAACTTTCTTTCAAATTCATTATGTTCTTCATATTTCATCGTGAGATCATATAATTTTCGACCGATGATTTCGGATAAAACCAATGCTGGTGATCCATCATATATTGCTTCTCCATAAAAACAAGGTATGAATCTTCCTTGAAGAGACTGAAGGCAATGATACATTTGTTTTTCAACCTCAAACTCGTCATCCCAATCAAGCTTACGTTTTTTGAGAATAACTGTAGAAGGTAGAAACCATTCTGGATAGAAAGTTTTGAGATATGGATAAGAGTTGAAATTTTTTTGGAATACCAATCGAATAAACAAAACTGGATATAATCAAGAATGGATGGCTCTTCGAGTTTCAAACGATAAACAGTTCGTAGCGGATCGATTCGTTCAGCGATAGTGGAATTATCAATCTGTAACCCATACGGAATTCCTGAAAATATTATCAGTTGCGATTGAATAGTGAAAGTTAAAACATTCCTACCAATGGACCTCGTGTTTCGTCAGAATTTGGTGGAATTGTGTTATCTGATGGGAGAGGTGGTGAAGCACGATTGTTACAATGTAAAAGTTTAGCCATAATAAATGACTTTATATCAAATGATAAGTAGTAAAGATAATATAAATGATTATAATAAGAGTAGTAGAAGACCTTGTTGTATTATCCTCTAGAATATGAAAATGGACTTCATTCGCTTAACATAAATCTTATTGACCAATCGAAATCATAGGATTTCTCAAGTTTTATTTAATATATATATTTCATTTAATATTATTTTAAGTTTCAAAATTAAATTACATAAATATTTATTAATTTTGAATTACGTAAATTTGAATTCAAATTTGAATTCAAAATTCTAATTTAATAAAAGAGTGTTTGAAAAAGCTTCAAAAGTTCATTCTAGTCAATTAGACTTTATCATTCAAGGAATATGCCCATTTCCGTAGTTAAGGGGATAAAGAAGTTTTAACTGTTTGCTGAAATGTATGTTCCCGCTTTTCCTTCTTTGTTACACAGCTAAGGCCACACTCCACAATTACTAGTTCTACCGTACCATAACAGAGTCCCAAACAGCTCCCCCATTTATATCCTTCACATAATTCCCATTCTCATCAACCCAATACCAATACGCTCCATCAAATCTTCGCATATACCCAGCTGGATGATCCATTAATTTGGTAGTTCCATCTATCCAATGGAGCCTTCCTGACCAATAACTAAACTCTCGATGCCAACCCTCAAGGGAAACGGATACTTGTTGACGAAAACCCTATCATACATCGTGAACAAGAATGAGGTTATGTAAAGGAATATGTATATAGATTTAATAAGGGTACGTCAAATCAGGCCAGAATGATGATAAATGGAGTGGAGGTTAATTATTGATTAGATATATAGAGATAGTTGGATAGACCGGCTACTTTTATACTTCGTTTGTCCCAATGAACTACACTCTAACATCGCACTGCATTATGCCGTTACTACATCTTCGTTATCCCTTGCCATTTCTTCGCACTACCCCTCATCTCAAGATATGGTTCAGTCTGCAAGCAAGCCACAATTTACCTGCGGTCTGGGCAAGGACAAATAGGGATATCAAGCAGAGTTGAGGTCGCCTTTATTCTGCTGCTCATTGTAGCACTGCGTTATTATCGGGTAGCATGTAGTAGCACAGATGAGAATCTTCTAGGATTGATAAAACAGTTGAATATAATTTAGCGCAGGATTTGGTACTCGTAATCGTACTTTATTATCTGGCGTGACTGGAATTTTAATACATGGACTCAATTTCATTCAACTACTTAACAGCATTGTTGCAATACATTACACAAATTATTTCCAACTTCGAAAGCCTCACGACCTGTCTGAACTTCTGTAGGCCATTCAGCATTTTTAAGCACCGCCTCCGCCAGATTGATAAGCATCACGTCACTGTCTTTCGCGCCCATGAAACTACTAACGATGGGCATATACTCTTTCAACCCGCTGATGCGCGAGTTGTATGGCTTTTGTCCCACTGATGAACGGAGTATAAGCGAAATAAACAACTCGGAAGACGAGAGCCAGTAACTTACCAGGTATAATAAGCTGTGGTAGTTGTAGTACTCCAGGCAGATAGAAGACGGAAAATGATCCGAAAATGCTAGGAAGCCTTTTTGTAGTTAGGACGGCGCCAGAGAAACCACAAGAAGTGCGTACTTATTTGTGTCATCCCTATACTTTGGGGTGGCTGCGCCAAACGGCATAATCATTATTGCGTTAGTTAAAGTTTCACTGTCTTGCCCCATAATGTGTTCTTCGAATCACGTTCTGAAGATCTTCATTTCGGTCACCCCTCGGGCGCGTTCTTCTTTGGTAAAAGGCACAGCGATGCTCCTATTAGTTTGTGTGTCGCTATGGCTACTTGTCTTGATACTTACCATCGCTTCCGCATGTACGGTCCCACAAAAGCCTCCTTGCCGAATTTTGCAAGATAGTCTTGTCGAAAATCGTCAAAGGTATGGTATGTGTCATAGTACATAGGCCACACTGCGCTCTGCGCAAGTTAGTTTATGGTGACCAAAAGTTAAGGCATGCGAAATACCATCTCGAGGTATTCCTGCAGCAACTTCTTCCCTGCTTCCTGGGGAGGGTTGGATGCCCATGTGTCGGCGATGCTGATAGGAATTCGCTCGACACTAAGAAATCTCTCAACTATAGCAATGAAAGCCTTACACGTGCCCTGTTGTTCAGCGTCTGCCTGTGGGAAGAAGTCCAAAGGATAGAGAAGACGTTTAGGAAACTGTATAAGTCAGAGCATGGACGATGAATGGATGGGGTAGATCGTTCTACTTCGGACGAGTCAGGAACATCCAAGGTGGCGGTAATAAGATGTTTTGCATCCTTTAGGCTCCTATGCAGCGTCCCGACTGTGTCAAACTCGCTATTCCAAACTATTAGATCAATTGTGATTCTGTGATTTGACTTCGCACACATACTTGCAGCTCGGGACGATACCTCGTCGTGAGGTAACACCATAAGAAGTTCTGAGACCAAAAAGACCGTTCCAGGCCGCAGGAAGACGTATGCTACCAGAAGCTTTGTGGGTGTAAGCAAATCTCTCTATTCGGACTCAGAATCACTTACTATCACTTCCGATTGAATGGTCGAGCCAGGGATATCCCGCAAGCGCCGCACCAGCACCAGTAGAGCTTTATGACGGCGTTTGATACTTATCACCCCGTGGGTTAAAGGGGCAATGGTAATCGACCCATTGATCGGTTGGCTCCTCTGCAGATGCGAAGGCAGACATCTTCGTCTTGCCCACAATTATAGCACCAAGCTCTATGAGCTTGATGGCATAGTCTGCAGAGGTATTGCGGGGTGGATATAGCTCATTTTAGGCTCTGTTCATCATGGTGGTTCGAATTCCATTCAAGTCGTAGTTGTCTTTAATGCTCACACGGACGCCGGCAAGAGGTTTTTCTTCGGTTGGACTCGAATAAAGCCGACTTGCGACAGCAATGCTTCTGAAAGAGCCATGATCTGAGACCGCTTGAAGTACGCAGAATCTGATTGTAATAATGGATTAGTATAAAATGGCAGGACTGAATAGAGCGTTAAATTGGCTGACCTTTTTGGATTGAAAACATCGTCGAGAATGGTGGGAATGACAAAAGCGTCAAAATCGTCTTCGTAAAGCTTCCAAGCCTGATGAAGTGACTTGCCTTGAATAAAGTAGGGCCCTGGGGCCAGAGGAAGGCTATCGTCAATTAGCTCATTTGAGTAGATGTTGCGAAAACTACCACTTTCTACTAGTCGGGCAGCGACATCATCGATGTTGATGTTTTGGTCGGATCTCAAAATAAGAGTTGCGGTGAAATCGTCTGAGAAGACATCGTCTTGACGATCAAAGTCTTCGAAAGCCTTTTTGACATGTTCTGCGCCGAATTCTGCATCTTGTACAGGCAGCAATACAGCGGGCGTCCAGAGCTCATTGCCGTCAGCTGTTCCAATAAGGCGACCCTACAGGACAGAATTGCACTGGTCAACCAATGTATAGCAAAGTCTCCATATCGAAAACTTTAACTCACGACTTCTTGGGGGTGCACAAAGTACAAGCCTCGAGTGAGTCATTGCAAACACCTTTGGATAACGAAATTAACTTAAGTTGGAAAGCATTCGCAAATATAAGAAAGATTCAAACCAGGCTGTGTTCATCAACAAGGCATTTAAAATCAGCTAGTAATTTATTTTTAATAATTTTATAATAATTTTTCTTTTATTTATAGTTACAATTTTTTATTAGAACAAAAGTATTAAAGTGAGGGACCTAGCATCCAGCTGGCTAACCAATATTTGCCCCTCGAGTTGAAAGTTCAGATATTGTGCTGTTTTGGAAAGGACGAGGAAATAGAATGTTAATCCTGGAAATTGATCGATAGCTTGCTGCTTTCGCATCTTCACCCGCACTCACCCAATTCAGAATGAGGCTCTTTGGATCGGGTTGAACGGTCAAGATGGAGAAGCCATTCAACTGGTCTTCCGAGCTGGCTGGACTACCCGGCCTTCCAGATTCCAATCATCTCGTCACTCCTCAAACTGTAACGATTCAAGATATCCGTGAACGAAGTCCCGGGAATCTTGATACTCATGGCTTCGCTTTCTCAAATCAGCCACGTCCTTAAAACCTGAACATTTCAATAACGAAGATATAGTCGAGGCAAGCTATTATTCGGAAATTGAGAATTTGCTGTGGAAAGAGCGTGCAGATCTTACAGCAATCGCGGTTCTTGGTCACCAGCTCGGTCAGCTTTCAGATCGGATGTTTGTGAACGACTACTTACGTGCCTCAAGGTTCGAAAGCGCAGCGCGAAGTTTCCGCACGAGAAAGGTGACTTAGTTCCCACTACCCAGCCACAAACACTAGCCCATGACGGTCTCACTTTACAAGGAGCGAAGTCTCGTCTGGAGACGTATTTCAAAGACGACCCGAGGCTAGAGATGAGGCCATGGGAGATTTTGAAGTAACCTTTGTACCATTTTCAAGGCACAAAGCAAGTAACTAACAGGTCGCTCAACAGCATCTGGCGCGTGCTGAAGGGTCCCAGTGACGACTGGACATTAGCTTTATGCGACTACCGCAGCGTAGACGTGGAGCATGACACTGTGGCGAATGATATAGTCGTTGCGCATGGTTCTGGTTCAGTTGAGAATTCTCTGCTTTACTACGATCAAAGACACGAATGGTTTTACAAGAGTGATATGGAAGTCGATGATATTATCATGTTCCGACAGACAGACTCTAGCGGAGCCATGCCCAGTGAGACACAGCGCAGAGCTACCTTTGTTTTTAAACTATTGATACTTGCAACAGGAGCTTGGCACGCATCTTTCAACCATCCATCAACAAGTACAAGCCCGTTTGTGCCACGAGAAAGTATTGGAGTTTAAGTAGTAGTCTTCACATGATCCAGTCTCTCAGATTATAATATATCATACAACTTTTTACAATATTCAACTCGATATTATATTACAATAATATATCCCCGACAACCTCGCACCCCTTCGTTTTATATCTAAATTTAATTTACCCCACCTCAGGATTCGTAGCTCCTCCTCGGACGCATATACGCATCGCGATGACTACATAAAAACATCGAGATGCCCCTGGAAAGACAGAGCAGAGCAGAGCAGAGCATTGGCAAAGTACAATACTCCAAACCACCTCTCCTATCTTTATGATTAAATCGTCTCTAACAAATTCACTATACGATCAATTTGCGTTTTGCAGCACTAGTAAGGTTACTCTCGGTGCTGTATGCTTGTACTTATGTCTAGATTCTGAACAATTGCAAGTAAGTAAGAAATATCCCCCCCTCCCAACCTCACCCCTGCATCCCCGACCTCCTGTCTCTTCAAACCGCATTCTCCCACCTCAACAAACTTGACAATATACAAACTATATCCCCTTACCAACCATCCTCCCATCTTATAGCCAACCCCCTAACCCAACAATCATCCATCTCATTCTCATCTACAAAATCACCACTACACAGTACACAAGTATACTACCAAAAGCAATACCAACCATATCCCAATAATTTGAATGTGCATCATAATTCTCATTTAATTCTTATCTCCATACATACATGTATTCCTTTCTTTGTTTCTTACTTTGCATCCATTTAACTTTCTCCCATCCCTTCTTCAGTTTATCTTTCATCTCTCTTCTTCAGTTTATTTCCCCCAACCCACACACATACGTATCCATCTTCATAATCACGAGCATTCAATAACCTCCGCGATTCCATCAAACCCCCCACCGAATTCTCATGCACACATATTCCGCACCGTAAAAAAAAAGTAGTAATAGTAGCAAACACTGCCAGTTCGCACATGAACGAGTGTTGTGAAAAGTAAAGTAGTTCGAAAACCTTTGGAGAAATTTCCAGATGTGTGAAATAAAACAAGGCGATTCCATGCACCAAACAAATATACTTCGCCCAAATGTATTTGACGAAACGTGATTTATTCCCTTTCCCCAAAAACGCCCTTCGCCATTGGAAATATTGGTTTGATGAGATGATTGAAAGAACAAGTACTCGCAGCTGGTGGTATCTACGAAAAAAGAAAATGGAAATAATGGCAAATATTTCCTGTGCCCACTAACCCATGCATATATCATCAAACTTCGGCCAAGATAAACATCACACTAGCTGCTATGCGCACGCATTAGGAGCTACAGAACTGCTTAGTACAGGTTCTGGGGAAGTTGGAATGTAGATCAGCAAGTGCTTACCCTTGCAAGTGGATCCTCAGCATCTGCCGTTACAAGTGAAGGACTTTCTACACTTCCATGGTTTATAGGGCCAGTGGTAGTGTATGCACGAGGCTCGATAGTCGGTCTCAAATGTGCTGGCGTGGGACTCGATGCAGGATGTTGGTTGCTACGGGTACCATTTTGCGAGTTGGGGCTCTCTTCATTGGCAGATTGCCTTACTTCCCTACCCTTTTCTAAAAGTGCTCCTCCGAGAGTTGCACATTTCAAAATCGTCTGAATCAGATGATTTTGTTTCAAAGGCTTAGAAAGATATTCATCCATCTGGGCTTGAATACATTTCTCGCGATCACCCAACATGGCATGTGCCGTGAGGGCGATGATAGGAGTTCTTTGCGTTCCAAGACTTCTTTCGTATTCTCTAATCTTAGCCGTTGCTTCGAATCCTCCCTAAAATAATGTTAGTCATCTGTTATACAAGAAATTGATTTATGTTGCACATACCATGATTGGCATTTGAACATCCATGAGAATAACGTCGTATCGTTTCTCCTTGATAGCGTCGAGTGCTTCTTGGCCATTCCCGACCACGGTAACAACATGATGGTACTTCTCCAAAATCTTCACGGCCAAACGTTGATTGACAATGTTATCTTCGGCCAAGAGAATATCGAAGGATTTGGTGTTGTCCGCCAGAGAAGGTGCAGCTCGGTTCTCCAAGGCAGGAATCATACCATTACCAAGGTCGATTGTTAAACATGGAGTGGTCATGTAAGAAGTGATACCAAGATCCAAAGCAGACTTCAAGCTGACATGAACAACAGGAGCTAAAAGTACAATTGGGATGTACTTGAACTCGTCAATTGATCGCAATTTACGAGCAGTCTCAATTGAATCAACAACGATCACATCATAAGTTGAAGCTATCTTCTCCTTTGTTCTTCCATTGCCGAGAAGGATGGTGTGCTGTTCAGAATCGACAACGACGGGCACCAAACCAAGTTGCGTAAGCATAGTGATTATTTCTTTGCCATGGCCAGTTTGTCCTTTGTCGATGAACAGAACATTGTGACCTTGATATGGCTTGAGTTGTTTCTGAATGAAGCTGATATCCGAGGTTGCGAGACGGACAGTACATGTGAAGTAGAACGAACTGCCCTTTCCATACTGACTCTTGACCCAAACATCTCCACGCATGAGGTTTACGAGTCTCTTCGAAATCGATAAACCTAAACCAGTACCTCCGAATTTTCTCGTCATAGATCCATCGGCCTGTTGGAAAGTGTCGAAAATCAAATTGAGCTTATCAGCCTGGATACCAATACCAGTGTCAGACACGCAGAACTCGACCGCATATTCGTTTGGCGCGCAATGATCTTGCTCGGCTTTTTGGATTGTCAATGAAACTTCACCATGCTCCGTGAACTTGATCGCGTTTCCAACCAAGTTGAGGATAATTTGTCGAAGACGGAACGAATCACCCACAACGTGATCTGGTACTGAGCTATCCACACGGTAGGTAAGATCCAAGAATTTCTCATTTGCCTTTACAGCAAGGGTCTTCAATGCATTGAAGACAGTTCCTCGCAGGGTATATGGAATTTCCTCCATAATCATACGGTTTGCTTCGATCTTGGACAAATCTAGAATATCATCAATAATGGTCAATAGACTGTTGGCCAAGTTATGGACAATGTTGAGCATTTCTCTCTGATATTGTGTAAGATCCGTATCCAACGTTAACTGCGTCATTCCAATAATACCATTCATCTAGGAATTCGATGTTAGCAACAGAGCAAATATAATGGGTTGGGGAGAGTAAAATTTTTAGTAAGAAAAGGCGTCGAAGGACAGAAAATATCTGCCACGCAGAGCATTTTAAAACATTAAAGTATCATGAAAAGACGCTCCAGATGGATGTAGGAAAGTTGGTAGAGGATGAGAGGGGTACTAACAGGTGTTCGGATCTCGTGAGACATATTGGCCAAGAATTCAGACTTTGTCCTGTTGGCAAATTCGGCAGCCTCCCTAGCCAAGGTGTTTCTCTGAATACTGTCCCTCAAGTTGTACACCATCTGGTTGATCTTACGCTTCAACTCATCCATTTCCCCAGATGCCTCGACAGTGATCAACTTTGTGAAATCACCATCGGTTGCAGCATTAGTAATATCACCAAAGGCGCGCACTTGGGTTGTCAAGTTGTTAGCCATGGTGTTGACATCAGTAGTAATCTCTTTCCAACGGCCCCCGATCCCAGCGACGTCGGCCTGACCACCCATCTTCCCATCCACACCCACATCTTTGGCGACTCTTTGCACCTCGTTGGAGAAGATACTCAATCTGTCTACCATGTTGTTTATGGTTTCTTTTAGTATGAGTATTTCACCCGCAGCAGCAACCTCGATTTTCTGACTCATGTCTCCATTGGCAATAGCTTGTGTAACCGTCGAGATACCTCGTACTTGAGTGGTCAAATTTCTGGCCATCGTGTTCACATTTTCGGTGAGGTCTTTCCACTTTCCTTCCACGTTATCAACTTGGGCTTGCCCGCCAAGAGTTCCATCAGTTCCGACCTCCCTCGCTACCTTGCTAACCTCGAAGGCAAATGTGCCAAGTCTGTCCACCATGGTGTTGATGGTGTCTTTCAGCGAAGCGATTTCTCCCTGCACCTCCACTTCGATCTTCTTGGTCAGGTCTCCTCTTGCGACGGCGGTAGTAACCTTGGCGATCTCTCGTACTTGTGTCGTAAGATTCATGGCCATACCATTCACATTTTCGGTTAGGTCTCTCCAAGTGCCTTCAACATCATGAACTGTTGCTTGCCCACCCAATCTACCTTCGGTACCGACCTCCCTAGCAATCTTCGTGACTTCTCGCGCAAATTGTTGTAGTTGGTCCACCATGGAATTTATAGTCTCTTTCAACTGCTTGATTTCGCCCTTGCACTCTGCTTGAACTTTTTGAGTCAAATCACCCTTCGCCACAGCTGTCGTCACGATTGCTATATCGCGCACTTGCGTGGTGAGATTGTTGGCCATGGCGTTGACGTTCACTATCAACGTGTTCCACATGCCCTGGACGCCTTCAATTTCTGCTTGTCCGCCGAGAATACCCTCCGTTCCGACATCTCTTGCTACGCGGGTGACCTCGGCAGCGAAAGTTCTTAGCTGATCCACCATGGTATTAATAGTTTGTTGTAATTGTAGTATCTCGCCCTGAGCCGGTCTCTCAATCTTTTGTGTGAGATCTCCATGGGCTACAGCGGTAGTGACGGATGCAATTTCTCTAACTTGGTCGGTGAGGTTTTGTGCCATAACGTTGACTAGAAACAATTAGTTAATTGTTCGAATAGTTATCCATTATAGTAAAGCACATACCATTGTCAGTCAACTCCTTCCATGTACCGTCGACGCCTGAAATCTTGGCTTGTCCACCAAGGATACCTTCTGTGCCGACTTCTCTAGCTACACGAGAAACCTCACTGGAGAATATTTGAAGCTGATCCATCATAGTATTGATAACCTAGAGAAAGTTAGAAGACAAGGAGCGGGAAAATTCTGACATGATGATGCTTACCCGCTTGAAAGTCGTAATCTCAGGGTCCATCTCCACGGAATGGATTTGTACTTTCTTACTGAGATCACCCCTAGCTACAGCTGTAACAATTTCACCTATTTCTCGAAGAGCCTTTTGGAAAGCCTCGTTAGCTTGTTGATGCTTCTTCAGTTCTCTTTCGAGCGCCGCTACGCGTTCGACCTCAAGAACATTAAGTGCCTGTTCTTGTCTCTGCTTCTGCTCAAAAAGTTGAGCATGTACACCGGCCAACTCTGATTTCTGACTATCAAGTTGTTTAGATTGATCGTCGACATGTTCGCGGAGTGCTTCTAGTTCCTCATCACTTAATTTTGTAAATTTGGGAGGACGTTCACCGCCGGTGGGCGCTTCTCTTGCGGCCAGTAACGAATTTACGAGTTGTTGTCGGGATGTAGTACTCTTCGAGGCTCGAGATGGAGCACCGGTGAGGACATCGGCGAACGCTGATGGTGCTCCTATCTCATTCGGCGTATCAGGCAACACATGATTATTGGCAGTCGCTCTCGCTTCTAATCTCTGAACCCTTGATACCAACGCCGCAAGTTCTCGCTCGAGGGCGAGCTTCTCTGCTGTATCTGCACCTGGTAACCTAATCCCTTTGTTGCCGTAAACATTTGTCTGCGGAGGGTCGAGACTCAATACTGCGAGAGTTTGCAGGATCGCAGTAGTGTGAGCTATCGTAGTGTCCCCCATTTTGATCTCAAAAGTTGCAGCCAGGCTGCTAAGTCGTAACAGATTATTTTCCCTCTATCATGAAGTCGAAAATGTCAGCTGCCCGCTTCGACGGTGTCGGAATTTCCGATCTGTAAATCTAATACGAGGTGGTGTGTGAAAGAGTGGACGAGCTGCAAGTTTGTTAGGGATAAGTTGGAAAGCGAGCCAAAAGACTTCACGATTGCATGACGCTCTTGAGGAGGGTAAAAAGGGATGAATTATTACAATGATTTGGGAGCAGGAAAAGAATCACCTCAAGTCTTTTGAAGATGTGGATTGTCTTTTCTTTCGTAGGAGTCCAACGGCCTGTCTCCCTTGTCAAGTCGACAACTTTGAACTCCACCACGAAGCGATAATGCCGATTCCCGATTGGAAGGGATTTAAAAACAGCACAGTCCCTGATAATAGAGGTGGGATACTAAGATAGAATTGATAATTCACAAAAGTGAAATCTGAAGAGTGGTGAAATAGGTAACGTGTGCCGTCTGTGAAAAAGAGAAAGAGAGGGAGAGGGGAAAAGAGAGAGTGAGAGCAGTTGGTCGATCAGGTCCAGTAAAGAGAGAGATGATTAAGGGAAATAAATTGTTGTCGTTGTCGTCGTCGTTGTTGGGCGTTTTGACGTTTTATCTCTACGAAATTCGGAGTTGGTCTTGAAAGAAAGAATAATCTTTCTATACGGAGAGAGTATGGCATGTACCATAGAGTATAGTAGAAATAGTATTAAAGTTTAATATTGGTAGATTGAACAAGGCGATGTCCACCCGCAAGGAGCCTTTGCTGATAGGTTTCTTTTTCTCCTCTTTCCCTTCAATAGCTGGGTAATGTTATGGATTTGGGCAGATTTGAAGGAGTGAGTTTATTAGTTAGTTTCCCGAATTTCACCATCTAAACTTTATCAACAGAGGCTTAGCGGTTTAGCGATTTAGCGGTTGCTTCCACGGGGACTAAAACCTTCCGTGGACCTTTGAAAATATAGTTTAGGTGCCCAGCTACTGCTTAGATGGTCAGTAGAAAGGCTCTATAATTCACTAATTTCATCTAAAGATTAGAATTGCGATGAAAGTAAAGAAAAGTTGAACAAGAATATCAAACAAAGTATTGAATTGAGGGAGGGAAGCAAAGGAAAGGAAAGGAAAGAAAAGAAAATTATGATATAACATAATGGTTCGACGATTGACAAATTCCATCTTCTAAAATATGTCAAGGCTTAATGAATGTCTTTCTTTGGAGATTCCGTTAATGCACACCCACCCATTCTTATTTTCTGTACATGCTAACCTCCATACCTAGGTGGTATCCGCTTCCTGACTTCCTTCGATTTTGTTCTCCAGATGAAATCTACCTATCATAATGAACATAGCATACCACACAAACAGTCGACAAGGGACAAAAGAAAGGTAAGAAACCTGAATGGCTTGTTTGTATCCGGAAAGCCAGGATACAGATGCCAACTACAACCCAAAGAGATGAACCGACGAATCGTAAGCCATGTCGAATTCTACACGACATCTCCTCCCCACGACAAATTGCTTTATATTGGAGGAAATGATCTCTCTTTCCATCCAATGAACCAATGAACCTTCTCCTCAGTGTGTGCCCGCCTCAACAGGTATGCATGCAAATGTAGTACTCGGCGACATCTACACGTTTTTTGGGGAATCTGTTGCCCAAGTAAGGTGGGAGACCTACAGAGTACATTTGCATTATCATGTCACGAGCCCTTTGATAATGATAATGAGGCTTTGACCGTACCACCAAAGATTCCACCATCAACGGTTTGTACTCGTGTTCATCATTCAAGATTTATCCCTTCATCATCCATCCCTTCTTTTACCAACACACCGGATCCTCTCCCTCGCATCGCTCGTACAGCGAAACCAATCTTAAAAACTTTTCAACAATTTGGGGATAAACCTGGAGAGAGCATCAATTCTGCGACATGATACACTTTTCTGTTCGGTGTTCATGAAACAAAAAGACATAACACCAAACTCAGTAAAGGGAAAGAGAGGAACGTTTATCCCTTGATATATCAATATATCAATATATCAATCAAAATTATGATCACAAACCACAGAATTGAAACGTTTCAGGTTATCGATCAGCGAGTAGATCTCCGCGCCCGATCTCTTCTTTTCCGTTGAACGAGACAAGATTGACCATTGAACCGGCCTTTTGTAATAAAAATTTAGTATTGACATTGGGAAAAGATCTTCTGCATTAAATGAATTCTCCTGACGGAAAGTATTGCCTGAACAACTCTCAAGCAACACACCTGAAAAGTTTGAGAGAGGGAGAAGGTAAATACCGGATTCATTACCGCTAATATATCATCATCCATCCATCATCCATTGCCATTGATGGGATGATTCTCGGTTAGTAGAACTTCCAAACCTTTTTCATATGCCTTAGATACTGTACAACGTCACACCAATCATACTCACTCACTCAACAGTTAACAGTTATGAAAAAGCCAGCAGAATCCCTCCCTTCCTTTCAACAAGCTTTCACAAATCAAAAGCGACAATTTCTAAGTTTAATGCACAATTTGATGCTTGCTTAACTTCTGGGATTGTGCATGCGAAAGTGGCATGCATGAATGAATGAATGAATGAGAACCTCCACCTTCCCCCCTCCACCATGTATCTTGCACTACAGCACTGGCGTCACCAGTTGTTGTCACCAAGCTAACCCCTATCAATCAATGCGGAGGCTGTGCGCAACTTTTACATTCATTATTCAAGGACTCTCCGTACTCTGTACATACATCCGTGAACTTTTTATCCTCCCATCGTATAATACTGGTGTACCTACCTACCTACCTACCTACCTACCTACCTAGTAAATACACAGGAACTTCCCCATACGGAAAACCCGAAATGTCCAAACCACAAGCCGACAAAGCAAAATTAACAACATCCAAGAGCCGCTTAACTTTGACCCAAAACCCGTCAAAGCAATCCTTGTCTATAACACCCCTTTTATCTTTTCCTTAGGTATAGTATAACTTATAGAGTTCAGTAGGTAGGTATGACGAAGTTGTTGGATCTATTATCTAATCTCTTTATAAAGATAACGGTATCAATACCTATGCGGAGCACAGAGTATCGTATTCCTAATATCGAATTCTTAATACGAAGAAAGTCTTCCTTCTGTCGTCAAACCCACAAATATCAAATATCCATCATATTCAAAATACCAAAACACTGAACACCAAACATCAAAAACCAAACACTAACACTAACACTAACACCAACCAAAAAAAACGCCCCCAAAGAAGCAAGGGAAAGAAAAAAAAAAGAAAGATCTCAGGGTCCTAAGAGAAAAAACTTTAATCAAGTGGAGCCCCTAGAATTTTAGCCACACATCCTAAATAAATTACCAGTAATAGATAGGGCAAGTAAATCTTACATACTCCTACTCCGTAGGTACAGATACTACCGTACCCTCACCTACCTTACCACTCAACAACATACAACATTCGCCACATATTATCTATCCATATACCATCCATCCATCCCTACTATACATTCGTACATTCATACTTCGTACCATCATACTCCATACATTTTACCACCACCGAATCACCACAAACAAGCATTTCATTCACTCATCCACCCACCACCCATCCATCCACCCATCGCATTTAAACTTTTCCCTCGTACTGTATACGTCGGAGAACGGAGTACCACATCAAGTAAGTGTGTATGTATATATACCTACTAGAACCGGACCACGCAACCCTATCCCACGCAACCCAACTAGTTAACCATGGCCTCCAAAAAATCGCACCCCCCAACGAATCGGAGGATCTCTAATTGTTCCATTCCGTCCGTAGTCTCAACGACAAGTACGGAGTACCCGGTACCGGTAGTAGCTTTGGTGCTACTAGAATCAGTCTGATCTACCCAATGCCGTATCATGGCTTGCGTCTGCCGTTCGTTGATAAATTGAGAGTTAAGAGTTTACTAGCAGGGGTAACCCTCATATATTTTGTGAGTTTGTAAATAAGGTTTATTAGTTCTTTAGTACTACAGACGTATAGTATTGTACCTGTAGGTAGATAGGTAGCTAGCTATAAGACTATCGGAGGTACTTATATATCCGTGTATCCGTGTATCCGTGTATTGTATTGTATTGTATCGTATCGTATCTGTATGAATGAGTGAGTGAGAATTGATATTATATTATATTTGAGACGAATATATAAAGATATAAAGAGATATAACAAGATATAAATAAAAAGAGAGGAGGTATATATTATATTTAATTGAATATTCAATATTAAAATTAAATATATTCAAATTTTAATAATTAAAAATATTAAATATTATTAATTTATTTGTAATAATATTTATCTTTTATTATTTTAATATAATTATCTTAATAAAATCAATATTAAATTTTTTCTTATAAATCTATTTAAAAATCATTTCAAAATTCTAGAATATAAACATTCTCAAGCCCTCAATCTGAAATAAAATAAATTATTTAAATTTCATATTTCTACATACTCACAAACCTATATACTCAGCTACAAACCTACATATACCTATACCTATACAGCACGTCCATCTACATAACACCCACCCACCTACTAACCAGACAAACCCATACCCACCACCCACCCATATCGAACCCTTTAGTCCCTTCAGTCCATTCCCTTCCAGTCCAGTCCAGCCAAACAACCTACAGTCAAACAATACCCATATACCCCCTCTCCGACATTTCCGACATATAATCTCAATAATTAAGTAATAATCAATCTCTCCTTCATTTCCACCTATCCTCCCTGCACATACTTCCACTCCCTCTCCCTCTTCCTCTTCCACAACCGAAGCCCCGACGTCATCAAAACTCTTCCAAATGGCCACCGACAACATAAAAGAGATGTTTAAAACCCCCAAAACAAAATATGCCAGTGGTATCTCTCAGTGAAAAAAAAAACGCCATCCATATTAACCCTTCTCCCCTCATTAAAACTCATAATTACTACCCATATCATGCATTTAAACCCTTATTTTGTTCTCCACCCAAAGACCAAATTTCCTTTACCTTCTTGGCAAATTATTAGCCCCAAATCTTGGGCCACCCCCACTCGCCAAACTCTGTCTCACAATCATTTCCGCCGCTGCAGCGGCTGCTAACCTTTCCTTCTGTCTACTCCTATCCCTTAAATAAGCAGTTGCTTCCGGTCTCATTCTTAAAATCCTCAAGATCATGTCATCGCTTGGATCTGCTTGTGCCTGTTTCCTCTTTTCTTCCTTTGCCTTTTTCATCGTTCCCAAATTTCTACTTAACATGATACTCTTACTTCTGGCCATTGGAGTCGAGCCCATGAGGCCTCCAAAGGAAGCACCGAGAGTAGCAGGTGCTGAGAGACGATTGCGTTGTTGTTGGGCACGTTGAGCAGTCGCCGTGGCCATTCTTTCAGAGGTACGGATGAGGTTGTCGGTGGTATCGAAGTAGAAGAAATTAAGTGAGGCGAGTTCGTGGTATTTAGGGGATTTGAGAACGTCCGCTGGTACCCCCATTGCTTCGCCAGTTTCTTCATCTCGAGCATGGAAAAAGTCGAATAGAAGTTCAAGCCATTTAAAGACAATGTCCATTTCTTGCTGCGTGAGGGGCCTTTGAGTAGATGGCTTATCTGAAAGAGGTGGAACTAAAAGACTCTCGAGGGCGAGGAGAACTTCCTTCCACAATCGAGTCATGACCATGATCATGGATGCATCCGTTAAAGTTTGCTTCATGATGGCGAAATTCTCATCAAAGTAATTGAATAGAGGCTTTAAAGCGTTTTCAACATCTTGAGGAGTCAAGGTTGGGGCTACCGATTGTCGGTTTTTCCAGAGACTAGTTACAGATGCAACCGAAATACCTCGAGAGAGTAAGCCTCTTAGAGATTCTTGTGAAAGAGAGCTGTTAATGTATTGTGACAGCTAGAATTGTTAGCTCATGCTCTTGAGTTGTGGTTTTTTTAATGGTCATACCTTATCAGTGATTTTGCGCGTCATATCCCTTTCTGTTCTTTTGAGCAAACGAAATGCTTTACCAAAATAGAATTGAATGTCATCACGTTCTCCCTCCATACTGACACGCAATAGTAATCTACCTTGGGTATCTAGGTTGAGCCAATACTCACGAGGCATATAATCGCTGAAGTGAGATGGATCCAACTTCAAAGAAGTCCTCCCAACATAATCATGATCACCAAATGTGTCCCAATCCCAGATGGTCGCAATGATGTTCAACGGACCTTGCACTGTAATATCCACTGATTCATCCCAACGAGGATTAAGATTCCTCATTACAACTCGCGTCTTGGCTAAACGCTTTTGATATTCATCACCGAGAACGACATAAGGATCGCTAGTGCCATTAGGATCACAAGCCTTGAGATCCTCACCTTCTACTATCTTAATGGTGAACACATATTTTGCAGTTCTTCTCTTTTTCTCTACCGGTGGTGCATTCTTAGCAAGAAGATCCGCACATGCATCGACATTTATTGTCTTCTCAAGCGCATCAAGTTGCTGCACAGCATACTCGATGTTGTTGAGCTTAACAAAAGACTGTGGTTTCATTAGACGCATCCTATTATCTTGCATGAAAGGGACTTACTTCGGGATAGAATTGGAAAGGTTCTATCTTTTCCTTATTGTTCCAAGCCTCCTTGGCAAGTTGCATCCACCTTTCCTGTTTTGACTGTGTTGCCGCCGCTACTTGTGCGGGAGACAACCTGTCCATCTCTTTTGAGAATTTCTGCTCAATGATCTCGCAGTATCTGGCAAGTCCAATGCCAAAAGATTTCGACAGAGCCGTCATAAATTTAGCGTGCTGAATCGTATCGGCCCAGTTAAGTTGAAAGATCTGATCGGCCATCTGATTGAAGAGACGGAATATATCAATGATAGACACACTGTGACGTTCATCATCTGATGGGATCTGGTCAGGATTATCCAAGCGAACTTGAAATTGGTCTTGTTTGATAGCCTGATCAACAAGCTCAACCGTTTTTGCATCAGCACTGCGAATCCATCGCCAAACAAAATCAGCAAGCAAGTCTTCTATATTGAAGGCGAAGGATCTACTTGGTAGAACCTTGTGGTGGATGTTGCGGATCTCTACAAGTTCCTTATAGAGATCAAACCCGTCCTGTAGAGGAACTTCGCTTTCATTGATATGTGCTACGTGTAGAATTCTCTTAATCAAATCATTGGCATCATCCTCGAAGCTAGGGAACATCGTCTCGACAAGTATTGTTAAAGGATTAACGCCCATTATTTCAGGGTTCTTTCGATACCTCTTCTGAATCCGCTCACATAACTTTACTACGGATTTCCCGAGCTGAACAACGTGGAAAAATTCCCACTCCTCCTGATTTTGAGGAACTTCTGCTTCAAGGTATTCCCTATACACATCCGCAGCTTTAGATTTAAGACCCTCAGTCAACTGTTCAACATAAGCATCGTAGCCGCCAGGGCTAGTTGAGAACAGAGGATCGTTCTTGATATGGGTTTCTAAGATAAGTAAAACTGGGCCGGGGGAAGGCGGCTTAGCCTCATAACAATGTTGTAAGAGATCATATAGATCACGGAGAAGTCCATCATGCAAGTTTGTCAGAATCTGACGGTACAAAGCAAAATCATGGATCGTCCAGTCGTTCTGATCGATAGAGGATAGACTTGCAGAATGGGTGTGCGTATGTGTACGCTTGGTTTCTGTAGGTGGGGGGTTTTTGACAAACTCAAAGGCACTATCAAGCCCGTCAAGTCCAATTTCTTGATCCATAAATTTTTGGCTCGCGACATCCAAGAATAGAACAAGCCTTGAAAATTGTGGAATTCTCCAGCGAACACATAATTCCGTCAACAACTCTAGAGATTGTTTGCTGAGGGGCTGATTCTCAGCCCCGTCAGCTTGAGCGTGGATCTGGTCATAGGTCATGGCATAAGTTAGGATCGTTCGGTAATACGCTCGTGTATCTGGCGGTATAAATGTAAATGTGGATTCTTCGAGAAATATCTTGGAGTGCTCATCGTCCTCCAGAGACAACGAAGACATATCCGCGGGTTGATCGAAATTGTAGGCTGGGCTTCCATCTATTGGACTTGTGATGGCTATAGACTTGGCTAGGTCTGCATACGCTTGATCTTCGGCACCCGAAGAGGACACGGAAAGTGGTGGCAAAGTCCTATTCTTGCCAGCGGAAGCTTTGACGAGATCTGGCTTAATTTGCAATATTTCGGAAATCAGCGCCGAAAGCTCTGGTATTTCTGCCCGCTTCCATGCTTGATATCCTTCATCAACATCAAAATCCTCGCTTCGAAGAGTCCTTTTAGTGTTCGCATTCAGGCAATGCTGGTAGGATTTTAAATCAGTGAGCGCTGCAGATTCCGTCCAGATATTCTTGTTCAAGTCAATGTCTGTTTGGACCTCCGAATTGCTCATACCAAATATTTTTCCAACAACTTGTGCCATGGGCATGTCTTTGACATCGTAGCTCACCGGTGTAGTCACTTCAATTGAGTGCCCACCACCAGGAGCAGTAGAAGAGTTAACATATAGATCTTGCGAATTCGTCAATAACTTATTCTCCAAGGTCGTCAGACGACTCATCAGCTCTGGTCGATCTTTGTCTTTGTCAAGGTCCTTTAGAGTTGCCGTAATCAACCTCACGAACAGTGCCACATGGCGATCCACGAGGATTTTCCACGATTCATCATCTGCTGCCTTGCCTTTTTGTAGGGATTTAGTGGTATTTGAATAGAATATCAAAACCAAATCCTCGACACGTCTCTCCTTATCCATACGCTTTCGAAAGCCCGGTTCGGTAAGAGCTGTGTACGCCTCCGCGAAGGTTCTTTTGACGACGGGTTCTTTGTACTCTGGTCGTCTCTCGGTTCCCGTCAATACTCCTTGCAACCGCTTCTCCAACTGCAACATGAAGCCGTGGGGAAATTTGGTTTTTGTATCCTTCAAGAGAGAGAAATCCTGCATTAACTCTCCTATCATAACACTCTTCCTTGAAACCAACTTCCTCTCTGCGGGGACATATTGTTTCGTCTTTCTTCGAGGCTGAAGGAGGTGGTGCAGGTATGCCACTCTGAGGGCGAATGTATATGCATCGGTGTAACTAACAGCTTTCGGTCGTGATCGAGAACTATTTCGAGAGATAGACATGCGCTCACCATTTGCGAGACTGTTCACTCGACGGTTGGGTCGAGTTCGAGAGGCGGATGACATTTTGTCTTCCCGCAAAACACTTATGGGGCAGATCCAAAGAGGAGAGGGAGAGGGAGAGGGAGAGGGAAAGGGAGAGGGAGAGGGGAGGGTATTGCCAAGTCGTAGTCCAAAGCTTTTGGGAAACCCAATTTATCTTTTTGGAAGATGCGATTCCAGATTGTAATGCCCTCTGAGTTTGTGTGATGGCTGTAAGAGCATTAATATATCTTGACAATGAAATGCGATAGTAAATTCAAATATGCAGAGAACGAATGAGGTTGGTTAATGAGATAACCTTTTTTTTTGGGGTATATATGTCAAGGAGAGGCGTAAGGAAGAGTAACGGTAGGCCAAATGCCAGCCTCATGAAAATGGGGGAGGATTGAGATTGGGAGAATACCTTAAGTTTGGAGCCGCTAACCTATTTTTTCAGGGGGTCAGATGGTCTGTTAAAGTGGCTTGAATGCTTAATTTGAGGGACCAAGTTCCAAAGTTGTTTCTCTATAAAATGGCGTGTGTGTGCATTGACAGTTTTTGTTCTACTCTTCTACTCTTGTACTTTGTAGCAGTAAAGAAGCTTAAGAAGCTTAAGAAGCTTAAGAAGCTCAATAGAAGGATTCGAAGGGAGAGTGAATTGATTCAATCTTAATGCGAGGGGCAACCTTAAGGCATGGGAAAGGTAAGGAAAAGGAAGTGAAGTCACGAAAGGGATGATTTGTCTTAGGATTGATTAATTTAAATGAAGAAGATTGATTTGATTCAATCATGATCGAATGTTGTTTGTTTTATTCAATTTCCCAGATATAGCTGCAACTCCATAGTGGTATCGGATACGTTCACATCGTCACCCTACCATTTGCCTACCTAGGTAGGTAAATCAATATTCCTTTAAGCTTCGAGGATTGAAGATTGAAGATTGAAGATTGAAGATTGAAGATTGAAGATTGAAGATTGAAGATTGAAGATTGAAGATTGAAGATTGAAGATTGAAGTATCCTTTGGTCCAAGTATATATATCAACATATGGAAGAAGATTCTGTTAATCCCTATTCTGTTGCGAATATGGAATAATGCCAGTACCTCCCTCCCACCTGTTTCTGATGGATAAAGTTGACAATGAGGGCACGCACACCTGCCCACCTATCATTTTCCAATGCGTGGGCACTAATTGTTTAGATCCCACAGCCTAAGAACGCTCTGTCGGGAACTGTGAGCGGGCCTATGTATTGCTTCCTGGTGCCTGAAAAAGAGGAAAAGGAAAGAGAAAAGGTACGATACAGTGAACTATACAGTACGACACATAAAGGTCATAGGTACGTACGGTGGTATATTTGCCGTGGCATCTGGTGCATTAATTAAATTGTTCGATTATTGGACGCCATCAACTAATCAACTAATCAACTAATCAACTAATCGACTTAGTCAACAGGTCCATCCATACATACGTCTTAGCAATTGGCCCATTCATTCATTCATTCATTCATTCATTCATCATTCATCCGCCATTCACCACCATTCATCAAATTGATTTATTTATGGTATTAATCCGCCCATCAACTTCAACCACCTCAAGGTAATGCCGCAAAGCATTATATTGATTTTGGGAATCAAAATTATCAAGTGAATAATAATAGTGCAACCATCGCAGATAATTTTATCGCTACATGATCACTTTATATATCATCAAGTATGCTGGTTGCTCATACAGAGGAAAGTAGTACTGCCACCACCGTGATCGATCCCATATAAGAAGACTACAGCACAACCCGCATCCTCCGATTTCAACCGCATCACAATGACAGCCCACGTTCCTCCTCCGGATCCGCAGCTCGATGATATCGTATCACATTCCGAAGAACTGTCCATTTTATGTCCAAAAACTTCGGCCGCTGCACAGCCATCTGATAATTCCATGTTACTTGATCGTGCTTCCGGTGGTGCAATGGCTACACCAACATCAACCTCCGGAAAGGCTGACGAGGCTGCGATCGATGCGAGGTCCAAAATCTCCAGTTTATTGAAGGATAAGGAACGAGAATGGACCGCTGTGGTGGAAAAAAGGACTGGTCCTTTGCGATTGTTGGATTTACCTATGGACGTTCTGAAAGAAATTGTGAAGGAGGTAGACTGTCCACCTTGCATCCTCCTCGTACAAAGCTGATGAGATATCTAGGTTACCCATACGAATGACTTAACATCGCTCGCCCTCACCCATTCTGCCTTGCACAATCTAGCAATACCTTACATCTACTCGCGGTTTGATATCGTTTGGCCCGATGCACACGCTACGTCTGATCCGAGGACCGGAGTCGATGCGCTTACCTATGGACTTTCTACACTCTGCATGGGCAACGCATTCAGCAACTCGAATCTATCCCAATCTTTCGTCTGCAAGCATTGCGGAACAGATAATTCTACAGTCTGCAGCCATGAGGTCAAACCAGAGCCCTCTAGTGCCCCCAGACGTATGGGAAATGAATATCCACAGTTTACTAGAAAGTTCTCTCTCGGAAACGGACCTACCGACTGGGTACAGGAGTATCTCATAACAAAAGAGAGTGGAAAAATGTTGGGTACTCTTGTTGCGCTGGCCGTGGCCAGAATGATAAATCTGGAAACTTTTGTCTGGGATATGCCCACCGGGGTGTTGAGGGACGTTTGGCTTGCCCTTTCCTCCTTACAATATAAAAATCCAAAACAAGAATGCCGGTTAGAACGTGTTTGGGTGAGGTGGCATGATAATACGGAAGCTATTCACATGTCCTCAGCACAAAGCCCAAGCTCGCCCGCCATTACCACGAGCCAAATGTTAGCTGGTACGACGATGAGCTCCATAGGATGGGCCGTGCCATCCGGTTCTTCAACAAGTTCAACAGCTTCTACACAGATCATTGCATATGCACAAGGTCGTGTGGAATATCCTACACTCAGCGTACTTCCACCATTACAAAGTTTGTCGGTGTTGGACATTGATGAAATAGATTATCTAGACGAAATGAGTGTCTTGGTAGAGCGATCGAGAGACAAACTTCGGGAACTTCGTGTTGGTATTTCCGCGAAAGCCATTCAACGCGATTTTGCTCTTCCATGGGACGGGCCTGAGCTCCAGCAGGTTGATCACGAAGCGAAGTGGCCTGGTGCCAGTAAGATTGGCGAGCGAAGATTGGGTGGAGTCTTAGGAATCATTCTGGGTCGTGTATTCGACATTCGGAACAAACGGAGAGTAAAAAATGAGAGAACGAAAGGTCCCAAACTGGGTTCCTTCATGGGAAGTAGCCAGCCGTTCACCCAGCAAAATGGCAGCAATGCTGCAGAAATAGTACTTCCGGAAATTGCAGGAACTGATCTTATGGGGCCCGGCTGGAGTGATAAAGAAAGTCCGGCAGTGTCAGGTGCACTTAACCCGCCTGGGGTAGCATTCAATATCGAGGCAGACTCTCTTCCAGATCATGTTGATCCTAGCCAGGAACAGTCAGCATCGAGTACCCTCTTGACGCCTCACTCTGACATGGACTCACTAACCGCGCTAATATCTGAACATCAACTCAGCTCGAATGATGATACTACAGTCCACGATATCTTACAACCACCCGTGCTCTCTGATATTCCTGCAGAACCTCCTTTGCGACGTTCCCAATCATCGAATAAGAAGCAATCACATTTTTCCGAAATTTCTTCCAGCAGCAGAGACAGACTCGAAGGGAAACTACGCCTACAAACATTGGAACTGGAACGAGTTCCTTTATCTGTATATGTGCTGCATAGAGCCTTCGACTGGACAGTTTTAACCAACTTGACTATTCTCGACTGTCCACAACACGAGAAACTTTGGTCCACACTTAGAAAACATTTTGCACCTTCACCATTAGGCAATCATACTTCAGCGAAGCATAGTACTCAAATGTTATATCATCTGAATCTTAAAAAAGTCCATACTGATGCTGCGTCGCCTTCCCTCATTTCATTTCTGAAAGAAACATTAGCACCAAATACTTTAGAGATACTGTTTCTACAGGATCGAAGACGAGCATCAAACTCGTCGGTTACAATTGTAAGTTTTTTACGTCATTGTAGTTTTTTTAGTCGAGTGCTAATCACGCCACAGGAATCTATCTATAAAGGCCCACTTAAGAGACATCGTGCTAGTCTCAAAAAGCTATTATTGGACAGCTCCGAGAGGCCACCGAGAAATGTGAATAATTCAGTAGAGTCTTCCTCGAAATGGAAAGCCTGGATGCCCAATCGTGATGTCCTGAATTTTATCACAAGTGGACGTATGACCAATCTCCGCGAATTAAGTATTGCAATTGACTACAGAGACTGGGTAAGTCACCTTGAGATGATTATTAACATACATTCCAAGCATTCTTGAAATGCTGTCACTGTACAATGTCTAACAAAGTCTAGCATCACTTTCTTCAACGCCTTCCTCAAGTACCTCAGCTCCGCTCTCTCAGTATTCCTTTCATCGCCGATCATATCACGCCTTTATTCGACCCTAAAGAACTCGCTCATCAAATCCTTGATGTCATTTTTCTCCGCCCCGAAGTAGAACTCTGTTACGTGGGTATTTCGCATAAATGTTTCGAAATCCTTGAAAACCGCCATCATGAAGAACCCTTGCCTTTATCGCATGATTCTCACACATCAGCGGCGAACGGCGGTCCCGTAACCGACGATGAGGAGGACGATGAGGATGAGAGCGATGATGATGATGAGATAGATGAGGAAGAAGATGATAATGGGACGGCTATTGCTCCCATTGATCCAGACGAAACAGAGGACGAGTTATCGGACGGCGATGGAGATGATGATGGTGATAGTGATGAAGATAGTTGGGACGGGGCGAGTGATTTTGATGGGAAAGGGAGAGTGAGGTTAAGGTTGAGGTTGAGGGAAATTTTATTTTACGATGATAAGGTTGCTATATTTAAAGCGAGGCACGGTAGACTTTGATGACATGGACGGATTTCTAGGAGTATTATTCAGTTAAAAGGGGCATTTACAAGGGGAGAATGTAATGGTTGGGGATATGACAGGGCTTCGTATGGGATTTCATGAGGCAAAAAAACGAAACGTTGATTAATCGATCTGATCTGGCCACGATATAAAATGGAGAAGCGGAAGCTTTATACGTATTTATCTTTTCTATCTTTCCTTCTTTCTTCTCTTTTGCACGGGTGGAATCACTTCAAAGGACAAACAGCCATGGATTACAGAACGGGGTGGATGCTTTTACTAGGAGTATGTTGTGTACAAGGAGCACAATGGTTGCATGAAAGGAATGGCTAGCTAGCTAGCTAAATAATTGCATTATGGTATACCAGATGGATGGATGTATGAAGCGAGAAATTGATGGGGTGAAATGGAATTTAAATTTTTTGGGTGATTTTATCCTACTCGGGTAGATACTTTTACTTTGAGAAGTTACTCGGTAGATAAGATGATGTGTTGAAATTGCGTGGATTGTGCGGTGATTTTCTGAATTTTTTTAATTTTTTTTGGGTGTGTATGTATTTGTGAACTTTTATTTTATGATGTATGATGTATGATGTGTGTTCTTTTCGGTTATAATGGCAGGAGATGTTCGTCTAATCAGCCTTGCTTTTCTATCTTTGGTTTGAGTGTTGTTCGGGAGATCATAGATGGTTCATAGTGGGCTGAATGTGATTTTCTATTCGGAAATCAAGTACTTTCTTTATATAAGCTCTCTGGTATTCTTACATTTGTATGTATTTCCCATCCCGTTAAAATATCCCATATATACTTCCAACAACCAGCATTTACAAGCACAGATTGATATGATCTACATTTTCCCCTCCACAATATAATCCCAATACATCCGCACGAAAGGTCGAAAACCAAAGATCGAAAACCGTAAGCAAAAGCAAGAAGCACAAAACAAACCATCAAATCATCTCATTTCATCTCATCTTCCCCCAATCTGACCCTTAGGAATGGGTTTCACCCACGAAACAGCCACATTAACCACTATAGTAAAAACGCCAATAATCCAAAAACACCTCGCGTAATCCCGCCCCTCATAGCGAAAAATAATCGCAAAAACTATCCCCCCCAAATTTCCACACCCACCCACAACACCACTAATAATCCCATTAGCCGAAGGATGAACATGCGGCACGAGGGAAAAATTCGCCCCATTCCCCGCTTCAAGGAAAAGTCCCATGCCGGCTACCAGTCCAAACATCTTCGCATGCTCATGCGGATCTGTGAGTCCGATTGCGATTAAGAAGGCGCTGGTTACAAGCGCGAGAGCATGCAGCCAGATTTTCTTCGCCCATACACTTCCTGTTTTGAGGTAGAGGAAATCGGAGAAAATGCCGCCTAGGGGGCGGAAAATCACATTGAGGAGACCGAACATCGCGGCCCAGCGACCGGTGCCGGTTTGGCCTAGCGCGGGGAAGTTTTTGAGGTAGTAGGAGCCGAGGATGGAGTTTATGGCTAGTTCGGCGCCGAAGGAGCAGAAGTAGCAGCTGGCGATTAGGAGGGTTTGTGGGGTGAGGATTATGTTTATGGCGTGGTGGAGGGAGGGTTTTTGGATTATTTCGCCGTGGGCTATGGTGAGTATTTCTTGGGGTGGGAGCTCGAGGGAGATTTTGTTGTTGTCGGTGGTGGTGGGGTGGTGTTTGGTGGATGCTATTTGAGCTTCTTCGAGGCGCTTTTCGTTGTTGAGGGTGGAGTTGGAGGATGAGGTTGGGTTGGTGGAGGTGTGGATTTTGTCGGATTTGCGGTCCGTAATGGAGCCTGGTATGGAGACTATGTTTTCGGATGGACTGTGAATGCCGTGGGCTTGGAGATTTTGTTGCACGGCGAGATGTCGTTGTGACCATTTGCCTGTGGGGGTGTCGGGACAGAGAATTAACATCGATATGGCGGTGGTGGTTATGAGGATGAATGGCACGATGAAGGATATTCTCCAAGCGACGTGGGCGGTAAGACCTTGATTTTGTATAAGAGAATCGACAATGGCTGGCATGACAAAGTAAGTTATTCCACCCCCACTGTAATGTCATGTTTTAGTATATGATCAACAATATGCAGAATGACATTAGGCTATGGGAGTACTCACGCATTACCCCAACCACCCGTCAATGCGTTGGCTGTACCAACAATATTCTTATCAAAGAAACCAGTAGACCATACTTGACATGGAACAAAAGAGCCACCAAGTATACCGATGAAGAATCGAAGGACCATAAGACCGGTTGCGGTTTTGACGGTACCGGCAAGAGCAGTGGGAATAGCACCAAGTAGAAGGCATCCTGCAAATGTAAACTTGGGTCCGAAATGATCGCAACATGGACCTGCGACTACTCGAACCAGAAGGCTATAGGGAAGCTATTAGTATATTAAAGGAAGTAACCATGCTTTCATACTTACGTAGCAACAAGAGCAATGATATTTGAATTGGCAATCTCATTTTGAGTGAGATGGAGATCTTTCTTGATTGTGAGAGATAACTAGGACATGTTAGATGCTGGAAACCAAGAACTGATAGGAGTAAGTCATACCAATGGCGGAAAGGCATACCTGGTATAAGGGTTAGCATAATGTTAGATCAATATATAAAGGGGTTCCAGGATCACTAACCAGGACCAAAAGGCTATTAAGAAACCGAACCAGGAAAAGAAGAAGACTCTGCCATATTTGTTGAAAGGGTTGAGGATGGGGATGGAGCGAGCTTTTCCATTGACAGGATTGATCTCTGGCGCTTGCCAAAGTTTTTGGACTTTGAACATGATAAAGCTAGCGCAATATCGAGGAAAAGAGCCGTCAATTTGAACTCAGCCTGCTGGATTTTTCAATGCAACTAGTTATATTTTCTTTAATTTTTAACTTGAGAAGATATACAAAGTATGATAAAGTGCTGATCATCTAAATGAAATTGATTCTTGAGCGTATATATAAATTATGAAATGATATAGCCTGAGATCATAGATAAGTGACGTCCACTCACTGGCAGTTGAAGCATCTCCGGGAGAGTGATCTCAACAGCAAGTAAATAATTCCTCGGATCACTTCCCTGCGCGGATCCACGGTAAACCAGAGGGCTGATGCGGGCGTTCAACGCCTGGTCTGTATTTTATAGATAAGGTCCAAGCCGGGTACAATATGGGGAAACCAACTATACAGATCTCCAGCTGGGGGGTTTTGGGTGCCAGCAGTATCTGGTGGCTGCTAAACCAAGAAGATGTGTATCTGAGATGTCATAGATTTCCGAGGTGAGCCACAACAGTAGATAAATATTTGTGAAGACGACTTTGATACCAGTCCTCAAATCATACGCGGCTGATATGATATGTCTGTAACGGGACAAAGCTTTCGGGGAATATCAGCGTAGTATTGATACAAAAGATCGACCACCTTGAAATTTGATTTGGAACATGAAGGGTTTTCAACATTGGTGCACCTCGGCAGGTGAAAGAATGGCAGCAAGCAAACGGTACCGTGAAACAAGTGGCTACTCTGTATTCATGCTCCTAAGCATGATGTATTCAATTTCCCCTGATCGTGACCTTGTGCGGCAGTGATATTCTAATCGAGGTCAATCATAGACACTTTTCATAGATGAATAATCGTACTGACGGCTCAAGACAACCTTATCAAAAGAAGTCTAGAGTAAATAAACCTTAAATTCAATACCACCAATGACGCAGTTTATAATGTACCATGACATTGTCGTCACTGGCCAAAGAGCGGTTGGTAGCTGTTGTGATTCGTGAAGTCCCTGAAGGGGAGATGAAAGGTTTGGATTGAGGGAGTCGCGTCGTCGGTTCTTATCTTTGACGAGGCTTAGCGAAGCCTAGAACGGAAATAGACCCACCTCGTAGATAAGGATTGTGGGGGATATTTTCAAAATCTTCTAGCAAAAAGATTTGTATGAAATTCATAGATTCTCTATCAAGATATGTATCTTTCTTCTCCGCGGCCATTGACCCGAAATTTCTTGCTGTCACAAATTCTGGTTTGATATCTGGTGGGAAATAACTAGTGTTTTTGTACCCAGTGAGATAGGAACCATGAGCAATGGCAAGGGGGACCACCAGATTGTTGGAAAATGGTGGCAACAATCTCCCATGCACGTGTTTTCTCCGAGAGGAAGTTGTGAGTGTTCCAACCTTGTGTATGGCATAAGTTCAATTACCATTTCTTCAACTTTTTTCTGGCCGCGGAGATCATTATTTCACTTCATGACAACTCCGGGTTCATCGTCTTTATAGTTGGCTTCAAATATGTAGATAAGCCCTCCACAGCAGTGTTATCGTTCATATCTTTGATATCTCTGGTGTCGCTCCTGTCATCGAACCAATAATTGTCCTTTGTGTTCCCTAGCGTAACATATATCAGCAAATTTTCTGGAAAATGGTTGAGGTTCCAGAGAAGTGTATCGAACCACAGTGCTAATTATAATATCATTTTGCTCCAGAATCCTAAATATTAGGAATCATCTAGCTCGAAAGCTGCCTCGTTCTTTTTCTTGCTTGGAGTCTTAGTCCCATTTTAGGATATGATCTCAGTCGCCTTCTTGCAATTGTTTCTTCTCGCAAACTGATCTGGAGTATTCGTGTCAGAAACAAACGGCATAATAGAACCCTCATGATGTCCTAAAATTCTGTCTCTTGTCCGTTCAAACATGGCATCTGAACCCTTCAGCGCCGCATTCAACTTTCCTCTATACTCCGGTGCTAATGATGGTATACTCTCATCAGCACCCTTGCAAGCTCACTCTGTTTTTTCCACAGCTCCCTACTTAGTAATTTGAGGAGAGGGCCCTAAACGTCTAGGCAGTGTTGTTGTGCACAATGCCAAGGCTTTGCTCGTTAATGATTTCATTTAATCAGTGTTGTTCATGATGTTTCCAGAAGCAAAGAGGTCTCGTGTATCCATGCTGTGCTTTCACGCAATCAACTGGCATAACCATCCGTTCTTGAGCATTGCTCTGCATACAAACTGGCATCAAGGGTTTAGGTCAAGGATTGCCCCTAACCTCTGTTTCAAGGATTTTAAGCCTTAGATTCAGGACAACTTTACTTCTCGGACCCAAAAGTAAATACTATGAAGATGATGAGTCACTGTTCAAACACTGAAAAGAAATACAGGACAAATATTTACCATTCAAAAGTTTCTCGGCAAAGCTCAAAAGAAAAATCATTGCTTCGACAGAACATTGGGTTTCTCAACTGCCTCAGACATATCTTATTCAACATTGGAAGGCACAGGAAATAGTAGCAAAACTGGCATCCCGCTGGCACTACCTTTCGGAGGAATGAGGTGAATGGTGGAACCTCATATATCCACCCACTCGAACCACAATATTCAAACAGGATTCGGTACATTATAACATGTGGGAGTTCTGCGGCTTTACCAAGAAGCTTGGGAGCTTCTACTTATCGCAGTCTGCTTTGTATCGACCCAAACCAGCTCCCTAAACCTTGGCTTTACAATGAATATATCCGCGAAAATCGTCGTAGTCCGGGGCACCGAGACGTTCAGCGCATCTCCCAATTCTCTTTTCTCGCAGTGCGAGCAGCTGCCCTTCTTCGAGTCAGTACTCGAAACAGTTATTACAAACTAAACTTTAGTTTGATAACAGTGCCAGAGGAAGAGGTCATCATGCCTGTTTCCTTCAAGTTTCCCTACTTTGAAGAACGAATGGACGTTTCTTTTAGGGTCATGAAAATCAATCCTAAGAAGCAAAGACTTAAGGACAGTACGGAAAGCAGAGTGAATGTTTGGTAAGTGGACAAGAAATCTTTACTTGAAGTTCTCACTGCTAAAATTGGTTGTCATTGTTGTTGCTGGTCGCTTGATAAATTAGGAAGGTGAACTTATGAGGAGAGAAGTGTAACTTCTCAGTGGCGCTTTCCAACTTCAAATCAGCACACTCGTGAGTTATGCCATCATTTGAGCATTTCAATCCAAGAATTCAAATGCCTTACGGTCATCTATGAAAGAATACCATTTTGCACCAGGTTCTTCTCGATGTGAAATCAAATGAGTATTTCACAATCCGCGGTCCAGTGACTTGTGAGAATTATCAAAGGATGCATCACCAGTATTGAAAGATTGCAAATGCCAGATATACACCCAAGAGAAATATGAAAAGCCTGAAAGCCAGTGCTAGGATTTAGTATTGATTAGCTTGCAGAAGGGAACACTGCAGAAAATGTATCATATTCTTGCATATATCTCCCAAAGCATGATCTTTTGGAGCCAAAACTTGCAGGTCTGCAGGTACTAAGTTCCCCTGCTTTGGCTACAAATTTATGAACTTTTGGTTTTTATGCGATACATAGTATCATTGAGAAAGGAGATTGCACTGCAACATCCGTGCTTTTAATGTTGTCTACTCGGCGTGGCAGAATGGTAAGACTTCAAATGTATGTCATGAAAGTCACACGAAGGAAGTTATTTTGAGGATGACGTGAAGTAAAATGTGATGACAGGCAAGCGAAACGAATGAAGGAGAGTGGAGTAAGGACAAAATCGAAGGACACATGGAGGAAGAAAGTGGCAGTTAGTCAAAACTCTGTAAGTCTCGATCGAATAACTCTGATAACTGTCCTGCAAAGCTGCATATCTTTTGTCTTGTTTCTAGAGATCATGTAAAAAGCTATCAAGTGGGAAGTAGCTGACTGCAAACGCTTATTCGGGGCTATCTGAGTATAATCTTGACCATTTCAGACTTCAATTTGCTTAATACTGAATATATAATTTGAGCTAGAATGTTGAACACTGCAGCGCCTATACTTTTTGATGAAACATCGCCGAATGTTCCGGACCCGTTCCAGCTTTGAAGCCAATTTATCTATTATAAGGCACTAATGCTTTTAGTTTCACTGAGATATTGAAGAAAACTTGCAGATCGGATGTTTTACCTCCCCAGGAGGAAGGTATGTTTGATATCGATACTCCGGGTCGGAGATGTTCGCAAAATCATCAGATGCATGCCACGCGATCGAGGTAAATATACGTGAAGCGCATCGGCGAACCCGAGTACACAGTAAAAATCCACATGCAAGATGTGGCAAATTGCTTCAAATAACAGGACTTCGAAGGTCTGAGACGTTGCACATGCATTGCAACATCGTCCAGCATTCATCGATACACTAATTGCGGCACAATAGATTTGCACCCTTTATCGACAGGTACTGTGTCCGCCTCCTCCGTTAGAAGAAAGCTATGGGGTTCTTAACCTACCTAGTCGTCGTGAAATCGAAAGGTTTTGTCATGATGTTTCTTAGACCGGCTAAATCTGAATTTTATCAAGTTAGCTCTGACAAATCAAATATGGGTCTCGTGGTTTAGTCATGTTTATCTATTGGTTGAAGCCCCTTGCTACATACGACTTTATCTAAAATGCGGGATCGAATATAGAATTTCTAGATCTGTCATGTCACTATGTAGTATGCCTTGTCACTGTTACCTTATTACCTTGTCAAGATAGTCAACTTGTTTTAGATGCAATATCGTGACAGATTCCTCCATGGATACATAATCTCATGTATCACTGACACGTTATTTATATCAGCACTTTCCTAATTCATCCGACAAAGAGGGGCATAATCATGCAACTCGAGGCTGAAGGATTACATTACACCATCTCATTTTATTCCAATAATCTGAAAGGAGAAAAGATCAAGTGTGAGGAGAGAAATGAGATCTATCAGATATACGAAGAGAGCCATCGTGGCGTAAGACGGGAATTTTTCAACCACAAGTTGTCTCCAGGTTTGTTCAAGTTTGCTTACATACATATCAATTCATTTCAGTCCACCGCAGAACCGGATTTGGAATTGTGAAGCTGCCAAAAATATCTTCATACAATTTGAAAGATACAGGAAAACTGTCGCACAGCACATCTGATCTTACATACTCGGCGGACACAATACAATATCAATAAATATTCAGCTTTTACCTGATAGTTCACGTTGATCACTCGGTGACATCAATTACTCCAGCTTGAAAGATTGAAATTGATCGACCAAGTGGCTTTTTCTTCATTCTCGAGAACCTCCTTGTGGAGAAGTATCATGATAACAGGCAGCCTGGTTAAATAAATTATCCTTTTCCGTGCATCATCTAGCATATGCTGCACCGTTACAAACTCCAACTAGCCACTTCATGTCGAGATAATCGAACATGACATGAAACAGCACCCCAATTTTTCAAGCAAGCCAGCTTACTCATTTGGTAGTGTGCAGGACAGAAACAAAACCATCACATGAAAACAAAACACCCCGCATCTATCTGCATATCCGATACGATTCCAAAGACACTACTGTGAAAGGAAACATGAGATTTTTATTCCATCTTCTCTTCCCTCTTCGCATCTGCATAAATTTTCCACGTTGTGCTGCACCCTCCAATCTGCAATGCAACATAATTAGTTAGGCAAACCAGCCAACCAAAGATGTTCGGCCCCCAACCCCAGATCAGTAACGCACCTGACCCTTCCCTTTTGGTCTTCTCTATATGGTGTGGCTGGACAAGGAAAACACCGAACGCATGGCAAACCAGGATATTTTCACCATCCCCTACCCTCAAATCTGACTGTAGCCACAGCAAGCCAGGACGAAGAGAGTAAAGACGGTGCAGAAATTCCACATGCCATGCCTGTTAAAATGTGCAGACATGGTTCCACGCATTATGTGTGTAAATGTAGCAATTCAATTAGTGCAACAAGTTATGAACAAATTAGACGTAGCTTTTTACGTCGTCTAGCCTACCCATTCATTCTACGTTTCATGAGTATGTAAAACGTGCTGTACCTGAAGTTGCATGCACCTGATCTGAAGTGCCTAGAAATGCAGAGGCGTTGCGACTAGGAGAATTAGTCTGGCGGTTTGTTACTATTTGTGAAGAGGCTGTGCTTGTGATTTGGGGAAATTATGTACATGATGGAAACGAACTTCTTGAAACAATAACAACAATGACAATTGCAAAGGACAATTAATGTATGGAATTCCATACATTCTCGACACCCATTCTGATATGGATAAATTCCTCCTCTTCAAACAGTGCCAACAGAACAGCCTGTAGCTAGGCGTACTGATTATCTATTAGTTATGGTGCGTCGCACATCCATCCAACCAAAGGGTAATAATCTATCCTCACACACTCACACACACTCACTCACACACCATCCTCATCTCAACCCCAACCAACAAACACCAATAAACAACAACCCTATCAAGAAAACCGCCTGTGTCGCCACAAGTTGCAAGTGACAAATGACAAGCTAGAACTATAACCAACTAACACCCCTCTTCTTCGCTTTCAAACCCTACTTACAGTATCGCTTACCCATTTATTGGACCCCGAGTACTAGTAGCAATCTAGTTTCTCGATGCGATTTGATTTTCTTGTATTTTCTTATGATTTGCGGTGCGGTAGCTGTGGCTGTGGCTAGTCTTGAATATTTAGTCACTTAGTTCTCACTCTCACTCTCGATCTCTTTGACTAGTTGATTCGCTGTATCTGTAGCACGCTACCTAGTAGTTCGTTTATTCGTTCAATGAATCATAGAGTCACATTCAATAAATACTATCGTCATTCATCACTAGAATTCTCAGCCCCGGGGGCGTCATTGAATGAGGCTAATTAGGTAGGTATGAACAAAGTTTTTTAGTTTTTTTCAAGATTTCAAAACTACAAGTTGCAGTACATATATACATACACCACCGAATTTCATTTCTTCTTTAATCTTAACGTCTTAAGTATCTCAAATCTTTTTCAAATTTCCAGTTTTCCACAATAAATTTATGTAATCCATGCGTATATGGTATAATGAACCTATAATCGATTCCAAACGAGACGAGACGATTGACAATGCTTCTTCAATAGCTTCCAAGGAAAAGTTGGGGGTATACATTGCAGAGCGCAGTTGACAGACAAAAAGACCAGACCAGGAAGCCAGTACAGTACGTAGTAAAAAATAAAAATAATAAAACAACATGATTTTTAATCCACCTCCCAAAAGTCCCGACCTGCTATACTATGATATAAAAAGAGTGCCAAAAAGAGTGTAAAGAAAAGAAGTCGATGATCATATACAAGAAGGTGTTTTGTGGCAAACCCGAAAAAGGGGTAAAAAAGAAGTTCCTCCCCAGCCAAATCAAGCACCCAAGCAAAATTAACAGCCAATAAACAATTGTAACGAGTGATAATTCTAATTTTAACTCCACCTTTGCCCAGTAACCTGAATTTGATGATGATGATGAGTGTGATGATGAAATGATGAGATGACCCGGTACCCGATATTCTTACAATTCATTTATTCTTCCTCGTAGCCAATTCATCTCGTCTCATCTTATCTGTCGTCGCATCTGATATCCATCTCATAAAGTAATAAAGAAAGCAGCCGACTCCCCCAAAATAAAATACCCCCACGCATTGCGTTGCACAGCCCCTGAAGGGGGAGATTTGCATGAAACGCGCCGTCGCATTGAAGAAAAAGAAGGCGCCATGCCAGCTCAAGAATTTCTCCTCTGCTTACATTTTTCATGCGCCATGTGGCCATTTCTAGCCGTAGTCCTTGTAAACTCGGCGCCACAGTTGGGACATGAGGATTTACTTGCCACGCCTGACTTTTCACGTTGGTGACGCAGAAGGTTGGAGAAAGTACTGAATTGACGACCATTGCAGCCGTGATCCCAACATTGAGGTTTGGGTCGCGATTGCACGACGCGAACGTGGTCGCGAGGCTCGAGTGGTGAGTGGGAGGGTTGTGAAATTGAGGATAGGGGGGTGAGAGGTGAATGTGAGTGCGGGTGTGGTGCATAGATGCTATTGAGGCTAGATTGGTCGGAAGCAGATGAGAGGGAGTGTGGTCGGGGGCTGTACGGTGTTAGTTATATCATTTAAGTAAAAATTGATTTCCATTGGCAATACATACGCGTATGATGGAAGAGTAGATTCAGGACCTCCCATTGAGTATGGTGCGGAATACGCTGAAATTGGTGCGAAATCATTTGGCCCCATTGTAAAAACTGGCCCATACATGTCCGAAGGTGTAGTATCTGTCACGGACACTTGTGGCGAGTATGAAGCGAGGTAAGATGGGCTTGGGAGGCCGTGATTTGAAGGGCATTGTGACAAGAGTGGGGTTGGAGCGAGAGAATTAGGGTTTGAATAGTGATCTGGAAGATTCCGTGGTAACATGTCTGGTGTCGTTCTGTTTGATGCATAAGGATTGCTCAAGGATCTCTCCCTTCTTTGTCTCGACTTCGTTTCCCTCCTTGCGTGATCTCGTTGACGCTTCAACTCCCTCTGTTCAGGCGTGAGACCAGCTCGTGGCGGACTGTCTGAAAGAGCTCGTGCGTATATTGGTGATGGCTTAAACTCATCATAGGGTGATAGCTGTCCGGGGCTCATATGTGGACTCAAATTATGTTGTGAGATGAATTGTTCGTTCATCTCAAATTCTGCTCGAGTTAGTTCCAATCCTTCCGGAGAGCCTCTAGAATACGTACGAGGCCAAGTGTATGATGGTCGTGCACCGGCATCGAACCGTGGGTCATAGTGCTGAATGCCAAGAGTAGACATGGTTAATGGAAGTGAATCAGAATGAATAGGAACTTTATATTCAAGAAGTTCAATACCAGGAAATGTTTGACCTGGGAGGATTCGGAGTTCAAGTGAGTTGCCTGATTGCGCTTCCGAAGTCGTGATACAGGACCAGTCTGTGTTAAGTTCACTCTTGTTAAGAACAAGAAATGGTGTATATTGATGAGGGGCTGGTGATGATAGACCAGTGACAGTTGAAGATTCAGATGTTTGCTGAAGGAATGTGGATGTCGGTGGACTAATGAATGTGGTAGCTGTTGTAGCTGAGGCTGCTGTTGTTGAATCTGAGTTTAATGAAGATGTACCAACTTGGTGATCTGAAGATGTGGTGGGGTCAGTCTTAATAAGAAGACCTTGAAATTGCGATGTAGTTGATGACAGGTGACTGTCTGTTCGGGACCTGAACTGACGTGAGTCTCTCTGGTCTACATACGAAGAATCCATCTGTGCAGGGGATGAGAGGACTGTGACTGGTGATGGCGGCACATACAGATAGTTTTAAAGAGATGAGACACTCGAAATAGATTGACGTTACTTTCGGATCTGGGGAGATTATAAGCTCGGCGTTGATGAGGAACAATAGACGTTGTGATGTACCTATTTTGGTTCTATTCGAGGGATTCTAGGAGGTACTTAAATCAAGGTCTCCGCCTCAACTTATCCAAGGGGAGTAAGGCTTAAAGTACCTAAAGCATGTATGTGGACGGCGCTGTAGCGCTGCTCCCGTCAGCATCTGATTGGTCAGATTGGGGACAGGTTCGAAGGATTCTAAACCCTGTCATACATGGTTGCCCCTCGACCGTAAAGTTGTTCGTGAAGAGATGGGGGAAACAAAACAGGCGCCAGAGCGACACACCCGCACTCTGGGTTCATCTGGGCACGTCAACGTTTGAATAACTTAGCGCGACCCGTAGGGCTTTCTGTGGAAAAGGACGAGGCACACCACAAGAAGTTAAACCAGGAGCACAGGAGATTTTCCCCTCTCAACTGTGAGCTACGCCGCTCATCACGGACCCCATTGAGACCAATTAAGGGACCCATATTATGGCAGTAATCAAGACTAATTAACGATAATGCTAATTGAACAACAATCCAGGCGTCTGATTAATTTTTCTTGATGTATTGAAGTGGAATTTTTTTGATGAAACGACTTTCGGCAAAATCGCTAGGTAGATGTGAAATGTGAAATGTCCGCCTAGATTCAATTTTATTGTCGTTATTTTTGAAGTGACCATCAGAATGGCATGCTGAAGAGACATTCCCAAACTTGCGGGTAATTTGTAACACAACGCTTTTAGACCCAGTTCGTGATGAATCTGACAGATTGTTGCGTTGTGTACAAAACTAGCAGACCAGCATTACGATTAACGTTTTGTAAGCTAAGCCTAAAAAGACCAGAATTATACGAGCAATCATTATCTATTTGAGTAGAATATCTTCGATAAAGGGGAGATTTGTTCGGTGTAGAGGAACATTGCGCGCGCTTACACAACATATTTATTAATGCTCTGATGTTATTTCATCTATCGCCAGTGTTCTATCATGTCATGAACCACAGACAAGCAGGTTGAGGGTGTAAAGAGGCTTGTACTGTGACAAGGCAACTCTTAGTGTAGGCAGGCAAGATAAAATAATTAAAAGTAGAGTCAATGAGTGATGCGGGTCCATATGATGGATACAATGTTCATACTAACGTTGGTAGGTGCAGATCGACCGCATGAAAAAGTTGAACGGTATGAAGTTCCGACAGATAGAAAACAGCTTTAGTTCCCTACTTTGCTTTACCCCTTGATCCCTACTCCGTACACCATCTCAATTATCCTTACCATAGCTGTTATTCTCCAGCCAGACCCACGTTTTTTGGATGAAGTAGCCAGGGGCTATTACCATGGTACCATGGCACCAGTCTGATGAACGCAAGCATGTCTCAGTATAGTCTCCATATTAAATGTACTTTAAGTTTATCATTGAAGAAAGGGAGCAATGAAGAAAATGTGAAAAATCATACACTAGTTGTGGCCAAAAACAACCATCTTCTTCTATTTCAATTTTTGCTTGTTCCCCCATCTCCCGAATAATATTCCTGTTTGCTCATTATCGTATATCTACCTATTTTCTACGCATACATGAGATGTGAGGTTTGGTGAAGAACACGAGCAAGGTCCTTCATACAGACAGTATCTTGCTGACGTAGCACTATTTGGTGGTTTGTGTGTAATTTAGATGTTATAAAAATGGTATATGTGTAATCTTAATCTTGCTTCATGTAGTGTTGTATGTGTTGATTCTGGTTTTCAGCAGCCCAGCCTCGCTGAGAATATCTTTCTACTCTGTCCACAATGTATTAATTTTGGGCTTGATTAAAATTCCCAGTAGAGAGGTAAGTTGATTTGACGAACACGCGACAAACCCCCAAATCCGTCGCGTTACAGGTTCGCTTAGATAATTGTAGGGGTTGGAAAATGCTAAGTGTATCGTACTAGTTTATGTGATATATCCGCCGGGCTAATATGTCAAAATCTTGTTGCCTTGAAGAGATCTATACTTGGCTATATGTGGATTTGGACCTGTTCCACTTTCTCAATGAATGATCGTTTAATAGAATAATTCAATGCTCACAGACTCATAGATAGTAGGTACGGAGTACTATTTCCTTTTTTTCCACGTTTCGGTGGGCCATGTTGTGCGATAGCAACAAGCTAATTAAGATACCCCATCTCATGCTTACAGGCTTACTACTCCGTTTTCCCCCTTTCTACCAATCAGCCTGTGGGGTCCGGAACGATGATTAAGAAATGGCATCCAACGCGAACTCCACTTGCCCTCGTCTATGCTAAGGTATCTACATTTTCATCAAAATCTTACATCTCCATTTGCACCTTACCCATCTCGACGACCAGCACATGCATATGTCTACAGTTCTGCAATTTAGAATCTTCGGAGTGATACGGCAATATGGATCAACTGGAGATACCGTCAAGGTCTAAGAATTATCATCACACCTACTACATATTACCCATTATTACCGTCATACAGTAGGTGTGGAATTTGAAACATGGTTCTCGAGGCAGTGTCGGTGAATTACTCGAAGGTGGGAGAATGTCTCAAAATAGAACAAACAGGACACAAAACTCAAGATTCGGAATCGAGAATGGGATTCCTCGATTGAACTACCAGTTGCCGGAGATGCGGTACTGTACTTTCTAGCTTCACCTCACCGCGGCTCAGTGCAATCAGCCATTGTCAAACTTCAAGGAGGAAAAGAGGCTCAAAGGATCATTTAGGATATCACTGTTGATTTCATACTTGACGATATTTCCATTTTTGATTGTTTCGCATTCCTTATTCGGAAGGTACTACTTGAGTAGTTCATTGTAATTACTCTACATTTACTATCTTGGGGGTATGCCGAATATGCATTTGGACACCGCATTTGTCCCGTCCGCCAAATAATGCTCCACGAGGTACATGGTAAATGATGGAGAAAAAGAAGCATTGCGCCACCGTTGACCTAAAGATCTCACCAAATCTAGTAGGTAGGTTATTGAGTAGACCGACCAACGTATTGCACGGCTCACAATCACCCGCTGTCTCATATGCATCATGAACTTTCATCACGAATGTCAGCACCAAAAACAAGTTCTTTTTCACTCAAAATTATTTCCGGAGGTCGTCTCAATTTCATCATGACACTTAAAATAAACACAAAACATCAACACTACATAATACCTAGTACCTTACTAGTATCTGCAGCTGCAGCCCTGGCCTGTTCAAACCTGCACCACCTGCAGCTAGCCAAGATAGAACACTTCCAGAATCATACGGCCCCCCATGATTACCTCATTTTACTTCCAATTCGTCCGTTGGCAGCGTCTCATTCTTACTTTCTACGTGCTTATCTGCTTACCTGCTTACCTGCTTGTAACCTCGTCATGTGGACGAATACCCAAATGCATGTACTTCTTCAAGTATGGTTGTATACAAAGTACCTAGTCTAGTCCTTAGGAATCTTGATATAGGACGAACGAGCATAACTGCTGGATACTTGAAAAGTTAATGCTGATCTCCAAACGGAGTAACATTTCAAATTGCTTGACCAGCTTTCCCACCTCCGCTTATGTGATGGTGGTTGCATACTCCACCAACCATACATTCTGACATTACATCGTCTGTAGAATGTCTCAAAAACCTCACAAGAAAAGCAACAATTCATTTCACCTAAATATTAGTCAGGTAAGAATAATGTACGCCTTCGGGAGGGCTAATTGCTACCATGCTCGACACCAAAGATCAAGATATTTCACGTACGAAATCAAAAGAACTTGGAAGTTACAAACATAACATCAGCGAATTAGACAATGGTTTTCATTAGCGCGAGAATGATGAGAAAATGGCGTAAAAAGAAAAAGAAAATGCGGATTAACATCATTCCAGCTCCATCAAGGTCCCATTCAGAATCATATCCTTAGAACTGAAATCGTCATATATTCCGCTCCAATCGCTCTTTTTCCATGTCAAGAAGCATCGGAGTCCAGGAGATCTTAGAAGCTCGATTTTCCGGGTTCGTTCAGCACATGTCAAACAAAAATTCCTTCCTATATGGGAGATCAACGAGATAAGAGAAGTTAGATATCTTCAATACCATGTGGCATGACCCAACAGACCCTAATGGCTCAAGATCATCGTCCCCATTACCAACAACATGAGGTATCCACACGAAGAACATCCATGCTGGCATGTGGCGCCTACATATGGTCTAGTGTGCGGGCCTTACATGGACGGTCTTATTGGGTACTGTATATGTAATACTTTAAACATCCTGTATGTGTGCGGCGTGGGATTGGTTTGAAACGGTCCAGGAACCCATGAAACTCGCAAGGAAAGACTTAATACCACCAATACTACTACAAGCCGCGATGTCCGGATTATTTTGATATCAATGTTTAGAAGAACAGCAGCAGCAGCATTTTCTCCATAACTCAACCGGTAACCTTGGATCTTAGATTCATCGTGATCGCTCACACCACGCATTTGCATCGTTCCCGTCCCGCGAAAGACAGGATGGGATGGTACAGGCCGTAAAATGGCCTTGGTGGCTCATCCGTTTCCCCTCTTTCTTTTCTTTTTTTGCGATCAGTTCAGTTGAAATAGCGCTTTCGCTACAGAACCCCTGAAACCAAAATTGCCCAGCAAAACACCAGCATGAAAAGCTTGGAAAGGCCTTTAATTGTCAAGTTCGAATAAGGATATTGAAAAGGTAGCGAGAGACGAAGTCAGGCTTCAGGTCTGCAAAATCAATTGATTTGCCGATATTCAGTTAGACATTGAAAAATCGATAAATACCTGCGGCTTAATTAGGTATCGCGATTTATCACGTAAACCGCCTTTATCCGAAGAATCAATCAATTGTCCCACATCTAAAATTACGAGTAAGGTTACATCTTTTATCCCACTTGCAATTTTCTACAACCATCTGAAATTTCCGAGATATAACACTCGAACAAGGCAGTGTACCGTAATGATCTACCTGAGCAGCAGTTTTGCCCTTGCAGAACACGATGGTCGGTTGCCATATGCTTAAGCTTGTCCTACCTTTCCAGGCAGGTGGTAGCTATAGGCGGGAAGGGTGTGTTGTGTTGGTTTGATCGACAGAGGTGGGGTGGGGATCATGAAAAAGGCTAAGTCATGAGCTCGAAGTTTCTTAAAATAGTTTTTATATTCTACGACATATGAAATTGAAAAATAGATACCCTTGGAGGGCGCTTCAATCACGATTTGATGCAATCTTTCGAGTCGCCAATGGGCTGGATGAGAAACAGAACAGAATTCAGGTCGATTTTCAGGTCTCTCGTTTGATGTAAACGTGGGGCCTTTCTTTTCTCGGCCTGCATGATGAATGGAGCCTGGTTTACGAAGGTACTTGCTGTATGTCGACCTGTGTATTTTCCAAAGGGAATACGCATGAGCGACCAGCGACAGCATCTCTATGATGCTATCGCCAATTCTCTACCACAAGAAACACTGGGCTTAATTTCAATCTCTCAAAGTCCTCCAAGCAAGCAATTCATGTCCTCGAAATGCTCTCTTTTTCCCCGGAAAGACAGGTAGGCAATTCAGTCTTCAAGTTGCAGACACAATTATACAACCCAAGAATTCTACCCCCAGATTTGTGGTCGTACTTTCCTCCTTCACCGTTCTTACTAGAATGAACAAAATTGGCAAGCACAATGCGGGGTAACTCAACGATCTGGCAGTGCTGGCCACCGATGAAACCTTCACCTTGACAAACAATCTATCAATTTCCACTTCTCAATCCTCATTTTCAATCTCTGGGATTCCCTCACACGTTCAAAGCCTATAATTGATGGCAGATAAGACAGGCGGGACGATGGAGCAGTCTAGAAATTCGAATGAAGAAGCAGGTCCCCAAGATGCTTTGATCAATGAGCCGACAGTGGCTGTAATAAGTGCATTGGAGGAAAATTTGGAGGATGCCATACATCCATATGTTCAGGGCGGGCTTAGAGGCATTATTGCCTCGCCGTATGTTGCTGGTGCGGCTATTTTAAGCACAGTTGGTGGACTTTTATTTGGTACGTTGCACAGTTTGGACGGGACCTCATGACGCATTGATTGTCACATTTGGTTTGGGACATTCACAGCATTCATCGTTCTAATGTTTATTAGGCTATGACCAGGGCGTAGTCTCCGTTGTCCTCGTCATGGAAAGCTTCATCGCCGATTTCCCACGCATAGGTCCTCATTCTAGCGGGTTTTTGAAGGGTCTCTTAACGGCCATGATCGAATTCGGTGCCTTTTTCGGTGCTCTGAACCAAGGCTGGATTGCAGATAAATACTCTAGAAAGTACTCTATAATGATCGCTGTCGCCATATTCCTCGTGGGAAGCATCCTACAAACCGCGGCTGTTAGCTTCAATATGCTCATTATAGCCAGGCTTATTGGAGGCGTAGGCATTGGAATGTTGTCGATGGTTACGCCTATGTATATCTCGGAAATTGCTCCCCCTGAAATTCGTGGAACTTTGCTTGTTATGGGTAAGTGATTCTAATCCGAAGTTTCATTCTTCCAAGTGGCTAGTCTGAGGTTCCAATTAGTTTCATACGATGAAACTGTGCTAACCAGTACTATATAGAAGAGCTTTCAATTGTTGTGGGAATAGTTATTGCATTCTGGATTACATTCGGCACAAGATACCTTGGTGGAGAATGGAGTTGGCGTCTTCCCTTCTTTATCCAAATCGTTCCTGCCTTATTCCTGGGAGTCGGCGTCTACTTCCTTCCATTTTCGCCTCGATGGCTTTCTTCAAGGGGAAGGGATGATGAGGCTTTGGAAGCTCTAACGAAATTGAGACAATTACCAGATACCGATGCAAGAATCCGGAACGAGGCACGCCAAATGCGTGAAGAGGTTATACACATTCGAGAGATTCACATGCAAAGGCACGAGAAAATAATAAATTCGACAATAAAACTTGAGTTGGCTTTATGGGGAGATTGTTTTGCATCTGATTCCATCAAACGTACACACATTGGTGTAGTTATCATGTTCTTCCAGCAATTTGTTGGTATCAATGCCCTGATCTACTACTCTCCGACTTTGTTCGCTAGGATGGGCTTGCAGCCAGAAATGCAACTTGTCATGTCGGGAATTTTAAATATTTGCCAGTAAGTGTCACCGTCCGAACTGACTTTGAATGTCTGTGATAATCTTGAACATTTACGGTACTATTTCCTGACCTATACTAACCGTTGAACTACAGGCTCTTTGGCGTCGCATCGAGTCTATTTACAATGGATCGATATGGAAGGAGGCCACTACTCATGCTAGGGTCTTTCTTCATGACCATCAGCCATGTCATGATAGCTGCCTTGGTCTGCCTCTTTTCTTATGATTGGGAATCACATGCCACGGCTGCATGGGTCAGTGTAGCATTCCTCCTGATTTATATGGTGGTTTTTGGTGCGTCGTGGGGTCCTGTACCTTGGGCAATGCCATCGGAGATCTTCCGCACAGATTTAAGGGCAAAAGGGGTTGCTATAAGCACTTGCTCTAATTGGCTGTAGGTGATGTTTCAGCTTCTTTTCATGGGCATCTTTCTAATGTCTGAAACGAATAGGAACAATTTCATTATCGGTTTGATTACTCCACCATTGGTGGTATACACCAATTGGGGCGCGTATGTTTTCTTTGCCGTTTTTTGTGCGCTTTCAGGCGTATGGACGTGGCTTTATGTACCAGAAACGAAAGGCTGTAAACTAGAGGATATGGATGACCTTTTTGACAACTAAATGTCACAAAATCGAATGGAACAATGGATGATTTTGGAATGTATTCTTAGAATCTCAACAATAGAAATACTAATTTGCTAGTCCTAGCTGTACCCGAAATTGTAGCCTATAAGTAACTTCAGAATGCATGACTAGAATGGAAATACCCACCTCCTACCTACTCATAAGCTGTCGTTTCATTCTCTCCTGGTAGACAGCTTAGACAGCTCCCGGTGAACCACTTCCACATTTTGAAGCTAATATTCTGTGATTGGTCCGAAGGTCTGTGCACCGGCCAAAAAACCACTCTACGCGTTTTCTCAATAACCGCGTCGCAACCCTTCCATCTCAAAAAGTCAAACAATCAATTTTGCAACACAGATCATTCAATCCACGATACAACACACTCTGTATAACTTCTTGATATTCTTCTATCCCTTAAAATTTTACACCTAGAGACTCAAATACCGTAAAGAGTATGCTAATTTCCCAATGGATTCAGCCACTTGACATTTTAATACTAACGATGTACCAGTGTTGGAAGCTCGCCTCGAACAAGCCGACCTTCTTAAGAAGGTAAAGAAAATATCATCTTTAACTCCATTCCCATGCTAACGGTATAACGTAGGTTGTCGATGCCATCAAAGATCTCGTCCAAGATTGCAACTTCGACTGCAATGATTCAGGAATCGCGCTCCAAGCTATGGATAACTCCCACGTTGCGCTCGTCTCTATGATGCTTAAGGCTGAAGGATTCTCTCCTTACCGATGTGATCGCAATGTTGCGCTTGGTGTCAACCTTACATCTCTTACAAAAGTTCTGCGGGCTGCACAAAACGAGGATATTCTCACCATCAAAGCCGAGGATGCACCAGATGTTTTAAACTTGGTGTTTGAGAGCAGTGAAAGTGATCGATTGAGCGAGTATGACTTGAAGTTGATGGATATTGATCAAGAACATTTGGGTATTCCAGATACAGAGTATGCGGCTGTTATTACTATGCCAAGTACGGAGTTCAAGAGGATCTGTGTAGATCTTATGGCTTTGTCCGAGTCTGGTATGTATTACTGTTTTCCTGTACAGGTATTGATCCTAATTTTTTGTTTTGATAGTATCGATTGAGGCTTCGAAAGATGGAGTCAAGTTCCAGTGCAATGGTGATATCGGAAACGGTGCTGTTACCCTTCGCAGCCACAGCAATGTGGACAAGCCAGAGCTTAACGTCGATATTGAGCTTACCGAACCGGTCTCCTTGACCTTCTCCCTTAAATACTTGGTCAACTTCTGCAAGGCTGCTGGTTTGTCTAAATCTGTCAAACTTTGCTTGTCCAATGAGGTTCCTCTTTTGGTCGAGTATCAGCTTGCTGGAAGCAGTTACTTAAGATTTTACTTGGCACCAAAGGTATGTTGACATGCATAATCCAATATCTGCTGATAGGGAAGCTAACATTTATTTTCAAGATTGGTGATGATGAGTAGATGATGGTAGTCAAAAAGGTTTAATGAACAATGATATTGAAGTTTACAGCATATCAGTATAGCGTGTGGGTTAATTTATGGATATGGACTATGATTGTGGTAAATTGTGCCATGAATGAATGGTTTTGTTCTTCAGTACCTGGCATGCGATGAAGCAATTCGTTGATTTCTCTCTGTAGAACCTGTTTTAAAAAGGAACAATAATGAGATATATTCAGAGAACAGGAAATTGAATATTCTATCAATCACTTTATGCCAATAGCTTCATTGCTCTTTAAGAACATACTACAGAAAAAACAAGGAAGCATATTCAGAGAATTTTATCAATCCCCATTATGCATACTGGGTAAATTTTGCTGCTCCAGGGCTTTTCATGCATGTCCCTTGATTGAGAGTAGCGCGGGGCAGCCTAATGCCCCACTACTACCTATCTAATGCCAGCAACATGAAATTATCGAGGGAGATAAGACTATTATTTTTCCCCTCGATTGATACACAAAATATTCTTGAGCAGTGAAAATCTATTTTGCATATTTAGTATCAATTTATAATTATTTCTACAAAATACCCACCATTGCAATTGAACCTCTGTCCGCCATCCTTTCTAGCGACTCCGGCACAGCTTGACCTGATATCAAACTTCAATTAGTGCCTCTCCTCTCCACAAAACCATCTTTCCCCCAACAAGCAAGATGTCTGAAGATTTTCCTGTGCCAGACACACGGGTTCTTGCTATAGCCAGTCATGTAGGGGAACCATTCTCAACACGACCGTCGCTGAACTAACATCCTCTGCTCAAGGTCGTCTACGGGTGAGTCTCATGAGTCACAACCTCACTCCATGCATGCATGCGCACAAGTCGACTAAGTCATAACGCTACAAAAGATATGTCGGGAATACAATGGCTACATTCGTGATGCAATCTCTAGGATGCGAAGTCGCTGCTCTGAATACAGTACAGTTCAGTATGTTCTGGATACAAACCTCACATTTGCAATTACTGTCGCGGAGAGGATATGAATATCTTGCTGACTGGTTTATGTATGAAAGGCAATCATCTAGGTTATGGGCAAGCGAAAGGGACACGCGCTTCCGCGGCCGAAATATCCGATCTCTATCAAGGTCTCAAGAACTCATACCTCGACGATTTCAATATGATGCTCTCGGGCTATCTGCCTGGAGCCGCCTCGGTCGAAGCCGTCGGCTCCATAGCTCGCGATCTGAAATTAAAAAGTACAATGAAGCCGGGAAGTTTTTTCTGGGTTTTAGATCCTGTGATGGGGGATAATGGGAAATTGTATGTGGCAGAGGATGTAGTGCCGGCATATAAAACATTAATCAAAGATGCGGATTTAATTCTGCCGAACCAGTTTGAGGTTGAGTAGGCGTTCCCATTCCATTCTTTCGCTGCTAGTCCTAGGAAAGATCACATTGTGCGCAACGATGGAGTATGTATAAGTGTTTCTGCTGACTCTCGTAGAACATTGTCCGGAGTCAGGATTCAGGATATGGAAACGCTTAAATTGGCCATCACGACTTTACACGAAGTGTATAGAATCCCTCATATAATGGTAACATCGATTTCGCTTCCTTCTCCCGGGGCGGAGCCGCATCTTTCCGTCGTAGGCTCAACCATGACATCGACGGCCGAACCTAGAATTTTTAGCATCAAGATACCGGCGATTGATTGTTTCTTTAGTGGAACGGGAGATATGTTTGCAGCGCTCATGTTGGTGAGGTTTAAAGAGGCAGTGTGTAAGGTGGAAGGACTACTGGAAAAAGATGCGTGGATTAGTGATGATGAGGTCGAGGCTACGGATTTACCCCTTGCGAGGGCTACGGAGAAGGTTTTGGCTAGTATGCATGAGGTGCTTGCGAAGACGAAAATCGCGAGAGATGAGGAGATTGAGAGGTGGAAGAATGTTGTGGGTGGAAGGGGGAAGGATGAGGATGCTAAAAGGGAGGGATTGGTTAGATCGAAGGCGGCCGAGGTAAGATTGGTGAGGAATGTGCATTTCCTCAAGAATCCGGTGGTGAGATTCAAGGCGGAAAGTGTGTAGAGCTCAGCAGGAACAAATCAGGGGCATGAATAAAAAACGATATAGATGTATGCTGTATGATATGTAGACGGCGAGAATTTCATTATTTTGTCTATTTTCTTCATGAACTATCGTCTCTATTCCTTCGAGTATACATAGCACGGTATATCTCATCCTCAACTTGCCAACCCCGCCCCCATTCACTCCCTACTCCTCACAATCTAACCAGTACTTCCAAAACCCCCCTCACCCCTCACACTCTCTTCCAAAACCAAGACTTCCGTGACCTCAGGTGTATAAATCCTCTCCAAAATCAACTGTGCAACACGATCGCCCTCCTTGACTTCATAATCCTTTTCGCCGTGATTAAAGAGAAGAACTTTTACTTGACCTCTATAATCAGCGTCGATTACACCGGCACCAGTATCAATCATATGTTTTGAGGCGAGACCGGAACGTGGGGCGATGCGGCCATCTAGGAAGGGATGTTAGTCTGCAGTTAATTGGAGAGAGAGAGCGAGAAGGGGAAAAGGAGAAGGAAGAAAAACATACAGGTTCCGTCTGGTACAGCCATACTGATATCAGTATCTACCATCGCCTTTCCCTTGGCAGGTACAACCGTGTCTTTTGCAGCGTAGATGTCGTATCCGGCGGCGAAAGCACTACCGCGAGTAGGGAGACGGGCGCGAGGAGAGTTTCTTAATGAGGAGGGTGGGGGTAGAAGATTTGAGGGTCGGGACCGCGGGGTTGTGGTAGAGGATGTGGTTGTAGTGGGTGGGGCGGTGGAGGTGGTGGAGGATGTTGTGCCGTTTGGTGTGGGAGTCGGAGCTGGAGCTGTGGTTGCTGCGTTGGTTGCAGTGTTGGAAGACATGATTTCTTGGAGGGAAGATGAAGATTTTGTTGTTGCTGCTGTGGGTGTGGATGTAGATGTGGTTGTAGAATTGGTTGTGGTTATGGGTGTTGATATTGATTTAGAAGGGGATATCTTTTGACGTTTGGGAAGTGGTGAAGTGGGGGATTGGGGGGGGAGTGTGGACATTTGGCTTGGGATTGAGCTTTGGACGGATTGGGAAAGTATGGGGTGAGATGAGGAAAGAGGAGATGAGATAAAGGTACAAGTGGAAGGAAGTGAATGAATGATTGAGTGAGTGAGTAAATGAATGAATTATTATATTGAGTGAAGAAAGCAAAGATTAAAGTTTGGGGTTTGGAAGACTAAAGAAACAAAAGTTTCGGTGTGGAAAGTGGAAAAAGAAAATATGGGGGAGACGCGACGCGAGACGTGTATGGCAGGGATCTTCAATCGAGATTTCACAGTGTATCACGTGTTGGATTTTATGGAGAGAAGTACCTGGTAGCGGATCGGAATATTGTAATGCCGAAATCCATGCCCCAACGAAATTCTGTCTAGTACCTTTTCTGTCTCACTCCAAAAGTAACAGTATTGATTATGGAGGCAGGACAATACATCAAATACCCGAGACTTTTACTTCTTTGCTGTACTGTCTTACTAGACCTTTACGAGCCTCAAAGGTTCTCCTCAATTCCCAATTGGAATCACAAAGTAAGAGTGCATGATCAAAATCTCAAAAGTAGAGCTCGTTCATTTACATAATTGAAGCAAGTGTCTTCTAAGCGATGATGAAAATTCCTGTCTTGGACGAAATTGAAGGGTTTAGGAGACTAGGTCTAGCTAGTAGTTGCGCAAGGTACCTACATTCTTCCACTTTAACTCGCTGGTTCATTGGACTCCTCTTGCCACTTCCCTAAAACATTTTTATACATTGACTGGATATTTACATGAGTAGGAGTCTTCTATGCCCTGTTGAAGTACAAGATATCATGTTTGGTTTATTGTGAGGCGTATTTTCTATTACATCTACTAATTTTTGCATCTGATAATTTCCCTTCCAAAGTCTCATCTATCTCCGTTATCACCCGGATTCAGTCATTCAAACTTCTCCTGAATTCATTATTCTACCGATTAAGATAGTCCATAATGGAATATGCCATTACCCCATCGCCAACCTCTAGTGTTTTGCCTTACAACTTCGCTTTCATGATATATACCCCAACACCCACCCATCCACTAGGTGTCCACAGTTCGGTTATCTGCCAGAGACCCTCTTCTCCTTCAGCACCTCATCCCTCTCTCAGTCGCGGTCCCATCAACCCCGTCCTCATGCGGTCTCTCAGCATCAAAACTACCATTCATTCCCACGCACCCAATAACCATGCCCATTCCTCTTTCTGCCCGCCCCACTACCCGTTTTTGGACGGATAAACACCATATCTCTCGTGTACCATCCGTCGCATATCCGATTGCTCATTTATTCTTTTCCTTTGCTCGCCCAATTTCTTCCCTAGTGCTTTTGGAAGCTTCCTTTGCTTTTCGTCCTCCTCTTCCTTCTCCTCTTTCATCTTTTTCTTCTCCTGTTTCCGCCTTCTACATCCTCGATTTTTCTATCTTCGCTGCCTCCAACTCTTTCCAACTAATATGTCCCCAAGTCCATTCCTCAAACAACTTTTGTTCACTCATCTCTTCCACTTCTTTTTTCCTCTGCTCCATCAATTCCTTCTCCTTCTTGTTCGCCTCCTTTTCTTCCTCTGCCTTCTTCTCAATCGTCCTCTTCCTTTTGCATCCTTGGTAAATAGAAAGGGTTACAGCGGTGTTTGAATCAACTCTTTCGAGGTCCTGGTTTTGGAGAGTTGAGTTCCTTATGCTGTCGATTGCTTTGTAGATGTTGAAGAAGATCTCATGCAGGCCCATGGTTATATTACTATTCTTTGAATTCAGATAACTTGTCTCCGTTATTTATATGATCAAAGTTGGTTTGAAATGTCAATTAAAGCCGTTCATTAAAATTTTTAATAATAGTATATCTTATGATATCGTGTCTTGTAAGATATCCGTTTCTCCGGTAAATCGTATAAGTATATTTAACGAATTAAAGATAAAACACTTATTAAGAGAAAGCTGGAGTACTTAAATAGTGTTCTTTCTAAATGACGGATGTGAATCATTAATCTAAAAGTATATATTCTCTGCCGTCTCAATCTACTCACTTCTCTTTATTTGTTTATTTCTTTCATATCCCGGATTAACCGAGAATCTCTAGGAGAAACCATCGTATAAGTTTACTAGAGACTCAACCCCAAATTCTCTATTTTCCTCTGAAACCTCCCTCAAACTCAGCCCTTATCCAATCCTCTCCACATCTATAAGCCCCCCACTCCACTCTCCCCTACCCCCTAAATCCCTCCTCCTCCTCCTCCTTCCAACCCACCCAAAACGACCCCTCATGCTTCTCAAAAACCAATAATCCAACAACCCCCAGCCCCGTCTCTACCCCAAAGAAGCACTATACATGTTCCCTGCAAGCACAAGCACCCACACCCATACTATAACTTATATACTAAAAATCCATCCATTCATATATTTATCTATCTATCTACCCATCTACCTACACCCCTAAATCACAAACCCCAAGTCTCCACCACTCCTAATAAGCCCACTCAAAAATCCAAAACCCAAAATCCAATCCTTCAAAATACACTCCTTAATAATTTCCACAATCCAATCCGATCCGATCAATCTTCTCTGTATCCTTTTCTTTTTTCTGCGCCCCCAGAGCCACTTCCACACATCTTTCCTCCCCCTTCCCCCATTCCTTCTCATTTCCACGATCCATATAACAGGAGCATAATAATAGTTCGTGAAGAGTACATACAGCCGTTGGGAATTTAGAGGCTATTTCCATGATCCATACAACCAACAGGAGCATAATAGTAATTCATGAGGTATGCAAAGGTTGGGAATCTAAAGACTATTGATCATGAACGTGTGTAATAGTATTAATTGTGTTATAGATGTTGAAAAGAGTTATAGTAATCTCAATGGAAGTTATGATTTTTTGTTCTATGATTGTACTCTTAATTTTCAGTAGTTAACTCTTCTTTTCAGGTGGTTGGTTGGAAGCTTAAGAATAGAAGATGTTCGTTATATTATTTTGCTTAAAATAATGTAAAAGTAGATATCTACTCTATATCTGTATCTATAATATACCACAACACAAACTAAAAGACCATCTCAGCCCTCCAAAAAGATATTCTCTGCAATCACTCGCTCAATCAATCAATCAATATAGCCAAAAATCCGATCCCGATTCTCGAAGGTCACAGAATACAAACATACCCATACCTATAAATCCAACCACCAACCACCAACCACCAACCATCAACCTCCCTTCAAAAAGTGACAAAATACACAACAATCCCTCCTCGTTCACCCCTAGACAGTACACCTACACCTACACCTACACCAAACACCACACATCTAAACCAAAGCAAACTACACTACACTAAACTACACTAGACTAAACTACACTACACCAAAACACCACCATCCAAATCCAGCTCCAAGTCTCTGTCTTCCCCCCAGTAATCAGTAATCAGTAATCATTAACACAGAAATACAGAAATACCTCAAGAAGCACATTACATCATATTATTAAGCTCACATCACATTATCGAGCTCACAGCCACATTATCTCGCTCACAATCACAACCCCAATCCCATCCATCCATCCATCTATTATCCATCACCAAATAAAATTATAAAGCACCAAGAACACAACTCAACTCGACTTTCAAAAACATTCTAACTTTGGGAAGATATATATGTGATATTATTTGTGTTTTCCCCCCAAAGTATGTATATATATATATATATGTACCTATCTATCTATCTATGTAATCTTATGATCCTCGCGAACTTCCTTCCTCGAGCTCGCCAACAAGAACTACCACCTACCTCATCACTATGAGGAGAACTCTATAAAAGTACACAAGATATCTATGTATCTGTAGCTAAAAGTAATCGGAGTATGGGTATGGGTATAGTACTCCTACAAAGCCAGCTGATGCTAAAGCTAAAGCGAAAGCTAGTGCAAGTTTAAAAAAAAATGAAAACAGTAAAAAGAAAAAAGAAATTGCGCGAAAAAGCGCGAATAAAAGAAATATAAAAATACTACAAGATATATGCCCATAAAACCGATATTTCCATTGACCTCTCTCCGTAAAGTCCACGCCCTGATTATGTGCAATAAATATTGGTATGTATGTGCGGAGAACTTTCTCCTTCCCTTCCCACCCTTCCCTTTCCTTTCCCTAGCGTAAAAACATGCTAAGATAAAATCTCATAACAGAAGTGACTATTAGTCCATTACAATTAGATCTTAATAGAATTCTTCCTTGGTCTTTTTAATTCTTCCGACAACTCCTCCCGGACCGTTCGACACCATTTCCAAATTACTTCTTCAAATCCCTCCCATACATCACGATCCTCATTATTTACAACTCCCATGACATCAAATTTGACATCTGCTTCCCATCTTAATTCAGCGGCTTTGACCCAGAATCGAAGGTTCTCGGCTGATCGGTATGGTTTGTTGAACTCGGTGTGGAAGGTAGATATTGCTCCAAAGGGTCTTTTACTCTTCTTGACTGCTGCATTATGTAGCTGCACCAATCTTAGACCAGTTTTTAATTCCGCGAGAAGTGGTGTAGGGAGTTGACTGTCATCTTTTACATCATTTACTAATGACAATGGTGGTAGAGTATCAGGTTCCGGATCCATAGATTTTAAGAATGCATACTCTCTTTCGATTTCCTTTCCTACCCAGCCATCTGCATGAAGCCATGTCCACCTAGCTATTAGATCTCTCTCCTCGTACTCAAGGACTTTCTCTCGTCTAAGCATGTTGCGTACGCCGTCAACCCAATTATCCATTGTTTCCCTTTCCGCTGTGCGTATTCCATTGGCGAATCCCCGACTAGCCATACGTTTCAATATCTCAAGAACATATAACAATTCTCCTCGGATTTCTTTCTCAGACTTAATTGCTAGAAGGCGTTCAGGATGCTCGTGGGCGGTATAGTACATTTTTGCTGCACGGATAGCAAGAGTCATAATGTCGAGCATGTGCATGCCTTGTACCTCGAACCAACCTCTATTCTTAGCATCAGGGGTTGCGGGATTTGTAGGCTCGACTCTGGGCATGGGTAATGGAGAGGCCGGCGGGGTTCTTGCGTGCTTTGCATCTTCTAGAGCTATGGTAGCATTATTGAGAGCATCGACCAAGGTCTGTCTAAGCTGATTGAGAGTTGGAGGAGGCTCAACGACCTTCTCGCGGTGAATGTAGGTACTTGCCGTTGGAGGAAGGAGGTGTAGAGGATTATCGTCTTCGTCGCCGCTGACATCTTGGTCCACGTCCTCGTTGTAGTCATGTAGGGGACTTTCCACCATCAAACCACCTAATTGCGCAGAGAGCTCGGGACTGCTAGCTGTGGAAGCATATGTCGAGTCCGCATCGGATCCCGAATTAGGTACAAGGAATGACGTGTCCAAAGCCGATAAATCTAAAGTCTCTCTTCCATCCTTCCTCTTCTTCATCAATCGCCCACCTTTCCCGTCCAGCAGACCGGTTCGAGCGAAGTAATATTGTATATGCGCTATGCTTCCCAAGCTCAGAACACTCTCTCTTGATTGTGCCGACTTTGCAAAATTGGTTCCTTGTGGTCGAACATAACCGCGTCGTTTTGGCCTTTCCAGACCTGCCATAGATGTTCTAGTCCCATAATTCGCAGATGATGATCGAGATACCGAGGTCACCGAACTGTTTTCAGATGTACGACTCATCGTACTTGATCTGCCAGAAAAAACCGAGCCTTCTGAGGCTGTCGAAACGCTTCGAGTGAAGTCCCTAGTTGCTCCTATAGCTGGTCTAGGCGGCGCAGTGGGAGATGGGGATCTTCTGGTGAACGAGGGTCGTTCATTATATTCTTCTGCTGTCTCCATGGTGCCCTATGCTGTAGCTTCTCGAATCGTGTTGCTGTGCTGGTGTCTTTATAAACCTTCAATCCAATGTGATATTATTAACAGTCGAAGACTATCCGGTTGGCACAGCTCTGAAATCCTCTCGAACCTTTTCCCTAAAAGGATTGAACGGTCAAAAACTCAATGCAACGCGGTTGCTGTAGAAGATTATGAGTAACCTTATATCGGCTTGCGGACGCTACCAAGACGTTCTAAATATCAAATAATTTCTCGGTGTTAAGGAGAAGCTGCAGGGTTCCGCGTTTTAGAGTGAGTGAAGTATTAAATTTTTGAATTGAAGACTTGTCTGCAAGGCTGCCCAAAGCGTTCTTATTAATAAGCCTAAATCATCCAGAGAGGATTTGTAGGAGGGATTGGATCGAAGTTGATACGTATATATTCCGTGTGATGTAATAATATATGTAGCGAGTGAAGTGAAAAGTAATAATAATAATAATATTAACAATTATATTATAAACAGAGTGAATGAGTGAATGAGTGAATGAGAAAGAGAAATATCGAATGGTAACCGTAAAAGGTATGGAGTCGGAGAAGTGCCTAGTACTGTACGGAGTATGATGAAAGTCTTGAGTTGTCTTGGATGTCTTGAATGTCCTAAATGTCTTAAATGTCTTACAGTAATAGTAATGTCTGTGTGCGGACGGAGTATTTACTGTTTTATGAACAAGAGGCAGCAGCAGCGGAAGAATCGTAAGGGAAATTGACTAAGTAGAGTGAGTAGCCGGTGAACTCTCCAGTCAATAATCCATGAACATGAACATGAACATGAACATGAACATAATCTCTCATAAATCTCTCATGAACAGGATCATAAGGTTTTCTTGCCACGCTGTCTTAATCTGGGTAAATCCCAATCTCTTTTGAAATACCAATAATTTAATCTCGTCTCCGGAAAACGGCTTGTAGTTGCGCCTTCGCTCAAAGGAAAAGCCTCGGAAAACCTCCACTCTTGATGAGATTAATAAACCGATGTCGTTACGCATTAATGAATGTACAGAAGAACCTGGTGTAAATGAGTATAATCGAAACTCCTCAGAACACATGTCTATGTGTCTCATCTCTCTAATTGGCCTGCATAGTGTTTTCATACCTCTGCTCCTCCAGCCCTACAAATTCTCCCGCAGAGGATAGTTCGGAGACGAGGGGGCGCAACGGAAATGGTGTGAGTTGCATATCTTTCAGGTCACGTTACATGCATCCACCATCCACACCACCTAGATCATAACCCGAGTAGATCTATCTTTTGCTTTCATTTCAATCGATCGAGAGCGCGACAACCTTTCGGGATCTGGGATTGAACAACAAGTGCTGCTGAAAAGGCACCAGTAATCATGCGAGAAACCCATTTATTTGATTCAAGATTCCTACCTTCCAAACAAACAAGCAGGGTCGCGCGAAGCTCCAAAAATATTTCAATCCCCATTAAGCGCCAAAAATCCCCCCGGAACAACCACAGCCTGTAACTTATCCGTTGCATATACTTTCCCACCGAACTGGTACCACAACCGCCGCGACGTCTTACTTCCAAGCTCTATATGCCAATCATATATATGATCGTATATGATTGTCCCTGTCCTAACAGAGCTTTCAAAAAATTGTTACCATTTTTTGGAGTCCTTTTAGCCGCGGGTTTCAAGTTGAATTATTCGAGTTGGTTGAATGGATTTGTTGATTTTCAATCGAAGAGTGAAGTGAGTAATAAGGTAGGAATAGATGCGTTTGTTTTATTTTTGGGAATTGGAAGACATGGGAGACGCAATGGACGTGTTTATAAGAGAGAGGAGGTTTCTATGGAGATGAAGTGTTTCTATGCTATACACCTTCAAACACTTCTCTGGTAGAGTGCAATAATCGACATCTTAGATTTCATATAGATCGCCTAGTGCATCACAACTCGCTGCTTTTTTCCTTCCAAATTCTACGATTGCATACAATTCATTCGCTATCTTTCTTCTTCTTGTTCAGCATCACCAACTCTTCGGCAAATCCTTCAGATTAATCCAGAATAAATATGGAAATGGAAGCACCTCTCCTTCGTCCCTCAACTCCAACTTCCACACACACATCCTCCTCAATCTCTTCCACCAACCACAGCTTCAAAACCAGCCATAGCAGACCTCTCTCTACGTACACCACAGCATTTTCCCACTCCAAATCCCCCAGTCTCAGTTCCCAGTCATCCGGTTCTTCTCTGAAAGCCTCCAGTACCCTCTCACGTACACGGACTCTCTACACAAAACTCAACACCGAAGTGCAATTTATGAAACTGAAATTATCGACGCGAAGAAGGAAGGATAAGGGGAAAGAAGGGAGATGGATTAAGATTGAAGGCGAAGAAGAAGGTGAGAGGAGGGTCGAGATGGTTTGGAGGAGGATGGATGGTGGGCAGGGAATGATTCCTTATGGTGGAGTGGGAAGGGAAAGATTGGATTGAATCAGGATTTGAAAAGGGATATTGAGGATAAAATGCAGTGATACCATGGGAACGGCGGAACTGTGTCTAGATTTGGTTTATGGAGTTTGGTTTGGGAATGGACGGAAAACTTATTGGTCTCTGAATGATGGCGGGTAAGGGCTGGTGTCTTCGATTTTTATTTATGTTTATGTCATGATGAGCTACATGACTGTTATGTTCACGATTAATGCCAGGGACATATACGAGAGTGTAATGATATTGCAAATACTTCCTTCAATTCGAAATAAAGAAATATGTTCCTTGAAGTTAACCATGGGTATCGACAGCATATCCTAGACCCATTTCAGTCCAATCAGTTTCGGCGCGTGTGAAGACAAATATTAAGACTATCATCGCCCGGCTAAAGTCATAAACCGTCAGAGCTCGAAGAGTGAGACTAACGTGAAAACCTACCTAAGACAATGACGACAAAAGTCAAGGGCATTTCGAACATAAATTAGATATAAATGATTTTAATAATTTCTTCATACATTTTCATCTACCCATCCAGCCACCATCTACCGTGAGTACATGTCCCGAGATATACGCGCTTCCCTTGCTTGCCAAGAAAACAACGCTCGCCTTGAAGTCATCCGGAGCACCCCATCGACCGGCCGGTATTCTTTCACTGATACTCCTCAATCTCTCCGGATTGGCTAATAACGCAGAATTCATCTCTGTCTCGATATAACCTGGAGCAATTGCATTGACATTAATTCCTTTCGATGCCCATTCATTCGATAAAGCTTTGGTGAGTTGTGCCACGGCACCTTTCGAGGCTGCGTATGCTGGAACGGTAAGACCACCTTGGAATGTTAGGAGACTGGCAAAGTTGATGATGCTACCTCGTCGACCGGTCGAAGCGGATGGTTCGAGATTTAACATGTGGGCACCAACATCGCGACAGAGGGTGAAGACAGTATTGAGGTTGACTTGAATAACCTAAAATTAACAATTTTTAGCACAACCTGCCCTCTGCATAAATACCACGAGATACACACCTCATTCCAGTCATTATCCGGGAACTCGTGGCTTGGATGACGGCGCTGAATTCCGGCACAGTTTATGAGAATATGTATCGAGTGTCCATCCTTCAGAATAGAAGAAGTGATTCCAGCGACCTCTTCCTTCGATGCAAGGTCCGCAGTGTATATAGGAGCTTTCCTGCCCAGAGCTTCGACAGCTTTTTGAGTCTCGAGATTATCGCGACTACGCTGGACACAAGATTTTGTAAGTATAATTCAATCTGAGTTCAATGCAACGAAATGGAATTACCTGTATCAAGATCAAATTTGCTCCTGCTTCTGCAAGTGCTATGCAGACGGCTTGTCCAATACCTCGAGTACCACCGGTAACGAGGGCGGTTTGTCCTTCTAAAGAGAAGAGTGCTGCTGAAGCTGCGGTAGCCATTGTGTTATGTCGAACCTGAGGATGACTGATGTTCTTTCACATCTTGTCTGAATAAACTAAGTAGGTTCTCAATTGACCAATTCACAAAAGGCCCATCTTCTCCGACAAGCGGGCCGGAAAGTTTAACGTGGGGGGTAAAGTTGGTCCAAATATACCCGGAACTCCACACTGGTGGGGTCGTGGGGTAGTAAATGACCTAATGACCTGTCATAACCGGCTGGTTCGTCGGCATAAAAAGTATGGTGTGTTTATTAGCACCAAGTACACATTTTGACAGTGAAATGATTTCCAAATCCGATACGTACCAACATCTCCTACAGGAAATTATTCGACATTATGGCTTCTACTGGTAATACCCAAAGTGGTGGGCAAACAGAAGTGAAAGCTTCTGTGCTTCATGGCGCCAAAGATTTGAAAGTTGTAAGTGGAGGTTTTAATTGTTTCATAAGACAAGAATCTGCTGGCCTAACATTCAAAGGAAACTCGTACACTTGGTGTACCTGAACCAACAGAGGTACAAGTTGCGGTACAAGCAACCGGTCTTTGCGGATCTGACTTGCATTACTATAATCACTATAGGAATGGAGATATTATCGTAAGGGAGCCTATGACTCTTGGTCATGAATCTGCTGGCGTTGTTACTGCTGTCGGCTCTGAAGTCAACAATCTGAAGGTTGGAGATCGCGTTGCGCTAGAAGTTGGACTTCCTTGCAAGAATTGTGCCTTATGTGCAAATGGACGATACAATATCTGCAAAGAAATGAAGTTTAGAAGTTCGGCGAAGGCATTTCCACATTTCCAGGGAACTTTGCAAGAACGGATCAATCACCCTGCAGCATATTGTCACTTGTATGTATCGATTCCGTACTTTTTAGCCACGTGCTCACTAGTGTAGATTACCACCAAATGTATCTCTTGAGCTCGGTGCCGTACTTGAACCTCTAAGTGTTGCAATACACGGTACGAGAAGAGCAGCTCTGCCAAAGGGCAAGACGGTTCTCATCTTTGGTGCTGGAGCAGTGGGCCTCCTATGTGCAGCGATGTGTAGGGTCACTGGTGCCAAAAATATTGTTATAGCAGATATACAACCCGACCGATTAGATTTTGCGATTCAGAACAAATTTGCTGATGCCAAGCTTCTGGTTCCTATGTCCAGACCTCAGTCGATCGAGGATAAATTAGCTTTCGCGAAAGAGGTCGCGGAATTAGTCAAGGAGGCATCTGGAGAAGGAGAGGTCGATGCAGTATTTGAATGCACAGGTGTTGAATCATGTCTTCAGGCATCCATATATGTAAGTCAAATTGTGTATCATGAAAAGGTTGAAGCTAATTCACGATAGTCAACTAAACCGGGAGGAAAGATAATGTTGATTGGTATGGGAACGCCCATACAAACATTACCGATTTCCGCCGCGGCTTTACGAGAAGTTGATCTCGTAGGTGTCTTCCGATACGCAAATACTTATGCAGAGGCCATCAAACTCGTTGGGAGCAAGGATCCTCTACTCCCAGATCTCTCCAAGTTAATCACGCAAAGATACAAGGGATTCGAGAATATTCCGGACGCGTTTGCAATGGCTGGTAAAGTCAAGGATGATGATGGTAGATTAGTTTTGAAAGTTCTCGTTGATACCACCGACTCGTAAAAGTGGCTGTCTATTCCACAAAGCTACTCACCCGTGGTTATTAGATGATTGTCCTTGGCTAATGTAGCCTTGTCAAAATTGGAAATAGCAGCGAGGGTCAGATTGGATAAATACTTACATTTTGGTTACCGCCAATATTCTGGTATAAAGTTGATTGGAAATAATCACGTTTGTTGGGCGATATAGAAAGATAAGGCTGATCATTCTCATCAAAAAAGACTCTGTAGATCACACGGCAGACTTACACTTAATAACATATATTTACTCAACAGATTGGATCACCATTCAACCAGGATGAGTCTACACCACAAAAGATGATGGATGCCGTCCATAATATCCCGATTCTCGACGTCATTATATTCTTGGTGCATATCCCATCCCATTAAAAGAAGCGTAGGTTGAAAAACGTCCTGACGTGCGTGATAATTTGGAAGAAGATCGTAGAAGAAAGATTAAGTACTTTGAACTCTGCTATAATTACAGATAAAACAAGATTGTCATGGTCTTTAGAAGGTGCTCCATCAACGCCAGAGATTCGATTGTTTATCCTTGAGTGCTTAGATCTCTGTAAATCTATGGATTAAGAGTTTCATGGGCGTTTTCTTCTTTCACGTGTCAAACTCATTCATGCATGCTCGCATTTCAATCTGGGTATGAGAAGTTCATCTGGATTTATGTCTTTACTTTCACTATCACCATTAGGTTCATTTGCATTCTTTGGAGAGGTATGAGCGGAGGTCTCAGCACAATGGATTTTGAGTCCGTGTCAATGGGATCTTGGGCAGATCTCTTTTTTGCTACTATTTCATTCTATGTTGTAAGGCCTGGCATTCGGTACTTTAGACTTATGATATCTAGGTAGCAAATACTTAATTTGTTCATTAATCACGTGTTAAGAATGAGGATCATGGAGAACATGTCGAAGGAATGTTGAAAGACTTGGAGAAGAATTGACCCCATCCGTGCACAAGGAATCAGACTTGCAACAAAAAGAAGGTTTCAATGTTAAATTACAAGGTATGATGTCGGAAGCCGAAGATGAAGTAGTGGAATCGATGTTAACAACGCTTTGCATCATCAGCCAGGTCGCTATAGCAGTAGTGGTTACTCGATACCGTTAATCTTTGATTCCAGATAGTTCTATTTTGTATGGCGAGGAAAGATTACCGTGGATCAACCTATAGTGGGGAGTACTATAATGTCTATCAACTTCTCACATGCTCTCGATCTTTGCCAAGCTCGGCACTTTTAAATCAGACGTCGGTCGGTTAGTGTAAAGTTAAAGAAGAGCCAATAGCTGGTAGTTAATCTCCAGACTACTTGCTATCATGTTGTGAGACGTCAATGTGCTGCTGAATGGATGATCAAAGAGTGAATGATCGGAGAGAAGTGCCTGAGCACGGTCTAGTAAAATGTCCGCAGGGTTTATTGTGGGTTTTTGGTGAGAATTACCAGGAATCTCCATCTCCATGAAAAAGCATCTCGGGGTATCATGAAAACCGTTTGATAATAAGATCTACTTGGGGTAAAAGTACAAATATCGCCAAGAACAATGGATCGATATGTTTGGACCGCTTAGACGAGACTTTTATGGGGAAATAGCCGTTACCGAACCTTTTTTGGCTTTAGTTCTTGTCTTGCTTGGCAAATAAAAAGGGCAGTTGCCAACTTTGTGGTGGAGGGGGAAAAACAATTCCGGAAAAATTACCTGTTCATGACTCAATCTAGTAACTTTTTTCTTGTCTGTCACGCTTATCTTCAGATCGACATTGATCATCAAAGATCCGTCTTCCCCGAACTCGCATTTCAACTGTCAGCCCACGCATTTAGTTTGTAACACGATGACCCCTAAAGTGATCACCATGCAAGTATTATTTCCCCTTTTGTTTGTAGATTAGCAAGTCTTGAAATTTATGATTAGTTGCATGTCACATGTTGGTCAGTATGACACAATTGGGATGCTTATGCGCAAAACCACTAGCTATATATTCCTCCAACTCGACCCGGGAGTGAATCGATCAGGGTTTCCATACAGCATTCATTCCTTGCCCTATTATCTCATCCTCCCTCCGAGGTCCCCGTCACAAAAAGCTTGTACAGCAACTGTCTGATACGATTCCCCCGCCATTCCCAACATTTTTATTCATACATCTTTAACTACGATAATCTTCCCTCCCAAAATTATCAAACTCCTTCCAAGCAACCTCATAGCTTTTGATAATCCTTCCTCCGCCATCTCTAAAGATGTCTTCAACCGTGGCAGTTCAGCTACCCAACAATGGCTTCGGTGGTCAAGAATTGGAGAGAGTATCAGACAACATCGACGAAGTTAATGTACTTGCGGCACAAATACGAGATAGCAAAGATCCTGAGAAAGAGGCACTATTTCGTCAGTATGAATCCGCTCAAGATAGTGTGAAGGAATTTTATCTAAAGTAAGAACCAATTCTGCTTTCCCAATTTTACATACAATCTAACAGTGTGCCAGACAACACACGTATCAAACTTATGATTTTAACATAAAAGTTCGTCAAAATGTTGAAAACAGAAAGAAGGTTGAGATGTCGGTCTGGCAAGCAATTTTGCAGCTTAACACGTATACCGATAATTCAGACCCGGATACCGCGCTATCTCAGATTGAGCACCTTTTACAGACGGCCGAGGCGATGAAAAAAGATGGATGTCCACGCTGGATGATATTGACTGGGCTCATTCATGATCTCGGCAAATTGCTGAGTTTCTTTGGAGCTTCGGATCAGTGGGAAGTCGTCGGAGATACTTTCCCAGTAGGCTGTGCATTTGACAAAGACATCATCCTCTCCGAGACTTTCAAGAACAACCCTGATTATCATAATCCAAAATACAACACCAAGTACGGAGTTTACTCTCCAAATTGTGGATTGGATAACGTCATGATGTCATATGGTCATGATGAATATTTATATCATGTTGTTAAGAAATGGTCCACATTGCCACAAGAAGCGCTTGATATGATAAGATACCATTCATTTTACGCAATGCACAGCAAAGGCAGATACAAGCATCTGATGAATGAGGACGATGAAAAAAGACTAGCCGCTGTGAAGAGGTTCAATCCATATGACCTTTATAGCAAGGCTGATGCGCCTCCAAATGTGGAAGAACTCAAGGTATGAATATCCGCCATTGCATTACAAATACATAAGCTAACTTTTAATAGCCGTATTATATCGAACTGATAAATGAATTCTTCCCACAGGAAATTATCGAATGGTGAAGGATCCGAAAGCAAATTCACGGCGTTGGTAATGATACCATAGGGCAATGATGGACTCGGTGGCGTCGGGCGTTCTGGCACAACATAAAATTTTGGACGAATATTTAGACAATCAGCGACAACGTTACATAATTCGTAACCACATATATCTGTGTATTACCATCTGTGTATTACCTGATCTGAAATGTGATGTGTACCACCTGTGCTTTGCTGTCTTTGCTACTGGATACTTTCACTGACATAGAGTCACATTATATGTAACATGACGAATTTGATAGTGTAAAACGTCTAAGTTTCTTGAATTGGTGAGATGATGTATGAGTTGATAGTGCGTCGTCATGATCTCACCTCTATCTTGCTCTTCGCGTGCGAGCTATTCATCTCGTCATGTGATTTAGGATCGATTGTACGGCTCACAGCATGCAAAAGGTCGTTTATGTCAATACCTGTTTCATATTTCATCATGTCTACCTAGTTAGGGTTATTAAAATATATTCAATTATTCCTCACCGAAACGCAATTCTCGATTCGGGACAATCAGGGTCTCAATGCAGCACAGCAGCATATATATACGGAACGTTGCTGTAGCTCAAACTCAAAATCCTTATGCATCATATATATATATATATGGCCTTGTTGGTTACGCCCAAGCTATGCTATATATAGTAAGTAGGCTATGGAAATATCGCCAATCGATTTATCATACAGACAGAAATCCCTGGTAACTTTATTGAGGAAACACAAAATTGCATCGCGGTTCCTGGGAATTTTAACCCTAACGTTAACGTGGCCCATTCGTTTCCGAACAGTAAGAATAGTGCCGGTAATAACACAGTTCATTGTTTAGTCCTGCCAGACAGAACTTGTACACTGGAGGATACGTACCGAAAGGCGACTCGCTAGGCTCAGACAACATATTTTCTTGGGAGCAGGTATCAACCATTATGATCAGGCTGGTAGTACACTGCTAATGGCTGGCAGCTATTATCGAATCCTTGTCTCCCACGAACGACTCCGCGACTAAAGTTATTGTCGAATTATTTTCCAGGAGTGGAGCTGATGTCTATTAGAAAGATTGAGATGGTCTCACTGTATTATTTCAGGTCATATGTAAAGGGTATTGCGATTGTGTTGTCATTCTTCTTCAAAACGGGGCTCGGCTCATGTGAGTTGTAGAGCATCAAGTGGACGCAGTTATGGGATGCTTGCGCAAGATTATTTACATGAATATTTATTGGCCAGTGATCAAGAAGGATTTGGCAAATTACAGAAACGGTTAGCTGTCGTGTCGGCTTTGATCGCCTATAAAGCCGTATTAGAACCAACCAGGCTTCAAGCCTGGGGTGTCATTCGAGTTGACGATGGCTCATGGAAAGAAACTCTTGTTATAGTTTTGAGTAATATTTTGGGAAACTACATCATATCATGGCCACGCAAACATTTATTTCGGCCTCTGCAATCGGTACGAGAAATATTTCACGCTTCATATCCCCTGAGGTTATCCCTTCTCAACCATAACAACCACACTGCTTCAAATATGAACCGACATCCGCGCCACTCATCTCATCTTATAGAAAGAAGCTCAACAAAGAAACAAAAGCTCAGATATGTAGATCTGCAAAAAGTCAACTTTAGTTGTCATCAGTTATCTTTCAAGCCTCGCAATAGCATCGTTAACTTCTTTTCAAAGGGTGCAATTTTCGATGAATTCTAAACCTTGATGAAAATCACGAGGCGATTTATAAAGGTATACTATATAATCGGAGAGGGAGAAGAATCATCGATACCAGCATTCTTCTGAAAGGTAATGGGGATTAAAGTATCAATGTATAATTAAGGGGTAATTAAGCGAAGTAAATATATACATAGAGCATTGCTCCAGCAAAATCTATCTAGAAATGTAGTATAAATACGATGGCCGCAGTGTGGTTCTTCATGACATTAATAAATCAATCAATCAATTAATTAATTATTTTTACAACTTGTATAACACAAAAGTTTTGTAGGATAGATAGATAGATACACATGCTAGAATCCTTGGATAGTTTCTAAGTACGAGGTATAGTATGCTCCATATCCGGGAAATAGAATAATGATTAATATGAGTTTGGATATAATTTAGATTAATTTATCATTTCAATATATTAATACTTTTGTTTTTTGTAAAAGCTTATATCTATAATTTAATTTACTGTTTGATATACTATTATGGATTATTGATATAACTTTAAGACTACTGGATACACTGGTGAATCAAGCGTGTTTGGGATTCAGTTTGTCATAGTTACGAGCTAGGCTGTGAGAATTTGTTTTAAGGGTTTCATTTGTAGTTTTCAGAGTATCAGGGTATAAAGCGAGGAGATGGTATTGTACTGTATATTGCAGGGAGATGTTCCTCATATGTAAGATATGGGTGATATCATCTAATAAGCTATAAGCTCGGATATACCAAGATAGGAACTCCTCTATACCCAGATTTCTAATGAAGATAGTAAGATTACCACATCATCTAATTTGACATGATTTTTCATTCCCTCTCAATCCCCTAATAACAGTAGTCAACATTACCGCCTAGCATTTCGAGCTGACATACTCTTCTTCCTCAATTCAATATCATCCTCCGTGAGACGCTTACTAGCTTCAATCGATTGAATGATATTAACATACTGTTTGAAGAGCATGAAAATAGACGAAATATAGAGAAGAATCCAAGGACCGGAACTATCCATTTTGTTTGCTCTGTGTAGGTCGAGAAGTTAATTATTATTCTTATAGTGATCAAGTTGTTTTAAGAATTTACCTTGCTGTTTCCATCCATCCGGCGCTCCATGGTGAGGTCCAAATCAATGATGGATCTGGAGGGGTTCCGGACGTTACCGACCCGAGTTGACCATCAGTCTGCACCATGGTTGATATGGGGATAGGTGAGGAAAAAGAGAGAAGGTAAAGAGCGATGAAGAAAAGCTCGTTCATAGCACAAACGGTGAAAAGAACATTCTGCACACGTTAGCTTGATCATAATAGAAACTAGAGATCGAGCAACCTAATTTGTGTAGTAGAGCTGCATAGCACGAGGCACTTCCTTGTCCATTTGCTTATGAGAGCTACCTCCCATTGCCAACGTAGCATACACGTGCATGTAGTGACTAGCGAGATCCAGACTTATAAGGATTTGAAAAATAATTCTCCATCTAGGGAATGCGCTTGCCAGAAAACCATCAGACAGGAGGTTGTACAACGATCAATCACCATATCGAGGACGGCACTAAAGCATGTGGATTGGTTGAATTTTCGGGCCGCGGCCCCGTCGGCGGCATCTAGGAGACAGGATATGGTGTAGAGGAATTAGCATGTTCGAGGATGGCATGTAGTAGAGAGGGGCAATGACCGGAACAATTTGGGCATATCTTGTAGATGTTAGATTGAATAATATCATTACGTCGGAGCCTCTTTGAGTCATGAACCAACCATTTGACTAGTTTATTAACGGGAGAAAAAGCTGTGAACGTCAACGTTGCACAAGCCGCTCTCAAACTCCAAACTTTCCATATTAAAAAAAAAGACAGAAAATACTCGTACGTATATACTGAAAACGAAGAAGAGATTAACATGTTCCTTGCCAACTTGGACGGTTATAAACCTATACCAAGATGTCGATAGATATTTCGAGTATATTGTACTGGAAGAGATAGGCTTTTGTTTGAGGCTGTTTTTCCAGATGGCTGAACCATGGCTCAGAGAAAGAATTCATGATTTTAATGCGCTCTTTGGATGAGAATTGCGGTACTATTTCCCTGAGATAATTCCTGAATTGTGGAAAGCAACTATAAACTCATTAGGTAGTTGTTTTCGAGCAAAGGAACCATATAGCTTACCATGCTGACTTACAGCGCCGTCCATCAAACTCTTTCGACCAGCTGCTTTCTCAAGGGCGGGGAGAACTCTGTCTTTTCATATCAATGATTCTAATCGACACAGTCATTGCATGCCATGCAGTAATAACGCAATTATCAAAGAATAAGCGAGACTATTTCATACTGTATATAGCCTTAAAAAGATAGATGAGAGTAGTAGATATCAATAGCTACAGACTAATCCAGGACGACTCCTACAAAAGCAAGCAACACATTCATGATTATCACAATCCATCCACACTCATTTATAGTTGTATTCATAATGATTGGATTAAATTCTACCCGTGAGTAGTACTAACGTACGTATGTATGTTATATAGTAAGAAGCCCAGGCCACCTACGTACATTCAAACAGCACCATCCATACCATTCTTAATTCTCATGATCTCGTGATGATTTTGTAAAAAGGGACAGACAATCAATCAAGACAACCAACACCATTTCATACACCAACCCAGACCCAACCGTAGAGCAAAATACGTTTAAAGACCACCATTCCCCACAAGCTCCCGCCCTGCCCCCCTCCGCATTCCACTTTCAAATATATCCATCCAATCCATAGTCACCATCATCATTAAAGTCCAAGCAAAGGCGCGGAGGAAAGATGAACACAATCCCAAATGTAACTCCATCCAATAGACAAACAAGCAGTTGTAGATGCCAAAAAAAGACCAAACAAGCTTGATATACTCAACATTTGCACTAGCAGACGGTAAAGTTTAATTCAATAACGCCACACACCACTCTCCACATTTGCTTCATGTATGCTGTAACAACAACATCGACGCGGAATTCTAAAATGCATGTCAAAGGTACTACAGAGTACAAAGATTGCTTTCGTAACGTGAATCATTTACAAGCCTGAGACCTTGCGAGTGCCAATACTCCCAACTCTCCCACTGGTTTTGCGAACTGCTCCGGATGTTTCTTTATTGCGGAGACTGTCCCCACTCCGCTTAGGGCTGCCTCGAACCTTTCCAAGTGAGCCACTACCAGATTTGACGGCAGATGGTGTCTTGGGTCGACCTCCAGCACCGATATTTTCAACATCGTAACTACTGTCATCTATCGATGTATAGATTGTCGTAGTGGTCTGGCTTATGGATCTCCCTGATTTCTCGCTTCGAGTTGGGGACCTTGATGTTTTGCGGCTGGTACGCATACGGAGCTGCCATTCCTCCTCAGACTCGGTAGCATCAGTTGATGATCGGTGTATTGAAATCACTTCAGTTTCACAATGTGTATTATCGTCTTCTGTAGAGCTGTATGCCGAACCGTGACGTCCATATGGATGGTGGCGGTCACCCCTGCCTGTCTTTCTTGGTTGACCTGGTGTTGGTGCTGGCAAGTAATCTTCCTGAGCTCCGATGCTATGACTTCTTTCATTGTCTACTTCGCCAAGTGGGGTTCTTTGATTGCCATTTGGAGGAGTGACAATTTGACTTCTGGTTGCGAAATGTCCCTTTTTTGGTGTGATTGGGGCCATGTTGGCGAGCTTCTCCCTCATTCTCACTTCGAACTGTTCCTCAATCCACCACTCTCGGAAAGTTCCTTGGTTAAGATGAAGCCAATGTTGTTGAGGACCAACAACCATCCCCGGTCTCATGAAGCGCATATACGCGATGATCTCGTTGGCAGTGAATCCATATCGGTAGATTAAGTATGCCCCAATCAAACATCCTGTCCGTCCAAGTCCAGCCTTACAATGCACAGCAATGCCCCTGTCCTGAACAGTGATCATGTCATGTGCTAAAGTAATGAACTTTCGAACAATACTAAGTGGTGGGCACGTGCCGTCGTCAAAGATCATATCCAAGTGTTCAATACCAAGCGCCGTGAAATAAGACGAAGAGTATAACTCCGAGTTCAAACGAACTACTAAACCAATGTTCCGAGATGTGAAATGTTTCAAAACATTCTTGAAGGGTATGGGTAAGGTTGGGTGGGTATCCACTTCTTCCAGAGTTGTTGGCAGAGTCGCATATAGTGGAGAAGAAGGAAGTATTGGCTGCACAGGGCTATGTTGTGGGGAAGCAAATGCAAGGAAATCGGGAGTCAACCAATTGAAATCACCCTGGTCCACGCGTTCGAACCTTTCATACTCCTCGAGATCGAATTGTGGAAGAGCACAAAATCCTTGCTCCTTTGCGCGCCAGACACCATACACAACATCTTGAACCGTAATACCATAATCTGCTTGACTGTATCCTGCATCGCGGAAAGGCATCAAAGGTGGGTCTGCTTGAGCGATTGGCGCAAGCGCGAGATGGGGTGCCCATGATTGGATCAAGACCATATACGTGGCTAAGAGACACGCAGCGTTGGCTCGACCTAAATCACTCAATTAGTTTTTTGACCAGCGAACTCTTATGAAACAAAGTAGCTTACTACGCGCATTTGCTTTACTCCAGAATACAACAGGTTTGTTCTTATTTTCCGGGGCGCCAAGGATGTCGTGGAATTGAACTGCAAATCTATAGAGATGTCCAATGTGTAATGGTCCAAAGTCATGGTGAAAGGCGTTGTACAGGAGTGTATCATCGACGGTGAAATAATGTGGTGGTTCTCTTTTGCCCGAAACGACTGAAGGTCCATCTGCAGCTCTTGCTGACCGCTTCGTCGGAGATCGTCGAGAGCTCTGTTGCTCAGGGTAAGGGAAGAGAGTATCGGCCGAAGGAGGTGTAGTGTAAGATGCTAAATACAATCGGTCTGTATATGTTAGCCAGTGGAACGGTCTATCCTCCTCTCGGGGTTGTTTTGGTCCTTTCTCTGCGCAGGCGCCAGTAAATTTATCATTAGGTAGTAATGTTGCCCACTCGAGCATAGAATTGTAGTCCATTGGATGCATAATATCAATAAGATAATGATACTGAGCGTCAGATGCCCAATGGTTCGCGCCGCGCGGTGAATGATGTTTTGACAATATTGTAAATAGAGTAACACACCTGGGATGTACTCGATGATTTGCCCATATTTCAATTGAGAGGAAGGAGGCATTGTTGACAAAGGCACGCAAAGGCACCTAGTATTGGCAGTCGCGAAGCCGGAATACGTAAATGTAGAGTAATTGAAGGTATGTTGCTGTCGTTGTTGGCAAGAGCGATGGTGGTGATGAATACTCGAAGTTTAGACGATGGTGCAGTACCTGGATAGGCGCAAAGTTATTTTTGTTGTTATTGTTGATACTCGTAAACTTCCAAATAAAAACAAATAAACACTTCGACGCAGCAAATATGCTCTGTCTGTAAAGGCGACGGAATCAAAAAGAGGTATTCCTAAGAAAATAAAATCAAAATCAAATCTCAATCAAAAATCCAAAGCAACATGAGAGAAAATGTTTAAGTAGAAGAAGGATTTCCCAATGTTTGGTAGGAATTCTTATGGATTTGTATGTATGTGAATGTTAATGATCAATAACAATTTACTAGTCTGATTGTAGTAATTATTCTGACCCAGCAACCAAAAAACTGGCCAGCAACAAGAGAAAATGAATGAACAAGGTTCAAGATTCCAAACAAACCGTTCCATTGAGTAGAGTAGAGTACTAGGCAGGTTATGGAGTAAAAGGGTAGGGGTAAAAGCTCAGACGGAAGAGTTGGCAAGGCAAGGAGAGGAGAGGGGGCTAGAACAAGGGAACAACAATTAATGTTGTTGATGTGTGGATATGGATTATATTGTTGATGATTTTCGAATAAGTAGTAGATATCTACCGGTACGCGTATAGCTAGCAGTAGATGTTCTCTAGTCGTCTCTGCTAAGATGAATCTAGTAAAACGATCAGATGCATAACCAGTAGTTGAGAATAGCAAACACCTGCTTACACTTCATCGCTCACTTGCTCACCGCTCACCGCTCACCGGCAATTCAGAAAACTTCACTCGCTCCAAACCTCAGCTACCCCTGCATCCTCATCCTCCTATGAACAACAACCTCGCCAAAACATCAAAATGCCTAGAAAGTCCAATCTTCAATTGCATAATAAATCCGATCCCCTATTTCAATTCTATTCAGGATGCAACAACTTATAGAACATCACTCAATGCTTTGCTGTCTGATTTCCTCAAATCAAAACATCACTCAGTTGATTAACTATCCATTTCAATTCGAATACATCTTGAGCTTCGAAGACTCGGCTATTCTTCGGAAATAAACAAACAAACAAACAACCCTGCACCTAAATCCTACCATCCCTCTAAATCAATATCACCACGATGCGCAACACTTTTTCGAGTCTACGCTCACACAAACTCAACAATAAACAAACCACCTCTGTCCCCTGCAAACATCAACAATCATGGCAACCGAACCAGAATTCCCATGCTCACTGTACGCACCCTCCTCTCTCCTCCCTCCTTCCCCTCATCCAAGCCCACTAACCCCTCCCTCCAGCACCATCGACATTCCCCTCCCCACCGCACGACTCGCCTCCGCTGCCCTCTCAGCCCTATCCGTCGACGCTGAGCTCTCCCCCCTTGTCCGACGCACCTTCTCTCTCGTTTCCCCTTCTCCAGACAACCTTGTCTCTGCAGACTCGAAAACTATCTTCCGTGCCATCTACCGCGCAACCACAAACCGCATGTTGCGTGTAGCTGTCAATGGATTTATGGAAAGTTTATCTGTTGTGTTGGGGGTCATGGAGGAATTAGATGTTGATGTACTGGAGAGCGAGGGTGACAAGAATGAGTAGAATGAATCAGAGACGCAAGTGGTTTAGTGATGCGTCAAGAAATGCATTGGTTGCTTGGGCTTCTCTTTGGTATCTAAGGGCTCCCGTGGATGTTATTACCAGATGATGAGATGGGACCGAAAGAGAGAAGAAGAAAGACAGAAATCGAAGGAGAAAGGAGAAGACCTGAAATATCATCAAACAGCTCGGGAAGGCATACATCAAGCGCAGGTATCCATGCACCCGGTAAGCATCCATGAATACTTTGAAGGCAAAAAAGGCTTGACGGGCTCCTCACAAACTATGTCACCTTCCAGGAATCAAGTGAATGTGGAGCTATAGGAAACCATCATACGTTACGCGGGATGGAGTCCGTACATATACATATGTATATATCCATGAGAGACATCGAAGCAGGTGCTGCTACCTCTCATACCATCCATAATCAAATAGCCAAATAAACTTACATATAAACACATAAATATGTAAAGGTACTCGCCCAATCTTCATATATACATACATATAAACATCTCTATACGACTTTCAGTCACATACGTGCATACTTGCATCCATCCATCCATCCAAAACAAAGCACCAAGCATTTACACTGCACAAAAACAACCATCCATCAATAATATCAATGAAATTTCCAGAAACACAACCAACCACACCACCAATCAACCCACATTACAAATGTAAGCCCCCGGCCCCCTGACCACTCAAAGACGACATCTAATCCTCACTCGATCTCTTCTATGCTCCTTAAAGCAGCTACTAAACATACTCAAGATTAATATTTTAACTCTACTCTATAAGTACAATATCTACATATCTACACATCTAAAAAGACCTATTACTCATTCCATGTACCCATTATCAAAACCCCAGGGCTAATCATATTACCTTATCGAATGAGTAGTATATACTGAATATCTATATAATAAAATACATATCAAATACCTCCCCAGCAACTTCCCCCGCATTAATTATCCCATCATTAAACTTTTGTATCTTCCCCTGATCTGCATCCAGCCGTGACAGCTGAACCCTTCGTGCTCAGGTATCATTAACTCCATTTCATAGCCCATGAATCCCCAATATCGCTTCCCAGAGGAAGAGAAACGTAGTAAGAATTATCGATCCGAAAATTAAAACTACAACTATTGCTTCTCCTTTTCCACAAGTTTTTGTTCGGCTTCTTCGGCTCTTTTGTTCGCCTCAGCCAAGACCTTTTCCAGGTGACTAATATATTCAATGGCAACTTCCACTGTAGCAGCCTTACTACTCGCACTTTGACCGTTCTTTGAGCCTGCGGATTCGGGTTCCCCGGCATCGCCACTACCACTTTTGTCTGCTAAAGAATCCTTGGTTTTCCCGCGGGGGTAGTATTCGGAAGGTATCATATCATGCAGTGTTGTAAGTGCTGAGTTGATCCTATTTCGTCTTCCTTGCTCGGCAAGTTTATGAGAAGTCCGTTTTGATGTTAAATTGGTTGATAGTTCCGAAGGATACGAAACACCAGGAAGATGAGTTCCTTCAAGTATGTTTTGATAATTTGACTTCGATGCAAGTAGAAGGGAAGCAGTTGCTTCGTCGTGGATAGATGAACTGCCAGGAAGTAACGGCTTTATGCTAGGAGAGATCTTGGGGAGAAGGGCTGGAGAGGCAAGAACGGAAGTGCTCGCCCTCTTTTTGGCGCTCCGTGCTAGGGTTTGTGGCGTTTTGCGCGCGGCTCCGATCGTCCCGTTCATGGCATCTATCTGAGGGCTTTGACTAGCGGATGTTGCTGCTCCAGGACGTCCAACTACTGGCGAAGGTAAAGGTTGAAATCCAGGAGTTTTAGATCCTGTGGAGCTCAAAGTTGGTGTCATTTGTCCGTCGGACTGTGTGTCAATACGAGGTAACGTAGGTCTTACAGTATTTGCAGCTTCTGGCAATTCAAACCCGTCCAAAGCTGGATCGTCAAGTTCCATTTCCCGATTCAGTGACGATTCACCAGCACTAGGAGATTTTGTGATTCTCATCAGTGATGCTGGCGTGGCAGGTGACCCAATAGGAAGCCATTTATTTTTAACATTATCCTTTTGTGCAACGACGTAGGGTGACCTTCCAGCCGAGCTCGGTAATGGTGGAGGCGCCATATCTGATAGATGCTCAGGAGATATTGAGCCACTCTCAGAATGATCAGTGCTTGCTGCTGAATTTGTTGATCCAGTTCCTTTATATTGAGATGCTTGAGAATTTGAAGGCTCAATAATTTCTCCCAGGGCTTGAGCACTCATGCTTATGCTTTTTCTACCTCGATTTGGCTTGACAATTGGCGATTGTCGAACTACACGAGTGTTGACGCGAGGTTTTGGTGCCACAGACTTCCGGGGAGGCTTGCGAGGTGGAATTATAGAGCTTACCGGCGCAGAATGTGAGTCGCCATTCATGTCAATTGGTGAGTTCGTTGACCCCGAATGACGATGGTCAAATATAGCTTGATGGTCGTTTTGGGCGTGCAAAGCAGGGGAACTCAAAGGACTGAAATACGCTCCGGGGACAGTGTAATCAGGGATGTTGAAATGAGTTTCCAAGGGAGTAACAGCTGGCGACACGAGTGGAGTGAAAGCCATCTAATATGTTAAATTAGCAACCATTCTCACATGTATTGAAATGTGTAAAATCGATGGACATGAATGTCGAAGTAAGGTTTAACCAGACTAACCTCTTGCTCCCTTAGACGATAAGGCTCAAACACAGATGGCGGCTGTTCTGCTTGAGAGTAAAAATGTTGATTGGCACCATGTATTTCCATACTATTTGGTGTTGGCGGAATCATTCTACTCTGGACATAAAAGTTCCGCTGCTGTTCCTGCGACTGACGTAGCTGCTGCTCATGCTTCTGCTGTTGTAGATACTGAATTTGCGCATCTAAGTGTGTTAACCTTTCAGCAGAAGTATGTGGATGTACCACTGGAGTTCCGAGTATAGCTGAATGGCTAGAAGATGTCGTCATTGAAGACATATGCTCGTGCATTGACCCATCGAGCCTAACTTGGTGATTGCCAGCCATTCCTGTATTCATTGAATCCATCCCATCTTGATGCATCATTTGTTCATTTTGCGACTGTTGCTGGTTGAAATCGAAGTCGAACTGTAGACCACCGGCCATATTGTGCATATTTAGATCAAGGAATTGCTGAAAGTCATCTTGAGAGGGGACGGACAAAGTAGGGTCCTGAGTATTCCAAACCCCAGAAGTATCCATGATTGCGATCAATTGAAGTATTTCGCCCACTCTGTGTAAGTAAGTGAACGTCCTGGTTGCACAACAAATGGTCGCAAACTGAGGGGTCTCGGCACCGTGAATAGTATGTGCGCCGTGCGAGGTTCGATGAAGTATGATCAAACGAGAATGACGATTATGTTGGCTATATCACTCCATAAGTGAGGTCTGTCAAAGGGAGTTTGGCTTTGAATAATTCCCGACGAGATAGTTGAGCTTCAGCTTGAGCTTGAATGGTGGTTGAGTGAATCGGAGAGTGGTGGTCTTGTATGATGCAGAACCGCTTTGTGTTGGACTTGGATCTTTCTTTGGTGATTAGTTAGAAAGAAGGCAGGTAAACTAGGGGAATAATTCATACAACAACAAATATATATACTGTCTAGCAATTCTGTATTGGCCTAAAGGATGTCGTTTCTGTGCTCATAAAGTGTAACAACAAATTCATTTGGTTGTTGTTGAAAGCTTCGTACTAATTTAGATAGTAGCTTTTCTCCCATCTGAAGGGTATTAGACGGTTTAACAATCTCCAGGGCTCTTATCGTACCAATAGGTACAAAAGAACTTTGCTATTTATGTAATGAAGCCAGCCGTGCGTACCTTTTCCCGGAAGGCTAACTATCTCAGGCAGTGGGCCGACTGCTTGAAGTATCTTCGAACATAAAAATACGATACCAATTTATTATAGTTGAATGATTGGAATTCACGTTTTTTTTTTCCATCAGATAGATAAGTTATGATCGACGTCCTTGTTGTAGTCACTAGTCGTCTTAGACTTCTTTATAATTCATAGGCGACACTACGGGTTATTGAAGATATTGTAGTTCAAAGCTAGTCAAATGGAAGGGGAGACGAACATCAATCGGTACTCATAAAAACATCAAATATCTACTAGATATTATACTCTTGAAGAAATATAACCTTCACTTACTTAGATTGACTTTAAAAATACTAGGTCACGTAATGATATAACACAAACCTCTTCACCACCACGAAGCAAACGCGCGGCGCGGATAACACACGCTCAACATCAGCTGGATCATTTACATCTCACTCCCCATCCTGAGACATGGTGGTTATGAATACGGAACAATATTTGTTGTGTGACCTTCTCAATCATACCCCTCACGATTCATGTTTATAACCAATTATGTTTGATTGTGGAAGGTCTAGAAGAGGGGTGTTCCTTGGGTACATGCAACCAACCACCACCATTTACTTATACGATTAACATTTTTCAGAAACAAATCTTCATTCTTGTATATAAGAGCTGGATGTTGTATAACAGGAGTATGAATCTGTAATGTTATGTGAAATGCAACACCGGATGGGTCATTTCTTCTTGACCGTTCAACGAAGGATATGCATGAACGCATAGACACGGTATAAGTAGCAAACGATCTAGCAATTCGATACCTCTCCACCGAACCCAATACGGCATCGTGTGTTCAACAACAACATTAGACAACATTGAACTCAACATGTCCAAACAACCAATCCTCAAGAACATTTCACCATAGAAAGGTCCTTATGAATCTATGCATCCTTCTAAGCGAGTCCCCAATGCAGTGTTACCCCGACTAGAAACTATGCTCACTACCAATGATCAAACTTTTCTAGAAGCATTAAAACGCCACCATATAGCCCAATCCTTTCCCCGTCATCTCACACTATCAAAAGGATATTCCATGGAAGCCCTAGCATTGCTATCAACCAACCAAAATGAAGCAATTTCTCATACATAGGCCAAGGCAATAACGTACGCATGTGAGATTCTACCATCAGTGTATCCGTTCCCAAAATAATATAAAAGAAATGGAGAGTAGGAATGGCCTGCAGAACGGGATGATCGAACAGCAGAAGAAATGCAGAAGTTCAGACGATGGGTAACAGTCACAAGAAACACCAACTAGAAACAGTTACGCACTATGAAAAGTCTACTTCAAGCTCAGCTCTCAAGTTCTACATGCCCTTTCTAACCTTATCTCCATCTCACAATAGCATCCATGAGACAACTTTAAATATACAGTAATCTCCCATACAGGGGAGATTTTCAAGGTCGGTATTCAACATATATCATCTTACTGCACTTCCTCTCGCCTCACCATCTTTCTCTTCTGGGAAGTAGCATGAAAAGTAGCAAGAAAAGTCAAATTTCTTCGACAGGGACTCAGCGCCCTCTCATCTCTCATCTCATCACATCTCATTATACACCTACACACACATCCATATCAACATCCTGTCTCACGCACCTACATCACATCCTCCCAATCAAGATTCCAAATTCTCTACATATAACCGCGTCCTCCCCCATAAATCCCAGCTTTCCTCCATTGTCCCCACAAACCGTCAACTTCAAGCGACTCCGCTCCTTCATTCATCTCTACCTCAAGTTCATGTCTCTTCTCTCTTCTCTTCTCCCTCTCCTCTCTCTCTCAGTTCTCTCCTATCCATTGACTAATTCACATACCATAAACTTTCCCTCCCTCTGAATCCAAATCATCTTCTATTTCATCTTCAAATGTCCATCTCTCTCTCCTCCCATATCTCTGTCCCACGAATGACAGATCGTAATTCTATATCATCCCAAATCCATATCCATTTCCATTTCCATTTCCATTTCCATTCCCATTCCATCCATCCAATCCATCCCCATCCACCTCCATCCTACCTACTTCCCCACCCCCATCCCACCCTCCCAAATCCACCCATCCATCCATCCCAGAATCCAACCCTTTCCCACCATCCCCCCCACACCTCCCTCCTTCTCCCTTCTCCAAAATATCCTCCACCTGTCCCTTCACTTTCCTTTCCTCCTCCCTATCCATACCATCCATATTCAATTCCAATCCCAATCATCATCATTATCATCATCACCATCATCATCACCTACTCCACCATTTAAACACCTCTTTTACATTAATCATCCCCTTACCAATCTTCTCACCATCACCACCAACTAAACACCAATACCCAAAAATATCCAAAATACCTAATGCTCATTTATGCATCTATCCATCTCCATCTCCATCTCCATCTCCATCTCCATCTCCATCTCCATCTCCATCTCCATCTCCATCTCCATCTCCATCTCCATCTCCATCATCATCAACGTCACCCTCACCATCAATCAAAACACCAACAGCAAATCATACCCACACAACCACCTACTCCTCAAATTCCGAATAGCTATCTAGTACATCCAAATATCCAATATCCAATATCCAATATCCAAATCATCAATTATATACCTACCCCGGATATATACTACAATACAAGCCCTTTCTCAACCAATATAATCCTCTATCCCTTACTCCCAAGTAATAAGAGCTCTCAAATACAGAAAATTTCTACTATCAAATCATTATTCAAATTCGTTATTTCTAATCCATAAACATTATGATTTTGGTTGTACCAGATGATGTGAACTTTTTTGTTTGGTTTTATGGATTTGCTACTTTTTTTTAGTCTAATGGAGTTGATGAAAAACAGCCGGACCGTAGCCTATCGACAACCGCGAAATGACATGTAGAAGTGATCTTCAACAAAAAAGTGAAAAAGGAAAAGATATGTTGGGCGATCGAGAGACACTCGCAGAGTAAAGAAAGGATGTGTGAAAGGGAAAGTACAGTCTTCTTTGGTGCATTAAAGAGTCTAAAGGCAAGCAAGTTGCGAGTGAGACACCCAAAAAGCTCTTTATGAAATTCGCCCTCTGCTCATCTCGTTTGCAGAAACATGCAAAACCCAGTCATAACCTCCATCCCTCGTACGCCCAGTCGACCAAACATCAACGCCATATTCGATGATTCTCTATTCAGCAGCTGGCTTCTCCTCAGCTGGTGCAGCGGCCTCGGTATCCTTTGGCTCGGTAGGTGCGGCAGCGGACTCTTGAGCAGCTGGCTCGGCCTCAGATGAAGTCCAGAGGGTCTAAGAAATCAATATTGTTAGTGAGGGAACCTGAATTCATAATGCAAGGAGGGTACAGTTTAACGTACCAAGTTGTCTCTCAAAAGTTGCATGATCAATGTTGAGTCCTTGTAGCTCTCCTCACTGAGGGTATCGAGTTCTAAAGGATAGTTAGAATAGTAGCATTCATTTAGTACCATGAGACTTACCGGCAATGGCGTCATCGAAAGCTTGCTTGGCAAGATGGCAAGCTTGATCTGGAGAGTTCAAGATTTCGTAGTAGAAAACGGAGAAGTTGAGGGCAAGACCAAGACGAATTGGGTGAGTTGGTGCAAGGTCAGTTTGGGCAACTTCAGTTGCGTTCTTGTAAGCCTCAAGGGACTTGTCGGCAGACTCCTTTCGCTTGTCACCAATGGCGAACTCGGCGAGATAACGGTGGTAATCACCCTTCCTATAATATCATTAGTAAAAGTCTTTGAACGAAATCCGGCTTTCAAAAAGCCGAGTTACATACATCTTGTGGTAGAAGACTTTGGATTCACCGCTCTTAGCGGAAGGAATCAAGTGTTTGTCCAAAACCTCGAGGATATCTTCGCAAATCTTGGCAAGTTCGGCCTCAATCTTTTGACGGTACTCCTTGATGAGAGTGACTTGGGATGAGTTGCCTTTCGACTCCTCCTTTTGCTCAATAGAGGTGACGATTCTCCATGATGCACGACGAGCACCAATAACGTTCTTGTAGGCTACAGACAAAAGATTACGCTCTTCGACGGAGAGTTCTTGATCTTCAGAAGCGACGGATTTCATGTTCTCAACCATCTCTGTTTCCATTAGTATTCATACGCCTCGACCAAAAGCTACAAATCTGCTAACCTTCATATCGCTCAGCCTGCTCGGCGAGCTTGGCGAGATAGACGGAATCTTCGTAACCCATGACTGCGATTTGTAGATCTGTTTAAAGAAGTATGTTAGTTGTTGTTTGCCGGTAACGCAAGGTTTTGTTATTTAACAGAATGCCAGAAATCTAGTGAATGGACGATTGCGACTGTGCTGGTCCCCAATATGACCAGGCTGTCACCGATATTTGATCCGATCTCTTCCGCATGCGCCAAACATCCATCTGCGAGAAGGAATACACCAGTCGATGCATTTTCAGTGCTTATGATGAACTGAAGACGGGCGACTTCGCACAACGCAAAAACAGCAAGTGCCCCTCAGGCGTCCGGAGGGGCAATGGTGAAGGTCAGAGACTCCTTTGAATGCTTGGTGGATTGGTTATGGATGGAAGATTCCATTCGTTGAGTCGAGTAAACAACAACAGTACGAGGTAGCACATACTATTGTTTGGTGATGTCGTTGGTGGATGGATAGCAAACAAGGCGGAGGGAGAAAACAGATGATGGATCCAAACTGTTTTTGAGGGGAAATAAAGATCTTACCTGAGTATCTGTTTACGTGGATATGTAAGTCTTTAAAATAGAGATCTCACAAACTGAAGTAGGAAGAAAAGGAGGGAAGTTTATGCGACGTTGGAAATGTGTGTGTTGGTTTTAGTTCTTGGGATGGTTTTCTCGATTAGAGAAAGTGGTAGGTATTAGGTAGGCCGTGAGGAAGTTGCTGGAAAGACGCACTAGTGCCACTTTTAGTAGATGGGAAGCGATCTGCGAAGTGAAAGGGAATGAATGAATAACTTCAAAAATCTTTAAAGGGGCTCGAGTTATATATTATTCTATAAAATTATTAAATGGTAGAAAACATATCGATTGTTTCTTTTCTTTTTTATTGGAATAGAAAAATTAAATTGTCACGGTTTCTAGGGAGTTACAAGTGAGGCAAAAGGATCGAGATTCTTTGGCTGTTGTTCATGCGTTATGTTATGTGGGTTTTCTTATTGAGTTGAATTGGGCAGCTCCTTTTTGAATGAGAGACAATCTTCAACAGATTAGATTGATGATGCTTATATGTTTGGTTTCTCAGCTCTCCTCTTCCGTTATTACAATAGTTTCCAACTAGATTTCGGGTCAAGTATGTGAGAGAGGAAAGGGAGAGACATGAATGAAAGGTTTCCGCAGTTTCTCATCTTCATTGTTAGGCAGCCCAAGAGTAGAGATATTTTTCTGCGCATCTGAACATGACCGATGATTGAATGTTTTGATGTTGAATGCTGGATGCTGGATGCTGGATGTTTGACGATTGACACTTGATGCTTGTTGCTTGATTGATGCTTTTTTGGCTGATACATCCAGTGGTTGTCCATCGCATGAATGTAACATGATTAATCTTGTCCCTTGTCAAAGAGTTTAATTTTGTCCGAAGCGGGAAGGCTTTTGGTCATTCTCCAGGCGTTGGGCAACGCGTTCGTTCCCAATTTCCAAATAGCTTGAGGTTGGACTTCTAGGTTGCTATGATTGTGGCAGTGCTGGGAGATCGATCTAAAAGCTGGATGTTCTGCCTTGGTTTCTGGAATGGCATCTGTTACCAATGGGTTGTGCTGTGACCCGTGTGAGAGACCATTCACGAGTACAACTTCCCATATCTAGGGAGCATGCTTGAAGCATACACTTTCAGGTTGAATGAAGCCTTATTATTTTAACACCGAGTTGATTTCGGTTTTCGGCAGGCTTCTTCGTACTTGTGACTTGCTGTGGATGTTAAGGTTGGTGGGGCTGTATATTTATAGAGTAGTTCATGACCCCCAAACCCCAACTTGTAAACAATCAATCGAGTTCATGGAGTCTATTTTGTGAGTTTGACATGCAATCAATAATATATATTGGTTAATAATAGGATAATCACTCTTGGAAGATGGGATGAAACAACCTTTTGAATAAATGTACACTTGATCTTCATGCCACTTTTACCATGCTGCCATATCTTCCTGCTTTTCTAGTGATTGCACATTCATCCTAGCACATTCACCATCAGAGCTCCCCCACGCATCTTTAAAGCAGCTCTCGATTCCCCATTCAAATATTGCCAAAACAGCTGATCATGACGATGAGCTGAGGTTCCCCTCACAGCCTCAAATTCAAGGCAAAACTACGTCTTTCACATCCACGAAATTCCATCCAAGCTCCAAAGCCGAAAGCTCTCATCCAGCAAATCATCTCACAAACACTCACACCACCAATTGAGCCACCCCTCAAATACATCCATCAACCTCAACCTCCGTAACACCATTACCAAAATCCCCAAAGCACCATCTATCATCATGTATCGTCTCGCAATCAACTCTGCCCTGCGACCCGCAGTCCGCACATCCATTCCAGCTGCCAGAGCATTTACTGTATCAGCACGCACCATGGGCGAGGGAGACACCGGTGCTGCCCGATTTGGCGGCCAACAGTAAGTATTCCGTCCCTTCCAATGCTACTTTACTATCCATCGTGGTATTGAGTTCCGCAAAGGAAAGGGTAAGCTTCCTTTCACATTCACAGCTACAAAACTAACACACTTTCTACAGAGATGCTTTCACCAAGCGCGAAAAAGCCAATGAGGATTTCACCATCCGCCAGCGCGAGAATGAAAAACTCTTGGAGTTGAGGAAGAAAATCAAGGAACAACGTGAACACTTGAAGAAACTCGAGGACCACATGTAAGAACGCCCCTCTCCACTCATTTATATCCCCTCCATAACCCCTCATGCCCTCACAACCATCTACCTAAGCTAACCACCTCTCCCTTGCTCTAGTTCCGAAATCGAGAGGCAATCTGGCGGCGAGCAGAAGTAAGTATGCACATACATTTAGAAAAACTTCTAGCATCCACCCGCATATCCATATATCCATAGTCAGAATTTGAGAAATTTTATTGTCCATCGATGGATTCCACTACACCCCTCTCCTTTCCACAATGCAATCAATATTTTACTTTCTATTCCTCTATTCTCTATCTTGCTCTTTCGCAGAACTTCGAAATAGAAGAAAATGCTAAATGCTTTGGTTCACTACCAGCTAAAATTATTTGAAAACTTGCCAAAAAAAAAGTTACACCAGATACGCATATGAGTGTGAGAGAGAAGGTAGAAAGAGGCGTCGGCTGAAGGAAAGATGATGAATAGGATGAAAATATGATATCAAGATTGTGATGAGATGATGAATTTATGGTCGTATTATTGGTGGTATTAATGATTTGCATAATACAATCATTTTCTCTCTGCATCAATCCTCAGAATTCCAGTGTATATGAAATCAAGCGGATTCCAGTTCAATTTAACAACGATAATTTGTTGTGAGCTTCATGAATCTTCATTCTTTCTTGCTTCATGCTATCTGTTATACACAAAGATTTCCCCTTGAAACACTTCCTCGTTCATACATCCATGCATTCTCCTATTTTGGAAACATGAATTCTTTTCTTCTTCCTCTACTCGATCCTCTTTCAGAGGCTCGTGATATTCAGTCTTCGGTATTCATTATCCACATATGCTTTTCTCAAAAACATACCATCCATGCCTGAATTTTGCATTGCATTTCCTGCCGAGTCATAACGCCCTAAACATCCGTCCAGCACGCCAATACACATCTACCAGCCTTCGTTCTACCTTCTCAATTTTTCCATCCTTCACCATTCATCTTCTGCCTATGAAAGACCTATAGAAATGATCCGCAGCGTCGCTTTCCGCTCCACCGAGACCATTAGCACTCATACTTTGTCCCAATTTGTGCGCCGCTTCCACCTTCTCTTGTAGTGTTTTGGCATTTTGATCAATCCATTGTAATTGCATAAGATGTGAATTGAGGACTCGGACGATATGGGAGAGCTGCGTGATAAATTTGATTAGTAAACCATATCTTGTACCAATGAAGAGATTGTAGTAGCTTACCGGATCATCGGATTTGGTACTCTTGTTCAATGTAGCAGATGCCTCATTCATAGCTTCGATCATAGTTGTGAGATCTTTACCCATTTCGTCAAGTTTATCCGCCAACTTCTCTGCCATCTTATAAGTTCTTTCGCGTTCCTGGTCTGGACCTTGTAATGTTTCGACAGCCGTGTTATTAAACATGTCGTCAACCTCTTGTTCGTAACGATCGAGCCATTGTTCAAGTTCGGCTTGCTGGCCCTCCACCGTTGCTAGTTGTCGTTCTATTTCTGCGCTTGATCGTTCTGCTTCAAAGGTAGTGTTGTACAATTTCTGTATTTTATCTCCATTCTCTACCAAAAGACGATCCCATTGAGCTACCTTGGTTGCTTGTTCTTGAAATTCTTTTTGGTATTTTGACAAATCAGATGCCCATCGAGTAATGATTTCGTCCATAGTTTTATTCTTTAGACGACTTAATTCCGGTCTTGGGCCAGTGGTAGAAGCTCCTAGAGTTGCTGGCCCTGCTACTCCAGTTCCAATCGTTGCACCGCCTCGTTGTTCCAGGTTTGCAGATCCCGCATTTGCGGTGGATGAAGCAGGGCCGGGAGTGCTTGCCGCGGCTGGACCAGAAGTACCAGGAGCTGATGGTTTAGGTGCACCAAACAGACCTGACGCTGTAGCAGCTGGTGCAGGAGTGGAAGTGGTTGCAGCGCTACTTGAAGCGGCATTTCCAAACAGGGATGGTGTTTGTGCTGGGGCGGATGCGGCTGGAGCAGGTGTAGAGGTGGTTGGGTTAGGTTTTCCAAATAGATTGCTGGTAGCAGGAGCCGTAGCCGTTGGTGCAGGAGTACCAAAAGCTTGTGTTCCAGGCGTGCTAGCTGCAGGAGTGGCAGACGGGAAGCTGAAGGACGGGGCTGCCTTAGCGGCTTCTGTAGTCGCCGCGGGTGTAGCTGAAGCAGCAGGATTATTTCCGCCAAACATGTTGCTACTAGTGGCAGGAGCCTTTGCAGCACCAGCACCACCAAACAGATTGCTACTCGGAGCTGCAGCCGCAGGAGTACTACCAGAGAAAAGGCCACCTGTAGGAGCTGGTGCAGCGGGTGTTTGTGCAGGTTGTAATGCGGCCGCAGGTTTTGGTGTTCCAAATAAACCTCCAGTCGATTGTGGTTGAGCACCGCCGCCAAACAGGTTTCCCGTACTCGCAGCCGGTGCGTTATTCATAGGCGGTGGTCCCGCAGGAGTTGTGGATGCAAAACTGAAAGGTTTGCTTGGTGCTGGAGTTGTTGATCCTAAACTAGGAGCAGTCGAAGCTGGTCCTCCAAATATGCCTCCTGACGCTGGTTTGTTCAATCCTCCAAATAAACCTGTAGGAGTCGCGGGTTTGTTCTCTGTTGTTGGCGTTGAAGCACCCTCCGGTTTGGGTCCTCCAAAACTAAATCCTCCACCTCCTGCCCCCGAAGCTGTCGCTGTGCCCGCTCCACTAAATAATCCACCTCCTCCTGTACTTGTAGGTGTGGTGGCAGGCTTTCCAAAGCTGAAGGCAGACGTGGCATTCGGGGCATTCCCTGTGCTCTGACCAAAGACGCTTCCAGCAGCAGGCTTAGCGGCTCCTGCATTTGATGCTCCTGCTCCTCCAAACAATGGTGCTTGTCCAGCTGGTTTCGCTGCGCCAAAAGGACTTGCTGCTGCCGATCCACCACCGCCGAACAAAGATGATGGGGCGGCCCCAGATGTAGCTGGCGCACCTCCAAAAAGCCCAGGTCCGGAGCCATTAGGAGTACTACTTGAAGCTCCACCACCGAATAAACCCCCGCCAGTATTTCCAGTATTACCAAAAGAAAATCCAGACATCTCGTAAATATTATTGAGTTTTTGGGTGCTGGAATGTGAATCGAAATCGAGGAAGGAAGATTTTCGATGATGTTTATGGTTCAATTCAGATCAGGAGCTGATTTCCTGTGAAAGAATTGTTGGAGATCAGCAATTTAATATCTTGAAATGTATAATTGAATAAAGATACAGCTTCTGCAATAACCGAATTGATTTAATCAGCCTTGCGCATCTCAAAGCGCGAGTGAAATTGAAGTCTTTTATCTTTCTTATTAGCCTTACCAGCGCGACTTTTTGGTATCGCGCCTCAATCAAAAATTAAGCGAGTCGAACAACAGAATCTCATCGACCGAGAAGGGAGGGAGCAGTTGTCATTGTTCCCCCTTAGGCCTTTCTCTTGTTGAGACTTAGTTGCATATTCAAAACATCTATCGTACCCGCGAACGATCACTGCCTATTTATTTGGGTCTCTATTGAAGTTACCGTTGGTATCTCGCTGGTATCATCAATTATGGCTGAGGACGACCACGGAAGTCTAGAACCTCCCACAAGGACTAGTATTGAAGATCCAGGCGCACATGAACTTGGAGGTAAAATGCTCTAAATCTACTTTTAATACATAGCACAACCCCAGCAATCTATAGTTATTCGTTTATTCTAACATTTTGTGATCCGTAGAGCCTGTTGGGTCCTCAGATTCGGACGACCATTTCTCAGATGCACACTCTGGTCTAGAACAATCTACCGAAACCTCACCCACTGTCCCCACTACTCGAGTCGAGAAAGTTGATGATGAACCAAGTTATGGAGAGGTTCCGGGGACACAAGCATACAATATGAGAACAGAGGATGCTGAGCCCGATCAAGTTGCAATGGCTCCAGAATTTATTATCGCCTCACTAGCACGACGACCTTCAACTCCCGGGGACCTACCAATCCCCATTACTGTCGTCGAGAAGATAGACCCTGATACTCCTAGTCATGGAGAAGTCCCCGGTACACCTGCATATGAAAAGCGTAAGGCGGATGCAGTTCCCGACTTGGTCTTGGATTCAACTCCTGGTCGCAGTCGTTCAAGCACCCTCAATATGACGACGAGATCAAGAGCTGGTAGTACACCAGGGGACCTACCAATTCCCAAGACTGTAGTTGAAAGGATAGATTCTGCTCCAAGTCATGGTGAAGTACCTGGTACTGCGGCATATGAATTACGAAAAGGAGATGCCCAACCAGATGACATAGTAGAGGTCGCCGATGTTCCTGGTATGTACAAACACTAATTTCCAAACACCTTCAGAGTTATTGACTGAGTTAGAATCTAGCTCCCCGACCTTAAGCCCTCATCGCCCAAGCTCTTCAGCAGCAGAGAAGAACGCTGCAGAAGAAGAATACAACGAGGAAGAGGATGGTCAGGGTGGAGATGGTGCAGATGATGAGGGGTTTGGGGATGATTTCGATGATTTTGAGGAAGGAGAGGAAGATGCAGAGTTTGGTGATTTTGATGATGGTTTTCAAGAGCCTGAAGTTTCTCAAGCCTTTCAATCAATTCCTGTAGTACCTTCTTTTGTAAGTAGCCATCTACTTTTCGTAAGCAGCAATATCATATCCAGTCCTAACCTGAGTCTCTTGTTCAGCCCATCTTCGACCTAACAGACCTTAATACACCCGAGGATATTCGGTCGGCAACAGAACCCTACCTCGACCATATATTCCCCTCCGACACAATCGATACCTCGGTCCTACCACCCCTTGACAACCCAAACCCCATATTTCTTACACCACGCTCCGCATCTCTCTGGTCTCAACTGGTCGCTCCACCACCTCTTCAACCACCAAACTGGATCCGATCCCGGATCCGTCGCCTCTTCCTCGTTAGTCTCGGTATCCCGGTCTCCTTGGACGAAATCCTCCCCGCCTCCACACAAAAGAAACTAATCCTCCCCTCCCTTTCCTTACACCCTTCATCCTCCGGCTCTCTCGACAGTTCCATAGATCGCATCAAATCCTCTTCCTCCACATCCCTCGACTCACACGGCAATGTCAAAGCTCCTCGCTCCGAAAGTCGACGTCGAAAAGGTCCACCACCAGCCCCGCAATTAGATTTAGTATCCGCGCGTCAGACATGCGAGGTTACAGAAGAAGCTCTTAATGGTCTAACAGTAGCCGAGCTAAAAGAACATGTGAAAAAACTCGAGGCAATGCAGGTCTTAGCCAAAGAAGTATTAGATTATTGGACCATGAGAACGGATGAAAAATTGGGAGATAGAGAAGCATTTGAGGGAGTTATTGAAAACTTAGTTAAGCATGCTAGGAAAGTTAGGAAGTGATGCATTCCCATGCTCTTTTTTTTTTGGCATGCTATACTATGCCATGCTATGCATATATTGATTAGCGTTATAGCCCTCTTAAAGTCTAGCTTAGTTGTCTCTGTTCTAATCAGATGAGATTTACAGAGTATAACACTAGCTATATGAATTATAGAGATATATCTTTATCAAATCTGATTCTCTTAAAAACCGACTCACTTACTCCCTCACTCACTGATGGTGTATATTACCAATTTATCCATTTGATCCTTTGACACTTTTCCCCTCCCATCCTTCCCTTCCTCATCCTCCCCTCCTCATCCTCCCTCACCAAATACTCCCCACCTATAAAACCCCCTACCCCATCACTCCATTATACATATCCTCCCTCCAAAATCCACTCTAATAGAGTAATCATCGCTCGTACCAATATCAAAACCAATATCTCCTCCCCCGGAATCCCACACCCATCTCCGTCAATCCCTTCAGGAATCCATCTGTATATTACAGAAAAGAAGCAGTAAACAATATGATGAGACAATACACAAATCAGGCAATACAAAGCAACACAATATAACACAACACAACAAGCTTCCAAAACATATTATCCAGATCACAGTTCCATTCACATCATGCAATAGTACAATCTCATTCCATTCCCATCCAAGTCTCACCCCAACATCACTGTTTGCCAGCGTTCAGTTAGATAAAGTTCAAGAACAAGTAGTCATCTCCTAGCAGTATAGTCACGAATCAACCATCTCCAACATCAGTCATAAAGTGATAGATAAATCCGTTTCAATTCTTGCATCGCACATCTCCTAGCCCGTAGATCCTCCAACCCATGCCTAAGCCTGCTTGCTGATGAACCACGGCAACTATATTTATACGATGCTACGCAGCACCACCCCGTTTCCCAAATTATCAGACCAACAGTCAGAATAAAATATCAAACCCTTTTGAGGTAAAACCACGCAACAATATCATCCAGCCGCCAACTTTTCCCGAGACCGGAATACTACCAATAACCTAGTGCATATTCCATCATGGCAGAAGAGTAAAAACGTGAAAGACCATCCGTCGCGGCTATGTACTCGCAAGAAAGAAACATTGAAAAGAGAGAAAAGATCACATAGTAAACTAGATGAATATCACGCCAAGCACACCTAAAAGCAATGCCATCCAGGCCCCCATCCATGCACGCAAGAGTGGTATCATGATCGATGTATGTAATGCACCAAACCATGACGCCGTCCCATTTTCGCCAGGGTATGTAACGTAGAGGTAATTTTCAAAGCTCGCAGAAAAGTGCATCGAGTTTTAAGATGCTTCGAAAGTCGTGATTCGTAGTCGGTAGCAGAAAACCAAAGGAAGGGAAAGAAGCGTAAATTCCAAGAAATCATATAAGCCGAGTCATCCACCATTATTGTTGTCAATATCCCATCAAAGTTGAGCAGGGGTCGCAAAGTATCCTAGAAGCAGCAGGGGTATCTCGCAGTAGTGTGATAGAAACCAAGGAAAGACCAAAGAAGCTAAATCGCAGAAGCATGCTAAAGCGTATCCGCGAGAGACGACCAATCTGAGGAGGACAGCGTGACAATAGTGACTTAAGAATATGGTGCCTGGTTGCTGAAGCCACCGTTAGCGTTCTGACTGCCAGATGGTTGCTGATGCTGCTGGAATCCAGCGTTGAAACCGTTGCCCTGCTGGTGGTTCTGTTGTCCAGATCTGTTTTGAATCATTAGCCAAATGTCTTGCTAAGCGGGGCGCTAAAGAGAAAAGAAAGAGCATCTAATAGCGAAGGAAGACAGGTATGTTTCCTTCCGATACTTCGGATGATGGAACAACAAGTGCCTTGAGCCTAGGGCAGAGGCTAAAGTCCAGTGGTCTGACGTTAATATTTGTACGGGAATTGATCATCATCGCACAGGCTATAGCACAAAACACAAGGTAATACACAACAACAAGTGTATACAACCAAAAAGGAAACAAATGGTCCGCCAATCAAAATAATGGATGAAGAGTACATTTGTAATCGAGCTCGCACAAGCTGCGATGCTCCTAGATAAAAAGAAAGAGAATCTAAACTTTTAAGCTTTTGTGGATAAAGTCCAGAGTAAGAAAAGCTGCTCTAGAGCATGGGTGCAAAGCTGCGCAAACAGATCTCATCGACAATTAATTTCGCCAATGAAAAATGATAAGCGAGCAGACTAGGCAGCAAAGCAGTGAGATTACATGTGTAGAAGAAGGAAAAAAGAGAAAGCGAAGATCGTGGTCGCATGAGAAGTCTATGCTTATACATGGGCATCATTGGAAAACGCAAATTCCCACCCATCCGATACTTTTGAAGTAACGCTAAGACGAGAAGAGTTATCCAGATATTGGATGCGAAGAAGTGAAGCCCCGAAAAATGGCAAGCCCAGTGCAGAAAGACGCCATGCTACACTAAACTCCATTCGCGAAAGAAGATTTTTGCTTACTGTAAATTGTTAGCTTGAAAATACATCAAGGATTGGTAAATCTTACCTGTATTGGTTGGAAATTGCCATAAGGGTTATGCTGTTGCGGCATACCCATCTGTTGGTAATGAGGGGGTGGTGGAGCAGGTCTGTATGGGGTCCCAGCTGGACCAGAGTTGTTCTGGGATCTTCCCCAAGACAAACGAACACGAGAATTGCCAATTGGGTATCCTTGCATCTGATTGATGGCCATTTCAGCCGCATGTCGTTGAACGAATTGAACGAATCCGCAGCCCTTTCCGGGTGGAATCTTGACGTAGGTGATTTCTCCGAAGCCTTGGAAAAATGATCTGAGCTCATCTTCGGTGACATAGCCAGATAATCCACCAACGAATACAGTGGTGTTATTGGGATCCGTAAACTGGTTCATGGGTTGAGGAGTTCCATAATATCCTGCCATAGGTGGGCCACCACCCATTCCATACATTCCTGGGGCACCTCCCATAGCACCGGCCATACCACCACTGCCGCCTTGAATCTGCATACCAGCTGGTCCACTAGCTCCAGACTTGTTCTTGGGGGTGGCAGTGCTGATGCGCATAGGTCTGTTGCCGCAATAAACACCTTGCATTTCGGTCAAGGCACGTTGTTGGTCTCCCTCCTCGGCGAAACGGACAAAACCATAGCCGCGAGACATGCCAGAGATTGGGTCGGTCATGATCTTGGCTGACTTGCAAGATGGGAAACGGGCTTGGAAAAGCGAGACCAAGACATATTCGTTGACCTCTGGGCCAAGATCGCCGACAAAGATCGAGAATTCTGGTCCACGATCGTCACTATAAAGAGTCAGCGATATATCCAAGAAAGCGCAAAGCAGGGGAGTAGAGGTATATGAACCGGGATTCTGACCGACGATCGGCAAGCCCACCACCTGAGGCCCAGTTGAGCTTGAATGGTCGACTGGTGTTGGGAATCATGGAACCATTCAAAGAAAGGGCCTTTGCAGCAGCTGCTGGAGAAGAGAAGTCGATGAAACAATAACCCGCGTTTCTAGAACGATAAGAACATCGGTTAGCTAGCATGCCCTATTTCAAAATGCGGTATCGATAAGAAATAACTCACCCAGAGAATTTGTCACGGATCATCTTGACATTGACTTGCTCGCCCATTCCGAACCAGACGCTGCGGATAAAGTTCTCGTCGATCCATGGCTCAAGCTCACCCATCCTAGTATAATATGTCAGCACATATCAAAATGTAAATCAGCTTTGTGATGGCAGGCAGTGTTCCATGGTAGGAAGCAATACAGCAATAGCCATGGCGGTAGAAATCGAGATCAAGCCTTGGAGAAGACTCGTATCTCTAGATCGGGCACACTTAGATCGCACACCAAGTATTGCGATGCAGAGTACTAGTATGGTCGATCTGAGATCGAGATGGGGCACCGGAGAATGGAAGGCGCGAAGGCCGGAAGGACAGACCCGAGTGATATAATCACAAGAGGTTTATTTTGAGTGAGTGTACTGCAGGATTTAGAACTTACCAAAGAGTGGTCTTTGCATCTCCAGTGACGCTTCCGGAAGAGCCTTCAACGCCGGCACCTTGTTGCGCAAAAGGAGCTGGTGAGCCACCATCTCCAGTAGGCATACCACCTTGTTGCTGCTGTTGCTGCTGCATTGGTGGTGGAGCCATTGCGCCGTTGCCGTTGTTCTGTTCGTAGCCACCTTGCTGAGCTGGATCGTAGGGCTGTTGTTGGAAAGACATTGCGTAAAGTCGAAATTTTTTTCACAAGAGACCGTTTAACTCGAGGAAGGACGAATATGTAAAGAAATAAGCAAAGGGTTCCCGCGTCTTTGTCGCGAAAGATAATGAAAAGTTGTCGTAGTGTAAGTTTAAAAGTAAGAGTTTGAGAATGAGGACGGCTTAAATAGCTCCAGAAGTATGCAGGATCTGATTCACTTAAGGTTAGCTTGTGGTCAAATAGACTAGAGTCACGCTAGAGCGGGGTTATGGCAGACCCCCAACGTTAGTGTCAATGATATCACTCCTGGTTATGGTCCAAGCACGCTCTATTAAATAGAGCAAATATTAGTCAGAAATGAAAGATACTTGAACGGCTTGAAAAAAAAAAAACCTTTGTATCTGAATGTGATACTCATATCTTGCTGAAGATTTTACTAGGGGAAAAAGTTCACAAAGGAAAGTGTATGCCGAAGAAGCATCATGAGACCTTCGATCCAGTGGACAACTCCGCTGGACTACCAACAATAAACATGTCATATACTTAAATACATGAGTTACTGCTGTACTTCGGGGATAGAAGAATAAAATGTCCTTCCAGGTCAGAAGTCAAATGTTTCTCTGATACGCTATGCTATTACAGTGCAGTCTTTCACAGTCTCCGTATCATGCAGTGATAAAACAAAGCACAGGTGACACCATCTACAAACTTCAATGGTGTTGATGTCATTCCAATACCTAGTATTGAGGTCCTTGTGCAGTATATCCACCTCATCGTGGTGCAAATGATTCAGTGTTGATGCAAAATTATCCGCATATTAACTATCCACCAAAACATCAACAAACTACTGTTGCAGCCGATAACAAGCCTCCCTGTATGGTTGATAAGACAAAAATGACAACAAGAAAGTTTCTCATCACAACTCATGGAGTGTATGATCAATATATCCAACGACAACCAAAAGTACAGCTTTGTTGATCTCGTGAGCAATAGTCCAGCTAATATGTATGCCTGCAAAATGCTATCACATCAAACTGCTTTTGGAGCAGTGACTTGCTGCATGTGCTCAATCTTCGAAACAAGAGCAGGTTGGTAGACAGAGAGGTTGGTGAATCATCATGACCATTCTTCGATATGCTAAGTGGGCTCATAGGATATTGGAGTTCACTAACTTTTGCTCTCCAGGAACTACAAGCCCTCTGCCAAAGATTTAAAAAATAATTGGATACAGAATTCGCAGACTGCAAGGATGTTGAAGGGTTTTGAAAATGCAAACAAGGAAAGGAGGAAACAGAAGGGACACAGGGGCTCCACGGTGGTGCAAGCGCAATGGCCGTGCCATCACCTCAAGGGCACAACGCAAGTGGATGAAGCAACACCGAAATCTAGTGCTCCGGCTTTAATCTGGTGGGGCAAGGAAATTGAAAGAAATCAAACGGCTGACAAAATGAAACTCTAGGAAAGATTCTATAGGGAATGTTCCGACTTGCGCTGGAGCAGAGGAGCTGGGAAAATGATTCGCACCGTATTGGGATAAAGGTTCTCCACAGTTTTGCGGTTTTGGTCCCCGAATGCATCAGAAGCACTCGCTGATCATTGAGTTGTAATCAAAACATTGATGGTTCTCTCGAGCCAGAGTCTCTCATAAACTTCTCATGATGGTACGCTTCTCAGAAAGAGCTATCTAAGAATAACCACCGAGACAAAAGACCCTGCGCTCACAAAATTGGATCAAAATCCTCTTCAAATCAACAATAAGAAAACCTGGGCCATGAATGTGCCATATGTGGGTGGACTGTGGGTGGACTGTGGGTGGAAATGGGTATATAAGACAGGCTGTTTGATGAGCAGTTGATTTAGAGGAACATATGGGCTAGCAGTCGGAAACCCACACAAAATGGGGAAGAAAGGATGGTGACAGATGAAACTTGAGCTAGGCCAGTGACTGTTACGGCTCCTACAGGTGGTGTAGGACACAAATGGCGAAGTTGAGCCGGGCAACAAGCCTTGCTTGATGCAGTACAATAGCCACTCCACCCAAGAGCTTCAACACCCACCATTTCGGTCAGCTACCATGAGACTGCTCAAATTGCCACTAACCCCTTGTATCCAACTCGCATCATTCGAGATCCTTAACTTTTCGTCATGGTAGCGAATCGTGGATGGAGGCGACAATAGAAAATTCGACACAATTCTCTCACCCCGCCAATTTTGAGCTCGTCCGGTCTGGGTTCATGGGGATCTGCCATTTTTCATATTTGGATGTAGGTAGCTTACCTTAAAATTCCACAAGTATCGTTTCAATAAATTATATCCGAATCGCCCCTCGAGAGAACCGGTATGTGCGATTGAAGATATAGATGGTCAAAAGCGACGTCGTAATAAAAGAACTCGATTCGAAAAGTTTTGAAGACAACGTTTGCGCCTGCGAAAATTCGAGAGTGGAAGGGTTGAATTATTGCTGGAGAAATCTCGGGAATAAATTCAAAACTAGCAGAATAAGTTATCAGTCAATTGTTCAACATTTGAAATTTATAATGTATGAGTGGGTTGATGAAGGGGTAATGACATCTCTCAAGCGTTGAGATGGAGCTTCGTTGGAATATTTTCGCAAGTTTGGAACCACCAAATTGTAGTACCAAGGCTAATTGCCAAGGTCAAACATTTGCGCCAGGCTCAACAACAGCAAAGGTACATCCGACAATGCCGCCACCAGAAATCATATGCGACAATGATGTTATCAATTGCAACAAAGAACTGACAAGGCCTGGCACAACGAAGGTTGGAAGTTGTGGTAGGTGCAATGAGGGGTCGAGATGGAGGGGGTTGAAGCTGTTATTGCGCGACCAGTAAGGGCGCAAGGACAGAAAAATGATCTACTTACATGTTTTAATCGACTGGGTTAAGAACTGCTTTTGAAAAAAAACTCGAATTCCGAAGGGAAAGCAGTGAATCAGAGACGAAAAGGTAGTTATCGAGAGGAAAACAATTGACGCAATTAAGCAGCGCAATAATCCAATAAAGTCGACAAAGGACGAAAGAATCGGGAGGGTATGGAGGGTTGTATTGTGGATGAGGGGAGGTTATGTTTTTTGAGTGGGTGGGTTGGTGTGGTGGGTGAAAGAAGGGAAAGAATTATGGTGGGAGAGAAATGGGAAATTTAGTCAAGTATGAGTAAGGAAGGGTTTAAGTGAGATAAGTGAGAAATTGAAAGGAGGAGGGGACGAGGGGACGAGGGGACGTGATCGTAATCGTGATCAGGTAAGGAATGAACGGGGTGTTCTCTTTTGGCGCATGAGTAGGTTGAGCAGGTTGAGCAGGTTAGGTACCTAAGATTTAAGAAAGAAAGAAAGAAAGTCCTAATAAGTAGGCGTCAGAGAAAGATAGGCACTTTCTTTTTTAGTGTGAATTTTTTGTGGTTTTAGGTATCTAGGTGTGGTTTGGTGTCCTTTTGGCTTTCGGGTTGGATGAAGAGAGTTTACCAGTAGAGAGATATCAATGCTTTAACGAAAGTAGCTTTCAAGAATCTGGGCCAAGAGAGAATAGGAATAATCAACCACCCACGCAGAGAGATGAACTAGGAACTGGGTACAAACTTGAGTGGGAAGAAGAGGAAGGAAAGAAACTGGATCTGCATTTGGGTGATCTTTCTCGTTTACGCAGGCTAGATAAAAATATGTACGGAGTATGTTTGATGAATAACGGTCAGAGTCAATACCTAGTATGCATGTATCTCGAGAATTCTACCCTCTTCTTTTCTTCTTCCTATTCTTATTCTTATCCCTATTCTAATTCTAATTCTAATTCTAATTCTAATTCTAATTCTAATTCTAATTCATTCTATATTGTTTTTGTTTATTCCTCTCTTCTTCTCCCCCCTCCCCCCCTTCTCGCCTTTTTTCGTCATAAAGTACATACACATACATACATACATACATCTCTTCTTACATATATCCGAAAGTACCTATATGACCAAATACAGCTTAAATTGAGTGAGTCTAGGTTTCCATGTAGGATCATTAGTGTGGATACCACTCCATAGGCATTTCAGATGCATCTCACTCCGTAGTACATGCTGCGGTTTGGACAAAGGTAAAAAGAGGTAACCTTTTTCGTAGGCAAGGCTCATTTCGTTCAGGGTATGTGCTGCGCCTATATGTGCAAGTTACAGGGTAGCAATTAAGCTATAACCAGGTATGTGAATGAAAATCGGGATTGATGGATGCATACGGAAGTACTGATATAGAATTCAATGTTAGAAAATGACAACATGATCATTATTATCGTTTAGTGTCTCATCATCTTGTTCACGGTTCATCCGATCTAGTAACTTGTAACTTGGAAATACCTATGGAAGATCTTGAAAGTTTACGCTATCCCTCCTCTAAAATTTAGTGATCGACGGGTTCTTAAAAAACGGTTTGTGTAGGTGTGTGCACTGAATCATATCATTGAAAGTTTTCCCCCTTTGGTCCCGATATCTGCCCATCTATTGCAATCATAGCTTTCGCAAAGCATTTTCTCAACGGGCTAGATGATAGATCTATGAGCACTTACTCTAGTGGTCAAGTTTAGTGCATGGCGGACTAAAGCCAGTCCTTCGAACCACATAATAGATTTTCACACGCAGATCTTGAAGATAATGCCCGCTAAATTTGCTTGTGAGATGAGCGGGGTTACCTCCGCTATTGTAATCAATGTTTAGGTAATCTAAGTTACTATGAGAGTTTGAAGGGGCGAAGCAGTCCCGTTGAGAGTATTGTATGATGCCGATACTTATGCTCAGGCTCGGACACGAGGCTTTGCCGTCATAGGAAAGGTAGAGCGCATATTCCCTTTTGGGACTTTTCATTATTGAAGATATATGGATAGATACGGTTAGGATTACTAGGTAGAGAGATCTTATAACAAGGGCTCGAGCTTTCTGGACTTTTGTGTGTGTTGCTGTGCATGAGTAGCGAAATTCTCATAGTCAACAAGTATTTACTACTAGCGCTCGCTTTGCCCTAGGATATATAATGAGATCCTCCGTTCCTTTTAGCAAACAAGACAAGTATATGGGCCAGGCCATATTGAGCAAGCATTACCGCACGTCAAGGTTCTAGATGTAGAGATTTGAAAATATTATAATCTGAATATCAGTCGACCTCAAAGCCATGATCTGCTTTCCCAATGCCCGGAAATCTATCCTCTCCCTTTTTCTGATCTTCAGAATTTGCTTGAACATGGGGTTAAAATTGATAAAGAGGGCTGAAGAGAAAAAACTGAATTTGTGTGACGCAATTATTTAACTCAGTCCCAATATTTGTATCCATAAAACATTTCGTTGAGTCCAATCAATGAACGATTCAAGTTCCAGAGGTTTATTCGAGTATCGCTGTCGAAGATAGCCATCATCATTGGTTAATAGCAACTCCCGTTCCAACTCATGAGTAACCAATAGCATCACGGGTAAGAAAGGGGTTACGGTTAAGTGTTTGGAGATACCAAAAAAGTGTGGGTTGATAACTTGATGTCGATGTAGAGTAGTTATCAACAATAAAGTATGTACTCCTCTCTCCTTTAAAGCCAAGTCAGATAGATAAAAGGTCCAAAAAACATCTGCAGCTCCCTCATTCAAGCAACTACCTGGGGTAAGGTTAATCGTTTTCAGCCCAATTTTACTAGGTACAGTTTCTTGTTCCTTACATGACTTCTCGGGCTCTAATGTACATCGACCAAAGAAGATGTTGTTTCTATCATTTTTCTACTTCTTATAAAGTAAAAAGTAATCTTCATTTAATTTCGCAATGACAATCATGAATAGATGTTGTGTACCCTTCCTTTGGGGTTGAATTTCGACACGGGCGGCTCTTATTATTTGACGAGGAAATTCATTTACTTCGCATTGAGACATTTATTAATCTATACTATTCCCGAATTAAGGCAAAGTTAGAGCCACTCGTTGATCAAGTACATGATAAAAACACCCAGTGGTTGCCGATGCCAATACGGTAATGCCCCTTCATCCGATGATGACAATTCTCTCCTCCCTCCAGTCGCTTCTTGCCGATTAGTTGAACTCTTCGGTATTTAGCTCTGCGTACCTAGTATGATTCAACTCTCGCCTCAATAAGTACAGCTGCATACTCATGTGCAAGTATTTGTGTTTTGAGCTTACCAATAAAGCCATATCGTGCATAAAATCCCAGTGCCGACCCAAGTTCCTTACTTCTCCCTTCCAAATCCCTTCTTCCCTCTCATTCGGCATTAAAATTCAGAAAAATCCTTCTGGGCCCGTACTTATGACAACCTGAAAAAATTCTACCATCTAGTGACCAATAATTGCAATAACTTTTGCCGGTTCCTTTGGGCCTAATTCGACTTCAAGGAATAATTAAAATGTTACCAAGATTTTAAAGATTTAGTACCCCAAATACTATACACTCGATGTGACGCTGCTGCACGTAATATTCTCTCGTTATCATTGGCTACTCTGAGTCCTCAAAAAGGAAGGCAAGACATTGCACAGGTCAAGCAGAGATCAACATCAGACCTACAACAGCGCAATTGTTGTGGAATATCCGATTAACCTCAATACGGAGTACTTTCTCTCCCCAATGCAATGTTCTTGTTACATTGCAGCTTTGAAATATCTGCTACTACATGCTACTGCATACATTACCTGGGCACGGCGTACCTTTCCCATCTCAACTATACTAGGTATTTATCAATCCTCCGAGCATAATCCAGTAACCAAAGTGTCGCATTCTCGCATACTGACAGCTCACCGAGAGTCATACCAATTATTCTATATTTTAGAGGTAACAATACCTGTACCTCAAATGAGCCATGCCCCAGTTCTTTTCCATCCCAGGATATACCAAACTACTAAAGTACACATGGCAACACGACACCGCCTCCTTTCTTCCCACCCGCCCAAAATTACCCAAATTACGATCTTCTATTTGGGGTGATGTACTCTGCATATACATGAATTGGTACTGTACCAAACATGTCGGAGGATCCACCTCGCATAGAGTACGTACGACTGAAAGAGAACATCCCTTGCAACATCCCTTGCTTCAACCCTTATACAGGGTATAGCTTTTTTGGTCAAGATCACAATTTGAGCAAACACACAATCATCCAATTGATATACATCAATTCGGATAAACGGACAGGGATATCTTCTTTCCAGCATAGCATGACCATATGTTACACAAAGATAACGGTATGAAATGGTTACTTGCATATGGTATCATGGTTGATGGAACGGAGCAGTCTCAATATTGAATTCAACAGTTATCTGTATACATTTTTGAACTGATTCAATCGGTAGTAGCCGGAGATAGAACAGTCGCTTTGGACCACAACATACTTCTCCAGTGTGAATCCTACCACTATTGTTCTATCGAGCTGTAATCAAGCATTCCATTGTACCTCACATTGAGCTGAAAACATTTCCAAACAACTAGGTAGTACCTTCTCCTTCCATCCCTCTATATTCACATGAGATTTCATACCTAACCTTTCCTCGAACTCCATGAGTGTCGAGCAACCACAAAGTCAATTTGTTGATTAGGAGGATGTGCTCCGTTCAAGGGCTCAAATAGCCTCACATAATATCGGAAAATAAAACGGGAGTTACGATGCCAGTTCGTTTGCTTCCCGCTTTCCATGGTTACTCGCGTTGGATAATCTATGTTCTCCTTCACATGTCAATCTTCACTCCATGAACCAAAGATTGCCGTTGCCGCTAATTACCGGCTATCAATTGGGGTATCTTGTGATGCCGATGCAATGTTACCGAATTGCCGCCTTCAATCTCTTCTCGCCTGGTCTCAGGGTTTCCTCAAGTTTCCTCTGTTGTGTAGTGTGGTTTCTTCACACGTACTTATGGCATCAAATATCTTCCTCAACTATGTGGCAAGAGCACAGGTGCTTTAACTCGGAGAATTCATCAAGTGAGTAGCAAAATCGTCTATAGATAGTAGACGATTAGCTTATTCATCAAATATTGTTGACTGTCCTACATACAAAATTGTCTACCACCAATCCATTCCCTTATTTCTGCTCCACGTCTCTAAGATGTTCTGGCCAGACCCGGATATTGCACGCGTCTACAGATTTTCCTTCTTAGCCACCTCAGCAGTTTCAACACCACTTTCTCCATTCTGAATCCACCCACTAGTAATACTCTCGATCTCTCACATCCTCCTCTTGCTATCCTCAAACCATTAAATTACATAACACCTCAGCTAGGCAGCTGACCTCGACACGTGTTGGCTTTGTTGAAGTACTTATACCCCATCAGAGGGCCTACAAAATCATGAAACGAAGGTAAGATATAACAAGACTCTCAACTAAACCATCGTGTCCAATAGTCCGGACTAGAGTCAGATTTGAGTTCATCAAAGTATAAGTTTTTGAAACATTTTAGTTATTATAATGTGATCGTTATTTAAATAGATTAAATATTCAAAATAATTATACTATTTATATCAAATTCAATAATAAATTTAGATTTGATTTCGAGTTCAAAAGTCCTTGACTGTTATATTATAAATATACTCTTATAATTCTTTTATTTTAATCAATATTTATAAAAATATAAAATGATCATAGAATAATACTATATAATCTACACAATCTCATTCAAAAATCGATCAAGAAACATTTATAAAGCTATTTTATACATTCACTAATATTATTATATATTATATATTCTATCTAACTTCATTCCATCTCATTTTATCCCATCTCTTTCTTTTAAATATTTCAATCAATTATACAATATAAGATTACCATCTCTCTCTTTCTCCACCCCTCCTGCACACCTCGAAAAGGCTCACTTAGATATCTATAATCCACTCTGTTATCATAATCATCATCAACATCATCATCTATTTCGATCTCCCCTCTTCGAATCCAAATCCACCCCAACCCCAATCCCAATCCCAGTCCAACCCCAACTCCTACCCTCAGCCCGCCCAACCCATCTTCTCATTCTCATTATCCTTCCATTCTCACTCTTCTATATATACCCAAACTCCTCCAACCTCCAACCTCCCAACCTCCAACCCCTGAAACCACATCTCCCGGCCCTTAGAACTTCAACTCAACTCAGCTCAACTTTAATCCCCAATCCCTAGTCTTCAAATCTTCCTTGTAAATCTAATCTAAACCGCTTACAAGTAAATTAAATCTTATATCATATTATATATTATATATATCATACACAAACTACACCCGAACTCGAAAATCCAAAATCCAAACTTTAAATTTTATATATATATAATTATATAATATTAACTTTTATTTCTATTTTTATTTATATTTTTCTTTTAAATATTTAATATTTATAAATTATATTTATTATAATATTAGAATTAATCCTCAAAACTTGGTTTTTTATATAAAACAATTTTTTTTAAAATAAACCTCTATATATACTACTTCAATCTAATATTTATATATCAAACATCTATACAGGATCATCATCTCAATATAGAATCATACTACTTCTCATACTACCTCTCATGCCCATCATACCCATCATACCCATCACACCCACAAATACACTACCAACCACCATCACACAACCATCGCACCAATACTACCAACACTCCCTCAAGTAGTATTTAAACTAGATACCTAAGGATATATAGACCTTAAGCATCCTTCCTATATAAATATCAATTCTACAAATTAATTTCCATCACATTGTAGGTATTATCAAAAGTGAGCCTAGATCTCATTTATATAACATTCAATATCAACCTTATTCTCTGTAATTATTCCATTCATTTGTACTTCTGGAATACATACCAATATTTCTAGGAATCATACAGGATCAATCCTAACCTTTTCATCTAATCTCATTTCGTTTCATCCCACGCTATTGTTTGATCTAATTCACCAATCGATTCGAACCGCCACAAACTAGCAGCCCATGGCTCACTCAATATTCTATTGACGAACACCTTAACCCCAATTCATCAAAACCTGCTTTTTCCCCTTATTTCCCTTTTTCCTTCCTCCCTGAACAGCATCTGCGTTTTCTGCCTCTCCGTTAACCCCCGAACTACTTTCAGCGCTTCCTGCTCCCCACGCGGTTGCAGCGGGCTTACCTCCCATATCTCTCCTTACCATACCAGTGCCATAACCAAATATAGTACTTTGCGGTTTGGCAGCTGGTGGCAACGCTGGGAATGCACTCGAGTCAGCGCCCTTACCATTCCTCGTTTGCACGCGTGACGGAGCCCGACTAGAAGGCGCAGACGAAGGTGCTGAAGATGAGGAGGCTGCAGGAGTTGGTGCTACCCAAGGTGTGGTTGTTATACGGGAATCGGTTTGGTTGGGACGAGACGAGGGTAAAGTGGGGAAGGGATTGTTATACTGATTTGATGAGGATGGGGCTGGCGATGAGGTAGAGCTGGATGTTGAAGCAGAGCCCCATGATCGGTTTTGTGAAACGGTTGAGCGTGATGATTGTGCAGTGGATTTTTTGAGTTTCAACACACGATTAGATCGTGGGCCAGATGAAGAATTGGAATTCGCAGATGCCCAACCTAGAGGTATAGCATTACCGTTACTGGAAGTAGGAGCTGGTAGAGATGGATAATCTTCGTTTATAGCACGCCAATCATTCCAAGCAGTTAGTAAGGCGGTTTTCTTATTCTCATCTTCAAAAAGGTTAGCTACTTCACGAATAAGTGTGCCGAGGGCAGCAGGAGTAGTGTCCGAAAACAGAGCAAAGAATGCATCAATAAGGGCATTGGCAGTTATCCCAACATTTTTATATGAAGATATGGAGTTGCGAAACTGATTCAACTTGGTTTGATCGTTCTGTAAAAGCCGGCTTGCTCTTTCAACAACTTCGCGATGTCGGAGTTGCCTAGCTCGTTCTTGGGGGGTCAATTCTGGTGCAGCTATGTTCATCTCATCAACTGCTTCAGAAAGACCCTCAGAATTGGCTGCAGGTCTAGTGGAGCTAGCTCGTGAAGGTTCTGCAGGACTGGCTCTGGCACTGGCTTGGGCAGGGGTAGGTGCCGTCAATTGACCACCGAAAGCCCTTGATGACCCGGCCTGAGCACCTTGTACTGCCATTTGCCGTTGGAAAGCTTGCTCATCACGACGTAAAGGTTGTGCACTAGATGGTGCCAAGGGTTCAGCGTTCGGGTCTCTGCCCCTGCCTCTACCGCGGCCATCTCGTTGCTCTCGTTGACTTCCTCCGCGGCTGCGTTCTTGTACATATGGTTGACGATATTCAAAGGTAGAGATATCGACCGTCCTCGCATCCCTACGGACGTCTTTGGATAGGGTACTTCCGTGAACATCTAACTGATGTGCTTTTAAATCCATCTCCGTTGCAAAAAAGATGAACTTTTGCTCCAAACATTCCGGCTCGTTGCAAGGGAAATGATCCTTTCGTAGATGTTGGGATAGGGAATTATAATCAACATAATAATGAGGTTGGCCGTTATTACTCAGTTGATCACAGACATGACATCTTTCATGTTTCTCTCGGCAGTGGAGAAATAGCTCGTCATCGCCATAAAAGCGTTGACCACAAAAAGAGCATAGAGGGTGACCCTTGAATCCCGTTTGATCGAGCGCTCCAGGGTTGTCATCTCCTTTTCTCATATGCTTTTCCAGTTCTTTATCAGCAAACAATTCGTGTTCGTGGGTGAATACTTTTTTGTGCCTCGTACATAGATCACACATTTTCTTCTGATGTATGGATCTAACATGACGATGCAAATCTGGCCAACCCCTACATGCAGTATCACAAGTAGAATCGGGACAGTTATACCGCAGAAGCAGTAAAGTATCCTCTTGTATATCATTACTCTCATATCGAATACCAATGTTGGGATCTGTATTTGAGATATCTTCGTCCGAGAAGTCTTCATAATTTTTGGTCGCATTATCTGTGAATATAACAAACGGCGAGGGCGTCTTGACGATATTAGTCTAGTTTGGCGAGTTCAACAGAGTGAGACTTACTCTACAATGCACACAATCTTTAGTCTTGTACAATGCTCTCATTCGTAAAGCACATATATGACATGTGCGATGATTACACGGGGCGACAGCATTATGTTCGACGTCTGAGGCGCAAATAAAGCACACCTCTGCTTCAACCGGCTCACCATCTACATTCTTGGTTTCTCCATCTGTTTTTGGCAACTTCTTCTGCGCGGAGGACTTCGCAGTGAGGTCTGTAGAGTTCATGGTATTGGTATTCGTATTAGGAGTTTCATGGCTAGCGGTATTTCCCCTATTTCCACCACGAGCCCCTCGTCTCCCTCCACGATTCTCCGACTGTCTAGAATCACCACCAGCCTCTCCCGAAGCTCCGCCTCGACCGCGACCTCTCCCTCTCCCTCTTGAGCCTCGCTGCCCGTCATAGCGGGGTCGCGAAGAGGCATCGGCTGTGGAAGTAGTTTCGGCTGTGGAAGCCATTGTTAATCGCGAGGGAGTTTTGTAGTGTTTTGTGGTGTGAAGTTCTGAAGTAGAAACTGTGGCTGTAGAACGCTTTTATTATAATAATATAAAGTAGCGTTTCCCTATGAGTAAAAGTTCACTGATATAAGTAAATGAGATGTCTTAATTACTGAAAATAAGCTATTGATTTGTTTCTAGAAGCTACAGATACCAAGACAAATTATTATGCTAGGAAGGTGTGGGTCTTGCAATCGCTTAGCCCCGCAAGGCAAGGCTGCGGTGTGACTCGACCAAGGCTGATAAATCAAGAGTCACAACGAAGTCACAACGAAGTATCAACGTGCAGTGTGAAGTGATTAAGGTACGAAGCCACGATGGGATACATACTAGAATGTTTACCATTGTTAAAGATGATTCATACTTCGATGACCCATGCAAATGTTGTCGCCAACGAATCAAAAGGTTTTAATCCTGCGGTCCCCTGATGTTGGAATCAAACCATACCGTCCCTTGCCTAGCTACCCAACAATCCAATGCAATGCTTGCCAGAAACGCCCGGTTAAAAAAAAGGGGGAATGGTTGTATCGTCATCTCATTACCATTGATTGAAGTATCCTATCCTATTCCTCTTCAACTGGATACAACTGTTTACCAAGAAGCTTATTCATGGTAAACATGTGAACTTTCCCTGTACTGAAAACCAATTGCATTTTATCATCGCATATAATTTGACGTTTATCGCTGGGGTCTTGAAGGTCGTGAGCTTTGATATGTTCCCAAATCTTCTTGACGACTTGCGGCCGTGATAACTGGTTAGGTATGTTAGTATGGGAAGATGCTCAATAGACAATGATACGTACTGTAGGCTCCCCTACTAAATCTGCCAAAGCTGCGGAAAGATTATATTGTTTCTGCTCAAATTAGTCCTCTGCAGTGATTAGAGAATATCTTTTGAGCGCCATACATGAAACCCGCCCTTCTTGACGACCTCTTTGGGCTCCCCATCTGAGCCTAATTCGATATCACTATCATCCGTCGCCTTAACCTTTGCGGAGGACTTCTTTTTCTTCGGTGTACTCTTGCTTTTCTTGACACCTGCACTTCGTTTGGTTCCAGCCCCTCTGGTTGATCTTGTTCTGCTGTTTTCCTGTGCCTGTAGTAGAGCTGCTAGCTTCGCGTCATCGTCCTGCTTCTGTCTCTTCTTCTTTGGCTTTTCATCTTCATCATAGCCATCAACTTCCCGCTTCGGCGTGGGAGTTTGCGATCTTTCATCTTTGACGTAGTCACCATTAACGTTTCCATTAGTCGCAGGTGGGGAATTCTGAGTGTGTTTCGAGACTTCATCAAACCGTTCTAGGATCAAAGCTTTCACAGCATCCTTAAAGGAAACTAGTTAGCATTGGAAACACGAAACCAGAGGAATAGTACTACCTTTTGGTGGGAGATGTCGAACCCCAATTCTGCTTGAAGATCTTTACGAATCTGTTTGGCTGAGATAGTACTGAGATCACCCTCTTTGAGAATTCTATCAATGATTACGGAATATTGTGAATTCTCTTCCGAAGATACTTTCAATTAAAGTTAGTGGTATATCATGTAGGATATAATAGTGTATGGGCTTACAAGACATCGCGTTGTTGGTTAGAGGACTCTTGTACCGATATCAGATTCTAGGAGTTGTGCTACCTGCGTGGGAGGGGATATGGGATAGATGAAGGAACCTTGGGGTAGGTAGGGAAAGCAACAAAATACAAATGGTATCAAGTGAATAAATGAATCCTGAGCCAAAGAGACCAAATGGTTGGAAACCCTTCTTTAGCAACAGTAAAGATAGAAAGAACTTTTTTCATCTGCCAGTACGCCAAGTTTGATGTTGGAATATTATTGTTATTGTTGTCGCATTAACAAATTGAACCACAGGAAACTAAAAGAATAAATAAAGAAATTCCATCCAAAAAAGTTGAGAATAAAGTGATTGTAGAATGGTGCGAATTGTGTTTCGCTTTATGATCAAAATGAATACTAGAATTTATGGGCATAGATAGATATAAAGTATGAATGTATGAAGTTTTGTTTCCAAAATGTGGTTTGGATGGAAAGATGTGCCCAGGTGATGATTGATGCGACGAGAATGCAAGGATTGGTAGTCTTTAGCCCAAAGCCTAGCCTTTTAAGCCTTTGTTATTAGCTCCGGGATGTTCTAGATAACCTCATCGATCTGCGCTTACGCTTGCTTTCTGTATATACCTACCCAGATAGTATGTCTTCAATTCTTTGTTCTTCCATTTGGCCATATGTGTTGAACAGGACATTAGGTATATAGTAGTATTAAACCCTTTAGCTAAACAATAATATCTGCCCTGAGATCATTCCCACTATATATCGATATCATTTATTCGATTAATTATAGAATGAGTAAACATCCAGATGTATATAGTAAGATAATTTCTATTCATCATTGGCAAGTCAATACATGTACCTAGATTCACTACATTATCAATTGATAAGTGAATACATTTTTATTAAGATGGTGTCTACTATATATAAGCAGTTCTACTATAGCTGCCTGTATTGTCTAAAAGCTCAAATCTGAAGTGAAATCAGGCTTACCATATAGTCATCAATCCCATTATATCTATTTAGGTATATAACAATACACTTAATACCAAAGTATCAACCAGGGCTATGTATCTCCGCTGAGGTTATTTTAAATACCTAGAATGGTTTCAGTGCCCATGCTGAAGTATCATTGGAATGAATGAGTAAATAAATGGATTCAATTCTAACAAGTATTTATTGATCACTGCTATTACCCTTCACAAATCACCACCCAGTACTATGCTTCAGGACAAACCCCAATTTTCCTTTTGGTATTGATCACGATCCGTTTTCCAAAAAGAGAGGGTATCCTAAGCCATTTTATCGCCATTTTATAGCCATTTGCGCCATGCGTAATGATACAACCACACCAAAACCATGGCCAGCTTAAAGGCCAGCCGGTTGATAATATTCCTTGAAACGATCCACCTGATCCCATTCCACTTCATACACAACATTCCAACAAACGATTAGCAGGTTAGGGAATTTCCTAGTCCAAAAACTGAGATAACCATCAGGTAAAGGACCCACATCCTTCTTCAACTTGTCCGGCATGTCCTCGTAGTGATTCTTCTTGTTCCGCAAAGCTCTTAGGAGGTCCAAAAGCCGAGTGCCGGTATACTTCCTCTGTTTGCCCATTGAATCCACGAACTCTTTCCCAAGCGGCTTAAGGAAGTCACCGTGACAGATATCACCAGCCCACCTCTCAAGTTCCAGAAGGGCAGGACTGGGAGGATCCCGCTTTTCTTTTTCAAAGTGGTCAGAGACATCACAAAGGAAGTTCAGTCGCTTTTTGGCTGACCAGAAAAAGGGATGCGCCATAACTTGTGCTGCTACTGGACGAGATTTTGGCTCTTTACCAAGCATGGAGCTGATTAGGTCTTTAGCCTCAAAGGCATAATCTCCAAGGATTTCCAAAAGACCCAAATCGAAATTGTCTTTGCGAATATTCACTTCTCGCATATATCGATCACCACAATCGAAAGGATGGCTACCTTTAGTTAAAACGTAGAAGAAGACCAATCCAAGAGAAAATATGTCGATAGCACGTGTGGCTCTGCGATTGGGTAGCATATCCGAGCTGACGAGGATAGAGCCCGATCCGCCACCATCTGTACTTGTATCGACCATAGAGCCTTGTTTTATATCATCATCAAGAAGGAGTTCTGGTGCTCGCCAGCCAGATGTACCGGCTGCATGAGCAGTAGTAGCCCTGAAAGATGACTGCTCGACTTCTAATTTCTTGCATAGCCCAAAGTCCGAAACGAGTAGTCTGGGTTTACCGTTCTTACCCATCGCAACTAAAATATTCTGGGGCTTTAGATCACGATGGACGATACGGAGGTTGTGAAGATGCTGGATGCCGTTGGCAATTTGGTAGAGTACGTTGGGCAGATCCTTTTCACCACCTTGCGCTAAGTCTCTGTGTAAATGTGGCTTCTCAATGACATCAGCTAACGATGCCGGACATAACTCCAGGGCGATATAAAGAAATCCACCAGCGTTCTGTTGCGCGAAGTATCGAATAACTGATTTAACGTTAAAGTGTGATAAGTAACAGGGTCATTGTATGCCTTACCATTTGGATGATCATCACTCTCTCGTAATAGCTTAGTCTCCTGAGACGCGATGTCATAGAATTGAATGAGCATCCTCTTAACAGCAACAGCACGGCCATCGAACTTTCCTTCGAAGACCATGGTACCGTTGCTACCCGTCCCAACTAGTCTATTTTGGTCCACCTCCAATGCCCCGATACGAATTTTGGAACCAGAAACTTCTGAAGGATCATTAGACACAGTTTGAATATCTGGCTCAAGTGTTCTCGGTGGAAACATATTTTGCGCGTTGTGCACAGCATCCTCAATAGTTGGAGGTGGTTTCTGCAAGGGCGGATTCTGAGAACTTTCTTGATCACTTCCGGTGTGGCCTGTACTTCTGCCTGCTTTTCTGTGTTTGACTCCACCACGTTGTCCTCGCTTTCTTGGTTTTTTCTTTGCTGGCGAAGCAGCATCGCCGACATCTTGCGCAACGTCCGAGGAGGAGCCAGCGTCATTCACAGCAGCACCTTCGAGTGGTACAGCTGCGGCAGTGACTCCAGGGGCGTCGGGGAGAGATGTGGAATCCTTAGCATCAGGAGGAAGGGCATCAAGAGCTTTATCTTCCGGAATTTCTGGTAAACGGGCCGCCTCATGACTGCTAATATTTGTGGAATCGTCATTTGAGTTATGGATTGCTGGCATCTCCTTGGTTGTAGATCGATCTTTGTGCAAAACAAATATCTTTTTATGGCGAAATCCATGGCGGCCAATCCAAGCTCGTATTTGCCTTTGGTTTGAGATAAGTAGTATCATCAAAAAAAGGATAAGAACAGGATTTTTGATGAATTCAACAACACTGTCAATCGCTAACTTTGGAATTTGCTGGAAGCTTTGTAACAGAGTCGGCCCAGCGAGAATTTCTGGGGCGAGGTCTGTGACAGTCAGTTTGCTTTGATTAACATCTTCGAATAAGGGAGCAGATATGGTCCGAAGAGGCTCCGTCTGCATATCAAGGAAATGGACACCGGTCAAAGCTTCGGCCAGTTCGGGCTGATCCATTCTTTGCCAATAATCCTTGCGTTCCCACAATCCGCGTTGGTAGATTTGGGCTTCATCACCTGCTACGGCTAGAGGATATGATTTCCCAGACATAGCATAGAGACTTCCATCTTTAGAAAGGTTAATGGCAACTCGGTTTCGATTCTGATCCAATCCTGGCACTTCATTCTCAGCTCTCAGCTCGGGCTTAGGTTGTGGAAGCATCATCAACTTCAGATTCTTCTCCTCAATGCCCCAGGGTCGGAAAATATCAAAAACTCTGACGACAGCTGAAGGAAGCTTCTGTTGGAACAGTAGTTCGTGCTCCCTGTTCCGTTCACGATCGAACCCCATTACGCGGCCATCTTGACCAGCTAGGATATATTTGCTATCGAGGGTTTGGTGATATTTGTCTCCGTATTTTTTTGCATCTTGAACATTAGGACCCCATTCGTTGTACATCAATGTAGCAATTGGATGGTGATCCTTGCCTACGATATTTACTTCGTACCTTGACAATCCCAGCCAAATCGTAGGGTTTTGGCATTCGTCGGCTTCTCTGCCCACAAATCCATTTTTCGGACTACAGCTTTGATCCTTTGTATCGACGATGTAATCTCCTCCAAAGACCTGCAATATTTTTCCATTGGTGGCATCGACCTGCACCATCTGGGTCTTCCTTGAACCGGTGTATACGACCTCGGGGTCGTCACTTTGGTAAGGTGACATGTCATCAACTAATTTCTTCATTGTTAGGCCAGTGTCGACCAAGCCGCCGTTCGGAACATCCGGTCGATATATCCATAAACCACCATGTTCAGTGGGTTCCACAATCCAGACGTAATCGTCAATACCCCATTTTGACGTGGGAACGTCATTGAAATCAGCAGATTTGTTTTTTTTGTGGTGTTTGGTTGAAATCATCGAGACTTCAGGTAATTCTATGGTCATCCATCAGCATTCGTGACTCTTTTCATGGCAAGGAGTAAAGCAAGTAACAATATGACTTTGTTCGGACTACTCACCCATCCGCCATTTCTGTTTACCCGTTTTCCTATCGCGTGCCCACACACTTCCGTCAACGGTCGCCAGTAGCACAAAATCTTCTACTTCCCATTCTTGGAGATCCCGCGCACTCGGCTGCGAAGAACCCCATCCGGTTGACTGGAGGCTGCTAGACTCGAGTCTACTGGACTGTGCAAGATGTGAAGGAGCTAATGGTGCTGAATCGGCGCTCGCATCGACTTTTTCGTGAATTCCGGCGTTTACGCTCAAAGTATTCTTTCTTCGTGGAATGTTCAAAGGAGTCTCGATGGTTTTTACCTTGGTTGCTTCGAGAAGAGTCCGCATTCCCTCAGAAGTGATTGCTTCAAGTGGGAATTCATGTTGCCTTAGAGCTGATCGCGGCTGCTGCTGAGCTTCGACTAACCATGGTAAAACACATAAGAATGCTGCGAAGATGAATATATTATTCACGGCTTCGCCACAGGCCTGGGGCCTGACCATGATTGAAGGTCAACGTGTACTTCTTAATACTTCGCGCAGAGCGAAGTATGTTGAGGGAAGAATATATTTTCTAGAGGCTAGTGATGAAAGGAGGTATCGTATGACGTCCAAGTCGAAAAGAAAGTTGGATAAAGATAAATTTTGGTTGTTGAATTGAATTAACTTAAGTATATTGACTCGGAATGAGTTCGAGTCTAGCAGTAGAATGATAACAAATTCAAAATCTCGCACTGGCTTTGGTGAAACGAAAGGAGGGATGAAATACTTGGATGGGGATAAATTCAAAATGTTGTTCGTAATAGCGTGTGCGCGGTAGTTTGAATTAAAAAATGGCGCTAACAAACGATCCAATCCACCACAATACCCAGCATATGGAACCCCGAGCTTTTCCAGAGCACGGAGTAATTGCGTTGGCCCGTAATTTATCGATAGGTAGGTATACGGAGTTGCAAGATTCAAATGTGGAGTGGGAATGAAGTGCGGGATGAAAGGAAGGAACTAGAAGCATGATCATATCATGTATCTGTACATGTTGAAAACAAACTATCTCAGAAGTCAAAATCCCAGACAGATGACCAAGGAAAGTTGGAGGTGTAAGACCTTGAAAAGAGGGAAAGTCAATAAGGGGTAAATTATGTCTTCTATTTCTTCTCCTACCTTCAGCTTACATTACAGTACTATGTATAGTTATAAGGGATTCAAAATATTCATCGCCAACATTTTCTCCTCCTTGCTTCTACAGAGTATAACTATCTAGCAATTTACTTGTACTTTATGATCATCACCATTCGCACACCTTGCACCAAATCTTGAGACCCGATATTTACTCACCAGACTTGGAACAAGGCGTTTATTGATGCAGTTCAGATCTTGTAAGAGTCAATTGAATGTATGAATATTCTACAAAGTACTGGGTATGCACCCCAGAATGAGATGGACGTATTTGACACATGAAGGCGACAGGCTGATTGAAAGTATTTATCACGGTCAATACAACTAACGGAAGTGATACAAAATTGCGTTGATGAAGTATTTAGTAAATATATTTCTACGCAGATAAATTAGATAGCAAAATACTGAAACACTGTAATTGATAGATCTCGTCTGCTTTGTAGATTCTCATTTAAAAGTCTTAGTTACCTTAAACTTCCTTTTCGTTAGGTATTCTCGGACAAGACTCATTGACTTGGCTCTCATACATTCGGAACGGCCTGCAATCTCTTCGTAAGCCTCTGTTCCAAAAAAAATGTTTCGTCACGGAAAGTATCTGGAAAGACCATTACAAACAACAGAGGAGTGGTGTGATAACGGGTACAAATATGAGAAGAGATTGAACATATCAAGACTTCCAACAAATCTTGGAGTTTAAATGGAAACTTTCTCGTCGTCTCGTAAAGACGATCCTGAACGGAGATCGCAGAAAAGCTTACACAGGGAATTAATAAAAACAAACGGGGTCTACCAACTAGCAAATTCACTGGGGAAATAATTTTTAGACTTTCCCACAATGACTATTGATGAATAGAAACAAAATCTACTCGTGAGTACGTACATATGAACCATACCTATGGACCTTGTAGTCTGTAACTTTGCAATTATCTGCATCTCAAAGGCGGAGCCGTTTCGGCAGTTATTTGTGCATCGAACGGCTCCAACAAGGTAGAGTGGATTAGCATATCTACTCACACAGCCGGTATAGTCAAATGTTGGTTCTTGCCTCCACGAGCTGTCATCCACGCGGCTCGCTTTTGGAGGTAGATTGCATTGGCTGGAGATCCCAAAATTGCACTCCACATAAGACCATGAGCATTTAGAGGTTGTTCATCCATTCATTATTGTTGCTGCAATATGTCTATGGTATAGTTGGTACAAAATCCCCTTGGCCATTTTTGCCTCTTCATAATACAGTCGCATTTTTTTGGGTTCATTATGCTCATCTTTCTCTTCTCCGTGGAGCGCTGCGAATGATATTGTCCACTCTGAGGAGGAGCTACTCCATGTTAGTATTGTAAGCATATGTTGGATTGGTAATACTGACCTCTGCTGCCTCAGATGCAGATGAAACTACCGCCTTTTTCAACTTGTAACTTTCAATAACTCCCAATTCCCGCATGTCTGCGATTCCACCTCCTGGTGTCAAAAGATCGAGTCCGTATGTGGACATGCCATCATAAATAGCTGTTCGGAGTCTAGCAACTAAATCACTTGAGTCATAACCGGCGTTGTCGGCGAGGATGGTGGGTAGTTGACGTAGTGCTACTGCAAAAGAGCCAACAGCGATTTGCTTCTTGCCATCTACTTTGACTGCGGCACCTTCAACAGCCTTAGCCATCAACATCTCGGCACAGCCACCACCAAGGGTAGTTCTAGGCTCCTTTACAGTTTGTGAAAGGACTGCAAGAGCATCATGAAGCGATCTTTCTGCTTCGTCGAGTAATTGCTCGGTAGCTCCTCTTAGTACAATCGTGCAAGCTTGACCAGCAGCAACACCAGAGAATCTAATGAGAGTGTCTTCGCCAATGATCACTTCCTCAATCAAGTCACAATGGCCGAGCTTGACTTGATCTGGGTGGTCAAATGTCGATGTGATCTCGCCACCGGTAACCAGAGCCAGTCTTTCAATACCATCGAAATCGGCATGCTCAATGGACATAATGCCGGCATCTGAAAAGAGTTGTTCCGGCCAGTTGTAGATGAGTTGTCTGTTAATGAAGCAGTTGATGCCATGTGCCTTGATCTTGTCCACCTTTGCCTTCATCTTGTCTTTCTCGGCCTTCTCCAACTCAGCCAACTTTCCAGTAGAGCCAACCTTTACTCGGGCACCGAAAATCTTAATCTTATCTGTGTCCATAGCAGTATTTGCAACAAGAATCTTGGCCTTCTCTAATCGCTTAGGTTGGTTAACTCCAATTTTCTTGTCCAAAATAAAACCCTCATCGAGATATGAATCGCTCAGCTTTCCGCCAGCCTTTTTGATGATTTGGATGTGACTTAAATCCGAAGAACCCTTCATACGTAAAACTGCGTCGACAGCCAACTCAGCGAATTGAATTCGATCTTGCGAGAGTACCTTGGAGCTTAAAGTTGTGCGTGCGATAGCTAAAAGATCTTTTTTGAAAGCTTCCGCATTGCTGCTATGGTCTACCGCCGACTTCTCCAATGCTGAGAGGGCCGCCTGGCTCGCTATTCTATAACCTTCGATAATGGTCTGCGGATGTATCTTTTTGTCAACCAGTTTCTCAGCCTCTCGCAAAAGCTCTGCGGCTAATACTGTAACAGATGTGGTTCCATCTCCAACTTCGTCGTCCTGAACTTTGGAGATATTGACAAGAACTTTGGCGGCTGCATTGTCTAAAGCTATAGCCTTGAGAATGGTGGCACCATCGTTTGTGACTAAAATTTCGCCGGTACTTGCGCTCTGAAGAATCTTATCCATACCCTTTGGTCCTAAAGTTGATTTGACTACACAAAAGTTTAGCAGGCTATAATTCGAAGCTTCATGGAGGGGTTCATGTTACCTAAGTCTCCAACTGCAATAGCACCAACAAAAGCAGAGAGACGAGCGTTCTCTCCCTTCTCCTCGGTCGTACCATTCTCAAAGATTTGTGTTGGATTAAAGGAAGCCATCTTGCCTTGTATGAAGATTTGCTACGATTTTTTTGGTGAAACACCTCGTCGTCGCGTAAAGTTTCTCAAAATGCGCGTCGAAATAGTAATCGCTAATGTGGCTCTAAAATAATTCGTTAGTGGCTCGCACACGAAAATTAAAGTTGGGGAAAATCAATTTTTTGGCAGCCTTGTGTAGTATTCTTACTAGGTATTTGAAGAACCTGAACCCACCACTTATATCCTTTTTAGGGAATTTTGTCCTTTTACTTGTGAATTAATTGTATCATAAGTTTAGAACTTTGTTACAATAATTCAACACCAAAAATATCTAAATCACATCGAATAGTTAAATTCAAAATAGACTACACAGAAGTGGGCTAGTGGGGTCAAAATTTCCAAACGAATTCACACAAAAACTCACCACCAACAATAATCGAACTGACAAAAGCACGCGCAAACGCTGTTGGTTAATCGCATAATATCGCAATCATGGCGCCGAGTTTTGATCATCTCCCAGATCCCGAGGAGGACGAGTATGATGAGGAGGAGCTCGACATTTCTGATTTAAGAGAACGTTTCGAGGTTCAACTTGAACAAGGACTCGATGCTTTTGTTGTTATTGATGGCCTTCCAGAAGTTAACGACGATACCAAGCCGAAGCTGATTAAGTTTTTATTGAGAAAATTGGACTCTGTTGGTCAAACAAAAAAGGACTCAATACACATGCCCGTCGGTCCAGATGGCAAATCGTTCAAGTAAGCTTGAGACGTTCTTTGCCCCGCCTCGATTTGTATATTGATAAGAATAGATTTGCTTTCGTCGAATACTCTTCCCCTGCTGAAGCTATCGCTGCATGCAAAGCCCTCGACGGCGTACCCCTCGACAAGAAACACACTCTCCGAGTCAACAAATTGACAGATATTGATCGCTATGGTCGTGAAGGGCGTATCGACGAAAACTACACCCCTCCAAAAATTGAAGAGTTCACCGAGAAGGAGCATTTGAGATCATGGCTCGCAGATCCAGCTGGACGTGGACGTGATCAATTTGTCATGTATAAGGATGATCGAGTACAAGTTTTCTGGAACAACGAGAAGGATGCACCAGAGAGCATCGTCGATCGCCAACACTGGACCGAGTCGTTCGTACAATGGTCACCACAAGGTACTTTCTTGACTTCGATGCATCAGCAAGGTGTGCAACTTTGGGGCGGGCCATCTTGGACTAGACAAAAGCGTTTCGCGCATCCCTTTGTCAACCTAGTCGACTTTTCGCCAGGAGAGAAATACCTCACAACATGGTCAAATCGACCAATTAGCATTGGCGAGGAAGGACACCCAGCTCTATCGGTTGATGATGATGGGAAGAACTATGTTATTTGGGATATCGAGACAGGCTTGCCATTGCGTTCATTCGCTAACCTTGATTTGCCAAGCAATAGCGTTGATGCAGAAGGTAACCCTGTGAAGAGAAAGATTCAATGGCCAGCTTTCAAGTGGTCATCAGATGACAAATACGTTGCTCGTTTGACTCAAGGCTCATCTATCTCTGTCTATGAATTACCTAGAATGAACCTTTTGGACAAAACCTCCATCAAAATTGACGGTGTGATGGACTTCGACTGGGCGCCAGCAACTCCCCACCGTGATGGTGTCAAGAACTATGAGCAGCTTTTCTGTTATTGGACCCCTGAAATTGGCAGCAATCCAGCAAAGGTTGGATTAATGAGCATTCCATCTAAAGAAGTCGTCCGAACTTTGAACCTTTTCAGTGTGACGGACGCCAAGCTTCACTGGCAATCAGATGCCTCATATTTGTGTGTGAAGGTTGACAGACATTCAAAGTCGAAGAAGTCTTTGGCAACCAGTTTGGAGATCTTCCGTGTTAAAGAAAAGGGGGTACCAGTTGAGGTTGTCGATTCAATCAAAGACACCGTCATCAACTTCGCCTGGGAGCCAAAGGGTGACCGTTTTGTTATCATTACAACCGCAGAAGTCGTTGCAGCCACAGCCGTTCCACCTAAGACATCCGTTTCCTTCTTTTGCCCAGAAAAGGTCAAGGGCAATGGCGTCGGTAACTTCAAGCACATCCGCACATATGACAAAAAGAACAGCAATGCCATCTACTGGTCTCCAAAGGGTAGATTTGTCATTGTAGCTACAGTTCACTCTCAACAAAGTTTCGACATGGAGTTTTATGATATGGACTTTGAGGGCGAGAAACCCGAAAGTGACAAGGACCTGACAGCCAATTTACAACTCATGAACACTGCAGATCATTATGGAGTAACAGATATCGATTGGGATCCCACAGGACGGTTCGTTGCTACAAGTGCCAGTATCTGGAAGCACACCGTAAGTATAGTTAATATTGCTATTTTTTCAGCATGCTAACTATGAAACAGATGGAGAACGGTTACCATTTGTATGACTTTAAGGGCGAGCAGCTTCGTGAAGAACCAGTCGAGAAATTTAAGCAATGGTTATGGCGCCCTCGACCACCTACTCTACTCAGTAAAGAAGAACAAAAGCAAATCCGCAAGAATCTCCGTGAATACAGCAAGGTATTCGACCAAGAAGATGCCGATCGTGGCGCATCCGCCGATCTTGCCGTTGTCGAACACAGACGTAGACTCTTGGACGAGTGGCTTGCATGGAGGGCTAATATCGAAGAGGATGTTCAGGCCGAGAGAGAAGATGCAGGCCTTCCCCAGGATCCTCTGGAGCCTCTCAAATCTAAAATGGCGAGTGGTGATGAAGGACAAGCCATTGAGATTGAGGAGATTGTTGAAGAAATTGTCGAGGAGACTGAGGAGATTATATCATGAGAAATCTAGTTCTCTCAATAGTCTGAATATTTCTTTTTTTTTCTGTCCTTTACGATTATGTAGGGGTTGGAGTTGCAAAAAGCTATGGCATTGATTTCGAGGCTGATGGATTCTTTTCTATCTATTCTGAGGTAATGGCATATGCATAGATCTTAGTGAAAAGCTCGGTAGTGAATGGATTGTTAAAAAATATATCGTCGTGCCACCTCAAGTTCTTATGCTCATCCATCTCGATATTGTATTGTGCTTCTCGTTGGATACCTAGTAAACTCAACCATGCACAAATAATACATAACCGCTCCTGTTCAGCACATTGCCTTAATCCATTGCTATATTCCATACCTAACACCTATGGCACTCAAAAATACCTATCTAGATAATCATAATCATAATCATAATCATAATCCAATCTCCCATCTTCCATCTAATCCCATCTAACCCAGCATCCCAACCCCAACTCACCTTTGAGTGGTAATGTAGATATCTCATATCAATCAACCAATCTCGCCTCTTTATAATATTCTTTTCCGTCTCGCGCCTTATGTATATATATAAGATTACAATATACGCCCAAGCCAATCAATACTACTACTACTACTACTACTACTACTACTACTACTACTACTACTACTACTACTACTACTACTACTACTACTACTACTACTACTACTACTACTACTGATACTCAATATTTACTTACTAGTTAGTAACCTTAACCTTATAATACTTCTAACATAAGCGAATGAGCGAGTGAATAAGTGAGTGAGATTTGGGGATGGAAAAGGCTGGTGGGAAGATGATGGACTTATTGATGATTTATTGTTAGATTTAAGATCTTAATTACTTCTTACTTCTTACTTCTGAGTTCTAAGTTCTGAGTTCTAGCTAGGATGTGGATGTGGATGTTGTTTTTGTTGTAGAGATATATAGATGCATAGGTAGGTAGGTAGGTATGTGGTGAATGGCGAATAGTGAATGGGTTGTCTTTCGATGGTTTGGGTATATGTACTAGGTAGGTATACAATCACTGTATAGGTAGGTATACTAGCCAGATATTAACTTGTCTTTTCCTCAGTATCTTGCCACCTAATATAAGATTACATTTTCTTTGAAAGCCATCCTGTAATCTTGTTACAGTATATCTAATAAACGATCTAGAATGATAGATGAAACATGAATGAAAGTTTTCAATCTTCGAAGATGTTCATATTCGAAAGGTCTGAATGTTCCAAAAGTTTTGAGTGATCAAAAGATTTTAACACGTAGATAGATTGAGAAATCCAAAAATCTTTCGCCAAGACTCTGCAGTTCGGACTATTGCAAACTGGAAACCCGCGGCATCATATAAATCATCAGTCATACCTTCGTCACAATATCCATCCATCTACCAACCAGCTCTCAACCACTTCTTAACAGTCCTAATCTCCCACAGATGTGCCTGCTGAATGAATTGTGGCTCAGCTGAGATATTTAGGATACCATAGGAGTCCCAATGATGGCCTGCGCCTGATATGAGGAATTCCGGGTGGAGATCTGAGTAGACACGGGGACTAGGGGCATATTGGGAATGGTAGGTGAGGTCAAGCCATACGTCGTTATCTAAAATTTATGTCAGATTTTGGTAAAGGTTGAATGAGGATGAGTAGCAAAGATGGCTTGAGATGACGTGGGCTTAGTAACTACTTACCTCCGTCGATAAAAGCGAGGCGATTGGCAGAGAAATTGTATTCGCCGTACTGGTTCCACAAAGCGACATTGACAGTTGGTGGAATGGAGTTGTATTCTCCTGGTGGAAATGCCCAGTTACACCATTGTTGACTTGTGCTAGTTTAGTACATTGCATATACTAGGATTGGATCGTGCCTTACGTGTAGTCTGCCTGGAGCACTCTAGATATCAATGATGGCCCTGTCTCAGGAGCTACCTGCCATGCACCGAGCTCAAGGCATGCTTAGGAAAGTAGTTAATATGTGATGAATGAACGAATTTGTAAAGGATACGTACTGGTATAGAGATACGAACGGCCTGCTCCATTTGTTACGTCGGCGTAGTATGTCTCATTTTGAGTGCCAAAGCACGATGTGCTGTCGATAGGAGCACCATCACAGATTGGGATCAGGACATTCTTGATGTAAGTAGCATAATTTCCTAGGTTTGTCCATGGCTCTCCTCCAGTGTAGTTTGAGAGGGAGTAATCGATATCGGTAACTGCCTTGGGTGCATCAATGTTGGTGACATTCGAGCAAAAGCTCCAGAAATCATTTGAAGTATACAGCGGGCTCCAATTAAGTTCTTGCCATGTGTTCGTTGGGTAATCCATTGGGCCCCCAACTGCTTTGCATTAGCAATACATTCTAGCAGTATCTGGGCTTATCTTACGAGGAAAAGCAATAGTCATTGCAAAGTCTCTGTTATCAATCAAAGCCTCAAGCCCGAACAGAGATTTAAATTGCTTGATCGCTTGTGTATTGTTGGCGGATATTAGGGCATCAAATTTGTCAATAATGCCGTTAATGCTTGATACGCAGTCTTGAGGACCTAATCTTTGAATTGGATTGTACCTGGGCACAGCATCAGCACTTCAAGCCACCGACACAAAAATTAGATGATATTAGCTGACCATTCTGGATATCCCACCACAGCTTTGATAGGAGCACTGGAAGCAATTCCACCGAAGAATATTTCCGGATAAATCCTAAAATAAGGCATTAGTTCTTTTACACTACGTCCATATTCACAATCTCAGCTGTCGAAGGCCTGTCTCATGCGGGATTTGAAATCCTCACTAGTGATGACAAAATGACGAGATGCTTACTTTACTGATAATGCAGTCTGGCCACCAGCCAAAGAGCCTCCATAAAGTATCCATTTGGTGTTTGGTGCAGTGATACTAGCATTGACACCAGGCAAGGATACATGTTGAGCGAAGTATGCATTATCCGCAACGGCTAAAGCAAATATCGTTAGCTGTCAATCTGGCCATAGATAATTCATGTGATACGGACTCTGTTGGTTGGTCAAGTATGCCAACTGATCTGTTGTGCTGGTGTTGAATGGGTAGCTCTCGCCATAGTACCGGTTTTCGAGGATAATTCCAAGACCATTAGTAGCTTCCATTAATATTTGGATGACTGAGAGATAATTAGCAAAATTGCCTAAAGGCTGACAGCTGACAACATACTCCCAGTCTGAAGATTGCTGAATCTGTACTGGCCATTGGTTTCTCCTCCAATGTATAGGTAAACGGGACCTCCAGGTTTGTAGTAGGTCGCATCGAACCAATATCTTTGTTTGAATGTAGCATTGGTGTGTGGAGCATACATTGGATCATTTGGAAAATGATCAATCTGCATGTTAAAATCAGAATTTGTGAATAGAGAGGAGAAAAACCTTCAACGCACCACCTGATCTATGGTGTGAGCCTTGTAAGCCAGAGCTTCTCTCCTAGAGATTGATATCGCCGATTCTTTGACAGTACCGACTTTTGACAGTATAGAAGCACATGTTGAACCAATCAACCCAGTGACTACACTGACCAGGAGCATATTACACCTCATTTCGAAGACGTAGAGAGAAAACAAGGTAAAAAGATTGAGATGAAATGGAGATGGGAATATTTTTCGATCACGCAAAATATATGATATTCCACATATGCGGAACTGCATAGTGCCTTGCATACCACCATACTTAAACAGGAAGCTGCGACGCTGCGCAATCTAGTGAAGATTTGTTTTCTCCACGTATTTGTCCATGGCCCCAAACTCATACAAGAAAAGGTCGATCTGATCGTAGAAGAATAGAACGCCAAGCCATTAAAGGAAGCTTCTTTCTCCAAGGACGGAGTATAATATAATCCGGAAGAGATCCATGAATAGCCGTTGAGAGAAGCACGTATGTGCAGTCATTGTAAGTGCCGCTTTTCGCCGGCATAGACGATAAGCAGAGGAAGGAAAGTACCAATTCCCTATAATGATGAATGGCCTTTCTTTTCTTATTATGAAGAATTGCATACTTTTCCCTCGTAGAATAATGGTGTGATTCAATGCCCTCGGAGACGATCAAAATGAGGGCAATATCTGAGATGCCACTGACTTTGCGTCATTTTTTAGCTTTTAAGGTTATTTCCCTGCCACGAAAGATGCCCCTCATCCATGGTTTTTCTTCGGTCTATAGCCAGCTCAGCAATGAATGTTTCTCTTTCTCTTGATACCTAGAGAATCAGAGAGAGATGGATTGAGAGTTTGAACGAGTAGATGCTTAGGCAGTGATCAATGTGTGTGCTCGGATCAGATCATCATTTATGAACTACATTTTCCAGCGACACAGTGATGTACATATCAGCGCTGGGCACCAGTACCGAACTCGGGTTTTTGACGTCTGGGGGTAACTAGTTTTAAAATAACTACCGTTAGAAACCTTGGAATCTATAGATAATAGATACACTAGGATAGTCGTCTGAAGTTGAAATGATTTCAATGATAATGAATTTTTGATGTATAAAAGAATAAAGGTTGCATGAATGTGATTATGTAATAGATTAATCATATACAACTATAAAATATAATATGTATTTCTTAGGTGCCCGAAGTAACTCATAGGTTAATGGACCGATAAGGTGGTACCCTGGCTTACCCCAGGGTTTCCCTGTCTTCGCACTGGGTGTACCTACCTGTTCAAGGCTGATTTTCCTGAGTTTGGGAGGGCATATCATTACGAGAGGTCACTGGTGTGATAAAGAATTCAATATATACCTACCTCGCAGTCACGCTTCGTTTGCTTTCCTTATTGTTCAAGATTAGACTTTGCTTTTGGGCTTGTTGATAGCCATGATGATGTTCTGGTTACAAGTTCTCGGTGCTGCAGTCATTGGAGTGTACGTGGTATGGAAGATACAGTCAAAGTATTGGATGTCCCGACGAAATGAAGCGGTATGATACCTCTGGATTCGAGATTCCTTCCCATTTTCCTTTTTCGCTCTTTTAGAAAGCTTTCCTGGCATTGCTTCAATGTCCTCTGAGCAATCAAAGTTGTGGTTTCTTTTCAAATTCCTTCTGTTCATCACTTATTCCACCAGAATATATTTCCAAATGTACCATCACAGAACGTAGTCAAGCGACTCCAACGCTCCTGTATACTGCGTACTCAAGTTAACCCATGTTCAATCGATTTCAGAAGTCCCATTTCAACAATGAAAAGGCCTCGGACAGCATCGATTCCCAAACAATCGTCCCCTTAACAGATTTTGACTGGCGTACCACCGAGCCACTCAAAATCCGGCCTTTCAAACCAATATACCACATGACAATGGGTATGAATCTCCTCCTGTCCAGTCATTATCAGCTACTTCTACTTACAAAACAAAGGTCTCCAATCATGCTCTCCATCCGAATTCATAGAAATGGACCGAACGTACCTTGATCGTCTCACGGTCCGCACCAACACAATAAGAGCCCACACTCCTACTGTCCTCCAAGCGCTCCCCTCATCCCACGCTGCAATCCAAGAACTGTACACCTACCTAACCGCCACCTATCTTCCCACTCGCTTCCCCACTATCTATGCTCTTACCCCAACTTATCTTTTGAACAAAGCAACAAGCCATCACATCCCTCTTCATCCCTCCTCTCCTCTCGAAGCTCTTCATGAACTAGGTACAAACGTCGACACCGAATTTCTCCTCCTCGTTCCTTCTCCAGATGGCGACGGATATATGCTAGCTGGGTTCATTGCATGTTTCCCCAGCGGATTCGATACACAGTCCTTACTCGGTAAGAAAATAAGGGATATTCATAAACCCGTCCCAAGATACAAGGAGAAGTTAGAGACGAGCATGTATCGAAGTTTTGATCGATTAGAGGTAGGAAAGATAGTGAAGAGAGTTAATGTAAGTTTCCTAGCGATGTTTGAGAAGGGAGGGAGTAATTTAATAAATTAACGACGTAGTGGTCAATAACTACTCATTCGCGCTTATTTGCACCGAGTGGCAACCATCTGTATGAAGGCGAAGAGGCAAAACCAGAAGAATTCGATATTAATGATGTGAGCACCCATTGACTTTCACCTGTAATTTGACTCCACAAATTTAACAACGTAGACACATCTCCGCTGTGAACGTCAGCTAGTACATCGTCTCCCACAAACTAAAGCCTTGGTATTCTCTTTCAAAACCTACCTGACGCCACTTGCTCAGGTGAAAGAAGAAGGGCTGGGAGAGGAACTAGCAGAAGCAATTGATGGATTAAGGAAAGGGAGTGTACCGGAGATACATTACTATAAGAGGGGAGTTGTATGGGGTGAGAAAGTCAAGCAATATTTGAGAAGTTAAGAGAGATAGAAGGGACGGAATACAATAGAATGGAATGAACAAATAGATTTTGCTTCATACGGAATGAGGAACTGCCATGGATGATGGGTCTGAAACTTCCCGAGCCAGAAACCCAACAAGGCAATACCGCACCCTATGCTTCATCCCCTGCACTCTCCTCTACCTCCGACGCAGAGTATCCAACCGACAGCTCATCCGACCTAGAAACCGAATTCCTCTCCACCAACAACCGCACAACCCTGGCAAACCTCACTTCATAAAAAGAGTATCCATCATCAGCAAATATTTATGACTTCCATAGCAACGCAATTGAACACTATCAATAAACCCCATAAAACCCATCGACCCTACGCCCGTAACACCGGACTCAAATACGTACGCGCACACTTGAGCAGTAAGGTTCCGTATCGCATGGTAAATTTCTTCGATGCCATTGATTTCCCGCGTCTTCTCCTGTATATATATATATTCCTACCGAGATCTGCTTTTTGATCTTTCCGCGTAAAAGTTCGTTGCTCGCCTAGGAACTTTTTCATTAAACCTTCTTTTGGATTGGAGGCAGCATTTGCTTCACTTAGGAGTAATTTTCTTTCCCCTTCCAGTGTCTGCTTTTCGGACGTAGCTGTGTTGAGTGCATCCTGCCAGATGCGCTCATAAATCGCGGAACGAAATTCGGTCAATAAATCAAGCTTTGTAGTTGGGATGCGGCAGACTTGGTACCACGTCTGCGGATGGCAAGAACCTTGACCTTAAGACCTTATCAATGCATGATGAATTATGGCTGGCGAAGACGAGTTCTGGTGGAACAGGCGTTTTGCAGAGAGCGGACACGAAACTTTGACATTATGACGAAGGCTGTTGGATTGGAGGGGAGGAAGGGCTACATAAAACCTATGGCACTTTCTATATGTAAAATTGGGAGGAGATGCCATCGTGGACAGAAAAAATCAAGAATGAATTGAATGTAATTTATTTAATTTGTTGGCCTTTGCTATTCAAGTCAAATGCATCTGTCAATACCTCCAATGGCTTCATGAATGAATGAAGTTGGAACCCAGCCTCTGAGAAAGAGATACCCAACTACAGAATAGAGGCTTCCATCGTTCTTCATTCAATTCAAAGCTGTAGATTGCTTACCATTATATTTAGAAGCTAAAAAGTAGATCGAAGTGACAGTACCCATTGCCGTCCATATCAAGACAGTCAACCTGACCTTTCGAAAGGTAGGCTGTGGGTCGATGCAGGAATTTACCATGTATATCATTAAGCTTCAAAACCTTTGATGTTGCTTATAAAGAAAGTTAATGTAATTTAGAAGAATGTAGCCTCAGCTGATTCCCAACCTTTCAAAAAAGTCTAAACGACATCTCAAGGTCAGGCGCCCAGCAACGGGTTATAAGTATTCTTCGCACAGCGCGAAAACATCTCGTTTTATTGAAGAAATCGAGTGCCGTTAAGTAATGTTTTGAAAGCTGGCGTGTTGTGTAAAGAAAGGGAAACGCGGAAAGAAAAGAAAACAAGGAAATTCATGTCTGTTATTTGAACAGTATCTACCGTGTAGCTGCAACATCTATACCCATTCTCAACACCGAAGCACCTTTGTAATATATATTTATTGATTCGTATTGTCGGAACTGAATAGAACCAATCTTGGATCGTATCGTGGTAGGAAGCTTGCACATAGATTTCGGGACAGATCGCAAGAGTGTGTGAGATGACAGCACCATCTCAAGATGATCTGAACTCTAAGCTAAAGCTTAGATATGTTTTCTATTTCGAGGTCGAAGAGAATTGGTTGCAAAGCTACAAAAACTTTGCAGAAGAAAAAATCTTCATCAATTCATAGCTCTTCACTAGCGTCTGCGGTAACCGAGGAGCTATGACCATACAAAAATAATCTCCAATAATGTTCCAGAGTACCGGTATCGGTATGTTCATGAAAGACTTTCAATTATTGGGACGATTGACGATTTGACTGATTGACAATTGGATCCCCTCAGCAGAACTTGAAGTTGCCAAGGATACCGAGCATTTCTCTTTCATTCAATAGCGGGGCGTACCTGACTGAAAACCCAGCACGGAGTGTGTATTGCAGGCTTCCATAAGTTCATAACATCCGGTTACATGCTTCCACCCCACAGCATCACGTACAGCGGTACCGTATCAAAACGTTATGCAGCTCGGCGGCTGGCAGGACCATTCTCCTTGATCTTGCAGGTTCACGATAGTTCTATGTCATATGCCATGAGCCATATGCCAGCAGATTTTCAAAGTACAGAAAAGGTAACCTATGAGGCAATATTCTGCGGAGCAATAAAACCCTTTCTGGAGGCCACACAAGGCTCTCCAATTGAAAAGGAAGAATGGCGCCATATAGCCCCGTGAGTCTCGTGCATTTCCATTACGTTTTGATTCCTGTACCCAGGCCAAAACCTTCAAATTTGGCTCAATATTTCTTCTTCTTTGAGTATCACCAACTCCTTCGGTTGGTTCTGAATGGAAATCAAGGAATCCAGACCGCCGTTGTCGCATTGAGCAACTGTAGATATCCTACTCAATTCATCCTCATTGAATAATACAATCTCAATGATTGGATAGGCGTCCAAAAATTCAATGGATCAAGGAAGGACACTTGGAACGAATTGCCCAGTTAGTAGGATGTCTCTCCCAGTCCGGGCACTGCGGCATTAAATACATAGTACCACATGATATAAGAGATTGAGGAGAATTTGATTGTAGTAAATTACTTGGAGGATTGAGGCTAAGACGGTATTGAAAAAGTTCTTTCATTTTCCTTTCTTCTTGCCCTTCTGGTCATGTTCGCTCAATAGTGGATCAAGCATATATATATCACTTTTCCCGCAATATCAGAGTCAGCCTCTGCTCGTTTTGAAAGTTCTTATACCAATTTAACTATCAAACTTTTGCGCATTATCACGCAATAAGGTGTAATTCACTCGTTCGCTGCGGGAATTGGGCCAGGCTTGAACAAAGAACCATTGCGACACAGCCTTCCATTTGGAAAACTGCGCAAAATACTTCTCCCCTTTCTAAATCCGGATCAAACAACCAATTCATCGGCCAACTCTTTCCATCAATTTTGAGAAGCATCGTGATCCATTAGAAATGGCAGCTTTACCTCAATATCTTGCCGAAGAAGAGCTCCGTCGCGCTTCATCTTCCTCCATCCGATCAGCTAACCTCTCCCACGGTCGCGGAGGCGCTGGTAAGCCTTTGATATCTGCTCTGATTTTTTCTTTGATTGACATGTTTGCCCAGGAAACATTGGAACTTCTCCTCACGATGCAGAACCTGTTACTCTCAACACTCCCACCCTCAAAGGTGATGTCTACACCACCGGTCGCGGAGGAAGTGGGAATATGACAAAGAACACCGATCCTGAATCGGCCAGACGGGTAAGGTTTCAGTACCCACTAGCAAGTTGTATTTAATGCTGACAGAAAGCAGGCGCAAGATGTCGTTGGGTAGGTCGAATCATGAGACGCAGGTCACTTCTGGCAGTACTGAATTCTAACTTAAATGCTCTAGCACCCCGAGAAGAGAATCTTCATCGTCAAGTCATATTGGACGGGGCGGGGCAGCTAATGTCTTCAAACCAAGCGAGGCCGAGATCGCGGCAGCACGCAAAGATGCTAGATGGGATAGTGCAATCTCAGATGAGGATGAGCTTTATTACATCAAGCCTGACAACAAACTCGCAAGCGAGAAAGGTCTCGCGGACAAGGGAAAGGCATGGTTGAAAGAAAGGATGGGCAAGGTTTAAACAAATTCGATAAACTCTAAGGCGTTAAAAATGAAATATACCAGGCGTGGCTGGATTTGCTTGACTTTGAGGGGTATGGGGTTACCCCTCAACGATGGTTAGGTATTGGGTTCTTTGAGCATGGCATTATGCGGCAGAGCTGTACGGCGTTACCTTGTTGGCACTTGGCTTCCGTGCAAAATCGTTACGGTTCTTGATATAGATGCAATAAACATTTAGGCATTTATAACCAATGAAGTCATTGATGCCAGTAATCGATTGGCATAGTTCTGGTTCCTGGAAGATTTAACCACATTGGAGGTATGATTGGGGCAGCAAATGTTCTATGAGGTTGGTGGCTCTTTTGAAGGCAATGCAAAAAGCACATTCTCACGATATTGCATGCGAACACAACTTGATTCACTATCGAACTTGGTGGATCTAGGAAGCTTGTGTTTATAATAGGAAATCGGGGTAAGGTCGGACAGAGTATATGTTAGATAATCTTGTCTGTATGGCGTCTCGTATTCTTAGATAGTGAAAATACGTACAATTAGTCGCGCGGCACAGGTAAGACAAAGCATGCCTGATATGTATCACCATAGTCATACATCTTAATCGATGACGAATTTGACATAATCGATAAATCTCCCAAAACATTATGAACGTGCCTATGCGGCGAAGAATCACAAAATACTACCCTTCAACCATGAAGCCTGGTCATACGATCTAGGAAGATCGCATACCACACCCAATACCATCGATTCAACATATTCTAAAACTTTACATATCTGGATTTAGATCCGACGATCAAGAAGTCATTTAGGCCACAAAGCCTCATTTCGATTTTCCATAGCTCGATTCAGACTTGAAAATAAAATGATTGTGTTGTGTTTCGATGTCAGTTTACTTCGTACATCCCGTGCTAGGTGCAGCAAGGAAGACTATGAACGGTAATGCGGTGACAAGATCGTCCGGAGCTTTTAATATTCATCAAGGGAGAAATACACGATCCGCAATTTTATTTTCCTTACTAGTATGTACATACATACCTCCTTCCTGAAAAGTATGAACATTGGGGATTGGTACATGTGAAAGCTGTTTAGTTGCAAATATTGGTTGCCTATGCAACGCTCAATTTTCTTTTATCCCGGCACCCTTTCCTCGGGTACGTACCGAGGCCTCGGGGGTGGCGAGCTCCTGATATGTACTCCGTACTTGTACACATTACATGATCGATGCATGCATGCATACATACATACATCAATAAGTGCACCGTAGAGAAAGAGCAAGCATGTGCTGCAAATTAGTTTCCTACCTAGAGTCCTAGATTAGGTAGGAAGGGGGAAATAAGATGGTGGCATGCAGCTTATGAAACTGTGATACCGGATCGTGGCAAGGAGATACGTGAAAGTACATGATGCACATGGGAGAAAAAGACCACTTTTTGGGTGGAGGTTGACGGTCTGGGGGTAACACGGCAGCCGTTTGAGATGAGGGGAAATACCATCTGGAAATAAAGTTGTTGGGTTGTACGGGGGTGGAATGTTTGGTTTGGAGGGGGGGTGTGTGATTTTATTGGATGCTGTGAATATGGGGTGTTGTGAGGACATATAGCTATGTATGTGATCCTTCTTTACTGCGTTTAATGTTGAATTATACTTTAGATTGTTTGAGTATGAATTGGGAAGATTCATGACCTACGGAGTAGACGGTGGGATGAGTATCTAAATAAAAGTCTCTTAGCGATGTCACGACTCACTAGACACTTCTACCCCTGAACTGCAATTTTAGCATCTCCGCAGAACTTCCTAATAGTCTAAAATTAACGGATGTATTTCCGTATGATTAACTATGGCCGCGTTTATCCCTACAACTGTGAAAACGAGGACCCTAATCACATTGATCACGTCACATATTTCTCAATCTATCATGTCAACAAAAGCGATAAACCCCACACTTACTTACTCAGTTACGAACCACACTTGGGCCAGCTCTAGGCTTTGCTTTACCCTGTACGCCGATAGGTATTGACTTCCCAGCTTCCGTCCCATATCCTTGACCTTGTCTTTACTCACGCAAAAGATGAGAACTAGTTAAGAAAGACTAAAGCCTCCAGGTTCCTGATCCTTGGTTGGCCGAAAAGCATTACCCGGCTGCCCGCAATAAAACACCCCTCACAAATTGTACCCGTATATTTATCTTATCTTACCCAGCTGGGTAAGATTTGGGACCCCAAGGACAAATTCATTCGATCTCATGAGTTTCCAACAGATGCAAGAAACATTCCGTCGGTATGGCCGCTCAAGTGCTTAGTAGAGGTCTAAAATAGTACGGAGTATAGTTAAAGTCTTGTTATGGATTGACTTTGCACAATTATCTAGTTCTAGCTGTGTAGAATTTCTCCTCTAATCATCAAGTCAGGAGGACGCAACTATGCATTTCAGCCAAACAGGGTGAGAAGGCAACTTGTCTGGGCATCCATTTATCTAGGATCACATTGGACCCTAAGTCAGACATACACATTAACCTTGTCGTACTACACAATGATTTTTATTACTTAAACCCTGATCCTGATGCTTGCATTTCCGGTACTTTACCAAACCAACGGTAAACATCTTCCTGGCATTGGCGTATTTCGTTATCCATACCAATCGGACTGTCCTATTCCTGTTAGCATATCATCATCCTTGTTGACTGATGGTGATACGGATGAGCATGGGTTGTACTCTGTATGCCGAGCTTTACCAATTTTTCATCCCATCAATAATTTCGGATTACCCAGAATCCAGATGATCTTCGTAAAAGAGAACGCGATCTGGATTCGGAAAAAGACAAAAGACTTGGAGCAGCTGCTTCTCTACCATGGACTAGAAAGTATGTATGTTTTGCCCGTTTGAAAGCCCTAACACAACTATGACGCCAATGTACCTTCGCGTTTCTCTAGAGATGGAAAATCATGTGGAAGTGAGCAGGACCCATCTATTGCAAGGTCATCTACCTATCGCACCTATTACTCAAAAGAGTAATCATAGGACACTGTAGCAGTGATACAACGGCTTCTTCAGGAATGATCTGTAAATGACCTCTTTTCAGCTATTAGCATCCATGAAGAAGCCATCAAGACATACCATACGGACATCAATGCCTACATGAAAATGGCGTAATGTAGCATGTGTACAACCATAAACTCCTACCGCTCCACTGCCGCAGCAGCACACCATCCTTTTCAGACGGCCCAGCTCCTCCCAGATTTCCCAAACTGTCAAACGCTCGTGCATATCCCGGCGTTGTACAATTCCCACGCCCTTTTCTTCCTGCTCATTAAAGTATTACCGACGACTAATTGAGTACATCTCTAAATGGCTTCTAACTTGTAGGAATTCATGCTTAAAGATGCCAAGTATGCATGCACGCCGCACAGACAAGCGACAGGCCAGAAAAAACAAACTTTACCAGATGGATTTCCATGGGATTTTTTATTAAAAAAATTCTGACGGCATGCACTGCAACGCAATTTCATGATCAAACCCAGCAATTTGGGCTTTGGTGCCCTTTTAGGTTTCCATCGCAGTTCCGCTTTTAAAAATTTGAAAATTTGGAATGGGAGGTAACAGGATGGATGAGATATCATGATGATGCAGAGAAATCGCCAGTAATAATGATAATTAGTCCACATGGTATTTTTCGTATTGAAACTAAACTAGGGGAGTATTTCGACCATCATCCTAGTTCTGGTTGTTCTCGCCAAACCTGCCTATTGTGTAGAAATTGCTTGAACATAACATTCACTAGGCTCCCTACTAGGCCCTCCGCAAAATAAGACGTTAACATTATCTCTTCTTCACTATCTTTTTCCCTTTTCATGTGATTAACATTCAAAGGTATAGACACCAACCTGTATTTCTGAGGGTACCTACATATCAATACCCCTTCAAGCCACGGAGCTGACTACTATGTATAGTTAAGCCTTATGGGATAACCCGACGGAAACCAAAGAAAATAAACTCCACAAGTCTCCTAACCAGCAACCTAGGTTCCGGGAGATCGCCAATTTACAAAAACTAAATGTGAATGAATATATTAAGTATAAAAAAGCTTGGATAGGATATTCCAAATGCGGTTGTGTACTTCCAAGCTTTTTCTGCCCGCTGTCAACTTTTGTCCACCAAATTGAGCATTAGCTCAAGATTAGCTAGCAAGGCACTCTATCGGACCTAAATCACCCCTTCATCTGCCGAAAACCCCTCAAGAATTCGAGACACAGCAGATTCTTTTATTACTTTGTATATCTAATGTAATATACATTGGACAATATTTTATATATTTCACTAAAGGGGATAAAGGAGGTTAAGAGGCAAACGAGAGAAAGACACAATAAGAGGTAGATTATATGCAAAACATCTTCGAGCTCACGCAACCTTCGTCTTCTACGCCATAACAAGAACTAATAAGTAGATTCTAATAAGTATCTATTTTTACTCTCAATACCACACTCGGTCCCAAAGCCTCCTTTCCCCTCTTGAAGGAATTCTATTGTATCCCACCTCGTCCAACCTTGTCCACCTCTCCCATCGTCTCCCAATCCCACACTCCCTACGAGTTCCCAGTTCCCACATATATGAATTAGCGTACGACGCTGCACTGAACTAAAGGTATCCTATCGCGGTTCCGCGCTTTTAAGATTATCCTTTTACAACTGGGATCATCTTCAAGGTTATTCCTTTTAAACAAAACCATCAGACGGACTTTTCGCTACCGAATTCTTTGGAGCTACATCTCTCATCATCATCTTATACATATTTGAACTGTTTACCTCATTCATTATTCATATACCCATATATCCATATATCCATACACATTTATACTTTTACAAACGTGCACTATCGTCTATTCAACGACTGTCAGGATTCGGGATCCCTAAAATCTCTAGAAAGGAAGGAATACTTTAAAGGCTGGGCTGTCATTAGCTGTCTAAATAAAATTATATTAATCATGAATACTACAGCATATGCTTCACCACCTCGCGATATGCATCCTCGATCAACCATGCCAAGTCTTCACGATACAGCATTTCGGCCAGGTCCACCTCAGCAAGGAGCTCCATACTCGATGCCTCACACAATGGCATCTCAACATTCACAAATTCCCGCCTACGAACAATATAATAATTCTCTACCTGCCACTCGTCCTCCTCCTCCGGAACATTTACCGTCTTCAGAGGTCGTATCGGCATATTCTATTGGACTTCCAGGTCAGGAACCATCGCCTCGGTCTATTACTGTAGATGGGAGAAAGTATACGTATGTTTAGTTTAGAGTTTCCCCTCACCAGGTACTGGGATGGCATACTAAACTTTCTTTTTTCTGTCGGGGTATAACGTTGCTAATTGCTTTTTTAGATTGGAAGTCCAGCAACAACCGAAACGGGCTCGAATGTGTGGCTTTGGAGACAAGGTAAGAACAGAAGAAATTAATGGGAATATATCCTTCTCATGTGGTTTTATGTTTGATTATAACTGACCCTATGTAGGATCGTCGGCCTATTACTCCTCCTCCGTGTGTTAAACTCAGTATAACGGAAATCGCAACTGGAAAAGAGGTGGACGTCAAGTGAGTTATATATCACAAACCTGTATATCCATTCTAAATTCTTAATAGCAACATCGAACATGGAATGTTTGTGCTGAATGTGGACTTATGGTCAGCGGATGGCGATCGACCAGTCAACCTTGTTCGACACTCACAAACTTCTCCTTCGATTTCAGCCACAGTTCCAGTTTCTTATACACAACTACAAGGGGGTGCGACTGCGTACTCGAACCTACTTCCCGGACAAAGTCAACGAGAACCCACCAGCCCACAATATGGCAATGCGCCACCTTATCAGGGAGCTGGATTTAATCCATTTCCAGGGCCACCACAGGTGAGCGCATACTCACAACAGCAACCTGGACAACAAGCAGGTTATGGTGGAAATCCCAATTATCCACCTCCAAATGGATATCAAGTACCACCTCAACAGTCCAACTATTATTACCCTCAACGTATGGACCCATATCCGTATACTTCTATTCTTAAACTTCTTATTAAGTTTGAATACTACAAATGGAAAAGTGTGTACTAATCAGCTGCTTATAGCTTCTCAATCGGTTCCCAGCCACAATAACCAAGATCCTTACCCGTCTCGTCCTTATACGCCACAAGATATGGCAATGCGCATGCCCATAAGCCAAACAAATCCTCCACAAGGCATGTTCACACGAAATCTTATTGGAAGTTTATCAGCTTCCGCATTCCGTCTCACAGACCCGGATGACCGAATCGGGATCTGGTTTGTGCTTCAAGACCTTTCCGTCCGAACCGAGGGTGATTTCCGGTAAGCCATTAATCTAAATCACCCCCTTACTAAGTCTTCTATTAATACCAAAAACAGCCTTCGCTTTTCATTCGTTAATGTCGGTGTACCGTCGGCACCGCAGAATAATCCTAACTCTTCGTGTTCCGTAAACACTGGAAAGGCCCCTGTTCTCGCTTCGTGTTTCTCAGAAGTCTTCAAAGTTTACTCGGCGAAGAAATTCCCTGGAGTGGTAGAAAGTACACCATTAAGTAAATGTTTTGCTACACAAGGTATGAAAATCTCATGTCTCACTTTCTAGCAGGTTAAGGAATTGATTCTAATTACGTCGAATAGGTATTAAGATTCCAATCCGAAAGGATGGAAAAGACGGACCAGGAAAAGGAGGAAAGGACGGTAGCCGAGGTGATGATGACGACGACTATTAAGCGGATTATACTTTTTATTTGATGCTTCCTAAACGGCCCTCCCTTTGGACACTGCTCGCATATACATCCATTTTCTAGAGCCCTTGGACGTGTCGTGCATGCACTGCTCACCCCCCTACTTTAAACTTTTATCAGAAGCTCCATTTGTTCGAGTTAAAAAATTCAGATTCCCCAGCAGCGAGTATTTGTTCTCCATCTAATTCGTAACCAAAAAAAATTAAGGCGAGACCAGAAGAGAAAAAAAGAAAGGATAAAAAGATTATTACTATCTATCAGGCGTTACGTTTGTGCGAGACTGAGACGTGCACGACATACTTTGTACGTTTTCTTCGTTTGGCTGCAATTGCGGTCGCGTGCTGCGTTTGTCTGTTTGAGTTGAGTAATTTGGACTTATTGGATATATTGGATACATGAGAGAGGGGTGGGAGGGAATATGGAGTGAGTGGTTATATAGGCGAGAATTTTTTTCTTTTTTTGAATCTTGGATCCCGGATATTAGTTTATTTGGCGGGCGTCGGGGGAAGGGTTGGATTAAAGAATGGGTTTTGGGGGGAAGAGGTGGGAGATGGGAGGAGGAAGGGAGGAGCGGGGAAGGAGGGGAGGTTGATATAAGATTACTTTGGTTTTTATCTGTTGTCTATGGTATGCTATGTAGATGGGTAGGTGGGTAGCTAGGTAGGTAGAACTCTATGTATATACCGATTACTTAGACCATTGGTTGTGAGAATGATAATCTTATATTATGTTATATTATATTATCTGTTTATTTTATTTCAGAAATTGGAGATATATATATGTGTGTGTGTGGATGTGTGTATGGATAGATATATATATATATACGTATATAATTTGCTTCTAATAATTTTCTTCTAATTTCTGAAAAGTCTATAGGTATGTATATATATACATATACATATACATATATGTTGTATAGTATAATATACAATATAATATCATACACCACTATACCTTCCGAGCTTACCTACCTACCTACTTACCTATCCACCTACCCAGAACCATCATCAGTATGGTTTAGAATATTTAATATGAGCTCGACGTGCAATATCTAGTTACTTGCGCGCTGCGAGTTCCGAGTTTTGATCTTGTGGTTTGGGTTTTTGTGTTGGGTGAATATTATTCGGTATTATTAAATGGGGAAAATGGGGATAGGGTTGGGGGCGTTTAGGGGAGTGGATGAAAGGATGGATTGGGGATAGTGAGATAGGAAATGTGAATCTTTCTAGTTAGTTAGGTTTCGGGATGTTGTTCCTAATATTGAGTCACTCAATCTTCCATGGGTGTGATGGTTATTCTATGAGTGATATATTGTGTGTTCACGAATCCAATATTGCACGTTTCCTACAAGTAGCTAGCTATCCTACATTCATCAGATTCGAGCACCAGGTATCAACCCTTCATCCGAAATTCGGACTTTACTCTTGCTGTCCGCTCTTATTACATGGTAGAATCAAGTCAATATATTACTCCTACGCAAAACTCCCCAAGTTTAATCGCTAAAATCCTCCTCGTCTCTATAATCCGCCAATAAAACATCGCCGACTCCTGGCCCCCCTAGCAAACCATTTGCATTACTCTTTTCCTTTTCTCTTCCCCATTCTGTCTCCACCCTCAAGAATATCCACATCCATCTCCGGGCCACCTCCAATACCTCTAATAAGAAAATGCCGCTTTCGAAATCGGCAAAATGGTCGAGATGAGGAGAGAGTTTGAGGGACCATGTGAAACGGAGGAGGAAGTCAATGAGGATGGCGATGTAGTAGAGTTCTTGAGAAGGGAGATATAGACGGGGTCGAAGGGGGTAGGAAGATTTATTTCTTGATGAAAAGGTGAGGAGGGTAAGGTCCCAATCTTTGGTTATGTCCCACCAGAAGGAGTACATAGAGTTGATGAAAACGCTCACGAGCCAGAGTCGATAGAGCGTTGTTGTAGTAATATTTATTGATGTTTCGTTGATCGACAGGTTTCGCTGCATAGCGGAAAATATTATCACAGGGAATGCTGTGGAATACTTGAGCGCATTGGCTAAGTGTTGACCGCCCCATCCAGAGGATGTTGAACGTGAATTTCTAACTCGTAGATATTCAGTTATGCATTGCCGAAAACGTATAAGCGAGGGTATCGCAATCATGATAGGGACGAGATATTGTCCACCACAGCCACGATCAGGTCGAGATGTTGCGCTACCAGAAGGGGTGAGGAACATGCAGAAGGAGACGAAAAGATCGGCTATAATCTTCGCATAGGAAGTGAGAACATCAGCCAGGAGGATATCGCCAAATTTCCCTTCATTGGGAAGAGCGATTCCTCCAATTGAGACACGCCTGAGGGCGGAGAGAAAATGGAGACGGCCGGAGTAGGATGCGCGGCGCAAGGGAAGGAAGAAAGCAAAAAATAGGAGGCATATGTAAGATATCGGGAGAAAGTCATAGTAGATTACTAGAGCTGGATCGCGATGGGAGAGAGTCCAGAAGAGGAGAATCGAAAGAACAAGAGGGATTGTGAGATATGTAGCAAGTCGATAGGCAGATAAATGGTGCGGAGGATCAGTTCGCGCAGAAGCTCGTTGTGGATATTGGATGAGTGAAGGGACATTCTGGTAGGCGCATGTGTTAGACTGATGCGCGCTCGAGGAGAATAACGACTTACAATTTTAACAATTGAAAGATAATGAAGATTTGTGCCCCAAGCCCATACTCCTGTTAGCATATTAGTGAGTCACCTTCAAACCTAGGTCAGAAGAGTAATGTCATATACCTAACACAATGATCAATGCAACCCTGTAGGGCAGAGGAAGAGTACGACTAAAAGAGTCGAGCTCATTTTCAACAGCCGGGTCTCCATCCATTGTTATCGCCTACTAGAACACTGCATCTGATATCCTAAGCTTCTAATGAGTGACTGAAGTGAGTTGCAAAGAATCGAATTGGAGCAGATGCGTACAAGATATGTCCGCAGGTTGGAAAGGGAGATGTTTTCGTGTGAATACCAATATCCAAAAATAATCTGATAGGTAAGAAAGCCACATGGAAATTAGACAGAATTAAGTAGCCTCGAGCTACCTCAGCCACATGTGATACAAGGCTGGGAAATGGCGGGAATATTGACCTCGGCTCCAAGCTCACTCATTCCTCATACCAGCTTCGTAAAACGCATCAACTTCAACCATAAAAATTATATCTATTTCCAAGACATAATACATATAATGTCGGATCATGTATCTGAAATGTCCCCGTCGGAGGATAAGCGTCCTTCATATCAATATCCTTTCGCGACAGCACCAGATATAATTCGTTCACATCAAAAGGATGCATACTTTGAAGGAGTTCTCCTGAACCATCTTTCAAATCTCCTACGTCGATTATATGGAGCAAGATTCCTACACACGTATACCAATGAAGCGCGAACATTTTCCGAGTTACTCTATCTCGGTCTCACGACCTTCATTGGCAACCGCACGTTAGGAGAAGAGTACTGCGATATTGTTCAGGTTGAAGATGACACACTTAAACTTCCTGCCATTTCTCGCCGCGCAGGCTATATATTGACTTCAATACTTCTCCCATATTCTCTCACCAAGATCCTTCCCTCATTTCGCACACGCATCCGCAGCAAACTCGAAGCAAACCTCCGCAAGCTTACTCGAAAATCACAAGAAAAGTCATACTCTTACAAATTTCAACAATATATTCTCACTCATCTCTCAACCATCACGTCACCATCACCCATTCACGCGCTTACACTTACCGTCTTTTATTTCTCAGGTTCTTATTATGAACTCTCTAAACGCTTGTTAGGTCTGCGTTATATCTTTACAAAGCGCATTGCGCCACCAGAACAGCGTGTAGGGTATGAAGTTTTAGGTGTACTCCTACTGCTTCAAATGAGTGTGCAAACCTATCTCCACCTAAACAACACTTTTTCTACCGACATTCCCTCCACCGCCTCTGGAAGTTCCGCCGTTCTATCTAATGGTGTAGAGATTCCCCTCGACTCTCCATCCTCCCCAAGCGATCTCCTTGCTTCATCCCAGGTTATCCCCCATTCCGCAAGCTCTATCGGTAAAACCACAAACACGCCTGTACTACCAGGTGCAAGATATGATCTGAGTGATAATGACGTTATGGGATGGATTAAGGGTGAGCAAAATAGAAAATGCACGTTGTGTTTGGAGGAGCTGAAGGATCCCAGCGTGTTGGGATGTGGACATGTTTTTTGTTGGGGCTGTATTGGGGATTGGGTTAGAGAGAAACCGGAATGCCCGTTGTGTAGAAGAGAGGTTTTGATTCAACATATCCTACCATTGAGAGGGTGAAGGATAAAGGATCGACTGGTGGGCATAGGAGTTGAACACAACTGAAGTCGGGATATGGATATGATGTTATGAATAATTTGAATGCATACGAGCATTATATTAATTTAGAGTTAAAAGGATAAATTTTCTGGTAAAAGGGATGACTTCTTCAGATGGTATATAGGATGGAATTGAATATTAATAAGTGCAGTCCCAAAAATTTCGGACGGCAGTTACAAATCCCCAAATTTTCCAATGTTCGAGAATCTGCAAATCATTGTACACAATTTCATATTCCAAGTGGACTAAACCCCCAGAATAAGTTCAATATCCTTATTGGTTTGAAACTTCATTTTTCTGCATATCAATCTTGTTTAATATTTGAATCAATACAAGAATCAAAAGGCCTTCTTTATTGGCTTAGAAGCAAATATATCGGTGAAGGTATGCGTCTTCGGAAGAATCAAATATCATGGAGCAACCAAAAGCAAAGATGATGAGATCATGTGCATAAAGTAGTATTTGCAAACGCCGGGAACTGACAGGAGACCACGGGATGATGCAGATCGCATGGTAACACCTCTGCCAAAAGGAAAGTTAATGAATCACCAATATGAGATATTCGTGTGGGTTGGCGATGTGTAGCCTCGGGCTTCCGTCAGCAAAGAAATTCGACGGAAAATTAAGGGGAAACGAACGGGTCAGAATTCAGATTTCTCATATTAATTGCTTGCTTCCTCCATATAAACTTACTCCCTTTCATCTGTACTTACTTCAATATTTCCTCATTTCTCAATCCACAATCGAAGCCTGACGGTTTGATGTACATCTGCCAAAATGGATATTGACAATGTATCGGAAGTTCCCAAGTACATACAAATACTGGATAGACAACAGAAGGCTCTTAAAGCCGCAATGGCACGTCAAGGGCAGCGTCCCAGAGACTTAAAACATCGACAAGAACTAGTCACTCAGTTTATGGTGTCGATTCTATCGCACAAAATGATGCGGCTTGGACCGCAAACGACTAGTCAAATTCATACTTCCTTCGTTCCCATTCCATATAACCCATGTACTACACCTCTTGACGAGTTGAAGCCAACATGCATCAGGGACTTGGGATTAGAAACTCATCACCGCGGCAACCATCTTCTTGTCCGTGCATTAACTCCTCCAACTAGAATGACTGCGATTATGGCCATTGTTGAGGACGAAAACGGAGATGCCATACAGCTACAGCTCTATCAACAACCAGATGAGAAAATTCGTCCTGCCACAAGTGTCATTATGAAGAACGATGCTTTTTTGATAAAGGAACCTTACTTTAAGACTACAAGTGATGGTGGTTATGGTCTTCGGGTCGACCATGTGAGTGATATTATCCGCCTTGATGGACACCACGATTTGTTGCCGGAAAAGTGGAAGCCAACAGTTTTGGACATTGGTAAGACTCCAGATGACTGGAAGCTAGAGGGAAATGTGGCTATGGAAAGAAATCACTATTGGGAGGCTATTCAGAGGTACTATACCATTTCTTCCATAGCATGAGAGTCCTTTCGCTAACCCCTACTACTATAGCTATACGGCCGCTCTTAAATGCCACCCTCCTGTTGAAACTGCAAAGATAATCCGTCTGAATCGTGCACTGGCATATCTCAAAGACGGAAGCCTTGATGCGGCACTAGCTGACACGGAATGCATGATCTCTCCCAGCGATGCATCAGAAAAAGCACTATATCGAGGCGGTCAAGCTCTATATAGACTTGGAAGATTTTCCGAATGCCACGATATTTCCGAACATTTCTGCAAGAAGTCTCCCACTAGCTCTCTCGCTACCGCGGAACTTAAGCGGGTACGCCGTCGCTTAGCAGAGCAGCAAAGTGGCATATACGACTTTGAGGAAATCTACAAGGAGATTTCAATGACTAAACCACCGCATCTAGATCATGCAACATTTATAGGATCGATAGTCGTGAAACCTTCTCCTGGTCGTGGCCAAGGATTGTTTACCACTAAAGCTGTTAAAGCGGGAGAACTTCTTTTGTGTGAGAAGGCATTCGCACATTGCTATAGTGGAAATTCAGAGGACTCGGAGAAGTTTTCGAGAATTACTCTTCTGATGAATGTGCATACGAACGAAATGACACTTGGTACTCAAGCCGATCTTATTACAGCTATTGTGCAGAAACTCTGGAAAAATCCATCCCTTATACCAGGGTTCAACGCGCTTTATCGTGGATCTTATAAACTTGCAGAAAGAACTGAAGTTGACGGGAAACCGGCCATTGACACGTAAGTTACCCACTTGAAATAATTTAACAAGCACTAACATCATGTTCACTAATAGCTTTCTGGTTGGACAAATCATGACTCTCAATGTCTTCGGATGCCCACTCTCTTCCTACGAAGACTATTCATCAGCCTCCAAAGAAAATGATAAATACCATTCATGCGGCATCTGGCTCGTAGCTTCAAAAATCAATCACTCATGTCTTAGCAACGCTCGCCGTAGCTTCATGGGCGATCTACAACTCGTCCGCGCTACACGTGATATACCCGCGAACACGGAAATAACCTTCTGGTACCAGATACCTACAGGGGAAAGCGAAGAAATGAAGAAGCAACTGAGAACCTGGGGATTTGAATGCAAATGTATCATCTGCGTGGATTCAGAAACAACACCTAAAAATCATGCCAGGATGAGAAAAAAGTTACTGCGAGATTTGAAGGCGCTTCTGAGTGCAAGCGAGGTTGATACAGCTAAAGCAGAACGTTTGTTAAGTGCCCTTGAGAAAACATACACGCATCCCGCAACCGATGTCCCACGATTAATATTACGAGAACCGTATTTCACACTAAGTGGTATTTATTCCAAGCTCGGAAAGACAGATAAAGCCGTGTCGATGATATTAAAAGGTTTGACATCCATTGGCTTCGTGATCGAGAATGCAAATTTGCCTGCACTACCTGACAAAATGATTGAGGTGGAGAAATGGGGCTTGCCTATGCCGGGAGTAGTCGAAGCGTGGGTTTTTCTCTACAATACTTATTCTGTTCTTGCGCCGTGGTATTTGAAGAAGGTTAGGGATGCTGCGATGTTGGCTTATGCGATTTGTATCGGGGAGGATGGGACGTTTGGGCGGGTTCATGGGGTTTAGGTTGAGGATGAGGATGAGGAGTAAGTAAAGAATCTACGTGTGGCGGTTTCTAAAATGGGTCGGGAGGTATTTGTTAATGATGGATATGGTATTGTAATCTTACCGGATTTCGTAGAAAGAGTTTCATATATCGGATATCCGTACGACTCTCAATCTCAAATGAATGTGTATGCTTACTTAGCGCGTGGTTAGCATCAAAACATAAACCACCTGTATGTCTGTATGTCTACGCCCTAGTAATCTTATAATTCAACAAGCCAACTCTCATTAAACTAACAAAAATACAATCAGAAACGACACTTTCATTTCTTCACAATCAAATTTCCCCCGCAGCTTTAACATCTCAGTCACCACAAGATCGTATCTCCGTCTCCGTCCCCGTCTCCGTCTCCGTCCCCGTCTCAATCTCAATCACCAAGTTGCGATTTCAGCATCCTCATCCTCAGCCTCACCCATAACCACAAATCGACCATTGAAGAATTTCGTCTACTTACTTTCGCGCACGCATTGGAAAAGTATAACTCCCCGAAATTGTGTCCTGAATCTAAAGGGACATACATACATACATACATACATACATCCATACAAACAAACGATTATAAGCCTCAAGGATGGATATTTAAGAAATTTTCCCTATCTAGGCATACTAGGCATCTATAGCTATAGCTATAGCTATAGCTATCCTAAGAATCATAACCATACCCTCTCCATTCTCTTTTTTCTTAATCACATCACCCAGCCACCATACTATAAATCATATCTGTAATTCTATGATTGTATGATGCGTGATTATATGATTATATGGTTCTGTGATATGAGCCAGTTACAGATACAGACAGGGATGGTAAATACTAGGTAATTGGTAATTAGTGAAACCAGAATCTTTGAAATAAGTGGTTACCTAGGTATTCAACTATTTGGCAGTTATGCACATGTATATGATGTTTAATTTTATTATTCGTACAATCTTACAATATTTTGCACGTCTGCGTTTGTCCTTCCTATTAGAGAGAGAGCGAAAGGCAAAAGGAGGGCAAATGAATAATAAATAGATCTAAATAAAGGAGCTGAAACACTAATCTCTTCCATAAATTTCCCACATACATATATTTAAACCAATTTGTTTCCTAGGAAAATTAAAGTTTTTCTATCTCTTCTTCTATTCTACTCTATCCTACTTTACTCTACTCTACTCTACTCTACACTACCCTATTGTAATGCAATACAATGTAGTGCAATGCAACTGCAATATCATCCAAAAGATACAACGCCTCGCCATGCTCAACCCAACCTAATTAAAAAGACAAATATAACATCACAGAACTTTTAACCCTTCCACGATGACCAAGTAATGAATCAATACATCGTGCAACCATTTTCAGCCCTAGCGAATGCATTTGCAAAGAATTCCTGCATCGCGACATAATGGAAAAGGATTCCACCCAAGACGGCAAAATGCCAGAGGTTATGACTACCCCCAATGTAATCAAAAGCGCCTGGACACCATCGTTCAGGTACTTGACTAGCATAAACGCATGCGCCTAGTAAATAGACAGTGATACTCTTAGCAAGAGGGGCATAAAATTCCGCAGCCCATGCTCCACCACGAGTGAGATTGAGTTGAAGGGCAGGGACAAAACCAGTTGCGCCGAGACAGACGTAGAAAGCCACGCGTGCCCAAGCCATATCTTGTCGGTTGAAGGTTGGATGCCAAGGAAGAATAACACCTCCCAAACCAAGGGCAGCAGTCACGCCCATGTATAGCCAACGACTTACAGGCTCACAGTAAAAAGCTGTATAATCGGCTGTCATGATAGAAGCAGCGATGAGTAATGAGATGCCAGTATAATCGACACAAGCGAACCTTTCCAGGAGTGTTTGATCAGCTACACTGTTCATTGTATGCCACATTGTACTGCAGACTAGGCATTTGCAAGCAGCAAAGAAGAAGCATGCCGCAATGACGACATCGGCTTTCGTACTCAGGGAAAATGCATGACTGGAAGGATAGAAGTAAAATGCGATCGATAGAACGATGAGCAAGCCGATTGCATGTGACCAAATATTCACTGTTTCGTTTGATAATCCGAACATCGACTGGATGCATTCCACCTTTGATTCAGTGAAGCGGTAACCTTCGACGATATGTGGGTTGACACGCCATGGAACGGGTAAGTCTTCGTATCTGATGAGTCCGTGTTTCTTTGCTCGAGCAATCGCATTTTCGATATGTTCTTCCACTGTCCCGGCGGCCTTCTTCGCTCTTTCGAAACCTTCATCGACCACTTCTCTAGCTTTTCCCAATCCCTCATCCACAATTTTGCGCCCCTCATCCATCAAACTTTCCGCTGTACCCCGTAAACCCTTCTCCTTTACTTTATATGCTCTTGCTTCGAACTCGGACAGAATCCCTTCCAACAACCCAATGCCTGTATGGACCTTCTCGTGTAATGTTTCATGCGCTGCTAAAGCATCTTGGTATCTCGATTCGACAGTTTCAACCATAATCCTCGCCCGCCTTTTCGTAGCCCCTATTACCTCTCCCGAGACCTGCGAACATCTCATCCTCACAGCCTGTAACGTCGCATATGACCATGAAATACTCGAATCGAAAGTAAGGTTTCCATATTTCTCAATGAAATCTAATCTGCGCTCAAGTTCCGACAGGAATATATCGACCTTTCTCTCCATTAGACTCTATGCGCCACAATCCAAATATCATTCAGAAAAATACCTTGAGCATCAGACCTTCCTCGCCATCCATCAGTTGTTCGCTGGCGGTTCGTTTCGGGTGAAAGGAGGAATGGCGTCTCCTATTTAGCGGTTTGGTATCTTCTCTTCCAGACGCCATCGTACTGGTGGTAACATCCTCATAGGACTCCACCGTCAAAGAAGAGGCTGCGCAAACCATGGTTCGTATATATTTAGGATTCACACACAAGAGCGATTGTATGTGAAACGAACTGTCTTTTTAGCCGTCAAGGTGTACCATAGAAAGCTGTGGTATAGTATTCCATAGAAATTTAAAAAAAGTGATAGAGCAGGAGAGACAATGGCGGCAACAAAAGAAATATAGGAGAAACTATAGGAACGAGATGGACGGATTGAAAGAGTAAAATAGGAAGTATAGATGGTGACGGAGAAGTAGAAAGATTAGAGTATGTCCGGTAGCACGAGAGTACAATAAGTAAATCGATTGGATCGGACATGGACTCGTAGATCATCGAAGCAAAAGGGACTTAAACCGAGGGGCACAAGTCTTCCAAGTATCTTAGTATCTTAGAACCTTAGTAAGAATAATCCAAAAGCGGAAACCTTGAATTCGGATGCAGGTCCACCGAAATTGTTGAGCACCGGGCAAAACTTCTTTGGGGAAAGTTTTTTTTGGATCGATTCAAGGACTTGGATTGGTTGATTTGTTATTTGTTGATATTATATTAATATTAGTCCTGGGCAAGAGTTGGTATTATTTTGTTATATTGCCGATAATCCGTGTGGAGGGTAGAATTAACAAGGGGAAGAAACAAGGAAAGAAAAGCCCAAAGTCTTGATTATATAATCAGGGTAATAGTAAAGTTGCAATGGTAGTGAAGGTCTTCTTTCTCCTATTCTGCATCCATCCTAATTATTATTATTACTCTGTCTACCTAGGTATGTAAAAACGAAAAAGCTACCGACTTTGTGTAATGCATTCAGCCTTATCGCAATCGCCATTCCCACTGAAACATTTCCCAATCAATCATCAGAGGCAAATGCAGGGAAACGTTACACGCAATATTTTTTAACTCCGTACATGCGCTTCCAAGGTTCGACTGTATGGAGTACTCGTGTACCTCCGTACATATTAACAGCCAGCCACCCCCAACTTGCTTTCCGAAGAAAAAAGTCCCACATTGTTCGTTTGCATCATTTTGCATTACTCCCGTCATTTTTGTCACTCCCGCCACTTCCTCCATTTTCATTTCATTCCATGATTGTATTAAAATGTATTTGTTGCCTGAAGCAGTTTTGTAACTTTTAATAGCTACAACTGAATGTTAGTAGTATCCATCTGAAGCTTCAAATTGTCCCGATACCGTAAATGATGATGCTGTTTCTCCACTCGTTACATGACAAGACCTTAATAGACAGGGATATCTTTGGAATTAGATAAAAAAACTTTCCTCCATGAAAGTCAGATGTATTAAATATTTCTATTAGGATCAAACCTTAAAAACTCCACGCAATGCCATGCCATCATTGTTACTCGTCCCCCATTAAATCATTCATTTATCGTCGCTCCCATGCTATAACTGCTGGCGCCAACGGCCTGGTGAATAAGCTGGCGTAATCAGTACCAATGACATCCTTGCTGCCATCAATGTTCTTGAATTTGAACATTCTAACCACAGTGGCCATGATAGTGATGAGCTGTACATTGGCGAATTGTTCACCAATACACCTATGTCTGCCAGCACCAAATGGAAGGTAAGGACTGGAAGCACCTTTACTGATCATTCCGTATCCATAATCTTGGAATTCTTCGTCCTGATCATTGCCAATAACACGGCCCGAGCCAATATCCCATCTATGAGGGTCCCACTCAAGTGGCTCTGGGAAGTATTCTGCGTCTCTACTTGTACAACCAGGAGATGCCATAAGAGTATGCGAGGTTGGAATGACATATTTTGTTCCGCTAATTGGCATTGGTGTTGTGACTTTGCGCATGATAGAATGGATCGGAGTGTGGATGCGAAGAGTTTCCCTCAAAATGTTTTGATGAAGAGGAAGTTTAGCAAGGTCCTCGTACTTGAGAGCAGGGAGATCAGCGCCTAAAACTTGGATTTGTTCCTGATAGAGTTCTTCCATGATATCTGGGCGTGAGGCCAGACGAAGTAGAATCCAAGAGATAGAAGATGAAGAAGAGTGCTGTCCGGCCATGAGAAGAGCAATCATCATGTGAGCAATCTCTTGGTCTGGGACTGGAGTTCCATCTTTGTAGGACGAGCGCATCAATTGCCACATAATGTCGGATTTGAACTCGGCTTCCGTAGCTTGAGCACGTCGTTTTTTAATAATATCCATATAAGTTGCTGCAACAGTTCTCTGCGCATGGTCGCGGGCACGGTTGTGAGGGAGAGGAGCCCAGTGAAGCATAAAGTTGATGGGACTAAAGCCCATATCGAGGTCGTGGTAGAGAGAGGCGAAGGAGGTATCAAACCGATCACGGACTTCCTTCCCTTGCAGAGTATGCGAAGCGGTATAGATGGTGATTTCTGCCATAGCAGGACCAATATCGGCAGTTCCCTTTTGGCCTTTGAATGCCGAAGAACGTTTCATGAAGTTTTCCACCTCCATTTGTATAATTGGGACGTAAGATCGAAATGCTTCAGTAGACAAACCAATTTTCATGAACTATTGCAGCACAATTAGCCACCAATTCGCCTTTCTTAACGCCTATTAACAAACTCACCTTTTTCTGTTCCATCAACTTCGCATTGGGGCAATCGTAAACTACATCCTTTCCAAACACGGGAGTTGTCAAAACAGTATATATTTCCTCCGCATTGAGATCCTTAAGCTTGCCATTGAGAATAAAATCATTGCCACTTCGTCCGAGATATACCGTAGTCTTCTTTCCGAGCAAGATGAATGTGAAAATATCACCGTACTGATACACAAACATTAGTCTCCAAGCAATGAACACTGGGATGGAGAACGTACCTTTGCGCGACAATCGAAGAAGAATTTGTAAGGGTCCATACCATAAGTTATGGTGCTACCAATGATTGGCAACCAGTGGAAAACCACTGGTGGTTCATTGGGGTTCGCAAATAACACTTGATTCAGGACATTGAGAATGACAGATAGAACGACGAACGCTACCACGCCAGCTGCAACAACAGCAAAAGTTGACCTTTGCGAAATCTCTTGAGCCAATGGCCCGGCAATTGCTTCGAGAATACCCATATTGACACGCGTGTATATTCCCGGCACACGGAGAGCGTGTATACAGGTAATAGAAATAAGGTTGTGAAGACTTATCGTTACAATTGCGAAAGTCGATAAATTTATATGGGATATTTCTTCAATAGGAGATGCAGGGGTCTCTTTACCTTAGTGTAATTTCAACCACATTGATTGGCCACTTCGATTTCGTGTTCGTACCTTAAATTCTCGCTTGAGGACATCCGCCAGAGAATGGCTGAAGTCAGTTGCAGATAAGTGTAGATATTGTGCTATCGTACGAGCGAAAATCACACAAGCTCATGAATATAACAGACCACTAATCATCGCAACATTATTGGTATACTCGGTATGCTGACATGATGAACTTGTTACTATACCTAGACCTTAAGCTCCGTATTAGTTAATAACTTCCGCAAACTAGCGTGAGGACAACTAGGGAATAAGGGGTCCATGAAAATCTTGTACTATTACAATAAGTATGCCGCTATCTCCAATTAGCCATTCCTATTGCGAGTTCTCCTTCATGTATTGATAGCTAGTATTGCGAGCCATTGGTAGCGGTCAGAGAATATCACCAAAGCCGACCCTTTGAGTGTTCCAAACAATTTGTTCACATTCTGAAATACATTCGGACATGAATACACTCTCAAAACAGCACCTGGAATGTCCCAGTTGATTAACAACAGTGCAAGTCGAACTACAAATATTTACACAAAAACCACGCTCTTGCGCCAATCCGCATATAAAATCCCCATGTCTTAAAAAAGCCCCACCAAATACCAAAGCTTCATTCGATTAGTTGGAGCTCAGTCTTTCTATTCGGCGCAAAATCATCCTTCCACAGGTCCCACAACCTCTCAAGCTCCGCCACATATTCCTCATGAACACGGTCGATGTCCTTTTGCTCCGGGATTTTGCATTGAACTACCTTGATTGGCCGCCCGACGACGATATTTAATGGCCTTCGGTATGGCATAAGGCCGACATCGTAATTGAAAACACCTCTAGCATGAAAGAGCGGTATGGTGAAGCCCATTAACTTCTTGACGAGCAATTGGAATTTGTGAATTCTTGGGTGTGAATCAGCTGAGAATTGATCATAAAGGTCATTCTCGCCAAATGCCAGAACAGGGACTAAGTCTGCACCAGTTCGGATAGCCATCTTGACGAAGCCCTTGCGACGCTTAAGGACTAATCTGAGGCTGTATGGCTGTGCATCCAGTGATTCGGCTGCGCCTCCTACGACAATAGTAATTGCGCGGCCCATACCCTCCTGGTCATAATAGTCAGAATCCGGTTACAATTTTGATTGTTTGAACATACCTTGTTTGGCCCGCCCTTGGAAAGTAGATTCTCGCAAGATTCTTTCGATACAGATGCTAGACCCATTGCTAAAGCATATTCACGGTACAGTGGTATTCTGAAATTTGTATCTAATGTGAGAAGCGTATTTTTGATACCTGGGAATAGCTGAGAAAATCCAAGGGCCTCAGTCGCAAAGGCCGCAAATGCCCCATGAGAAATGATACCGTGGGGATGATATCCGAATATGTACTTCCTTGTAGGCGGTAGCTCTTGAGTTCTGTGCAACCTAGCTGGAAAGTAGGATGCAAATAATGACCAAACGGGTAGCGATCGGAAGAAGTTCGAACGATGACTCAAAGTCCCCGATATCGAAGCCTTGGATGTCATGAGGTAAATCATATACGGAATCAATATTGGCCAGAAGAGGGGTATCGCGCATAGAAAGAAGAACGTTGATACACAAATAGCGATGCAAAGTGTATGAAACAGCACTACCAAGGTTTGAAGCCTGCGTTGAAGTGGAACATTCATGGGCGCCCACCGAATACCACTTGTGTGCCATCGTTGTCCAGCTTGCCTCCCACTGACCAATTTTTCGTCTTTACGCTTCGGAATATCATCGTGGTTCTTTCCAAGTTGTTTCTCGTAATCCTCTGATGGCTTCACACTGATGAGCTTACTACCGTTTCGCTCACCACGGATCTTCTCAAAGACGGTAGTGTTCTCGTTACCATCCTGAGTGTCAGGCATTGTATTCCTATGCGAGCTGCGACCATTCTCATTCGTCCCATTTGATTTCTGCGAAGAAGACTTTCGTTGTCTGTGTCGAGGAGGGCTTTTTGGAGTATCGTCGAGGCCCTGGAATGTTAGTTAGCCTTTAGATCAAACATTGAATGCTCCTTCCAGCACAAACCGTAGCCGAGTACTCTCTTTTAGACTCCTGCCTATCGACCTTTGGCCTAGTCTCCTTGTTGTCTGTCGATTTTGCAGAATCCGTGGTACCATTCACATCCACGATTCTTAAAACCGACGCTTTATGCCTGCGGCCGGTTTCGTCCGAACCATTCGGGATCGTCACGGCTTGCCAATTCACCCCGTTTTCTTTATTTTCACCACTTCTATCATTTGGAGGCTCCGGTGTTTCCTCGGCAGCATCAGCATAGCTTTTGGGTGGAAGATTTAACTTTTCGCGTTCATCTGGCAAAGCCGGCGTTGAAATTATTGTTGATATCGACATTGGAATGAAGGTAGCGCGTCGCGAACCATTAAAGACACGGTTAAAGTGACAAAGGGCAGACAGAAGTCAAGCAAGTGATAATAAGATAAATACGAATGGGCGGAAAAACAGTCGTTTTTGACACGCGGGATGTCAAATTTGCTTTTAAGTACTGAAGTCTGAAGAGTCTCGCATTGGTCTCAATCAAATAAAACTATGACGTTGCCTTTTGCTACCGGGGCGGGATTTTAATACAGTAAAAACACTTGAACCTGAAGAAGCTTTTGAATTGGCTGGTACACTAAAATGGCAAGGTCCCACTGTATAATGCATCCATCCGTCATCCGTGCCTGAACGGTTTGAGCCGGAATTCTGAAGAGCCTTGGCCATTAATGTATGTACTGTTTATTATGTGTTCATTGCAGGTGAATTCAATCAACTCCCATTATCCAACCCAATGATCAAACATCTCAACATTCAGAAACGAAGAGAAAATTAAATGTGATTTCCAAAATGGATAAATCCCCTGCCGCTGCCCCCTTCTTAATCCTGTATGAATCAATTAACCCCCTTGTTCCAACCCTTCTTTCCTTTTCCTTTTCCTTTTGCCAATATCTCTTGATGGGTATGCTAATACCAATCTCCAAAACGAATCTATGTAGAACCTCAGAACCTCTACATTCGGGATGTGAAATATCATATTCTTCAATGGTGCATAAGAGGCGACAACTCCCTTTTCTGCTGCAACCCGCGAATACATTTCATCACGTATGATCATTCTAAAGCTTTGATTTATGAAACTCCAACCCCGCAAAACATACGTTGAAATCGTAAACTGCCGTGATTCTGTGGGTGATTACAGCAAGAATATAGATACAAACATCATGCCTCCCTCAAATCTCTTCCTACCAAAGCATTTCCACCATAACGAAAGAAAGGAAACCCCGGGGTATGCCGGCACTGATAAAAAACCTGCCAACTTCTATGGAAAAATAGTGCTACCTTTTTTTTGCTGGAAAGTCCCATCATTGACACCTCCCAAGATAAAACGCCTCCACCACTAAAAGAAGTGAAATTCGTGCAAAAGTTTCATAAACCAAACAAAGCGTATCGTGACCCACTTTTCGCTACTCAACGCCATGATATCTTTGTACACCAGAAGTGATTTTGGTACAGAACAGCTGCGTATACTTGCGTCCTATTATGATTGTTGTTACGATGTTCCTGACTGCTGACTTTGATTTTGAGAACTTAGTTGTCTACGGACAGCAATAAGCTCCTGTGACAATAGATTTACCTTCTCGTCCTGAGCCTTGATCTTTTCTTCCTGGCTTTTCTCCTTGACTTCCATGGCAAGCACTTTGTCAGTAAACAGCTTGAGTTTTTCCTCTAATGTATTAACATATGCGAAAACTCCCGAGGCGCCAGATGTGAACAAATTGTTACTACTATCACCGCTGCCTTGATGGCTTGGGGGACCTCGGCTTTGGAGAGAGTTGGAGGGTTGGAACAAAGACGTAGGGGATGTGGATTGCTGGATAGGTTGTTGCTGCTGAGAACCTTGTTGGGCATTTCCAGGGCCCTGTTGATTGGATAATTGAGATGTCAAAGTGAATCTTGTGTCAGGAGGGGCTAATCCAGTAAGGGCAGGAAGCTTTGGCCCCTGTGCGCTGTGCGGTGACGGTAAAGACATTCCAGGTGGTGGACTCCTCCCGGATTGGTGACGACCGAAGTGCTGTTGCTGGAATTGAGTAGTCAAGCTGGGGGATCGTTGCCTAGTGATCAAGGCGGAATCATGGCCCAGTTGGTGTGAATGCATAGCTGCCGGACTGAGTGGCTTAGGACTCTCGGTCATACCACTTTGGGAAAACATCGAGCCACCACTGGTGCTGAGTGGCAATGATGTTAAGCTATTATTAGGTGTATGAACGCTAATAACGTTGTTCTGCATGCTCGGTGATGTAGCCGAACTAGAAGAGCCCAAACGATCCGTATTAGGAGGATAAAGTCCTGTGAGAGGATTTGGTCTTGGTCCGGCGGGAGGATAGGTGCTTGGAGTGCGTGAGTTGGAATTGTAACTATCTTGGCTACCAACATTGCCAACATTAGAGGCTACATGCTGTGCTTTGATGCTCGGTAGACTAAACCGTCGGCCGTCTTCCTCAGACATCTCTACTTCGTTGGCATGGGGATTACCATTCGTATACATTATTCCGTCCATTCCATTGTCGTCCGTTTCGCCTACATTAGATCCGTCAAAATCTTCTTCCCCGCCGAAGCTTCCCATGCTCGCCCTCCTTCCGGCGCAGCCGCCTAGTCCTTTGCTATGACGGGCGAGCGCATCTCCTCGCGCGAATTTTCGATCGCATTTTGGGCAAATATGAGGGCGCTCTCCTGTGTGTAGTTTCATGTGACGTTTCAAGTCGTGTAACCTTCGGAACCTCATTTGACAAGTCTGACACACGTAAGGTTTTTCTTGACTATGTGTTAGAAGATGACTTTTCAAATTGTGGTGTCGAGTAAACTCGGTCTCGCAATAAGGACATTTGTGTTTCTTTTGGGATGGCGATCTTGGCAACAATTGCTGGTTTTGATTAGGCACAGGCAAACTCATGCCTCGCGTGGGATACTGCGATGGATCTATTTGTGCCATATTGCCTGGGAATGACATTGATTTGTTCGGGTGCTGTTCATCAATGGCGGCTTGAAGCTGGTTGATACCTGATCGTGAATCTCGATTGTCGGCCTCTAAAGTATTGGTCATGGAAGGGGGACTAGCTACAATCGTAGGACTAGCGGTTGCGGTTTGTGCCGTACTGCCCAAGCTTGCAAGGCTTGTGACGCTCGCTGGACTGGTTTCCGGCCTCTCATCGAACGGCAAAGTCGTGGGTATCGTCAGTGCACTCGCAGCTGCGGACATGCCTTCACTCATAGTATTTGTAGCCACCGGAGCATCTTGGACTTTACTCATGCCAACTCCTCCTCCACTTAGAAGAGACGTGATGGCCTCATGGCCAGGGTTCTTGCTCATAGCGCCGGGTGGACCTTTTTGCGCTTCTTCTATCTTTCGTCGTCCGTCTTCGAATGCCGCTGCCCCAGTGAGTGACACAGCAGGAAATACTGGACAAAACGTGCCGCCGAATCGTGGTGCTTTTGCAGGCGAAACGATCAGCCCCGCGTTCGCGATTGATGTAAGATCTGCTGGGGTTTGCGTTTGATCTGGTCGACTTCGTTTCAATGACCTTGCCCTGGTGTTATCGGGTTCCGGGTGGCTCGATATTGTAGGAGATTTGGTGGCGGGGTCTGATAACTTCGCGGTAAAGACTGGTACGGTCGCGGAAATTGTTTCTTGCTCTGAGGCCATGAACTCGATATATGATTAACAGATCAAAGAATTGATGCTAAAATCCACTAATGTCCAAATTTGCGATCTCGAGAAAACTTGTGATAATGATCAGGCTCTCATGTCGAGTCTTCACTGCTGGATTGCGAGTTGGTGGTGCAAGGCTGGTATTTCTGCTGAATCATAAGTCTTCTGCCGTGTATTAGAATCAATCGCATCATAATCTCAATTGATATGATGAACCTACAATTGAGCGATTCAGGTATATATGGAGTTTGGGCTATTGAATATATCGCAAACAAGGTTAAGCAAAGTGATTATCCAGGGCCACTACCTCGCTGAACATAATCAGACAGGCCGGATAACATTCAAATAAACAAAAGGTAAATGATTTTTAATTTAATAAAAGGCTGAGAAAAGCAGATATTGGTCGAATTGCGAAAAGCAGACTGTAGGTCAGTACGAGTAATGAGCCTTCTCCCATACAATGCAATAAATCCGATGGATGAACAAGAATAGATAAAAGTTGTAAGTACGAGCAGAAAATGAAGCTGAAGGTTGATTGCGCCTCAATGGAGACAAGACTTCTAAGGTTAGCGCCACTCTTTGCGATCAGGTCTCTTTCAAGGCTTAGCTTATTCTTGCCTTGACTTCTCTTTTTTTTCCCTTCCTCTTGTTGATGCTGACTTCAAGTGGTAACGAGAAGTAGGTACACAGTTTGATGGATTCATGGTTTTATTTTTATTTTATTTTACTTTTGTTTTATTTCATGTTATCTAATTTTACTTATTTATTTATTTATCCTATTAGTTCTCTAAAACATATCAAGTCAAGAAGGGAAAGAACTTTGCGAATTGAGATTTGCTCCCTCACATTTCATATCGAGAAGTGCCGTTGTTACATCCAGGTACCTCTACATTCACACAGCTCAGAGCCAATATCTAGCTCTAAAGGTCCTAGGTCCTAACTACTAGGCATATCACGGTTCCTCAATTCTAACTATTGAGTTCATATTCCAAGGTTCTAATAAAACGTTCCCAAGGCGAATGGTTCTGCTCACTCCTGTGGCTATGAAATCTCGGTCCCTAATAGATTCTAGCGTCTACCTAGTATCCGGTCTGACGTGCAATGCAATCATATATACCATATACTAATCACGCGTGGTTCTATCATTTTACTGAAGTAAGCAGGCCAAAGTCAGTTGTTGGTTAATATGGGCAAAGCAAAGAAGCACCAACAGCCACTCTGGTGCTCTCAGGTACCTAGTTTAGCTGTTAGATCCGCTTCACGCTTACCGTTTAATCTTTCCTTAGGTAAGGTTACCGTTTCTTTCCGCATCTAATAGGTACCTAAGTAGGTAGGTAGGTAGGTAAGTCTTACTTATCAACATTTCGTCCATCAGCTGCTCGGTGATCTTACAGCTAAAATTGATTTGAATCTCGGGAGACACGGCGATCTGATTTGGGGACTCTTGATATTTTGGCTCTATTCGTTCCTCTCTTGGCTTCTCAGCCACAAAGGGTTCCGTTTCTTCATTTTTATCGGCTCTTATCAAGGTGCGGGCACTATTTGCACACAGCACACACGGTGATAGGCACGTGCGGGCAAAGTTGAACCCAAGCTACTGAGTTGGTGCTTCCTTTAGTAACCACACTACATCATTTGTGTTTTTCTCTCATTCACGAATTCGTGTTTCCTTTCTTTTCGTACCACAAATTTTGGTTCATCCCAGCTCCATCAATCTTTTTTTGGGAGGCAATTTCACACAAACAAGCCACTAGATGATAATCATTGCTCTTTCCTTGGCGTGGTCATGACAATTGAGCTTCAGCCACGGCTGACAATGTTAGCCAATCGAGCGAGTTTTCTGTGGATTATTGCCTTAGGCTTAGACATTACCCTTGGGAGGGTATGACACAACGTCGCCTAAAAGAGATCCAGTAAGATGGCGAGTTGTCCAACGGCCGTTTGGAGAAAGCCGGTCTGTTTAGTTCCACGTCTGGTCAACGTTAATCGAACGTAGGTATGCAAATAGATTATTCATGTCATAGATCATTCCAGATCTTCCTTCTCTCTTCCTTTTTCTACGGACCACAGGTACCAGCCACACGGATCATAGTAGAAAACCTGTTTCTGTTTTAGAAATGACATAGTTTTAACCGTCCACTACATCCAGCATTCATGTCTATTCTAATTGATCTTTCTAAGCACAAAGAAATCCTCCAAGATGAGAGCCTTGCTTATACAGTGAAATCGCATGACGTATGTCGCCGATGTTCCAAAGCTCCATTTCCGCGTAGTCGTTTGCATACGTCCGGGTCTTATGTTTATTTCTCGTAGTTGTAATCTTTGATGCTAGTTGGCACGGAGACATAAAGAGACGCTCCAAGGGGGAGAGTTTTCGGGCCACCAAGAGTTCAGTATTTGGATTGTCGTGGGCGAGAGCAATCCCTCTCACGGTCTGGATACCTAGGAAGTATATACTTCTTTCAAAGAGTGTTTCAATATCCGAACTGTTATCGACAATTGAAAAATGAACTGAAGCGGAGGTGAGCAGCGTAGGAAAGAAGAGGGGAGGTGCCAAAAAGTGAAAAGAGAGGATCGTGGGGAGGAACATAAGACGTCGGTACCTTGGCTTAAATATGAGGAAAGTTCCAAAGAGATGATTTGAGCATGCGATGAATACATCCAAGGTGGTTGGAATGTTGGATAATGCCAGCAGTGTGTCCAATGGTCCAGACTACAGTCCGGATCTTTGAAAATACTTCGACTATTTTGATGGGTTTATTTATTTCAAATCGATTGAGTGTTTGAATACTTTTCGATATCCAAAACGAATTAGTAGCTTCAACAATCAAATCGATGTGAAGTTTCTAAAGGCTTATTCATTGTTCGATTGCAGCAGGAGGACTGTTGAACACACTGGAGGAGGTAATGGTAGCTTGAATAATCGATTTTGAGCCCAATATCATGGAAAGAATATATATTTTCAAAAATCTAGATATATTGAAAGGTGTTTAAGGTGCTTGCTCTCAAGCCATCTCAGCAATGAACAACGCGCTCTACCTTTAAGCTTGCACGTTGGGAAATCCGAGCTAGTTTGGAAGCTCATTTGTTGCCTCGCCAATGCCCTTTTCGATCTCATTAGGGTAATCATCAACGGTCATTCCAGCGACCCCCTTCGGACTCTTTCCTAAGCCTCCACCTCTTGATTGGGTCACCTCCCGTTCCACGAGCTCAGCATTTCCTTGTCCATCTCCATCAGCAAAATCAAAAATTCTATAGTCCGCATTCGCATAATGTCTGTAGCTGACGCAAGTCCTGAGGAATGCTGAATGAGAGACCACAGCGATGACTTTCTCTGGGCGTTGCTGTAACCACTTTCTAGCTGCGATTCCTCGCTCAGTCAAGGCCTTCTTCAAAAACTCATAGACACCAGACTTCGCTGGAAAGAGTGGATCGACGGATGACCAGTCAAATTGTGGCCACTCCTTCTCCATAAGTTCAATGGGCGTTCCTGTATCACATGGCTTGTCTGAGTTCTCCTGCCATTCTGGTCGAAGTATAACGGGGACACCACGCTTCATCAACCAGCCCAGGCCTTGCTGTGCTGTTTGCAAGGTTCGTCTCATGGGGCTCACCACAATGAGATCAATTTCTTGAGCAAGTGGATCATTCTCGAGAAAGCTTGCCAACTCATCACATTGTGTTCCCAAGCCAAGATCGGTCAATGCCGGATCGTGTAGTTCATAATTGCGTGCCCTGAAAGATCAGCTCAGATCACAAAGGATATTGCAGGGTGACTTATGAGACACATCTTGTGCAACGTTAGTCAGAACCCGTATTCATTGTAAGTGCATCTTATCAACTAACTATGAGCAGCTTGAGCATGCCTAATCAGAATAACTGTTGGAGACATCTCGTGAGAAACAAAGTGTATTTGGATGTTGGTATATTTTGTTGGGAGGGAAGGTGGCACACAAGGGACTAGAGGACTATGCTTCAAATGAATAAATAGAGTATAACCAAGTTTGAAAAGAGCTTGAAGGTATTTCCAGATTGCTTTAGCTTTAAAGGATGTAAACAATGGAAGAAATACCTAGATATCTTTGTTGTTGACTCATAAAAAAGATAATGAACTTTTAGAGTCCCATCCATACTTTGGAGCCATTTGAGGGATCTACATTATTAGTCATCTATGTCGGTCGATGTTTATCCCGATTACTAGCTTGCATGGATAACCGATAAGGATAAGCTGAAACAATATTAGAGATGAAGTACAAATTAGTGAGACTGTCAACTTTGCAACAATATTGTGGTTTTGTCTGTAATTATGAGTCTGTATCGCTCCGCTGCACTTTCTAGTAGAATCAAAAAGTCTACCCCTCCATTGAAGCGAGCTTCATCCTCCCCTTTCTCTTCCCTGCCTAAACGAAAACATGTACAGCGATCGAAATCGAAAGCAGAGTCTGACGAGGAGGAGGAGGACTTCTTAAATGATAAGCTCGATGATATAGGTTTGGTCAAAGCTCTTGCAACTGATCTCACTTTACGGGATGTTGCGCAAGCTATTCAGTATATTAGGGGAAGGATGTGGAACAATATACCTGGGCAGAGGAGCGGGATGAATTCGACGAGGATCGCAGAGGTTCTCAACTATCGAGATTTATTGCCACCCATTGTTACTGTCTCACATGTGCAAGCTTTATTAAACTCTCCAAGCGCGGTCGAACGAGAGATCGTAGAATTAATACAGGGAGGGGCGATAAGAAAGGTGGTCGTTGATGGAAGAGGGGGTCTAGGGGAAGTTTTGATACTGGTGAAGGATTTAGAAAATATGATAGACAGGAGCAACTTAGAGACTTCCTTGAAGGAACAATTGAAGACATTACTGCGAGAGAATCCCATGGCGTTGAAGTTCTCTAGAACCCTATTCACTGAGGGAGATGCTCAAGCATACATACATGCTGGCTTTCTTACCTCGTCAACGACCAATTATACAGCCACAGATCACTTCTCGAGACTGGGCGATGGTTCAAGAGGGACCCTGACTTCGCTAAATAGTATCTCAAGGGCAGCGTCCGGCTCTCTGGCTGCTGTCGGTGGCGAAGGAGCTGTTCATGCTTCTGGAGGTAGTGGAGGCGGGGCTCGATTGGCGGGAAAAGGTGACTTTGCTGTTTCCCTCCCTGCAACGGGACAATTTTTAAAGTTGTTGAGTAATGCGCGCCTTCATCTCGTATCCTTGCTGTCGAAATCAAAGTATCGTGAAGCACCGGAATCTCTTCTGCGGGAGCGGTGGAATGGAGGAATCGAAACAGATGATGGAGCGAGTGCGGCAAAGAGAATTAGAGGAGAATTTCCCGGCGTTCTTCCCGGCAAAACTAGAAAATGGAAGCAGTATTATGGGATCTCGTTTGAATGGATATTGGCAGAGTGTGTCGGCGCGGGGTTGGTTGAAGTCTTTGATACCAGGAGCATCGGAAGAGGCGTCCGGGCATTATAAATACTTCATGGGAAAGGTTGGAGTTTATCTAGAGTATCGTGGATTGATCCTTACCTTTCACGATTACCACAGTTTGTTTGATGTGTAAGATGAAATCCAGATTCCTCGAATAATAAGTATATAGGGAGAAACAATACTTTGGCCTGGACTAGCATAAACTTGGTAAGCTCCATAGAATATATAAAAACTGATATCACATGCGGAGATCACCATGTGCAGGTGGAGTTTACTACTGCATGTTCAGCAGCGGAAAATTTTTCGTGAACAGTGCTCAGAAGAGACGATTTTGCCCCTGTTCAAATTGTTGTAGTCTCGTAATGTAGAAGGCTATTTCTGGACACAGAGGATATCAATGACATACGAGAGAGAGTAAAGTACTTTCTCACTGTGGTATTATTTATTGATTGTACTCTGTATTGTTTAAATTGACCTCAGCAGATCATTGTATAAATATAAATTACTTCGGTAGTATAGCCCTTTTGAGAGATAAGGGTTCCTGAGTGACGGAATTGCAGGATAGCCAGCCATTTACAGCTTTGTGGCTTTGAGAAAGTGCCAAAATGGACAAGTTCGAAAAGTCCTTCGATCTTGTAACTGCGGCAAGGATCGTGTGTGCTCATTTGTGACCCCTGAGGTTCTTTTAAATATTGCCCCTCATACGGTCCACAGACAATTCGTATGAACCTATCATCAATTCCAGCGCGTTCCGCAGATAGCTGGGGACGTCAAGATGGTACAATGTACGGTCTGTACCTGAATTAGGTGATGTGATGTGATCGATAGTGTTGGTAGGGTCGCAGTTCACTGGACGGTCTGGAAATCATATAATATCACTCGCTTTATCGTCTTCCGTCCCGCTCCTCGATTTACTTGAATCCTCTCATGAATTTTAAGTCTAGTTGTTCCGCTACAGCTCTTCACGGAAAGCATATCGATACACCAGAGTTAAACGTGCCGTGATTCAAATATTTGCTTTTCGGATAATGCGCGTTTGATAGCTGTCAGCCATCAAAACACATATTGTCTTGTATTGGATGTAAAATCCAATGAGCTTTTCCCGTGCCAGAGACATTGATAACGGATGAATCCTTCAAGAAAAGTGCCGGCATGTTATGATGCATCTTATCGTTGTACGAAGTAAGCATCTTTCATATGGGGGAACCACATTGAAGGAGTTTTCCCGGGGTGGACTGAAAGGCAAAAGCGATTAAGGTTTTATAATGGTATATATAATATTTGTGTAAGTTATATCTCATTAATGAGGATAGGCTTCAAAAGCTAGCCAGCCTTGTTCTATAGCATTTATCATTTATCAAGCTTTGTCACCCAGTCACATTGTGATCCTGTACGTGTGAATATTCGCCACAAAGACGGTAATGTCGTTGTATCGTTCGTTATGTCTTTATTTATATTATCCTCAAGTAGCATCTGTTCCCCGAGTAGCAGTACCACGTACTGACAAGAGGTCCACCAATCAAAAACATTGCTTCCCTCTCTTATTCTCCTCCAGTCGTTCCTGCCCAAATTGGGACAATTTTGATAAGGGTACAGGATCCTTAGGGCAGGTCCAATAGATTGCTAAAGTCTAAAGTCCATGAAGGGTAGAGATTGCCCCACACTATCCCCAAAAGGTAATCATCGTTTCATGCTCTCTTACCTTGCTTTGTATAGAGCTGCGAATTTATTGTAGGGAAAACCTTGGAACTTGACATATCCATATTTCCACATTTCCACATTTCCACCCCTGAAAAAAGAGTCGCGGCGTAAAAGCCCCCAACAAGAGAGTCAAGACATGCTTAATAAGTAACTTTTCTATTCTCGAGTACAATTTATTCTACTTTTCCGTACATACAGTACTCTATACGTGTACGTGCTGCTATCGGTGAGGTTACGGAGTATTGTATTACAATCCTTCTCCGTGCAGCATCATCGGATCCATCCATTCATTCATTCATTCATTCATCCATCCATCAGTCTTTCTCTTTTATTTCATGTTATTTTCCTTTGCACAGATTCGAAGAAACATGTGAAGAAGCTACAATCCCACTCCCACTCCCACTCCCACTCCCAACACCATACAATTTTATGTTCAGCATTTCCGTTCTTTGCGTATTGATGATACTCTACCCATAATACCACCCCATACCTACTCCGTATTTTTGAATGTGCGTCCTTTTTTTTCTCTTTCTATGACCCACCAACATCCCAAAACGAGTTGGGTAGAAAATTCCACCCACCCATCTTCACAAATCATTTACCCTGCTCCAACGGTACATTTCGTCTTCTCCTTGCAACCCTGTATAACCCCAAAGAGTCGAGCCGAGAAGGATACCAGGGGTGCTATACTCTGTAGACTGTAGTTGTCTGGCCGGGTTGATTCGAAAAGGTGCAGGACATATCCGCACTTACAGAGTACAGTAAGCTCTTTCTCTCCTCCATTCATAGATTTCTTTCCATCTCATATCACCCCTCTGTTGTATATTCCAATAAAGCTTCCGCGCTGCAGGTCTACCCTACCTTGTGTTAACTAAACGCTATAGAAAAGTACTGCTTACTTTACTTTCCTTACTTTTTTCCTTCCCGCTCCTCACTGCTAGTACACGTCCGGTCTCGCGTCACCATTTGAAAGCTTCGAAGAGTTTTCTCGCCATCCTATCCCTCGCGACTGGGTAAAGAACCACGATATCACGATCCTTGCTTATGTTCCATATCAATCTCACTTGTCCTCCCATCTAACTCGCCAAGTGACGGCTTCCTGCCTTTGTGCCACCATCGCTACGACTTCCCTTCATTTATCACCAAATTCACCCTCGAGACTCGAAAGATCTAAATCAATTCACTGTTCACAAACCAAAAGAAAAACCTACGACTTGGTATCAAAAAAGACAGACCAAAAAATCCTTTTCGAATACTCTTCAAACTTTCGTTTCAAATTCGTTCCGGTTGTCAATTGCATTTGTATTTGGAAGACAGTATATTGAGGTTTCTGCTTTCACAAATATCAACCCAATTGAGATTAAGGACCTTGGTAGTACTACCTCACCTAGTTATTCGCGCTGTATCCAAAGACCACCGAAATTTCACAAAAACTCTTTCAGAAGTCAATGATTCGACCTTGTCTGATGAATGCATGAACACGATACCAGATTTAACTTGTCAATGTCTGTCGGTACTGGGATCATCGGATAATTACTCCTGCACATTGTCAACTGTGACACCTGGCATCGCTAGAAAAAGGAAACCTGCATATCTTGAGGAGGAACTTTCGAAGAATAAATTCCCATATCTGAAAAATACACATGGTTTTCACATTGGAAGCTTAAACCGTAAGGTTATCCACCCCCATATTTCGACTTCGGAGCTTGGTCCTCGAGATCAATTTGCATGATTGTATCTGATCTATCATTTCCCGGGCTGATGTAAAGAAGGGTGCACTGACAAGTCGAAACAGGTCCAAACACCAGAAGCTTTGCTACGCATATCAGACTGCATACTACCGGGTATCAGCTACTTTAGAAAGGACGAATAGAGATTTAGTCTAGAGCTTGCAAACGCAGTGGAGGTTATTGAGTACCTCGACAATTGGCCTTTGAAGCATCATCCCGAACTGAATAATCTTCGCAATCGAGTTTCATGGAACCGTGAATACCGACCTACAAACAACTGGAAGTTCAATTTTCGACTTCAGGCGCCAAATACCAACCGGAAATTCAGCTTCAAAGTCAATAGCTATGGCAGCGACCTTACCACGGGGGTCGAGACCTTCATATGGGCCGCCCACATCAGCATTACCTGCTCTGCCTATGGCAAAAACTCGAAAAAGCATGAGCACATCGCAATTGCCCACAGATGGACCAGAAGCACAAGACACACCTAGAAGCGGACTGCGAAACTCGTCGTCATCTAGCCTTCAATCATCTACCAGTCAACCATTGAGGAGTCCTGTCCTTTCAAAATTTCCCACTTCGCCAGGAGTTAATGCAGCTGGTAAAAGCATAAGGAAAACGATCAGTATCAATGCATTTCCGCAGCCTCCTCGAGGAGGGGTTAGAACCACAAGTTTGCCGCCTAGTCCATTATCCGGGGGAGTTGCGCCAGGGACCGCGATATCAACAGGAGAGTTAAGTAGGAGGGAATCGATGGAAATAAACGCATCCAACACTGGTGGCGGGAGACTTCGGAAAAGACCCATGGCGATGGCCAATCCCAATACACATAGCTCATTCAGTGGATCGACCCAAACCCTAATCAACGGAAGTGAAGGCGGCATTTCAATATCTGGCGGTGCCGGAACTCGAGGTTCGGATGGTCTATTAAGCTTACCATCACCCCCGCAAAGTCGCAGCTCATCTGCCCAGGATTCATACTCGACGTCTGTAACAACCACTGAAGAATTTGGAGATGGGGTCAGAGGTCGAGAGGGGCCTGATGATGCCGATGGACAGTCTTCAAAATTAGGAGAAGGTAAAGGAAATGTCATCGTCAGCGTTCGTGTACGCCCAGATGCCAATAGTGATGGAGACAATAGCAAGTCTTCCGGAGAATGGTTAATAGATGGAAGAAAGTCGCTTGTTGCCTACCGTGGGAAGGAAGGTGGCGATTATTACTATGGTAAGGCTATGGCTGATACTTTTTCATGTTGACACTAACACGGTAACAGATAATGTGTTTTCCCAGAATGATAATAACGCTAGAGTATACGATGCATCGGCCAAAAGGCTCGTACGGCGAGTCATGGAAGGATATCACGGCACCGTTTTTGCATATGGCATGACAGGTACGGGAAAGACATTCTCCATGCAAGGGACGGATAAGATGCCTGGTGTTATTCCACTCGCTATCACCGACATTTTCTCATATATTCGTGAAACCCCATCGCGAGAGTTTCTTCTCAGGGTTAGCTATTTGGAAATATATAACGAGAAGATTCATGATCTGTTGAGTGCTTCGACAGGACCCGCAACTGGCCCAGGAGCTGTTCAGACTGAAGAAATTAAGCTTCGAGAAGATAGCAAGAGGGGTGTGTATGCCACACCTCTGAAAGAAGAGATAGTGCAATCTCCAACACAATTACTTCGTGTCATCTTTCGAGGTGACCAAGCACGAAGGACTTCCAGTACACAGTTCAATGCTAGGAGTTCTCGAAGTCATGCAGTCGTGCAGATCGTGGTTGAATCTCGCGAGCGAATTCCGGGAGGAACAGCAATGAACGAAAACAAGCGGAGCGGCCTTGTTCCCGGTGGCGTGCGCGTCTCTACACTCAGTTTGATTGATTTGGCAGGATCGGAGAGAGCCGCCGAAACGAAGGAACGACGTACTGAAGGCTCTCATATCAATAAAAGTCTGCTGACCCTCGGAACCGTCATTGCTCGGTTGTCGGGCAACAAAGATAAGGACGGCAAACCTATGGACAAGGACGGAAAACATTTGCCATATCGCGACAGCAAGCTTACAAGACTTCTTCAAGGCGCACTATCCGGTGACTCGCTTGTCAGCATTCTTTGTACAATATCTGTTGGATCCGGAGCAAGTGCCTCTGGGCCTAATAGCCACACCAGTGAGAGCTTAAACACCTTGAAATTTGCTTCTAGAGCTGCAGCCAATATCGTCAGTCATGCTAAAAAGGCGGAGGAAGCAATGGGCGCAGGTGATGGTGGTGCTAGAGTCTTGCTAGAACGATACCGCATGGAGATCTTAGACCTACGGAGGCAGTTAGATGGCCAAGTCAAAGCCAAAGCATATGAGGAGGACAAAATCCAAAAGGAAGAAGCAAAGGCACGTCATGAAGAGCAACTTGTAGAGATGCAGTTGGCTCGAACGGCCTTGAAAGAAAGAATCGATCATTTAAATAGACTGATACTCAGTTCCAAGTCCACTGGTGTGAATGCACATGGTACATATTCGTCTTTAAGCATGCGATCTAGATTTTCGATGGGGATGTCAAATGGCCACATGTCCTCAATGTCTGTGCGCTCATCTATGACTCCATCCACCATCACACTAGAGCGTTCCAACTCGGTATCTACCATCGGTCGCCGGCGAAGTACGAAACGATTGTCTGGAACTACTTCAGGTGATCATACGTCAATGGAAGATGAAGATTCTGCGGGTGAATATGGTGATGGTACAGCTTCGCTGGCAGCGCAGAATCGAGCTTTACAAGCTGATCTCGCAGATAAAACCAGGTACTGCCAGACTCTAGAGAAGCGACTCCTACAAGCTCGCCGCTCTAGTCAGTCAAGGGCGTCTGCACAATTCGGCACCAAGTCGAGTATTATGGTTGGTGAGGACCATGGGGTTTCCAATCTTCTGAAAGATAAGGATGCTGAAATTGCGGACTTAAGGGCAAGACTTGATGATAAAGACCGCATGTTATCGGCACTTCGTAGCTCCGCTCGGTCAAGAGATACTGCCGACCGTGATTCTCGTCATGGAGTGAATAATGGGATGAATCATGGCTTGCCGTTAAGTCCCGTCTCGGCGAGAGAATCCCAATTGTTTGATCCTAGTCTCACATATTTAGGAGGTTCGGTGAAGGTTCTCCCACCCACAGTACTTCCCCCCACGCCTCTCAAAAATTCAAAAAGTGTAGATGAGATGAGCAAAATGTTGGATGAGATGATTCAAGATAGAGTTGAAAGTGATCAATTGATCAAAGGGGTTAGGGGAAGTGTTCGACACACTGGCGACCGCAAGCGAGCGGTTTCAACAGATAGGATTTCTGGAATTGAACCTCTTAAGAGTCCATATTTGAGTCCTATGGCTCAGCCACACGATTCTGGGGTTGTAGTAACAGATTAATTTAAAAAGAGTGGAGGTGAGATTTGTGATTAATAGGGTTATGGTTCACGGCGTTTTTTGGAAGGTTGTTAATTGTCTATACCCACGTTACTTTTGTTTTCATTTTATTTTCCGGGCTTTTTGCTTATCACTGCAAACATTTTCTTCTCTTTTACGCGGCAATTAGTGATGGGACACTGGAGCGGGCGGTCATTTTTTCGGGAACATTTCGATGGGTGGTTGGTGGGACGGACAGCGGCATTTATCTGTCTAAATGTAATAATATGATCGGGGAAGGGTACATTTGGAGGGCCTCACAGGATTGGCGGACTCAGGAAAACCATACTTCTGGATCGCTTCGGGAGACGTTTTTCTACTTGGTTTCATTTACTTTTGTGCTGGGACGTGGATGCGCATTTGGGAAAATAGTCGAATCTTGATAATGGGTTTGTGGTTTGATACCCCAGGATGATTGGGAAGGATACAAAAACAGATATCCGATAGAATATACCGATACAGCGATGATGGGAATTGTTTAGTAGAGATATTTATTTGGGATGAGTTGCATGAGTAGAGTTGTTGAGTTGAGTTGAGGATGTGGTTTACTAGAACAGATAGATATTGAGTTGTGTGGGGGGCTCAATGAATCGTGATGTAATGAATGAATTGATGGGAGTCAAAAGATATAATTTTTATCAGATTTCAAACATGAGCGTTTGCGGATGATGTGATGTAATTTGGTATTGGTACTGTGTACGTGAAAGTTGAATGTAATTAATGTAGATGTGGGAATTAGCTGTTTGTTTTCTCGTTGTGGAAAAGAAAAATGCAAAGAAAGGATGGTGCCCTGGGTAGGTGGTAGGTATTAGTGATAGATATATCTACTCAACCGTCGGGATGTAACGTTAGGGTATATATAAGGCGGGAAGGAATTGGTCTGTTTTTTTCTTTTTCTTTTTTTTTTCGGGGGTTTTTTTTTCGGGAGTAAAATATACTGCCGTTCCTGGGCTTTTGAGAATTGGCATTTGGGATTTGGGATATGGGGTATGGTATGGGGTATGGGTATAGAATCTAATGGATGGATGGATGGATGGATGGATGGATGGATGGATGGTGTTTACGCATCGTAGGATTATATCAATGTTGGAAAGGGAGAAGGAGAGGAGAAAATCTATGGAGGGAGAGCTGGGGTATTCTTATGTTATTTTAAAGTGTGGTGTGGTGTGGTGTGTTGTGTTGTTTGGAGGAAGGAAGGAAGAATACATGTAGTCGTAGCCTAACGTAATATGGCATAATACAATAGTCAAGCTTGGGGAGGAGGAGAAAGGGTTTGCTTGCTTGCTTGCTTGCTTGTTTTGTGTTGCGTTTGTGGAAGTAGAGTGGGTATTCGGCTGGAGATGAAATGTTTTTCTTCGTGTTAACTTTGTGTTGAAGGTATTGGTATTGGTGGTAATTTATGGGTGGTGATGATCAGGAAGGAGGGGTGGTGGAGGACGGTGAGGTATGTATGTATGTATGTATTTATGTATGTGAGTGAGTGACTGAGGCTGCGGATATATGTGTATGCATGCGTGTTACTTGAGGTCAAAACGAAGTTGATGCAGCTTGGCCTGCTGAGAGATTGGAGATTGATATAATCGCTGGATCTATCGTTCAATCTGATTTAAACATTGAACTAACTAAGTCTCTTGAAGTCTTGAAGTTCAAGCTAATCCAAAACATTACATTCTTTCCATGGTCCAATTAGAATTGCATGTCTGCTTTGAAAAAGACCTCTCTCTCTCTGTCTCTGTATATAGCAAATGAAGGGCAAAAAAGGAAAAAGGTTATTTTCTCTTCAAGCTCCTTTCTCCGGAACGATCTTGGCACGGCACTCACGGTGATGATCGTCTCCCATAATACTCCAGAGCTGAGCAAAGAGTGTTTTCCAAGGGAAATTCAATTCGTATATCCGTTGTGTTAATTTTGTTAAGTGTAGGTTGATCATCCACGAATCTATTTTTAAGATGTTCTTTTACCACCATATTTGGTAAGACTCCCTCCCCAAGAAAGGAAATCCGGATGATGAAGGAACCTAAACCGAATCCTATAACCAAAAGGATGTTGATGGTCCCTCCTGTGACGTCCCTTTCATTCAGGCTACCAGCGGACATGTCGCAAATGAAGCCTGATAATTGGAAGGAAGATTGTGATTGGGGTCGGGTCGGCGAGTACTTGGGTTGAATAAGATTCGTAAGACGACGGCAACTCCGCCACTGGTTACAGTACATCTGAGTATGGCAAATCGCCTTTTCAGACGGAGAAATGGTTACCTGCCTAGATACCCAGCTAGGCTTTACGCATACATATCCATGCATGAGATAGGTATGGATCATCTGGATGCACCGAAATGTTGACCATACGGCAAGTAAGACTTACATTTCTTGGGTGCGGCCAAGATGTAGCACGTACGGGGTATGGGGATATATATTAAACACGATGTGCAGTAGATAATTACGTGCAGATGGTGGCGTTTTTCTGTGTTTGTGATGGTTGTTCAAAACTTGCGTGCGGAACTCAACTCGAAACTTGGTCACTGGAGATCTTATCGTCCCAGCCGGCGGGATGAATTAGCTGCCTCTCCTTGATAGAGTGATAGAGTGATAGAGGGGAAATGTTTCACACCCGTTTCTCCACGGTAAAAGCAAAAGCTATACAGAATCTTATTAGTTCACGGACGTATATCTCCATCTCCATCTCCATCTCCATCTCCATCCCATTCTTGAGAAGATTGTTCCGTATAGGAAGGAATCCTCGACCAATCGCCTATGAGGCTGCCAATGAGGTTTTGTAGATAGTAGAACACCCCTCGTTGCATTTACTTTCCGTTTGGCGTCGGTTTGGGATAATCGATGATTTCTGTGTTCTGATGTTTCATTGGCTGGTCTAATAGTCGGACATTTTTTTCATTAGCACGTTTCAGGTATTCAGGGGTAAACGCAATGCATTTCGTCGAGTTCGCGCCTAAAGGAGTAAAAGAGGAAAAGAGCAGCATAAAAGAATCAATACATTTAGGCGAACAAGAGCTTCTTCGTGTGTATGGATGGATGGATGATCCGAGGAAGACGGAGAGAATGAAAAAAAAGACGAAAGGTTAAGACATATGATATTTAGATTATGCGTATATCCGGGTTCCACCAATTAGTCGAGAGATGAAGGTTAGATGAGAAGTTACAGGTCGGTAACCTTCTTTGGTTTGTTGGTGAGGTACGAAAGTTTCGTTTCACGGTTGGGGATTATCAATGCTGATGGTTACAAGATCCTGCAGTTATACGCCTACAGGATTACATGAGGCGGTAGCTCCTCAACTCCCTCAATTTGTTGAACCGCGGAGTACATAGCTAAACAGCTTGTTGTTTTCAGGGTTCAGCTAGTTGGTGTAAATTTATACTCTTTCGGGATTCTTGTTGTGAGGAAGATCATCCAAAGCCTTGCCTTCAGTTGTTGATGTAGAGATCATCCATCCCAAGCCTTGCGTATGTTCTTGATGTAAGGGATTCGTCTCATGCTCTTAAATACCTATTGATACCTAGGTATTTGAGGTAACATTACTAATATAATTCCGAAAGAGGAAAAGAAAGACAGAAGAAACTTTCTGATATTCCTTCCTTTATTATTCCATGACTTCGTCTCTTCTTTTTAACCTCATTCTTTTCTCGGACATCGGTCACCGGGTCTTCTGTAACACGAGCAAGTTGAGTCCCTTATTTGCAATTGCTCCATGTTTCCATGTTCATTCCTGGTACAGTCAGTGGCATTCGGAAGATTTAACCCCTGGTTTCTTCGGTCAGCCCCACGCGAGATTCCAACTTTAGCCAATAATCTTTCAAAGTCTTGTATAAAATTGATGACCACATACAAGGACCTTAACCATGCAACCGAAAGAGAAGGAAAATCCATCACAACTTTGTCTCAAGTTTATCTCCTTCCTTTCCGCTAAGGTATCACTGTATCAGATCTCTGTTGGATTGTGGATTGTGGATTGTGGATTGTGGATCATGGATCATGGATAATGGATACCCTTTATCCTACTTTTCTTTCCCTCCGGACTGTGTTGATCATTTCCGTTCTTCACTTCAATCTCGTCTTCTTTACATCTGGTAAATGATCTTATATTCTTATCCCTGGTCTTAGCAGTAAAATGTGGCATGTAGATCGTGCCGTTTGACCTCATATGACTCAAAAAACGACAGGAAAGATCCGACATTAATGATTAGACGTCACCAACCAAGGTCCTCCCAGGCTCTCTATCTACGCTTCTACATATACCGGCATCGTTCTCCGTTTCGTCTTTACGCGCTTCCTGCATGGTACTCCACCTTTAACTGTTGCCAAGAAAACATTATCCATACACTTAGGAAATACTATATCTTTGACATATCCCAAATATATTAATCTTTCGATTTTTGGACCACAAACCTTCTTCTTTCGGTCCATATCCGTTGGAGGTTTTACCCTTAGAGGCCTTTCACTCCTTTACTTGTCTCCTTATTAGTCACTACATTTACTTACCTCGGAAGTCAAAACTCTTGGGTGAATTTCTTCATGTCACCTACTCAATCTTTCCTTTCCAAGTGCAGGCGCATTTGAGAGCTCTTATCGTAGCACTATCACGTTCCTTTTTCCAGCAACCGCATTTGATTATTTTCTTCCTGGCTGCGCCAGTCACTTTACCATATGGTTCCTCCTCCACTTGATTTAAAAAAGACATATTCATACTCAGATATGCTTCTCTCATCACGAACTTCTCCTCGGCTCAGTTTGCGTAAATCAGGCTATGATCCAAACGACCGAGGACCATTATCATCTTCTTCTTCTCGATTTAGCTTCAACCATCTCATCAAGTCACCACCGCCGTCACCTAGTCTTCCGGCTTTGGTCCCTAGACATGGCAAACCAGCGCCATCTCGGACTCCTCGGAAATGCTTCAGAGGATTTTTGTGGTTTTGTGGCATAGCAATGATACTTTATTTTTGTTCCAACTCACCATGGCTAGAAAGACCAATGACGGCAGTAGGGTGGGCAACAGATTCTGGGAATCATTATGAGATGGTTGGAGAATCTGAGTTACCGGACTTTCCAACGCCAGTTATCGTAACAGACAAGCGCGGGCGATCGAAGTGGACGGTTTCCATACCCCCCAATCACGAATTTCCTCTCACTCCCACACAATACGCCGATATCTGCTCTCAAAATATGGAAGTTGCTGCCACCGTTGCAGACCTACATAGCCACGTGCATCGAGAGCACACTGCACATTACGACTACTACCACGTGGACCAAAATTTCATGGACGTTGCTGAGGCGGAGGCGCATGGGCTTTTACCTGGAATCAAGACGAAAAATAGTGTAAAGGATGGTGTCTTGGTGGGCGAAAAGAAGGGCGACTTGATTGATTCAGATATCTGTGACAAGACTCTGACTTTTGTTCTGGAAACCTCAGATGCGGGGCTTGGTAAAACCTTGATGATGTTATGGACTGCGTTCGGTTTGGCTCAAAAGGAAGGAAGACATTTTTTCGTAGATGACTCAAGATGGTAGGCTCTGAGAAACTTGCCTCCTTTATTACTGTTTACTGATGATACCAAGGGCATACGGCAAATACACCACCTTCTTCCAAGCACCACCAGCACCCAAGTGCAGACCCCCACCACGACACGAAATGCTTCCATGCCCGCATCATGCTCGCCATCTAGTGGTCTCGGCTGCGACCGTTACTCATACCTTTGGAGGATCTTTCAACGATTATTTTGAGGATGCGCGAAAGATGGAAGTCTATCGACAAAAGCCAATTTTTGAAATGGCCCGACTCGGGTACACAGCGCTTTTCAACCTGTCCGATGGAGATAATGAATATGTCGATAGAAGGGCCGCAGAATTCAGGGCAAAAACGACACTCGATCCAGTGGATCAAGAAAGTGGAATCGTCGTCGGTGTACATGTTCGCCACGGAGATAGAAGGCCATTCGAATTCCAGTACAAGGATAGCTATATTCCATTGACAGTATATAGCGACACAGCGCGCATGCTACTGGACAAGAAATACAACCACTCGCTTCCGAATGGAGGCCATGACACTTTGGCTCAGATGGCTAGTGCAATTGTTCTTGCTTCCGACGATCCCGACGTTTACGATTCAGACGAGTTCAAGGACGTATCCAGAGCACAAGAGCAAATTCGATTAGCGTCCAAGAATGCCCTTGAAGCAGCTACCCCTCAGCCCAACACTCCAGGTCCAAGAAAGTTTGTCGATGACACAGTAGGATGGGAAGGTGGATTTTATGCAGGCATGTTCTGGAGTTTGGGTAAACCTTCTGGCACTCCCAAAACTGCAGTTGAGAATCCGGAAACAGCATTAACTCCAACTACCGAAGCTTTAAGACTGAGGGAGTTGGTCGGAAGAGCTTATTTGATGGATTTAACCGTGCTGGGAAAAGCAAGTGACAAAATTGTTTGCACAGTCAGTTCCACAGGCTGCAGAATCCTTGCCGTCATGATGGGCTGGGAGAAAGCAATTGACCAAGGAGGTTTTGTCAATGTTGATGGAAACTTCGATTGGAGGGGTATAGCATGGTGAAAGAGTGGAGTACAATTCCTCATCTCTCATCTCATGCATTTCACAAACAAATCATTCTATTGTTCATATTTATGACTTTTGATAGCGGGACTTTTAGCGTAAGCATTTTCGTGGCGTTGGCGTTGGCTCTGGAGTTTGGGGTTTGATGAGTCTCTCCACGAGATATGGAACATATGCAATTGCATCGCATTGTACGGTGTAGGTTCACGCGTCCTAAGATACCAGGCTATGTAGCCTTTTGTAGAAAATTACTGAATAGTGGAATTTTCCCTATTTGACTTTATTTCCTTATGCTGCTACGTATAGGTGATGATTGTGAAGTTGCATTATGAATTAGGAAGGTTGACACTAACTAGCCTGAGAATATATTTCTGGCTCAACTCCTTCTTTCCTTCCTCCTCACGATCAGTCACCCTATATATATGAATGATATCTCGTGAATGATATCTCATCATATCTCATCATCGGGGTAATAACCTAATAAACATCTACAACGCAAAGTTGCCCAGCCGAAAAAAACCTAATCCTTGATTCAAGAACCAAACACCAAACACATCATTATTCGTGATTTAAGAGAATCTCTGATCTAATTGAATCATGGAGTGAGTTATTTGGGAAGATGGGGATTTTTGACGGTTTTGAGGATTTCGACTATTAATTATATAAGGTGATGGCTGGATGAATATTTGGTTATATTTGAGGATTTGTGGTTTTGTTTTTGTTACAATGTTGATGCTGATTGGGATTGGGATTGATGTCTGTATTTTTCTTTTTGAAAGGCTGGGATGCGCTTTCTTGGTCTAACTCTGTTGTTTGCTGATGTGGTGTGTATGAGTGTAGATTGTTCTTTCTCGTCAATATCTGTTACGGCGAGGAAAGAACGGGTGGCTCGATATTGGTATTTCTCCGACTTGAAGTATGCTTTTCTTAACCCATCTTCTTCTACTATTCATCATTCATCATTCGTCGAAGTAGCATTTCATAATAGCAGCATACAAAAACCTCCAGGTCATTAGGTATCTCTTATTTTCATGAAAATTTCGCCTGTTAGGTGGCTGAACGTAAGGAGAAAGGTTGACGAAGAACTAAACATTGATGTTGCAAAAGTGCCGTGGTCCCATCGCCCATCAGAGACGAACTGCTCACCGGCGACCATATCGAACATATGGCAGGCGAGTTAAGATTCAAACGGCTCTCGCCTACCCCTGATAATGTTCCGAGAAAACCGCCATCGGCACCTATCAGAATACTCGGAAGTGGTCTATCAGCTTTAACGCTTGCATGCAGTCTTCGCAAAAAGCGTATCCCCTTCAAAATTTACACGCGAGATTCCCGGCCTCAAGGGGCTTGGGATCGGCATGATTATAGTCTTTTGCTGCCAGCGAGAATTATCAGAGCGCTTAGGAGACTGCTCTGCATGAGCGAAGATGCTTTTCGTCACACCCTTCTAGTGCCATTTACCACAACCTTTCCGTCTGACAGTGGAGGGGCAGTCAAAATGAGAGTCCACAGGGGAAAACTGGAATATCTTTTGAGGCACGGCTTTGAGAAAGAGATCGAATGGGAATGTGAGATTAAGGTTGAATCCGAAAAAAGTGGGTTGCCGCGTCTGATTTTTCCCTCGCATGTCGATAAATTGGAAGGGAATATTACATTCGATTGTATGGGTGCTCATTCTCCGATAAAATACGCAGAAGTTAGCCAAACAATTTTCCCCATTGTGCTATTCCGAGGCAAGATGTTCTTGTCTAAATCTTCATGGGATCGAAAGTTTCGGCATCGGTTTCCCAATAACACATCACAAATCCGAGAGAAATTCGGTCAAACTATATTGGAGCTTATAATCGACGACGTTCATCCGCACACTGGTGAAGTGATGTTATCGTACATGTATTCGAGGCCTCGTTTGGATGGTCCAATAGATTCGCCTGATGAACTCTGGGTACCGAAAAGATCTACCGATGAAGCAAGGTCACCTGTCTTGATCGGAAAGTTCCTCGACGAAGTCAAAATCTTTCGACAAGAGCATAACTTACCCGAACCATATGATGAGGTCTTCAATCCAGAAAGAATGAAGGAAGATGACCACGTGCATTGGCTACAGAGGTTTTCAAGGGCAGACCAGCCGAAGCTAATTCATCTGTGGACTGGCGACGAAAGGATATTCAAGTTAGGTGATGCCATATTCCAAATGGGCGTACTCGAGACTACCGGTGCTGAAGTTGCCATTGAGGATGGCATTAAGGTTGCTAGAGAAATTGTGCAAAATGGGGGAGCGATGCTGCATCGCTGGCTAATTAGCGGCTGGGTGAGGAGAGGTTGGCATGGTCATGCAAGCTTTCATCGTATGATTGAAAGGTATAGATCAAGAGTATAAAGTAGTAACACGTGAGTTTCACACCTAAACCCTGTTTTTCCCAGTTTATATCAAGGCAGCAAATACTGTGATGATGACTGATATTTTTGCTTAGAAGTATTAGTTTTGTCATTCAGGGGAGGGAATAAGATTACAACGGATTCGATGGTATTTCTTTACTCGTTCCCGCAACCTCAAAGTGTACATTATCACAATCAGCGTTAACTTTATGAATGGAGCCTTTTCAATAGTTCCGAAGAATTCATCACGTTTCCTGTTTTTCCCAAATCATATGTACAGACATGTCAGTTGCTCAACTCTCATCGATCATATAAACACTTTCATTTTATATCTCGATCCGAAATGTTTATCTACCCCAGTCATTTTCACACCCAACTGCCAGGAAGGATATCAATACCGCTATTCAAACGAGGTCACCGGTACTATCATCGTTCCAACTCCCCTTTCCTTCATCACCCATTACATAGCCGCGAAAACGCATTTCCACATCCCACTCTACAGAAATACACACTTGAGCTCTTCATCATAACAAAGTTTTCATTCTTATAGAAATTTCCTTACTTGGGAACAGATATACGGAAGGTCTTTATTCCGTGTAATGGAAACGATAGCAATAATTAGTAAATATTGCTATGATCCTACGATTCGGGAGGTGTGGTTACTTTCTTTTGTGCATTCGAATTCGTATATGCTCTCCTTATGTAGGTTATATATGAGCATACTAGATATAGAATGGAATGTGGAATGTGGAATGTGGAATATGGTGTTACTTTTTTCTTCTCGTGCTTTTTCTTTTCGTTTATAACCCCGAGTTGCTTTTTTCGAATTGCTGGGACGGTTTGTTTGTTTGGATGTAATGTTTAATACTATTATTTTTATATCATAGTTCGGTGATGAAAAGTAGGTACACAGAATAGAGATTGAAGAGGAAATATGTGATAGGTAGATGTATACTAATATATTTTATAAGTTTATAGTTTGAATAGTTATGTATGTTACATGAAACCTTAAAACAAAACAAACCATTATAATTATAATTATAGGGTAATTAATCCAATATAACCGCACCATCTACATCCACATCCGAACCCGATCCGAAAACTCTAACCTATGACCAAATATCCGCATCAACTTCCCAATCACAACACCAAAATCAAAACTAATATATAAAAACCGCACGATAAATAATCCAATGATCCGATAATAATATCGAAACAGACCCTGACCCTGACCTTAATATGTATCCATGTTTATGAGTGTGCGAAGTTGGACGCGAATGAGAACTCGGGTCCGCTTGCGATTGCTTGTGGCGGATGTGGGAGATTGAGGTTGAGGTTGAGGTTGGGGTTGGGATTGAGGTTGAGGGTTTGTGGGAGTTTTTGGGAATGTGAAAGTTGTGGGATTGCGGATTAGATGGTATAGGTATGTAGACTTTGGGTGTGCATATTGGTTTTGCTGCGAGGTGAGGTGAATGGAGAAGGAGGAGGAGATATTGATGTGGATCGGGGTTTACGTTTGGGTTTACATCTGGGTTTACATCCGTGTTTGAAGTGGAGTGAGATGAAGTGAAGTCAAGTGAAGTGAAGTGCATCCGCAGCTATGGTTTCGAGTCTATAGCTAGGGGTAGGAGTAGAGATATCGATACGGTAGTATCCGTGCTGGCGTCGATGTCGAGAGGTCTTTTGATGTCATGCTCACGAATTGGCATGTGCACGTACATTCTTTCTACTACAATATTAGCAGTACTAATATTTACTATTTTGGCACAGCAAATTTTCAAAATCGCTTAATGATGATGTATGTATGATGGTCTGCTGGGATATAAAGGCCTGGTGGGCACTGGTCTTTGAGAATAATGGGTGAGAATGGAGGAGAGGTTGATTTTAGTGTTATAGTGTTATAGTGTTATAGTATTGTGGCGAGTAGTGCTTGAATGGTTTTTTAGCAGAGGGGGTTCTATAATCTATTGTTGGTGTGTAGATGGTTTTGAGGAAATGGGGGAAGAGGTTATGGATATGGATATATGTGAAGGAGAAATTTACCGGTGCTGTTGTGAGGGAGTAGGTGTATAAAAGAAATGATTGGTTAGTTAGTTGGTTGACTGGGTCTTTGGCGGAGGATGAGAAGGGTGTTTTGTGCTTTGGATTGTGTTGTGTTGTGTTGTGAGTGATGTGATGGATGGATTCGAAGAGGAAGGGTAAGGCTATCTTGAACTTTTTGGTGGTAAGAGAGGGATGGATGGATGGGTTTTGAATGTTTATTGTTTTAGTGGCTTGTATATATATATATATATCTCTCTCTCTCTCCCCTCTTCCCCCAAATCCAAGATCTCAAACAAACCCAAAACTCCCTCTATATTTACATTTCAAGATATTCTATCTTAAAACCTTAAAAACCTAAAAGCCTCAAGAGTCTAAATTACAATTATCTTATAGATCTTTTAAATTCTATAGATTCTTCTTCTTTCCAATCTTTTGAGTAATTATCTTAACTTTATTTGCTTGTAAATTATTTTACTCTCTTAAACCATAGATCTTATAAATTTGATTCAAGTTTTTATATTATCAGGTTTCTGGTTCTCCCTCTCGAGTTATTTGGATTTTTTTTCGAGTAGGTAATTAATTAAACATTAGGGGATAGTTAAACTGCTAACCTGCTCTGAGATTTATCGAGGTTTGAATGAATTTTATTATCTATGACGCTAACGTCTAGTATTTATCATCTACTATCTATCTGTCTATCTCTATCTCTTCCTAATCTACCTCCCTACTTCCTACTTCCTCAATCTATCTACACCCAGGATTAATTATTAGCAATAACATCCCCACCATACTGTACCCTCCTAATCATCGAACGATTACAGCCCTTAATATCCTGTATACCTGCCAATCCCATACTTTGATCCACATCCGCCAATATCCCCTGCAAGACCTGTTTAGCACCCTGCTTCCCCCCTACTGCCAATCCATAGATGGCTGGTCTTCCTATCAATACCGCTTTGGCACCGAGACTGAGTGCTTTTATAACATCCACGCCAGTGCGGATCCCACTATCGAATAGCACCGTCAGTTTGTCACCTACTGCTTCCACAATCTCGGGTAACATTTCTAGTGAGCCGATGGCGCCGTCTAGTTGACGTCCGCCGTGGTTACTGACGATGATACCGTCAACACCGGCTTTTACGGCTTCTAGTGCATCGTCTGGATGTTGAATTCCTTTGAGTACAATTGGTCCATCCCAATTATCCTTCAAGAGCTGGATTTGATCCCAAGAATGCGCAGCACCTGAAAAGACATCTCCGATCCATTCTTGAGATGCCTCGAATACCTTTTCCTCTGGCGTGGCGTTGTATTTCTCGTTGAATTTGCGGCGGAAAACGGGATCTGTGAATCCGGTTTTGTTGCCCATGCCTTTGATGAATGGAACGTATCCTCCGTCGAGATCGGCCGGTCTCCAGGCTAGTGCCCACGTATCGAGGGTTACGACTAGGACTTTGTAGCCGCAGTCTTGGGCACGTTGGAGGAGGGAGATGGTAATTTCGTCGTCTTGTGGCCAATATAGTTGGTACCAGCGGTGGCCGTTAGGGCCGTTGGATTCAGCTACTTCTTCCACTGGAAAATATGGGTTAGTGATTTTGTTTCATGATTGGGATCAAAAATTTAGCTTCTTACTTGATGATGAAGAAGCGGTACTAAGAATGTAAGGCACACCAATCTCAGCACAAACTTCCGAGAGTCCCGTTTCCTTATCCTCATGGAAGATCTTCTGGACGCCAACTGGAGCCATCAGGATAGGACTGTCATATTCCTGACCAAAGAGATTGACACGGAGATCCCTCTTAGTGGTGGGACGTAACATTCGTGGAACCATCTTCCATTGTCTGAATGCGAGCCTGTTGGCGTCCATAGTGGCTCTTTCACCTGCTCCTCCTGCTACATAGTTGTATGATGTAGATGAGAGCTTGGAACGTGCTTGCTCTTCGAGTTTGTTGGGGTCAGTGGTCACGATTGGGGTGGTATTGGCGAACATGCCATCTAGAGGTATTGGGTTAGCTGCTTCGCCCTTTATTGAAAATGAAGAGACATTGTATGGTGCGTTGAACCTTTGTAGATTTCATTTTGGAAGGCACCATATTTTCTTTCGTGACTTTTCCCATGAACGGATTGGGGATGCTGTTTCTGCATATTTGAGGACATTTTGAATGTAGTGATTAGTTGATTAGAGGGAAAAGAAGAAGAATACTTATACACAACGATGATAATGTAATCTTACAAATTGAGAATGAAAAGGTGAGGAAATGAACATCAATATACTCCCTGCAATTATAGTTATACTCTATATCAGTTTTCCCTGGTGAAATCTGCGGAAAGTCCTGAAAAGTAACACCATGTTTACCTTGCGTATATCATATCAAACTGGTAGGGGTAACTGGCATGGTAAGTTGATGATTTAGCTGTGCATGCAGTCCCTACGTCATAGGACCATTCTGCATTGCTGTACTCGTAAACTGGGGACTTTAGTTATGACTGAGGTATGGGTCGAGGAATCAACACCACGAGAACATAACACAATCCTCTCACGAATCTTCAAAATATGAAGGTTTTCATCGATCTCAAATGCATGTGGATTATATGTTGTACATAAGATTGGTGAAAGGTACGAAGATGAGATGTAGGATGGAAGATGTAATACGGTGTATGTAAGATGCAAGTAAGATGTAAGTAAGATGTATATCGTCGGATCAAGATAATTTCATCATACGGGGTCTTGCACTTCGCTTGGCACGCACGGGTACGATAACTTGGCATTTGGGGCTCAGACACGATCCGATAATATACTTATGGAGCTCGGAGGTACGAGCTACCACAATGGCAGTATCATGCATGATATCTAATATATAATATACTATATATGTCCAAAGTGTCAGTCATGAATTATTGTGTCGTGGCATCGATATCCGCATACACAAGCAACATAAACCAAATGTAAAACAAATTACAAATTATATCTTCGTGTTAATGCCGAATTTTGGGTTCTCAATCAAAGTTCCGGAGCTTTTGAGTGGCTCACGTGGCTCACGTGGCTCTACCCCGAGTTTACTGTTAGCCCCGCACGTCAAGAACTAGCCCCGCTCAGAGAGAGTAAGCCAACATGTATTGGTAGCATTGACATCGTACAAATAATCTTTACCATGCTCAATGAAGTATCCTATACTAGACCTCGGCCTTGCCCGTCGGCCGCCGAACCCTCGTAGTTAAACGGTGTACATGTAAAGGGTGTGGTGACAGTTAGTGCTAACCCCGCTCTTCGAACCCTTACTTAAAGTGATTATGATCTCAACAATTACCATTCTCTCATACCAAAACCTCTATACCTCTACCTACACATATCCTTTTCTTTTCCAAGATTCCTCCGCGGAGTAAACATTTGAGGAAGATAAAATCGTGTTTAGCCTCGCCAAGAACAAATCGGAAACATGGCTGCCGCAACTGCTCAATCCTTTGATATCCCGAAACAATATAAAGCTATCGTATACGACAAGCCGGGAACTATTTCCACAAAGATCGAGCAACTAGATACCCCTGAACCTGGACCTGGTGATGTGCTTGTTCGACTGTGAGCTCGCATGATGCACCCCCTTTTGTTGATGTAACTTCGCTGATTATGTTGTCATATATAGCACCCATAGTGGTGTTTGCCACAGTGATATGGGAGTCTGCGAGAACAGCTGGCGTGGCCGTAAGTTTGCGACCTCATCTACGTTTAAGATGAACTTCTAATGGCATGAAAGTTCCTTATCCGACGCAAGCTGGGCAAGTGGGCGGTCACGAAGGGGTTGGAATCGTCCAAAAATTAGGCCCAGGTACGGAAAATGGTCGCATAAAGCTTGGTGATCGTGTTGGAATTAAGGTGAGTTCACCTAGAGAGCCTAAGGGGACATGTTGAGTTGAGAATCTCCGAAGTGGATCGCATATGCTTGTGGTGCTTGTCTTCCTTGCCTTGAGGGTAAAGATGGCGTTTGCTTCGTAAGTCAACCCAGTGCTAATTTCGCCTTATGATTCGAAACTAAAGTTGTCGTCTCGTAGAATCAAAAAATCTCTGGCTATTATTGTTCGTGAATCGAGGCTCTCTATGTGGGCGGGTATCTCTAATTCAAGGAAACAGACCCGGGAACTTTTCAACAATACGCGCTCGCGCCAGCGAACTATGTAACGCCAATTCCAGATGCTCTAGATTCAAAGGACGCTGCTCCTATACTATGTGCTGGTGTCACGACGTGAGTTTTCACAGCCTCAATTTGGTCGCTTAGGCGGCCGGGCCTCCTCAAAGTTGCCACCCAATCAAGTAGGCGAAGCTCACAGAACTTTTTGAGTTTAGATATTCAGCCTTGAGAAAGAGTGATGCAAAAAGCGGACAATGGGTTGTTATCGGTACGGTGATCTCCGAGTTTTATGAAGTCTGTAAACTAACATACAACAGCCGGTGCGGGTGGCGGTCTTGTAATTTCCTCCACGGAACCTTAAATTAGACGTCATGCTAACCGTATCTAGGGTCACTTGGCTTGTCAAATCGGAAGTCGTGGTATGGCAATGAGAATCATCGGAGTTGATCATGGAAGCAAGGAAGAATTAGTGAAAGAGTGCGGAGCAGAAGTCTTCATTGATGTCACCAAATTTGACGATAAAGCGATTGCTGAGGAGGTCAAAAGAGTCACAGGTGGACTTGGAGCGTCTGCGGTCATTGTATGCACTGCTTCTAATCGCGCCTATGCTCAGGCGCTTAGTTTCTTGAGATTTGGAGGAACGTTGGTTTGCGTTGGAATGCCGGAAGGCGATTCTCAACCTATTGCCAACTCATTCCCTGCAGCTATGGTGAAGTTAATCCTTATCACATCAGTAATATTAACTAACGTCAGCAGGTTGCCCAAGAATGGAAGATCAAGGGTTCGTCAGTAGGTAACCAACGTGAAGCATTGGAAGTACTTGATATGGCCGCCAGGGGTATCATCAAAACTCGTATCCGAATGGAGAAGATGGAGAACTTGACGGAAGTATTCAAGGAGATGTCGGAGGGCAGGATGCAAGGAAGAGTCGTACTTGATTTGTCGTAGTGGAAAAAAAGAGACGCCCTGTATTTGCCACACATAAGATATCATGTAGGAAACAACTTTTGATGATTCTTCAAGCACTATTAACCAGAGCTGAAACATGAATGAGGATATGATGATGAAAACATGAAACGAGTTCTTTGAATTTGTCACACCGAGGAGTAATCCTACTCTGATGTTGATGGATAGAGTTCCTGAGCCGACAGGTCGATATCCATCCAAATCTGCAAGTTGATACAACCGTCGATGCCTCGAGATGACCCACCTGGAGACGATGGTATGATTGGTAAAGGTATCATAAGCTGAATGATTTGGTACCGGCAGTTTGGTACTGACCAAAATCTTACAGGTTGCATCAGTGCCGTGTCATAACCGAAAAAGCTCTAGAAGTTCATGGACACTCGATGCATCGAGGCTTGACATGCCTGTTTTAGATATGACTTCTCGAAGAAATGGGTGATGATTTTGGTGACCCACTTGCCGTGCTGCGCCACGAATTGTGATAACATCCTTCCCACCTTCATTATTCTACTGAGTATCACTTGACATTGAAATGATGCGGGAAGAGGGCAGAATATGCATGAATAGGGTTGTTTCTTTTTTAGGTTGAAACTCCTAACTTCGATTGGGAAAGGATACGGTGTGATGAAGAGAATGGCCTAACAGACTAACACACTACTGCAATGCACCAACTCCGAAAGTTTCTCAAGTGTCATACTACTCATTTACCTCGTCGTAACGTTGACCATTGACGGGTGAGTTGAGATGAGGACCCAGTGTCCACCGTCCATCCACCAAAGGCCACAATCCCGCATCCTCAATCCCCCCTACAACAGTTTTAAAGTAGGTACCAGGTAGACCCCGGGGCGATCCGTAATGAACGTTGAGTTATTTTCAGATGCTCAAATTCCATCCCTTTGGCGATATTGAGTCTTGTCACCGGCATAACGATGGCAAAAAGACGTGTTGGTGATTTCATGATCACAATGAAGGGGGAGTTGGGTGAATTGGATGACTTGAGGGAAGTGAGGGAAGTGAGGGAATTGAGGATTGATTGAAGGAGTGAGCCTGACCACCGAGTACCGGTATTGATCTCGTACGAAGCACTCAATTTTATTGGTTAAATGTTTCCATCAGCTCAATGTCAGCCTGGTCCACTTACGACCTCTTACACTGATTATTGGTCTGCTAATCGTATGGTATCTGTCCGGCTTTCTGTTTCGGGGGTCGTTTGGATCTCTCCACCAATTGCTCCGTGCTTTTTTGAACTTCCCCTTCATCCCATCTTTTCCAGCCAATGCTATCCAACCTTATCCAACCTTATCCAACCATAGTTTAACGCCGCAAGCGACTATTGTGGCTTGACTTTCCACACCTACTTAATTCTACTAGGTGCATCGCACACTATTACTATACTGGCAAAGTCGTAAAGTACCAACGAGTCCATATCGCACATCTCGTTCATATGAATGCCTTGTTATCCCACCCAGCCGACCTACAAAACGGCCCATGCGACCACATTGGTGACCTACTAATGATAGCAGATACTTTTGCTATTCCAAGGGCTGAGCATCCATTGCTTCTAATCCTCTGCATACTAACAAAATGACGAAGAACTTTACAGGCAGAAGGGAGGGAAATTCACAAGTTCGCAAGATATATAAGTCGCACCATCATCAGCATCATCATGGGATTCATACATTCACGTCCCACGCATTCTTACCTTTATGTCGTCTCCAATTCCGAACTTTCGCGATCTTTACATTGGCAAGACCATGTATGCAACACGTAGTGCTCAGCTCTACTCCCATCAGTCCTTGAGTGGACACGCCTCTACTGGTGATGGCGATTCAGATAACGATGGCAAGCTTTCGACATACTCCGATGACGATCATGGAGACGAGGAACAATATGGAGAGGGCGGGGGAATAGGATCCCAAGAATTTGACGTGTTCTCAGAAGATGAGGAATCAGACGATGAGCCACTGCACACTGTGCTTGCTGTAGATCATTGCAGATTAGTACGATCAAGGAGACAGTCGAGCGAGCAATCAAGCCCATACTTCGCTTTCCAGGTTGGTGTTGCAGAAGTCGAAACCCGCAGCATTCGAATCGGCTCACTAAGGCAAGGAGGGGAAGAGAAGTGCTCGTGCGGAATGGAGCCTTGCTTCCACATAGCCAGACTCAAGTCTGCAATGGGCATAGCAGCCGATGATGATTGTTTTGAATGCCTGGATGAACGTGGTATGTCCAATGTATGCGACGAACTTGGGTGGAATTACTCAGACGAACCATACCTTTTTCCCGCACCACAATGGACGCTCAAGAATGAGAGAATAAGGACAAGCACGACATCACGCGGAAGAGAATATGACGTCAGAGATATGTTATCATTCTTTCACCCACAAGCCGTGGCGGACGAATACCGAGATATCTTTGACTTTGCTGTACACAGCAACGAGGTCCTTGTGCCTTACAACCTTGAAGCGACTTTGTCCAGATTGCTGACCCAAGATGATGTTATTTTTCATCGATTTGAACATCACATCCCCAGAGAACGCCGTGATATCATGTATCTACACAAGATGGAAGACAAGTTCAACGAATCACTTCGGCAATTGGATGAATATTCAGCTTCTGGCAGTCTTTCAAACTGGAACGCGATGACCCCATCCGACAACGTTGCTTTTGAACATAACGTACCATGGTGTGCCCAAAGTCTCATTCGAATTAGTGATTCAATGAGTGATAACTTGAGATGGCGAGTCGGTATGAGTGTACATAATCAATTGCAAGCAGCTGCAACCCTGATTCGAATGCTGGAAGCTGTTCGTTCGCGCAATGTCGATGTATATGCGAATCATTCTTTTCGCCGCAACAGACCCCATGGAGAGCAATTGACCAATCGAAATCTTTACCTGAATTTACTTGGTCCACAATCCGAGAATATTCCAGGTAGAAGCAATTTCATTCTTGACGCCCTAGAAACCTTGCCTGGGAATGTCGTTGCCGCCGGTGATTTTATGGATCGTTTAGATCGTCTCTGCGCCGATTTTAGCAGTGTCGGTTTTGTTTCCCCAAGGCGACTATATGTGAATAGGCTAGACCAGCTGGTGTCAAAGCTTAGAGCAAATTATGGACTTCCTTTAATGTCGGTTTCGTCATCCATGCCAGCTACAGAGACCCTTTCTACGGACCTCGAGTCTTCCTACTCCCTTGGGTCAAGTTCTTATGCCGTTGCCGGTCCGTCTCTCAGAGGTCCAAGCTCTTTGTCACGTACTAGACGAGGTTCTTCGACTCGTTCAGCATTAGGAAAGCGATCCGGCAGGTCTGGTAGTTCTACTGATCGACGTGGAAAGCGCGCCATGAGGTAAAGCTTGCCAGATAAGACTGGTTTGCTGAAGGTGGTGGAGAGCGTAATCTTCTTGTTTGTTCTATTCTTATCTTTTTGTACATCATCTCTTGGTCAGGTACCATCAGATTAATTTTCTACTTACTGATATTTGTCACTGTATTTTGGGAAATGTTTAAATATTGTTTTATACCAGGTACCATTTGGCGTATCATGTTTGGAAGATATTCTTACTACACTAGAACGGGGCATGGTAGAAGTCCTGAAATGTGCTATCGATATGCTTCAGATTGTTTTAGCCCGCCCTATGGTAGCGTTATAAGGAATATACTTTATCGTCCCATCAAGAATGTCTCAAGAATTCAAGCATTGAATTATCCTGATTTATCATACATCTCCACTTTGGTGAAATATGATTCTGAATGGCTATCACAACCAAGCTTGTATCATCCTCAGTCCTTACTTCTTCTCGTTCCTGAGGGCTTTATCATCAATTAGATTGATAGGTAGGTATGCTTGCATTCTGCCCGATTTAGCAAGCTCCACTGCCTTTGGAACCCCCCTAGGTCTTTAAATGGGTTTGTTAGAATTCTGGTTTTGTGTTTTGGTACTAATTCTAGCATTTTTTGTGCTTCGCCTCGACATCCTATTCTCCTTGTTAATAGATGACAATTGCGGGGGCCAAGGATCACATCAACTCACCCAACAAGACTTCCATTAATTCTTATATCCTGAAATATCAAACTTTCAAATGGAATGCTGACTTTTTCGGCCTGAGAAATTTTGACCATAGTTTCGTCTATTTTAGCATCATGGGGTCAGAAATTTTCCTAATTAAAATCGGGAGGTGTAGCAAGAGGCTCATCCTCCTCAATGCAATAATGTTGTTAGGCATATTTTAGAGCGGAAGACAGACTTACGCCTCCGTTGTGACGGCCACGACTGTCGCTGCGGCGACTTATTCATCAATAGTGTTGATGAAATTACACCTTGGCTATCTGTGATCTTTTGGATATCTTCTACCGGGTTTTTTTTACTTTTATGCGTGTCTATAACATATTAGCGTCGTAATCCTCAGCAAGTTATAAGACTGCGTCTATAGCATCTTTGAAAATAACGTTCAAGCCAAGCCCCTGTGAGCTGTGCTCGTAAGCGACCTATATCTCCATCGGCTTCATTCTCGCATCCATTCTCCTGCTTTCAGACACGCTTTCGAGATGTCCAGATCCCCTGGTTTTGTATCTATTTTTGTATGGTAAATTTATTTACTATTTACTATTCGAATAAGAAAATGAGTCGCGGATATATTAACTGTAACCACCACCTGTGGTTATAGCATAAGTTAACGGAGCACAGAGGCGTCGATTTAAACCCCGAATTCCAAGCCTCTGATAATTAATTGATTTGCTCTTCCTTTTATTCGTGGTTTTATATTCTGTGAATGAGTCTATATATGTTTATTTACGTTGAGATATTCTTTGGTGTGGGATAGTATAGTACAGTACTGTTGGGTTGGGCTTGTTCGGCCTGACACAATTGCTATATATATGTGCTATTTTGATGAGATGGGATGAGATGAGATGGAATGGGATGGTAAGGCGTAGGGGGTTGGGATGTGATATTGGGTTTAGAACCTGTGGTGAAGATGGTGTTGGCTCTTTGGTGGCAGACTGTATAGTATAAGGGTGTGGTATGCTTCATTCATACTACCTATTGAAGAGGGAGGGGGTTGGTAATTGATCTTATGATTTGGAATGATATATTTTAATTTTGGGAATTAATGTAAGATCTTAGATGCTTGTGCGATATTGAATGAATATTGAAATATATGTGTATATTGATGTGTATTGGTGTGAATTGGTGTGAAGTTGCAATGTTGATGTTGAAGATCTTGTGGGAGGAAGGAAGTCTTACTGTACGCTAGAACCCAGGTGAAGGGATACATTGAAACAAATTCGGAAATTGACATTGATTTAAACATTAAAATCATAGACCCGAGACATTCTATAAGTTGAACCATTTGCTTATTCTTAAGATTGATATAGAATTGAGAAGCCAACAGTAAAATTTACTTAGGGCCGCCATCTTCCTGTTAAGACTAGCGATGCATAAATTCGAATCACATAAATTGTTTAAGGTTACTCGAGAATAGGATATCAATTCCGCTGTATAATATTTTCTTTGAGAAGACTCGCGCGATGCTTATTCTGATTTTCAGTGCATCGTATTATGCAATTTTAAAGCTCTTAGAAGTAAGTAGCAGGAAATCGGGCGAGGGGAAGCTAAACGGATCAAGACATTTTGATAAGTAAATGTCTGCGGAGTAATTGTCACATTTCATCCCTCCCTGGTATGTAGCTGCACCATTTAGCATTTTACATAGATTGAATGTATACATACTTCAGTCTTGTTGGCTCGTTGACTTCCCAGCCACTGCCATTTTTTGACTTTGTACTCTGCTGGACAACCATGGGCATCACACCCTGAAAAGCTTGGACGGACAGCGTCACCGTGCATTTCGTCCCCATTATCCCCCTTCCAATTCTCCCATTCCTACTAACAAACACCGGAATATTAAAATCTACACATCACTGATGCATCAAAGATCCCCGTAACTGCTTCGAAAAATCCCCATCGACAAATTATCACAAGGTTTAATTAATGAGCCAATAGAATTGCACAACGCTGAACGTGGGAAGCTTCGATAACCCACACGCAATGCAGCAATATAAAGGGAGCTCACGCTCCCAGGGCTCCAAATCTCAGCATCTCGAGACTTGGCGAAAGGTTGCACTCGTTTTTGTTATTTGTGCTTTCTTATATACTTCGTACATTATGTTGTTGGATCAGATACTTTTATTGTCTCTTACAGGCGTTACAGCCTCCGCTTTACTGCCTGAAAAAGAGCAATCCTCAACTTCTACTTCAGATGTTCCACAGTACTTCCAGACCACGCCAGAACTCTGGGCGGGGCCGACAGCTACTGGTCGAGCTCCTTTCCTGGTAAGTAGTGGGGATTGGTTAACCAAAATTCATTTTAGAGACAATGGATTAAAGATTAATTTGCTGTTCGGTTTAGGCCCAGACAAATCCCGTCTCGTTTGCGCCAACTGTGACTTTCGTCCCGAATACCCCTCTTGAAACTGCGCAACCTATTGTAGGCCAAGGCCAGAATCAGAGTATATTCCAACTTATGGGAAACCTTTCTCCTTATTTGCCTAATCCATCTGGATTTGGTGTTGCGGAGTATCCATTACCACCGGGAGCTAAGATCGCTCAACTTCAGGTAAGAGTCAGATCTTGGGAAATACATCCAGTTCTCAACATGATATCACATTTTCTTCAGTCTTCAATCGATTCCGAGTGGATCAAGCCAATTGTACCATATCAAAAGACAGTGGGTGTGGTTGAATATAAAGGAGTGTGAGCCATTGTTTAAGCTCTTTCTGTATTATCAAAGGGCGTCGGCGATAGATCTCCGAAAGACACACATATACCATATGCTGACATTTTACAGATGCTCTCACGTCATGGATCGCGTTATCCTACAGTAGGAAGTAATGTTGAAGTCTTTGGCGAGAAAGTTGCCAACAATACGGAGAAGCTCAATGCCACTGGAGCTCTCTCGTTCTTGAATAACTGGAAATACGGATTAGGTCATGAAATTCTTGTTCCTCGTGGAAGACAAGAGTTGTTTGATAGTGGAATCTTGCACTACTATCAATATGCACAATTGTACAATCCTCACAGTAAAATCATCGCAAGAACTACTACCCAAGATCGAATGCTCAAGGTTTGTGATCGCTCCCTTGCTCTCTGGTATAAAGCTAAATGATGGTAGAGCGCGGAATATTTCATGGCTGGCTTCTTTGGTCTCGAATGGACAAACAACGCCACTATTGAGGTCATAATTGAGTCCCAAGGCTACAATAACAGTCTAGCAGGTTATGATAATTGTCCCAACTCGAATAATTATAGAAGTGCTGGAGGATCAAATGCTTCAGACCAGTGGGTTGCTGTATATCTCAAAGATGCCACTACTAGATTCCAATCCATGGTCTCGCCGGAGTTCAATTGGACTGTGACAGACACCTACGCAGCTCAAACGTTGTGTCCATACGAGACTGTAAGTACAAACTTCTAGGTTTACATAAACACCGCAGTCTAACATCGTGTAGGTGGCCTTTGGTTACAGTGCGTTCTGTGATCTATTCACCTATCAAGAATGGGTTGACTTCGAATATGCAAACGACCTTTACTTTGCCGGCGGAAGTTCCTTCGCCTCTCCAACTGGACGCGCTGTAGGAATCGGCTACGTCCAAGAAGTAGTCGCCCGCCTTCAAAACCACACCTTGGGTTATTCCGGTTCCCAGATCAACACCACCCTGGACAACAACACCGCTACGTTTCCATTGAACCAGTCCATCTACCTCGATTTCTCCCACGACACAAACATCATGTCTATCCTCACAGCCTTTGGTTTTACTCAATTCGCCACGCCTTTACCAGCTACTCATTATCCTGGTCCCCATAATCTAACCGTCTCGCACCTGGAGCCTTTTGGCGCAAGATTAGACATCGAACTTATTAAGACACCAAAGCCATTAACAGCAAATAGGACGTATATCGATGGTAAGGAAACTACTTATATACACTTCATTCTCAACCAGAGGACGATACCTTTGGGATTCAGTTTCTTGGAGTGTGGAGTTGATAGATTGGATGGGTGGTGTGAGCTGGAAACTTTTTTGAAAGTGCAGACTAGATCGACCAAAGAAGCTCAGTATGAATATGCTTGCTTTGGAGATTATCCTGCGGAACCATATGGAAGTATCAAGAATGGTGCGCCCAATGCTTATTAGTAGGTTCTCGAGTCGGTTGCTAATCTATCACTTGCTTGTTGGTATCAAAAGAGCCATGATGTTGCTCCAGAGGGAGTTAGCTCTTCTGTAAATATCTTTAGTCATTAAATGTTGATGCCTAGCCAATCACTGATAACCTGTTCCTGAATCTGAATCTCTATCCTCAAACCACAGAAAAACCAAAGCCTGCGGGGCTGCGCAAATTGGACTTTTGAGCTCTTCATCATGGTCTGTTTATGGTATGGCCACTACAGACCGATTACAGCTACCAAAGAAACCTGTCTCAATTAATCAGCAAAGAACCCCAAACACACACGCCTTTTGCAGACATCCAAGCCTATTTTGATGAAGGTCGCTGAATGATATGTGGCTGTTGTATCCTTGTAATTTTCGTTAGATCGCAAACCGATGTCCCCTCCCTCCATTCAAATCCACCAGCTTGGTTGAACAGCAGTTCATAGCCGCTAATATTCAAGATTCTGGGTCTCATTGCGCCATTGTTCAAGTCAACTGCCTATCCAAATGTCCCGGTGTCATGGGTCATTAGAGGAGTATGCCAATAATAGATGACAGGGTTTTTCTGTTTGTTGCACATCTTAGGTTACGAGGAAAAACAAGGAAATGGAGAAGATCCCACTTCAACGGCTTCATGTTAAAGTGTTGAAAGAACTCATCACTTGGACGTTTGGGCCAAAGTTTTTTTTGTTGATTTCTGGACCTCAAAGCGGCTGGGAAAAGCAAAGCCCCATTCAGATTTTGTGCCAAGCCAGCAAACAGGTTTTGGGAACCGAAGAGACTCATCGACATCATTCACTGCGCCTTGACTCTAGAATAATGATTTGGATATATTATGCACGATACCTCGTTATCAAATTCCAATCGAAGTATTTCCACAATCAGAATACAAGCAAGATCTTCAGTCGCATATCCTAAATCAACCTCCACCCACTACCACAGCAATCAATAAAATAATCAACCACATTACTCGCGCCACTATGCCTTTTTTCTGGTCAAAGGGAGTTGGAGGTAGGAGATTCGGCGCAAATGTGACGGCGGATAGACACGGTCTTAGAAGACCTGTTTTCCGTATGCGTCTCTGCGGTCTCAATTGCTTTCGTTGAGCAACAAACAGTACGTTCTGCTCTGCTATCATTATCAAGTATAATCGATCTAACAACTCTTAGGTCAAAATACATCTACGACAAATCTTGGGAGATTAGCATTGCTGAGTGATACCATGGATTTCTTTGGCGGTAAGGGAATGGAATGAAGACAATATGTACATTGGTTCTATGTGATGGCAGGCGTCTAGCGGATGGATTTTGGATACCATATGGGTTTTGCTTTACTAAAGCAGTTGTTTGAAGGAACGCAAAATATGTCGATTTATTTTGGTGATGGGCAAGAAGGAAAGAAATGTCTACTTGAAATATCATAGGAACTTATATCCACTCGAACATGCATATTTAAATCAGGATTGAGGGAGAATACTATCAACTGTAATCGCCTAGTGATGTCTAACTCAAGTTCATCTATATTGAGACGTTTGTCTGACTTATCTATGTAGTATGTCATTCATTGTTCCATATCCACTTGGACATTTGCGCATGATATTGATCATCGTAGTCACAATACACGTAGCGTAGTACGGGAAAAAGATGGGTGGCAATAGAAGGTAGCCTCTGTGATTGGCTGCTCCACACAATTCTTATCTATCACGTGGCAGCTGATAGTGGAATTATTTTTCCGATTTTATGACAAGCGTTACTTTTCTTTCCCACGATTCAACACATTAGATCTATGAATACAATGTTATGCAACGTCTCACATCTTTTATCATGACCTCAATCCCCAAGAAAGTTCCTATTCCTAGGAAAGGTGTAGACTATAGGGGCAAGGTAGTACTGTGAGTTTGAGGTGTTGCGAATGGCAATCAAGAAGTTACTAACATCGTCATCTAGTGCTCCTATGGTGAGATCCGGCGAACTTCCTTCACGTTTACTTGCTCTTCACTATGGAGCAGATTTGGTATGGGGTATGGGATTTTTCTTCTATATTAACTAGTTAAGTGACTGACGAGTTCAAGGCCCCGAGACGGTCGATCGATCCATGATTGGAACGACACGCAAAGTGAACACCGCCCTTAATACAATCGATTTTACACGGCTCCCTTCTCAAGGACATAAAGAGAAGAATGCAAATCTGAATGAAAGTCTCATATTCCGCCTCCATCCAGAACTCGAAGGCAAAAAACTCATTTTTCAAATCGGCACATCCGATCCCGAAAAAGCAGTCCAATGTGCGCGCATGGTCGCTGCAGACGTTGCGGGCATTGATGTAAATGCAGGATGTCCGAAACCATTCAGTACAAGCGGCGGTATGGGGGCAGCACTCCTACAAACACCGGATAAATTATGCGCCATTCTAGAAGCTTTAGTCAAGGAAATTGTGCCGGAATTTGAAATTGGAATAAGTGTGAAGATACGATTATTAGAAACTCCTGAGAGGACTGAGGCTCTGGTACGAAAGCTATGTGCTACTGGTATTACAGGTCTCACTATCCATTGTCGAACTACCCCAATGCGTCCAAGGGAAAGAGCCATTCGGGAGCAACTTAAGATGATCGCAGATATCTGTCGCGAGAGTGGTGTCGCTTGTTTGATGAATGGAGACGTAGAAAATAGAGATCAGGCCTTAAAATTGGCCGAAGAATATGGCACAAATGGTGCTATGATCGCTGTGGCAGCCGAAGCAAATTCGAGTTGCTTTAGAAGTGAAGCTGATGGTGGCTTGGCACCATGGGAGGAGGTGGTTCTCCAGTATATGAAGTTCAGTCTGGACATGGAGAACAGATTCGGAAATACGAAATATTTGTTAAACCACCTGATACCAGGAAAGTCTCCAGTTTATCGGGCCGTTCAGCAGTCCAAAAACTACCAGCAATTATGCGACCATTTAGGACACAAAAGTTTACTCGAACAGGCAATAGATGTGGACGAGAAAATTGGAATCTCTGATAAACAAGTCGAGGAGCATAAACTCAGGCAAACACAAGCCAAGGCAGAAGCAAAGGCAGCAAAGAAGAGAAAGAATATTGAGGACGATGGAGGGGAACAAAAGAGAATTCGAAGTCTTGAGAATTCTGCCCAGTCCTCGACTTTGACGGAGACGGAGAGCGCACCTCTGACGGAACTCAAATCAGAGATGACAATTAGTGCTTAGTATTCGATTTGCGATTATGGATATGCATATGTATGGGTATGAAAGGGTTTGGTGGCTTTTTGATGCTTTGGGTATACCTTAGTGATGTCAAATATGGAGCATCAGGGGCGTTCTGGATTTAACCGAGAAGAGATACGCATTTACTGGAGTTTACACAGTTACTACCTAGGTGAAGAATAAATATAGAATTCTCTTTCATATAGGAGCATATAGGTCGCTACTCACAAAAGTTCTTGAACTTACATCATTAAATTATCATTATCATCGTCGTGGATATCACTTTCACATTTTACAGCCATGAAGTATGCAATATTCCCAAACCAACATCAACTTGATCAAGACAGAATATTACACAACGACATAACTTGCATCAAAAAACAACACACAAAATAAAAATATCCACAAATTTCATCAGCACCTTCATTTTAAAATTTCCTGAAAACCCAACCACCTTCACCCCCCAACACAAAAACCAATCTACACTAATCTGCACCTTTCCAGGCTGTAAGGTATCCAGTCTAGTGCATCTTTTACGTAGCAATTTGATATAATTATCGAGAATATATATATATGTATGTATATGTAATATGACTAGTGTCGTACACAGTCGTGGTGGAGATGGCTTGTCTAGCGGACTTTGGCTAATTTTAAATTTAACTGGCAAATTTGTGAAGGATGTTATTTTTTGGAACTTTGAAAATGATAATGACCATGACAATGACAATGGCAGATGCGTATATTGTGGACGTACATTTCTTTTTTTCTTACTAAATATGCATCATTCACACGAAAGAAACCAAAAAGCAAATCATAAATAAGCCTGAGAGGGCTATCCAATTGTCAAATTTGTTTCGAATAGGATATTGAAAAGTGTTATGAGGTTAGTTTATGAGGTCTTGGGGCTTGTATGTTTATTTGTATTTGATTGTAGATTTTGAATTGAGATATTGGAGTTTAATATCGATATATATATTGGTGTGGATTTTATATTGTGTATCAATGGTATAATTAAGTTGTTTATGATTACAAAAAGCTAGATTGAATATTAAATAGCTATCAAGTATAATATTCAAATTATATTATTGAATAGCTTACTAGCTTCGAAAACTATTATAAATAGATATTTGAAATGGATTTGTTTTTGACTTTTATAGACAATCTTGTTGATATAGATACTAATCCGTATAATTGGTTGACTTGTATAGTCCAAGTATAGCAGGTACTCATCATAGAGAACACCTGGAACAGCCCCCAAACTTTGATGCGCCCTCGGGAACCAAAATAGTCTTCCCCGCATTTCCTAAACCCCACAAGAGTTATTCACGGCAGTTGGTAGTACAGACTTATTAACCACGTTTTCTTGGTATTTCCCTCACTTCCATAACCTTACTAAAGTACTTTCTTTCTCCAATGTTTATTGCTCTCTCATTCAATACTTCTCAACAGCACTCCAGGTCAACCAACTAAGATCCTACAAGCATCAAAATCCTCACAATGGTATTCCTAGCCGAAAACTCCGTATATATACCCACGAAAGATCTCTTGTCGTGGATATTCGATGATATTCCCTATGACCAGGATACCAAAGTAAGCCCCTCTGTCTATAGTGTAGTTAAGACCATTAAATCCCAATGCATATATAGATATACATCGACGCGAACGACCCCTCTCGTTCCATATCCCCAAAGCAAGCTCGACTAATCATCCGCAAATTAGTTGCCGGATTTCACGCTGCCGGTTTGGAGAAGGGTGATTGTGTTTGCTTACATTCGTTTAACGATGTGAGAACCTTATCATGCTGCTCAATTGGAAGTTTCTAATCATGCAAACACAATGCAGATTTATTATTCTATGATCTTTCTAGGTGCTCATATCTCTTCTTAGATGGCTATTATTACCTACCTACTCTTACTCATAAACTACAGGTATCATAGCAGCAGGTGGAATATTCACCGGCACAAATCCTTCCTACACTTCTCATGAACTAATCCATCATATCAAAACCTCTGAAGCAAAATTTCTCATCACAGAGCCGAAGATGCTCACAAATATCCTTGCATCTGCGAAAGAATGCGACATCCAGTCTTCAAATATTTGGATATTCGATGTACTCGAACAGGTCATTCCTGATGGTTTCAAATCCTTCAATGAGTTGATGAAACATGGAGAGGAAGATTGGATAAGGTTTGATGATGAAAAAGTCTCGAGAGAAACAACTGCTGCTAGGTTATTTAGTAGTGGAACTACTGGGCCCCCGAAAGCAGCTGTGTTATCCCATTATAACTTGGTTGCGCAGCACACGCTTGTGTATGAACAGGCACGGAGACCATATACTGTATGTTCCCCTCCTCTTCATGAGCTGCAGATTTTAATGCAACCATTCTAGCTACGGCGGGTAGTAGCACTACCCATGTTCCACGCAGCTTGTGTTCCTAGTTTGTATCCAATTCTCCATTATCTGGAAGAAAAAACTGCTGAAACATAAAATAGGCGTCCATACAAGTGCCTTGAAAGCTGGACACGTCTCAATCGTAATGCGTCGTTTTGAACTCAACCCCTTTCTGCACCACGTAAAAGCACATCAGACAAATGAATTAATGCTCGTACCACCTATCGCAATAGCACTCATCATGTCTGGTCTCGCAGGAGATAAATTAAAAACCATCAAACATGCCGCTATAGGCGCAGCTCCAATGGGAAAAGAAGCCCAAGAGAAACTAAAGCAATTGTGTGCTCCGGGAGCGACCGCAACTCAGGTTTTTGGCATGACGGAGACTAGTTGCATCTGTACCATGTTTCATTACTGGGAGGATGATAATACGGGTAGTGTGGGAAGAATGCTGCCGAATATCGATGCGAAGTATATTTTTCTGTCTCTGTGCTGCATTAATCTCAAAGACTAATCTGGAATTATCAATTAGGATTATTGATGATGAGGGCAATGATATAACAGCCTATGATGTTCGTGGTGAGCTTTGTGTACGAGGCCCGACTATCATATCTGGTTACTGTAAGTCACCTCAACCCTTCTTCCACCTAGTTGTCCAATACACGGACTGGCAAGCTAGGGCTTAGCTTCCGATTTCCGAAAAGCTACGAATTTACAAAGACGGTTTGACCATTTGCATGAATTCATTGTTCCAAGTAGAACCAACATCCTCAAAAAATTCCATCGTTCAAACAAACTCACCAAACAGACCCTCCCACCATCAAACTATCATCCAACCCAATCCAATCCATAAAACACTCTCCACCCACCCAACAAACAAACCAAAACTAACACTTCCCCTCTCAATCACAAGATAAAAACCAACCCGCAAACCAACTCTCCTTCGACTCATCCCAATTTTTCAAAACCGGGGATATAGCATACTGCTCTCACCCCAGCAAAAAATGGTACATAATCTCGCGCAAAAAAGAACTCATCAAAGTACGAGGCTTCCAAGTAGCGCCAGCGGAAATCGAATCCGTGCTGCTATCTCACCCGTTGATAATCGATGCGGCTGTTATTGGGATCAAGGGATCAGATGCGGATGGAGAGATGCCTCGAGCGTATGTGGTGAGGAGACACGGGGAAGAGGGTAGCAGGCTGGAGGAGAAGGATGTGAAGGGGTGGTGTGGGGAGAGGTTGGCGAGGTATAAGGAGTTGAATGGTGGAGTGAGGTTTGTGGAGACTATTCCGAAGAATGCTAGTGGGAAGATTTTGAAGAGGATCTTGGAGGAGCAGGCGGAGAGGGAGATGAAAATGGCTAGACTTTGATTGGGGTTTGTTGTTGAGGGTTGATTTGTGGGTAAATAGGATATACCGGGTAGATGTATGCATTTCTGGAAGTAAGTTACGCAGCGAGCCTTCAAGGGAATATTAACAATGAAAGTGATTTGGATGAATGACGTAGGATGCGACAACTCAACATGTACACGTAAATTGAACAGTGAGGAACCCCCGGGTAAGGATTGTCGTATGGAAAATTCAGGATCTATGGATGGTACTTAACCAACCACTAGAGCAGCGGTTGGCTGAAAACACTGCTGGGGCTATTATTTTCAAAAGATAGTAGGTAATCATATGAGAGTGACTGCAAACTGGCTTTATCCCTCGTGATCCATACACCAAAAAGCGTTTACTCAAAACGCAATATTTCAAACATTCATTAATCGTACAGATATTGGAGTACATGTTCCTTTTTTTCGGATTTTTAAGTTCAACCCTTCATCCTCCCACAATAGCAGCATAGCATCAAAATTCGTTGCGAAGAGGCAACTGTTACATTGAAGGAAGTTCTTCCAAGTACGAGCGATTGCATACTAGTGATAATTTAGCTCTTGTTGATCTTGAACAGAAGAGCCTTTGAGACACCAGCACCTTGATACTTGAACGCCACCATTGCAACATTAGTACCTAGCAACACCCACATAACAATATTGACTCCAGCCATGCCGTGGCGAACCCGTTGCGTCGCAAAAGAGGGACCAAATTTATCAAGCTTCATTCATTCTGGTATTATAACCGTTGTGCCCGTACATGCCTTGCCACAACTTCTTCATGGACCTTCTTTTCTCAACTCTTGTTCAGCGTGAAAAGAATCTTCCAAGCGTAGCGCTCGCAATACTTCCTGCAATCCCTGAACCATACATAGCACTGCCCGCTAAATTCGATGCTTGTCCAAACTTATCACACCTCGAGAACGCCAACGTATTCGTAACCGTCAAACTCAAGGCAATAACTATACAAGCAAACTTATCAGCAATCTAATCTATACTTCAACACATTCTCATTGCCGCATCTAAATCCCACAAGAGAAGGGCAAAACTCACCGATCAACGTCAACCAAATAAACTCAAACCTAAAAATAGCCACAAAAGCCAATCCCACCCAAAGCAATGGTTGCGAGTAAAGCGCAAGCCAGAAAAACCTGCTATCGGTAGGGTTTATGATTTTGGTATTTGGATCCGAGGACTCAAAAACCCAGTGCGAATCGCCAGATGTAGGATCTACTTCATTCCACCAACGCAATCCTACGAGGCGACGCCCGGCAATATTTTTGAGGTAGTAGAAATCGGCAGCGAGGAGGAGGATAGTTATTATGAAGATCAAGACACTATTTGATTGAATTTCAGCTTGGGAAATCGGAGAACAGGGGAACATGAAGGAAGGAACAGAAGACTTACAAGTTTTGCGTGAAGAGGATGCCGAACAGATAGACGAGGAGACTTGCTATATGAAAGTTAGGTCAGTAATATACTCATATCGTATATCCAATCATTCATTTCTCAAATACTGAATATCAAAACCCAAATCAAACCATGCGCAAGCAAAACCAAACCAAACCAACCAAAACAAAGTAAAACCTACAAATGCGAAAACCGAGGAAACACAACAGAGTAATAGGATGGGAGCTAAGACGCCAGCTTAGCACCCCTGCAGGTTCATTCTGTTCCATGATGAAGGAGAAATGATTTTCCCTTATTATTTTATTCTTTCCTTCAAATGAGTGTAGAAGTTGAATTTGTTAAAGTGCGGAATACATGCATGCTTTATGGCTTTATCGTTTTGATCCTCGTAATCGTCGTAATAATAAGGCCAGAGTAGCTTAGCTAGGAGCTTGAGGCATGACCCCTGTTTAGACGCTAGTTAGACGGTGAATAGTGGCAGTATGTTTAGTGCTAACGGCTGCAATTGTGATGTGCCGTTTCTTTAATTGTAACGACTTTCACGATCAAGGCACAGCATATATTCGCATTTTGGTGATTCATTCGCGGCATTTATCGCAACTTTGTATATCACATATGTGTCTCATGTAGTCGAGCAGAATTATATATCGGCATTAGTAATGCCACATTCTCTAGTTTTATTGCCAGTTTCCATCATATGCATTCAAGCTGCGACATCACGGGTCATTTGCTATACTCTCCCTAGCTATCACGTCACTAATATCACTAACATCACCAATATATATCACATTACTTCATTTTAAAACTTTTTCTTCTTTTTTTCAAAAATAATAAATTTTCTGCATTGCAGAGATGATGAAATAGACTTCTATCTTACAAAGATTGCTCCTTCTAATTCTAATTTGAATCCTAAGTCAAACCACCCATCCACTCAATCAGTTTACCGCTTAAACTCTGACGCTTCTACCTCTGATTTTTCTGATGGCATTGGAGGCGGCAGTTGAGTTGATGGTAGTGCCACAAGTTCCGAAGCCGGGTTGACATCCAGCACCACACCAAGCATCGCCGATTCCACAGAATCCGTCTCGGGAGCAACATGGACCAAAGCCTGAGCCGGTACATGTTTTGCCTCCAGAGCAGAGACCGTCGGTTGATGGCTGAACGGCTCCAGATGATCCTGAGGATGAGGGAGCGGTGGCGCCAACTGTTGGGGAAACAGCTGCAGATGTTGAGGCAATGGTTGCTGAGCTGAGTGTGGAAGAAGCTGGAGTGGTTGGAATGATTTCGATTGAGATCGGAGTTGTGCTTGAGGAAGCCACAGGTGCTGGAGCAGACGATGCACTAACTGCCGGGGCAGATGGTGCGCTAGCTACTGGGGAACCGGAGCTTTCGCCGCTCGAACTTCCTGCAGGGGCCGATGATGAGCCTGCTTCAGAACCAGATGAGACCACACCATTGACAGGACCACAAGTTCCGGTAAAGGTACCTGATTCTGAGGATTTACGTGTGACATCTGCATCTGGACCTGGATTTGGGTAGTTGACGGCCTTGCTTTCCACAGATGTGCATCCATTTCCAAGATTCACAAGGAAAAGATCAGGACGGGAAGAAAAGGCGACGGCTGGAGCTGCGCGAGCCTTTGATCCAGAAGCTTCGATGGTGACTGAAGCACAAGACATGTAAAACTCACGATTGCCGATTTGATTTTGCCAAGTCCATGCAAACATGGCTTCTCCGGCAGGAGCATCGGCAGGAACAGTAAAGTCCGCACTTGCACCTACCGCGGCAGGACAACTTCCAATATAGGAATGTATGACTCGGAATGTCTTGCCAGAGTCGTAGGAGAGTGCGACTTGACAAGATCCTCCACCGTGCAGGGCACCGGTTCCGACTGTCCAGTTTGCAGTCGCACCTGCAGCCCAAGTGGCGACGGATTTTCCTCCAGGTGTACCCATGTCATTATACTTGCAAGGGAAGTTTGAACCTGAGGATGCGAGCGGAGCCGTAATGCTGTAGTCGATCTGGGACTGGACGGCATTAGGATTGAGGGCAGAACGGAAGGGAGGTGGGTAAGTGAGCGACAAGTGTGCGTTGATAGTAGAAGCGCAAAGGAATGCTGCGAGAGCGACGTTGCTGGTAAACTGCATCTTGAAGTTTGTTGAGATTAAGTTCCTGTTACTTGTGTATGTGTTTGGTGTGTAATGTTGATGATCAGACCTGCTGAAATATTGTATGCTTATATGCTTATATGCTTTGCTTGCTAAAGACGGCTGGCTGTATGTATGTATGTATCTATGGACGTATCGACGTATGTAAATAACTTGAAAAGGTGAGTCGATCTGTATCTATGAACGAAGGAAGGACTTGAAACGGGAGGAATCTCGAAGCAATAAATGCTGCGCAAAAACAAACAGTACAAGAATAGAAAAACAATACGATTTTAACCTCTCTTTGTTAATAGTAAAGAAAAATAAAGAAATGATTCTTCGAGCGTACAAGGACAACAAAATAAACGATGACTGAAGAAATTCTATTCTATTGTCCTCTATTTAAATCACATTCACCGTATCCTTACAAAGAAAAAACCTAAAGAAACGTATTGTCTAAAATAGATGATTCATTCATTCATTCATTCATTTGTTTCTCCATGATACAAGACAAGGAGCTCAGCCTAAAGAACCAAGGTATCATCTACCCGTAGGAATTCGTTCGTTCGATCGATCGTTCAAAGAAATCCAATGAATACTCGCGCCTGCCAGGGATAGAAAAGGTGAGAACAATAGAGTATGAGTTTCAAAGAGCTCCATTTCTGCGCCTAGAGATTTGATAGAGTTGATTGGTGAGCTTTCATGTAGAAATTTAGGTTATTAGGTTATTTGATCCAATGAGCATGCTAATTGACCTTCTTATACATGATTGAACGAGAATGTGCGACAGCGATACAAAATTCGTAGAAGGCAGGTATACTCGGTCATTTTGGCGTTTCCCCCTTCTCGGTAAGAACCCGCTTACCTACCTACCTACCTTAGGTTTCTATACAGTACCTAGATATTCTGGGGTAGATAATCACCACCCAACAATTAACACCATGCAACAGATGAGTATAAACAAATCCTCGAATCCACTTGCATCCGAAACAGAACTATCCAATTACTCCAATTATTCCAATTATTCCATTCAATCCATCCATCCCACTACCATCAAAAGAAAAAAGAAAAACTTCTTTTCTTCTTTAAAAAAAAACAGCATATAACTGGTCATTGAACAATTCCACAAAAGCAATTCCTATCCAATCAACATACATGAAACAAAAGTCTTTGAAACCACGGGTTTTTTCGTGAGCGGGAGAGAAACTTGGAGTTGAGTCATAATTAGTAGAGAATTTTCTAGTCTATTAATAAAAATTGATATCGAGTGCTTAGTTCGCTAATGATGATGGAGATTTTGTTGCTGTCGAAATATTCTAATTATGCTGGGCGGAATTTTTTTGATGTTTGGGATGTAGTGAAATTAGTTAGCACAACGTACTCACTGAACTTATTGAACCACTGCCAAAGATTCAGAATTTTTGAATCTTGAAACATCTCAATACTGTGTGCAGCCTTGGTCAGCATAAAAATATTCAAGACTTTATGTCAAGATAAGAGTATACATGCGTATGTTTAATTGACGCAATAAATGGGTATAATTGTATGTTATATAGGGGTAACAAATTCCTTCAAATGTCGTTTGATAATTTAAAGTTCGTCCCTCACTCGCTCTGCTTCCTTAGCCGCTTCTACTGGTTCTTCCCACATCCTCTTCTTTGGATTCCCTGGATCTGATTGCTCACTTCGAGCTACTTCTTCTTCCAGTACGACCTGTGCATCTTGAGCAGGCTCGTCCAATACTGATTCTACAATAATTTCCTCCTTATCAGGTGCACGATAGTGCTGACTTTCATCGATAATATGTTCCACCTCCTCGACCATGGTTGATGCCTCTGGTTCTATCGACTGCCTATTACCGCCTCCAACGTCAATGACCGGGATGTCCTTATTACCTAAAGCAACGCTTTCACTCGTGGCTGACACAGTCGCGTAAGTTGCCGGCTCACTCACTATCGATATCCTGCTTTCGACAGCTGAACCACTCTTCGAGCCCATTATTCCAAATATGCCAAACAAAGTGTAGAACGTCAATTTCAATGGCGCATAGACTAGCCACCAAAGTGGTCCGTAAAGTAACCTCCTGAAAACGAGCCATGCAATCGTACAAAGGAGAACATAAAACGCCGTCTCCAGATACCACGTATCACTCTTTTGGCTCCTCAGTAGAGTCCCAAGTAAATTCCGCGAACTCGATAATAGAGAATCCAATGTAGAATACGTCTCATTCAGCTGAGCTAAAGCTTCCGTTGATTGTCTTAATGTATCGTTTGCGAATTGTGATTTTTCCAACTCGCCCGCCATCATTTCGTGAGTTCGCCGTAGCGCCAGAGTAACGTCGCTCGCAGCATTTACTGTCTTGTCTTCCTTTGATAGTTCCGACTTTGGCCGAGCGGCAGGTCTTTCTATCGAGTTGGGAGTTGACCTACCGGAAGAGGGGCTTAAGCTTGCCTGGAGCATATGTTGTCGCTCCAAAACTTTCGCAGCCTCGAGCGTCTTTTTGGCTTTTATTTCGGCTTTGAGAAACGCTCTATGATGTCTGTAAAATTTGGTGGTTAGTTTGTAACAGATGATATAAGCGAGTGAGCAAATGTGTCTTACGATTTGAGATCTTCGATATGCATCTCGACTGCTTCATCAAGCACCTCTCTCTGTCTTTGCAACTCACTATTCGGCCGTCCTAGAGGTATTGATAGAACTTCTTCCTGCAATCGCGCAAAGTCCTCAGATTGATCCTTCAAAACCTGCGCAATCTCCGCAGAGAGCTCTAATAATATATTATCATCATCGCCATCTAGTGTTATAGAACCTGGCTGAAACTCAATAGTTTCTAAATGGCGAATTAATTCCCTGGCTTGTCTATTTGATTCCTGCAGCGCCGTAAGGCGTTCGGAGAGAGATTCGAAAGACATATCGGGTTGCTCGAATTTCGTAGGTGTCCTGTTTGTGAATATTTTATGTCACGTCATGAGAAATAGCTACTTTGAGGCTCGGAATTTACCGAGAATTTTATTTTGCGCCTAGCATAGTGAGCATCCAGACCACAACCACCTAGTACTCCCCCAGAACCATCATAGTACCTTGGAAATCTCATGTAAGTTCAATTCAATATATCTGATGATCAGATGCTAATTATATACTAGGAGCCTTTGTTAGTAACTATGATCACCCGATTCATCACGGAAGTCTCAACAGTCTTCAATCCCTTCTCTCCCAAAGCTAAAACTGCACGATTGTTTCTCTCGGTTCTCCCACCAAATGCACGACAGACCATGAAGATTGATACAAAGATCCTACCGAGAGCATCTAAAGAGCCGAGTCTTGTACGCTTGAAGTTCAGTATGTCTTCGACGAAGTCGAACTTTTATTCATAAATTCTAACTATGGTTTACAGAGGACGGAAAAGAGATGAATTTGGACGCAGAAAAGCTCGGTATTAGGGGTGTATCCGACGAGGTGGATAGGCATTCACGCATATTGGCGAGGCAGGAGGAATTGACAGGGAACTGATGGTATAATGCTGGAATATATATTTATTGCATGTGGGAAGCGTTTTGAGGCCGTATGATTAATGACAATACCATACTTTCAATCAGTACGGCATGTCTATGGAGTGAACAAGATATACGTGTTGTAGGATCTTCAATGTCCTCCAATTCGTGTCGGTTTTCTCCGTGGTGGGTTACTCGGGCCTCGGGCTAGGCGGAATCACAAGTCAGGGAGTGCTGAAGCATTCAAGGCTTGGTACGGGCGCAATGTTGGGACGCTATACGCGGTCATCGCACCTAAGGTCCCCAGCCCGAGCATTTAAGGTTACATCATATACCAATGCTAAGACAGATAATGTTCACTTCTCAACATAATGCCACGTTCTCTGGCTGGATTGGCTCATATGCGGGTCCAACAGCCTCATGCATTTTTGAGAAAGCCCATCAAGTTATCTGAAAGCACGGTATATAGAGAGCAAAGACTTGATAACACATCACAGTTGCACGTATCGAATACCAGAAGTGAAATTGGATGTGCAACAACTAGCACTCGGAAAACTTCGTATTGTACCTACAGCCAATAGTAGATGCTTGTGTAGTGCTTCGCTTCATATAATGCTGCAACGTAACTTTTATGGTAACCTGGTGGTAACACCTGCAAATTCATAGCCTTTATTCTTAATTCTGAATCTAAGCGGCAGCACCAGAGATGAAGAACCACTTGTCGATGCTTGGATCGATAGGAGCCGGAGCAATGTTCTCGTTAGCTGGAATGGGAGGAAGTTGGCTGGGTTCAACACGGCTTGTAGAGTGCTTGACGGTGACGTTGGTACTTGACAATTGTTAGTTAAAAAGCTGGCATAGGGAGATAACAAAAAACTTACGTTGAGACATCTCCTGGGGTGGTCTTGCCAGTGATGAGTTTCTCCCAAGCCTCAGCACACTCGCGGACAATATCAGTAGCGTACCTAGAACATCGTTAGCTTACAATGCCAAATACACTCATCTAGCAAGCCCTACTTCTTGTTCTTGCACTCTCCAGTGAAAGCAAATTGGTTCTCTGGCTTTCCGTCTGGGATTTTGTAGATTCTGAACCATTCATTTGTAGCTCTCAAGAGACCTGGAAGGTGTCTTTCAACATCTTCAACGTCGTTGAGTTTAGGGGCCAATGGGTCGTTGACATCGATGACAATAACTTTCCAGTCGGTCTCTTCCTCATCGAGCAAGGCCATAACACCAAGAACCTTGACTTGTTTGACTTGACCAGGGTATCCGACTAATTCACCAATCTCGCAAACGTCCAATGGGTCATTGTCACCTTTGGCCTTGGTTTCCGGGTGGACAACGTTGGGGTCCTCCCAAGTCTAATATCCCGTCAGCTCGAGTCGTAAATAATGTATGTATGTTCCAAATCTTACTTGAGGGAAGGCACCGTAGTTCCAGAGGTAACCCTTGTGGGGGAAGCAATTGCGGACGAAACGAAGCTTGCCCTTCTTGACATCTTGCTTCTGTTTAGATTATTAGCATAAGATTTGAGTTTAACGGCGGGAGGGACATTCGATTGGGTTAAGCATCTAATAGCATGTTAGTTGATAGTTTAAAATGCATGGTGAGGAAGAAAGACCTCTTCTTTGCTGATCTCCATTTTGCCGTTTGTCCATCTTGGGATCTCAACCACCATGTTCAAGATGGTTTGTTGCTCATTGGCATAAAGAGGAATGTCGTGGAAAGGGGAAACTGGGATTCCATCCTTTTCGATATAGATACGATGCTCCAAAGTGTTTGGAGCTCCGATCTTTCTGACAGTATATTTGGAAGCCATTGTTGTATTTAATGGTGTTTTGTTGTCTGAAGATGAATTGGTTGAGAGGTGACGAGATATTTGCACCACTCTAAGCGGTATGGTGGGGTTATTTTTGTTCGCCAGTTTGTCGTGCGCGGCAGTCACGCCTTTATTAGCTAGGTGCAGGGGGAGTTGGTGCTTTGATTGGTGAGGACAGCTGTTGGTAAGACGGGTGAATGGTCTCCTAAATTGTATGGCTCGACTTTGGATGGGAGAGGAAATGGGAATATCTATAATACTAGGGTGGGATGTCCAAATTGCATTTGGAATACCGCTAACTTTTGATCTGAACATTCGAATTTCTTCTGGACGTCAAAGGCAGATGGTCAATAATATATATCTGGGTATTTTTGACTCTAGTAAATTGCACTGTTCAACAAATGATTACCGCGGTATCTTTTTTCTTTACAAAATTGACCGCTACCAAAGGAACCATGCCATCCTTGTTTAGCGAAGCTTGGTCCCTGCCGCTTCGTTGGTGTTGTCGTTCTCAATAACAGCGAATGTGTTGTTACATTTCTCCTCTAGTTTTAACTCAAATATATTAAACACGTCCATAGAAGCTTTGAAGAAACAGTAATACTAATAAGTACCTAGGTAGATAAGTACCCACTGAGTAAGCTGGCTAGCTACTCTGTACACTAATCAAGCTCTTCCCTTCCTCGTTTATAGTTCCGAACATTTGGGTGAAGCTAACACCTTCACTAAGGGCCCTGAGTTAAGAAGTAGGTGGTCTACCACTACCACTCCACATCTTTGTACACAACAAGAACATCATTACACCACTGTTACCCCAATTTCTATTTTCTACATGTCCCCTATCTATCTCTACGGCAATTTGTAAGTTTTCCAATGACACCTAACCATAATACACTCATGTAAGAACATCGAGGACATTCTCGTCTAATGTCTAATGTTTATGATATGCCAAACTACAATGCCTGATCCAGGATTCATTGTTCCAAAATATGAAAATGATTGGCTGTTTAGAACGATGTGAATGTTTGTTATTAGATCGGACATTCCGAATGAGTTGGGTGCCTTATACCACTTAATACCTACCTATATCATATAGTTGGACGAACATTCGAGGTTGACCGACTCCAGTGAACTTCACATTGTCAGCCCCTTCCTTACATGTATATTCTTGCTGTAAACACTGAATCAGTTAGAACAAGGAACCTCAGGCGGTAATTACCAGTGTGTCAAGAGTAGCTTATTCTGTGAATATCGCCTTGGTAAATTCGATGAAGACGGAGGAATGGGACAGGAAAAAATTAGTCATTGACACAAACATGCATTTCTAGCATCATACGTCGCTTGTAAATCAGATCGTTAAAATCATTAAATTGTCATAAGATCAAGACATCTAGCTATGCGTAGGCATTGATACATCAGCAGACTTAGAAATTGCATCCTCGCTTCTCCATAAACTGGTAACTGTCTTTTGCTGTGTGTAAAATTGTAGTCCTGGTTTGCCATAGAATGTATTTGCACCACCTCCAGCAACACTCTTCTTGTTCCCAGTGAAGGAGAAGAAAGGGAGAGGAACAGGAATTGGTACATTTATTCCTTGCTGTCCTGCCTCAATGTTTTTCTGGAAGTGTGTTGCTGTTGCTCCAGATCGTGTGAAGATGGCGGCACCATTTCCGTATTCATTCGCGTTGATGAGGTCAATGGCTTCGGTAAGAGTGTCCACATTCAAGCAGACTAGTACTGGACCAAATATCTCTTCCGTGTAACACTTCATATGAGGTTTGACGTTGGTGATGATCGTGGGGCCGACCCAATTTCCGTTGGGATATTTCTCCGGTTTGTAACCTCTACCGTCCAGTAAGATGGTGGCGCCTTCCTCTTCTGCACTAGCAATTAAATCTTCGATTCTCTTCTTACTTTGTGGAGAGATGACTGGACCGAGATCCGCTCCCTTTTCAAATCCTCCATTCACATTTAGTGCTTTGGCACTTTCGGCTAGCTCAGATAGCCACTCCTTAGTCTCCCCGACCATGACCAAGGTACTAAGAGCCATGCATCTTTGGCCCGCTGCACCAAAAGCTGCGCCAACAATTGAATTAAGTGCATGTTGTTTGTTCGCATCTGGCAAGACCGCACAATGGTTTTTGGCGCCCAAATTTGCCTGCACACGCTTGCCATTAGCAGAACCCCGAGCGAAAATGTATTCTCCTGCGCGATTGCTTCCAACAAAACTGATAGCTTTAATAGCTGGTTCATCAATGATGAAATCGACCGTTTTCGAAGCACCGTGGACAATGTTGAGTACTCCATCGGGAAAGCCAGCCTTTTGGGCGAGTTCCGCAAGAATCATTGCGGCACCAGGATCTCGTTCGGAGGGCTTTACAATTAGGCAGTTTCCAGTTGCACAGGCAATTGGTATAGACCATAATGGTATCATTGCAGGGAAGTCTATTGGATGTTAGCGAGCTCCAAGTCCAAAAAATAACAAATACTCACTGAATGGACAGATGGCGGCTACAACTCCCAATGGCTCCCTGTAACTTCTGGTCTCCATATCCCTTGCTACCTCTATGACTTCTCCCATCATTTGTTGAGGAATAGCGCATGCTGTTTCGGCGACTTGTAATCCACGAAGAACATCTCCTTTCGCATCTGCGGGCAAGTCAGCTTTGAGGCGTAAATTAAACCACTGCTAACATACCAGCAAAGGTTTTACCCTGCTCCAATGTGATACTGGCAGCCAATCTATCCCAATTGTCCCGTACTAATTGTGTAAATTTAAACATAATTTGTTGTCTTGCCATTATGCTGGTGTTCTTCCATCCTGGAAATGCCTTAACAGCACTGTCAACCGCAGCTTTGAGCTCGGCATCTGTGCTTTGTGGTACTCTTGTTACCAGATTGTTTGTTGCTGGGTCGTGTAAATCGATGAACTGTGTAGATTCAGACTTGAGAAATTTGTTGTCGACAAAGTATGGCGTATCCTGGACATCTTGAATTTTTTCGTGTGTCGTAGGGTAATTGTCAGCATTGAAAGCTAGAGCTGCAGCAGGTTTGAGATGTTGAGCTGTAGTATGGAGTCTGCGCGTAGCGATCTTGGAGGTCTCGGAGGAGGAGGGCATATTGAATGCTACTCTAGGTCGTACCGAGGGGGTGTGGCGAGCGGCGGCAGTAGAAATGCCTCTTGTCAAGGTTCGACGCATTTTTGCTCACAATGTTATAGTTGACAGAGATTTGAAGAGAGCTTTGTATCTCCAAGTATTCGAAGATTTGCCACATCAACCAATAACAACAACAACAACAACAATAACAACACCTACTTGTGTAGCTGGGATAAACGGAAGGGGCGGGGGGAGCAAAGCTGTTAGCAACGGCTTAAGCTACCCGGGCGCGGAGAAAAGGTTGTACTTTCCAATCCTGGCAATGCAGGTGTATCTCTTCAAAATATTTTGTACGTAACTTTAAGTCGATGAAGGGAAAGGTTGATAGGTAAGAGAAAAATGAAATATGAGAGATACGAGGGGTTTCCTACAATTGTGCTTACCTATCTAGTAGGTATTATCAATATTATTAATATTGCCGAGTTTCTTTGTTGAGAATTTCAGAGATCACAAGGTTGAAGTTACCCATTACATACTCGGAAGATTATGTACAGAATGCAAAGCATATATATTACTTCATAGGCAAGTCTACCGTTTTATCCTTATCCCACATAGCTTGGATCCCAATCTAACCTGATTAATCTAGGTAAAAGTTGGGGAAGTTGACGGAGTATGATTGGAAGAATTATTAAAGTGGATACTTTTAACAGTTTTATTATCCACTTTTTGATTTATATCCAATGATATTTCCAAAATCCGAATGGAAGTGGGATAGAGCTGAATATGGTTAATTAGAGTCGAAGTTATATGACGGTATTAACGGGAGCTCAACCTCATCTCATGAGCTACAATCCTGACCTCATCATATCAAGGGATTCTGTCTGTACCTATTCATTCGCTACTACCGGATGAATCATAGTTGTTGTATCATCAAGATACGGGAGGATATGGATATTAGTACTTATTTTTTTTTTTTTGGATATCTCCTTCATATTCTGACAGCTGCCCTCGAAAGGCAAACCACGACGTATCGAAACATATCATGTTCTTCTTTTCAACGACATATTGGGTGCGGGGGCGGGCGTCTCAAGTTCGTTATGCTGAAATATCATGCGCAATATGATTGCACTCTCTAACTGTTTTTCGTATTCTGTATCTTCTCGGTGCTGGTACCTATTTATACACGATCGTTTTTTAGTTGGAAAATACGGTTGAAGGCGAATGAAGCGGAAGGATCGCAATCTAGTCATCAAGTGATGTGAGCCAAAACTACAAGTACAGTGAAAATGGGTTGGCCTATGAACATTTCACTTTGAGTTTGATCTTGTCCTAGATGTCAAAAGATCTTGGGGTATCTTTCTTAGACAAGTATCTATAGAACATCTTCGGGCTCTCCCTAACGAATGGAAAATACACTTTTTGCGTATGCCTATAAACTTTACAGATCGCTTCTGGTGTCGAAACCGGCAATCACTATACTATTTACCATTGGCAGCCACAAGAAAGAGCCTGTGATAAAGACGACACTATTATGACAATAGCGACTCGGAATATTTATTCTCCACTATATATTAACCTTCTGTGGTTACCACTGGCCTAAGGGCATGGGTGGGCCAAGAGGAAATCCGTGTGTGCTCATCTCCTAACCTTCCTTTGTTCGAAATGCAGCGGTCGATAGCATACCTCCGTAAACTGAAAATCGATGATGGCCATTCATACGTCGTTGCGATCACGCATGGTTGATAGGCCTGAACGTCAAGAATGCATTTCAAGGTTTGCAAGTCAACCGGAAGTCCATTTGCATCAAAGTTTGTTGCTTCGATAAATGCGAGGATGGCTTTTTCAATGATCTGCACAGTAGAAGAGCTATAGAGTCAAGACATTTGCCTCATATGAAAAGGCCAAGGTGCGCAAATTGCCCAATATTTACCCCGATCGTACTGGCGAATGTGTCTAGCTGTAGCAATGTACATCTACACCATTCGAGGCTAGTGTCCACGGTGGTCATGAAGATCATGGTGTACCATAAAATGAAGGATCCGTTCTGCAACCTGTACCAAGAGATATTCAGGCGAACAATTACGGCAGGTCTGAATACCAATGAGACCAAAATGGTGACTCCACACTCAATTTTCTTCACAGGAAGAATATGGCAGCAGCTTTATCACTATTTACATGAGCTCGCCAAAGACTAAACTTTACCGTAGGGCGCTAACATGGCATAATTCTCGCACAAATGTTTTGTTCCAACTCCACGTTGTAAGCTCACATCAATAGTTCTACTAGTATGTACCCGCCGACGAGGACGGCCTTCTTCTAGGGTGTGTGTAGTGTTAGGGTAGCATCATCTAATTTGAGGTTCGGCGTCTTCTTTCATGTGCACCCTTATCAAGTCGCTTTTCTTAACGTATGGAGCGCTGCACTGAGCCAAATCAAGACCGGAGACAAGCAATGCTACGCAACTATCGCCGGCCTACTCTTGGTTCTTGGAGTAAGCTAGCTTTATGTCTACCTGCTCCTATACTTGATGCATCAAGCCCACTAAGGCAGCAAGAACGACTAATAAACTAACGCCCTATTTTATTGCTAAATTTAATCCAGAAATAATGAACAGATCCTAGAACGCAAAGTTGACTGTATCCTACGAACAGCTACTCTTATCTTCATAGAACCATCCGACAAGTACTGGGACGTGCTTCAAACATTCCAGGTAAATATGCCAGCGGTACTCCAAGCAGGTTCTTCACTCTATTAGCAGGTTTTGCCAGGAAATATGTTCAACGTGCCGCAGTCGTACCTGCCAAACGGAACCGCCGAAGATCTGTAAAAGTTGCTACAGCCCGCACTCAAAGCACTCAACCAAAGTAACATCTTATTCGATAAGTATGGCAGGTCTAATCGTTTCTCATTGTTTCTAGCCTTTAGCTAACAGCTGACTATAGCTTTCTCTTCTGTCGACTTCCCTGCGTTTCAGGATGACTTCTATTCTTTTGAGATGGACATGAATATCACGGAGCTCAATCTTGGAGGAAGCATCATTCCACGTTCTTTTGTGGCATAGCTCCGCCACCTCGTTAGTTAACGGCATCAAACCCATCTTGAATAATGGTGGCATTCTGGCCGGTGTTTCCATGGATGTTGGTCAGGCACCTACCCATTCCAATGCTGTTCATCCAGAATGCACAACTCGTTATTTCTGGCGTTCCTCGACACATGAGTCATCTCACCTTTGCACAAAGCTTCATTTAATCCTGTAGAAAACTTGGCTGACAGCATGAATCAGACTTTACAATCAATCCAACATGACCGCTAATCTTCCCGCCCAAAAAAACAGTGATTAACGTGGTAGTACCGGCTCTGCAAAAGCTAACTCCTATTCCTGCTGCGTAGCTCAATGACGCCGATTTCAATCAGCTAAATTAGCAGCAGATTTTTTATGGTGCAGATATGCACAACTTTGTCTATTAAGAAAAAGTACGCTCCAAATGGTATTTTCTGGGGTCCAACTGTCGTGGGAAGCGAAGGATGGGCGGTTGCCGCGGATGGACGGCTCTGCAATTACAGGTCATTGAACGTATGAGATTGCATGCAGTCATGCTTTTCGGCAAGGGTATAATAATTATTGCATGCAAATGTGATTAAAATTATTAAAAGCTTGCTAAATTGGTCGCTGATAGCGGATAATTTCGAAGTGATTCTTGCAGATGGTCGAATGATCAATGCTAATGCCAATACGGATTCAGATTTGTAAATTGTGCTCAAAGGACGAAATAAAAACTTTGGGATTGTGATATGGTTTGATATAAGAACTTTCTTACAAGATAAAAAGTGGATTGGGTTTGTTATATCCGATTTCTATTCTGGATAAGAATTTCAAGGCACTTGCCAGTATAGAAAACGTTTGAGATCTATATGCTTTAGGTATAAGATTTTCAGCTCAAACAAAATTTATCATTATATTATACTTTGAATATACCAAGGAAGATAATACAACCATTATTTTCAAACCTTTTATAGATATCAAACCGTAATGCAGAACACAATGAAGATCACAACACTCATTGAAATTGCAAGAGATATCCAGAAAATACAAGCTAAAGGGATTCGTTAGATCTTTACTACTACTCTCTTTCAGTTTTATTGTCCATTTGCAAAACGTGCAGGCTCTCTCAGAAGTGCGGTTACATCCGTGGAAGAGTTGACAGATAGATATTATTGGTAATTACGAGAACCTATCTCAAGTTTTGAGCAGAAAGGCAATCATATTGAAGTTTTTCGGATTTTGATAGGTATACTAGTGTAGGTTTTTCTGGGGGGGGGAGCTGATTCTATCCTACTCCGTATAAGATCTTACAATCCTCACACTGCCAGCTGAACAGTCTAACATCCCTCATTAGGAGAGGGTTTAGTTTCCCAGGGCGTCCAGTTTGGCTCGTGGATCCTTCTACTGTATAGCCAACCAATAACCAATCAACAAAGAAGCGGGGCCGGACCTCAAATATTTTCCCAGAGGATTATGTCACACACGGTCGGAAAAGGCTGTGCCGGTATCTTTGGTGTAGGTTCTGTTCCGTTCCGCTAGAAAAGCCAACAACTACTCATGGTAAGGTCAGATTCAAGCTTTAGCCGTATTGATTCTATGGTAATGCTTGACAATCCATTGGCGATAGATAGTTCAGATCACGGTCCAGGTGAGGAAAGAATGAAAAGAATGAAAAGAGTGGGTTCCTGTTGCATTTATACGGGGCAAGATCTGCAAAATCCTTGTTGGACTTTCATCTGAAAAGGGTATACCATACGTTCAGGTGTTGAGATCCAAAACTTCCTTTCGTCTCGAGTTATTTTGGCCATGATAACAATGTGATTGTTATATTCTTTCGAAGCAACTCATTAGTATCATCGTATCCTTCTGTTAATTGGGGCATCTCTCATTTCATTTCCTTTTCAATGCTGGATTACGATAATACATAGAGTCAGTCAGTCATTGAAGCCTCTTTTCGCGAGTAACAAGTGGGATCGTTTGCGCCGGGTCTCCCGTTACATACAGTTAGCACGACATTCGAAACTTGCGATGAAGCAGGTGTATCCTTGGGTCTGATTCACATCTATTCTCTTTTATAAAAGGTTCCTCGCTGGCAACCTTTTACATTGTTCCATCGCTACATTGTTACATTTTCACAGGCATTTTATGCTACCTTACTATTTCCATTGAACCTTCAGCCTAGGAAGTAGATTGCGGAGGCGGCGCATTTCTCGACCCGACCCCGCCCACCATTTAAGTACTTGACATTCTGCCAACATATGCCAATTCTTAGAATAGTCCTAATTTGTCCGTCTTTATGTCGTCTATTCCCTTTAAAAGACTTCTGGTCTTACCGACCACCTTTTCGTACGCACTGGGTCAATATAAACCAGATGCATTGTCATCCTCGCGCCCAAGTTACCTAGGAACATTTGTGCAACTATATCTGTTGCAGTTCATAGGCTTTGTGATATGGAGAGTGATCCTGTATCCTTTCTACTTTTCACCACTTAGACATTTGCCCTCGCCGAAAGGTGGTAGTTGGTGGAATGGTCATTGGAAGAGAATTTCCGGAGAGCCGACTGGACAGCCTATGCTTGACTGGTAAGCTTCATCCGTTATACCCTTACACATATATCTAATGATGTAATAGGATAGAGGAAGTTCCAAATGACGGCATCATACGATATCTGGGAATTTTGAATTCGGAGAGAGTTATGGTCACCAATGCCAAAGCGCTCAGCGAAGTTCTTACCACTAAAAATTATGACTTCGTCAAACCGTCTACTGTTCGCCTTGGAATAGGGCGTCTTCTTGGAATTGGAGTTCTTTTGGCAGAGGGAGAGGAACATAGAGTACAGAGAAAAAACCTCATGCCCGCATTCGCATTTCGGCATGTTAAGGATTTGTATTCCGTTTTCTGGGATAAATCTTGTGAAGGTTTAAAAGCTATGACCACGGAAGTCAAGGGGAAGGAATGCGGCGATATTCCTAATGATATGATCGGAGAAAAGAATGGAAGTGATGGAAATATTGACCAACCGGAAAAGGGTGTGGCAATCATAGAAGCCATGCAGTGGGCAAGCAGAATAACATTGGACATAATCGGTACAGCTGGTCTGGGCAAAGATTTTGGTGCCATCCAGGACCCTAATACATTACTCAACAGGACTTACAGGACTGTCTTCAAGCCAACACGCTCTGCGCAGATTCTTGGATTCCTCCAGCTTTTCCTACCTGGATGGTTTGTGAAAAGGATACCCGTCAAAAGAAATGGGGAGATCGAGGAAGCTGCAGAAACTATCAGATCCGTTTGTAGAGATCTCATTCACGAGAAAAAAGCCAAGCTAGAGAAAAAGGAGCTGACCGATGTGGATATTTTAAGTGTCGCACTGGAGAGTGGAGGCTTTCCCGATGAAAACCTTATTGATCAACTTATGACTTTCCTAGCAGCTGGCCACGAGACCACCGCGAGTGCGATGGCTTGGGCAATTTATCTACTCTGCGCATACCCAGAAGTCCAATCTCGTCTTCGCGAGGAAGTCCGCGCAAAACTTCCTAGTCCAGACTCAACTGCTACTGTCACAAACCAGGATATTGATTACATGCCCTATCTAAACGCTGTATGTAACGAAATCCTCCGCTACTTTCCACCCGTTCCTCTCACTCTTCGTGAAGCCGCTGTTGATACCATTATTTCCGGTCATCGGATTCCCAAGGGCACACGCGTAATGCTTATTCCATGGGCCATCAACAAAGACGAAAAGATGTGGGGTCCTTCTGCGCGAAAATTCAACCCCGATCGATGGTTACCCGAGAATGGCGACTCTCACAATACGAGCGGAGGAAGCTCAAGTAATTATGCATTTCTTACTTTTTTGCACGGGCCAAGAAGTTGCATTGGGCAAGCATTTGCGAAAGCCGAGTTTGCTATTTTGTTGGCGACCTGGATCGGGAGGTTTGAGTTTGAGTTGAGGGATAAGAATATGATGGATGAGAAGAATTTGTATATCAAAGGGGGGGTAACGGCAAAACCGGCGAAGGGTTTGTATGTTAAGGTTAAGGTTAGAGAAGGTTGGTAGAGACTGGGGTTTGGGAATTATATTTTACGGTAAAACGTTTAGAGACAGGATGGATTTGTAGATAAATTATATATACTCTACCTCAAACTTCGTTTCCTTCTCAATGCTGGCTTTGCACAATGGTTGTTCGTCTTCGAGCGGTTCTCTACTCTACTACTTTCAAGCTGCAAATACAGTTGTATGGCGTCATGGGTTGACATTTACTTTATTCCGAGATTTTCAAACTTCCAAGCTCTCGTTTTTCGCAACTGAGAAAATTTAACGCTCGATTAATTATTCAAGCTCTTCATTCTCTCAAACCGAAATGTTTGTTTACACCGTTGATTCGCCAGACACGACTTTCCAATGCCAGGACCCTAAGTGTATTTCCACCTTTCTAAATAACCTCGCACAGCTAAACTGAACATGTTAGTTTTAAGTATGAAATCCAATGAATGAAATGAGTTCCATCTCATCATACTCTGTAGTCTAAAATAGCGGAAACATCTAACCTTATAGAATTGCTCTGAGATAAGAAAGAATATCAAGGGGTCAAATCTCGACTGGAATCTCATGTTATATTCGGAACTGCAGTATATGTATGGGTGCGTGAACCGTTGGATGTTAACTCTATTTTTACATAGCTATAGGTGTCAATCAATGGATTAGTGGAAAATACTCGTCATATAACTGAACGGTATATATTGTTATGATTTCTCTTTCGCCCTCAGAATTAAATGATATTCTCGTGTTGCAAGTAAAAGTGGATTCCTGCCTCGCTTAACACCTAACAGCCACACCAAAACCCAGACCCAAAATATTGTAAGATTCCAAAAGCCCATGACGCTCTTTCATAGATGCCAAAACATAACAGAAAAAAAAGTTTCAGCATAGAAATGCAAAAAGATGGAGAACTTGGGAATCGAACCCAAGACCTTTCCTAGTCTACTGTTGTGATGACACAAAGTGCGAAAGGAATGTTATACCCCTAAACCAGATCCCCATTTTATTTGATGGAGGGGCTAAATTATTTGAGTATATATATAGTTTGAGAAAGGTCACTTGGTGAGATTTGACGGCTGCACGGGCTAGTTGCGTGGATTAGTCATATATTCATCAGATATTAAAGGTTTTGACAGTGATTAGACTAATCAGTACTAAGAATATCACAAGAGGTGTATTGATTACTAATCGTTAAGGATTTGGTAGATCTTAATTTAAAAGACCTGGTAAAGTGCAGGTGGTTGAGGCTCACCGCCTGTAGTCACATGTTTTCCCTAGTAACTCAGACCTTTCTTTCTTATCTTAGCGCCTTCTAGCTATCAATGAATTTCTCCGATTCCCTAATTTTTCCAAAAGATCATTGATACATACCTTCACGTATAGAGATTCATTGCCAGCAAATCTTATGGTATTGATTCGAATTCAGGTACTCCTATAGATATGTCCTCAACTCCCGAATACACAAGGTTACACATAACCCCACTCAATCCCAACCTCCTCACTACCATAATACCTCCGTCAATCCTCCCCAATGCAAAGAACATCTCCTACCATACTCTCGAAACTTTCCAGGATAAAGCTTACGGCTTCGTTGACCTTCCTACCATGGATGCCGAAAAGTTAAAAAAGAAGCTCCATGGCTCTATATTAAAAGGTTCAAAAATTCGTATCGAAACCGCCAGGCCTGCGGAAGATCTAAGCCCAGTAAACGAGCCAGAAGAAGCGCCCAAACGACAAAGAGAAAGGAAAGATCCAAGCAAAAAGCGCAAACGTGGAGAGGAAACTATACCCGCTGCAGTAATTGGAGATAGGAAAGTTAAGAGGGGTTGGACTACAACAGCTGCGGATATCAGCAAAACCAAAAAGCAATCAAAGGAACTTAAGAATGTTGTCAAGTCGAAATATACTACAAATGAGGAGTGCTTGTTCAAGACAGTATTACCGCCAAATGTTGCGGCGCACACAAAGGCTACGAGTGGTGAGAAATCGAGTAGGAGGAGTAAGAAAGGTAGAGGTGTTATTGTACACGAGTTTGCCAAAAGTACGAAATATGCTACCTTCTTAAGAAGTACCACGGGAGGTACAAAGGTGAAAACTGCAGTGGAATTTGTGGATGGTAAGGGGTGGGTAGACGAGGATGGTAATATAGTGGAGGAAGTAGTGAAAAAGGTGCGGAAGAATCAGGAACCACAAAAGGAGAAGCCCGTTCACAAAGAAGCAATGGAAGACCAAGGTAGTGGTAGTGATAGTGCTTCGGATCAAGAAAAATCTGAAGAAGATGAATCTTCTTCGAATGAATCTAATTTCGAGGAGCGAGTAATGAAGAAAGTGAAACGGGCAGCAGAAGTCGAGAGTAGCAGCTCATCAGACTCAGAGAGTTCCGCTGATGAAGATGAGTATATCAAACCACAATCAATATCTAAAGATTCCGAGAAAGCGACGGCAAGCGATGCTATAGAGCCTCCAATCGAGGCGAAGAGTTCTTCCGATAGTGAAAGCTCATTGGAGGGAAAAGAAGCGCATGCCAATTCTGACCAGCGAAAAGTCTCTAAAGCTAGAGCTGAAGCTGAACCGAAGGATGATGCATCATCATCAGGCTCTGACACATCCTCAGATCCAGAGCCATCGGATTCCTCCGACGAAGACTCGGAAGACGAAGGTCCACCGTCTATTGCGGCCTCTCCTCAGAACCCCGCCGCATTTAAACCCTCAACCATGCCACCACCCGTCTCAACCATGACTCCGGAAACCAAATCAATCAGACCTCAGTCATCAGCTGGTTTGAGTATTAAGATACCCTCTCCTACGCCTCATGCAACCCCTATTCCCACAGAGGTCCATCCTCTCGAAGCTCTTTACAAACGCCCCAAACCTAATTCTGACTCCACCTCCGATGAGCCCAGACCCGAAACCAAATCAAACTCCTTTAGTTTCTTTGGTGCTGATGACGAGGATTCCGATATTGGCGAGGAACCGAACCAACTCCCTTTAACACCCTTCAGTCAACGTGATTTCGAATATCGAGGCGTACGAAGCGCAGCACCGACTCCTGACACCGCTTACGTGAATAAGAGATTTATATGGCCAGGTGGAAACGAGGATGATGTCGGTGATGACGGCAGTTCTCCAACCCCGAAAGAGTCGGTCGGTGGAAAAATCATATTTAAGGAAAAGGAATCCGAGGAGGTGCCAAAAAGCGATTTTCAGAAATGGTTTTATGAGCACAGAGGAGAGAATACAAGAGGGTGGAAAAAGCGAAGAAAGACCGTTGCTAAAGAGCAAAGGCATAGAGAGAACAAAAAGAGAAGTCATGTTTAATTTTTTATTCCCCTGTATTTATTTAGTCATGAATGAATCTCCTTGGTTGGATACTTCGCATAATGAATGAACTTGTTGGCTTTTCAATCTCTCATCTTGTCAGCTTCCAAATACCTAAGTTCTTAGTAAAATATCATATTTTCAATCATCCTCATAAGATCTTACCATCATCATTAATGTCGTAGTAAAAAGGCATCAATCACATCACATCACAGCACAGCATCATGGCAAGGCATAGCACAAGAAAATAGCAGAAACCAACCCAAAGAACATCTTCGATGCTCCCACTCCAACCAACGAAAGTCAAACGGCAAACTGGTGAACTAAAAAAGAGAAATTCCTCAAAACAAGTAGATAGCATAGGTAGGTAGGTAGTTGATTGATTGAACCTCCTTCCTTGCCATAGAAATAGAAAAGTCAGTCCATACATACTCTCAATCCCTTAATTTCCTATTTCCTATTTGTATTTTGTATTTATTCTTTTCTACATTTTGCACATATTTGGATGCTGAGATTACTTAATTAGTGTATCGATGCATTTTTTGTTTTGTTTTGTTCTTAGGAGCTTAAAGTAGAAAATTAAAATTAGAATTCGCTTTTTTTGTGCTAAATAACGAGGTTATCCATCCTGCACCGTATTTATTATAATTATGAGCACCGTTTTTTTCGTTTTGTTTATTGGCCCTCATTCCCTTGATTTCTTCCTTTTCAATTTTTGTTTTTTGTTTTCTCTCCTTTTATGTATGTATGTGTGTGCCTGTGTGTGCGGTGCAATTATTGTACGTATGTACGTATCGTATCATACGTATGTTCCCGCTATTTCAAATCGTAGGGACGGTCGTATAAGTCGCGAGCAACTGAGTCTAATTTTTGGGTGGTGAATGAGCGGCTGTGTCTTGATGTTCCTGAGGGGTATGTATGTATGTACTATATCGTTGCAAAGTGTGCTGATAGCAACACGTTGAATCGAATGGCGAATCGTTCCTCAACAGTATAACGACATGGTTATGCCCGAACTCCCCTCCCCTTTCCCCTCCCCCAAAATAAGTGTGCTTAAGAGCCACTGTATCTTAAGTCTCTCAAGTTATCGTGTCGAATCATGCAGAACGCAGTATATCGAATTCAATTCGCATAGTATCGAGAGTATCCAGACCAGGTATAATTCCAAATGAGTGTGTCCAGCCTATAACCGATCCGGTATTCGCTATCCGAGTCCAGTTATTCCAGCCACGATATCAAATCGTATAAGATCACATGTATCATAGGCATCCTATCGTATTGCGTATATTTTCTGTTGTGATGAAGAAAGAAAGTGCCCAATAGACCTTGTAGTCACCAAGTAGCGACTCCGGGCCCTATGTCCGCGTAATATTAGGTTTGGAGGAAAACACCCTTGTGCATAAACTCCGAGTGTAATCTTAGAAAATGTCGCAGATGCCATGTTGTACTTGTACAGGGTATTGTGTATTCAAACAGTGGGATCCAGTGTCCAAGAAAATTCTCTGTGTTTCCGCCGGGGCCTTTCCAAGGGTTTTCTGGTGACGTGGAGATGGAAGATTTAAATTTGGAGCTCGAATGAGATGATGGTGAGGAAATGTGAATAAATGCAAATGTAACTTTTGACCATAACGTCTTTTTTCTGACGGAATGGAAGTAGGTTGAATGAGTTGTAAGAGTAGTAGAGGTTGCAAAGGGTTGCAAGAGTAGTAGACAGTAGATGACTGTTCGCCGTCGAGATGAGATCCCGTAGCTTCTAAGTTCGGAGTGAAGGATGAGAGCGGAATCATTCGTATGCAAGACTCTTTCCCTTGCCACTACCTGTGTAGTACGTAGCTGGTAAAATTTCCATGTTGCAAGGACTGTTATCACAACTGTCATTCATGCTATCGCGGTAGGGGTTTCGCGAGGCGAAGGTAGAATCAGTCAGGTCGATGTTATCTAATGCAGAGCTGTCCCCAGTATTCAATCTGGAAAGCATACCACCACGAGGAGCTTGCGGTGTTGTACAATGGTCAATGGCCTCCGGTCTGCGACGAGGATTATTGCTACTACTGACGCTTGCAGCGGCAGGTCCAGCTTCAAGATTATCTTCACGGGATCCGTACTGCCTAAATCTTCCATTTACGACACGTTTGTGACAGACCACCAAAGGTCTATCACCAAGATCAAGCGGAGGGGAAAACTGTTTTCCGAAAACGATCTGCTCACTCTGGTGAGCGAGACTCTTCTCCAATTTCTCTAGCGGGCCCTCAGTCTCGACCCGTTTGAGGGTGGGTGGCATTGCCTTGTCCAAGTCGATTCTTGAACTTATACAAGATGCGTTGTGACTGCTGAGTACGAAAGTATCCACAGCCTGTCGCTGCTGCATTTCTGCGGGTGTACGATGTAAGGGGTGGGCAGATGGCATGTATGAATACACTGATGTCTGGGATGGTGTTGCAGACTCTATAGTGCCTTGATCTCTGTTCCAAGTATCCGTGGTGTTAGATGGGGTCTGCGGAGGATAAAACTTAGTACTATTCCCGCTGAATGCTATGAGAAAAATTATGTTTGATTAGAATAGCTTGAACTTACCTTGGGAGCTGCATTTTCTCCAAGGAGGCTCTTCATCGCCAAGTCTCGATGAGGTGCAGCTGCTACCAGACTATCCCTACTTCTGATCGATGTCCAACTAGGAACTCCCATTGTCCCGTAAGCCTCATCGGGCAAAGAAGGGTTTGCTGAATGAGATCCACTTAGTTTACTGGGAGTATAATGATGAACTGGGAAATCATTGATGTTTCGAGAAGTTACTGGCTTTAAGACAGCTTGTGGTAAAGGCGTTAAGGGCGTCGCTGGATTCGCTAACATATAGCCATAATTTTCAACTTCCGGACTGTTCAAACGGAAAGGCTCGTAATACCGTCCTTCTCCAGTGCCATACGTAGGAACCTGTTCAAATCCATGGTGATAATTTCGTACTCTTTGAGATATCTCCACATTAGGTCGAAGGACCTCAGGATGAAGATTTTGGACTCGTTGAGGAGCATCAAAAGTCGACAAGGCCTCCCGACGCATAGTATTAGCTCCGGGAACCATTTCGAAAGATCTTTGTCCATGATGGCCGCTTTCCAGATCGCCACGTCCAATACTACCATCTACAATCTCCCGGCTGCCAGCATGTTGTCTAAATCCGCCGCGAGGATGATATGCACTTTCGCGGCAGATCATGAAGCCAAAGGTCGTACCTCCAACACACAGAAGGATCACACTAAGCACCAGCCACCAGATAACCACTACACTGATATTACTAGTGGATGACTGACTGGCTGTGCTCCTAAGTGTAACGACGACACCCACGCTAACTCCTGTTGATAAAAATCCAAATTGTGTGACGGCAAACGCAGCCCAGCAATTAGAGGTAAGACCTTGGAAGAAACTAACAACCCAATTATTATTGGCAGAAACAGTGCGTCGGACAAGATGAGGCTCTGCCAAGCGTCGCTCTAGAGCCAATCTCTCATCCTGTTTCCTGGCAGCAAACTGCGCTCTAGCCTCCGCGGTCACTCTGATAGGTAGTGGGGGCCGGGGAGCAGGTCGCGGAGGCAACTCTGTGGGAAAACCTGTCGAATTGGCATCCTTAGGACGAGGTAGTGAGGCACGATTTCCGTTATACGTCGACAAAAACAGACCAGTGTGCATGTCACTTAGTCCCGAGTAGAGCTGATTCTCAGAGATGGCAGAAACCGCCGTAGAATTGGGGGAGAACTTGCTTTTCTTAGCCTTCTTCTCTTTGCTCTTCTTTGGCGATGAATCTTTGTCGCCGGTGAGAACACCTACTTGATCCACGTTGCTCTCCGGAGAATTCATCGTATTGTATGGTACGGTGTTTGTGAATGATAATGTGCTCGATCCTCTAAATCTCGAAGTTACATTATCTCCAGGACCTTTTGCAACCAACACAGGAGCCTGATGAGACTTATATGGTTGGACTTGCCGGTCTGAAGAAGACTGTTGTACTGAAGCCGAACCGACTATGCGACTATCGTGGCGTATCGAATAGGAGGGTGACTGGTGGTACTCATTATACCGAACCGTGCTGCTCGGAGGAGTGCCTTCGCGACGATGCTGCATTGATTGAATCTCATTCGCCGTATAAAACCCATCATCATATGTGCTTTCCATTTCAAAAGAATCAATATCGTTTGTAGATCCGCTAGGTCCGCGAGAATGACTGTCGTGAAGCTTATTCCGAGTAATGTCATATGTATGCTGAGGAAACGCAGAGGTCCCTTGATTGTCCGTGAATATAGGTGAACCTTTCCCCATTGGAGAACTAGCGGAGGTGTTCAATTGTCCACCTTTATCCTTAGGTGCAATCAGATATTCAAATAAATCTCCATTTGATGAACTCTGATTCACTTGTGTCAATTCTTTCTCCCTAAAAACACTGAGACTTTTGGAAAAAGCCCCCCGAGCCATTATTATCGAACGACTGTTAGACTTAAGAAGTGTTAGCAGACTCGAATCTCAAGTTTTGTAGTAGGTATTGTTAAGTAATGACTTACTCGGCCGTTGCGCGCAGTAGATGGTCTCTTTAGATCAACGTCCCGAGAATGTGCACTTGACGATTGCAACTGAGGCGACTTTAAATGGTGCGAATCATCAAAAGGATCTTCTGCTCGCTGCGATTTGAGATTTGTTGATCGATACGGAGGTTGTACTCCTCGACCTCCTTTGTGGTTTCCATCCATGTTTGCAGACCGCGCGCGTTGTAGATTGTAAATGTACTTCTTTTAACGGCCAAAGCGCAATACTTAGGAAGTGGTTGTCGCAAGCAGTAAGTAGCAAGTAGCAGTCATGTGAAGATGATATAGATGCATTCGAATATAATTTTGGCAGAGGAGGAGTGTTTGCGACCTTGCCGTAGTTCTTTTATGGAAGAAGCCAAGAAAAAAGCCAAGAAATGCCACTCAGGCCACTCCATGAGAGAATTATAAAAGCTTGAGATGAGAATTGGATCAGGTCTGGTACAAAAGCATCTTGATTGGTGTTGTGGAGAGGAGGTGGCAATGCCCTTATGGTAGGTAGTAGGAGATATAATAAGTTTGGGGAGCTCTATATTGTCTGAAGGTTGGATAGTTATCAAAGACAAGCAGAAAATGTGGGGCCATTCATGATACAAAAAGAATGCGAAGTTATCTCTTTTAGACGATCGTATGGGCGGTGAATATTTTCAAGTTACTACAACAGTTGAGAGGGGATAGGGAAGCGATGAATTTGAGGAATTGTATTTGTGGGAATACAGAGAAGGCTAGCCCTACTCCATGATACTGGCAGCAAAGAAGCAAGAAGGTGAAGAAACAGAAAAGTACACATAGTATGTGAAAGATTGAAAGGCTTGTTGTTGTTTACACTGACTGAAACTACCTAGTCAATCAGAAAAAGTGTTCCTGTACCGGCAATATTCGGCCCGGACGTTTTCATTCCTAGTTACTATCATTTTCATCTTTCATCTTAAGTAGGATCCCATCATCGATAATTTCTCTGAATTCCAGGAGAAAACTTCAGATCTTGTCACTGTCGTCGGCCTAACCTTTGTTATTTTCCCAAGAACCGCACGCTCATCTGCCTCCATCTCCAATGGTGAAGCCACTTGACGAGTTTACTTGATGAGGTTTGTTCATTCAACTTGAACAGCAGGTTATAAATCTAATTTGAAGACTACAATGGAGTGTTTAGAACAACCAAACACCACTCCACCCCTTTACTCCGTATGCACAGTATAATACAACATGGACAGAGAGCAGTATAAGCAGGATCTATACCAAAGCAGAAAACCCCTATCCAAACCACTCTACCTCTTTCTTTTTATACATTTGGTGATAATAAGTCATACTTGACACATGTTTCAACCTACATCAAATTGTTAGCAATTGCGCATTCATTGCTAACCTTGAGAAATCACAACGAAGGGGTGACAAAATTAGAATGAAAACAGACAATGTATATGCCAAGTAGAAAGAAAGGGTTCGGACCCCTTGTCATCATCAAGACATACACAAAATGAAGACTTGGGGCAGAGAGCTTAAGGTAAGGTAGACAGCGAAAAACGGGATAGTCAGTGGGAAGAGGTAAGCGGAGTGATGTCTCGGCGCTCCATAAATAATGTTGCACAGCAAGTTGATTCGAGCTGCAGACGACATTGATTCTGGGTTTGATACATTGATCCACTAACCATGGACTAACCGCCAACCAGTCGCAATCAACCACCAGGGCCACCACACGCAATCCAACGTGACATGAATGTGGTGGGTAGAAAATTGACCAAAATAGAATGGTGGCGACGATAAGGAAAAAGGGTAGTGTAGGTGTGGCAATTAAGAACAGAATAGTGGAAAATAGAGGAGTAAGAAAGTGGGTACGTACATCTTCAATGGAAGCTTGCAAGAACTTTCTAGCCTCCAAACCCGCCCAGACCTTCAGCATTGAAAAATCACCTTGTCGTAGCATCCCACTTCCGCTCTGTGCTCCCAATTCGCGCAAAATTGGTAGTGCAGAAGAGAGCAAGTCAATGCTAGGGTTGAGACTTCTACCAATGCCTTCTAGCAACAGAATGCTAATTACCACATTGACAAAATCTCCTTCCATCCGAACATGATGGGTACGGACCATGGAGAGAACCTCGTTTAATATATCCCCTATCTTCATGTTACCTAGAGCTAATGTGCGACTCTTGACTCCTAGGATGAGATGCTGCATTTTCAGAGCATAAATCTCTTCATCAATGACTGCATCGGGTTGGCGGCATCTTTGACACATCAAATGTCCTGCTTTGTAGCCATCGAACTCAGCAACAGCTTTAAAAAGATCAAGGAAGTTCCTTCGATTGGTTGCATTTAGTTCTGTGACCAGGCCTGTATCAATAAAGATTAATTGAGGTCGGAATCCTTCTTTATCAATCTTTGAAAGTTCTGCGTGCCAAGCTTGAGGGTCTTTTCTGTGGCGGTATGGATGAAGCCTTGCCAGCACTTGTTCGGTAACATCTGGTTGAGATTGCGGATTTTCGTCTTTGTGTTTGCTGAAAGGTAGGTTGGGTTTCTCAGATTGATAAAAGCGGACCATGATATTACCTGGATGAAGGTCTGCATGGATAAAATTGTCAATTAGCAGCATGCGTAAAAAGGCATCTAGCCCTTCATCTGCAATATCTTGCTGGAATACTCCACCACCATTTTCCATAAAGTCAGATAATGGAATACCCTGAGCAAATTCTTCTACAAGTACTTGTCTCGTGGTGAACTGAGTATATGGAAACGGGAACCATGCTGTTGTTCTTGGTTTGAAATTCTTTCGGAAAATTGACAAGTTTGCAGCTTCAATTCGAAGATCAAGCTGCAGTCTCATCATCTGACCAAATTGTTCGACTTCATCTGGAAATGAGAGCCACTCAAATGTAGGAATCAAATTTATTGCTGAGGCGAAGACCCGCATAATCCGTAAATCTCGTCTAACAACTCTTTCTACCCCTGGATGAAGTACCTTGATAGCGACGTAACTTGATGGAACTCTTTGTGGTGTACTCTTGATGAATGTGTCAACATTTCTACGCACATTCGTTCGTATATTCTTAGGCTCCTGAATATCTGGATCAATTGGTGTTGCCAAATCCGGTTTCAGCTTGGCCTTGTAAACTTGTGCTATAGCTCCGACACCCAGAGGTTTTTCCTGGAACTCTTCAAATATCTCATCAAAGGGTCGTCCATCAAATGCTCTGCTTATAATTCTTTTGGTGGCATGTAACGAGTGTGCAGGCGCATTAGAATGAAGCTGTGACATGATCTCGCACATTTGCGTAGGGAAGATATCTGATCTGGAGGCGGCCCATTGCCCAAGCTAGAAAGTCAGTAAAACCAGGGTAGAAGGAATTAGATGCAGTACCTTGATAAATGCAGGCCCGGCTCGTTCCATAGCCTTGACTAAAAACCTGTACCACCATAGAGTACCCGCCCGCTCATTATCTCGCTCATTATCCCTAGGTCCAAAATATGCAGCAGGTATAGTAATGATAACTGGAACAAATATAGCCACGAGGTGGAGGAATCGTATGCTTGTGCAGAGTGGCTCCCATAGATAGGTATCTAGGAGGAAGATTATACTATCTTTGACTCGTTCGAGCCCATGAACATCATCGTTAACTTTCTTACTAATTTCCTCTCTTGATGCCTCCAACATTCGCGATTCCGCCGTCATCTCAGTTCCGCCATTGTCCTTTTCTGATAATCGGACAAATGCAGCAGGACTCAAGCTCGCTATAGTTGCCAGTATTAGTCCCTTTTTCTGCGGAGGCGATTTAAATTGCCATTTGCCCCATTTTGCTCCTCCTCTACTGCGGCCATTTCTACACGACTGTCTCGTTGCTAGTTGAAGATTTCGATATTGAACCGAGGGTCGTATTCTTGGAACGGTCTGACGGAGACATGTTCGACCTGTGACCAAAAACATCCTTATCTTCCTTCATGCGAAGATCGACTTGTTCTCCTACTCGGGTGCTATCGTTGCTCCATTTATGTTTTGCTGTTATCGGGTTTGGTTAGAGTACAAATCCAAGGCACCCCTTCGTGGAAACATTAGAGGCGGCGGGAAGCAGCAAATGCGCCAGTGAAGTGCTGATTAAGTGACGTCAGGATTTCATTCAAAACATTTTCTTCATTTAGTTGCTTAAAAGATGCCATTCTTTTTGTTCACTTGATAACTTTCATACTAATTGTAAAATAAGAAACAGTGTAAAATATTGAATTGAAGATATATTTTTAATTCAATTTTTATATCGATTTCTTTCCTCTTGCGACGGCTGTTCGATGTCATAAATTCTGCGGTTGCATTGAAGGAAGGACCCATACAATTTCGGTGAACAAGCGGAAACTGACCGGTTTTGGCAGAAAATTTCATTGAATGGTCGCGGCAGAATTTGTCCCGAATCTCCTCCTTACTCCTCTTTTCTTCCTTCGAATCACAGTGAAGTTAATCAATAGAATCTTTCGCTCATTCCTTTAATATTGTACTGAGGAATCTCATTTTTACCCTTGACTTCTAACCCAAAAGTACACAAGTTTACTGTTTACATTCCTCGAAAACGATATGGGATGGTTTTGGGCGGATTCTCCCGCAACCGTTGCGGCTGCGAATATGAGAAATGCCCCTCACCCAATGCCCAAGAATAGCGATGCAACTCCTCCTGTGAGTGCCCATTCTCTCCAATAATTAGTCACTTTGAGATTCTGATTTTCTTCTCGCAGCCATCATGTCCTATGCACAAGCCCAGCGCAGATGCTCTTAAGCCTGTGGCAAAACCTGCAGCATCACCCGAATCCGCCTGCCCATATACTCCTGACAATGTCTCTCAAGACCCTAAATCGACATCTAAATACTCCAAATACAATCCTCTAAACTACATGTTTCCAGATTTATCTCAAGAGCGAGCGAAAGATCAGACTATCGCATTGCCAACTGAAAGAGAACCATCTACCATCCCTAAAGGTACTGGCGATGGTAACTGGGAGTATCCTTCGCCGCAGCAGATGTACAATGCTCTTTTGCGCAAAGGTTATACTGATACGGATGCGACTGCCGTGGAGAGTATGGTATCGGTTCACAATTTTTTGAACGAGGGAGCTTGGGCTGAAATCGTAGAATGGGAGCGAAGATTTGGTAAAGGACTGTCCAAGGGTTGGGAGAATTGTAAGAGGGGGGAAGAGGGTTCAAAGGCAGGCGCAGACATTGGTGCAAATGAAGATGAAGTGCCCCAGCCAAAACTAGTTCGATTTATGGGGAGACCGAAAGAGATGACACCAAAAGCTGCGATGATTCAACTAATGGGTTGGGCTTTCCCAGAAAAATATGGGTATGTTTTTCGTAATTCCTGTTGATGGCGGAGAATATGTCTAACGTGGTGATAGTACCGAGCCCCCATTTGATCGTCACGATTGGTTTGTCCAAAGAGAATGCAATGGTCAGAAGAAGGAAGTTCGATATATAATCGATTATTACTCGGGAGGAGAAGAACCCACTGGGGAACCAATATTCTATCTTGATGTCAGACCCGCTCTTACTCCTACGCAAGCAGTAGAACGCATGATGCGATGGGGTGGTGATGTCTGGTATCGTGCGTCGGGTGCGTCTGTTAGAGAGAACATCAAGAAGAATTGAAAACGTACCTTTTGAGATTTGGAACGGCGTTTCTTGCAGTGGTTTTTAAGGAATACGCTTCAGCCTGGGTTAGGATTTGGTATTGATGGTTACGATCTGGGTGACTTTTGGTTATGCATTATGGAATGGTTCCTTTTGGGAACCCCGGTTTACAGCTCTCTTCTCTTGTAGTTATTGATACCTAAATAATGACATTTCCTATTCACGATGCCAGCGAACTGTCCAAGGTCCAGACACCAGATTTAAACTTTCGGGCGTAGCTTATGGGTTTGTCGCACTGAATTGGGAGCTTCCCTGTAATGCGATAAGAGCTTCTTCAAAGCCCCACCATCCATCCATTGCTCCATCATCGTCCCTCGTCTTGATTATTTCGAGGGTGTAAAGAAGAATATGGCGGAACCCTTCGTGTCAATCAGGAAATACATCAAATGGGGAGCAAGTATTTATTGTGCAGCCCTTTTCGAACCTGCTAACAATGATTGCAGGAGAGTGCGGCAAAGGAAAACACAAAGTACATACCCCAGGCTGTTTGTTATCAATAGCTCGGAAGTTGCTAACATACAGTTTTTAGCACTCTCGTCTTGACATCCGCCGATAAACATTACGTAGATATACGAATACTTGACCCATTCAACCCACTCCCAAACAATACTTCCGACACTCAAGCAATATCAAGGCTAGAATGGGGTTTCGCGGGAAGTGCAATCAGCACTCCCGCAGAGTTTAAAAATGATGATAAAAGCATCTTGATCAGGCCAGCGCATACACAGTGGATTCATGAAATAGATAATAAGATACAGAATCCTGGGCCTGATGATCGTGATGAGGGATTCATGTATCCTGTGGAGGGCACAAATGAGGTCTTAGAAAAGGGAGCCATGGTGAATCCGGAGACCGGGAAAGTGGAGGACTATCAAGAGTTGTGGGAGGATCTAGAGGTGGAGATGATGGAAGGGGAGAAAAGTGACTACTTCATGAGCTGGGTGTTGAAAACTAAGGGCACTGATGGCGAAGTAAATGGGATGGTGATCAGAATCGGCGAGTGGATACAAGGGGTTATGAGGAACGGTGATATATTTTCGGTGTTTAGGTGGAAATGGAATATCAAAGATGGGTGGGAAAGAGTATTGGCAATTGGAGAAGATCCAAGGCTAGATAGCCAGATCTTTAAGAAGGAGATATCTGTGGGTGTTAGCTTCGAGGCCGAAGGTGGTGTGGAGTGGGAGTTCACAAGTTGTCACAAGCACAGAAAGTAAGTTCAAGGGCTCAGGAGGTCCAAGGTGTCCGGCTTATGATGAACTCCAAAATTTAAATCTCTGTTGAAGAATGAGATTTCATTCTGCCCTCTATCTTTGAGCCAATGAGATACTGACTCGGAAACTACTCCGCCTTTGCATATTTACATTCCCATTAAGGAATGTAAATGCACCCCGCTTGTTCTATAAGTATAGTGTTTAGCTTCAAAACAAACAACTAGTTTCTCAAGGCGATACGAATTTTTTGTTTCCTTTGCTTTTAAGTCTGTTCGCTCTTTACCTTCTTTTGCATCTGTAAGTAATTATGCCCTGGTTATCACGCAACAGCAGCTCCATGAACTCCGTTGGAGACATGATGGCCGTTCAACCACCACCTGTTTTACCGGCACGGATACCATCATCATCTCCAGCGGCAGTCACAGTCATTCCTTCGATCATTGATCCTACATGCGGCACATCACCTGCCCAATACCGTCATTCGACAATGGAAGCTCTGCGGAGTTCCATGCAAATACTTTCTCGCAATTTGTATTGTATTCCCCAGATGATGGGATCTTTCACTTTCAATGTTGCCCAGACGATCCCTAAGAGTTCAGGAAGGGATATTTATGAAATGGGCATTCAGTGTATGTTATGTATCATAGAGTGTTGGGCAATGTTTATGGTCATACCGGCATTTTTGACAATGCCTGGAGCAGTGTTCATGATGTGTTGTGCAGCTATGTGGGGAGCTGTCATGGGAATGTCATGGCAATTGAGAAAAAACGATAGAATTTGTGAAAGTACAATGCCCGTGGGAGACTTTGGGGACGAGAAGTGGATTTTTGTTAATGGTGCTTGCACGAGGTTAGTAAAAGTTTCCTCTAGGGAAGCTATACGGATGGATTGTGCATAGTACTAATATTGGAACAGCTACACTCAGATGATACATCACCTCACTCGCTTGAGCATTATTTTTCACCGCCGCATAACCGGAATTCACAATCGCACCTTAGGGCTTCCTCTCGACCTTCTGCTACACTTCCTCTCTATAACTATGCCTGTCCACCGCAGTCTCTATTCACAACTACGCGAGAGTCTCTTGACACCTAGTATTCGGAAAGTCGTCATCCTGTCGCATTCAACCGGGTCCAAGGTCGTCTCTGATATTCTCGACCAACTGCACGCCGATTTACCACCAACTTTGATGGCGAAATTGGAGATTTACACTTTTGGAGCCGCGGGTGGATCATTCTCAAATCCATTGCTCAATTCGCTATGTATGGAACTTGATGCTCTTGGAGAAAACGATAATGCGAACATGAAAGCATCTTGTGAACGTGTGATACCCGTAAGCCTTTTGTTTCCATCCCCTTTTAAATGCATTATTAATCATGAGAATAGCATATTGAACATTATCTTCCTCTTACTTCTTCTCCTCTATCTACTATGTCGATTTTACATCCCGTTTTACACACTCTAGACTCACGGTTTTGTGGTAGAATGTTTATAATGAATGGATTTCAACCAGTGTTGTTTGAACAATATTTGGATATCATGTTCACTTGGCGGAAATCTGCAACCGCAGTCGATGGATCTGAACGGCGAGGTTTTTGGGATGAAATAGTCAGAGTTGATAGTGACACTGCTGAGAAGAGAGAGTTTACAGCAGGAGCAAGAGGTGCGGTGGGAATGGGAAGTGGAGAGAGAAGATGGAGCGGGATGGTGCAGATGGAGAAGGAGGGGAAGAGAAGACCGGGTAGTTGGAACTGGTCGAAGATGGGGATGGATGGGGTAGGGATGGCGAGAAGGGAGGCGAGGGCTTTGGAAGGAAAGAGAATGAGGGAGGTAGGGAGATTGGGTGGTTATGAGGGCGGTGGAAGGCTGAGTGTTGCTTGGTTTGAGGGAAAAGGTATGATGGGGTTGGGGAAGGGGATGGGGAATGGTGCGTTGGGGATGTGAGAGGGTATGATGGTTTGATGCTTGCTGAGGAGAGTGATGGTGACATGGAGGGTTGGGATAGAGTGGCTGTTGATAGTTGCGGAGGCTTCAACAATTCTAAAGTGGGAGTTGATGAAACTAATGGAGGGAGTTTGACGATTAAGGAGGATGAGGAAGAAAGAGAAAGCCACGCCGATTTGGATATGTTAGTAGCAGTATGGCTTTAATAGGTTCTGTTCTTACTTTTTATAGCTTTTTAATACTAGAGAGTTGTGGATTTGTAGTTTAATTTTCTAACAGTGACACATCTAATACAGTGCTCTGAGATTAAATATTCAAGCTTGTTGCGGTGTCAAATCTTAGAAGAAAGAGCTAGGTATATGCCACATCACACTATCTTGCTGGTATCAATAATGCTTCAACTTGCAATAGGGTATATATTTCTTCAACGCCACCGTTAAAAGCATAGAGGAGCAAGCATAGCTCAGATAATACAATAAACAACAAGTAAAGACAAATAAAAAACAATGATAATTTTGAAACATGATTAAACCGCCATGGCAGCAACGTGGTTAGGTCCGAGTTGTTTCTTCGGTTTCCTTACTTTGATATTATACTCTGTTTCATAACCGTCATCGGAAGATGGCTTATACGTTCGACCCGGTCCATGAAGTACATGAATATCGCGACCACCTACATTCAGATCAAGCCTAGCTTTCGGTTTAAAGCTGGAGCTTGCATGGAGAAATCTAGATGTAGTTGATGCTACCGATGACCCCAATCCTGAATCTGACGTAGCAGGATAATCGGACGATATTGATGACTTGCGACTGAAATGCATATCGTGCCACGGAGGAGCAAATCTTTGCTTGCTACTACCTGGATCTGAGTCTTCGCCGTACAGGGATATCACTTTTGCTCGTCTTGAATGAGGCCTTTTAGTAGATGGGGCTTGGATATCAATTTTTTTGTCTGCGGAGTCTGCGGTTTGTATGCCCTTGTGGTGGACGCGCTCTATGTCTGTGCCTGAACGTCTACTCTTATGACTACGTGGACAGACTTGTGTTTTGTGCCCCCCGGAAACAACACTTAGATTTTCTAACGTTAATGGAGCCATGTGATGGTCTTGTTGCGCCGAAATTTGAGGTGTCTGCTGGTCTATAGTGATTTGCGCCTTGGACGGTCCAGGCGGAACCTTCTCCTGTTGTGTAGGGGGTGCTTCATTGTATTCTTTGCAGCAGCCATAGCTATATGGCCTCCGTGAAGGTTTGAGAAGAGTCACACGCTCGGTTTCTATCGTCTTCTTGTCGAAAATAGAAGGTCGTTTGCAGGCAGCCCAATATCGAGGCCATTCCAAACAGCCTGTCTGAATAAGATTTCGAGCTAGAAGATTGATGTGTCTTGTGTGATCTTTCTTCATGTCCTCGGATATCTGGAGGTGTTCAAAAGTCTTCCTAAATTCAGCGATTTGACATCCTCTCACAATACCAACCTTTGTTGAGGATACACGCCGGTCTTTGGAGCGCATTTCACGTCCATCGTCTTCGTCGGTAGATAGCTTCATCCTCTGATAGTCATAAAGCATACCAGATAACAACATTATGCCGTGTTTGCCGATACGAATGTGTTGTCCACTGCGTCTTAGGACAAGTTCTTGAGTAGCCTCAATCGCTGCGGCGTCCCCCGAGCTTTGTATGTCGGGCATACCGCTTTTCAGATTGGGGATTTTGATATACCACCCGACTAGAACAAGGCCTGGAATAAGAGGGTACGTATTAGTGTAGACTTCGAACTTCCTATTGGAACTGAAAGTTTCTGGATGAAATGACGGCATGATCTAGAGTATGCTTCTGAGTTGCAGATTAGCTGCTGTCGTTTTCAACCTATATCCCTTTAACGCAGATGTATTGGAGTGTCAGATCTTTGTCAAATTATCCACCACTACAGATCAGGGTTTCAGGTACACGAATATTCTCAAAACTGTATGCACAATTATATGATTGTGGTCTTAATTCCTATATTTTAATGGGCCACATCCTTTACTCTCCTGTTGCTGTTGGTGTACGCGGCCGAAGTCCCAAGCAAACAAAAGCGAATGAAACATATTCAACCACTTTATGGTCTTGAAACTAGCTGTTGCTGGCTGATGGACCTGGCCTTTAACTCTCTTACTTCACAGTGTGTCTTGCGGATACCGAAATTCGTTGGCGTACTGTGTTCATGTGGCAGAAGCCTGGAATCCAGAAGCCTGAAACTATGGTCAGATGAAGGCGACTGACCTAGATCCTTTGAAGGGTCTCGTATCTGGTAGTTTGATTATTTTAACCAGGAATCAATACAGTCAGTCTCCTCTGCTAATGTTGGTGCATGAATAGGATGGGGACTTTGTTAATAATATTTATGAGAAGTACTTCGTGTTGGCGTGCCTATAGTCCTCAACTGGCGTGGACCTATGAATATTGTCCCACCACCCAAAATGGTACCTTTTCCTTTCACGATTAGTCTCCAACGTCCAGCCTGTCCAACTTCGGCATAAGCAAACTTGGATCTACTGGGCTGTAATACTCCAGATTTGAATACTTTCTTTAAATCTAATACAGATGATGTATGTGACTTTCTAGCAAATTGTCAACATCTAGGCTACTACATGAATAATCTTCTACAAATATCAATCCATATTATATATCTAAATTCCATTAATGAAACAGGATTGGATGCCCTTAACATTAAGGACATCCAAGTTTGCAATTATTATGCTATCCTGAATGGAACACTTCATCTGTTTCTCGATGCAATGCCACATTTCTAGTGAAGAGGCACTCTTGAGTCTTACATCGCTCCGCGCGAAGTGTAGCCAAATATCAAAAGCACTTTGTGTGGAGCAGGTATTTTCCATCTTTCCGATTTTTTTGTCAAAAGGATCGTATAAAAATGGAGGAACGGCGTGGAATCACTCGTTTTCAAGTAGGCTGAAGTCTGGCCATCGTAGGATTTTGTTGCGATGACGAAAATAGGCGCCGACCATTGGCGGTGCAGAGCAGGCCTCCAAGGCTGAGTGACAAAGACCAGAAGCCTGTGGGCAGGAGGACATCCAGGTGGTGTGAGGCTATTGTTATTGTTTAAAGATTTCTAGAAAACCTTTGGATATGGGGAAAGGATCATTTTACTGAATTTGAGATCAATCGCTCGTGAAGCAGTAATCACAACACAGCATCTCTACCGACTCAGTTACAAGAGCTTTTAGACTTGGTTATATTTGTTGTTTACCATTAGCTTAATTATGAGAGGCAAGCATAAGTTTGTAAAATATTGCCCGTACGTTGATTCCTTCCTGTGTACGCCGAAAAGACATATTCGCTAATCACTCTCGTTATGTGAAGGAGATCCAGGGAAGAGAAAAGGGAAAACATAAGTTATAGTGTCTATGCCAGCGAGTGCATGCTCCTACCAGGCTTCATAGAGCAATCTGTCACACTCGATATTGGCATTCATGAAGGGCGAAAGAGATTCTTGAGATACTCAATCACATACGAAGTAGAACCAGAGACGAACAGCAGATCCGGTCATAGAGATGGCGAACATGAGCTTGTCTACGGAGGTAACTCACAGGCACATCGACTTGGCAAGACCAAACCGGGAAAAATGAGATCTTTCTTAAAAACACTCGAGAGACTACATAGAGAGGCTCAGCAGACTATAGAAAATAATTACTACCGCTTCAAAAAGCTTGACTACATAAGTGCGATTCTCCAAGCAGCATTGAGGAAAGGCAGCCTTCTGGTTCATCAGCACAAACTAGAACTTCTCGAACATTCCCGAAATGCTCATCAGGCTCGATTCATAAAACCTGGCGTTAGATTAACCGAACGCCAAAGAACGAAAAAGGAGACGAGACATGAGAGGCGGGAGGTCAGGAGAGATAAAACTTTCGGTCGAATTAACGAGTCTAGAGTTGCGAGAGGCTTTGGCATACAACTAAGCAATAGCGAGAAAAGAAGTCACAAAAGACATGAGCGAATGAGACGTCCCTCACACAGCGATGCTGGATCTACTGGCTCATGGGAAACTGCTTCAAATGCCGATTTTTCTTCCCACTCTTCTCATGGAAGACGGCACCGTGGCTCTTCCCGTTCCTATGACGGACACTCAAGTAGATACAACGAAGACGATTCTTCATCATCAGATGATGACGACGAGGACACCAAATCCCACGCATCTAGCGTATTCTCAAAACCAAGCCGATCCTCAACCTCTGCTTCTGGTTCTGGTTCTTCTAAAAGCTCCACCTCTTCTTCCAGATCCGGTCGATCGAACTCGGAATACGGATCGCGGTATAGAAGTACTAGTGGCAATAGTAGTTACGAGACCAATGAACAGCTTCGAGAACCACCTAGATATCCGCCTGATTTTAAACATGGCTATGGAAGTATACCGCCCCAGGATTTACCTTATCCTAATGAACCGTACCCCGGGAGAAATCAGCCTTATTATCCTTATGGTTATACGGCAGATTATGCGCATTCGAGATCGTGAGAATTGGGGCAGAATAGGGATTAGGAGCAGGAAGCAGGGAGTATGGATATGAGAGTATATTTGTCGTTGGGGATGATTCTTGGTTTTCTTATCGGTAGAGCTTGTTTTGTTATTGTTTCTGTTTTTCCTTATTATCTATTCTCGCATATATGATCTCTCCGTATTGCTATTACACCACTTGGGCACATTCTCTCTGCAGTATGTAAGGTTACATTCTTGTACAAGTTTGGATATATGAACCGAATCGGCAGTGGCATTGTAGGCTGCTCCGTCTTTAGTATATGTCCACATCCATTTTTGACGTAGCTTGTCTCGAAGTAACATTAACCCATCACCAAATGCACAAATCAATGAACCCTTCCCATAGAACAAAAGTGAACGTGGAGAAGAGGATGGATGGATTATCACTCCTTACGCAACGACTGACGTTTCTATGGTGCCAGGTATAGGCGGATTAGAGCTCAGGCGTAGGTCAAACAATGGAGAAAGAAAGGAAAGGTGGTGGTCGAATAAGCTAAAATGAAATGATTCTAAAAAATCGCTCCCACATATTGTATTCGTTTCTCTGCTTACTCGACTATCAATTCAGCTTTTGTAACAGATTAGGATACTTCAAGACGGTGAGATCAATCCATAGCATGTTATCTGCAGACCAATGATGAGCGATTTGTCTCGGAAACAAGAATGGAGGCATAAACAGGCTCCCCTAGGACTTCAATTCACGTAGGTTGCACTTGAGCCTAGACGCAAACACAGTGCGCCGCTCGAGATGTCCAGCGCGCAAGATGCTGAACCACACCGAAGAGGTGCTTACAGGTTTATCAAGAATGCAATGGTTGGAAAATCCAAATCATCCACTTATATGCTAGCAAATGGCTTACCTGTAGGCAGATTTGCCTAATTTCAACAAGTAGTGAAAGAAAAGCTTGCACGACCGTCTGGCAGTGATAATGACACAAAATGACCACATGAAAGGATTTGCAATGCTTGAAAGCTCCATCACCAAAACGGAATCACTGGAGTGAGCCCTACTTGTGAATCCACTTTGCATCAAGATTTCCTCCACAGCCATGCGAACATATATGTAAAACTGCAAAAAGATATAAAAATTTGAAGGCTTCAGAAGTTGTCAAGTGAGATCATGCTTCATTGAAGCGTTCATTCTCTTCCTATATGTTTGATACTTTGTATCGTTCATCACCAGCCTTGATAATTAAGTATTGAAATTTTGATGAAAGAAATTTTTAAAAGATGGAGGTGTGGGCTAATAATTATTAGCGTGGGGCTAAGCCTGTTTCACTCTAGATCGTTCTTCATGCAAGGGCTCAAAAACACATAGGATTTTACTGTTGATCTTGAAGTCTGCAAGCTTGACTTGCACGTTGAGCTAATCGAGATCCGGATGATGCGTTGCATTTTTATACTCATCTAAGTCCTAATCGTTAAGATGATAGGAAGTCGTTGAGCCCAAAGTTGACCGCGATGGTAAGCTCTTAGGCAGAGAATAATGCTACAGCCAAGGATGATGATATTTGGTACCTGGGACCACCAGTGGACTGAAAACATGTGGAGTTGGTCAAGTAATAAAAAGATTTGAAGGGCGATGGCCGAGACACGAAGTGTATTTTGGAAATTGTGAATCAGGATCAAGCGTTGGAAACTGCGAAATTCAAGTTCCCGTAGATATGTGATACTGTCGATGAGGATAGAGGCTCGTAGTGATTTGTTTTATTGGATGGCATTTGTTCGATATCACGGATTCTGAAGAGTGATGGACCAGCTTGAATGATTGAGAGACTTCCTGATCACCTGGGCATGGAATGATGGGATGAAAAGCACAACCCGAAACTGGTTAAAGCTGTTCTTGTGCAGTTCACATCTAATATTTGGGTTCAACCCGACATAATTTGAATCGCCCTGAGATGAAAGCTGGTGATATATGTCAGTTTGAAACCTTCCAACTTATTAGTTAGCAAATATTTAGGTAATTAGGTGGTAGGCTGCTCCCATTTGATTAACTTCATGTGCAGCCTGAAGTTCCAGGCCAAAAAGCTGCTGACAATTCTAATTACTAAGCTCATTCATTGCTTGATTGATCGAGCTCAAATTTCAGCCTCACTTGTTCGGTAACTTTCTCTACTACATAGTTTACAAACAATCCCTTGTCTCCATTGATAAACTACACTTAAAGTCTCAGATTTGAGGCATAAGAATTCGAACTTCTTGTGGCATTCCTTCATTTTCAAAGACACTTTTTTATTGAAGATTTTATTTACCAGTAACGCGTCGACTCCAATGGCTGATTTTCACTATGGAGGGACGGACGAGGAGTCTGCTGAGATCAAGAAGCTCAATGCCGAAGTTGTAGGTGCATAATTACTTCAATTCATCGCGCCTCTGCTAATCACGCTCTTTTATAGCTTGAAGATACGGATAATTTCGAGAGTTGGGAAAAACTTGTTCGGGCAGCAGAGACGCTGGAAGGAGGGTTGAATCGCAATTCAAGTCCACAAGCGATTGCGACAACTCGGGATTCCTATGATCGCTTCCTTGCCAAATTTCCCCTGCTATTTGGATATTGGAAGAAGTATGCAGACCTGGAATTCTCCATAGCTGGCACAGAAGCTGCTGAGATGGTAAATTGAAGATAAATTGTGTCGCATTGAGCTATGTGCTGACACACTCTAGGTTTTCGAGAGAGGCATTGCCAGTATCGCAACGTCTGTGGACTTATGGACGGATTATTGTTCTTTCAAGGTGGAGACAAGTCATGATCCTGATGTGATCAGAGAGTAAGTATATAAGATGCTTTCCTTCCCTTAACACAGCATCTGCAGCATAATCAGGCAGCCACTATGGGCTACGTTAGGAGTTTTCATGGCTCACAAACGGTGAGAAATGCCAACAAAAGCTGTTCATGTTTGACTCTTCTCACCAACATGACCAGGACATCTCTTTCTGCTATCACACGTTCGCTTTTACCCCGTATCACTCTGCACACATTGTCGGCATGAGGAGGATATGAATATTTGAATTTAAGCACATTGCCCTTCCCGTATTTGCACTCCTTGCCACCTTTCCATTCCTCCCCTTTTTGGTCTATGACATGCATCTAACATCCAAAATTAGGCTTTTCGAGCGTGGAGCTGTCGCAGTCGGATTAGACTTCCTTGCGCATCCTTTCTGGGACAAATATCTCGAATTTGAGGACAGAGTTGAAGCCCATGACAAGATATTCGCTATCCTGAACCGCGTCGTAAAGATCCCTATGCATCAATATGCCAGATATTTCGAACGCTTTCGCCAATTAGCTCACACCCGTCCATTACAAGAGCTTCTCCCTGCCGAACAACTTGAACAATTCCGCGCGGATGTTGTCTCCGAAAATGCCGGTTTCCAGACGGGACCAAAGGGCGAATTAGAGATTGAACGCGACATCAGAACCAAAATCGATAATTTCCATCTCGAAATTTTTGCTCGTACACAGACAGAGACCACAAAACGTTGGACGTACGAGTCTGAAATTAAGCGCCCTTATTTCCATGTCACCGAGCTCGATAACCAACAGCTTGCAAACTGGCGCAAGTATTTGGACTTTGAAGAGGCTGAGGGTGATTATACCCGTGCTATTTTCTTATATGAGAGGTGTTTAGTAACCTGCGCATTCTACGATGAGTTCTGGTTTCGCTATGCCCGGTGGATGTCATCAAAGGAGCGCAAGGAAGAAGAGGTCCGAAACATATACCAGCGAGCAAGCACACTCTATGTGCCAATCAGCAGACCCGGTATTAGGCTGCAATACGCTTATTTCGAGGAGATGACCGGCCGTGTCGATGTTGCAAGGGACATACATCAAGCCATTCTGGATCGCATGCCTGGTCATGTGGAGACAATAATATCGTGGGCCAATCTTGAACGCCGCCACAAAGGCCTTAATGCCGCAATTGAAGTATATAAAGCACAGATCGCTTCGGCAGAACTAGATATTTACTCAAAAGCTGCTTTTGTTGTTGAGTGGGCTTTCTTGTTGTGGAAGATCCAAGGATCAGTTGATGAGGGTCGTCAAGTTTTCCAGAAGAACAAACAATGGTATCCCGAAAGCCGTCATTTCTGGACTAAGTACGTGGAGTTTGAGTTGGCGCAGCCCACCAATTCAGCCTCTGAAGCCGAGCATCACGAAAGGCTTAAGCAAATCCACAGTGATATGATTAAGACATCTATGAGGTTGGAGACCAAGAAGGAAATCAGCAATCTATACTTGGTGTACTTGAGAGAAAGGGGTTCTAAGGAGACCATGAAGGAATTTTTGCAGATTGACCGTGAATTGAATGGGTAAGCATATCTTTGCGAACATATAGCGTACCATGCTAATGGACTATAGTCCTGTATCAGTTCAACCTGACTACGTCAAAGCTACTGAATTGGGAAAAGCGACAGAGAACGGAACGATTCCTGGCGTTGTCGACACTGCTTCTTTATTGAAAGGCGAAGTCAGATATACCACATACTTCCAACAACGCAAGCAACCAATGACAGTTGATCCTCAAGGCCTCGCATCGTTTCATTGAATTGTAACGTTGCGGCTTGTAAGAAGCATCAGTGTTGTTGTCGGGTCTTGATGTGTTCGACCAGACGGCGTGTACAATAGTATTCTTATTAGCATCCTTATTGGTCCGGGATGAATTCCTCGATGTTCTTTTCTTTAAACCCCTCGAATGCTGGATAAATTATACCTTAGCCAGCTTGATGATTGGAATGGTGGCCATTTGGTAATATGTGAAGGCTTGTCTCTATGTCCTCATTCCCTTTTATTACCATGATAGATCCAAAAAGCGGTTTTCATACACGTGTTTTGGAATTATATATGCATGCATCGTCGTGATTATCATTTGATCAAATAGCCCTGTCCCGGCAAGCTACATAGTCTATTCTAACACCAATCCCTTCATCTCAATACACATATCTAAAGTTAGGGTTTTCTCTATCCGTCAAATCATCAAACGCATGTACCATGTCCCGATCATTGGCCTGTCTCACTCCCGCCTCAGCCAACTCATCTCTCTTTCTGTTTTCTCTCATCAGATGCCATCTCAGAAAAACCAGCACTAAAAGAAGCAGCGCGTAGCAACCAAGGTGAGTAGCAAAGGCTATAAAGTATCGCGGCGCATCATTTTTCAGAAACACCTGAGGACCAACCGCATTTCCCGCAGCCCAACTTATGAAGTTTGCAGCTACGACTATGGTCTTCTTGGTTTGGCCGGCGACGTTACGGGACATGAGAGTCAGGGAAAGAGTGGCAGTGGACCAGAATGAGAGGGTTATGTAGTAGGAAATCAGGAGCCCGACTTTCGTGCTGAAATTCGTGTTGCGGATTGTCATGAGGATGATGGTGCCGATGAATGATCTAGATCTTGGAGCTTAGTATTATTGTATGTGGTGAGATGCAATGTTTGCACTTACGGCATGAGGTAGAATGTCATGACTAGAATATTTTGATTATACTTCTTCACCAAAAAATGGCTTGATAATAATACAATGATGATGTAAAACCCTAAAACCATTGACAAAAGCTGCGTTTGCAACACCGTAAAGTTAAATCCCGTAATGATGATATTGGCGAATGCACCCAGGCCACTCGTGGGCAACGTCGTACAGATGGCAATTAGACAGTAACAGTACATTTGCGGATCGGTCAGCGCGTCCTTGACATGCTCGATGCGGAATTTGCGGTTTTGCATGCCGGTTTGGTTGGAGCGGACTCGTTCGACCATGAGTCTTTTGTCGGGTTCGCTGAAACATTTGGCGCGCATAGGCGAGTCTGGCATCCAGACTAGGATGAAGATTCCCCAGAGGAAGGAGAGACAGGCGTAGGCGACGAAGATGGCTTGCCAGGATTTGAGGGGGCCGGATTTCAGGAGCGTGAAACAGTAGGCGAGGAGTCCGCCGACGATTTGTTGAGCGCCCTGCGTTTTTTCTCTCTCGTTAGATGGGGATTCTTACAGCGGATTTGGGGGGGCTCCAATGATGTGCATACATTCATCATGTACCAATATATCACTACGCCTGCTTGTTCTTCTCTTTTGTACCACATGCTAGATAAGACTACGAATATGGGCTGACACGCTGCTTCGAAGATTCCAAGAAGAGTGCGGGTAACGAGTAGACTTTCGAAATTATGACAGAGGGCATGCATAGAGAGTACTATACTCCAAACACAGACGTTTATGCCCAGATACTTGGCAATTGGTACTCGTTGAAGGACCCAGTTGGTTGGGTATTCGACGGCCAGAATCCCGATATATATACAGGTCGTGAGCCATGGATACTAGTTCTTTATCAGCGAGTGTTCAGATTCGAGAGCTGTTCAGATGGGATAATACTTGTGAATCAGATACATGAGCATCTGCCCTGATACCCATAATCGATGTAAAAGCCAATGTTCCTTTATCCAGCGCTTGTATAAAATATGTTACGATCATTATAACCAATACTCGTCTATTGATAAGTTTTTTCAGTCTGTGGTTTTCTTCTTCGCTTATGTGGATAAGCACGTCGCTGGTATATTTAGCAACTTCAGAATCAACACGTCCATAGTCCATATGATCTGGTTTGTCATTTCCTGATTCAAGCATATGCTCGACGTGCAATATTTCGGAAACAGGTTTTGGGAACTTGTCCTCCATTTTCTGTGTCTTGGGCGGCGGAGGTGCATCTTCGATTGCGGCGGACATATTGATCTTGGACTCTGAATTTGTGGTTTCGCCGGTCAGAGAGGGAATGAGTGTGGACATAAATGAAGAGAGGAACAAAAACACATCCCACTTTTTGCAGAGGTTAGGAAGCTAGTATATATACTGTACATCCCACGCCATCTTGTGTGTCTGGTAGTATACATGCATGTATGCAAGTTCATCCAACGAATCAGCCGGAGTGAAATTATCCATCCCATGGGGAAGCAGATAGCTGTCTGTGGGGAAGTGGGGTAGCTGGTATTCATCTTGGCATCAGACCTCGGGGTATCTCGCGTTGCAGAGGCCGAGATATGGGGTGCTGCGTTGACGGTGGTTGCAGAGCATCAAAAGTTATGCTGAATGTAGGAGATGTTGTGCAAAGGCAAGGACACACGAAACGAAGATTCTGAACTGAGCGAATGGCACAGCGAAGGTAATGATAATGCATAGTTGAATATTGTGGAGATGCATGAGCGAGTACCTCACGAAAAATGAACCTGCAGCTCGGTGAACAATTACTGAAGATCACTTCCCTAGAAGAACCTGCAGTAATCCTTGCTATCGCTTGAACCTTTTCACTGGAGTAAGTGTCTCAATCCTGATTGTGATTCGAAGAAATCAAAAGATGACTTCGTATTGCTTTGGGTATCATATCATTTTGTATTCTAAATATACCAACCAGGAGTCCAAAGCATTTCCTCTTTGACAACATCCATAACCTAAGCTCCTCCACAGATGCGCTTATTAGGATGCATCTAATAATTGACCAAACATCAAAGTATAGGTAGAACATAAGATGCCGATGTAATGGCAGAATGATATTTCTCTGGATTTTTTGCCCTAATGATTTTACCAGCCCTTTTTCATAGCAAGCTGAAATTTGTATGCCTAGGGAGTATTAGCAAAACGATCCAATCCTCAGAAGATCATACGCACCCAAGTAGTGAAATCATCTTTTTGTCCCTCCCAATTCTTGATCAGTAATTCAACTGTGGCAAAACCCGTAAACCAAGTCTCATCCATGAGCTTATCAATTGCAGCACTATCCAAATCATAGAAGGCACTTGCTAAATCATCCGTGAGGTTTGTAATTTTCTTCATTCTTACAAGTACCTCATCTAAGCACTCTACTATACCTGGGTCTTCGGGGGATTTCTCCTTCAGTTGTGCAGGCAACTCGGGATGCGGTAGACGAGGAAGTGTCTTTAACCTTCTCTTCTCGACCGCTTGGTACATTAGAATTATAAGTCTTAATCTTTTCGTTGACGATTCGAGCTTTTCACGAATCTTTTCCGGGTCGCCCTTGGGTATATGTGATTGGGATCCAAAAAGATCATCCACAATATCTTGAGGGTCTTTCTTCTCGTCATCTTCATCACCACTATTCTCATCCTCATCATCTTCATCGTCATCCGATTCCTCCTCCGCCCATGCTTGTAACTCTTCGAGCGCATCCTTGACTAAATCTCGATATTCTTCTGCTTTCTTCATAGCCAATCCTGCTACACCTAAAGTCTTCAGCCCCATGACAGAATCACAGGCATCCCATACAACACCTGTCGAAGCCAAACTACCCTTCCCACTCGATTTCCCCGTCCCATTCTTCTTATCCTCGCTCAGAACTTTCCCATCCAGAGGAATTGCGTCGATGAGAGTTGACAACTCCGTCAAGACCTTCTTCACTCTCCACTGTAGTTCCTCACTCATAGCCTTCGTATATTTCGCTGCGTTGCAAATTTCGACGGCAGATGCCAGGCCTGGTAAGGGTCCAGCCACAAGTTCGCGCAACACTTTATTGATTGCCGACGCCGTAAATGGTTTATTGATAATCAAGAGAGACAGCTTTGTTGAATGCGCCTTAATGAGACTCGCTGAATCATGGGCAAGGTCAATAGCGTTGACATCTGCATGCTTAGGTTGCTCGGTCTCTTCGGAAGATGACCCCTCCTTGACATCTTCCGGAGCTTTCGCGGAGGCTTGTAGCTGTTGTATTAAATTTTTGATAGTTCCGACCGTAGTTTTTAGAGTAGCCAAGTCATCACCGGCCTTCTTTTCGGTGTCTGCCATAATGTTGATGTTATGGTGCGAAACTAACAGTTATGACGCTGAGAAATCTGAAGCCTGAAAACTATTTTCTTAGTGGGGGTTTCTGCGCGACTTCTATAGTGCGACGCGACATCCATCCTCGCAAATGCACCATTAATAAAGCTTCAAAAATCCACCAACAACTCACTCTACTTACCATCGCCATAATAATGTGCTGACCTTTCCTAGTCCAAATTTAGACGAGGTAAAATAAATGTCTACAAATCAAAAAGCTGCTGCTGCTGCTCAAGCACCTTCAACTAGAACTTTGGTTGTTGACAATGGAGCTTACACCATCAAGGCCGGATTCTCCTCTCCAGAATCCACAGACTCGCCGCGAATTATACCTAACTGTATCGCCCGCGACCGCGAAAAAAAGATTTACATTGGATCGCAGTTGGATAATTGTAAGGATTTTGGAGACATCGTTTTTCGTAGACCTGTTGAAAAAGGGTATTTGGTGAACTGGGAAGCAGAAAAAGAAATATGGGAGCACGAATTCTTTGACAAAAAAGCGCCTCTGCATTGCGATCCACGAGAGACAGGACTAATATTGACAGAGGCTCCTAATGCGCTACCGGCTCTGCAGACAAACTGTGATCAAATGGTGTTTGAGGAATTTGGTTTTGCTAGCTACTATCGATGCCCCGGTATGTAATAATATGCTTTGTCTACGGATTCACATTAATGAATATCCAGGTCCCATTCTTAATGCGTATAATGATATTCAAGGAATATTCAAAGGGCCAGCTCGAGATCCATCACAACCCCTCCTACCTGCCGAAATAATTCTTCTCATCGATGCTGGATATTCTCACACGACCATCACGCCTGTTCTACAGGGACGTCCTCTACAATCAGCGATCCGGAGATTAGACGTGGGAGGCAAGCTTATGACAAATTACTTGACGCGGTTGATATCTCTCCGGCAGTATGACATGCGTAATGATACCTATTTGGTCAACGAAATCAAGGAAGCATGCTGTTATGTCTCGAGGGACTTCAATGGCGATATGGAGAAAACATGGAAAGGAACCAGAGGAGATCGAAGAGAAATTTTTGAGACGGGTGGTGGAATAGCAAAAGATTACGTTCTCCCTGATTATCATAACCGATCTCAAGGTTTCGTGCGAGACCATGACCCGTTACAAGCAGGAAAATTAAAGCAGTTGACGAAAGGGAAAATGGCGGAAGCTGCGGAAGATATTTTGACTTTGAGAAACGAACGATTCACGGTTCCGGAATTACTTTTTAATCCTTCGGATATTGGTATGCGACAATCAGGTATAGCTCAATTAGTCATGGAAAGTCTTTCTTCCTTACCAATGGGTCTATGGCCAGCTCTCCTCGCAAATATAATTGTCGTAGGGGGTAGTTCAAAGATAGAAGGATTCATTTTGAGGCTTCAGCTTGAGATCAAGGCACTTGCACCAGCAGAATGTTACGTTCGTTGTGCGAGACCAGAACATCCGATTATCAGCACTTGGAATGGTGGGGCAGAATTGGCGAAACATCCCGATGTTTTGAAGAAGTTATCAGTAACGAAGCAAGAGTATGACGAATATGGAAGTGCTTGGGTTGCAAAGAAGTTTGGAGGCAAATAAAGAGCATGTGTGGATTCATGACATTTCGAATGCACAACTTCAAGCATTATTTCCTCGCTTGGTCAACCTTGACAGCTAGTGTTAGACTCTGCGTGGTTACTACGGATATATTGCACCAAGACAAGTAGGGACGATGTTGAAATACTTGCACGGTTGTTATATCATGTCACTACATAGTTTCCTCCAAACAATAATCCACAACCCTAGATTATGTTGTCTTTCCCAATCACCAAACGACAACGACGCCATGTTGTGTTGTACATCCAATCATCAAACGCCACTACAACATAACACTGATAAGACACCTACTGTGAATCACTAGCAAGTTCACTGAGCCGCTAGAGGGTCAATGACTTACAGTTGGAGGAGCGCTAGATCCGGTTATCACATTTTTCCTCTGCAAGCTGCCAGGCACGCTGCAGATCCAATTATACTGCCAGTGCCTACTTCTGGTATGGGAGGCAGGCTGAACCCTCCTGTCGGATTACCAAAAGCAGCTGTCATTATATCCTTTGGGAGTTGCGCAAACCCATTAAGAATATTCTGTGTGCCTGCATCCTCCGAATTCAGCGCCGACACAAGAGTAGCTTTGGTACAACCTTGATTCCATTTAGCATTGACAATCTTAGTCTACGAGGGCGTACAGTACCTATATTTTGCATACTGTGAATACTGCCCCTTGGGAAGATTGTCATCTGCCATGGCCTCAGCGTTTGATTAACGATCTTTGCCCCATTCTCCTCAACCATCCACGTTTGTGTCACACCCTCGACTGCCACCACAAAATTCGTCCCACGCGGATGGTAATGAGGAGGTAACATTCCACATGGGCCCAAATTTATCAACGCCATCGTCATGCCGTAGTTAGTTGAAGCAGGAAATGTAGCAGCATCGGCGTTGACGACAGCGCCTGGCGTGTAGGTGTAGTGAGGCTGCGTTGTGAAATCGAAGAACCAAGTCAGGTTGTTGTTCAACAGAAGATTCATTTTGTCAAGCTGGCTAGAAGCAACTTTGATCTGGGCGTCGAGAATGGAATTTACTGTTATATCGATGCAACAAATTGAGGTAACGAGATTGCCCAGACAGACAAGTGCGAGTTTGAGGAGCATGGTGATTATTAGAAATAGAACAACCGATTCTAACTGATTGGACCCTCTCGGAGATTTCAACGGCAGTCTGCAGGTGAATGGTAGATGCAGATGCAGTACTGTAGAAGATGCTGCAATGAAACTCCATCAGGAATATTCCAGAGTCTTTATACATGATTCGACCATCCGGTCATCCCTCACTAACTGAAACAAAAGATACAGACAGGAACGCCAACGAGTGAGCCATGTTCCCCCCCTCGTCACCATAGCTTCTTTTCCGCCGCCTTCTTTTTGTGCTTGGTTGTGGTGCATGAGGATTGGAATAGAAGGTCAACACTATATCATCTAATTTGCCACTGAACGTAGGGATTTTACTTGAGATGGTACGATAGCTGTTAATAGTGGAATGGAACGAGAGTTAATCTTATATTAACAGATAGCTCAGTAGCTCCTCATCCCGTCTTGAGTTTCCTTTAGCTTGTGATGTGACGAGTTGAGAAGAAGCTGTATATATTATGTATGTATGTAAATGAATAAATAATTAAAAAGATAGAGATACCTATGAATGAGCCCTGTTTTTCCGTACGTATTGCTACATCATAAAATCTTAAGACTAGAGACAACTTACTGCCTTTCTACAGTTACAACTTATATCTATCTATCTCACTATCTCATAGTTATCTTTTCTAGCTTCGAATCCTAAGATCGTATCTCCCTCGTACTCATTCATAGATTAACGTTACTCTTTTATTAGGTATTGTTATTATTAAGTTGCTCATTCAATTCAATTGAGTTCATATCATATCTATTTATCTATCTTTCCTATTTAATCCTGTAATCTTACTATATATATATACCTAGATACGATAGATAACATTCCAAAAATTCAACAGAGACAGACAGGCAGATGGACAAAAAACACACATAATTACAATCCAAGTACTAAGTACTAATAAACTTAATGATACACTACTGAATCACAATACCTATTACTCGTAGAAGATAAATATAATCTATTAACTTATCTATTCAAGTACACATTACCATACATACATACATACATCCTACCCATCAACCTAATACTCACATTCCCTCCTCCTAATTTACAAATTCGCCTTCACCCACAATCCCAATTTTTCCAATCCAGCATGTCCATCATATAAATCTCTTTCTACCGCTCTGGCATTAATATGTTTGGGACCCAATTCACTGATCTTCTCTACGCCTAGAAGTCTCATACAGGTTTCCATTTCGGCTTTGAGGACTAGTGGATGGATATGTTAGTAAATTTTCCGATTGTTATTGTTATTATTTTTCTAGTCATTCTTTGAGATAAAAGGAGTAGGAGTACTGCATAAAATTTACCAAAAAAAAAACAGATGAGACTTACTTTCAAAAGTTCTCTCTACACCCTCTGGACCACCAGCTCCGAGACCAAATAATGCAGCTCTGCCGACTCCAACAGCTTTAGCTCCAAGACATAGAGCTTTCACCACATCTGTACCACGTTTGATACCCCCGTCAACCCAAACTTCTATCCTACTAAGAACTTCCGGACAGTATTTCTGAATCTCCATGAGGGTGTGGATAGCCGGTGGAGCTGTATCTAAAGCTCTTCCACCATGATTGGAAAGAATGATGCCTTTAACTTGCGGTGCATATTGAGATGCCAGATATGCATCTTCATGAGTTTGAATACCCTTCAACACAATTGGTAATTTAGTATGTTGAGCCAACCACGGCAATGTATTTTTCCAGGTCAAATCAGCAGCTGTTCCCATGAACAATTGTTTTCCCACTCCCCCTTTACCAGCTGGGGGGCTATTATCTTCCAATTTCTCCTTTGCCTTTACTGATGATGAAACGGGTAAATTGGCTCCTACATCCTTCTGTCTCTCATCATGTTCTCTCTTGCCTGGCACTGGCGCATCTAACGTCAAAACGATAAACTTATACTTATCACTCATCGCATTAATTCTCTGCAACATAGCCTCACTTTTCTTTCTCTCATTCTGCACATACAACTGCCATCCAAAAATCTGCCCTGGAAGTGAACCCTCTACAATTTGTTCCGGAGTCATACTCGCATTATTGGAGACAATCTGCACAGCACCAAGGCTCGAGATTCCCTTTGCAATCCCCTGTTCACCAGCCGGATGCGCCAATCTAGCCATTGCCGCCGGGGATACAAAAATGGGTAACCCGACTTCTTGTCCCAAGATCGTGGTTGAAGAATCACATTTCGTGCAATCGACAAAGACTCGCGGTCGAAGGAGAATCTGTCGGTACACCGCATTATTGAAACTTTTCGACCAGAGATCATCAGCCGCTGAGTAATAATAAGCCCAGCATTTATTCGACATTTTCTTCGTGGCCAACTGTTCAATCTCGTCTAGATTCAATAGGGTCTTTACATCGGTATTTGTATCAATCGTATCTTCGTCCTCGTTTTTCTGACCCGCATCTTGGACAGGAGAGCTCTGTTTCTTCTCTTCAACCGGTTCTCTTAATTCTGAAGCGTCAATCTTGCCGATAATTTTGGAGGCATCGAGATTCTCTTCTAATGTTCCAGGCGGATGAATCATTTCGAATTCCTCGGTAGCATCTATGTTACCAGCAAGACTTAAAACAATCTTGGATCCGCCGGGATGGTTGGGAAGGAATTCCGTTACATCGTAGATAGTTGAATTGATGCATACCCAACAGGACTCGGGAGTATTGTGGGATGCGACTGTGAGTCGTATGAATTAGTTATTTGAATAGATGGTGAGAATGAGTGAAATGAGAGCGGTCAATTGAAGCTTGAGGATGTGCAAATCAAGCATTGGTAAGAGATATAGAGGAGGCAGAGATGGGATAAGATGAGATGTAGCAAAAATACCATACCCTCTGAACCCTTGAACGTCTTTGTCATTTTCACTCAACCTGGAGAACCTTTAGGATTTCCTACTCCAACTGACCAATCGAACCAATCAAACAATAGAATACAGAGATCAAATCCGTATATCCTCAAAGTATCCCGTAAAACCTTAATAAAGTGTACAAGTAGCAGTACTCGAGTACCAAATGGCAATCCAGCGAGATGAGAAATAAGCAAATCAAAACACAAAATACCTAGTACATAGATGTAAAGGAGAGAGAATATACCACTTCCCACTTCCACACTTCACCACCAACCAGCGACTTCGGCACCCATTAAACCGGAAACCACAAATGATTCACCTAGGTACCTAGTAATGCAAAGTAGGTGAAAGTACCCCCACAAAGCTGGGGTTAAAAGATCAACGGAGAAAAAGTGACGAGGTAATCCACTTTTATTATGGTTTACCGGGCATCTACGTAGGTAACCTTATTGAGTTAGTACCTAGGTAGAGTTATATCGACGTCGAATGAAGAACGAATCATCGGATGGGATTGGCAATGTTTGGTGGGTAACCGTAAGGGGGTTCTCTTGCTCATTATGATCGATTGTATGGAGGTATATATAAATGATAAAATTACCTGCAGCTTATGGCCAGTATATATGTATAGATATATAGATATGTAGATAGATATATCCATAGCTAGATATGATATAATACCATATATCTTGAATTTTAATACAGGTTATATGAGTTGGCAAGAAGGTGAGCAGATAAATAGGATAAGCAATCAAGCAACCAACCAACCAACCAAACCTACTCTTTCAACATCAGATGAACGGGATAACTGCATTGTACACCGACAGCATGTTTTAAAGATACATGGAGCTGAAGCTGGAGCAGGAGGGAAATGACTTAGCTATCACCTATTCACAATTTATCACCTCATCTCACATCATTCCATTTCATCCTATCAATCGAGAGAACATATACATCTATGATTATAAATTAAAGGGTATCACAGTCTTTACGTCGCTAAATAATCCTAATTTCACTATCATACAAGTAATGGTATCATTCTTCTTCGTTTACTTCACGCGGTCCTTCAACACCCTCCAAACCCCAGTCCGTCACATTCCATCGCATCGCTCTTCTATACCCTTCAAATATAAAATTAAAAAAAAAAGAAAAAAGAATCTTGTACCGGCACACGTTTCGATCATACCATCCATTTAAACTCCTTCAATGCTCCATCCACATTGTGTATTCCACGGCATAAAAAATTTACATTCGCTAAAAGCATCGTGTTTCAAAAGGGTGTGATGAAGAAGTTGAAAACGCCTACAAACCATGCTGTGTAAATCTTAAATCAAACGGTGGAACACCAACCCAATCAAAGTGTCTCAGCTACTCATTAATGTCGTTTCTCAAGGCTTCATGGTTTCCATGGCTTCTTAGCGTTACCTTTGCTATCAGTGGTAGACGTGCTGCTACCTCTATTTGCTACGGGACTGTCCCTACCAGCCATTTCCGAGTTTCTACCTCTCGGGGTTGGCAGAAGACTAATCCTTCTGCTGGTAGCCAATGAGCTAGCAGGTCTCCTGACGACCGGGCTGCTAGATCTGGCGTCATATGTATACGAAGGATGCATCGAGGAGCGACGATTGCCACCTATGAGATTGGACATGGACGATTTGCTACCAAGAAGACGAGGGTGGGAAGGTGAGTTAACTGATAGTGTTTTTTGGGAGTATGGTCCGGGGGTAGAAGCGTCACGTCGTACGGCTCGCGAGGCCGGCCTATTTCCCAAAGGGGTTGTAGGCTCTTGGATGACTGGAGAGGCCGTACTTCCACGACCGAGTGGGCTTCGTAGAGGTAATTTGGAATCGGACGTGCTGGACCTAGTGGAACGATTCGAATTGGTAGAAGCTGGGCGACGTTGATTAGGACTTGGAGTTGTGATACTGAGAGGTTTGTAACCATGACCGATAAGTGTGTCATTGGTATTGGTGCTGCCGTTCCATCGAGGACGGTTGTCAACGGGAGTGTTGGAAGGTCGGGGAAGTCGAGCTGTCGGGGTTGCCGAGCCTTGTCGGGAAGGAATAGGAGATGGAGATGCTCGACTGAAAGAACGTGGAGGTTGTCCAGCACTTAGGTTTCTATTTGATCCAACCTGTGGCGAACTAGTTCTGCAAGTGGGACGCATCTTGCCATTTCTACCAGACATCGTGGCGTCAAGCTTACTGCCTAAGCCTGACATTATTACTGAAGATGCTGGTGAACTTCCTGGTGTGTCATTGCTGAAGCTTCCCACGGTTGATCGATCATTTGAAACTATGCTTGAGATTGAATCTCTGAGCTGCTGATTTCTGTGATCTGCTTGCAGTTCTTCAAGTGTTGTGTCCAGTTCATTCATTTGGCCTTTTAACGAATCCCACTTCTGTTGCATGTCCGAGTGTAATCTCAAAATCTCGCCATTGACAGTGAGGCGGTCCTTAACCCCTTTCTCTATGATGGATAGAACTCGTTCAATGGCTGGACCGTAATGCAACTTCTTCGCTTCGTAACTCTCTATCTTCTTGCCCATTGTAGCTGGATTGTTCAGATGAACCCCATTGTCAAGAGATTCCTTCAACTTAGCACAACTTCTTTCGACTGATTCATACATCTTCTGTGCTTGTCGACCCGCACCGCGGAAGACGAGAACCCACCGATCCTCACCAAGTTCCCTTCGTAATGATTCGGCATCCTTTTCGAGAGACTTCCAACTCTTTTCCAAACCACCTCGGCGACTTTCCAGTTCATCGCAAGCCGTGGGAAATATTGCTTGGGCTCTAGAATGAAATGTTGACAGTCTCATAGGTAAAAAGTCCAAAGAAGCTCTCAAAGGCTGCATTCGTGCAAATAATGCTAGTAGACTCGAGTCGTCTTGGGCCATTATCGGCGTCACTGGCGAGTTTGGGCTCAAAGGAAAAGCTGGGGAGGAGGAAGACATGCCAAATCGGTTGCCGATCTGTAATCTCGCCTTGGACCGAGGCGTTTCTTCCACGATAGTCTCAAGCTCCTTGATATCAACTCCGTCGCTATCGGCTTCTGCCAAGGACTTGTGTCTCTTTTCCTCCATTTCAAAAACCAGACGCGCCAGAATATCCACCTCGTTGCCTATATCGCCCAATACTGTGTTCCACAACTCTTCCCATTCCATAGCAATCTCAACAGAGTTCTTTACCGCCTTCAGATTTCTCTTGATCTTTTCCCATTCCTCAAGTATGCTTTCTACCTGTAGTACGACCTTTTGAAGTTCATCTGCAGGTACCGTAGCAATATCAGTCCGTTCTTGTAATGATTCGATGGCTGAGACATAAACATTAATTAATTTTTCGAAACGTGTAATCGCATTATCAACTTCTTCTAGTCCTTCCCTACCACCAGCTGCAGCCCATTCCACATCGTCCTCTCCATCAAGACCAGAGACAACGTCTGATGCCTTTGATATCCAACTCCTGATTTGTTCTGCAGCTCCCATTAATGCCTTTGAGGCGGATTTCGAGCTAGGAATTGCGGATATTTTTGTTGACAACGAGGCGGCATCTGGCAGTTGCAAGGACGTCAATTGGGCAAGTTGACTTGCGAAAGATGCCCGCGACAGTGTGTATATTGACCCTGCCCGTTGATGGCCGAAAGGGTTGAAGTAGGATGAGACATCATTCGAGGATTCGCTGGGTGTTGTCGCGCTTGGCGGTGTATCTTTAGCTATGGGAGGTGGAGGTATTTCGTCGTCGTGAAAAGGAGGTGGAGGTATTTGGATTTCTTCTACAGGAGGTATCCTTCGCACAATATGCGCCTGCTTTATATCTGCCATCGTCTTTGTGCCATTTCCATTTGTATGTTCTGGTAATCGATACTTCTGAGAATCCATTCCTGTAAGGTCAACATTTGTTGTCATCTCCTGATTACGAAAGCTATCAGGCGAAGGTGTTGAGTGTGTGGCACCGTCAGGTACTCGCGTGTCACTGATTGTGATCTCTCGAAGGTTTGTCTCTTTAAAGCTACCGCCAGTTATTTGAGGAGTCAAGAGACCGATACTGCCACTCCAAGCTCGACCTCGTCGGTGAATATGCGAACTCGTCGAATTAGCGCGGTGGAGGTGGTCAAGTTGGCGAATTTGATCTTCAGGGATGCGCCCAATTCGTTCAGGTTGTGCCGTTGTCGTTGTTGAATTTGAATCGGGTTCTTTTCCAAAACCTAACGCTGCAAGTCGAGCGGCAAGACCAGGCGAGGGTTTTCGCACAGCCCGTGGTTTTCGTTCTTGATCTTTATCTGGCGTCGAAGGTGTAGAATCGTCGGATTGCTTTCCAGGACTCGAAATACATTCAGACCGGGGTCGCAAAAATGTATCGGATCGCGAAAACGCGTCTTTAAGCACTGTCATTGGAGTTGATTTTGTTATCTAGCTTTGAGAATTCATCGAAGTTCAATGGCGCAAAAGCGACTGTGGAATATCTCATCTCATTACATCGAACGAGATTGAGGGGATGTCAAAGGTGGCCGTTTGAGAAAAAGAGATTCAGTCAGGAATTGTGAGCTTATTCTGAGGGAAGGGCTTTGGTTTTCGGTACTATCAAATCAAAGCAAAACCGTTAAGTTAAGGGGATCGACGGTCTAGTCTCGAAGCTTTTACCTTAGCAATTAACTCTATGCGAAATGAGGTCTTGTCAGTTTTGATTTGGTAAAAAGGCCCCGGAGTTGTACAGTAGCATACGGTAGCATACGGTATTCTATTGGGGAGCGAAGTCTAAAAGAGGAGAAAGGAGAATGGAGGATGGAGAATGGAGGATGGGTATGGATAATGGATAATCCAGTAGTAATGAATATATTTCACAATCAACAATTGACTGGAATTGATGAAAGATTACTTTTCAAGGAAATTGGAAAGACAGAGAGGGGAGAAGACAAATTTCAATTGGAGCTTGGAGTTTGGAGTTTGGAGCGAGTGTTTAGGTGTTTGAGGTTTAGTTGGTGAGAATGTTTCGAAAACATTCCTCTCATTTCAACTGGATAGGATACTGGTAGACAAGTAGACAGGTAGGTAGATAGTAATAGTAGGCAGGTATTTTAATCAATGTGCTTTGAGGTCGTTGCACAAACAGGATTGGTCCATCGAGAATGAAAACTAGAAATGAGGTTGGGAGCCTCTTATTTTCCTTGCCTGTGAATGAGCATTGAGTTCATATTCAAGCAACTAATAAACAACCTAGGTACTTTTCCAATTCATTCATCAAACCAATAAAGTTCTTGCTGATGGTTGAAATTATCACCTACCTAGGTGGGTAAGAAGTACCATACTTGTTCACTATTTATCTAAGGTTACCTAAGTATCTAATATTTTGGTTCCATGAATCTCTTCATCAAACCAGGAGAGCCGTGCTGTCTTTTAAGATGAAACATCACATGATGACTAAAATGCTATCTTGCTAGCTTCGATTTTCGCAACAACGAGTGTTTTTGAATCTTATGATGTTTCGAGGATGCCAGAATATAATCGTAGTACCTAGATGGTGTATAAAGTTTGGAAATGAAAATCTTCCAACCTCATCTACTTCCCTGTCACATGATAGTGGAACGAAAACCCCTCGACGCCCCGTTGACCTCCTATCACATTCCACAAAGTCGGTGAAGTTGTAAAAGCTTGATGAAGATGGATCGATGTCCCTGATTATCTTTTTTCGCATTCGGGAGTCTTTGCATCAGCATGCATGAGATATAATAATCTGCAGACGTGCATGCACAGACTAACAGCACAGTTTATCCCAACAGCCGCAATATCTTCGGTTCTGGGCTTGTTTGCACTTACGAGTATATGACTTGTTGGTTATTAGCTACGGAAGAAATCTCTTCCACTCTAGCATTGAGGGAGTGGTCAAGATTAGAAGCGTTCAATGTGAAAATACCAAAGCTTGAAACCAATCAGCCTCTGCCCTCACTCAACTGTTCATGTTCATGGTGTTCATTGAAAGTTGACGCTGCAAGATAATACGTCTTAAATCGTGCAGCGACTATTAAGCAAATCGAAAGGTAAAATTTCTTCATTGAACTTCCTGTAGAAGACTATCCCCCATGTGTACAACTTGTATACGCAAAACTGGAGTTTGCAGGGTCAGCAGCCCCGGCTACTATGTGCTGTCGGAGCAGATACTAAAGGATATCTCCGACGCCGCTAACTCCCCAGCTTTGCCCGCTCATTACCAAACCCCCACCCTCTTACCCCAGTTCCCCACGTCGTCTTCCATCAAGTACATTATTGTATAGTTATTTATTACACGATACTGTAAATATTGGAATACATCAAATATTCCTCCATTGAGCTTCGAGCAATTGCAAATGCTGTTTACCACGAGGAATTCATATAGTGATGATACCCGTCACACGAGGTTTTTAAAAAATTTCAATGTCAAGTCCTAGGTAATCTATCTCACCGCCAAATACAATAAAAGGCAGCTCAACATGAACTATCAGAATTGGCTAATATGTGACTATTAGGGTTTCTGCAATTGAGCAGAACCACATTGGTAGGTGCATTAGAGAGTCTACAGCTCTCCATTCTCGCCATCCTGCACCATGGGGGATTTTGGCTGAAAACTCTGGGTTTCAATACTTGATTTATTGTCAAATCACTTCTCCCCGATTTTAGATCCAATGTCTGACATGATTAAGTAGAAGACGGAAGTCTCCATACGAGCTCTTCTAACTCATTTGGAAACTTACGTTTTCGTCATGGTTCCAGTGCCCGTTACGATTCCGACTTCAAGGATCAAGTATGGGTGAAAACATCGGGGAAAAGTAAGTAAGATCTACCTGTCCGGCAATTATTCTCACTCACTTGTATTCTAGTATGCTCCGAGTTTGTCGATGAGGCTCCCGAATTAGATGAGATATATACAACAGTACTAAAACGTGAAAGCGAGTCCACATCAGAGCCAATTGACCGGCGGAAGAAAACGCCCCAATCGGTCGTCTCGACAGAGTCGGCAGAACCAGCTCCTATATCTCGTACCAAAGCATCTATAGGTTCCTTCTCCAAGCATCAGGCAAAATCTCCAGTGAAGAGACGGAGACCAGATGATGGCGATTCAACTTGTTCAAATAAGAATCCGAACATCAAGTCCTACCCAAGAAGGCCTGCAAAGACCAATGGTTATCTCACCGAATCGAGCATATTTGATGGAACCATGACCCAGCGACATGTAGGACCATACGTATCTACATTCTTCCCTCAAGCATTGAGTGTTGGTATTGAAGCCGTTGATGGGCTACAACAGTCGGAAATACAAGAAGCCTGTCTTTTGAGGTACTTTGCAGATGGGTTAGCTTGCTTGGTACGTGTGTCCCTAAGGAAAAGCTATTTTTACTTATCACCACTTTCAGTTTGATCTCTGTGACCCAGAGCGGCATTTTGCTTTAGTAGTCCCACAGCGAGCAAAACATTGTCCCGCACTTCTCAATGCTATTTATACAGCGTCGGCGAGACATCTTTGCCAACTTGAGCAATACAAGAAAAATGGTGTAGTCGAATACCACGGAAAACAGCTGCCCAACTTACATATGGAGACTGCTGTGGAATATCACAGCAAATGTATCGAGCATCTTGTATCTGTGTCGGATGATCTCGATGCCTTATATGATGAAAATCTATTAGTAGCTTCTGTGATATTAAGGTTCTACGAGGAAATCGATGGTTCGCTCCTCCGATACAAGAATTTGATATCAATTGACTAATCACATATTGTAGCTCCTTTGAGTGGCGGAGATTGGGCGCAAAAGGGGACTCAAGTATTTATCACAGCTCAAGCATCAGGAGGTCTTGATAGCAGTCTTCGTAGAGCAGCTTTTCGGGTGGCGTATAGGCAAGAAGTTCATATGGCATTCATCAAGCAAAGGCCTTTCCACATGCCTTTGCAGTGCCACGAATATCGGTCTTTAGAATATGCAGACGATTTTACCTGGGCTTATCGGACAATTGTCCATTGTGCCGATGTATTGCAATACTGTTATGGCCACGGGAGTAAAACCAATAGTGATTATGATATGCTAGTTCAATATCATGAAGGCTGGGAAAACTTGCGTCCACAATCCTTCGACGCATTATACCAAAGAGGTGCCGCTTGGAATACGAAGCAGGCTTTACCAGAGATATGGTATTTATCTGATTGTCATGGTAAGCTGTTTCAGGTTACTTGAGTGAATGCGATGCTCACTATAGAGAATAGTCACCGCCCATCAACATATGGACATCTCCCAGATCCTACTCGCAACCTACAATCCTCGAATACCAAGGCTGGGACCGGGGCATCGAGCAGCCAGCCAGAGAATAGAGGTATTCTCTCTCATGTACGGCTTTGATTGCCATACTTATTAATAATCTATAGGCACAAATAAACACGATCGTCAAACGTCTTTGTGGTGTTGCAATATCAAATCATCGATCTCCGCCTGCCATGAACATGGCATGTATGGCTATTTCCATGTGTAGGTCTTCCGAAATTTCATCAGCAAATAAGAAAATTAATTAATGATCTTCCTTCACAGGCGGTGAACAGTTCACAAAAATCGAAGAACAAGAGAGTATTCTTGAAGTATTAAAATATACCGAGAAGCAACATGCATGGCCAACCAAACACATTCAGGATAGACTGATAGAAGCTTGGGGATGTTCAGGAAAAGGTACATCAAGCCACAGCCAAGATATTATAGAAGATGATATGGTCACTGTTGATGGATGGTTGTTATGACAATGTATGATAGATGATAGATTTTGTTTTGCGCTACGAAAAACCAAGTTGTTTGTTCTACTGTCAAATTTCCAAATCACCACCAAGTCGAATCTCGGACCTGCAATGCTGTTTGATGCTTACATTGATATGTGCTCCAAGACAAATTGAAACTTTTTCCAATATTACTCAGTCCTGTGGTAAGATTATAACCCACATATTCAAAATGTTTCAACGGCACCAAGGGTAAACGACTTGAGCTATTCGATGACTCGAATGCCTTGGACCTGAAGACCAGATGCAGTGTTAGGTGGTTGGGAGTATCACCAGACAGGCATTTTAACACTACCATAACCAACGTATGCACGAGTAATAAACTGGAACTGATAGACTAATAGACTAATAGACTAATAGACTAATAGACTAATAGACTAATAGACTAATAGACTAATAGACTAATAGACTATTAGACTATTAGACTATTAGGTAAGCAAAGAGAGCCATTAGGTATCTAGGGTAGTTAATAGGCAAGTACCCATCAAGGTATTGATGAAGAGTGACATGGAGTTGGAAACTGGAAGGTGGAAGGGTGCTGGATAGGTAGGTAGGTATCCATCAAGGTGTTTGTAAACCGATGGATGGATGCTCATGCTTAAGGGGCTATAAAGTCGGGGGTTTCGCTTTGGATGTTTATGTTTATCTATATGTCTGTCTGGTGTTTTTCTTGTTGTTAGATTCTTTGGTGAGGTCTTTGGGTTTTTGCTTTTCGATATGAGGCGTTTATTATGTTTTAATTCACATGTTATATTTGGCTCGATTGTCCGAATGTTGCCCTCTATCCTCATCATCCTCAACCTACTTCGGCTGAGAAGCTTCAGGTATAATGAGCGAGGTCTAATTGATTACTATGGCGGTGGATAACATCAGCTTAGGTTCTGTCTCGTCTCTGAGCTTTGCTTCTGCAGACCATCTTGTTCCGTTAGCAACATGTTAAAGTCGTCAACCATGAGCTATCAACACACTTCCTCATATCTTGGTCCCTCCACCTACTGCGATTTAAGGAACAACTTCGTATCACGCATCACAGCACAAAAATCCAGTTACAATTCAGTTCATCCTGTCACGACCAAGTCAAATGGAAGATTACTGAAGCGAATGTAATGAATTCATCATAAACCACCAACAAAAATTTCAAGTCAAGTGTATTCCCCTTCAGATCCCCGTCCCTTGAAAACAGCACAAGCAGTCAAAAAGATGGTCATACACCCACTATCTCACCCCAAAGAAATATACATTCGACACCACCTCTAATAAAAAAAATTGATCACCATTCCAACCCATCAAAGATGTACTATTGACCTCTTCATGGTCTTCGCGTTATCGTATCGCTGTCTTGGTAGAGATGGCTGGTGGTACGACGGGGTCACAGGAAGTTTGGATACATATGGATTGGCGTGAGGAGAGGGAATAGGTGAGAGTCTTAGTGCTGTGGAGTAGCTGTTAATATTTATTCTTCCTCGGTGGCGGAAAAGATGGGCTTACCTTGTCCTTGCAGCAGGTGCAAGTTGTGCATTCAGATGCAGCATGAGTGCAGCAAGAGCAGGGAGACATGATGACTGTTGGTATGGGTTTTTGTGAGGTTTGTGGTGTTGGTCTTGTTGTTTGATTTGTATTGATGTTTTTTTAGAATGATTGTGTTGATGTCTACAGATGGACGAATTCCCAGAAAGTGAGGAGGAATAGCAGATACTTATACTCAGGCAACGAGGCTTAACCTTTAAAGGCTGCAGAGCAGGAGCTTGTGAAAATGAGCCAAGGGTTGAGTGAGACACAGGATTCCACCTGCGACTGATCTATGGTTCTAGGATTTATCTTGACGAATAGAGAGATATCCCCCAACTCCGGTCAGATACGATGAATCACAACAGACGGAGGAAGGGGCCAGGAATCAAAACATCATCCGGTGACGATTACTCGACATCGTTGGTTTCCTTGCCCGTGATTTTGGTGCCAGGTTAGTGTCTTGCCTAACCTGAGAAATACGAACTAGATGACAATTGGGTAGATATGAGAAAACGTGGTGAAATAATGTTAATGATCATCGCACCGATTTTGAGCAGCATGGCCTCACTTGGGGTAGCACGGTGTCGGCAAATTTCTGGATATAAGTGGATGATGCAGCTTGCTCTAAAGGAGGACATGATATTGCGGTAAAACAGCCACCGGATGAAGTCACGGTGAATTTTTCGGATACACTGATGATAGTCGACGATAGCTTAACATTACTTTCAGGATAGTGCTTTGAGATTAATCTGACATATCTATTCGTGAACGGGATGGCGAGGTTGACTGAGACATGATAGGATGGGCGGATAAGAAGGCTTTAACGACGTGGCAACACTTTTGTGGAAGTTTCAATCAAGATCTCCAGAAAGATAGGGAAGAACGGTTAGTGTTTACGCTGTGTGATAATGTAAGTGTGGTAGGAAAAGTCTTGGAGTTTAAGCTGACGACTTTGAACTTGGTAATGGTCTGGGATCAAGCTGGTGATTGCAACCCATTCATCGAGGAACTTTCCTGTGGTTGAAAGCTTGTGACCCATCCATCGAGAAACTTTCCGGCTGTCGAAGGCTTCTGATGATTTCGATAAAGCAAGTAGAGGATACAGATTGGATCAAGCTTTAACAAATGAAGAGAGAAACAATTGGTAGGTCTGAAGTGATTATTTGTTCTTTCCCCGCATTCGCCATGAGACATGGTGGGGTAACTTTCACTGTCGAGAAAGATAATGAGTTCTCATGTCACAATCACAAAGATCATCACCTCGAAAGCAATTTACGATAACGAATTTGGAGTCAAGATGTCAATTGATTTGATGTTATCAAAGCAAGTTCGAGTACCCATATCCTTTCCGTTGCCTTTTCCGCATGGAACCCCCATATCAAAAGCTTTCCATTCCTCCAAATTCACTCCATCGAGTCCAAACCAACGACGATCATTCTGTATCCAATGTGTGTCCGTTAAATAAAAAAGCGTCCGCCCAAAAGATCAAAGTGCTTTGTTCATGTCGAAGAAGAGGATTTCCAAAGAAAATTCGAGATGGTTTCCAGAAAAGATCAGGTGTTTAATGAACGGATTTGAGGATCATGTCGAAAGATTTATTTGCTGCAATTGCAGTTGTCCTTTGGGCATTGGCCTATGAATAGTATTAGTACGACTCTTCTTTCATCTTCATCTTCATCCTTATCTAAAGCGATCCGAATAACGGTATGCCGGAACTGGAAGGTGGAAGAGGCTATACATACAAGAGGCACCGCAGCTGCATCCGTGGCCTTCAGGCATGTTGATAGATTTGAGGTGGTTTGGTGGTTAAAAGGTTTGATGTTTAGGATATATTGAAGAATTGTTGATTCGTGGAATATGGAAGAGACTTGTTTGTTGTGTGGTTGTAAGACTTAATAGAAAAGAAAGTTGCACTCTTAAGTATCCCTCTCAGCCTAAAGATCAGAATCGGAATCGTTTGTCATTCACTCCGAGTTTGTAGGGATTCGAATGATCTTGACCAATTATCTTTGTTCCTGCTGCGTTCTTTGTGCGTGGAGTGGCATCCTATGATGTGTCGTGCATGGGCTTTTGCGTTGTTTGTGCCTCTTACCCCACTATCTATACTAAGGACCACCAGACCACCAGTGGACGGGAGTCGAAGCCTTCGACTTGAAGGTTGATAATAATAATGCGCACAACGCAGTGACTACGCCGTGTGGTTACCGCATCGCACCGCACAAACCTCTCATCTCATGCTTTGGGGAGGGGGCAGGCGGCTAGGGAATCATTAGTTGGATTAGTTAGTGCACCTCTTGAGCTCTTGAGGACCTCTTAGGGTTGAATAGGAGTATGGAGTAATGAGTAATATGATCAAGATACCTATCTTACGGTGACCCCGCTGTTGGTATGTGAGGCTGTGAATCTATTGGGAGTTTGAGTCTATGGTTGTGAGTGAATGATTTAGAGTTTAGATGGGTGAGAGGAACGGGATAGGGTGATCGGATAGGGATAGGTCAGAGGTAAGAGGATCGGGTTGAACTACACTACTCCGTATTAGAACTAGAATGTAGAAAGTAATGGAACCGGAACTACGGAAAGGAAACACACCGTACGTGTAGGGTGATGGAATTAGACGTAACGAATCGGAAATGGGGAACGGGAAGGGAAGGGAAGGGAGGGGAAGGGGGAAGGGTTTCATTTTTCGGATGGGCGGGGCATGGAACTAACTAGGTGAGTTAGGTGGGTGGTGGTGGGTGGTTAGTGTTAGATGGTTTTAGTGGTTGGTGGGTGGTTAGTGGTTGTGTTACTAGTGCAGTGTATGTACAGTGTAGTGTATGTAGTGTAGTGGCGAGAGTGGCAAGAAAGGAGGAGGAGGGAGGAGGAGGGGAAGGAAGGGACAGGAGGCGAGAACTTGGTAGGAGGGATTGAAAGGTAGTATGGAGTGTTTTCGCCGTGAGGGTTCCGTGGTGGAGGGAGATGGTTAATTGATATGTAGATGTGTGTATATTTAAGATAGGAACTAGATAAATAGGGAAATATATGTACATTGTATTTTTATTTATTATTATTTTTTCTATCTCTATCTGCTTTTCTAGACTTATATTGAACGGGTGTGAAATGATGTGAGGCTTGAAGGATTGAGGGCTTCGGTTACACTGTTTTGCGTAGGACTATCTCTTATCTCTTTATCTCTTGCTGAACAGATAAGTCAATAGTGTAGTCACAGTATAATACAACACTACTATGTAACCTTACACGGCATAAACGAAGAGAAGGTAAAAAAACAAAAGGAAAAAGAAGAGAGAAGAGGATTTCTGTGTGTTGAGTACTGTGGATGGGTAGGTAGTATAGTGTGATACTAATATTCGAGTAGGACATGGCATATGGCACGGGTTTTGGATGGTTGGATGGTTGGATGGATCAGGATTTTATTGGATTTATCCGCGGTTGGTAAGATATGTTCGGCTATTGGAAGTATCATAACTTGAATGCTGGATGCTGGTGCTAGATTCATCTGCAAGCAAGTTGGGTTAATATATTAGGTGGGTATTGAGAAGGTTTGAGAATATTAGTGAATAATTGATGGGACGATATTTAATAATTAAATAAGTAACTCTGGAATATAAGAATAGTTTTTTATACTTTATAAGTTTTTTTTTATAGAATTTGTTTATTTATTTATTTTGATATATTAAAAAAACTTTACTTTTTATTTTGAAATTTAAATATTCAAAAATAATTTAAATATAAATAATTTAAATAAAACTAATTTGAATAAATATAATTATATAAAATTTAATATTATATATAAGCGATATTTTATTAGATGTTAAATATTTAATAAAAGTAATCAAATAATAAATAAAAGATTTAATATTATAAAATATATAAAATTAATAAAAATAATTTAATATAAATATAATATTATATTTATTTATAATTGATAAAATAAATATTTTATATAGTATTATTGTACTATATAATATATATATATATATCTCTTTTTGCAATGTTTTTAATTAAGATCTTAATTTAAGTTTCTTTCTCTCTTTCTCTCTTTCTCTCTCTCTATCCCCCTCTCTTACTCTGACACAGAATTAGATGCAAACCTCGCAAGGCTACAGATAGGATAGGGATAAGACACAAGTGTGATTCTGCGTATGGTCTAGAAGAATCATGAGATGAGGTTTGAGGATTTACAGTTGTTTTTGTGAGATCCATTTAATATTTCTAGAAGATGGACTTCTTTCGGCGGTTTTTTGACTTGATGATGATATGGATTGATGCTGATTAGTTCGGTGATTGACATCAATATTGAGTTGAGATACTCATATAGTTACAAACATCATTCTATTCTATTCTACTTCGCAGATTATGAGTATAGATTACATTGTAGATACCTATGCCGAGTAGATCTGAACTCTTGACATCCTTATAATCGGACGTCAGTCAGTATTCGATTTTAAATCAACATATTTTTCCTCGATGAATATCTTGAGGTGGGATAAACAAAGTGACCGCTGTATCTTTGCAAATTACTTGAACCTCGTACTATTATTACTTACCCTTGCTTTATTTATAGGAGCTCTGATTCTCATTCTTGTCTTGTCCTTGTCTCCTATCACAATATCGTATTCTTACTCCCTCATCAAACCAAGTACTACTCTTTAATGATATCTGAACCTAATACTGTAATGTGCATCTCAAACTAAGTCAGTATAGACTGTGATCAAGATCATACTATCAATATCTCAAATGAGTTTTTATAGAACGAGTGATCTAGGTTCAACACAGAGAATCTTTTCTCGAACACCATTTTCCCCCTCTTTCATTTCCATCCTCATTTCCCATGTTATTCTCCATCTTCCACCATCAAGCTTAAAATGTTCTCCTTCTCCTCCCTTAGACACATCCATTTCCTCTTATCAACCCCAGAACAACTGGTTCATTTAATCAAAGGCCCCAAGTCCACTCCTCCCCCTTCCCTCTCTTGATTCGTCTTCTTCTCACCCGCAATCCTCCATCTTCCAATCATACATAATCTTAGAAACCTCTTTCTCCCCGACATATCATCAAAGACTGAAGAAAAATGACACGTATAGTCCACGCTGCCAGAAACAACGCTTCAGATTCAAAGATGTGAGTAGTGGGGTGACAGGTAAAGTGTCGAGCCAGTACCTCTTTTTCATATATTCTTTTGTCCTTTTTGATTTTGATTACATTTCTGCGGAAAGGAAGTAAGTAAGTGGGGAATCTTCACCGAGTCACTGACTGGCAGTGAGTAAGTTGAAGGATAGACTATGCTGGAATTAGCCTTGTGTTGGTACATGAGTATTGATCATTTTACAACTTCACCTAGACGAACGAGAACATCACTCAAATAAATCGTATTGAAGATTAAAATCAAATTTAATTGGTTTTGCATTTAATTTCATAAACTAAGCCGAGTAAATAAAGGTCATCTAATCCTACAATCTGGTCATGATCGTCGTTAAAATATGGATATCCTTTTCCCTGCGATATGAAAAGAAAAATCGTAGCCGTAGCTGGAGATTCGCTAAATGCATAGCATCATCAATCATCATCAAAATAAATCGGGAAATCGTCGAAGATAAAAAAGGAAAACAAAGAAAAATATTAAAACATATGATCCAACTCGTCCATCACCACCTGAACCCAAAGGATATCTATTATTTCATCACCCATCCTATTCCACCTATTTATCCTTCTAATATCCCTCCCTCCATTCATTTCTTCATCCATCATTTCGTTATTTTCATTTTTTTCAGATAACATTAGTATCAGGCATACTGCTCTGCATACTAGCCGGGGTTCTACTACTACTCCTCCTATCCACATCCCCACTAGCAGGACTATAAACCCTGCCTACGGGCCCTTTCCCCATCCTCGGTTTGGCAACCAAAACCTGAGCAGGACACACCACGATTTCCTCATCGCCTTGTCCTAAGTCATCACCCTTCTTCACTACAAGTGGGAACAGCACAACTCTAACGACAGCCTTTTGTGCCTCGAGTTCTTCATTGGAGACGGTGTCTCCGCTGCGTTCATTCATGAGTGCTGCATTGAAAGACACTTTGCTGGCGAGATCGCCGTTGGCATCGTATTCTGGTTGGAGTGGCGGTAGCATCATGTATTCTGCGCGTTGGGTGCGCATTTCGATAGAGAGAACGACAGCGGCTTTAACAACACGCTTGAGTTGTTCCTCGATTTGATCTTCGAGGTGGCTCGGTGGCGGCAAGATTTCTGTCAGTGTCTCTAAGATAGCATGTACCACAGCCAAAGTATCTTGTTCTCTCTGTCTTGCAAACGATTCTCGTTTGGATAACAATGTCAAAGTGGTTGCGCGCCACTGATGAACTGCTGATGATGGTCCAACTTCAGACAACAGTTTCTCCAAAGACTTGAGCTTTTGTCTCTGCTCTCGATCCATGCCAAATAAATAGCGAGTGAATATAAATTCCCAAACCATTGTCATCGTCATTGACATGAAGACATCCCTTCTCCTTACTCTATCTGCGAGGTAGTTATCCACATCCGAACCATCTAAAATGGCATTATCTAACCGATCAATGGTCTTGTCGTTATTAATTTCTCTCGTGAGTCTACAAGCTCTCATGTCGGAGAATTTCGAGAATCTAAGTACCCATTGCTGCACATGTTGGCAGAGTTGTTGACAGGCACCATCAAAATAGTCTTCATCCCGAATGGTCAAGAATTGAGTGTCGCCAGCTTTGGCAGCTAAAATCTCCCTTTGCATTGCTCGGATTTGTTCCTTAGCTACATCCAATTGGGATCGCAATGATGCAATTTCTTGGTCTCTTTCTTGTATAGCATTGTGTATAATGCCTTCCACCTCGTTTTGAAGGTTGTGATGAGCTTCGCGGGCTTGCTGCAGTTCCCGTGAAGTCTGCGCATGTTGCGATTCGAGTATGCCATATCGTGCATTATGTTGTTGACCCAGCGTTATAGCTGCGCTCGTAAGCCCCGCATTTACCTCCGTCAATCTTTTGACTTCATCTTGCATGGATGATAGTGTTCGTTTGAGTAAATCGATTTCTGCATCCCTTTCTACCAAAGCCGCAGGTGCGCCTTGGCTTGATCGCAGCATATGTTCGGCATGCGCTTTTGCTTCTGCGAGTGCACGATTTTCCGCAGTTAATTGATCGAGTTTGGATTCGAGTTCCAAGACTTGCATACTCTGTCGTCGTCGCATACTGTGAGGTCGAGTAGGGGATCTTGGTGAGCCCATATGGCCTTCACCGTAGCCATCCTACATTATTTTTATTAGTGGTGAAAATTTTTCATCTTCAGTTTTGTGCCAACTTACATAGACGTCAGCCATCTCTTGTGCCCTGGCTCGGCCCTCATTTGCAGTTGGATTTGCAGAATTTGTGGAGGTTGTCGATGTAGCGGTATCGAGAGAGGCTGGACCAATTTCCTTAGCGAGATCAATGTTACTTTGTTGACGGAGCGATTTTAGATCCCCGCTAATTTTTCGGGCGGTACGACGGAGTGGCGGTGTAAACGAACGATTGGTACTAGCGCTATCTGGAAACTGTGGCTGGTGAGGCGCATCTAATGGAGCTGGTGTCCGTAATCGAGCAACACTAATATTTGAAGCGGGTCTTTGACTTTTATGGCTTTGAGCACTTAAGGGTCGACTTTCTTGACTTGATCTCCTTGCTGCTGCAAATCCCAATCCTGCCGCTGCAAGAGCTGCACTTCCAACCAACGCCGGGGGGCTCTCAGATATACTTCGCTGTTCTGCCCTTGGAGTCTTGACAGATTCAAGGTCCCCATATTTGTTTTCCTTCGGCTTGCGATAATGGGCGTCTGGAAATTCGGAACGGTGAACACGATGCCTTGTATGTTCCTTTTCCGGGGTCACAGATTTGTTGATTGGTTCTGCTTGATGAGGTTCAGATAGCTTTTCTTTGGATTTCGTTTGAAATGCCTTGAGTCGTTGGGACCGGACAAAGTCTACGTGATTCGCTTCTGCCAGCTCTCCACGAGTTAAAGAGCTTTTGCGAGTGAGTTTATGCTTTCCTTCAAGAGGGGAGTGCATTCCATGAATTGTCTGTGCTCTTTGTAGATCTGTGTGCTCTTCTTCTCTGTGTCTTTGATATGGCAGATCATCAATTCCATGGTCATGACGTTTTAAGTTCTCCACAACCTTAGGTCGTGGCGGTTGCTCGAGATCAACCGTACCGGCATCCTCATCCACTGGAGGCCACTCCATGCTGTCAATAGCTGCATCGGCTGATGACACTGGGGACCTGACACGCATCGAAGGCGAATTGTCTCTTAAGTGGATAGCACTGTCACGAACAAGTTCGTGTTTGTTGGCGAAGTTGCCTTGCAAAGGAATTGGTGAATCGTTAACAAAAGCACTGTCTCTATTGCCAATATTCTGAGCATGCTCTTCCTCTGGCTCTTCCTGTAGCATTGTCAAGCCAGGAGTACCAGGACGAGATGGAGGACGGGACCTGGATCTAGCTCGTTTAGCTCGTTCGGCTGTCGGAGATGGGCTTGGCGAAGGACTGATGCGTCGAGCTCGGGGCTCGACGATAATATTTCGTAAGGCCTCTTGAATTGGTGCAGGTAGAAGATCTTGCTCATTTTCAACTTCAATTGACGTCTTCCTTCTTCTCTTATCTGTGTCTCTTCTTGAACGCCTAGAGAGATACTCCTCTGGTAGATCTCCTCGAGCCTCTTGTGCAGTTGGAGACCTTCTCGGACTTGGAGACATGCTCGAGGCATAGGATTTGCTAGCTGGTGTTGTTTCAATTTCTAGCTGCCTCTCGTCATCGGAAATGGAATCGCGAAGAGGTGTCGGTATTCCGGTTTCGCGACCTTCCACTATCAAAGGTCTGACAGGGATTTGTATCATTGGTTCTTGGACTGTCTCCATTTGTTTTGGTTCCTGCAAAATGGTAGTTTCCACTACTTTAGGTTGAGCAGGAATTCGTGCTTCCCGGTCTTGGGGAAGTTCCATCTGCTCTGATTCTTGCACAATATTTATCATAGGTTCGGCAAGACTTTCGGCGATAGTTTTCTCCTGCGTGGTTTCCAATTGCTCCGGTTCCTGAAAGAAATCCGCGTTGTCAAGAACGTGACTGAGAGGCGCAGGGGTTCGGGTCTCTCGAGCCTCCACTATTGCAGATTTGCCAGGACCTTCAATCATAAGTTCTTGTGTCCTTTCCGTTTGTTCTGGCTCCTGAACAAACTCTGCATTAGTCAAAACAGGAATGCGGGGTGTGGGCGTTCTAACCTCTTGGGATTCTGATTCTCCATGCTGTTCAATCATCGGTTCCTGTATTTTTTCAATCTGCTCTGGTCCTTGCAAAATGGTATGTTCCTCCCGAAATCCATTACTAATGGGCTGTCCAAACCCATCCTTTGTCTCTTCAGACGTATTCCGGTCTTTGTCGTCCAATCCTGAATGATCAAATATGTCGTCACTTGGCCTTCCCTTATCCATATCTTGTCTCTTCTCTCCATTGTCGAGTAACGCTTGCATTGGCTGGTTTTCCTCTTCCCTGACAGGCTCAACTTCTGGTTCCTTGCTCCCGCCAACCAAGACCTCTGCATTAGCAATCGCCGCGGATGCAGGTACCACATAAAGCATTTCTTTGCGTTCCTTCATTGGCTCGATTTTCTGTAGATCTGCTCCTATTAGTAGTCGAAAATCCTCGACATTAAACGATTCTCTATTTGTATTTTTCTTTCCTTTCTTGGCTGGTGGTCTAGAGAATTCATTCGTCTGTGGTTTTTTGACCGTACTGGCAATATGGGAATAGAACTCATCTCGTCCAATATCTTCAATGACAGGAACAGCCCTGACAACTTCCGCTTCCGGAACTTCATCTGCCCAAAAGATACTCCGATCATCTTTAGGTGTCTCCAGGTTTAGCGTTGCTTGACGTTTTCTCTTGTCTTTCTTTGAACCAATTTGTGATAAATCAGCGGAGATATTGTATGGCTCATCGCTAATCGGCTTGGATGGAGAGGACGAGGTGATGGGTAAAATTATCTTTGGCTCCGCAATAGGTTTGAACGCTTGCACGATATCTCTCATTGGAATAGGGGAGGCGAGGAAACGATCGGCGGGTTTAACGTCTTGGGTTTCGGATGTTGTGTCAGTATTGGGTACGGCCAAGGGTCGTGACTCTATGTCAAGTTCTCTGCTTGGAATTTCTTTCCATTTCTTATCGGGCGAGGTACCGAAATTATCATCCGCGCGAACGAGTGTTTCAACCTGTGGAATCTGGAAAGACGTATGAGTATCAGATACATCGTCAACAGTTGGTAGCAGCCCTCCAGGCTTTCCAGAGTTTGAAGGGGTATCCTCAGGAAGCTCAGTAGCAACATTGGGAACCTCGGGCTCCAACGGGGTGGACAAAGAAGACTCATGTTTCTTCATGTCCCACTCCGATTTCTTAGTAGAAACCGGACCCCATTCGCCCTTGGTTTGTTGTTGAACTTCCTTTGGCATTTCTTCAGTTGGCTTGGCCTTGAATTTATCGACTATTATCTCTGTAGGTACTAGGTCCTCAACATCCGGTACTCCTAATTGGGTGTCTTTGGGGATAAACTGTACCGGTGAAGAAAATCCAAACTCACGATCATTTATGTCCTTGGAATTCTTGGTCAAGACTCCAGTGACATCATCTTCTGATGGTCTGTGCTCCCCTTGTGCGCGCTCCTCAATTAGCATCTCTGGTGGTAAATCTACTTTCTCTAACTCATCGGCGGGTACCGCCTTGTACTCATGCAGCATAAACTCTTTTAAACTAGGGACTACATCCTGCTCTTGTGAAATCCGAGGGGCTAGATGCGTTTTAATCTCTTCTTTTGTGAAATATTCTACAACGTCAAAAAAAGACTCTTCATCAGGCTCTGCTGAAACCTCTTGTACAGGTTCTTTTGCATCGTCTCTCGCAGACAGAGGCTCTGTTATTTCGAGTGGCGCATTTCCAAGGTTCTCTGATTGATGCGCAACATCAAATGGCTTTTTTGTTGATGTAGCGACATTCTCACCATTCTTTTCTTCTTTCGACTCCTCGGCAGGCCAGGCCCATTCATTTTCTCTTGTTTCAGTCATAGTAGAATGACTTTCGTTCGAAGGTTCGTCTTGCATGGGCTTCATAACGTCTGAAATGAAGGGTTCTGCTCCAGGCTCCTGTCGAAAAAGGGCTTCTAGTCCAAAAGTTTCTTGGTGAAGTGGTGATTCTGGCAAGGGGATCTGTTCTGGCTCGGGGAGTTTGTGTTCAAGGAGTAATTCTCGAGGAATCACTGGTTCAAGACTTGACATTTCCGGTTCGATTAAGCGCTCCTGAGTCAGCATTGGTTCTTCAAAAATGTGTGAATCGTAAACCGGCTCTCGTTGAAACGGGATTTCTAGTTCAGACAATTCCCGGTAAATTGGTGATTTTGGCAAAGGAATCTGTTCAGGCTCAACAACACTCTGTTCAATTGGTGACTCTGGCAAAGGAATATGTTCCGGTTCAAAAACCTCCTGTTCGATTGGTGACCCTGACAGAGGAATACGTTCAGGCTCAACAACACTCTGTTCAATTGGTGACTCTGGCAAAGGAATATGTTCCGGTCTAAAGACCTCCTGTTCGATTAGTGATCCTGGCAGAGGAATACGTTCCGGTGCAACACCATCCTGTTCAAGTGATACTACTTGTGGAACATCTAATTTAAGATATGGCCTTTGGGGATCAATTGCACGTTCTTGAACGATTGGGACTACAGACCCTTGTGGCAATGTCATCTCTGGCTCAAATGATTTCGACTCAGTTGGCGATTCTGGCAAGGCGATTTCTTCTGGCTTGGGGTTATTAACCTCAATGACTGGCTTTCGGATAACAGGTTGTTCTTCCCAGAGTATTGGCCCAGTCGCCGAGCCTTGTACAAGACTGACTGGACGATCGGAGACTTTTGATTCAATTTCTAGCTCTTGTTGCAAAGTTGGCTCTTCCTCATTGATTCGTGATTCTTGGGGTACAAAGCTTTCTTCTTTCGACTCAAATGTTGATTCCTCGGGAATTAAAAGTTCCTCTCTCATGATCTCCGGCTCAGTAATCGGGTCCCATGAGGGAAATGGCTCCTGATCATTGGTATTTGACTCAATAGTTGATTTCAGAGGTACGGCAGCCTCTTCTGTCTCAATATCTGGCTCCATAATTGGAAGGGATGAAGGGATTGGCTCCTCGTTGGTAATTCTCAACTCAATTGATGGATTTTGTGGTGCAATTAATTCCTGTAGCACAGGAGCTTCTTCCCTTACATTTTCGGACTCAAAAACTGGTTCCTGAAGGATACCCGTCTGTGGTTGTGATAGCATTGACCCAATAACTGGCTCCTCAAAGGGTTTGGAGTCCTCTTTTGCTAGTCTAGGCTCGAATGTCTGTTCTTGGTATATAATCGGCTCGGCCTTGGTATTTGTAGTCTCTTCATTTGTTATATTACGATGAAGTTCCTCTGCTGGAGGTTGAACAATCGGCTGGGAAGAGGCAGATTCGATGTCCTCTTGGCTTTCGAGAGAGGGCTTTAAAGCAGCTTCGGAATTATTATCTTGCTTAGCATCAACTTCTTTCAATGTGAGAAGAATGGTATTTTCATCGCTTGTTTGCTGGTTCTCCGGAACTGATTGCATGGAATCCTGTGCATTAGCTTGAGGTGGCATTTCATCAGCATCGTGACTTGATGAAGACTTCATGGAAGTTTGGGTACTAATGTCTTCAGCTGATGGCATCGCGACTTCCGACTTTGGTTTCTTCTCATCTTCGTCATACGCTTCCATCGAAAAGTCACCGGCTGGCTCAACAAATTTGTCTTTAGAAATAGCCTCATTTGTCTCTATATTTCTTGGAGTTACGATGAGTTCCGTGGTCGATTCAACAGGCGTCTGTTCCGTCTCTTGGCTTGGCTCCGCCGGAATAACCTCACTTTCTTGTGGCTTGTTGAAGGTTGTTTCATTGAAAGGTTCAGAAATCGGGACGTCTGAAATTAATGGCACTTCCTCCGATTCGAGTTCGGCAGCTCTGATTCCCGTCTTGGCATATGGTTTTGACGGAAGAGACTCTCCGGGCAAGAGCACTGGTGCAAAGACTGGTGAAAGCGGTCCTGAGAAGTCTGATAATTCCCCGTTTGCAGGCACTTTAACATCAGAAGGCCTTTCCATCGTCTGCTCCGCAGTATCCTCCGGGAGTGGGATCGATGCAGCATGCTCTAAGTCGTCCAAGTTCTCACGAATTTTAGGCTCCCTGACCTCTGGATTGACGATATATTTCCTGGGGAATGAATTCGAACTACTATGCTTAACATATGGCTTTGGAACGTCGGAGTTTGTAGGTTCATCAAGTTCAATGAACTCATCGACGGAGTCTTCCGGAAGTGGTATTGAAGCAGGTCCAGTAACGGACTGGTTGATGATGATTTTCTGTGGTGCCATTAAAGCAGGCTCGTTAAGTTCAGCAAACATGTCGAAAGAATCTTCCGGGAGTGGCACTGAAGCGGGCTCAGTAATTTCAATAAATTCATTCAAAGAGTCTTCCGGGAGTGGTATAAAAGAAGGCCCATCAACTTCAATATATTCCTCGAATGGGTCTTCCGGCAGTGGCACCAAAATAGCCTCGTTAAATTCATTAAACTTATTGATAGGATCTTCCGGAAGTGGTATGGAAATAGGCTCATTCACTTCAGTATATTCGTCGAATGACTCCTCCGGGAGTGGCACCGAAGCAGGATTACTAAGTTCAACGAAGTCATTGAAAGATTCTTCGGGGAGTGGTATCAAAGCAGGCTCGTTAAATTCAGTGGACACAGTGACAGGGTCTTCCGGAAGTGGCACTGAAGCAGGATCTAAGTAGTCGCGGATTTCTGGTTCACTCGATTCGATCGACTTCTCAACAGGCTGCTCAAAGATTTCACGATCAATGGATTGCGTGGCTTCAAGAGGCTCCTCTGAGATTGGTTCCTCGGCAAGAATGGGTTGTTCAGGCTCCTGAGTGACTTCGGTTGATACCTCAGGCTCTGACCCGAATTTGTCTTCCTTGCTCTTCCTGGACGTGTTCGAACCACGTAAAACCGGTTTGTGTTCAGTCTCACTTTCTTCGGCATTGAGGATCTCGCTTGATTCTGGCTGGGCTGTGTCGGTATGCGTTGCAGATTCTGTAGGTAAAAAGTCCCCTTCAGCAGTGTAGATTGGCTCAGATATTTCCATGTTTATTGAGTCCTGTGGGGTAATTTGTCCTGACAAGGGAGAGTCATCAACGGTATTTGGCATGACAGACTCAATATTGTTGTCAGACTTCCCAGAAAGTGGTTCTCTCGTCAAGTAAGTATCTTGAAGGTCTGTATTAGGCTCCAAATACTCAACAGATGCCATGATATCGTCTGGGATTGTTTTTTCCGGCAAGGAGGATTCATCAATATGACTTGGTTCAGAAATCTCGACATTCTTTGTAACTTCGTCGAAAATGGATTCTGTTGGCAAAGAAGACTCATTGCCAGTTGCACTTGGCTCGAGAACATGCCCAATTGATTTTTGTGGCGCAAACACATCCTCTTGACTGAAATCGCGAGGCGTCTCAGTGAGCTCACTTGATCTTCCAAGAATTGGTTCCGACATGGAAGGATTCTCCTGGTCGGTCGCATCAGTCGCACCATTAAATTTCGAAGGTTCGCTAGGCTCCTCAACCATTGGCTCAAGGATTTGCTCAGTCTGTGGCTGTGGCACAGAACCGTCCTCTTGGGCAACCTCACGATGTAATTTCTTAGGATCGCTAGATTTGTCAACGATTGCCTCCGAAGCATCCTCAGATGGCACCTCAGCGGCTTCAAAATCTTCCGAAACAGGTTCATGCGGGATCTCCAAGGGCTCATGACTGTGTTCAACAAAGAGCTCATGATTTTCTGGTGTTTGAATCTTAGGTTCCTCAGTAGCAGCATCTTTAGACGCATCAACAACCTCTTCCTTTGGCATGTCTTCCGACACCGAAGATTGCAAAATTTGATGCTCCTCGTTACCCTTTGTCGATTGCTTGCTCGAGACCTCGAGAACAGATTCAGATCCCTTCTCTTCTTGAACGGGCTTATCGAAAATTGGTTCAGAAGTGATTTCACGGGATTGCTCGATGAAAACGCGGTCCACTGTCAGGGATGGAGTTTTTGGTTCGCTTATGACAAATTCTCCTCTCATTGCTTTGAACGCTTCTTCCGGTAGGTAAGATAATATGCTGCGACGTCTCCTGCCCGGGCGTCTTTCAAATAATTGGTCGCCTTGTAAATCCTCGTTCGGTTCTGTGGCTCGTGATTCCATGAATTTTTCGACCGTGTCTTTTTTGGGTTTAGTGGATAGAGGTTCTTCCTCAACGACTATACTTGGAATTGGCTCAGTCTCTGGGCTTACGATGTTCTCGCCCTTCTCCGACATCTCCTCCGAGTCCTTGTCTGGCAAAGCCCATTCCCTAAGTTTTGAAGTAGGCGTTAGTGTTGTGGTAGGTTCGTCCTCAACGGCGTTTAGCATAGAAAAGTCGGGAAAACCGTGTGTTTCAGACATATAAGATCCAGATGCGGGGCGTGCTGTAGATGGTCTTGGAGGAAGTCCTTGCTCAGCTGCAGCTATAGCAGCATTATCCTTCCTTTTTCCCCATCCCAAAGCTTGAACCATTTCCACAACACCCAACCTTCTTCCTGTCAATGGACCCATAAGACCAGAAAGCCCTGCTGTCATTGGTGCAGCTGGCACGTCATAAGGAGCTAACCCTTTGGCGGGAATAGTGATGATTTGTTCGACAGGTGCGTTGTTTGGCTGCTCAGCCGGAGGCTCAGTGTTGGACGACTCATCAGCAGGTGTAATGTCTCTGGGCACGATATCATCTTCAATTGAATCTTGCTCTTGCTTGCCACGTTGATTTTTATCTTTCTTAGATCTCTTGGGAGGTGCGGAGAACTCAATCCCACGGTTCACAGTAGAAGGTTCTTCAAGCGTGACAGCGATTTCTTGCTGAATATCAGCAGCCTTTGCTGTTTCTATGTTGGCTTCACCATTCTTAACTTCATCTACAGTCGGGGATAGAGAAGCGTCCTCGACATGCGTCGGCTCAATCATATTATCTTGGTTCTTGTCAGGAGTAGCAAATTCGGCTTCAGGATCGATGAGGATAGAAGAATCCTCGGAAGTTTGTTGGTCAGGGACATCGATAGGCTTCATTCCCTCCACAATTTCGGGTTCCATGATTTCTTCGGGAAAATCGGATGATGGTAAACTGTCACCTTTTGTTTGTTCCTCGGACTTCTTGCTTGGTGTCAAGGCCTCAGCTTCTGGAGTTGTAATAATCGGATCAACGAGCGTCTTGTCAGGAATTCCTGGCTCTGCAATGACGGGATCGAAATGTACGTTTTCGATCTTCTCTTGCTCCTGCGTAATTGACGGTGTCTCTTCCAATACAGTCGGTTCATTAATGATGTCATCAACAGGAGCGCTTTCATCGAGTATCTGCTGTTTCTCGTCAGTTGTATCAATCTCCTTGGGCTCTTCAAGTACAGGTTTGTTGGTCAAATCTTCGATGATCTCCGGCTGAGAGACAGGCATATCTGTTTGCTCGTTCAATTCTTTGATAGCATTATCCGATGGCTTGATGTCAGAAGGCAATTGACCATCTTCATTTTGATTTACATGCTCCTTCTCCTTACCAGTAATCGATTCGAAATCCTGTTCTGATTGTTCAACAAGTGTCAGTTCGTCCTCTTGGGATCCAGCATCAAGTCCATTCGGAGTTTCGGAATCAGTGATGATTGATTCTTCCTCGTTTTGAGGCTCAGCCCCAGGAGTTTGCCCTAATTCATCGAAGAACTGTGCTTGTTCGTCTTGTGGTGTTTGAGGAGCACCATGCCGTTCCTTTTCCTCTTGAGATTCCTCTACTAATTCTGCAGGTAATTGGCGAGCTGGGGCTAGCTCATCTTCTTGATAGCCGCCCGGAAGTTCATCAAGTTTGGTAACATCTTCAACAAGGTCTTTAGGAGTATCCTCTGTCATGATATCTACTTCAGATTCCTCTTGCAATTGTTCCTCAGGACTCAGTTGATCCTTGGAATACCCGGAAGTAAGACCATCAGGCCCAACTTTTTCCTGAGAAATTTCGTCGGATTTTAGTTGTGCAGCGCTGAGTGCAGCAGTTACAGCAGGAACAACTGGAATTATAGGTTCAGCAGATGGCAGGTGGTTATTGACGTTCGATTTAGAAGTTTCTTTTGTGGTGTCGGTCCGGGGTGCAGTGGGAGTTTCTGGCGAACCATTAGGACCAGTCACCGGTGTTGGATTTTCGGATACACTCTCGGGAGTTGCTGGCCAACCACCGGGACCAATCATTGGTGTTGGCTTTTCCGACAACCGCTCTGGTATAAGACTAGGTATTGGTGATTCCACGGGTTGTTCCAAATCTGCAGCCTTACTCTTTTCGCTCTCATCTTCATTCTGCTTGGGCGAAGCCGGGGCAAAACCTCCAGGAATGTCATCGAGCTTTGGTGTGTCTTCGAGCACTGGTTTTTCCACAACATCATCTTCTTGCACTTCGGGGAGTTGCTCTTGCTCTTGAATAGTATCAACCGGAGAAATTTTCTGCTCAACATCTGTAGTTTGTTCCTGCTTAGTCTGTTCCTTATCCTCTTTGTCTTCTTTGGGCTGCATAGTTAAGAACTCTTCCACGGGATTGACGTCGGCGGGCGTAGCAGGGTCTGCAATGCTTTCTTCAACTGGATCTTGAGATAAATCTACAGGAGTATCCTCTTGAATTTGAGAAACGGCAGGTTGATTGTGTCTAGGCTCGATTACAAGTTCTTCCTGCTCTGGGTGAAGAGAGTTTAATCTCGCTTTCATGGCCTTTTCCTCGTCTCGGTTCGATTTAGAACTAGCAAATACATCAACTATGGGCGTGATATCACCCGGTGTCTCAGGCAGTGTAGAGTCACTGATGGTTGGTGAATTCGGGTTAATCAGGGGAGAAGATGGCTCTGAAATGTCGCGATGAAGCTCTGGGGATTCCTCGCGTGATCGTTCTTGTATGGGCATCTCAATGGTATTTTCAACCACTGACTCAGAGTAGAGTTCTTCCATCTCAGAAGTGATATTTCCTGCGTCCTCCTTGTCCGTCTCTGACTTGAAAATAGAGGATTCCTCAACCGAGCCATGCTCGACCCAAGGCAGAGGTTCTTGCACAATTTCTTGACTAGACTGCGGCACTTGCTGTTGTTGGTGGTCATCTGGCATGTCATCTAGAGGGGATTTATCCATGGGTTCAGAAGGTTCTATGCTGTCCACAGTTTCCATTTCAAATTCAGGCTCGGAAGATAGGTCAATTTTGTCCGTTTCCTCGTTTGTATTCTCATTCTTGAATTCCGTCGGAAATCCAAGTGGATCAACATCAACAGGAGTAGCTACCTCTTCGAAAATATCTTGGCCTAGTTCGGTCACGTTATGTTGTTCACTTGAAGCATGGTCGAGGTTCAGTTCTTGTGTATCCTCTTGGCCTGGGGTTATGGTTTGGATTTCCGGTTTCGGGTCCGGTTCCGTCCCTAAAGATTCAGCCTCCCCCTTCTTACCCTTCTTCTCTTTGGACTTTGGAATAGAGACTTCATCTACGGGCTCGGAATTTTCGGCCTCAAGTGGACTGGAGTCTAGCTCAAGTTCTTGAATGGGCTCCCAAATATTCTCAGCTTGATCATTGATGTCATCTGATGCTAGAGGCAAACCTTCTCCAATATTTTCATTCTTCCTGGGTTCGAACAAAGGAAATTCTTCAGTGGGTTTGAGTTCCTCTTCAAAACTCATGTCTTGTTTGTTTGAAGTTTCACTTAAGGTTTGTAATGACTTCTCTCGTGTAGCAGCTATGTCATGTGATTCGAATGACTCTGAACTATTGTCTCCACTCTTGTCCTGGATCTGATGAAAAGATTCTGGTTCCTGTTCATTGCTTGTATCATGAGATGCAGTCGCAAGGCCAGCTGCAGTTGCAATTGCTGCGACTCCAATGGCTTGAGTTGCTGATTTAGATGGAGACTGTTCACGAGAGTGAACATCGGAAGATAAATTTTGCGTTTCTTCTAATGAGGGAAAAGAATCTCGAAGAAACTCCACTGATGGCGCTAAGTTTTTCCTAAAGGTTATCGTAGTCGGTGTGGATTCTCCGGAGGCGAGATCATCGGAGGGGAGGTTGGTTGAAAGTGGGTCCAGAGAAGGGCGGTGAAGGTCCAATTCTTCCAAGAAGCCCGATTCGGGTAGATCCGCCACGTCAAGCTCGGAATTGGTGCGGGACGGTGGTAAATGTGGGAGCGGCTCAACTAACTCTTCTGGTACAAAAGACCCACGTTTGTTAGTCTCTAATAAATACAGGGGTTGGAATTCCTTGGTGTTGTCCCATGACATAGGCCTAGATCTAGATCTTGGAATTATGGCTGATTCTGGAATTGGAGCAAATTGGAAAGCCGGAAAGGGGGTATTACCAGTTGATCTCGTCATGATGGGTGATGCCGGATTGGATCTATTTCCCATGACGAATTTTAAGGGCACGGCACTTTGGCTTGGAGATTTTACCGGTGTCTCCTGCAAGCTCTTACGGTTTCGCGGGGTCTTCTCCCTTGGTGTACCTACAGTACGTTTCTCAGACTCCGGGGTTCCAGGTCGACTTTCAGGAAGTTTGGGCAGATCATCAATTGGTTCAAAATTAGGTGAAACTGGACCACTTGGCGGTAATGGTAAAAGATCTCCATATTGAGGGTCAATTGAGGGTCTGATTTGTCGTTCGATAATCTCTGGATCCAGTATCTCTTCCTCCATTTCCTGCTCTCCTCCCTTTCCCATACTCCCCATAGCCCCCGTAGTCCCCTCGCTATCATTATTATTAGCGGCATTTTGCTGTTGATGCTGAGCAGAAATTGCAATTGCACCAGCAGCAAGGCCGGCACCCGCGCCAAGGATGCCGGCATTATCTAAAAAAGAACCCTTCTTAGAATCTGAGCTTTTACTCCTCTTCTTCTCTCCATCATTCCTAAATTCTTGCTCACCATCCTCACCGCGTGACCTTTGGCTATTTGTTTCATTCGACGCCACTTGGGTTAAATCACCGAAAGGTTGACTTCCAGTTATTCCATCCGATGTTGAACTACGTTTTTCTTTTTTTGCCTCGTCAGCGTCGTCGCGAGTACCTTTCGCTGGCTCCTCTTTTGCTGTATCCCCCCTAGAACCACTGAAGAAACCAAATAATCCACCAACTTTCCGCGGCGCTGTTTCCTTTGCCTTCTTCTTTGGATCTTCGTTTTCATTGCGAGTGGGTTCCGAAGCAGCTAATCTTGCACTGTCATTGTCGTCTTTAATGCCGCTGCGGTCTTTTCGGCTCTTTTGTGGCGAATCTTCTTCGTCAAACTTTGAGCTGCTATCGGCGGATAGTATTGAACGAGATGAAGCCCACATGAGATCACCTTCACGACGTGATGATCTTTCTAGCTCTCTTGATAGGTCAAGATCTTCGCGACTACTTTCAGAACTTGGTAATGGGACTTGTGAAGGATCAGAAGAATCGGTCCTGCTTTGCGATCTATCCTTCGACTTTCTTGGTATTTTTGATTCGTCGCCATTTTTGACATCATCTAAAGAATAGCTCCTGTGACTTTCACGCAATGATGACCTGTGGCTTTCACGCAACGAAGATTCGACTTTACCATCGTAAGTTAAAGAGCGCTTGCTGGATCTCCTTTTCGGTGTTGAAACAGATGGATCAAAGTCATCATTATCGTATGTCGATGATCGTGATGGCTTTTTAGACTTCTCAGGAGTATCAACAGGCTCGATGTAGCTTTCCGGCTCTTCAACGAATTCGCCATCTGGCGAGATATCAACAAATGAAGATTCTTCCCTCAGAAGTGACTGTCTTCTTGCTTCCTCCTTGTCACGTTTCTTTTGTTCCTTTCTGCTCTGCCTAGAAGAATCAAAATAGCTTTCTGGTTCTTCAACGATGACATCTGTCATTGGTGAATATACATCACCACCACTTCGTCTTCGTTCTTTATCGCGTTTTTTCTGTTCTTTCCTAGCGAGCCTTGAAGATTCATCGTTGGCAGGCGATACACTCGACCAATCCTTTGGGGTTTCTGGTACTTCACCCATGACAAACCCACGATTTGAGGACTCCTCACCAGTGGTGCTTGCAAGGTCGGTAATGGACTCTGCCCGTGGTGCTTTGTATGCATATTCATTAGAGCCAGGTGGGGAGTCACGTTTTCGGAACGCAGGATCCTCAATAACAAGATCAGGATCGAAGCCAGTATCTTGCAAACCAGCTGCAACTGTTGCAGTGAAATCCAAATCGTCGTCAAAAGAGCCAGGCATATGTGAAGATTGTAGCGAGGCAGGTTTGGGGCCAACACTAGGTGGGCTATCTCTTCTGGTTGCTTGCGGGTAATATTGACTTCCAGTATCCCGAGGTGGACTGTCCCTTCTCATATTCTCTGGTAGACTTTCTCTTCTGGCATCTCGAGGAGGACTCTCTCGTCTCGACTCTGCACGATAATTTTCAGGCTCGACAGTCACTCCATGAGGCAGGCTGTCTCTTCTCATATCCCTGGGTGGACTTTCCCGCCTCGGCTCTCCGTATGGACTCTCGGGCTCTACCATCACGCCTCGGTACTCATAAGCCCTCTCGTTACGCTCCTTCTCCCTGGCTTTCAAAATTCTAGCAAGTTCACTTACCTCGGGTCGTCTAGGAGACCCAATCGGGCTTTCTACTGCTGCACCTGCACCGATAATACCCGCCGCCATTGCAGCCCATCCACCTGGAGATTTTGGTTCAGACTCCGGCTCGGACCTTGGCTCCGAATATCTTGGCTTCTCAGGAGTTTCTGGCGATGAATCAGAGATAAATGAATCAGAGATAAATTCATCTCTTGGCTCAGTCGGACTTTCAACCTCGAAGTGCTTGGTCTCGTTTGGACCCCAGGTAACAGCTTTTGAGACGGTTGACTGAGTGGGGGATGGAACGGAAACTTCAGATGAGCGAACGAGGTCTAATCTTGGAGCAACAACAATAGGAGGTATATCTCTTATGTTGCGCTTTCGACGATCTTGATCACGCGGTTCATCTTCCGATGGATATGATGGGATCTGTTCGAGGGTTTGATTCCTATCCCTAGGTTCATCTTCCAACCCATATGATTGAGCTTGTTCACGATCCAGAATTGTGACCCTAGGCTCATCTTTCAACTGATATGATTGGGCTTGTTCACGATCATGATCTCTATCCCTAGGCTCATCTACCAATGAATATGATTCAGCTTGTTCACGATCCAGAATTGTGACCCTAGGCTCATCTTTCAACTGATATGATTGGGCTTGTTCACGATCATGATCTCTATCCCTAGGCTCATCTACCAATGAATATGATTCAGCTTGCTCACGATCCAGAATTGTGACCCTAGGCTCATCTTTCAACTGATATGATTGGGCTTGTTCAAGATCATGATCTCTATCCCTAGGGTCGTCTACCAACGAATATGATGACATCTGTTCGCGGGTTTGAGTCCTATCCGTAGATTCATTTACCAATGAATATGATTGGGTCTGTTCGCGATCCCGGTACTCAGCTCGGGGTTGAGTTGGCTCATTTTGCGATCGCGTAGCAACTTGTTCACGTTCTTCATCCTCAACCGTAGGTTTCGAATAACGTTCAGGCTCAGGTTCAGGCTCAGGTTCACGCGCAGGTTCAGGTTGAGGTTCAGGTTGAGGTTCGGAACGGCGTCTCTCATTTGAGCGATCATGCGACCGACTAGAGCTGTCAGTCTTCCTGTTCCCATTTCCATTCTTGACGGCGGTTACAAACTGTTTTTCCGGTGATGGTGTTGAAGTAGGAGTAGGTACGACCAGATTCAAGAGAGGCCGCCTTAATTTAGCATCCGCATCTTTCGTCATAAATGGACCCTTCAAATCTGCTTCGTCAACCTTGTATCGTCTGCTCGGGATACTGTAGACCTTGAAATCTTTAGGTGTCATGATAAAATCCAGCTTGAAGTCAGCATTTGGTGCATCATATGGACCTTTCTTCCGTTCATGCATGCCCGGAGGAGTAACGATGCGCGGTGGTTCTTCCTCTGGCTCTTCCTCGTATTTGTCCATGATGGAACGCTCAGGTGATGGAGTTCGAGAACGGCGAACTTCCGCAGCAACTTTCCTGGCCATGACGATCTCACGGTAAGCTCTATCTGCTTCTTCCATAACTTCATCGCGTGACTTTCCAGGGCCATTAGTTGATACTTCGTCTTTTGGTACACCCTCGGAGTCGGTTCGTCTCTCGCTGCCTCGTATGTATGATATTGATTCTCGGGAGCTTTCCCTGATCACAACAGTAGCGGCAGCTAATATGGCTGCTGCTTCAATAGGAGCTGTAGAGTGTTCGGCATCATGAAGAGCTTTAACCTTGTCCCTGCGTTGTTGCTCCCGATCATCATCGTCAGAAACGTCAATAGGTGGTTCAGAACGGGAGGCAGGAGATGGGTCTTTGATAGACGAGCTTTGTTTTGAGCTAAAATCTGGTTCGCGTGCAATTGTAACGATACTTGGTGTAGATTGTTCCTTAGATTGGCGGTTGGAGCTTTCCTCGCGGGTAGGTGAGTCTGTAAGCTGATATTGGAATGGGTCTGCGGGGGTTCGAGCAATTGCAGATATTTCCGAGAGTACGTGGGTTCGTCGTTCTTCATAGTTGTCTTCAATACGGTCAGGGGCACGTCGCTCTTCACGTCTCTCTCTTCTTCTTCTCTCTCGCTCCTCTGCGGCTGCATCAGGATCATCACGAGTCCTTTCTCGATTCCTATCACGATCGGAATTAGATGTTGAGCTTCTGGAATCATCTTTTCTTCGTTCCTCGCGACGTTTTTCTCGCTTTTCGTCCCACGTGAGATTACTATCAGCAATAGAAGATTGATCATAGTCGCGACGGCGTTCTTTTCGATCGTCATCCCGAGGTTTGGAGATGCTGCTATCAGCAATTGAGTAATGATCCTCGCGTCTTTCTCTACGATATTCATCTTGTCTACTGATAGCACTTTCACTATAACTTCGGTTATCTCTTCTGTCATCCTCCCGAGAGTTCTCTTTTTCATCTCGACGAGCAATCACAGCTCCGAAAGCAGCGGCAGCAACTCCAGCAAAGGCTGCTCCAGCGAGAGATTTAGGTCTAGCGGAAGAATTCTTTAAGATACCGCCAGACTCGGAACGAACATAGCTAGGCTCATGATAAACGCTCTGAGAGACCGGAGTGATGGGTTGAGGTTGTTGAAGAGGAACTGGTGCTGACCTAGGAATGTTATATTCGGATGAAGACGCTCGCGCTGCGTCGAATCGGGAAGGATCATCGGTAGGAACTGGGAAGACTTGTTGCAGAGGGGTCTGAGAACCACTTCCACCACTTTGAGTCCGGCTTATCCGGATCCTTTCTTCATGTACGTACACCTCATGCACATACCTGTCTGGATGGCTACAAGGGGTGTAAGTTTGCTGCCCGAAGTCACTGCCCGACTCCCATTGCACGTCTTCAAAGCCGACCTGCCTATCTGATAGATATCCATTGAGGGAATTCACTGGTCCAAGAAGTCTTGGGTCGACAACGCTACTCTTTCGGCTCTTTGGTCCATGCACTCTCTTGCGTCCGAAAAAGCCACTCTTACTCTTGCTGACATTACTACCACCTCCGAACGCCAAACCAGCATCAACACTTGAGTCTGATTCGTCATCAGAGGCCGATTCCCATGCGTCATCATCGTTATTATGGTCGGTTTCACGACTGGCTCTTCGACGAGAGGAACTGGTACTTTCACGAACACCACGCCCATTCTTGCCAATCCTCTCCTTTTTGATATGGTCTCTTGCAAGCTTAGCCAGTCCAGCACCTACTGCCAAAATTTCAGCATCGGTAGCTAGTCGTTTCCCGCTTGTGGGTCTCTCATTTGTGGCAGGTCGAGTATCTCTCAGATTTTCCTTGCTACTCCTATATCCAACGGTCTCCCATTGCCTGTCCCTTCCATCCCTAGCTCTCACACTCCTCTTCCTTCTGTATCTCAAAAATCCAGTTCCGAAAGCTAGATCTTCATTCAAGGAGGAACTTGATGAGCTATTGTGTTTCGTGAGCTTCTTACTTTTCTTCTTCTCCTTCTTCTTTTTTGAATCGGACTTCTCAGATGGCGTTGTGAAGAAGGACCTGAAGCTAAAACCTTTGGTAGGATAATTGGTAGGATAATTACGAGAAATATCGAGGTATGATGAAGTAGATGAACCAGATGTACTCAAATAATCTATACGTGGTGGGCCGTGCTCCATTCCTGGCGATCCGTGCATTCCTCCCTCTCGCTCGAACTTCTCCCGTTCCATCATTTGTCGCTCACGTTCTCGTGCTTGTGCCGGATCATAATATGGTGCTGCCGTGGTTGTATTATCTTTATCATATGTTCCTGTTCGTGATGGGTCCACTGACATAGTAGTTGCAGTTGTGTCATAATGAGCGGTACGTGGCGTATCGGGATGCGCGATAGAACTTTCCATAGCTGGATCGAATCGACCAGTTCGCGGCGTGTCAGCAGAAATAGTACTTTCAGCAGGATGATATCCTAATCTAGGATCGCGCCTTTCGACATAAGTTTCTCTGCCATCGTATCGTTCGTTTCGTGGTGTGCCAACATTATAAGAGCTTGCTCCACCTTGGTATCCTGCATTTGCGGGTGCTGCTGCTGGACGTCCCGCGACCGCACTCTCCCCGCCATAATATCGATCATGCCTCGGTGTACCGATTGAAAGAGAGCTCTCTCCTCCATCATATCCCATAGTCATTGGTGTATAAGGTGTATGTGGCGTATATGGTGTATAAGGTGTGTAGGGTGTCATGGGTGTATTTGGGGGCATAGAATCATATCTTTCCTTTCCACGACCTAAAAACGAGCTGTCATCGGCATCAAATCCTGGACCTGGGGGCGCGCGTCCATTGAATCCTCGTCCTCCAATACCATTTCCAGTTCCATAACCATTTCCTCCTGGCGCAATTGTTGGATCTCCCCTCACACCATATCGATCGCGTTTCTCGGCCATTATTCCGTACCCTTAGGTAGGGACTTCTTCTTCTCAACTTCAGCTCCTCGTTTCGTAATTAGTCGTGATCATATCATAATATATCACCCAATTTCGCAAATAACCTATTCAATCTGAAATGGCCCTCTGTATCTTATCCGTGTTTTATAATCGATTATTCTGCACTGTTTTGCGATTTGCAGTAGTTGATTGTTTTGTTTTTTGATGCTTTAGATAATCGAATTAAGGAACGGACCGGAACGTAGATAGTTCAAGATCTGGCTCCTTTAGATAAAATTTAAAGATTGCGTTTGTTTAGCAAGTTTAGCTAGGTAGAAAGCTAGGAAGTGGGTGTAGCCGTGGTGAAGTGTGGTAAGGTGTAGTAAAGTGTGGTGTAAAGTGTAAAGTATGGTAAAACGGGCCCAAGTGTAATTTTTAATTAAGAGGCTGGAGAAGCGCCAAAACGAAACAATCGGGGGGAAGCAAGCGGATCTCGACTTTGCTTTTAGTGATGTTTAGTAGTTCAACCGCTATTTGTGCCCGCTGCTCACTGGGTAATCCTTGAATGAACGCCACAAGTAATCTTGATCACTGAATGTTTTTTTTTCGTTCAGCTGAGTTTGTAGATTCGATACGAGATCTTTTAATTGAAGTTCGTGGTTGTCAAGTCAACGTGGAAAAGAAAAGAAGAGAAGAAAAGAAAATGATCGATTGTCGATTGTCGACTGATCAATTGTTTGATTGTTTAATTGATCGTTTGTTTTGATTGATTGATTGTTTGTTTTGTTTAATTGATTTGTTTTCATAAATCGTTGTTGTCGTCGTCGTCTTCGTCGTCTTCGTCGTCTTCGTCGTCTTCGTGTCCTCGTTCTCGTCCTCGTCCTCGTCCTCGTCCTCGTCGTCGTAACACAAAAGAGAAGTGAAAAGTCGGAAGAAAGTAGAGAAGACAGTGGTCGAAAGAAAACTCTACGATAAAGTATTCCTACGCTGTCTTTTTGATATGGAGTCTGTCTCTCGTTTCTCGTTTCTTGATATTAAGTTTGTCCTCTTTGAGTTACAGTGCTGTCGGTGGGTTCCCATTCCCATGGATCCCCTCCAAAAAAATTAGAAAATCCCCGATGATTTGCAGATATTCACGTGTGAGAGCGGTGAATATCAGAGCCTCGCCTCATGAGTCCCATCTATCTTCTTTTTCGCCTTACATGAGAAACAGCCTTGTATGATTGGATGGGAAATTGAAGATGATGACTTGCTTCTTGCCTACAAATCAAGTCGCATTTATCCGATCCAAGCTGAACATTTCTATGCACCAGATCCCATCAATCAATCAATCAATCAATCAATCTTCATCTTCCATCGCCCACCATCATCCATCACTCCCCCAATGAATGTTGGACCCCCATTATTTCTTCCCGGCGCCAGCGATGCATGACCTACCAGATGTGGCAATCACCTCTCTTGCCTCCCCACTATTTTTTGGAGCAACTCAGAGCTCCTCCTTCGTGCAGTTACGGTACCTATATTAATAGTGGATAACGTGGGTCAAGCTGACAACTCGGCGTGCCCATTGTATTATTTTTTGTCTTCAGTCTTCAAAATTCTAAATCCTGAATTACCTTCTCGCTTATCTACTTACCACCAATCAAACAAAAATCACCAATGCAATACTAGTATCCTAATATCAACTAATCCGTACAGTACAAGAGTACCCTTCAAAAATTTGTCCTATGAGAAGGCATGGAAATAGGCATGATCTACATATACGTGTCAGTTTATGCACACAATGCACAAGATATGCACTGCAACCTTGCCGAGCTCAAAATGCCAGCTCATAGGTTGATGAATATGTGAGATAATTCTAGAAGTACACATCGTTGTCGTACAGGGTCTAAGTGGAATTGGTTCGCCCTTTACCCAATTGTATATTTAGAGAGCGATACCCCCTAATGTAAATGAGTCGAGTTAAAATATTTACTCCCTGCGTCCCACTCGCCTATCGGTCGAGTGCTTGAGATTGACACTAGGAAATGTAAGTACAAGAAAGCCGTTACCGTTGGGTGATCTAAGGAAAGTTTCAAGACTTACCATTTGATAATAAACGCCTTTCTTCCTCAATAATGCCGCATGATCTCCTACCTCTAACACACTTCCTTCCCCCAGCACAAAAATCACATCTGCATTCTGCACCGTAGCCAGTCGATGGGCTACCACGACCATTGTTCTACCAGTTGCCGCTCTTTCAAATGCTGCTTGTACCAGTTTCTCGCTCTCGGAATCTAGACTTGATGTAGCTTCATCAAGAAGGAGAATCTTGGGGTCGCGGATGAGCGCACGAGCTATCGATATTCGTTGTTTTTGCCCTCCTGACAGAGCGATTCCCTTGGTGCCGACGTTGGTACTGTAGCCATCAGGGAGAGACATGATAAAGTCGTGAATCTCAGCATCACGACAGACTCGGTGAAGGGTTTCTTCCGGGGTCGACTCGTCAATACCCAAATAGATATTTTCTTTGATTGTACCTTCAAACAAGGTCGGCTCCTGCGCTACGAGCGAGATCATCTTCCGGTATTCATGGATATTAATCTCACAAATATCCGTGTCGTTGCAGAATATCTTGCCTTTCTGGATATCATAAAATCTTTCAAGCAGACCGACTATTATTTCTTTTTAGTACGTTGTCTCTATAAATTGACAAATGCAAAATTACCGATCGATGTTTTTCCACAGCCTGAAGGTCCGACCAAAGCAGCAAATTGGCCTTTCTTAATCTATGTTAATGGTTAGAATCGTTGTCAAAAGACACAAAACATCGACTTACCGTGATATTTAAACCAGTGAATATTGGAACGTCTCGAGTAGGGTACTTGAACCAAACATCTTTCAGTTGTATCTTGACTCCGCCCTCTGCATTCTGGATTTTTGATGCCGATTTGCCAGCTATGTCTGCCGGTACTCTGAAGCTCAATATTCTGTTTGCTGCTGCTGTTGCTTGTGCCATATCTATTGCAATATCAGTAACGGAGAGAAAGGGGTGGTCATATCAGAACACTAACTAGGACCAAAACTCAAAAGACTTCCAGCGCTCTCAGCACCGTTTATTAGAGCCATATAGACCACAAAAAAATTGATAGGTCCATATTCTCTTGAAGCAAGGAGGGTACCGCCATACCACTGAGAGATAATTCATGTTAGTTTATGTTAAAATTCAATGAACCAGGGATTTCCAGCATTTGAACTGGCGCCTGGACACCCTGGGCTAAAAAGAGAAACTTACAAATGCTAAAGCCATACAGCCTAATCCCAAACTTTCACTGGCGGCAAAGATAATCGACGAATATCTGCTTTTCTTAGCATGGCCGTTCACATGCCATTTTAACAGTTCATCGTAACGGCGACAAATCATATCCTCTAACGTCAAGGAGGTAACGGTTCTAAAGGCAGAAATTGCTTCAGCCGCGAATTTAGAACTCTCTGCGAAGACGGCTTGGTTCATCTTTTCAAACCGAATCTCATAACGGATGCGGTAAAAGCTGCTACATATCATTATAGGGAGAGCAACAAATGCCACCACGCAAGTTAGCTTCCAGCCGAAGACGAAGGCGATAATGATGCAGCCAGCGATGTTACAAAGTGCTGTGAGAACCATGGCCATATTGATTCCAAGCAGTTGTTGTAACTGTGTCGGATCATTGGCAACACGACCTGTAAGCTCACCACTAGAGTTTTCCTCTGCGTCAAAAAAAGCAATTGGCTTCTGCAAAATGCTCTCAAAATACTCTTGACGGTATATGGAAGTGATGTGACCGGATATGATAGTCGAGGAATAGCCCATGACAAACCAGGCCACCCCAGCCCCTAAACCAAGAATGAAGAACATCAATGAGGAGTGCTCTGTAGCAGCCTTGAGTTTGGATCCAGTTAACGAAAACACTGAAATAATTTGTGCGAAAAGATAGGCTTGAAGTGGATACGCGGCGCCAGCAGCTACAGCGCCTGCCAAGAGCATTAGGTACCAGTGCCACCGGGAGCGTTGCTCATAGAGGAAAAGTCCCAGGCTAGTGGAGAGACCCTTGGCTTTGTATGGCACTGCTTTATTTTCTTCCTTCTCCTTCTCCGCTACACTCATTTCGCGTATCAAGGGATCCATTGTTTCCACCAGGTTAGACTCATCTTGGTAAACTTCCCCCAGAGACAATTGCTGGGCATTGACGAGAGCACTGTATACGCCGTCTGTATTAGAAAGTAATTCCTCATGAGTTCCTTCCTCGACGAGTTTTCCCTTCTTCAAAACCACAATCTTATCGGCCTTTTTGATCGTTGAAAGTCTGTGAGCTATCGTGATCGTTGTTCTACCCTCGCTAACTTTATCTAAGGCTGCCTGAACGATCTGCTCTCCTCTTACGTCAATTGCGCTAGTGGCTTCATCTAAAATCAAAATCTTCGGTCGTTTTATGATACTCCTAGCGATGGCTAGCCTTTGTCTCTGTCCGCCGCTCAACTTAATACCGGCATCACCAACTTGAGTATCATATCCCATTGGCAATTTAGTAATGTACTCATCAGCAAAAGCTTCTTTACAGGCCTCTATGACAAGCTTCCTCTTCATGTCCGCATCTTCATGTTCCCATTGTGAACCAATCAAGCCAAATTCAACATTCTTGGCTATCGTATCGTTGAATATGAATGGCTCTTGCTGGACAAGACCAATCTGTGTTCTCCACCATTTGAGGTCGAGGGATCTCAACTCATGGTTTCCACATAATATAATACCGGAGAGAGCCACTGGATCCTGCTTCTCGTCGTATTCTTCAAGTGTTTTTGACTCGTCTTCTTTTTATCTTTTTCTTGTCTTTCATAGCGCTTGGTGGAATTACTATCCCTTGCTGCTCTAGATTATACCATCTTTCCAAGAGGCCTAGTGCTGGGGTCAGTGATGGCTCTTGTAAGATTTACATATATAAGGTATATGTTTCTAAAAGACGTATGTGAGACATGTTTGTTGTAAGATACAACATGTTCACTTGAGACATGTTTTTTAAGAAATGAAAAATTAAAAACTGGATCTAAAAATCAGAACGATAAACTAACCCACGATTGTACTCTTGCCTGATCCAGACGCTCCCACGATAGCTGTAATCTTACCAGATTCAAACCTCATCGACAAGTTATCGAGAACCTTAACATGAGGTCTGCTCGGATAGGCGAAAGTGACGGATTCTAGGGCAATATCTTCACGGGGCGATACCTCGGGCTCTTTCAGACCACTTGTATCAGGTCTAGGTGTGTCGATTACTGCAAAAAAGTCCGTAGCTGCGCTCGCTGCGCTACCAGCAGCAATGATGGGCGCAGCTGTTTGACTCACTGCCATCGCGATCATCACCACAGACATCAGTACAATCAAAATAGTTCCGACGTTCTCTATATGCCCCTCTGAGAAGAGCCTAAATCCAAACCAAAAGCACAATGCCATAGTACTAGGGGGGGGAAGTCAGTTGAACGTTGGGGCATATGGATGGAAGAAATTAGTGCAAAATCTACACTTATCATAGCCAAAAGAGACAGGAGAGATATTGACTTACGCATAGATAGCAAACATGACTGGAGTATTATTAGCAGATGAATGATGGCAATTTTTCATTGGAAACACATACGTGGTGCGAATTGAACACCAATCCAAGGACTCTTTTTCAGTGTTCGTCTACGAGATTCTTCAACCCATCCTGCATACTTCTTCGCAATCCGACTCTCGGCACCACACGCTACAATCATCCGTATTGACCCAAGAACTTCACCTGCTATTCCAGAGGCCTTCTCGTCGGCATGCTCGATATCTTTTGTCATTTTGATGACAACTGGAATAACGCTTCCTATCATCAGCGTATCAGTGGTGCGGAGGAAAGAAAAATGGCAAGGATACAGAAGGCATATATTTAGCGAAGAGAAGACACTAACCATAGACCAACGAAATAAATATAAGAACTGAGCTGGTCACCAAAGTTAACGCCCAGCTGTAGGTGAATGCGATGATAACTGCTGTGATCAGCAGTGCAAAATACTGTAAAATGGTTCCCAGTTTCTCGGAAATGCCAACTTGCAATATATTTGCAGTGGTCGTGATTGTATTTGAGGCTTGCCCACTAGGTAGAGTGTCAAGGACGCCAACGGGTAAGCTGAACAAAGCCTTCAAGTAATTGAGTCGTAATTTTGCCGAGATTCGAAGGCCAACCAGACGAAATGTGAACATCGAGATGTAACTTAGAGCCCATCTTGCGATGAACAGATAAGTAACGAATAGTCTTCAAACAGTTAGTTAAATTGTACATTTACTTGATGCCCCTAGTTCCAATCTTCACAGATCCTAGCTATCCTGTACTTTTAATAATTAAGACAGCAATCTGAGAAAGAAAGGCTCTTTGGTTCTTGAACCCCTAATACAAACTGGATCTATTTTATAAATTGGAAGCATCTGATGTATTGGATCCGTTTGATACATCAAGTTCAGCGAACATTGAAACTTTTCATATTGAATATAGACTTCAGTGTGGACTATTGGAACTCTAGGCACTTGCACCTTCCAAGAACTTTATGCTACCGGGATGGTAGCAAATGAATCATGAAGTTGTTTGAGGCGTGATTGTAATAGACAAGAAGAAAAATGGTTACGAACGTAAGTCTATTGATAGTGCTGGTGAATTCAGCCTTGGTGGTAGTTGTGCCAGGTAGAAAATAATCTGAAAAGTTTCCCACAAGTTTCCCTATCATGGTCATTAATGTATAGCTCTCAGAATAAGAAAAATGGACAATATTTACCAAAGACTATGTTCATAAGTGGTAAAGTCTATCAAAGCATCAGCCGAGCAACCTCCAATATGGGTAGTAAACAAACATACGACTCCAGTTCCAATCTGTGCGATACACGCAATCACCAGGACAAACTTATCACCCGAAGTCGAGTATGAAAAAATTCTCTATCAGAGTTATTAGTTTTGTGTAACCATGGTAAGCAATATGATGACTTCTTACTATAAAATCTTTAAACGACGTCTTGTTTTGTGCTTTGCTTGAATATTGATCATCAAACTTAACCTCATTACCATTGCTTTCTGTCGCCGCATCTCCATCACTCCGCGTCGCCAGTGACCTATCTGTACTAAGTTTCTGTTCATCCATGTTGTCACTATGTCATATTTAAGCTGACATGAAGAAAGAGATCTGTCGCAATTTCTTAAGGTGACTGTAGGCAAGAATCAAATAACAAAGAAAGAATGTAGAATTGAAATGAATATTATGAATATATGCGCATAGATAGTATTTGAGGAAAACACTGATGGCTTGGAATGAGTCCAAGTAAGATGATTGATCTATCACGCGATGTGTTCTCAAGTTCCTAATAAATGTTGTTGTCGTCGATGCCTAGGTGCAGCTCCTTCCATCAATGTTTCTGCAGAGGTATGATTCCGATATATACGGGTGCGCGACCGGATCTGGGAATGAAAAGTCGGGATGTGGAATCAAAGAATAAATGTAAAAGTTCACTATGAAATCCCAAAAAAGAAAAAGAAAAAGAAAAGGAAAAGGAAAGAGTTACTTGGGTTTTATTGCAGTAACCCTTTTGGTTTTATTTGCTATGTTAACCTCACTCACCAGCTCACTCTCGCTGAGTCTGGCCAAGTAGATTTGCAGGAATACGAATCTATACGAGAGTTCAATTCTTCCAATCAAAACGCACAGTATTCTTAGTCATTGCCGTAGCACACACTTGACTCTCCACTTTTCTCTCATCAAGGTTTGACGTTAGACCAACCACATAAGAGTTTCGTATAGCTACCCTGCTCTAGTGTAGATTTCTCGGATAGATGCATGACATTGGGATGAATGATCCCTTTACGTACTAGTTAGCTACTTTGATCTTCATCAAATATAGGAGAATCTTGAGATATTTATTAATGAGAGTTTCTTACACTTCTTGAAGCACTGATATCTTGAAATCCTGTAACTGTTGTCAGTCAAGTAAGTAATTTATATAAACGATTGATTATCTAGTATTGGTAATACTTATATATGAAGATTGTCTAGTCAAAGTGATTTATAGTCTAGTGTATAGAATCTACAAAAAGCAAGGGCATACACTATATAAGTATTGGGCATTACTGAGATCTTCTAAAATAGAGGTTAAACACGTCTACTTGGTTATCGAGGAACGATTAAACACTGAACAGTAACTTTACAGATAAATTACTTTCTAGTATATGAACCAGTGATGAATCATGATACGCATTGGAGTGCGTAATATTGAATTACATACCAGATATGATATAGCTTGAGAAGTAAATGTTTTGGGGGTTGGATTGTGAGGATTGTGAGGCAGATAGTTTTTTCTGGGCAACTAATGAACAAAAATTAAGTATGGAGAATTAGTCTATTTAATACTAAGTTATACCATCCAAAAGTAGAAATGAAGGTGTGCGAGCAAACGTAAACGAAAACATGATATCTATAATACTCTAGACTCTATCATTTGGTAACTGCATCTAGTACAGGAGGGAGGAACATCCATAAGACTATCTTACATCCAGAAAATGTGCCAAACCAAACAAGAAAGATCCAGTGAAATTAATCTCTGAAATTTTTACCTAGTGATAGATGGCATGCAAAAAAAGCCTATGTTGGCTACCTAATTTGAAGACATAAACCCCCAACTTTGTATACTTGAAGTCAGATATTACCAGTGAGACAACTGAGACGGTACAAATCGATGGCAAGATAGCAGTCATCACTATTGACCAGAATATACGGTAGTTGATCCACTAGTAGCAATATTAATCCTCAATCTATCTGGTGAAGGCTTTGTATCTAGTTCCCAGAAACAAGTACTTAGCAAAATTAATCCCGATCCCTCACATCTCCACACCTCAAACACACACCCAATCACAAAACCCAACAATACCCGATTTCTTTTTTTTCCTTTCCTTTTCATTCAATTCCCACGCAACCCTCTGTACCTATCAAAAACCTCCCACAACCAGCCCAAAATCATTCCTCCCCAACCAACCCAAACCCCTAAACCCAAACCCCATACCGTCTCTCCAACTGCTCGGGAGCTCTAACCCCTCTACTCCTATCACCCGGCCACCTCGAACCACCCATCTGCCTCATCAACGCATCTTTATGCCGTTGCGGAGGATAGGGCCAGCCGCAGAACCAGGCGATGAGAATAAATATGGGGATTACGATGCAGAGTGCTACTATGATGAGGGTGAGGGTGAGGGAGTTCATTTTGTTTTTGGTTTGGTTTGGGAAAAGGGGAAGAAAACGGTGGCTGGTATTGTGGATCTGGTCTTGTGAGACGGGTGTTTAGGGTGATGTTTGTTGTGAGAGGTTTGGTTTAAAACGGATAGAAAAAAAGCCGAGTTAGGAGTTGTCATCGTTTTATACAAGGAGATGAGAAGGATATTGTTTGGTATATGGTGGTGAACAATTCCTTTACTGAAGCTTCAATCGATTGATTTCTTTCTAGCGTCAAAGAAGCTATTGGGCCCATACAAACTTTCTTCGCTAACCCTGTCACCTTCTTCCTCTTGCTCACATGTTCATTTGTTCATTCTCCTTCACTACTAAAAGAAGAATCGCAAAAAAATGTAGGTTTTCAAATAAGCGACTGGGCTCAGCTATCACCCGAACGGCTTCGAAGAGGATCACAGTAAAAAAAAAGACTCAACGTTACACATTCATCAAGCCTAATCCATACTAATCAATAAAACAACCATTTTATTCACCTAAAAACAAAAATCTCAATCTCTTGCCCCTCCTCACCCACCATTTTCAAAGGCACCTTGCACCTCTCCACAACCACAAATTCCTCCTTCTCCATGAGCTCAAAAAAGACCATCTCACTATCATGTCTCACCTTCATCGCCAACAAAATCAACATCCCGCTGTTTCCATCCCTTACTCTCGTCAATGTCTGCACTAAGTCCGGTACTACATCAGGATTATATGTACAATCCGCTACCACCACCAACTCCCACGTCTCGCCTCGTACATCCTCTGGAAGCGGCATTGACCAATCAAGAACTTGATGAGAACAGGAACAGCGGAGCGAGGAATCTGACTTTGGAGTCATTGTAGAAATGTTCTTCTCCAGTATCTCCGAGGCTTCAGGGAGATCAGTGAGCAAGATCTTACTAATTCTATCATAAAAGAGCTTCGCGAGTGTAATACCCACGATTCCACATCCTGCTCCCAATTCAAGGATATTGATATCCTGTTGCGTGCTCAGAAACTTTTCTAAAGTAGGAAGAGAGCCTACAGGTTTAGAAGAATTGCGAAGAGATGATAGATATGATGAGAGCACTAAACCCGCATCCCCTACGTCAAAAAAGCATTAGTTTCTAGAAGAAAATAACCCACGTACCTGAAGCTGAGAAAACCTACAAATATGTCTCGCGATACTTTCCCCCGTTTCTTCCCATATACGAATTTCCTCCTCCATCCCAAACCCAGTACTGAAAACTCGTTCAGCCATACCATCTGACATAGTTGCCCCAGTTTTCAAGTCAATCGCCCTACTTCTCACCTTCGCAATCCCACCTACAGTCCTATCACTAAAATGCAGGACATCCTCAAAAGAATCCACTTCATATATGACCCCCACAGGCCGTACAATCATCGCCGTCCACCTAACTCCTTCACGCGGTACTCGCACAGGTATCTGAACCTCCAAACTCCTCATCCCATTTGTCCCCTTCCATATATATTCTTTCCCAGTCCCAACACTAACCCCATCAACCTCTATATCCGCACGTAATTTAACATCGGACATTAAGAACGATTCCCCCAAATCTGTTGTAATAGTAATCTTCGCAGATAATACTCGAGGAGAAGAGGAGGAAGTGGAGGATGAAACGGGCAGCAAGCGAGGCTGCTTGAATATCCGTATGTAATGCATGGTATAATGTCGCGACCTATATCTGCTCGAAGGAACGGTCGATCCACAAAACGTGAATATAACAGCCTTGTAGGAATCCAAACAAGGCTATTTAATCCCTCAGCCTCCAGGGCTGAATTCCTCGTTCTAACGCTCGAAAGCTTTCGTAATCGTTATCACACTCCTGTTCCTACGGCGCGGTATATAGGTATGTATGTCTCAGCCCAGTACGGTAATTGCTCAATCCCGAAACTCCCGTTTGTCAACCACATATACCAAGGTATTTCCCAGAAGTTTTCTTAGTCGCCGTTTAACCCTTCTTGCATATACATATACCGTAGTACGTATGCACTCCCTCCTGCACTCGTAGTCGGAGTAACCTTAACAAATAGTCCAATACACGTCCTCAATTCCATCCATTCACCAAATATCTTTTACTTTTTAGGCTCTTTCACACAAAATCACGCACCCTCCCTTGCTTTCCTCTTCCGTCAAACGTTTCACGTCCCGCAACTAACCTTTCCGTTCCGTTGCTCTGGTGCCTTACGTAGGTCGTGTCGTGCTGGATGGTGGAATGCTTAAAGAGGGTAGGCATTACTAGTAATGTAGAATAATATTTCATTACATGCACTAGAACTAGAAACATGGCAAATCTTCCCCCTCGTTTCAATTTCTTCCTATCCGCTTATCGATGCGCCTACCCTACACTAGCCGAACACAGACCAAGCTAGGTCCCGCCTAAATATCCTTAAATCCAAACGTTCAACAACCTTTACATCCTTGTCATTTATTATCAGAACTTCTAATATTGAATCCTTTTTCATTAAGCTAATATAATCCACCTTAATAGGGCTGGCTCTATCCATTTCCTTTCTTTATTATAACGCACATTAATCATTATCTACTACGCCTTGCCGCAGGTCAGATTCTGCAACCCTTCCGTTGCTTACCTCTGTCTAAAGCACAGCTTGTGGCTGTTGATTAGATTTAACATATGATGAACTATAAATACTTCGTTACGTTATTGAGCATGCGGTGTTGAGGAGAGGCACAACTTTTCCAAAGAGGTGTGTGGATGATCCAAACTGATAATGGTATCGAATGTTGTGCAACCATAAGCACATAGATATGTTTTTGGATTTATTCAATTAATTTACCATCATCCGTCTTTTCCTTACCACCCCATCCCTTTCAAGCCATACATCATCATGATGATGCTAGGGTTCCAATTGACGGAAGCCTAAATATACATGTGATATTGATAGGATTGGCGCAAGAAAGATCCAAGTTTCTATTACTCCTCAAAATACTCTAGTGATGGATTAGATTATCGAAAGACTGTTTCCTGGCTCATCACAAACAGTGCTGAATAACTAACAAAAACATCCTAGAAGATCCAATTATCATTATCTAACCGCGACAGCTGGAACATAACTAACGGCTTCAAGCCCATCAGTACTAGTACTATGTTCAGCTCTTATCTACAAAGATACATCCCGCACCAAACGCCTCTTCTCCTCGGGCAATGATATTCCAATCCATGTTCCCCCCTCCAGTTCTAAGCGCTGCATCAACATCACATTCTTAGATATTTTAACATCTACCACAAAGAACAAAAGTATAAACATGAACACAGATAACCTTAACACAAAGCATCGATGAGGCTCGTGCTCCGCGATAGTGTTAGTGATAATCAGCCCGCGCAAGGAAGGCCCGAAATGAATGGTTCACAACATTTACTCATGCATACCTACCTATATCATTGCACCCGCAATCCCCAATGCAGACGGCGAGTCAGGGGAAGGGGCACCCATCATTTCTTTTGGGAAGAACACAACATTTCGAAGAAACAATCTAAAAAGGGGAAAGAAAAGTCTCAATTAACCTATCATTTCCCCCAAGATTAAAACCATCTGAAAGAGTAAAATCTTATGTGATGTTGGTGATACTATACTGTCACCAGTATAGATAGATGGTAAGTTACGCTTACCAAGTGGGGTCCTCATCAGCAATTCCAACAATATAACCAACTCCCGCTGACTGTAAGAGGAAGAGGGGTAGCAAACCCATTTATTTCTTTTTAGGTTTCCTTTCCCAAGATATGTATGTGCAATGATGAGCAACATACATGGTAAGATGCACCTTACCACACCACAGCACACTCAACCCTCTCCCGAGAAGGTGGTCACAAATGGTTAGTCTTGCAGGTATGGTATGTAGAACTAATGGAACTAATAGACACTACTGATTATAGGTAAAAAAAAAGGTCTCTATGATAAATATTTCGTAGGACAGCGCTAATACAATATAATGATTTGTTCTCTGAGTATTTCAACCCGGCCCATCCTAGCCCTTTATATATTTTCCCTCTGAGTTATATTTATTTAATATCTATTTAGTATATATATCTTTATTATATTATTTATAATACTTATAAATAATATAAAATATAAAATATAAAATATAAAATATAAAATATAAAATATAAAATATAAAATATAAAATATAAAATATAAAATATAAAATATAAAATATAAAATATAAAATATAAAATATAAAATATAAAATATAAAATATAAAATATAAAATATAAAATAAATTGAAAATATACATTATATCTCCATCCACTCATCCACTCATCCACTCATCTATCCCCCCATCTATCAATCTATCAATCTATCAATCTATCAATCTATCAATCTATCAATCTACCTACAAGAAAACTCCCGCCAAAGATATAACAAATACAAAAAGATCATCACAACTTCTACGTAGTAAAACCAAGAAGCAAGTAAGGAATCATCACTCTACCACCCCAACATCTAACATCTATCTACCCGAAACATCACATCACATCACATTTATATCACCATACTACAATACTACACCATATAATCAAGTACAATACCATACTGGTATACACCCAGAAACTAATCATACAATCACAAAAACACTCATTAAATTCAAATTCAAGATGCCACCTCAAAAAATAAAGAAGAGAAAATTCTTTCCTGGAATTGTAAGTGAAACTATTCGAAGCAGCCAATGAATGACAAAAGCTAAAAACACCAACAAGTGTGTATGAAGGGTATATCCAGATGATTCAATCTTCTCGAGATCATCCCCGTGCCATGTCATGGGCAAACGCCAAAGCCAGCGAGCAAACCATGCCTTCCCCCATTGAACGACTAAAAACTACTATTACAAATGTGAATTGAAACCCTTCCCTATTCCATCCCTTTCCCGTAAATGCGTAAAAATCCCGCCGCATCTCTTGAACAACCATAAAAATTCTTGAGAAGTGAAAAACGAACAAGACCATCCATCCATCCAGCTGGCTAGCAATCCTTTAATTAACAATCTCCAATGCTGATGGAAAATGCACAAACTTTTTCCCAATCCGCCGTAATAAACATGCCATGTCCACCATGCAAATGTAATCTTTTTTTCTTTTTAAAAAAAAACCTGCCCAATGCCTGACTGAACCGGAAAGTTTTGGCTTGCGCCTCCCTTTGTAAAAACCATCCTTTTTTTATCTTACAATGACCGCCCCCTTATAGCAAATGAGAACACATTTATATTGGTCTCATGGGTATCGTATGGTTCGTAAGAAATCGAGATGATGGAAGAATTAAACAAATTCCCTCACTCTAATCCGTTGTGTATAGATCCATAATATTATTATTTTTGGTGTGTTGATGTTGTCTTTAAGCATGTTGACCTGGCTTGCGGAGAATTTCTTCACAGTTGGCATCAAATCGCATATTCCATAATCTAACTGATGCCATGAACTTCTCGGTTTGTTCAAGTTGTCTATCGCGTCCAAAGATTGAATCGACGAATTCAGTACCGGCATTCTTGCCGAGTTGTGTTGTTGTGGACTTGGCTCCGCTTCGACCAGCCTTCAACATGGGTGCTTCGCATGCCTTGAGCAACTTCTTCAATTTATCCGTCAAGCGTTCTCCAGATTCAATGAAATCTTCAACCATCTCGCGGTTGTCTTGCTGTCGGATGCGTGGCATGCATTCCTCCGCGCGCTTGACTTTGCCGGCTAGTTGAATGAGTAAGAGCCATAGCTCACCGGCCATGTCAGATAGTGGGGTGGCGGGACCATGATGATAGACAGTCCAATCGTAAATCCATTTACCAAGACTGTTCGCATCGAAAACACTACCGAGAAGCATGATAGGTTCTTCGGTAGGGTCCCAATTCTTCAAAGAGTATCCGGCCGGAATGTGATGCCGGCGCGCATCATCTTCGGTTGCTTTTTCTGGGGGCGGTTGAGGTTTACTCCTTGAGGGTGTGGCTGTGGGTCGGGTCGCACCTGGTCGAGTGGTCGCTGGTCGTTGGGGTGTAGATGCAGCTGAAGCTTGTCGACGATGTCTATACGGCGATGACTCAGGGTCTTCAGCATACTTGGGGCTCTGGTTGTAATATTTATCAGTACCATGACTACCATATTTGTAAGTTGTGTGCGCCGCCGGTCGACGAGGCACTCTGCACAAATATATTGTCCCGTCCACTTCCTCTAGATATTCATAATATTCGTCGTCCTCGGCAGCCCCATGAGGGGTTCGATGGGAGTAAGAATACGGACGCTTCGCCTCATGACACGGCGACGGTGATGACCAAGAACTTTTGTTTCGACTCACATTTGGACCAGCACCAGTGGCGTAATATCCGTTTGAAGTAAATCTAGGGGAGAACGGCTTCGCCTCAGTAGCAGATGGTCTGTATGTAGAGGTATCTGCATAACTTGCGTGGCGAGAGTGGGTTCGGAATGGGTTTCGTGAAGAATATCCTGGGGATGCAGATGGTGAACCAGCAGGCGATGGAGTAGTGCTGGTCGAGAAGCCGTAGTAAGCGGCGCCGGGATGGCCGGGTGTAGCGTATGAGTAGGACATATTATCCTATTAGATATGTTGTAATGGATCCTGAGAAGATACGAAAGGATCCTCAAAGGAAAAATGGTTGAGAAGGAGAACGGAGGAAGAACGAAAAAGGTCTAGATGTTCGCGCCAATGGATCGAAGACGCGACAGAATGTGACAAGCCCGTCACCGTGGTATGTAGTCGGTACGAGAAGAAGGAGGAGAGACCTTTATCGTTGATCCACACATGTCAATAATTGCTTGATGATTCCTTCAACGAGGATATCGACGAAGATAATTCGGAGTCGAAATAATTATCTCGACTTCGAATATTCTGGAATAAACTAGGGGAAATAGAAACCCAAGCGATTTCTATTTGAGATATTGGTAATCGTGTATATGTAGTGGTGTATTTCTCTTCGTTTCATGGGGATCGGGGCAAAATATCTTTTTTCCAGATTTGTTCGAATAGAAATTCGATCGAGGAGAAAATTGCGAGAGGTTGGGGGAGTTTGTGTATTTTAATATTGGGAAATTGAGGTGTGTGCGGGTAATTTTTTGTTGATCAAGGTGGGAGGGAGTGTGCGTGTATGTGTGTGTGCGTGCGTGCGTGCGTGCGTTATAAGACTGTGGTGGGAGTAGTGTGTAGTAGTGTGTAGTAGTGTGTAGTAGTGTAGTTCTTGGAAGGGAAAGAAGCCAGGGATAGAGAAAATTGATGATTTTTTCTCTTTCCTTTTTTCCCTTTTGCCCTCGTTTTGCCCTCGTTTTGCCCTCCTTTTGCCCTCTTTTTTCCTTTCGGGTAGAGTTCCCACCCAACGCAGTTCAGTTGGGTTTGTGTGTTGGCTGCAGCAAGTGCAGTGCAGTGCAAGCGTGCAGTGGATTGCAGGACAAGGTTGGCAAGGTTCTTTTAAATTCAAATGATGACTCTGTGCTCACTGCTCAGTGCTCATTCATCAGCCACAGGGATGAACAAGAATTATCCCGGAAAGTAAAATAAAAATAAATCACTAGTTTGATGAATGGATGAATTGATTAATTCATTAATTAATTCGTCTATGGCATTTCATCCTAGACTTGAATTAGTATCAACGATATCTTGTTTTCCCATCTGGATCTTGGAACGCGATCATGGTATGTTACGCTCGTATTAAAATAGGAGGCGATAAAAGACGAGAAAAAGCAAAGAAAAGAAAAGAATAGAATAGAATAAAATAAAATAAAATAAAACAAAAAGGCGGTGCTGCGTATTTATTCCCCAGAATGAGTGGAGGAAAAAGTTAAAGATAAAAGTTGCGAATAATACTAATACATACAGCAGCGCAGTACAAGAAGGACGAGTAATATGCTGACATGGAGATTGGTAGCACAAAGTGGGATGGATGTATATTGATAAGTAGATGGATTGATTGGTAAGGGGTGCTGAGTACAGCAGAGTGTTACAGATAGCTGAGGGCGGTGGGCGGATGGAACAAAACGAAGAAGAGGAGAAGACAAGAAACGATGTGGATGGTGAAGAAGAAAGGAAGGAAGAGTGACAGTTACCATCACGCACCTAGGATATTTGATAAAAGAGACAATTCAAAACGCCTTCCCGCAAACGTTTCCGAATCTTCTTGTTATGTCATGTATATTATGTTGCGTTGCGTTGCGTTGCGTTGCGTTGTAATATTGTATTTTGTTGGTATCGTGTTGTGTACTTGCGCTTCAACCTTTCCAGTCTCCTCACTATGACAAACACTCTCCTTGGCACTTTCGGAGATATAGATCTTGGACGAATGAGATAAGTTTGGTTACAATTTCCTTCAAGTTCGATGGGAATGTGCAAATTGCTGCTGGTGGGATTATCTGGAACAATGCTCGGTCGTAATCGGTAATCGTGTGTCGGGCGGGCGTGGTATCACTGGTATGTATGTATCACCGGTATGATGAAATGAACATGGCAGAATCCCTGGGGCGGAAAGTTCACCGAGATTCTCTTCTTCCCCCTGGATTGATGCTTTCATAAACTTTGCTTCAAGGGACCTAGCTGGGGCGGGATGGAAGTGGCACTGTGGAAGCCTTCAGCCTTTGCCCGCCATCGACTTACCTTGGAAAAGTTAAGTCTCCTCTAGCGAAATTGAAGAGAGACAGTTGGGATTTCCATGCGAGAAGTGGACAAAATGTAAACCCTTCTAAAAAGACGCCGGCTTGAAAATACTCCACGGCGCACGCACAGATCTTCGTAGCTTTGGCTTGTTTTTTCGATCAAGGTAGTCAGCCAGTCTAGTCTTACCTCTTCTTATTAGGTACTTCATTACCCAAGAACGAACTGGGAAGATATTCAACGGTTCAACGGGGAAGAAGTCATCGAGTTGCCGAGGCTCCTCGCGATGCCGTAAAGTGAATAGCGGAGAAAATCGAAGATCGGGAATTGTGGATGGACAGTAACGAACTTTCAAGGATGTGGGAAATTGGGAAGAGATTGGATATTTAGAAACCTTGAAGATGACGATTTGTTGGGAAAACGAGTTGGATGGGAATTGGATTGGGTAGAATTGAACTGAATTGAATTTCTAGGATTTATTAATGATTAATCAAAGAGACTTTCGAATGATTTTGTTCATCGTAATACATATGATGTGACATGTGTGATGTATAATGTTTAATGTATAATGTTTGATTTTGATGTGCCAAATTGGTTCTTTCAAGGTGTTTTCCTCAAGGGTTCTTAAGTAATAAGGAGAGATAGAAGGATGGATGTTAGGGTAGATCGGACTCGGAATACAGGCCATGCATTGTTTGTTCTCTTCAAGCTACCTACCGACCTATCTATCACCTTAGTTATCTCGTTGAACCTCTCCATCCGTTTTTATCCCTTCGTTCCTTTTTCAGCGTGGCGATTATAGTTGGACAAATTGCAATCGTGATATCGAGTTTTCCATTACGAAAGATGTCAATATTGTCCAGGTATATCTATTGACCGAAGGATTGATTACTCAAGGAAGAGAGACAACGGTGGTCGAGTCCAGGTCATCAGTTGATAAGAGGTGAGGGGCTGGAATCGCTTCGTTGGTGGATGTTGCAGAGCTTTGGAGTATGGAGCATTGAGCATTGAGCCATGGAGCATGAAGCATGGAGCATGGAGCATGAAGCATGAAGCATGAAGCATTGAGCACAACCTTGTCTCTGGCTACACTTGGGAACCCTTTGGACGTACGCAAAGTGAATCAATACCGTGCAATCAATTCCAACAAAGGTCATGTAAAGTTACACGGATATTTCCATTCTCCGGAGAGCCGGGTGTGATGATAGGGTCCGATGGTAGGTATTGACTGGCTATGGATGTAGTCTCACATACAGGAGGGGAAGGGCTCCTGAATACAAGACGAGGATGTATGAAAAGCTGTTAACGTACTGCTAAACTGCATTTCTATGCATGTAGGTTCCGTATACAAAGAGGGGCCATTTCGTGATATGTTGGGCAGGAAGCTTGAGCGGGATTTGAGGTTATCGATGTTTTGAATGTTCAGAACGGTTGGGTTACAGCGGTTCAGCAGTTCAGCAGTTCAGCAGTTCAACAGCTACAGCAGTAGGAGAGATTCATTTGGAACTGATAGGAGTAACAAATTTCACTTGAAGGTGTGTAATACAATATAATATGTACCCCATCCCCATCCCATTCCTCATCTCAGTGTGCCCCTATCTACAGAGGATTGCCTACCCACTGCACACATTTTCCTAAAGGTCGAAAATCAATTTCTCTCGTGACTCCAAGTCCCGCCGCCCTCTTCTTTGGATCATTTCTCAAGTTCCCAATATAGATCTCCGGAGTATCCTAGAGCATCACACGGAACGACATATTCACCACCCTCCTCCCCTTCTGGCAGGGAAGTCATCAATTTAGGTCTAGAATATAAACCCCAGGCGTTCTTCGCCGTTTTCTACATGCTCATTGCTCCATCGATACACCTTGTCTCTTCATCTCCATGTTGTCATGGATTTGGAGGATTAGTATGAGTTAGACAGGGTTTCAACGGGCGGGACCCGTCTATGAAATTAATTATACCCTGTGGTTGAAGAGCATAAACCCTGGAGATAAAGAGTGAGCACTGAGCAGAGAGCCAAAAACCGCCCAAAAACCGCCCAAAAACCGCCCAACGAGCCAAAGCCAATTGATTTTATCATTCCGCCCATCAATTCCTTCCAATCAAATTTCACAGGTTGCATTCCACAAACCTCGTCCAATTCTTTATAACTCGGCCTTTCTCCCACCCTTCACTCCAATCCATGAGTGCGGAGGATATCATACGCATACGAACATTTCTTTGGATGTCACGGATTCACTGAAGGATACTACCATGTCATTTCAATTAAATCACACGCTGCTCACAATTTAAAAGTATTAATTTTCGTTTTCGTATGACGGCAGAGGGGAAATGTCTCCAATTTCGATACGATTTATTGGAGGTACAAAAAGCCTAAATAGCAGGAAAGGGTTTGGATTTGATATCATTTCACAACATTAAAAAAAAGAGATGATCACGACTGATGCGAAGGGGAAATTGGTGCAGAGGTACTCGAGTAAATGGATGGAAGGAAATGGATAGTTGAATTGAACTAGAACCAACCGGTTCATAGGAAAGGAAGATCGTATCCGTCAAGTACCTAGTTAGTAGTAATGCATATCAAAGATGCTTCTTTCATGCATTCTATCTGCAGACTCCACGGGACCTTTTTAAACATCAAGTGAGACATGAGACTTGGGCGGAGAAACCAATCAATTCAAATTTCCACGGCGGCGGATTCTCTTGGGAATGTACAGAGTCATCTCCTCGCGTTTTCATAATTTTCACAGGCATGAATCAAGATTAGAAGATTGGACTCGACCTAAGCTCAACCCTAATGAAGAGAGCGGGTGCAAAGTGTCACAACATCGTCTATTGAGTAACAAACATACATTATTATGTTGATCATGTCGATGATGTCGATTGTGTCGAGTAGGTAGGTACTTTAACTGTCCGAATCTTCATCAATTTCAATTGTTTACCTTTTATGGATTATGCTACATAAAAGTACCTCTCCACAAATCATCCACCGAAAGCTATACAATCAACACGATGGCGGTGATACCCATCACACCTTCGACTTCTACTTCGTGTCCTTCTAGCTACCGTTTTGTCTTAAACCCCTCCTTCTCAGTTATTGATTTTAGTTTTTTTTTTTTTTGGTTGCAGAGTTTTCATTCAAACTTTCGGTGTGCGAATGCTACTTCATAAGTTTGAGTCAGTTTGACTTGCATTCCCTTCACCGTCTCTATTATATATCTTCTTTCACTGCTCGATCGACTCCCTTACCTGATATGCATGAAAGAAGCCTCTGCTTTTGTACTTCTGAATCATGAGTGACTAGAGCTCTCTGTTGTTCTGCATATCCCCCGATCTCATTCGTTGAAAGGGTCCTAGTCTTGCGAGAACCACGTTGTACAGGATCAAGCAGCGAGAACATACCCCTTGTGTCGCTTCCGTTCAGATGTACCATAAAGTACTCTTATGTACAAAACATTGGCTGGGACTCTTAAGCTGCCCGTACGCGGATTATCGACCTACTACGTATCGAGAAAAGTCTTTCCCACTTGCATCGATAGCATCAATTTTCAATTTTCCATACATATAAGGCTCTTCCAAACGATGTATAAGGCGGGCTATGCACACGTGTCGTACAACGGAAGGCCCAATATGTATGTTGAATGACGCACTGTACAGAGAAGGTCTTAAAAAGCCCTGACCAAAAATTAAGCATCCTTTTTCACCCCTCCAGTTTCCTTCCCAAGACATTAAAAATTGCTACAATACAGAAAAATCATTTTTCACACTTGCCGCAAAAAGAGCAACAGGGAAAGGCGAAAAGGGGAAAGAAAAAAGGGAAAAATACATAGGTGGGTATGACGATAGAAATCTATTTCTGCCCAAAAAGAAACTATTTTAACCTGTTGTAGCCGTTTGGGCAGTTTCTCCTTACGGGCGAAAGATCTGGGCTGAAGATGGGTCATCGGATTCAAGAGGCGCATAGAGGGGCACAAAAACACAACCAATCAACATTATTGCGCAACTTTGGGTGCTTTGAAAAGTGTCAGCCTCATGAGACATTTCCTACCACTCAAATTTTTACTTTGGTCTTTTCGCTCAAAATGTTTTAATGTTTTAATATTTCAATATTTTAACATTCTAATATTTAATACTCTGCTGTTTGTGGGGGCCAAACAATATGATACGTCACACAATGGGAGAAGTGTCCTCGGATTATAGGATACCCGCGTTTCATGTCTTTTTTGACTCATCTTATCCGAAATTTTCGGAACGTGGTGGTGGTACAGTGGCACAGTGCTACTCGTTCAGCCCCAATCCGAAAATACAAATAAACGGATGGCCGGGCGAGACAAGGGAAATGGTTTGCTTTTGGAGAAGGAGGGCGAGACTTCGAGGCAAATGGCGCCTCATATCAACCAGCCCTTGCTGTTACAAGTGAGCTATAGCGGTAAGAAAATCTTTCACGTGTTTTCCGAATCTTTGCTTCTCGTTAGTTGATTTACTATAATTTTCATCACTATCACGGTTACAGTCACAATCAAAATCAGTCAGGTGGATGTATCTGTCACCCTCCATATCAATCGGTCGAAAGGCAAACGATCAAACTTGATTTGCGATAGGAAGAAATGCGGCGGGTTCCACCGGTTCAGCCGAAATAATCAAGCGAGGTTCGGTTTGCGGGGTGGCATCCCAAACGAGGATATCCCGTGCCAAAGGGAATTCGCCCATGTCACGTTGTCATTGAGTCAGTGCTCATGATTGTGATCAACTCCATTGTTGAACGGGTTCTATTCATTTCGAACATTTTCAAGGTTTGCTTCGTACAGCAACCTGATGAAGGAGGGGTATATTGCCCCTTCCGTATAACGCCTAGATACATGGCATTTTATGGTACTACCAGATCATCATAATGTTGTTTAGACAGATGCATATGGCTTCTGAGGATTTCATTGATTTGATTCAAACTGAACGGTCAAGCATTGTACTTGGTATCTCGATGAGCATCCGCTAGAGTCTTATCGTCGTGGAAGTCAGAGATCATTAAGTGTTGAGTACCAATCATTGTAACTCTTATTCACTTCCGATTCCGATGCACAACTTCACCCTAGGCTTGCGAACAAACATAGGCCCTTGAAACTAGACAATTTCAACTTTTAGCAAGATATTAGGTGTCCAATTTTGCGCACGCAGGTTTACCTGAGAAGACATCATCCCATTGTGGAACATCGGGGGCGAATCCCCCAACGTACAATAGATTTCCCGTTTGCCACATTTTCATAGATTTCACTCTATCGTAGCCCCGGGCTATGTGGCTCAAAAGGGCGATGAAAAAACAGACTTGAGATACCCAATAGTTATTTACCATTTCCATTTCCATAGAGTGGCAGTGCATTGTATCGAGATCTATTCGTCATCGTGGTGCGAATGAGTGGCAATAGTGACTCAGAGCTGAAAGGTTCTATTCGTCACCATCGACAACCCGTGGCAAGTCTGCCACTATCACGAATTTAATACGGTATGATGTCCTGGATAGGTATGCCTTGCCTGTATGGAAACTACATGTCATGATTCTTTTGGGCTGAGCTCAACGAAAGATATGATATTGAAAAGAAAAGCGTAAGAACTCAAACATTGAAGTAAAATACTCAAACGTTCAAATAACGTATTCAAATAACGTATTCGAATATTCAAGTAAAGTACTCAAACGTTTAAGTAAAGACCATAAAGATTAGGTAGGGTAGAAATATCGCTTTTGTTCAACCGTCCATTGCTCAATCTCAATCTCAACCTCAATCTCGATACTCGATACGAAAGATACATATATATATACCACATATCCATATCCAAATCCTATCCATATCAAAGCATGACTTCCCTCCCACCCAGCTCTAGTAATCTGAATCCTACCACCCAGACACACAAAACCAAAGCAAGCATACTCAAATACTCAAACCCCTATCAACTTAAATATTCCAATGTATCCGAAAAATATTATTTATATACTACTTCTCAAGTAAACTAGTGTTATATGTACATATATGTAAATCCTTAGCACCACCCAGCAATTAACTAACGCCACTTTATACTTTATATTATGAGAAAGTTGGAATTATAGGCCAATACATAGGGGTTTTTAACTACTCAATCACATAACCTCCTATAATTAGATATAAAAAGAGAGCTTTTGCTTCTCCTTTCCACAATAGTCAACCTTCTACACATATACATTTGAACCCATATAAGCTCAACCCCCAAATTATTATACATCCCGTGTTCTTTTTAAATGATGTATTACAATATGATCTAATCAGCTTTCTCTTCCAATTCCCCCTCACAGCATGTTATCAAGACGCACGTATCTCGACCTACCACCTTTACAATATCTTCATCTTATATTCTACATCCCACAGATAAAATATAAAATATGTATGCCTTTACTCTTAGCGAATCGAAAAAGTAAGGAAGAGGATTTAAGATGAGGAGGAATGGGAAAATGTGGTTTGGGAGGTATGCTTTGATTGAAGATTTTATTTTGTATATTAAAGCTTGGGATTTGAGGTTTGGGGCTTGAGGCTTGAGGCTTGGGGGAGTTGTAATTGTTTGTTTGTTTGAGTGAGTGAGTGAATAAATGAATCATGATTATTATTATTTTTTATTTTAATTATTTTTTGTAAATGAGATGAGTGAATGAATGAATAATTAAATAGATAAATAAATAAATAAATAAATAAATAAATAAATAAATAAATAAATAAATAAATAAATAAATAAATAAATAAATAAATAAATAAATAAATAAATAAATAAATAAATAAATAAATAAATAAATAAATATATATTTTATAATATTATAATTAATTATAATTAAAATTATATAGAATATAATATATTTTATAAATAAAGAATAGATAATTATAAAGAAAATAATTAATAATACTTTTAAATTTTTCAATCGTTTAAATAAACCAAATTCAAAATACTTTTTTTTTAAATTATTATAACACGAAAAAAAATATTGAATAGATTCTTTCTATCAAATAATCACCTCATAATCCCCATACATAGCTATCAATCTAAAATATCTAATCACATCCACTCTCACTGTCTTATCCTTTTCCCTTCTCTAAGAAAACTCACGAATACTCTCCGTAGCGACCTCATGTAAATTTATCCCTGTCCCCTTATCATCCCCCTCCCTCCACTGCGCACTTCCGCCCTCTTCTTTCGCCTCCCTATAAGTCATCACCAACTCCCCACCACCTTTCAATAAATCCTCAAAGAGCGTGCGTCTCATGACTGCCATTTCGCTGCCTCGATTCTTCAATAATTCACTAACGAGTACTAGGGCATTTTCCCGATCAATACGTGCCATCTCTGCCGCCTGTGCATGCGGCTGTACGGGCTCCGGCTCGGGAGTTTGAGGTTCCACGCTTAAAGTGTCGGTATCGGTTTGCGGGGTTGGCAAAAGAGTGTTGGTTGCCGGAGCCGCCTTATATTCTAAGAGTGGTTTGCCGGTGAGCATTTCGACGAGAGGTTGGAAAACGGTAACGTCCTGCATCATATCACTGATGCATTGCGCACTATCTGGATATCTAGCCATAAGTGCAAAAACAAACCATCCTTCACTTCTGACAATTGGCCATTTAGTCTGAGAAACCATGAAACTCAAGGGTCGACCAATATCAGGATGGCGGAGTAGAAATTTTCGTCGAATTTCGTTTAGTTCTTCGGTCGGTTGACCTTTATAAGCTGTGAAGACTCGGCATACGGCGGTAATTAAACGAGAGATTTCCATTTTAATAGGTTCCACATCAGTGCGATCGAACAAGGCGATCAAGAGAGAAAGGTTTGAACGTTCATGAGCTGGTGAATCCTCATCCGTTGAAAGACGTGCGCAAATTCGTTCGACATTTTCGAAGGAACCATTGACAAGTTGGCGAGTGAGAGATATGGATGATAATTGAATTGGTTGAAGAATATCAAGAAGCCATAATCTGGGAAGTACTTCGAAAATACCGGAGCTTCCCAACACTTCTTTATTCTTCATAGGTAAAGCCAAATTTTTGAGGAATCCAAGAGCCGCATGGAGTAATTGTGAATCGTTAACGTCCTTGAGTATTGAAATCAAGGGCGCATGGACCCGAGCCGTGTGTACAAAAAGCTCACAAGCTTCATCATTACGAGCAAGGTTACCTAACATTATACAAGCACAAACTCGTAATTGAACTTGTTCACTTGATAACCATCGGCGGAGAAAAGAAGAGAATGGTGACACAACAGGGCATGCCTCCTTGAACTCCGGTAAAGCTGAGATATCGGACAAAGCCGAATTGAGATTGATACGCATCTGCGACAGTGCCTTTCCATCGTCCTCGTGCGTTGTAGAGGAACTGATTGATGGATGAGAATCAAACCGTGTGTATGAATCAACGAGGACCGCTAGAGCGGTATCGAGCGCCTGTGGGGTTTTCACCAAAGTTTTCTGGAATTTTTCGTGTCCTAGATATGCCACAGCGGTGTTCACAAGAGCAATGTAATCTTCCATATCCACACGATCTTCACGATCTGAAGCCAACTTCAAAAGAACAATAGGAGTGTTTCCCGGTGCCATATCCTGCTCAGAAGCTTGATTTGGTCAGTCTCAACATTAGATTCGATTGAATGTCAAACATACGTTGTTGTATGAGCAAATCGAGCAATTTGCATATATATCCGACGAAATGTATGCTGTCTTTGAATCGGGGGCTCGCAATTAGTGTAATGAGTTCCTTGCTTAAATATGAACTGGATGCCTGTTGTTGAGCAGGGACTGACTGCAGTCAGCGGCTGGTCATTAACTTGGAGCTTCAAATGTACTAACCATAATCGACGCAAACATTAAAGAGGACTGGTACTGCAAAGGCGAGTAAATTGGTATCTGATAACTGAGTAATGATCAAGGGAATGTAGTTTGACCCTACAACACGCGCCCTATTCTCATCTATCTCAATATTAGTATTGTGCAATTATACAGTGAGATTGAGCCTACCGGTATCTGCACATGAGTTTCCCACTAACCGTAATATTTGAAGTTTGAGAGCATGGCGTAAAGTATGTGCACTTAATAACTCGAGGAAGAAATTCAAAATGCCGGAGTCTCCAATAGGAACTCGCCATTTAGCTATTTCCGAATTAGAACGATGTTAGATCACTAGATGCAATTCTCAAAATGCTTGATCATCTCACAGTAGCCGCTTGACCACGTGAGACCGAGAACTTCACGTGTCGGAATTTTTTTGCAAGTCGAAGGCTAAACTCACGATCTCTACTACAATCCGCCAGTTTCTCCGCAGCTTCATTGATTGATATGGAATCTTGCCACCATAAGTGCGCCAATATCCCCAATGCTCCCTTTAATCTTTCCGTTCTCCTCTTCCTATCCTCCGCATCCACCACCTCTTCAGCATCATCATCCACATCCACCTCCTCCACCCTTCCAGCCTGCCCCTCTAGCTTTAACATATCCGCAATAGACACCGACATATTTCTCTGCTCTTCCTCATTTAACTTCTGATACTCCTTCCCGTCTCCAAACGGCGGAAGAGAAACCGTTGTGTTTGAGTTCCTATCCGACGAATTCATCGAATCAATAGCTGACATCTCATTCGTAGGATGCCCGTCAGTATTTACTCTACCCTTCATGACTGCAACCTTACAGACTTGTGAAAGCAATTCTGATGGCTTGGGTACGTAGGGCCAAGAAATAATGCGCCACAAACTCGTTCGTAGTGAGATACTTTGAGAGGCAATCAAGTGGCACAGTAGGACGATACGCAAAGGTTTAAATGCAAAGGCCTGTTTTGTACCTTTAATTTTGTTTAGATGGATTAAATAAATGATAAATAAAGATACTAGTGGGAAAAAGTGGGCGACAAGGAAGATGGCAAATACTTTATTTCGACGTGTCAAAAATAAAAGTACGTATCCATATGTGACTTGATTCGTCAATCTAGAATGAAAATACAACGATCTCTTTATAAGATACTTTAGAAATCGAAATTGAATTTTGTTTAAATAAAATTAAAATATAAAAAGAAAATAAATAAATAATTTGTTGATAAAAAAAAATTAATTTTCACTAACTTTATCTGATTAATTCTAAATTTAATAATAATTATTTTATATTAAATGATTTTTAATTTTATATTAAAAATAAATAAAATATTTTACATAGTAAATTAAAAAAAGAAAAAACATATGCATATAATAATAATAATTTCAAATTAAAACTTTTCTTTTTTAAACTTTGTATAGAATAATCTCATTATTATATTTATTTATTTCAAAGCCGTGCGTGTATTGAACATCGATCCAAGCTTCAGATGTACCGTTTGTTCGCAGGATAATTAGATAAGCAGCACGGAAATGTTTTAAGGAAAGGGTTGAAAGATGCCAGCAGTATTACATATCCAGCTGTAAGGAAGCCTGATATAGGAACCTAGTATATGTACGCATCAAGTTGGAGTCAACTTGGAAAGCCACAAAGTTTTTTAAAGGCATCGATTAATCAATATCTATTTATTGGCTTGGTAAATGTTTTCGCAAAATTCTCCCCTCGATTTACCCAAAACTTCGACTCATTGCCAGTTCGTTGCTCACTAGTGAATGTTTGCTTACCCATTAACAAATCAGAACTGAAAATTTCTGCTGATGGATAATGCTCCTGAGCCATCCATAGTTTTCTGCTTACACTCCTCAGAAATAATTGGAGATGGGACATATGAGGTAGATAGAATATATTGCCTTAATAGTATAGATCATGATAATACATTAGTCTTTCTTTTGACGCAGTCTCTAGAAAGCATGAAGTCACCGGGTGATGAGAATGCTGTACAAATTTTTTGACAAAGCCGAACTTGTCAAGAAACAAATCAATTCCTACGAAATGGTGAATTTCAAGGAATTAGACCTTAGGCTCGGGGTGCGGAGTACCCGATACCGAGGCCAAGAGGCTCAGTGGCTCTTGGTTTCTTGTTCGAATGATCAATGCCATAAAAATCATCGCGTTTCCTCTTCTCTATTACCGGCTTAGTGACAGTTGCCCAGATCTTGGATTGTAACAGTTCACTTTTTGCTGTAACAAGATTTGGAGTGTTGTTTCTCGAAGCTGCAACCTCGAACGATTCACGGGAATCAGCTCGGAGCATTTCATTTGCACTCTGAGCCGCTCGGCTTTCTTGAATTTCTTCATGTTCTCTATCTCTCCGCCCACGCCCACGCCCACGCCCACGCCCTTCGCACCCAGAATGATTAAACTGCTCAACATCCTCAGCTGAAATAGTGCTGTCGCGACTTTCACGTCGACGTGCGTGAGGTGGAACATTCAAGGCGCGGCTGGTGTAAGCTGATCGAGAGGCACTATGTGGGATGAATTGTGCAGATGGAAGGAGTGTTGAATTGGCAGTGCCTGGGCGAGCCAAAGGAGGTGTGGTAAGCAACGAAGACAGAGACTGAACGCCACGATTGTGCCTGATAATCGGGGTGCGTGGACCAGCACGCTGACCGATGAGAGGCGTTGACGGAGCACTATTATTCTCCTGGTGAGCGGCAGCTAAGAGAGCAGCAAATCCAGGTTCTTGGCCATGTTCGCGAGATTCACGGATTGAACCTCCGCTTACGGGCGTCTGATGTGGTGTACGGCGATATTGCTGTGGAGTAGCTGGATAACTATTGGTCGATAGCTTCGGTGTCGAAACATGGAATATGCGACCAGGGCTACGCATATTGTTGACGTGCTCTCTATTCTCGCGGATACGCTGCGTGAGACGATCATTTGTATCTTTAGCAGCCTCCAATTGATCCTCCTTTGCCTCTATTACTTTCTTGGCTCTTTCAAGTCGTCGTTTGATAGTTTTATTCTCCGTCTCCAGACTCTTGCAAATGTTTTTGAGCTTTGAAACGTACTCTGGACTTGGTGCATGAGGGTCAGCTCTTCCCTGGTACGCAAGCTTCAACACTTGAACTTCCCGACGGGTCAGTTCATGCTCTGCTTCCAAATGCTTAATAGCTTCCTCGGACTCCAAGGTCAGAAGGGTATTTTGCAATTTATAATGTGCCTGTTCCATGCGAGATTCTCGAAGTGCGTTGTCCAGCTTGTTATTATCGACAATCAACTTCTGTATCATTTCTGTCTTTTCTTCTGTAGAAGCGTCGGCAATCTCCTGCGCAGTCGGCGGTTGAGTGATACCGGGAATAGAAGCTGCTCTGGTTCCATTCAAGTCTGTGGCAAGTGGGGATCCGAGGTCAGATGGTGATATTGGTGCGGCTCTTTGAATTGGAATCGAATGACGAATGTTAGGCATCTGGGATGACGGTGGAGGTGTCATTGACGACGATATGTGGTCTCCAAGTATGTTATTCTCCAAGCCATCCCCTATAGAGATATCTGGACCGGATACTCTGGCATCCCCTTGTGAGTTGCTGGCTAACATGAGGGACGTTGAAGGTAAGCGACCCAGATCTTCGCCTTGAGAAGAGGAAGTACTCTGAGTGAAGATGGCAGGCCCATCGGGCGGAGTTGCCGTATCATCGCATGAGCTAGGGGGAGCCATTGTGGGTAGTTTTATAGAAGGGAAAAGGATATCTTATTGAAACATTAGCAAATGTGAGTACATGTACAACTCATGACGTATTACAAAGTTTCAATCTTTTGCTGAGATGAAGAATAATAAAATTGACCCACGAATTTGTTCAGGTCTGTACAATCGCAGGTATTGCCTTTTTCTCGTGTATCGCAGATAGAAAGATATTGGAATAGGGCGCTGCGGTTTGAGGAGAGCTAGATGTTGGTGAGTACTCGAAAGGGATTGATATTGCGATTAATTCGTTTGCGAAGTGTGCGTGCGACGAATTATGAAGTAATTTCTGCTGATATGTCGAGGTAGCAGATGCGATGGCAATTAGGGTATGTTTGATAGTGGGTATGTATGGTAATGACATATGGTATATTTACTCATATATTAATGTTGCGAGCCAAATTTGTGATAAGAGGGATGAATTGATGGAAGGCGGGATGTTATTTTGCGCATGCGATTATTTGCAGAGAAATGGCTGGGGTTTGCTCTGTTGCTAAGGTGATGGTCATGTGGGGTCGAAGTTTGAACAAGGTGAGCAAAGGCTGAGGCTGCCCTAAGCCTATTTAATAATAGTAGTAGACAGAAGATAAGACAACAGACAGATATAATAATAATGATTACAATATGATTTAGCTTTCTAAGAACTATAATGAATGACTGTCGATTCAAATAGGATTGTTCTTGTATCCTTGAATCTATTCAGAAAGCAAGAGAAAAGATCATTCTTATTCTTATTCTTATTCTTATTCTTATTATTGTTGTTACTGTCACTGATAGTTGCATAGTTTTCAATACAAGGTTTGCTTCTATCGGGAAAGCATGCAACTCTGAACATGTAGCTATACCTAGGTAGGGGTAGGTATAGGTATACCGGTACATATGTACAGAGTATGCATCTATCCCAGATGAACTACGGATTTATGAATGGGACACATTTGCAGGACCCTGTGAAGAACCCTGTGAGGAACCCGGCGAACATACCGGCCCTACACTGGTACATACCCCCAGCAATCCTGAAATAGCGAACCCCACCGGGCAACCGAGTTCCTCCTAATCAATCTCCTAATCAATGATAAATACCCCTGGCCTAAGGTACCTAATAAAATAAACTATTCTCCGAAAACCGTGAGCCATGCATGGCCGTGAGCTTCTACGCCGACTGGGAAATGAGATTTCAATAAATGATCCGCTCTAAAAGCAGCTCATGACACGGTCACTCCAGTTAATTATCTATCGATCGATGAAAAGAAAGAAAGAAAGGACGAAAGAACGAAAGAACGAAAGAACGAAAGAACGAAAGGAAGAAAAGTGTCTGTTCCTTTCGAAACACCGACGACTATTTGTGTCACTAGAAGGCAGTAGTTAATACTGTGGTTTCCCCTTTCCTTTTCTGCCGAGCCTTCATCTGTTTACAGGGAAAACCTGTTTGTTTACTTTGGGCGTCATCTCTGTATTTATGCGAATTCACATAGCTCCAGCTGGGTATAATTAATTATTGAACATAATACTGCTCCCTCGAGCACAATCACGGCCATGGACAACATCACAGTCAACAAGCAAAGACCATCTGGTCTACCTAGACCTTCACGTCTTCCACGGCCTTCGGCCTCCAGAGAAAACTTACAGCAACAGCCTGCCCGACCTACGAGTAGTATCGTCAACCCACGTTTACGAAGTACTGCATCGAGGGATCAATTATCTGCATCGACACCCTCGAGACAACGTATCACAGCACCTGCAACAAGTCGCCTCCCTCCGCGGGCAATACAGCATAAGCCAAGCGGTAATTCCTTTCGAAAGCCTCAAACAGTCGGCGAAGAGCTATATCGGCCAGCTTCGAGTGAGGAGGAGGATGTAAAAGCGCAAAGATTCTCTCCAGTTATATCTGATGATGACGAAGGGCGTAGTGGGAGCTCGTCTTCGCGCCCCTCCTTATCCGAACGCACAATGGAAACACTACAACATATTCCACCATCACCGGCCGTTCGAAGAAGACAGTCAAACTTTTTCAACCCTCAACTTCCTCAACGCTCCGTGTCGCGCGCGAGTTCATCATCCAGACCTGAATCCAGTTATCAAAATGATGGGTCTATGAGACCACCATCCCGTCGTTCTGCCAGCTCAAGGCCGACATCGAGTGAGGACTCTGGGCCAAGAATACTTGACTTCCGGTCGTCTTCGGGTACCTTCCGGCCACCACCTACAAATTACCAAGCTTCTACACCGATGAAACGACCAAGTCCTGCAAAGACACTCAAGACTCCGACGGTTCGAAGCAGCTTCAGTCCCGGAAGTATAGCACAGCTTCCGTCACCTGGCAATGCCCTACAGAGATCTCCAAGCCCGATAAAACCAGAAAAGCTCCCTACGATCAAATCTGGCAGCAAGACATTCAGTGCCCGGTCAGTGAAGGAGCGTGCTTCAATGACAGGTCTATTCCGCAAACCATCAATGCCTTTAATGGACCAGGCATTTGAGACAGACAGCATTGGTTTTGTCACAAGGCAGAAGTCAATGAACTTCAAGGACATTCCTTTCAAGTCGGTCACATCTGCTCCTAGTGAGGATGCTATCAAAATGTCAACCGCAACAGACAGTATCGGCTCTGTTAACAGGAACAGGTCAATAAACTTCAAGAACATTCCTCACAGATCTGTGACATCAACCCCTAGTGAAGCTGGTCTGGGTTCCGACAGGACGGATGAATCTACAGCCCCAAAATCTTCCTCATCTCTTAGAGATCAGATTGCGAAAGCCAAAGCAGCAAAGCGAGCGGCAGCAAACACAAGTGCCGCAAGCAATCATGAAGAAACGCCTGTGATACCTACGGCGACGTTTGATTTCGGTCTTTCAGACGATCCCTTCAATCAAAAAGTAGATCCAAACGCCAGTAAAGGCCTTCTACGCAAGCGGATTGCTGCTGCGAGAACCGATGGACGCCTTAATATCGCCGCCATGGGCTTCAAAGAAATACCCGAAGAGGTTATGAACATGTACAATCTTGAGGCACTCGGAGATCAGGGTGGATCGTGGGCTGAAGCTGTTGATCTGACAAGATTTATTGCGGCTGACAATGAGTTTGAGAAACTTGATGAAAACATTTTTCCCGATATAGACCCACGTGAGGCCATGGAGGATGATGAGTTTACGGGTAATCAATTTGGCGGCCTTGAAACATTGGACCTACACGGCAATTTCTTGAAAGAGATTCCTATGGGCCTTCGTAGACTTGAGCATTTGACATCTTTGAACTTGGTAAGCTAACTAATCAACAAACACTGTAACAAAATGACTGATTGCTAATGGTGAACAGTCAAACAATAAATTAGGCAATGAATGTCTCCAAGTTATTACACAAATTACATGTTTGCGGGATCTTAAAATGGCAGGCAACGGACTCTGTGGAACTCTAAGTCCAGATATAGAAAACTTAAAAAGCCTCGAGGTTCTGGAGATACAACGCAACGCTCTTGATACATTTCCGGATAGTTTATCACAGTTGGATCGATTGAGGGTTCTTAATATTACCGAGAATAGATTTCGATCGCTACCTTTCGACATTCTCAGTCGTCTACCTCTTATTGAGCTTATAGCTGTCAAGAACGGGCTAGTCGGTACTCTTGTTACTGGGGCTGTGGAAAAACTATCGCAACTGCAAGTTTTGGATGTCACCAGTAATGCTATCACTTCTCTTTCTGAATCAGAGCTCGATCTTCCTTCGCTTCATCAGTTGAGTTGCTCCGCAAACCGCATTACAAGTTTGCCGGATTTGACTTCCTGGGTATCTCTACGTACACTTACTGCTGAGGATAACAATCTGTCTGAGTTACCAGCTGGTTTTGTCGAGCTTCCCAAGGTTAAAAATGTCAATTTTAGCGGCAACAATATCAAGATTCTGGATGACAGAATTGGCAGAATGGAAAGTCTTGACATACTTCGGGTAAGCGGAAATCCACTAAGAGAAAAGAAATTCTCAGCCATGTCTACCGAAGATCTGAAAAATGCCCTGCGAGCACGAATTGCATCAGCCGAGCCAGAGAAAGACGAGTTCTTGTCTGAGCCGAGCACCCCAAGCACCTCGAGTCGGCCAACCTCTTCTCATTGGCCAGTCAAAGCAGGAGGAATTCTCGATCGATCTAGCACGAGTTCACACTCCCTCAATCCAGTGATAGCTGCAGAAGTTGCTGCACACGATACGATCAAAGTCCTACACTTACAACATAATAAATTCAAGGAGATACCCACCTCTATTGCTTTCTTTGCATCCACTCTCACCTCCTTGTGTATCGCTCACAATGAGTTGACTAGCGACACGTTTCTGAAGGACGATTTAGACCTACCTGCACTGAAGGAACTGAACCTTAGCTCCAACACTTTCAATTCCCTACAACCACTGATACAACATCTACAAGCCCCGAATCTAGAGAAGCTTGATATCAGTTTCAATCGTTTAACTTCACTACCTGTTCTGAAACCCCACTTCCCGAGCTTGATATTTCTTATGGCATCACACAACACCATCCGTGAATTGATGCCAGAAGCTGTTCAGGGCCTGAGACTTCTAGACTGCAGCAGCAATGAGATTAACAGCCTTAATTCCCGTATTGGGCTTTTGGGTGGACCAAACGGACTACAGACTCTGGAAGTCAGTGGGAATCGTTTCCGTGTGCCAAAATATACGATTCTGGAGAAGGGTACGGAAGCTACGCTTGCATGGTTGAGAGATAGAATACCTTCTGCAGAAATATCCGGGGAGGAAACTAATTCTACGGATGTTGATTAATGTAATTTTTTGGTTTTATTGATTATTAAGATGGTTAAATAGGAATTGAACGATACCGGGTGGAGGAGTAAATATTCCCTTGGGGTAGGGAATTGGCTGGCAATATATCGTATAGTTTTGTAATTCAAGTTTGTCCTCATGGACTATTATGTAATACTCGAAAGCCTTAAAACTACTTGCTCATCAAATATTCATCACTCTATTATTATATTAGACTTGAAAAGAAACCCTTGGAAAAATAGGAGTAGGATTCTGAAGGAGCGACACGTGACATTGATGTTGCAGGGCCTCTAAATTTTTGGGGCCGCCGACCCAATCGTGATTGACTGACGAGCTCCAGCTGTCCTCAAATCAACCCAATCCCAAAAAGAAGCAAAACCACCACTTTCCTTACGAACCACGCTCCTTTGCCCACCCTTGAGAATCTGCCAACTCACACACGCATCGCATCCACCGAGCCCTAACCTTATAAAACACATCAACCCCGAACCTGAGCAATCGCACACGGAATCGCAAAAATGACCCGCGCACAGCAAACCATCTCTATTGGCTTACTCGTCACTTCGGTATGTTGTCTGCCTCTGATTGTTTGAATTGGTCATCATGCGTTGGGATTATTGTGTGCAAATGTGCAAAATTTGCAAACACATAGCACGATGTACGGCAGATTAGGGTCGACATGGAGTTGAAAAGAGAAATGAACGAATGATTGCTGATCCGGTGATTTTATTTAGTTATACTTGGCGGTTTATTTGGAGTTAATTCCTCTTCCCGGAAAGGTTTCTGAGGAGGTTGTTCCTGTGGTACGTTATGCGTGTGTTTTTATTTCTACCCCTTCTGCTTCTCTCTTCTTTCTCTTGACGAGCAACGCACCGAGGGAAAGAAGGATATGGCTACTTGCACCATAACCATTACATCTCTTCCCGCTCACGATGCCGATCTCCCCATTCCCGAGAGTTGGGAGAAAATTCCTCTTTCCCCATCCTTAGGTGATTCGACATACGAATCCTTTCCGTTCCCTCCACCCGCCTCTCCCTCCTCGACTTTATTCTCGCGTCGTGATGGCTCGATCAAATCTATAGCCACGATATCGATCGTCAGTCATATCAAGAATATCATCGCTGACTTGGTATTTTTCTTGCGGAAATAGTTACCGTTCTGGGTGTTGGTTTCGTTTGGAGCATATCTTTTGGGGAAGTTGGGCTATGGCGTTTTCACGTTTAATGATGTGCCGAAGGCGCACGCGGAGTTGATGGAGGAGATTGAGTTGGCGAGAAAGGACCTCAGGACTAAAGGCGTGGATGTCGACTAGGTGGTGGAGGACGACGCATTTCAAGACGAAGGCAGGGCATTGCGAAGGGATATCGAAGCTTATATTGGCAGTGGTTTGGAGTCGAAGGGTTGAATGGATGGAGTAATTTGTCGAATAATTCAAGGGATATTGTTTACATGTCGTTTCATCTGCCATGAGTTCCGAGATACAAGTGGAGGCTATGGTCTACAAGCCCATATCTATAATTTAATCTCTCTATCTACAATATATAATATGGGGACGCCCGTGAAATGTCCTACATTCCTCTAAACTTCTAGGCTTTAAGCAGCACGATTCCAGTCTCTAACAAACTCCATGATAACACCCTTATCTGCCTGTGTAATAAAATCTTTCAGGTAGTTCTTCCTCTTCTTATCTTCTGACTTAATGGCATCCAAGTCAGGAGAAGCGATAGCCTCCACGCATATGTAATACTCATTATTAGCCCCTCTTCTCCGACCCTCCATTACCCCGCTGCCTTTTCTCTCATATGCTTCTCCTTCAATTTCTTCTCCTGCGCCATAAAAGCCCTTATGCCTACAGGAATACCCTCAAACAGGTCGTCGCCCTTTTCCTCCCCTCCCACATCCCAATTCCCCTCACTCCCACCCCCATCATCATCCATACTCGCAGCCGCCTCGGCAAGAGCGGCAGCACTCTTCTTCTTCCGTTCTTTCTTCAAAGCCCTATCCGCCTCCTTCTTAGCAGCAGCCCATTCCTCGATCTCATCCCGGTAGCGATCCCACACACAATTCACACAGCCGCTCATACAGCAATTATCTGGTTCTTCTGGGCGTGGCGGAACAAGGACTCCGGCTATTCGCTGACTCTTGCGCAGGATCTCGGAGCGTCGCTCTAAAGGGGAGGATAGACGGGAGGAGAAGAGGATTGAGGGTCCCGGGTCTGCGCCGCTTGGTGAGGAGGGAGAAGGGGTTGAAGATGGGGTTATGGGTGGATTTGAGGGAGAGGCGGTGGTGGGAGGTGCGGAGGATATTTTGGGGGAGGAAGAGGAGAGGATCGAGGCGTAGTAGTCGCCTATGGGGTGGGCTTGGTGACCTGGCTTATTGGATGTGGATTTGTGGCGTGGGAAGGAGGGGAGTTTGAGATGTTGTGATAGTCGGAGGAGACTTCTTTGCTCCATATTGTTGTTATAGGTAATATACTCTGTAGAGTACCTCGTAAAGTTTATGTTATCGGGGGATCATTAGGAGAGTTGTTCGTTTTTAAATATGTGCTTGAGTGTGTAAGTGAAGAACTGGATTATTTATTTTTGGGATCAAAGTTCGGAAAGTTTTTGAGAAACGTCATTGATGTGAATAGTCAGCACCGAGAATCAGAATAGCATTATTATAACTCCAGATCGCAGGACTCATTCAAAACTAGTGATCGCATTTGCGATTCAACCTTTAAATATCCTACGTAGCATTATAAATCACAAAGCCACGGAAATTCTATTATTGTTGTTCAGATTCATGTTTATAGTGAAATAGTAAATATTGTTCCTGGCTCTCTCGCGAAGCCCCTCTCGTCGCGTCCTTCGACACGCGATTCTATATCTAAATATCATTTCACAACAACACAATTCCTCCAATTTGACCGGCAATGGGATAGTATAAGGAAATCGTGGACATGGCAGACAATACCCCCTCACGTCGTTCGAAGACTCCAATTCCCGCCACCAATGTCCCACCAACCCCGAGTCGCATTCCGGTTCCTACACAATCCTCGTCGCGATATACTTCATTTGCATCTCCCACAAAGGCAAGTTTAGCTCGCCATAACCCACAGTTACTCCCGAGAGCTACTTCTACAGGACCGGAAGTTGGCAGATCTCCGAGTAAGGGGAGAGTACAGGATGTTTTTGATAGGGCACTAAGGAATACACCGCAAGGAGAAAGAGGACGGAGTGTTACAAGTGGTGCGGAAAGACCAAATGCAGGATCAACCTTGGGGGGAGGAGGTAATGCGATTGCTCTCACACCTACAAGAGCGCGGTCCGTGGGAGGTGGAATGGCATCAAAACCGAGGCGAATGTCAAGATCTCCTGCCAAACGACCAATCGCTGCAGCAGAAACTCCAAAGAGCAATTTCAAGCCCGCTGTTGAATTCGAGAATATTGAGGATATTGCAAATCCCTTCAAGAGAACGGGGTTGAGGCGATCGCCCGTACCAGGACAAAGTAGCTTGCCTGCAACAGCATCGCAAGAACGCCAGGACGATATTGATCCCTTCAAGAAGGCGGGGTTAAGAAGATCACCACCTGCTACAATGCCGGCCTCGGCAACAATTGTGCCTCAAGTACCATTAGAAATGAATGAAGCTGTCTCCACCACGCCAAAAGATCCGGTACCTTTCCATGCTTCTACTACACCAAAGGACCCCGCCCCTGCATACCCCTCAACCACGCCGAAGGAACCCATGCCCGTATATGCTTCAACTACACCAAAGGATCCAGTGCCTGTTCAAGCTCTAGAGCCATATCTCAGGGCACCAGAAGAAGTGGCCATTAGGAGTCGAAGCTCAAGTCAACTCCCTTCTTCTCAGGCTTTTGGGTCTATTGATGTTCCAGGCCCGCAAGTTGCAGAGCCTGTCGAGCCAGCTCCGCCTGGGAGTCCTGCCCAACCCCGTCAAGTTTTAGAAGAGGAAGATTTCGGCCTTGACTTGCAAGTAGCAGATGAAATCGTTTCTACCACCCCTAGCGATCTTATACTAGCTAAGCTACGTACATTACAAACTGATCAACCCTTTGTAATTGATGTACCTCAGCGACAGGACTTGGAGGATGAACCTCAGGCTTCTGAGCTTCCACGGTCTGATGATGTGAATCCTTTGATGAGCGATGACTCTCCTGCCCAACGCAAAGCGCGACAATTATCTATGTCCAAACCTGCACAGCGGTCACTGTTCCCACGGTCCAAAAAGTCATTCCTATCTCCATCTAAAAGGCTCCAGCAATCTACATCATTAGACGAGCCTGAATTACCATCGACACCTACACAACGGGTAATTGCAGATCCAGTCGTTACAACACGCCCAGTTGGAAGTCACAACACACCAAGCAAAACTGCGAGGAGGAATAGGACACTGGGAGCAAAATTGAGGTCATCTCCATTGAAACCACGTGCAGACCTCCGCCCAGAGTTAGATACAGTTCCAGAGCCACCCGCTAAAAGACGGAAGTCGGCTAGATTTTCCATCCCGCATGATCCCCATGCAGCAAAGAAGAAAATCAGGGATGATCTTCTTAAGGAATTACAACAATTGCAAGCCGATGTCAGTCTAGGGAATAAAGAGAACGAAAGGATACGTTTACACCACGAGTCGAAAGGTACAAAGGTGGCAAGAGCATCAAACCCGGAAGAGATACTAGATTTGCTCATACGATCAACTGCATCTGAGAAACAAGAGACGAAGCCGGAACCCATAAGTGCATTGAAGGCTACTAATCTCTTTTTACCATTCTCAGGACGGCGTAAAGCTCGACAAACAGCCGTGCCACAGATCGAGAAGTCTCTACCATCCCATTTACCTATACCACTTAGCAATCCACTTCCACATTTGCAACTATTCAGTCATTTGACGTACACGTCTAATATTATTCTCCTCCCGCCTACACCGACTTCTCCTGGTGAATCTGCTGTGGAAATTTCCAAAGCGACTCTGCAACACCATCAAATATCTGCATCTCATCCTTCTGGACTTTTCAGCGCTCGCCTTTCTATGGTCGTGGATACTTCCTCTCTGACGATATCTTCGCTCAATGTGGACACATTAGATGCGAACGCTGAACCCGAACTGGGACCGTTTGTCCGACGGCGAGCGAGCGGCAGCGGGCCATTTGGGAAAGATATCGGTACAATGTGTTGGGCCATGGGAAGGTGGACTGAAGTATCGGTGGCACGAGCAAAATTTTGGTGTGATGCGGAAAGAGAATTCGGCACATCTGAAGCGAGGAAGAGTGCCATGGAGAAGCAAGGCAAGAGGAAAAGGAAAAGAAAGGCTATTGAAGATGGGGAAGAAGATGAGGGGGACAGAGAAGAAAGCTCTAGAAAATGGACTAGGAAGGAATTATTTCGACAAATGGGGCGGACGAGTATGAACCTCAGTGAAGATGGTGTTGAGATCCGAGTTGGATGGAGGATTGGATTTGATTGGATGGGTGATGTAGAGAGTCATTTAGATATCGATCTGGACTTGCCAAGTAGTTGTAAGTACCGACCTCTTGGGGTTCTCATGATAAACATTATACTAACAGAGATATAGGGCATAAACAAGACGATCGCAATAGTCTAAGTAAGATTAAAGTTATGTTCGGAAAACTGGTCAAGGAAAAAGGACCATTAGGAGCTCTAAGGATAACTGTAGGACTTATTATGGCGGATTCTTCATGATGGGTTAGGAAGTGAAATAATTATTATATTTTGATACCCTAATGTCATTTGTGTCTTTGACAGGTGAATTGTTATACCTTCCACACCTTCCATATTCTAGTATTTTCTCAGTGCAATGTAAAATTTCAGTCATCATGGAGCGCAGTGGTTCCAATCACATTTCCTATTGTCTAGGGACTCCATGAATATATTACTATCCTCTGAAGTGATTGACTTTTTTCCCCTTACTATATTAGCATAACATCCATCTCATTTAACACTTTTGATCTCCTTATTCACTTCAAACATCAAATGATAATAATTATTTTATCCGGTTCTCTATCCCCTTAACCGCGGAAATGGGCTCCATTCGTTTAACATGAATCTTATTGATCAATCGAAATCTCAGGATTTCTCAAGTTTTATTCAATATTTATTTTCAAGTTGGTATATAAATTTCATTTAATATTATTTTAAGTTTCAAAATGAATTATATAAATATATATTAATTTTGAATTATATAAATTTTTTTCAAATTTGAAAATCTAAATTTGAATTTAAAATTCTGATTTGATAAAAGAGTGTTTGAAAAAGCTTCAAAAGTTCATTCCAGCCAATTAGGCTTTATCATTCAAGGAATATGCACATATCACTTTTGGAGCCCATTTCCGCAGTTAAGGGGATAACCTACTTTCCATTCGACTTTATATCTACAAGCGCGCCTCGCTACGGATTAGCCCCCTCGCTACGTATGTACTCGGTAATGTACATCCCGCTTGCTATTATATAATACATATGTACAGTATATGTAGCATGTAGAATATCTCTCGGCTAATACGAGTAGGGTGAATTACATCTAGATCCTTAGATCTTTGAGATTTACGGGTAAAAGAGTGAAGTATTATATTTGAGGTAAGCTTTTTATTTATACTGGCTACTTTTGCAATTGTTTCATTTTATATTTGGGAGTGAAAGAAAGGGTAAGGAAGGAAAGGATGGAGATTTGGCCTTGTATATATTGATGTAAGATTAGATTATATTTAGTGTGGTACATTTATTCATTTTTTTGTAATTGCTTCTCTCATCATTATTTATAGTCTTTGTGATTTTTGGGAGATTGGAGGGAAGACTATCCATAATGCGTGGGTATGGGTATAGTTCCATCTGACGATGGACGTTCTTTGATGACGCTAGAATCGTACTTGGGAGGTGGTGATGAGCTTGAATGGAGTCGGCGAGAATATAGCAGGAGTAGGTTGCAAGGATGTAACAACAGAATTTAATTCGAGGCAAATTGCGCGGTGGGTATTGGTAAGGAAGTAAAGGAGATGTCAAATTTACTTCTGCTGTTTAAGGAAGTGTGATACTTTTATCTGCGACTCTGCTGATGCATTGCGACTGCGCATTCATATGCCCAGGTTATATTATCCTTCTTTAAACAATTCTCAAGTTTTCATATCAAATAACTACACTTTTTCCTTCTAGCTATCATTTTCAATCTAACTCAAATACATTATACACTTTTTTGAACAAAAAGCAGAAAGTATCCGTAATCATAGTCATTGCAGGTGTGCAAGTGTTTCAGATGAACAAGCCAAGGGTATGTATATTATCAGGAGTCAAGTACACGTTCTTTACTCGCAACACAGTTGCCGGGGAGTTACAATATCAGCTGTTTTAGTAATGCGGCTTGATTGTGTGTTCTTAAACGTGGAAGGTGAGACTTCTATACATCAACGAGAATGGAAAGTGACTACGGAGTATAGAAGTGTAGCCTCTGAGAAACTCACTATCGAGAAATAGAATGTACCTCCCTAATGTGGGACACACAATCATAATCTTTGAATCTATCCCAGTATCTCAATATTAATACTTGATCAAACTACAAGTAATTAGAATGTTACTTTAGCTCAAGATGCCTCTTTTGGATAATCACGTTCGTCCTGCTATAAAATTGAGTAGTAATGGGGATAATAAGACAAAGTCCGCTGTAAGATTTATCATTTTTATCAATTCAATGTTTCAAACACCCTAAGTAATCCAGATCATTTTAAATGTAAGATCAAGATCTTACCAGCCTGATTCAACATACCAGGGAGAATCAAAGCCCAAAGGTTGTTGCAAATACCGTACTATTGATAATATAATTATGCGCATATATCTTTGACTGCATGAGTATTGATTACAATATCAGCTTTTAGTATTGAGCAAGCCACCCTTCAACTTATACGTACAAAATTACTCATTAGAAAGAAGAGATTGGAACGATATTCGGGGCTTTACAACAGTGCATATGGTATTAGCCTGCTCCAATCGAATGAGATAGATACAGTATATGTATAATATGAACAAAAAGTAGCAATGCGTGCACATTTTAATCAAGAGAACATTTCTTTTCCAGCAGCATTCAACGACGTCAAATAGCCACGATGAACTTGACATTGGAAGAAGGACTGCGGTAGTCTGAGACGAGGAGAAATGAGTTCTAGCTCTCGGTTGACTTCCAGAGCGCTGTCCACACCACTCACGAACATATTCGACTTCCGCATATAATTACCAGCATCCCCACACACAAACTCAACTGTATCCACCTATCGCAACACAAAGACACAATGCTTCGCGCGCCATTCACCCCGACCACTCGTTCTTTCCAGCGCGCGTCATTCTCCCGCAACTTCCACGTGATAGCACCGCCAGTCCGCACTTCAGCACCAATTTTCGCACGTCCCGATATGGTGAGACTAGTTTTAAAGTTGCTCAATCTAGATCCAATACTCCTCCTCAACATCGTACCAAACACTCCACAACCCTAACTTACCAAAAACACAAGCGACGCCCACACCAATTCTACATCCCCATGTCTGCACGCCGAAAAGTCTATGGAAGAAGGGAGTCGCTTTTTTTTGTGGGAGTTATATGTATTTGTGCTAGTTTTGGTTTCCACTGGAGGTGGGAAGGTCAGAGGGAAAACGAAGGGAAAATAGGGGAGGTGTTAGTTGAGGAATTCGAAGCGAGGGTTTCTGGAAAGGGGGTGGAAAATATTGTCGAGAAGGTTTAGAGAGGGGAAATTATTGAGGTGGTTGGAATGCGCGATGACATAGCATAAACACACACATATATATATATACATTTTTTTGTGTTATGATTTGAGGTTTGAATACAATCCAGAAATCAGACAGTTAATCTGTGCTTAAGTAACATCAATCAATACCTAGGTATTCAGTGTTGGTATTTGGTGGGGCGGGACTTAACCTTACTGATATTATTATCTGCCATATGAATGTCTATCAATGAACATTAGGTCTAGGTACGATAATAACGAAATTGGCGATGAAATAAGCGGCGGAATAGTGGTTATACGTACAACATCATCTGAACAAAGTAGTATGTCCTTATCTAATCCATCGACAAGTACTCCGCGTAGACCATAATCTGTCAGCACAGGAGTATTTCAGCCATATAAACCAGCGAAGAAAAGCTACGGGAAGAAGAAAAAGGGTAAGCTAGATGTAGTTAATGATATCAACATCTCCCCCATGAATATTTAGCGGGGCTACTACCGCATTACCTGTTCGCGCTAGCAGACAAACAGTCAGCAAAGAACCTAACGTTACGAATACACAGCTTTTCTTTTCTTCTACGTACCTCCTCGAGTACATCAACAAAGCAAAAATCCGAGAAAAAATAATAATAATTGAAAAATAACCTTAGAACATTATGGCACATCGCAGTTCTGCAGTTCGTAATCCTATTCCAAACAAGGTCTTTTCATTTCATTTTATCTTAACTCGATTTGGAGGAATCAACCGAAAAAGTGAGTTTATATAGTAACCTTATAGCTCATATAAAGGGGCAAGAATTTACAGAGTAGAGGATAAAAAATTGGAGTTTCGGAGAGTGTTATTAGATCTGACTTTGGATTATTTGTTCTTTCTTGCTTGAACATTCTTGCTTGTAGCTTAAGACTTACAATGTAGCATGAATACAGGGAAATCTTGAAGAAGTTCAAACCATTGAATGACTTTGAGAGAGTGTCTGCACATTTAGTTCGACTAGGATGCAGGCTGGAACATGAAGAGATGGAATGGTCGGTTTTGTTTGAATTCATGAAAACGAATAATTCATAGAATACGTTGAGGGATGAGCATAGGTTCATAAATATATTCATTATTACTAGCAATGTTCACTCTTATTTGTAGTTTGCTTTTACCGAGACCCCTAAACGCCACGCTGAATAGCTACTTATATTAGAATCACCTCGGCCACTTTGACCGAGTGCCTGCAGCCATTCATCCCATTCCGTTGCCCATTTCTTAGTCATTCCTTGATCATTCATTAATCCATTTCCCAGATTGACTTCGTTCCTGCATTAGCATAATCTAGCAATCAATGGCTCAATACGTAATTATGTGACTAAAGTGCCCCGGAACCTTATTCCGACACTTCTCACAGTCCGCCCTATACCCCATACTAAAGCTCTTCTTCATCCCGACTCCATTTAAATTCCCTATGAGATCCCCAGTGGATCCATTCCAGTTCCGCAAGCTATGTTTAGAGCGAGTGTGGCCTTTCTTGTGCGGAGTCGTAATTTCTTTCTCGAATTCAGGAGAGGAAAAGGAGGGCTCGACCTCCATTTGCATATCATTGATTCTATCGACAATGACACTAGGACTCATTGGGCTCATTTCTCCCTCGCTGATGGGACTCGGCAGGCGTCGACCGCGGCGGAAGCGGTCGATGAATGCTTCGTCAGTAAGATTGGGTTCGGAGAGAGAGGAGTGAAGGGGTTCATCAGATCGTTGATATGCCGAGAAGGAACTATGGATCGGGGTGGGAATTCGGTTAACTAGAGTGATAGAATGATCTGACCGGAATGGTCCAGGAGTTGAGTGTATGTCACTATCAACCATATCGAAATCATCCGAATAACTTGGCCCTTCCGAAACCTGACTCGAAAAGGACGTTTGGTTTCCATTGTGCATTTCCTCTTCATCATGGGCTTGTATGATCTTTCTCGATGAAGATGATGACGACCACGAATAGAAGGTACTGGTCGGCCCGGTAATGATGGGAGTTCCATCCGAGTCCGAGTCCAATGGATTGGTAACGGCCGGTGCTGGAGTGGAGTGATTTAGTGTAAAAGTGGGTGCAATTTGACGTTTGGCATGTGGTGAGGTTCGATGGGGTAAATTTGCTATGTGTCGTTTCTATTCAGGTCATAGATTAACGTGAAGCCCTATTGATGAGTTGAAGTTGAAGTGACTGCAGTGCTTACATTTCTGTGAGCACTAAAGCCTGATGTACCAAGTTCATCCTCATCTTCCCTTTCGCGCTTTCTACTCGGCCACTGTTGCGCGAACATGTTGATGATTTATCCTCAAGATGTATTATCGATGTGAAGATGTATTGATGTAAGTTATTATGCTGACCGGCAGATGGTTAAGAAGGAGTGGCGAGGCAGGCTGGAGACAATTCAGCCGCAGCGAGGAAGCTGTATGCTGATGATCAATAATAACTAAGCAGCAGTGGACTCAAGAGACGTAAGGATGAAGCTGCAAGAAACGGGGAGAAAATGAAACTGGAATTCTGAGAAGATTCGATAAAGGTCTTTACAACTCGATTTTGATTACTCAGTACAATGAACCTAAATCATCCATTGTAAATATCCGGGTGTGTAGGCGTAAAATGATGTTGAGTTTCATAAATGCTTCATCGTGCACTTTTGGTGTTTTGAGAATCTGCTGCTAGGCTGACCTGGACACTGATAGGGTTTCCATAATAAATAACGAAGCTAGACTCATATGGGCTAGCACCCCAGACAATGAGTGGATCAAATCAGACGAGGCTGAGATATTGCCTCGTTTGTCGTTATCGTTATCGTTATCGTTATCTTTATCTGTTCTCAACCTCCGAATCTTATCCGTTCCGCTTATCTTGTTCTCATCCACAAAGATTCATTCATCACATCAAAGTTTAATTGCCTCTATCCGAAACCAAATCGAGGATATACAGATGAATGCCTCCGTGCCATTAGATGAGGTATACAAATAAATTGCGTCTGTGGTAAATCAGATAAAGTTGATAAGATAATAATTGCCTCTGTGCTAACTGACATGAGAATATACTCGGGTACATTGCCTCCTTTTCCCATCTCTCGCCATACCGAGAACAGAACAGTATGTTTTTAAACTTCACTACACACCCATTGGACTGTTTTTGCTATTTTTATTAAAGAATAGTAGATAGCTAGCCCCGGAGTTCATACCCACCTAGTAGTAACCTTCATCGGCAGCCAAAAATAGCCATGATGGTACCCCAATTTTCATTTGAGAGAGTTCGGATAGACAGGCCTAGCAGGGCTGCTTGTTATTTTTAGGGCTAATTAGAATGCTTCAACTGGGGCAATTCTAGTGAGGGGGAGCCTCACATGGCTGGAGATAGATATTTTGACTAGAGTTTGAGGTGCTTTAGAGATTATGTCATTCAAGAAGCGTATGAGAGGTTGTCTTATTATTGGAGCTACGATTACTGCCATATTGAGCCTAACAGCGTAGATATACCTCTTTAACTATAAAACAGATATCTACGTAACGAACATCTACATAACATATATATTAGAGATATTTAGCTATATGAAGTCCTAGAAATAATATATACATTCAAGGATTTTCAAAGTAGTAAGAACCTTAGTGAGCTTTTTAAGCTTTTTAAGCTGTTGTGCTATTAGATTGAATACTGTAACTGGCGATAACAATACGACTCAAAAAGGACATAGACAGAACTGTCGGTATATTCTAAAATCTATATATATCTCGCTGGCCGGCATTACTAGCCGCATCTGCCGTTCCATCTGCACTCCATACCCTGGCTGAGAATGTCATTGGGAAATATCGGACAATCACACTTATGGGTCCGAGCTTACTTACCACTTCGTAAACTTTTTCTTAGGTCCACCACAATGTTTGACTCACTTTACACAACAGCCAGACAACGAAGCAACTCAATATACTCGCAACAAACGACGATAATATTAACATTCCCGTCGATATAAGAAGTCAACTCTGTGTCAGACAAGATCTATAAGATCCATCACGTTTCGGCTTTCTTCTCCCAAGGTTTTTTTTATATCACATCCAAAGAAGATGCCTCAACTTGACTTTGAACCCCTCGTCACTGACGATACACGAAGTATGACCCCGCCAAAATTTCATCTACCTTCTCTTCCTTCAGATATAAAATACTAATCTTCTTATCAATCTTGCAGTCCTGGGTCAAGATCCATTGATCCCTCCTCAATTACTCGTTTCCGAGATCCCAATTACGAACAATTCTTTCAAGACCGTCGTTCAAGGACGAAAAGATGCCGTCGAGATTATCATGGGTAAATCCGATCGTCTTTTGGTCGTCGTCGGACCATGCTCGCTTCATGATCCTACTACCGCCATTGAGTACGCAAGAAAGTTAAAGGATCTTTCCGAGAAATTGTCAGACGATCTGTGCATCATTATGCGTGCCTACCTCGAAAAGCCCCGCACGACTGTTGGATGGAAAGGTTTGATCAATGACCCTGATATTGATGAGTCATTCAAGATCAACAAAGGTCTGCGAATCAGTCGTCAACTTTTCTGCGATCTCACCAGCATTGGCATGCCCATTGCCACTGAAATGCTCGACACCATCTCCCCACAATTCCTTGCAGATTTGATCTCGCTCGGTGCCATTGGTGCAAGAACCACTGAGTCACAATTACATCGTGAGCTTGCATCAGGTCTATCTTTCCCGGTTGGGTTCAAGAACGGTACCGATGGAAGCTTGACCGTCGCAATTGATGCTATTGGGTCCGCGGCTGCCAAACATCATTTCATGGGTGTCACAAAGCAAGGTCTTGCTGCCATCACCAGAACTAGTGGAAATGAGCACGGATTTGTTATTCTACGTGGTGGTACCAAGGGTACAAACTTCGATGCCGAGAATGTCCAACTCACGAAGGAGACTTTGAGTAAGAAAGGCCAAAAGCAAGCTATCATGATCGATTGCTCTCACGGTACATCTACCCTACACAACCTCCATTGAAAATTCCGCTAACACCCCCAGGTAACTCAAACAAGGACCATCGAAACCAACCCAAGGTAGCCCAAGTAGTCGGCGATCAACTCCGCGCCGGTGAAAAATCCATCATCGGTGTCATGATCGAATCCAACATCAATGAAGGCAACCAAAAGGTCCCTGCTGAGGGACCATCCGGTCTCAAGAAAGGCGTCAGCATTACCGATGCCTGTATCAACTGGGAATCTACCGTCGAAGTCCTCGAGCAGCTCGCCGGTGCTATCCGGGAACGTCGCAAGCATTCTTCTGCTTAGTTTCATGAAGTTTATGTTGGGACGAATGGAAAGTGCTCGGTGACAATTTTGGGGGGAAAAGAGTATGGCGTATAATGGAGTTTTGACTGCTCCCGTCACTATTTGTGAAATGGTTCTCTTCTGGACATGTGGAAAGTTCTACCGCGTTTGACGAAATTTTCCATTTTCATCATGTATTTTCTGATCCTGGTGGTCATGGTGGTTTATCAATTTCGGTCATTTCTCGAATATCATCTGGATATTTAAGTATTCTTACACCACAGAAGGAAAAGAAGAGTCGGTTTGATTTTAGATAGGGGTATGATGGCTGCATCAGACGGCTGCAAATGAATTAAAATGTCCTTGAAAGCAATAACTACAACTTCCTTGCTCATCCAATCCTTCCATGCCGTGCTTTTTTTAATGATGAATCCATGCACGCATGAGTTCCTGCGAAACCAGAGGCGGAAAGGGAAGGTAGTAGACGACCAAAATCTACCAAGGCTTCATGAAAATCCCAGATCACTAGAATTTCCGCATTCCACTCAGCAACAGCACTCACTCCGCCTTCGGCAATGGAGCAACCTCGTCTACAAACCCCTTAACAACCCGCTTGTTCACATATCCCTCATCGGGACTTGCCCATGCATAATCGCAATACTCTCCCAGGATTTTCCTGATCTCCTCCGATAACTCTTGAGTCTCTGCTCTCCTGTCCAAACTCCACTGTTTTTTGACTTCCGTCACTTGCCGTCCGGGTATATCAATTCCATCTAACACACTATTCCACACCCGAAGCGTTTCCTCAAACTCTCCCATATTACTTACACCCATTAAAGATACACCTATAGGTTCGGAACCGACTTTGCCGTCGAGGGCCCAGCGTTCAAGAGCCCATCGTATAGCCACTACCTCCAATTTTTCCCCGCCTTCCTCTACCCATCGCGCAGCCTTCTGAACACAAGAACGTAGTTCCTTGGGCGCCGGATGCCAATCTTCCTTCCCATTATCCGGAACGCCTGAGCTACGCAGGAGCCCCATTCCCAACACCGAAGCATTGGACACACAACCCACGCCTGCTTTGCGTAAACGGGCGAGCCCGGTGGTATAGAGAGAGTGATTTTGAATCGTGAAGTTTGCATAGCTCATCACGCAATCTAAAGGTCTACCCGTCTCGCGCAGAATCATTTCGGCGAGGGAACAGAGGACTGGGACAGGATACCCCGAGATACCGATATAGTGGATTGTCCCCTGGGCTTGGAGCTCGCGCAGACAGTTCATGGCTTCAAGGACTTCGGGGGGAGAAACAAATTCGACGTCGTGAAGGTAGACAACGTCGAGGTAGGAGGTGTGGAGACGGGTGAGGGAGCGCAAAACGGAATATTTGATCCAAGACGGGGAGTAGTCGAATTCGGAACCGCCGATACGTCCGCATTTCGTTATGAGGTAGTAGCTGGAGCGGGGGTGATTGGCGAGGATTTGCGGTTGTTGGAGGGCGCGGCCTGATAATGTGTTAGATCATGGAATTTAACATAGGAAGGATTAGGGAAAAGGGAATGCATACCGAGGATTTCCTCAGAGGGGCCATAGTACGGAGAAGTATCGAAGGCATTTACGCCCGACTCTAAAGCCCTTTGAACAATCGCATTTGTAGGAAGGGAGAAAGGATCAGCATTGTATTGATAATTGAAAGTGGCGGTGCCGCAGATCAGAGGTGGAAGGACTGTTGAAAGTGGTGGCCTAGTTGACATTTTTCTTGATCTGGGAAGGGCGAAAGTAGCCGTGAAAGGTTGTCGACAGGTATGAATGAGATTGATGAGGATGCTCGAATGATTTGAGGGTGTACGCAAAAAGAATGTTGGTGGGTGAAAGTGTGAAGGTGTGAAAGGAAGAGAAGGATTTCGGGAGAAGAACTATAACATTATGAAAACAAGAATTAGTTAGTTGACCTTTTGAGAATTGTTAGTGTAATGCCATGGTCGAGGCTTGGGAGGGGATGGGGTTGTAGTGGGGTTCGATGGCTTTTATCGATGAATCAATGCACCTTGGCTGATTTGGTTGGGAGAATTCAAAGAAAGAATGACACGAATTGACCAATCAAAAGCATTCATATATTTAGCCTATTCGTGTTTATGATTTGAAATATCAGAGCCAATTCGACCTTTTTAGACTTTCTAATAAGAAAAAAATCTTATACACTGAATGTAAAGCCATCCTCACAAAGAACAGAAGAAGAATGATCACACATAGGTAATTCCATATCACTCTGATGGCTTTCTGGTCATAGGGGTGTGGGGAGGTTGAAGAAAGATGCATTCGTACCTGCTTTTTACTCCGTACATGCCTAAAATGCGTCTACGGAGCAATACCTGGAGATAGCATAGCTACAGAAAAGCTTAACAACTCGGGAAACGCGGCCATCAATCGGTTTGATGGCCAAGGATTGACGGCGTTGTGGCCTTATGGCCTCATAATATGAAATCGGAGCTGGAATACCCTAGTACACCAGTCCAGGAGATACCTACATACCTACATACCTAGGTAACTATTCCTTAGTCCTTGGTAGATGCATTGTTTTGAATACAACTTCTTCAATACTTTAATTTAAATTTTAATCTCGATTCCAATTTCAAGAGTAGAAGCGCTCTCCAGTCTCTCCAGTCCCTCCAGTCTCTCCAGTCTCTCCAGTCTCTCCAGTCTCTCCAGTCTCTCCAATCTCTCCAATCTCCAGTCTGTCCAGCTTTCCAGCTTTTCTCCTATAATAAACTACCAAGGCTTTGTCTGTCCTGCCGTCATAACACATCCGGAATACTCATGGATATTTAACTTTGCTTCTCTTTACCCACTATTCCATCATACAATTAAGGAGATCTACGCATCTTCCCTAGGGATACCAAACAAATACAAATAAAACAACTACCTACTTACTCTTCCTTTTCCCCTCTTCTCCTTCATCTATATTTCATCTGTTCTCTCTACCAAATAAATCCATCGTTCGGACGACAATAGGAATACCGTACAATACCGTTCAACGCAGATGACTTTTCCTTATCGTAAAGGTCAAAGCTGATTGTACCGTCTTCCCCTCTGTCGACAACCAAAAAGGTATTCAACTCGTCTTTATCTGAACCGGCTCGTGTGATCCAAACCGGGAGTGGAAACTTCACTGTGGCTCAGGCGAAATAAACCTTACAATCACAGTTCCCCACGCTTGCCGAGAACCTGCATAAATTCACAACATCCACTCACTCTCAAGAATTTGGCACAATCTCATTCGACTTTATCTTGGATATAGTTCTTACCGCCCCAACTCTCGATGAATAGTTGATTCCTGATTCTGCAGACATTGCGACTGCAAAATGGGTCATCAGCAAAGTTCTATGAACCCATCGCGGGGAGACTCGCATGGGGATAGACATCGACATTATGACGCTGGTGCGAGTGGTCCAACGTCTGCATCTGACCAAGATCCATATGCTTCTCGTAATGGCAGAGGCGGCAGACGTAATCTAGTAGCAGCTATCGTGGGTGGCGGATCGAATAATGAGGTACCAGAGAGGAAGGAAACAGCGGCCGAGCGACAACTGAGAAGACTGGAAAGGGAGAGGATTGCGAGGATAGAGGAGCGAGAGAGGAGCATCAAGGAGGAGCATGTAGATGGCGGATATTTAGTTACAATGGGCGTCTACACCGGACCGGAAGATTTCAACAAGGCAATAGTGAGACAGTTGATGGTATGTTGGAGATGATAATATTTGGTAACCGGTCATTATACTGACATGCATAAGATTGAGCGACGAGTTGCACCATTTTGGAGAGGCTTAGATGATTACGAGGATGATTGGACTGAAAATCAATTGGTTGCTGCTGGTAGAGGCCTTCCCATTCCCGCCGCAGATGAAGTACCTGTCGAAGATGTCGCCGGGCCTCATTCTCCCGACTCAGCGAATGTATCAAGTTCGAATCTACAAAATTTGATGGTGCCATTAGCTTCACGAACCCAATCTGCTTCCTACGACACTTCGCTTAGCCTCTCTCCGTCACACCCGGCATTCAGTACGCCATCTTCAGTACCCCCACTCAACGCCCCTACCACTTCCACCTCTCTGCTTCGACCTAGATCTAAAACGTTGGGCTTGAGATCCTCAGCCAAAGAACTGCCAGCACCGGATCCCGCGCCGCGCGAGATCCAATTACCCAGAGATGCCCAAGTAAATGGTCAGGCTATTGAGGCTTTCCTGTATAAGGATGCTGTAGAATGTTCGATATGCTTGATTTGGTATCCCCCGTATCTTAACAGGACTCGATGTTGCGATCAAAGTATTTGCTCTGAATGTTTTGTGCAGATTAAAAGACCGGAACCACACACGCCAGAGCACCACGGTCCACCACCGATCGCATCCGAGAATGCCGAAGATACAGAAATGCTAGTTTCAGAACCAGCCGCTTGTCCTTATTGTCAACGACCTGAGTTTGGCGTCACCTACGAGCCTCCGCCTTTTCGTCGTGGACTTGTCTATGCTAAACCCTCTCCGGAAGTAGCCAACTTCTCCTCAGCCATGTCATCGTCGTCATCGATCAACTCACCGCCTATAACGAGTTCGGGACTCGCACCAAGAGGAGACAGACGCCGGGCTACGTCATTGTCAGCTAATGATTCTCATGTCATTACGACAGACCGTATCAGACCGGACTGGTCAGCAAAGCTTGAAGCCGCCAACCTGCGCAAAGCCAAAAAGAACGCTGCCGCTTCGGCATTACATGCAGCCGCATTTGTGCTTCCGGGTACCTCGGAGAACCGCACTTATACCTTTGGTCGAAGCCGCTTTGGTAGAAATAATCGGAGCGACAACAGCGCTGAAGCGAGCGGAACTGCCACACCTCCAAATCGCGATGCCAGCTCCAGGGCTGTTGTAGAGTCATCTGGTCATGCGCGCAGGGAGGGTCAAGATCCCAATGCTACTCGAAGGATGAGAAGGGACGACCTAGAAGAATTAATGATGGCTGAGGCCATTAGACTTAGTATTGCAGCCGAAGAGGAGCGGAAGAAGAAAGCCGACAAAGAAGCCGCCAAGGAGGCGGCAAAGCAGGCGAAGAAGCAGGCCAAGGAAGATAAAAAGAAAGAAAAAAAAGAGAGGAAATCAATATATGGTGCTAACGGGAATTCGGCCAGCTCGAGTATGCTGAATCTAGGAAGCAGCATAGCTGCCACTTTTACTGGGAGAAGAAGAGGTGATAGCACCGCAAGCCACTTGGCTATAGAGGTGACACCTGAAGAAGTTGAAGTGCCTGTACAAGGAAAAGGAAAAGGTGTAGATCGCCCTTCTTTGGCAAATCAGGGGAGTTCCACGGATAATGGGCTTCCTAGTGGCCAGAATTCGGATCCTTCTACAAGCTCAAGTTTGTTGGAAACCCATCAGTCAATTCCTTCTCCTGACAAGGTTTCTCATCTAAGAGAGATGAGCACCGCTTCTAGTGCCGCATCTTCATTAGTTGAGTCTGGAAATGGTACCAATGCTCAAGGCTCCTCTACAAGTATCGAAAATCCTGGCGCTAATGGGGCAAGCTCTGAGGGGAACGAAGATGGTGATTCAGGAACGGAGTCTATGTTTAACTTCCAAAGCCTCACAGCCCTGATTGAAAAGGAGGACGACAAAGAGAAAACGCATAGTGTAGATCATGTCGAAAACGCATACGAAGCCTCGGATTCTAGACACGGAAGCCTAGATGAAAATGCCTCCCAAGACATGGATGTAAGCATGGAAACTATACGACCTGCAGAGTCTCCTGCTTGTGTCGGCAATATAGAGCGCAACCACTCGAGTATAACTGGACTCCAGATGCTAGATACAGACATCGACACCAGTATTATTACACCGCAGCTCACGATTACACCAGAGACCCCAGCTGTCATGAACCCAACGGAGGAGAATGGAAAACAGCTAGGATCAAGTTTTGCGAGCAGAACGAATGCCGAGATAACTCAGTAGAAAGATAAAAGGACAAACTGGTAGGGGGTTAGATAAATCAATGAAGAGATGATGCAAATGCAATGCATGGATAATTAGCGAAGCCGGATTGACGCAGCGATGGGTTTCTTTTCTGCATGCCAACCAGTACACTTCACTTATATGCATGTACGTGGTGACTTTTCTTTCAACCGGCGAGATTGGGGATGAATGGGATGGAGATGAATGCGACGGGTGATATATTACAACTGTTTATAGGCGTAATTGGCGGCGGAATCTTCTCTTGAGGGACCAACATAGTATGCTTTTTCATTGGTGCGGGCGGTCCGAAATTTAACGGCTTGTAGGTATGGCTATGGGACTCGTGGTGTAGGGAGGCTCTTTTGGGCTGGTGCATGGGGCGTGGGGAGGGAATAGGGGTTTCTACGTTATGGATAGCGATAGACTCTCATCATAAAGTTAAATACTTGAATTTACTTGTCATTTCGACAGTGATTGTTGTACGGTGCTTGGGTGCAAGATGTGAGGTATAGATTTATAGGAAGTGCGCATGCGCTGGCTCTTCTTTTTGGCCGAGATAGATTTACCAAGTTTGGATATTGATGGTTTTGTACTCCCAACTACTGCTGCTTCTATTCCACTATTATATTTTCCATATCCTATTCGCTCTGTTCAATCTGGAAAGGAAGATTTCCTCCCCCCACCTTCGCTCGAAATTCCAAGAAGTAGCTAGCTAATTACGTAGCTTCCCAGCACAGTTGGTCCCTGACCCGCTAGCGCAAATGTGAGTGCTGCAAGTCTCTCTCGGAGACTCAGACGGGGGGATCTATAACATTAGAGTCCACTGTGGAAGTGCTAGTTCTAGCGCGAGATCGATTTGGAGATCACACCATACCGATGTAAGTTTGAGGTACCCACGCCTCCCCACCCTGCCCACTATAACTACAATCTCGCAGGAACCTCGTAGGCTCAAATGCTGCATTCTGAAGAGTGGTTTTTTCGATGGTCGGTATCTGGTGCTTGACTTTAGGTTGGATGAATTCTTTCAGATGGTGGTTTTTCATCTTTGGCGAATATTCTTGGCTTTCCTTTTCTTGAAGATGACCCCTGACGCTGGGGGCTCATTGTTCTGCTCTGTCGCTTCCGGTACCTGTTTTATGTCGATTTTGGTGTCTTCCTCCGTCTCAGCCTTCACAGCTGGTTCTTTTTTACTACTTGATGGAGGCTCTACATTCTCAGCGTTCTCTCTTTTTATCTCTATCTTGATACCATTGTCCGTTTCAGCTTTCAAACCCGGACCCTTGCCTTTAGCAGTATTGCTCAATAGAGTGTCCAGATCATCGTCGTTATTCTCCGTGGGGTATGTGCGAATTGCTGTGCCCCATCTTTTCCTTTTCGCTTCTTTCGCCTCTTCATCTTCATCCTCGGCTTCCCTCTTCCGAACGCCCAGCGCAAGTGCGTCTGGTTTCTTTTCCCCATTTCCGTCCTCAATGATACGCTCAGAAGTAACCTGCCATTCTCCCGGCATAGCTAAATCAGATCTAAATTCATCTGGAACACTAACGCCTAGTTTTGCCAATTGTGCCAATTGTTGCTTTCGCTGCGCGGCTGTTGCTGGCGGTTTTGGAATTGATGCACTAGGCCTGGAGACTTGTGAAGAACTTCCTGCTTCACCAATTCCACTTACTATTCCATTTAGTCGGGCGATTTCGTCTTTCGCTCGATCCTTCTCCCTTTGATCCTTCTCATGGCCACGATGTAGGTCGCGTAGAAAGCGCTTGAGGTTGCCTTGATGCCGCGGACTCGCTTCATGGTTTGATTTCTCAAGCTTGGTATCTTTGACATATTGCTTACAGTGCTTGCACCAATAGCTGGGCTAAATGATGGTTAGAGTGGTGCAGACCGGAACTAGATTTGAAACTTACTGTTGATTTCCAGTACTCGGACATCTTATCGAGAAAACCTGAGTTGGTTACTGACGCTGAAGACACGAGTGTTAGAATCGCAGACCAAAAATTTATCTATTGTCAATTTCATGAGCTTATATTACGTCAAATGTGCTGAAGCATCCGTTGATAGTTTAGAGGAGGAAGCTTCGAATCATCACGGACCAACGCGGCCGCTAGTCTCCAATTTCTCCGGACTAAGCTCCACCACAAGTTTACTTTATGATGGCGAAAGGCTATTACGACAGCTATCGTCCCCATACAGATATCCAAATCGAAACGATGTCCTTAGAGGCAACCTATCGCGTGGCCAGCGGTGTGCCAGTACTATCTCATAGTATTTCGGCATCCCTACCAAAAGTCACCTCTCGAGTTCTATTGCCTAGAGCACAAACCATTCTCTCACAGACATACACACAACAGCAAAGACAGCTCCATGTTTCTTCCAGACTAAGAGCGCCGAATAGTGGGTTGATGGGGATTAATAACTCGAGTGTGCCGACTTCATATTTCCAACGACCTTCATTACCCGCAAATACAATTATTCGATTCGTTCCCCAACAAACAGCATGGATTGTGGAGCGCATGGGAAAGTTCAATCGTATACTGGAACCTGGTCTCGCTATTTTATTGCCAATAATAGATAAGATAGCGTATGTCAAGAGCTTGAAGGAGTCTGCTATCGAGATTCCTAGCCAAAGTGCGATCACAACTGACAACGTTACTTTGGAACTTGATGGTGTACTTTATACTCGAGTCTTTGATGCATATAAGGCTAGGTAACTCTCCTTGTTCCGTTTTCTAGTGAATGTACTAATGCCTTCCTAGTTATGGAGTGGAGGACGCCGAATATGCTATTTCTCAACTGGCACAAACAACCATGCGTTCGGAAATTGGACAACTTACTCTCGATCAAGTACTCAAGGAGCGCGCCGCACTAAACACCAACATTACAGCAGCCATTAATGAAGCCGCGCAGGAATGGGGTGTTATTTGCCTGCGTTACGAAATCAGAGATATCCACACACCCGAAGGAGTTATGGAGGCCATGCATCGACAGGTCACTGCTGAGCGCAGCAAACGAGCAGAAATTCTCGATTCTGAAGGTCAGAGACAGAGTGCCATCAATATCGCCGAGGGACGAAAGCAAAGTGTAATCTTGGCATCTGAGGCCTTGAGAAGTGAACAAATCAACATGGCGAGTGGTGAGGCCGAAGCTATTCTATTAAAGGCAAAGGCCACAGCTGCAGGTATTGAGGCAGTAGCACACGCAATCGCTTCAGGAGAGGAATCAGCGCAAGGGGCTGTTAGTCTCAGTGTAGCTGAAAAGTACGTTGAGGCATTCAGCAAGCTTGCTAAAGAAGGTACTGCAGTCGTGGTTCCTGGAAATGTAGGGGATATTGGAAGTATGATTGCTAGCGCCATGGCTGTATATGGAAAAGTCGGCGATGCCCAAGCAAAAACTATGGCCGCTAAGGTCTTGAAAGGACAGAAGAGCACAGAGCAGACGAGTACAGAAAACGAGTCGCCCAATGAGGAGATGAAGAGAAGCATGCTGGCGTCTTTCGAAAACGCTACCAAGAAGTAAACTTACTATACGATGTGATATGATATGAAAAAGCGATGCGCTGAAGGGCGAATCGAAATCGGGGATGGGAATGGAGGAAGGGAATTGGATGTATGATTATCGGTGATATGCGTTCATGAGCGAACAACTGTATATTGTTTTTTTATGGCGGAGTCAGATGCTGACACAAAATACCCTTTACCTACCTAAGCGTTGAAGAGGTAGTTTTTGCAACTCAAGCAAACCCAAATACTTTAAAATCTCCAATAAAATTATTTTGAAACCCCTCGATGTTTGATCCAGAGAGATGAAAGGCAACAAAAACAGGTCTAATTCAAGCCAAAGATGGTTCTACACTACTTTGTCCCAACCGAAAAAGTAACAAAAATCATTCACTAACGCCATCTCTCTAAACCTGTTCTAATGTGCATTCCCACTTTTATCTCATCCTATGTTAGACGTCACAGTCCCCCGCCTCAAAGGCCAAACTCCATCCCTACTTCCTCCAAAGCCTTCCCAATCCACTCCAAGACCTCCTGATCTCTCGCCGCCGCGCCCATGGTCTTCACAAACAATGGATACAATCTGTGTAAATGTTTTTTCCCCTCACTCTCGACACCAGGTGTGTCGGGAATTGCCTCGCTTTCGCATTTCAACCCTACAAGCTTCTTGAGAATGTATAAAAGTTCTTTGCGTTGAGATAATGGCTGCGGCATGCGGCCACGAAGCGGTTGATCAGCAATGTACGCACGAAGAACGAGGCCACATCTGAGAATCAAGTATGGCGCAGCTGCTTGAGCGAGCTTAATGCGTGGTACAGAGCCATCGTTGAGTGTGACGAGGGAGATGAGTTCATCGAAGCAAACGTAACTCATTTTTGCACGAGGGGAGGAGATTGGATCAACAGTGCAACCTTTGCGAGTTTGGTACAATGTGGCTAGTAGTTCCTGACTGGGCTGGGGAAGCTCGCTGGGTTGTACGGGGTGGATGATGGACATGTGGAAAAGTGACTCCGTGTACGTGCGACGCGTTCGGTCCGGTATAACTTGGGCGCCAAGAGCGGGAGTGATGAGCTCGCGCAAAGTTAGGAATGATGCAATGTCGAACTCTTGATCATCTTTGATATTAACTGTTTTGTTTGCAAAATCACAATCTGCAGAGGTGATTCCAATAGCTATGCTTACTATCGACGTCCATATAGATCGGACGGCTTCCTCATTCAAAGTGATAGTTGGCATTATCGGTAAAATGGCGCCCAGAATGGCGAGTGCTGATATTGTTGCTTGGCGCCATGGTGATATACTCTTCGATATTATAGGAAATGAGTACTTCAAGACAATGGGATTGGCAAGCGCGGCTAAGGAAGAAGATACTGCACCGCTGGTGTAGATGTCTGGCTCCGAGGAATGTGATATAATGAGCTTCTCCGATAAAACCATGGAAGCTTTAGACAAAGCTATGTACGTGGGCCTCTGGACGTTAGAAGTATTATCCTTTGGCACGAAAGCCAACGCTACGAATTCAGCAACCTGACTAATCAAGGTAGCGGGAACTCCCTCAATATCAGTGCGAATCATCTTAAGCGACTCTAATACCTGGGATTGTAATGGTGTGAGCTGCTCAATGTCTGCGGAATAGGTAGAAGCATTCGCTTGTTGCATAGCTTCCCGAAGTAGCGTAAGCATTCGTTTGACTCGATCAGCATCAAGGTCATCCTCCACAAGACGGTAAATCTCAGGAAGAGCAGACACGTAAGCAACCAGATAACCTTGATTGTCGACGCGATTATCAAACGCATCGATTCTTACTGAAGGCAAAGAATCAGACCAAAGGCCCCATGCCAAGTCGATCGTAATGCGCGTGAAATTGGTTTTCGTGGCCTCCTTGACATTTCCCCGGGAAAGAATTTGTTGTAAAGCCTTGAAGACAGCAGTATTGATGTCAAGAATCTCGAAAGCTAGCATTGTTTTGAAATGTTCTAACAAGATTTTCCAAGAGCTTTCGAACGTGGGATGGCTAGTCAGAACATCTAGATAGTCGGCCAACAAATTGGTAATGCCACTCAAAACCACAACAGTAGTCTCAATCCATCCTGTTTTGTCCTTATTAGATACAGTAAGCTCAGGGTCAGTAATAAATTGCAGATGTGCCTCTATCAAAGACAATAATCTGAAGATGACTGATTTCAGGCACATAGACCATGCTACAGCGCTGAGTTGATCCCCATATGCATCGAAGATTCTTAGTAATGTCTGAATTGCGCCTACATCAATGTTAGATAAAGTACTTGGCTAATAATGTTTGGACCCACTATTTCTGAGCTCTAGTCTTTCATCTGCCGTAACTGATGTAAGGCGTAGTAAGAGAAGCATCCATAAAGCTGCATCTGAAACAGCACGATCATCACCAGATGCCTTTCCTATCAGAGCGTCCTCGGTTGAATCTTCGATAAGATCAGGACTAAGCGAAAAGGAGCTGGTTCTGCTAGAAATGAAATCTGACAGTACCCAAAAGAAGGTGACAGTCTAAAAAATTATTAGAAATAGTGAAAGTACAGTGTCAGGAATGATTTATACCGTCAGTGAAATGTTAAGATCATCATCTTGTGTACAGAAATGGTAAAGAGTGTCGACGAGTATCAAAAAGCAAGAATTGGGTAGCGATGAAAGGAAGTCTGAACAAACGAGCTGGAGGGAATTAAAAGCAGAGCGAACTAATTTAGCAGATCGAGTAGCGGTTATTTTTGCGTCGGAGTCAAACTTCATAAAGACACTTCCAATGATCTCGAATGCGATGTCCCAACCACTGATTAGCTTGTCTCCACATTGCTCTAGAATGCTTTTGAGGCCTTCAAGAATAGCCTTATGGACTTCGACATCCGTTGAATGTATAGCCACAGTGACTTGTCTCTCTTCCGTTTGCAGTGGGCCCAGGGCACGACTCAGTGCTTGAAGTAGCATGGTTTGTATGACATTGCGTCGAACTTCAGAGTCTGCTAGGGTAGAAGTTGCGGCTTCAATCACGATCCTAACGAGAATTTCCGCAGCTCTTAGTCTAACAGAAGGTGTTGCAGTGAGGGAAGAAGAGGCAGAAATCAACTCTGATGTTAGCATCTGCCACCCGCTAGCGTGGGGCTCATGTGTCGTTAATCTATCAATATTGATGCTCGCAATATCACCCAACTTCGCCAGCGCAAATAGGTCCTCTTGATTCTGAGTAGATGGTGCTGTCACAATACTATGGACCTTTTTATGAGCGTAAGATGGCCTCCTTGTTTCAGGAGATGATGGGCTAGAAGGTACTGGCTTTTCTGATATCTTGAGAATTTCTTCTTTACTGAACAAATCACAGAGAGCTGAGACAACAGCCACAAATGGCTCATTAGGGAAATCAACAGTACTTTCTAGTAACCTAGTAGCAGCTGTTTCAACCGCTTTAATCTCGGTACCAAAGTTCGCCCATAATGCAGAGGTGTTATTAATATCCTGACTCTCTGGTCTTTGTGTGGTGGGAGTTCTGACGGACTTGGCACTGGAAAATATTACCAGATCAGCTTGCTGCAACGTACCAAGAACAATGACCCATGCAGAGTCGAGTGTGGGTCCTAATGCAATCCCTAAATTCAATAGTGCGCGAAGACAAAGTAAATTGCGTGTGTTGAGGGTCGGACTGGATGTATCTATGGGCGCATGCTTATTTCGTTCCGAATTGCTAACCAAACTATCAACACTTAAGAGACCTCTTGCGTTGTTGAAAATGCTCGAGCTAGAAGGCGAGTCCACCGTTGGCGTCGTTGGGCTTTGAATTTGAGTCGTCGTGGCTGTCAAGACATTAGGTGGTACTGCCGCCTTTCCTAGGGTTGTGAGAAAGGCATCTCGAGGTGTCGCAAGTCGTAGAAGTCCGGCCACATGAGTGAATTTTTGGAATGATCTAACCAAGCCGTGGTAATATTCTTGATCTAACGCTGCATAGAGAAAGGTTGAACAAGTTGCCAAGATTGCGGGCCAGCATTCGTCCACGATGCCGGCACAAATCTTGACCTCTTGAAATAGATGATGATGTTCGAGAGTTAATGGATTGATGGGGATGGGATTCTTTTTGTAAGACGAATTCCTCTCGATTGGTTTTATATCAGGGGTACTAGGACGAGAATCAGAAGCTTTTGAATCGATTTCAGAATGCCTGGGGCCTTTTTTTCGAGGCCGCTCAGGTACCGTCAGGGGTAGTATGAACTTCGCAAGTCCTTCGGAGAATCCACTAATACATGCAAGAGTGAGGCTGTAGATGTAAGATTCGGGGATCGATGGTGCATCCGTCTTGTCTAGCTGATCAATGCATGGTACTCTCATTGTACTCCATTGCGCACTGACACCAGCGCTTGGCTCAGTCGTACTTACCGTGCTACTGATGATACCAGGAACTCCGCTAGCTTCAAGCATTGCTTGATCTGAAGTGCTACCCTGGCTAGCAATCGGGATAGTAGATTGATGACCAAGACCAATAACGGCAGGCTTTTCCGTGCTGACTCTGACAAAAGCTGCAACGAGATCTCGTAGGATATTTTTCTTCTCTTCTCGGGCATCGTACATGAAAAATATTCTTCTGATCAAAGCTGCTTCGGCAAAGATGCCTCTCAATATTTCCATACAGAGTGATCTCTTCCATAGAGCAGTATCATGGTCAAGCATGTGGGTGAGTAGACCGAGCGCCATTTCGCCTTCAGAAGAGAGAATGCTCAAGTGTCTTCTGAGAAGTGTATAGAGGATTCTTGTGGTTCTAACAGTCACTGCAAAGTTCAACTTCTCTGAGAGTGCGCTAATGATGAATGGCATAACTCGGACTCTTAGTATATTTGCTTGCTCGGGATGTGACAGGAATATATCGGCATGATTGGTCAAGACAGATTCAATCAGCTCGAGCCCAAACGTCTGCGGAAGACCAGTGGAATTCAAAAATTGAGGTTTTTGGGCTTCCGTCAACAAGCATATGTCGTTGAAAACCCTAAAGGCATCCAGGGCAGCAGCACGCAGCTGGATGACTCCGTCGCCAGTTGGTGCTTCGCCAATGGTGGGCACTTCTAAAGCAATTTCTATCCCATCATTAGCTGCTAGTTTTTCTTTGGTAACCGGTTTGGAAACTCACTGTCCTCTGCCACAACCTTGTCGAATACAGAAACGACTAACTGTTGAAGGGTAGCAGCAGCTGTATTAAGCACAATGCCATTCTTGCTTGCCTGAAGAATGGAACATATGTTGAGTGCTGCAGCTAAGAGGTCCCCCTTCAATTCATCTGCATAATTCTGCAAAAGCGACGGCAACGCCTGGAGGATTTTCAGCTGCACATCCAGACCCGCTGATGTAGCTTCTCGCAATGCCTCCAAAACTTCTCTTAGCCTCGATTTGGGAAGTGCACGTGACACGACTAATCTTTGAAGGCAAACGACCGCAATTCCAGTAAACTTGACATTTTTGGTTCCGCAGGCAATGAGGAAAGGCGTAACGAAGTTGGGTCGTTGAGTGAGGTCTAATCGTACATCAGTGAATACTTCTAGCGTACTAAGTGATGACAACATGTTTCTAAAAACTGACCTGCAGCTATTTGGGCTTCAGATGTTGATCGCAGACCCCTAATCTCATCCAGACTCTTTTCCGCGGCCTGATATTGCGAATCAGCAAAGGGGCCAACTTAAAGAGCGCGGCCGCGTGGAACTGAACTTACATTTCGGAGATCTGTATGCTTTCTTTTGCTCTCTTGTATAAGGTTTCCAAGCTCTGAGGCCAGCATCTGCGCCGTCATATTAATTAAGTTTCAATATGAGCATCGCCAAGCCCATTTCCATTATTTCCCAAGAGGCATGATGTTTATCATGAGCTTCAGTTGTCCTTTGCGAGTATGGACAATTAGTAGACGAAGATTGCCGAGGTTTAGCCGCTTTTGACCGCCCGGAATCCTGGATGGAGATGACCCCGCGATCAATCAGCCTTCCCTCTAACAAAACTTCTTACCAACTTTACCGTGTTGCGCAAATTTAGAATATTTGGAATCCACAATATCTGCACTTTTTTTTTCTCTCCAGCACAAGATACCCAACAATTCAAGATGGCTGCTCAAGGTGCAAAAGTACCAAGAAACTTTAGATTGCTAGAGGAGCTAGAGAAGGGCGAAAAGGGCCTTGGAGCTGGTGAGTTGGATATCAGCAAGCAGTAAAGTTTGACAAGCTCTAATGATCTTCGTCACTCAAAGACGCTTGCTCTTATGGTCTTACCGACGGCGACGACTTATACATGTCCAACTGGAATGGCACAATCCTCGGCCCCCCACACGTATGTTTCTTCTCGCACCTATTGTATATTTTGTTTTTAAACTAACAAAGGATACTAATAGAGCGTCCACGAGAATCGCATCTATTCTCTCACCATGCACTGCGGAGAGGACTACCCTGATGTCCCACCCACTATAAGATTTACCAATAAAATCAACCTTCCTGGTGTGCAGGATGATGGCAAGGTTGTTACATTATGTAGATGGTTATAGGAATATACGGAGCTGACTGATGCTCTAGGTCGACCCTTCAAAGATTGCGTGCCTTGCGAATTGGCAACGCCACAATACAATGGAAACTGTCTTGATTGAGTTGAGAAGGTAAGCTACGCAGTCTACACTCTCATCGCGGGGACAGAAGCTTACCTTATTCAGATATATGGCATCTCCAGCCAACAAAAAGCTTCCTCAACCCCAAGAGGGTTCTACGTACGATTAGATACCACTTACATCTCTGGACGGTTCATGACACGAACATACCTCGAGATCACAAGGCTCACTGGGTCGAGGAGAGATTGGTGATGCATATGACTTTCTTTATGTTGACACGGGGGCATCAGCGCGGCGAAACTGGTTTTCTATCCTGGCTATGGTGTTTCTGAATGAGAAAGGAACGAATGAAGCAAGCGATGATGATTCTTGCAAGAAATACAATGACTTGTCAAGTTTTGCGGCCATCTCTATGAGCCAATACTCGTGATAAATTGACACACAAAATAGTGCAACTAGAGCAAGTTGGTATGTTTATTTAGTAGCCATCATATTTCTAAAAGACTGGCTCATACTCGGTCCTGAAATTTTTTCTCCAATTTGGCCAAATTCTTGTTATGCCTTCTCTGGCCCCTCTCCTGCCTCCATAATTCTCTTTCCTTGTCCACTAGTTCCAGTTGTAATTTAGACAATTCGACTACCCTGAGTGATTCCTGCACCATGAGATGCTTCACAGAAGCATCGGCTAATTGCATGTCTTTCTCCCAGAAACCCACACCCCAGCCTAGCCCTGGTTGTTTCTTGTTCCACTCGTCAACACTCAGGCCCTCGTTTTCCAACTGATCCTCAATTATGTCTTCCCAGGTATTCTCTGCAACTGCTATCTCCTCCAAATACTCTATTTTATCCCGAGAATCCGTGCGCTTTTGTCTCGTCTCGATTTTGTCCCTTAGGACCCGACTCAGATATGGACTTTGCGGTTTCTGTATTCGTAGGAAATTTGATACCATTGCTTTGGAAAATTTAGGGACATGACGAAGTCCGGAGAGCTTTTCAAATGGCAAAGGACGCGCCTCGAGAAGTTTGGGAACACCAGGGATGGCTTCTGGATAGCGAATCTTGGGTTTGAGAGGTTGAGGAAGGAGTGCGGAGGCAGTAGCTACAGTTTTACGGTAGCGTAGCAGTTCGTATATCTGGTTTCTCGAGTCCGGGTCGCCATCGCCAGCGGTACGAATAAGCTTCTCTCCCTGAAGAAGGATCTCGTCAATGCACTGTCAAAATAAAAATGAAAAAATAGATGATAGTGATAATAATGATAGTGGTGCGAACAGACCTCATATCCTGTTTTGAGTGCCGCGACGACAATCTTTGGGCTATGCTCCCACACATTTCGTCGAAATTGTTTGCGGACAAGATGTTTAAGTGGATGAATGGGCCCTTTAGGTTGTAGCTCGGCAGGAATAGGGACTCGTAGACATTGTTCAAGCAGGGCCCTGTATAGCGCAATGCCTTTGCATCATCATTTAGCCTCGATTTTACAGATTGAAGAAAAACGCTTACAGGCTATACGGTGGCGACCTGATTTGCGAGGAATAAATTGGGTTGGCATTCATTTGTTGTTGGCTCATTGCGGTGCAGCGAAACATTTCTAACTCATTTGCAACAGCAAAATGCAAAACAGGATTGATCTTGGCACTGTCATAAAATCACGTGCTCGCAGTTCACAAACTTTCGCTTAGATCTTTAATTGTTCAAGTCAACACTTCCCTCCTGTATTTTAGTTAACAATTATACTCAAAACTTATTATGACTTTCATGAGAGTTGCGACTAATTACTAAATGCTTTCTTTCCTGGGAGAAAAGGGAGAAATCCTTTAGGAAGCTCGGTGATAATGCTACTGATCTAACTACCTAATCCCACACAAATCCCATCCAGCATCATCACCACAAGTTTGGCTCACGAAACGCCCATCGAGCAACTGGGAATTAAATGGTTCACCAGTAGAAATAACATGCCGAATCGAAACTAGTTGACTCAAAGCGTGTAAAAAATTAATGGGTGCCGCAATGGTCATGAATATCCCAGAACACAAAACCCTTCGTCAGAAGGTCTTTTGGCTTGGGATGCATATGCTTAAAGAGGGAAATACTGTGGAGTGGGAATCATGGAAGTGATGAACATACAGATCTGTTCTGTTATTAGCTACATACTCCATGCAACACTACCCGTTAGCTCCGAGCCTTTGGCTTTCGTTTTCAAAGTCGTTTGATAACAAAATTATGAGAAAGGTTTGATCGCGTCGTATCTCGATGCCCTGTTCGATCTTATGGAGTTGCCGTACTGCCCTCCCACCATATTCCATCGTTCCACATCTTTCCACTTCGATCACTGATTGACATTTGTGATTTTGCGAAGGTTCTTGAGGAACTGACGAAGATAAGTCAGGGTAAAGCTACATCTTACTCGAATTATACTCAAAGTTCAATTCCGTCGGTAGGGAAAGGACAATGGTGATGGGCGTTAACACAGCTGTCTCCTCATAATAAACCGTGGCTGTTTAGTAGTTCTTTCTTCAGTTGTAGATATGTTATCATCTCCTATCGGTGTCTCAGCTTTTACTGTTTTACTGTTTCACTGTTTTCAATATAAATATGGAAATTGATTCCTAGATCCAACGTCTTTTTTGCTTGTATTATTCTTACTTCTACGCCTTCGGACTAGCCTATTGCCATCTCTTCTCTCAAAATGTCTTCAGTACACCCTACAGCCTCTGAGGATTCTAAACCTACCCCTGATACAACATCTATCATTACTTCAAATACGAAAACTGGCAATCAACCCCTTCCTGATACGCAAGCCTCTCCAAAACGCCCCCTACGGCCGAATGCACCATCTTCATTTCCATCCCCTATACCAAGCATCCCTACGGCCATAACACTGAGGGCATCATGTGGAGATCGTTCCTTCAATCGCAGTTCACGGCAATTGTGTGTATTGGACAGTCCTGGACTTCGCACACCACCCCAAGGTTCTTCATCGATCTATTTGACAATGTCGCCATTGAGTACAGCACCCTTGCCTCGACGTGAGTCGCACAGCGATTATTTTCAAGAACACCGTTCCCGCGGATCAAGCCGATCACGCAACGGCCATGACATGCTCAATGTAGCATCAGGGTGCGTGTCACCTGTACTGCCCACGGAAGGTTATTCCACGACGCGCCCATCACCAAAAGAATCGTATATTACTTCGAATGGGTATACATGTACCACGGATAGTTTGCCCTCAATCTTAGGTGGACCAAAGACTCCATACAAGGCACGCAGGCCAAGCTCTGACAGTCTCAGCATGGTCAAACATAAGAAGAGGAGAAAGACTGAAGGCGCGAGGCACCGACGATGCAGAGGTACTTGCAGTCGAGGGATAAAAAAGACGACTGAGGAAATGGCTATAGAAGAGCGCAGCTACAGCCCAAATCCATGGCCTCCAAGTCAGGTCGTCCCAACAGCCCTGAAAGACACAAAAGTCCCAAACACTCGTAAGAGTAAGTATCTGTCAATGAGACGGGATAGAAGAAGGTTTCTGTCTGAGCCAGCCGCTCCAATCGTTTCAAGAAGATGGAGCTCGGTTGAGGTTGGCACGCGCCAAGTGAAGCTCCCTCCGTTATTGAAACAGGACTCTGCAAAACATATGCAGGTAAAAGGGCCAATTTTCCAAAATGAGATTTTCAACAACACCCCACTCAATGAACGAAACAGAAGTTCATCGTTCACTGCCGGTGCTGAGTACAATGACGTAGTGCGCTCTCTTCGAGAGAGATTGACTACTCGCAAATTGCCAGATAGTCAAAAGCTGATGCCGTCCGCTATAACGTTGAGAAGACCAAGTGCATCAAACAGATCCGATATGAGTAGCACAATGGCGACCTCGGGATTTCTAACAACGCCAGGAACCGGCTCTGTCATACCTTCCATTTCTAGTCGCCAGGCGACATTCATGGAGAACCAGCCACATGATTCGGAAGCATACATCATCACTCGTGAGGATGTTGAAGCTGTAATGGAATTGCTCCAGACAAATCTGCTTAATACCCGGGAAGCTCACACCCCAGTCTCAGCATCACACGGACCGAGCGTGGAAGAACAGTCTCCGCGAGGTACCAGACTACCATCATTGTCTTTTACGCACAAAGGCATGGTGCCTGTAGTTCGTCACACTCCTTGTGAAATCCAAATATATGCAGCTCAGTCGGAGAATTCGCGAGAGACATCTCAAAACGGAAATACTACTACAGCAAATGTATCCCCTGGTATATCTCGTTCTCAAACAAATATTGTGGATCCAGCCAATCCAGGACAGTTCTTGGAGATCTCTCAAACGGAGTTTGGGCGGCTTGATAGACTTTCAGAAGAGGGATCTGAACGAAGTGTACACGAAGTAATCTGGGAGGAGCGTGGCTCAACGGAATCTCATTTGACAGAGAGAGGTCATGTCCATTCTGAGGTTGGTTCCTCAGAGTGCTCTAGCAAAGCTCACACTCCATTGCTAAGTGCTAGACATGACGATGCAAGACCATGCTTTCAATTTCTCAAGTCTTCTAAGCAAGACCACCGGCCTAGGGAAGAAAAAGGTGCTTTTGATCCCAAAAATGCACGAATGTCAATAAGTAAATGGTCATGGCAATGTGAATCACAAGCAAATGAGGACGATGGTAATCTTGTCACAACCACGGAGCAAGAACCACACAAAGATCATGTAATCTCATTTCCTCCACTACCGAGGAAATCAACCAATGAGTGGCGCTCTCCACTTCCGGATATGTCTATTTCTATCCGTGATTCTAAGCTTCTGGGTGGTATACTTCCTCAGATGCATGAAAGCTCCCACTCTCATTCCCTCTATAGTATTGGAGTTGATGCTCGGACTGCACCAGGTCCAAGTCCGCCTATGATGAGCGGCATGGAAACAACCCCAACAACGCGAAGTTCCTGGTTAAATGAAACGGCCCTCAGTCCTCCAGATAGAGTATCCTCATGGCTGACCCACTCTGAATCCGGAACTTTAAAACGCCAGAAATCCGACACCCATCTCCCTCGCCAAAAAAGTGTCGTCAAAGCACACCCTAAAGCGCCAGCTCGCTCTGGCAATGCTGCTGCAATTGGGTCCTCAATTGGGTCATTTACAAGAGTCCGAAGACGAGCGACCTCACAAGACTTGCCTAAATCGAAAAAAGTCTCCATATTCGATAATCCGCTGGTAAAATCCGATCACAATCAAGAAAGAAAAACATGGTTCAAATCTATACAAGACATAGCCCGTCCTAGATTGATTCTACACGGCGAGATAGAAGCAGCAGGCTCTTGGTCGACGCTTGCCGCGCGTCACGCTAGCAAAGATCATGCTGCACGTTCAACTCCCTCCCCCCCTGCAAGCCCTCACTGTAATCCAAAGGACGAAGCGAACCATCGCAACATCCAACCTACGACATCTTCGAGCATATCGGAGATGTTCTCGCCACCAAGGTCATCGGCTCGGCAAAGTTTATCCATGATCCAGGATAAATATCCTTCCTTTCAGAAATCAGATTCAAAGTCGCATACTTCCAAAACGAGAAAAATGTCATCGCCAGGAATGTCTGTTGCGCGGGAAAGTCTATTGAAAATTCAAGAGAGGTATCCTTCACCACCAAAACCGGACCATAGCGGTATATATGATTCGGTGACGGGAATTAAGAGGAGAGACAAATTGGAGTGCTCGAGGGACTGTCAGCACTTGTTGCATAACTGCGATACGTGTACCAGGCGTGGCAGTGAGATGAGTTCACCTAGTGTGGACTGGATTGGTTAATGGAATGCTCGAGGAGAAAACCCGAACTAGTGCTTGGAAATGCACGGCAGCTTTATTCAAAGTTGCATGCAATATTAGTGGTGACCTTAGAAATTGGATTGTTGTGATTGCAGTTTCACTGATTGCTGCAACGTAGAGTAGTGTATCATTTGTTATCCTACAATAACAACTCAATTTTTTCTACATCACGACTATCTGATTTTGCAATTATCATTGTGACCAAACATGTTTTCTCAAATTTTGCATAGGCTGCGCAACGGGGCTCTGCAGGACGGATTATTACCCTCGGAGGGTAACTTGCAAATGATCCATTTGCAAGACAGATAATTGAAGAATATAAATAGATAACTTGTAAATAATTTGTAGATTATCCATTAATTTATAAATAATCCGCAAATTATCTATAAAATAAATATTCTTTTAAATTTTAAAGTTATCCTTATATTTTTTATATTAATCTTCATAAATTATATAAATTATATCTTTTATGAATCAATAGATTATTATAAATAATCTACAAATAATCTATATAATTTAAGTTATTTTAAAATCTTAGTAGATAACTTGTAGGATGGATTATAGACTTATAACCTACCCCGCGATACAAATTACCCATAGATATCCACAACCCGCGGGCTATTTTTGCGCAGCCTAATTTTGCATAATTAATTTGATCGGCAAAGCTGAGAATGCTTCGATAGCGTATAACTGGCATCATTCATAATAAAATACAATATCATGCCATCGAAGTCTGAGATAATAGTTGGGTAGGTCTAAGCTTGATCGTTGGTAGTCAAGGTTGTGGTTAGCATACATATAGATAGTACAGTGCACTGGGTAAGATTACATCATTACCAGTTAGGGAGTCTCGTGTAAAGATAAGCTTCAGAATATAGAGACCTGCTTTAGTACTAATCCGCTTCATGACTTCATGGAAGATTGTTAGCTATAAGCTACACTAATGGCAAAATTCTTAGCTCCTCAAACATTAGAGGTATAGGAAAATTTATAACCCGGTTCTAGTTGATTCACTAACATAGTACAATGCCCTAGAACCCCTTTAACCCTCAAACTAGATGCCACTAAAAAGTCATTACCGCGTCACACCCCAAGATGCAAGCATCCAATACATATGCTTACCAGGATTGGCCTTGTATCATAAAGTACAGATATGCAACCCTAGCTTTATAACCCTTCTAATTGGTAGATTCTTGGATAGACTCAGAATACTTATCCCTAACTACGGGACTAAAGAAAACGGACAATTATGTGGATCGCTTCATGGCGAGGAAGAGGTCTGTGAGATGAAATGTAGATGTGCAACATGAAATGAAAAATGCACTAGGTGAAAGGTTCTATAGACCAAAGTTCTTACCGGTGTACGCGAGTGGAATAATGGTTGTTATCGAGGGTCTTACCCTTTCGTCTACAAATCAGATCTATCCTTGCAGATATTTCCAAAAACAGTATTTCTGGAGACGTCTTCAAGTACTAAATTCAGACTTCAATGCCTTGGATTTTAGAATGTTTTAGTTTTTGTCATTGTAAGATCTTACTATGGGATGAGAAGCATACATATGAGAATGACACAACTCGAAAACCTCCATACCTCATAATTCGATAATCATGCTAGCTCAGAATCTGAGGATTGTACATTGGGATATCTTTTATAAATCATCTCCTCTACTAAACCGGAATGTGCAATGATATGCAAAAAAGACTAACCATATACGGATCTAATTCATAGTCGTCGAACTAGGAGAGCCAGTGATTTCCCCTCGTCCAAATATTCACAGTTCATTACCTAATGACTTGGATTGTAGGGAAGAGGTCATTAAATTTGAAAATTAGATATGCAACACACGCCTTTTGAGAATTCTGAATGGAGGATTACTGGTGACGATTTAGAACACTAATTCTAGCTGTCGAACTAAGAAAACCTAAGACTTCCATTAAGACGGTGGCTACATAACCTACACGCACCATTTTCACATACTTACTAGGATGAGGCCTGCAAAGCGAAACTGTAGATATGCAACACATATTAGTCGAGACTCCTGACTGGAAACTGTCCGGAGACGGCTGAGAAACTAGTTGTAACGGCCGGGACTAGGAAAAACTAGAGGATTAAACTTCCCGCCGCCGACCTGTGGACTTTGAAGTAATGTAATAGGTATGCCTAGATACTGTTAGTATAGATCAGCTAGTATGATAGCCATGCAAAACGGAGATATGGTCATGGATCATTACTTTCCCAAGGACTTTGAGTAAAGAAAGCTCTAGTATCTATTTAAAATGGCAATCGTAGCTGCCGCACTACCCAAATGCGCCGTCGCCCTCCCAATTGCGGGCCGTTGATGACCTTAGAGTACCAACATAACCATAAATTACCACAACGCACCAACCTCCAGGATGGAGCGTCGAAGGGATTTAAAATTTCAACAGGTATACCCAGGCCCCCGAGCGAGAATTTTCTGAGACAGCCCAAAGTGATAGCAATGTCTACCGCAATTAGGAAAACAAAACATTAGCTTTCAGCCAGCGGACGAGGCACTGGTATAAACAGCGCATCTAATAGTCCGGATCGCAGTCTTAAAGTAACTAACTCTTGACCCATTGAAATCATTAAACCTATTTCAAGCGTTCGATTGATTGATTTATAACCATTTAATGTCTTTAACAAAATGACTAAATTTTTTTTAAATGTTCAATGTTTGATAAGTTTAAATCGTGCTACGTCCAGAATACTGAACACATTGAGATAAACTACGTATCCTACTTGTACACTTGCCAGGATGAAGCCTGATTTTAAAAATCCAGATCTACGAACAAACTTCCTTGGAGCTAGAAACCGAAATATACTTGAATGGCCATTTTACCATAGCCCAAAAAACCAATAGAAAACGAATGGCAAGAATACAATCTTGATTGGCACTCCGGTGTACTCTAGTGCGCCTCTATACCTTCTTCTTCGCTCCTATACTCTCAAACGCATAACGCCTGGTCGGCCTCAATATAAAGGCTCAATATCCATGTGGTTTCCATGCTGGTTTCCTTCTCCCACTTCACGAACTGACACCTTCCGCAACTCCCGGCTGTTCACTTCATCGTTACAGATCTGAGCCTTAGAAGTGGCCTTGCCGAAGCCTGCCAGAATCAGGCTCTTCCTCACAAATAATCTTGGAGAAAGGTTTGGACAGCCGATGCCGTATCACAGTCGGAAACCATAGAATCCGAGGCTAGGAAGGGCCAGCAGCATAGCACAGCCACCTCAGATCAGCCGCAACTCCTGCATCATACCCAATCTGAGCATCGCATATCTGGATTTCATTTTCAATCCCAAAGAAATCAGTCGCATACATTTCCGCCAAATCTCCCTGTGCTTCGATTCCCCCTAGCATTTCCTGGTCGTCCGTGACTATAGGCTGCGATTGCGACTGGAACTCAGTATTAGAGCATCCCCCACTGGATTCCTTGTTGAATGACCCGATACTCATAAGCTTCTCGACGTATACGTTACTGCTCTCCTTTTGTGCCTTTAGCATTTGTTGCCGATACAATTCGATCGCGGTATGAAATCGAGAAAGTATATCGAAATATTGATCTGCTTGCGGACTTAATCGTGCGATCCTCTTGAGCACAGTGCAAGCATGATCAAAAGATTCGCGAATATGAGCAGGGCATTCGCCTCCTACGAGGAGGGAGAAGCCAAGGACGAGTCCTGCGGAGAAAAGCCATGCTTGAAGGATACACATATTGTCAAAAAGAACATTGATAAGATGCGCTTCGTAAGATAGTTGTACCAATAGATGAGCAGCTTGTATGCAAGCATCTGAAAATTGAAATATTTTCTCTCTTTCGCCAAGAGTCTTCTCCTGTACTTCGACAGCTCTCTTAGACTTGCTAGAGCTATTCTTCCGTAGTTGAGACATGACATGTGAAATTAAGAATTGTCGCGTTACCATCATAATGCCTACATAATACGTGCAAGAAACATGGATATTGCCGATTGTAGTCTCACAATATTCCTCCCCAGACGTGGCGTCCGGAACGCGGCGAAGTGCGGAAGGTAGAGCTTGACTCCAGTCTCGTAGCATTTGCAGAAAAGTATCGGCCGATTCGGTGTTCACGCTGCTGACCTTAGTGAACTTTTGTACGATAGTTTCGATGATAGAAGAAGATTCGTAGGTTGCATGAAGAGCCAGTGTCCGATGGTCCATATCTTCACGGTTTGAGCTATCTATTTCATACTCGTCTCTTTCTATTGAAGGTATACTACTGGGACGCGCAAGAATGGAGCTGCATAAAAGATCAAGAACGCGTGCGCTCATCCATATACGGCGCCTGTCACTACAATTAGTACAAGGAAATCACGTGGTTAAGCGCCGGGTGATTATGGCTATAAACACCTACCTGGCAGCACGCTCTTCGGAGGATACTCGAGAATTCTGATATGGAACGTGTAGCCCAAGAATGGTTGCGGATTTTGAGGCAATACCAATATACATGAAAGCCGTATTCCTGCGACAAGCTCCAAGCATATACATGGCCATCAATAAAAACATCTTAACCATGGATAGAGAAGGATTCTCCAGCATATCGAGAAATGCCATTTGCTGAGCTTGCGCAAAATACTTTTTCGCAAGTTGAATCTCGAACAAATCTTTGCCTCGAGATTGAGCTCCTATTGCTATCATCAGAAAAAGGCACGCGAGGTCTTCCCGCTCGGAACGGGAGCTTGAAAATGAAGTGGTAGCATTGAGTTTGATATTTAACAATCTCGATGTGTCATCTCGTGAGAAAAGATGAAGAATACCATTCGACTGAACAATATGTTAATACTGCTCCCTAGCTAGGCGAGAGAACGTGTAAAAATAGATTCATACCACTCTCAGAAAGCAAGCAATTAAATCTTGCTTTTCTGCAACATCTAAATCATCTTCAAAAGGGCTGTTGTTCCTGGATATCTCCACTTCCAACATCACATTACTTTCCTGGCGTTCAGTGAAAACGGAAGTTCCGATATATCGCTTAAGCGTAGTTTGGAGAAAGTGTAGGAATGAAATAGCAGCAATATTGCCAATATAGACTATCAAATTTGTCAATTTTACACACTTTTGGAATCTAAAGGGACATGGTGCAGTCCATCCATCGTCGGGTGTATGGGTTCATGAAACGATTCTGAGCTTTCAAAACCCATTGAATGATGTAGTTAGATCCTGGAGGGAGCAAAGAGATACTACAAGAGTAACAATACAATGAAGTCTGATCCCATTCTATGAGTCCTTACACCCACGGGTAATCCTTGCATCAAAGAAAGTCTAAGAGAAAAGAATCACCACCGACCTTGCTCGCCTTGAGAGCTCTGTAACATCGTAGAGCGTTGACAAGGTGAAGATTCACGAGTACTGGAACATGAATAGGTGAGATTGTTAGCGTTCCCGCCAGAAATACGGGGGTCTACTAATGACTCAGGACATTGAATGGAGGCCGCGTGAATAGTTGGCCGTGAAAATTCGAAGTTGTTTTTCTCAACTGAGGGCTGCGGCTCGGACTGATGTTGCATTAAAGCCAGTGATTCAACATTTCTGGCGATGCGATCTACCGTATGCCCCGATGTCTCCTGGCTCAGCCGTCGCGGGCTTGGCAACGTCAGCGTTGAAGATGGTGGATACTGACATGAGTTGGTTCGGCCTTGCGTGACACAGGTCGTACAGGGAAGCTTTGCATCGCACCGCTTCTTCGAACTTTTGCACCGGATGCAAGCTCTAGCCGCTCGTGCACGTTTATCGGGATGTACTCTAGGACGAGGCATCGCCGGCGGAAAGTTACTGCTCAATTCGTTCAGAGATCATTGAGCTGCTTCCCCATCCCCAGAATCCTTGTCACCTTAATCGAGTTTGGTGCGAGAGATAAGGTATGGAGAGATGAATGATTGAGCGAGTAGGCGGTTTTGTGTCGGAAAGAATATTCTCAGCTTCGGAAGTGGGGAGCACCGTGTAAGACACATTTCGGGAGGCAAGAAAATGACCACCTATGATTACATAATCATTGGATCGGATAAGGCACCAAGTACGTATTCAGTAAGTCTATCTTAAACGCACTTGACCCAGATAATGAGAATCACATGATACAATGCCGACAACATACCTAGTGCTATCTCATGCAGGGTACGGTTCCGCGACCTTCCGCGCACGTGTTACCTAAGGTTAACCTTATCGGCTGTGTTCTTTTTCGTTACCAAACACTTTCTAGTGACTTTGGACTCTTGATAACGGGAATCGAAAGATGCTGCCACTTGTTGTGATTACTAGAGTGCAATGATATGTGATAATGTCTATGCCTTATCTTTCCCCCCTGAAAACGCCGGCGGGAACGGGCCGCATGAAAGCGTGATGCCGTCGATTATTTACAAGACTACCTAATGTGCGCCTTCTGAACTCTCCATTATACCAGCTTGACTCGAACACTTCTTGTTTCATACACTGTATTAATCTGCACCTCTCATTGCTACTACTGCTTCAAAAGATAAAACCTGCAACTTCTTCTCCCAAGAACTTCAATCATCCTCAAACCAAAATGCCCACCCAATCCGGCTTCAGGTCTCTTGATGTCGGAGTAATAGGAGGAGGTATCGGAGGATTGAGTGTTGCTATCGCCCTACGTCGTGCCGGGCACCAAGTCACAATATATGAACGTGCAGATTACGCTGGCGAGGTTGGCGCATCGGTATCTTGCGCGGCTAACGGCACAAAATGGTTACATGAATGGGATGTCCCAGTCGAAAAGGGAGATCCTGTTATCTTGAAGAAGCTAATTCGACATGATTGGAAAACTGGAGAGCCTGATTCTGTTTATGACCTCGATGATTATGAGGAGAAATGGGGACATGTAAGTTCTGTAAACAAACAAGCCACAAATATTCTAGGTAGATAGATTTAATGTGGTCGCGTAGGTTTACAATATGTTCCATCGGCAATATATGCACGCCATGCTTATGGATAGTGCTGTAGCTGAACCAGAAAAGCCAGGTGTACCTGTTAAGTTACTTGTAAACCACAAGGTAAGCAAACCCAAGCAGATTTTAAGGTAAGTGCGAGGGTTGGCAACTGACTTTTGTGGTAGTGCTCTGGGCTTGACGTCGAATCTGGAACAATCACTTTTGAAAATGGCAATACTGCAGTTCATGATGTAGTAATCGGAGCTGATGGCATCGGATCTGCGATCCGTTCTCTTATCGGCATCAAAGTTGAGAGGAAAGCAGCCGATGCTAGTTGTCTCCATGCAAATGTAGACACCGAAGAGGCGATTAAGCTTGGCTTGGTCGATTATTCAAAAAACGATGCGCTCGAATACTGGGGCGGTCTTAATACTCATTATAAGGTTGTTCTATCACCTTGCAACGGTGGTAAATTGCTCTCTTACTATTGTTTCTTCCCAAGAGAAAAGGGTGATTATTCGAATCAGACATGGGGCGCCAAGGGAACCGTAGAAGAGCTACTTGCCCCCTTCCCTGATCTAGATCCTCAGGTCTACAAGCACTTGTCAATAGGGAAGGATATCGCTCCTTGGAGATTATGGATTCATGAACCTTATCCATACTGGCAAAAGGGCACTGCTTGTGTCATAGGGGATGCAGCTCATCCGGTAAGCGAAATTCCAGCTAGGACCGTATCATTTGAATTAATTCATATTGCAGATGATGCCTGATCAAAGTCAAGGAGCGTGTATGGCGATTGAGGATGCTGCAGCTCTAGGCATTATTTTCGGCGAGAAACACTTCAACGGCGATGTACAAGAGGCTTTGAGAGTCTATGAACAGGTCAGAAAGCCCCGTGCAACTCGCGTCCAAGCCGCTGCTGCTAAAGCACGGGAGAACATTAATGAACGCATTGGTAAGACGCCCCGCCGTCAATATGTTTTTATCTGTGAATCAACGACTAAATCAAATTATTTTGATTCTAGGGTTTTCAAGCAACACCAACTCATCAGTCTACAAAGTTTCTGACGAAAGTGCAAAATTGACAATTGAAGAAATGAATGCGTAAGAAGCCCCATTCCCTTGATATGACAAGAATTGTGTTGACATTGAGGTAGATATGACATGCATGATGATGTTTTGAAGCATTACATACAAATTAGGGAACAGTAATTGGTATGTATGCCGAACGAACAAAACTGGGACTTTTAAGATATTTGGGCGCAAGAGACATTTCCAAGAAGGCGATCTTGATTCTTTTACCTAATTTTATTTTTGGACGGCCAACATATTTTTGCTGGCATAGTTGGTTGGCTAGATTTGTCAGTTGGTGGATGATCAATACCTCAAACTCATCATTACTAGTAACATCCTCACCCGAATTTGGGACAAAGATGTATATTTCTGCCATCATCCGAAATCGCTTTCTTCAAATTACAAAGGTGTATTGCACACCTGAAAGAGGCATAGCACTAGCTGTGCTCCATATTTTTGGGAGCATTTGACAGACTTCTTCCATCTCCCGAAGCTAGTATTCACATCGAATGGATTTCCCTTTGTGAGAATAGTTTCCTCTGTACTCAATCATCACTATAATTATCTACTTTGGGTATCACGAGAAGATATATTCATTATTAAATGTTATTTTCCTTGTCCTCGGCCAAGATAATTATTGTCAAAAGTGTGTCCGCATATAGTAAGTACAATTTGTGTCTAGATATCTTCTTTGTGTATAATTCTTTTCATCCTCTACAGGAAAGAAACCAACTTTTCTCTGATTGCAGGATAGATTATAATTCATTATTAGGTTTTTTCCCTTGTTCTCAATGGTTTACTTATACAACCAAATTCCTATCAACCCAGAAACTTAAATAATATATCAAGTCCATCCATCTCTGAATATTATATAAGTTCCGTTCCATAACCACCTGACATCGAATATAAAATTTTCGTTCAGTCCCAACATCGAACTCAACCCTGAAACTTCAAGCCTATCCAAGCACAATGACAGTCTATCAGCCATTCGAAGGAGATACGGAAGCAGAGTTCAACGCTCACCATATTGATAAAAAGGATTTCTTGCTATGCCACAACTGTGGATGGAATGCCTACCATCAGCGGTGTACCAGTTACCGTAGTACTCTCAAAGTTACAACTAATGCCAGCAGGGGCATATGGTTCGTTGGTAATAATTATGTTTTGAAGGAAAGAAAGATTACAGAACATGGGCGCAGGTGCTATCTGGGCCCGGAAGTCCCGATCACTAAATTTCTGGCGGAGAACTCGACTATTCCCGTAGCAAAATATGTGCACTTTTGGAACGATAGTATTAGCTATTTCTTTTTCATGGAAAAAGTCCCGGGACAAACGTTAGAGTCAGCCTGGCGAACGCTAACTCCCGAGCAAGAGAAAGTTATTGCCAAAGAAGTCGTTGAATATCTTATACAGTTACGCAAGTTTACATCGGAAAAAATAGAAGCTCCAGATGGTTCCTCGATAAGAGATACAACACTAGGCACTCATAAACGGATAGATTTCGTGACGGATGACGTTGAAGAATGGTGGGCTCGTGTTAAACCTCATCTCCAAAATAAATGGGATGGAAAGAAAAGCTCGGGTCAGTGGAAAAAGAGCCTCAAGTCGAGATACCCTGTGAAAGGACCGTACGTTCTCACGCATGGCGATCTGAATGCGACTAATATTTTCGTAAAAGATGGACATGTTACCGGTATTATCGATTGGGAACATGGGGGATATCTTCCGGAATGGTGGGAGCACGTCAAACTTCGTATAATAGAACTGGGGGATTGGCACTATGTCCTGGAAATGGAAATGAGTAAACAATTCGGGACATTCAAAACAGAGAAAAACTTCTACAGAGAATTTGATACTGGGTTCGATGACCAAAGGGGGGACGACCGGGTCAATGAGGGGATGTTTTTTGATCCTAATTTCTATTCGAGATGCCCTAATTATGCACGTTACATGGAAGAGGATGATTTGGGCTTTGATCTGTTCAAGTTCCATCGCGACATTCGTCGGGAAGAACAGGCTGAGGAAAATGCGGCTTTTGCGGCTTTCAAAGCGCTAAGCTTGAAGGAGAGGGAAGATTTGGTTGGGAAAAACAATGCATAGATAGTCACAATTGTGGTTAACAACAATTTATTCATCTTATTATCTTGACGGCGACTAAGAAGAACAAAAATGATGTATCCCTCCTCATCCCACCATACCTTCTCTTCTGCCTAAACCCGAAAGACTGATTCACATTTTGCCGACTGTACATTTTCGTTTGGACGAGCGACGGAGACTAATACAGGTTCTACATGATTGTCGCTCACTGTGACAGCTATTTGAGTACCATTGATGTTCATAGAGACGAGGGTGCACTCCTTCCCGACCGCATCATTATACCTTGTTGAAAATTCTATTCTCTTTTCGACCTTCGCCGTCGCGCTTGTCTTGCCAGTCTTGTTGCCATAATTGATGGTAAAGGCCTGCATTGAAAGGTGTTTGCCCGGTAGGAGCGCCGTGCACTGTTCGCATTTTTGCACTCCTGTCATGTTTTCGTGGTGGCAAATAGGGCATCGCATCGTTGCGGATACTTTGTGTAGGCGCTTATCGTTAAAAGGGAAAGGTTTTTAGTGCGACAAACTCGAGGGTTCGTGTCTGTGTGGAAGTTAGATGGTTTTGCCAATGAGAGATTCGTGGGTCTGAGCCTACCTCTGAGAAAATTGGCGGTGATGGGGAGGTTGTGCCTGAAGATGGGAAGAGGTCCAGGAAATGGGACAGTTAAATACGATACATGAATCATAGTACAAAGATACAGAGGTGTTTGTTGAAACGATCTATGGTTAAAACTTTCGGAAGCTAGAACCTAACACTGCATACGAGTTGACTCTGTGTGCGCCTGGTGTCAATCTTAGGACAAGGAAATCTAAGACCTGACATATTTCACGATATACTACTATCTTTGTCCACCTTAGAATCCAGGTGAGTGATTATGTTCCATTGCAGCGCACGTAGTATGATGCCGGAAGGATATCTGTGTGTTCCCGTGTTTTGGAAGGAGAGAATCGTGTAGATTAAGCAGGCAATCTTATAATCACATGCATGATTCGTTAGAGAGCAATGATGGAGGCCGTACACTAATTTCAGGAAGAGAACGCTTCGTTTGTTTGAGGGAGAGATATCATGTCCCAAATATGCACATAATAATGCAGGTAATGCATTAGCAGCCTGAAAATACAAAAACATGAGAGTAGACATCGTTTGGCCAGATGCGGTGAGGATGTAGAAGGGTTACCTGCATAAACCGAGAACTTGGAAGAATCCATCACACGGAAAATGCATTAGCAACCTGAAAATACAAAGACATGAGAGTAGGTAGGTGAGCTGTAGAAGGGACCCTCACATATCTAATGCCGAAGTAATGGAATCCTGCTGATGTATCATCTAACAAGGCTTAGGCGCTCACTTCGTCGCCAGCGTATTCAGTTGGCGGGTAGATTCTTCTTGTAACTACTTTGCGTTTAATCACCAGGCATATTATCAGACATGCCTAAGTATTGTTCTCAGCAGATCGAGATGGAACCCAGCCTCCGGGTGTTCATGAAGTTTTAATACATGTGGAAGTCACCTGATGAATGGATGGATAGATGGATGGATGGATGGATAGCGGAAGGTCATGGAATGTTTTTGCCTCAGGTATTTTTGCTGATGGTGACATAGCTTTGCATGCATAAGGCAAGAAAAGCTTACGCTAGCATTAGAACCCCCACACAATCTCAATCACCTGAGTTCGACGTCTGCGGTCTGCACGTGATTTTTGTTACTGATACGACGGCGGAACAAAGTGTGGAGGGCGAGGATAGATATAATGTAATCTCACATTATTTCAAGTGAGATCTGACCATCACTTGTATTGTCAATCTCCATGAAAACTAGCAAGTTGCTCTCATAAGATAATACGCGTCCGTTGTTACCACTAGAAAACAAAAAGCCCCCCATGCTCCTCCCTGTCGAGACATACTCTGTAAATTATATCTCCTCATTTTGATCCTTGAAACCATCAAGCTTGAAAAGCTGTTTAGCATTATCCCTTCCAATATCCATCTTAACCTTGGGGCTCAAATCCAGCCCATCAAACCAAGTACACGCATCCTCATAGCACTCAAACGGATAATCCGTGGAGAACATGATGTGATCCGACCCCAACTCCTCAATGCAATATTTCAACGTCGACGTTGAAAAGTGTCCACTAGTAGTAATCCAAATATTCTCCCTGAAATAATCGTAAATACTCTTCTTGATTGGCATTCCCAATGGTTTCTTGATATCCTCAAACCAGTGATTGATGCGCCACAAATCAAACGGGATATGTTCGCCCAAATGTCCAACGATAACTTTCAATTTCGGATTGCGATCAAACACTCCATTCACCACCATCCCCATCAAATGTAACGAAACATTATTCGCAAAACTCAAGGGAGGTCCAATCAACCACTTTCGATCGGCCCAGAGAGTATCAAACACCTTGCCCGTAGGCTGTTTGGGGTGCAAATAAAAAGGAACATCCAAATCCACACATTCTTGCCAGAAAATATCCCATTCCGGTTGATCGTAGAAAATTATTGATTCTCCATCACTAGCGATTTGATTATCATTTACCAGCGCCCCTTTAAATCCCAATCCGGTTACACATCTCCTCAGCTCTTTTGCCGCAACAGCGGGATCGTGCATGGGTAGTGCGGCAAAAGATCCATAACGATCAGGGTAGTCTTTAATCTGGTCGTGAATGTAATCATTAGTCAGAGCAGCGACACGAAGGGCTTCAGCCGGATCGGCAATATCTTGGATTCCGGGTGCAGTGTAGCTGAGTATGTGGAAACCGACGCCATGTTTATCGGCATATTCGAGACGTATGTTTTTCACATCGCTGATTTCTCGGACATGTTTATCTGCGTCTACTGCGAAGAGTCCGGCCCACCATTTAGCTTTTTCGGCGAACTCAGGAAGGTTGAAGTGGTCCTCGATAGTGATTTTCCCCAGCATAGTGAGGTGAATTATTGCAATTGATGAACGTTGTGGTATGAAGGGGAGACGGAGGGGAATGGCGGAACGTAAAAAAAGATTTACTCGGAGGGTGATAGGGAAAGATATTATATTATTTCAGAAGCTGCCTGCTCCAGCAACGCGGGGTGAGATCTGTGGGCGAAACTTGTGCGCAGCCAGTCTCCGTACACAAGTGCTCAACAATCAAAGTCAGCTGCACCGCGATGGTTTCTCGGCACATCTTAAATTGATATGGAGGGAAATTCCTCGTCGGATAATCAACATGGTGTTCGTGCAGCGGGTAGGTGCACGTGGAACAAAGGCGGCAACAAAGGCGGCAGGAAAGGCGGCAGCAAAGGCGGATGCGTACCCGGATAATGGACCTGGACATGGACCCGGACAGTAAACTTACTCGTACTCGTACTCTCACCATGATTTGTTGAAGGATACTCCATAAAGTCATCCAGGGACCCAGATCATGGGTAGATTGTCTAAATGGAGTATTTGCTGCATGTCAGGATTGACTCGCACATACATTTTCGGGAGATTTGGGTCACTTTGATGCTGCTCTAGATAATTGTTGCATATCTATGCATCGAATCGCACGATGGAAGCCGAGTTTTTAATATAACTTTAATTCCTGGAGGCTCCTTTTGTTGCACGTCTGAAAATTTGAGTTTGACTCGTGCAGTTATGGAGTTCATGAGTTTTGTAAAAGAGGGGAAAGTTGCATCTCACAAATGGGATGCGGACGGGTAGGTAGCGGTAGAGAATCGGAAGAAGGTCTGTTCTGGCGAATGTAAGATCATGTCTATATACAATTTCTTTCCTTCGTTAACTACGAATGCATATTAATTTATTTCGTTTCCCCTCTTCCATTTCATGAACAAGGCAAACAAATAGGTCACAAAACAACACATATCAATCCAATCCCGCTCAATCCCCACCGACAACAATGTCAGGATGCAGGGTTTTCGTCCCATAAACCGGTTTTTTCGTGATATCGTGCGGAATAGCTACAACTTCATCGCCAATGCTAATCTTCAGAGTGGGTAGTGAAGTCGAGGGTAATGGAGTATTATCAACCTTGGTCCTCATCAGCACAATGATCAATTTCCAAATCATCAAAATAAAAATATCAAAGAAACACTCACAAGCTGCACCCTCCACCTCAAATTCCTCTTCAAGAATTCTTCCGTTCCTTCCCCATCCCCATCTTCATCGTAGCCTTTATAACTCCCTCCAATAGCCGGTTCCCTCAAAACAACAATCTCATCATATGCCAACGCCCTCGACGCATCGTTGGCAGAAGATCCTGGCGGAGGTAAAATGACCAAACTCCCTACCAGACTTTCACTGCTCCCCCATGTCTTTGGATCGACTGGTATCTCCCCTAGAAAAAGTCGAATAATGAAACGTTGACCTTTGAGGTCAAACTTGGAGACGCTGAGTGCTGCTGTCCATTCTCGCAGTGTTTTGTTCGTGTTTGATCCTTCAAATTGGTGTATCAGTGAAGGATCTTTACTCTTGAAACTCCTCTTCTTGATCTTCGAATTACTTCCATCGGCATTGTATAATGCGTTCACTCTTCCTGTTACGTAGCTTGCCATTTGTGCGGATGTCATATTCCAATCCATGATCTCTGGGTAACTGTATCCAAACTGTGACATTGACCTGCAGGTATTTGATGTGAAGAAGGTAGAACTGTCGATGGCGAAGGGCTTGAGTGCTGTGAATGCGGTGTCAACAGAGCCTGGGGGAATAGTGTAGGTGCCATAGTAATCGATTAGTGGCGTGATGTATGTCGAAGGATTGATGGCTTGATACATGGAAAGGACCCGGTCAACATTTGCATGGTGGAGCCAACTAGCTAGGTCAGCTCTTTTGTAATGCACGAGACAGGAATAGGGGAACACAGAGAATGAAAAGTGTTGAGGGAGGAGCGAAAAAAGAAGAATTTACAATATTGGGTCAAATCCAGAATAGCTCAAAAAAGACATATGTCCATAAGCACCTCCTACAAGAACATGTACGGCACCATGAGGTGATTCTATACTCGACCCCGAGCTAGCCATCGTGGCAAAGTTGTTGAAATTTTTCGATTTCATAACTGCTGTCCACTGTCACCTCGCTTATATCAGCATATGCATCTCGTTTCTCTGAACTTTCCAAATTTATATCAATCGTCCATCGAACCATATAGAATCACAGGCACAAATGAGATGTCAGTAGCAAACTCACCACTTGATCTCCCAAACCCGCGTTCTGCAAATTTGTATTTGCGGCGTTGAAATTACTCTGTCCACCGAGATAGTCTGGATCTCTCACAGTCCAATTATACTGTGCCAGCATGCCATCACTATCCCCTGGCGGAAATTGTTGCTGATTTAGTGGCGTGTTTTGGAAATTGTACCTGAAAAGAGGGTTATTGACATAGGTAGTAGCGCCAGAGGGTGTTACGATGGAGACAGTGGCGACATTGACGATACTGGGCATATTTGGGGTGGATCCCCAGTCCCAGTAGGGGATGCGCAGGTTATTTGCAGCGGTCTGGTAGTCGGGGTATAGCGTTGAGATGTAATTCTTTGCTATTTTCTGAGCATAGCTAGCAAGGACTTGCTGTGGTTAGAGATGGAAAGTGAGTGAGCTGCGATTTTGTCTGATTAGGGGAGGGAGGATATACCTCAAAGAGTGCGAGGTATGGACGATGCCATGTAGTGAATAAAACCGAATCTAAAGTTTATATTAATACTTGTTTTCACATCTTAAGTAAGAACACAATACCATGTGTACAATAACCTGTAGTTGGAGCACCGATAGCTTGATTTACACCATCCCAAGCAACATATGGTCTACCGTGAATACCTATTAGATGTTTCAAAAGTTAATACCGAAAGTAAATTCTTCGAGGGTGCTTCAACTATTAACTCGTATAAGATATTGGAAGCCACTTACCTGCCAGTTGAAAGTACGAAAGCCCATTAGTATATTCGTTTTCAGCTTGCATGGCTTGAAGCGCTTGAATGTATATCGACCTTTAACATAACCACATCAATATAAGAGGCGCCATGAAGATGATGCATGCCCAAAACATACACTGCGGAGAAGCTTACCATTGCGGGGTATTATTTTGTAAATCGTTGATATTTTGTCTGAAAGGTCGAGCCTTTGTATTCGAATTGATACCAGTCGTCACCCCGGTTATGGGATAATACTGAGCATTGCCATAACTGATGAAGATAAAAACTGCCAGGAATATCCGGGGTACATTCGGATATTTGATCATCATCCTCACCCGTTTGAATGTAAGCAGAAAACTTCTTTGTGTGGAAATAGTATGACGAGAACTTAGAGAAGAGTAAACGTGTCTCGGAAACCATTCATATATGAATTTTATGAAGCAAAACGGAATATAACACGAAATAAAGGAAATCTTCAACCTCGGTCGTAAGGACAGATGTCAACTATACAAATGTCGTGAAAATTGGTGTGCCTATCCGTGAGCACGCTATATTGGAACATGCCATACCCACGAGTTAGAGCTCACTCCGAGTAACACAAATTCGTGGATACGAGTGTCGATACAGAAGTTCATCAATAGTTTATGTTCGTTTTCAATGGTACAGGAATATTGGGACCACACCCGTCACACACAAATGATCCGATACTATGACCTCGCGCGTTCGTTATGCCATCAAAGGGTAACATATTTCCACAAGCGGTGCATAGCTTTGCTGCCCGATGTGAGAGAAAATACGCCCATAGTCTTCAGGGGTTCACCGGTGCGTACAATGAAAAGAATCCTAAAGCTCGCGTACGATAAATAACACATGATACAGACTCAAAAATCTCCCAGGATGGATCTTCTAAGATCTTCCAACAACATACTTATTGAAATAATCCTCAAAGCGTGGCCGAAAGCAGGTCGAATGGACAGTCATTCAGCACATAACTGCTAGTCGAAAACTTGTCCAACTCATGAGCCAAGATAACGTGTAATCTCGGATCGAGGCACAAAATTTGAAAATATGCATCAGCCGCAGATCAATTTCCCTATATGCACTCTTCCGTCAATAGAGGCTGTGGCACATTGGCACGAACATTGCGGATAACGTAGACCGACGACTGTTCACTCTCAACATTTTCTGTCGGTCAAATGATGCAAAAGCTGATGAAGCTAGACTGATGGAAAAACTTTGGTCTTAATAGATGAGTCTCGAAAATGTGTGTCAGCTATCTCCAAAGTCCCTAGAGGGTCCGAAACGAAATATCCAAAAACGAATTTTTCGGTTCAATCTCAATTTACACAGAATGCAGAGTAGGCATGGTTGTAACTTACATACGTGCCAATTTTAGAAAGGAAAACATTATGCATATCAAATCTGGAGGTAATGGGAGAAGAAAATCCATCTTTAAGTCATGTTAAACTGTCCAAAAAATGCCGAATTCAAGTATGCTACAGGAAGTTAGAAAAGACTCCAGCGTAACCAATTGAGTAAGCGATACTTACAATAGGCCTGGGAAGGTTGGAACTAGCTTGAACAAGATCAAGCTTCCAGTCTTGATTAATGAAGTTGCACATCAGCCTGATGTCAAGCCACCGAGAAGACCTCCTTCTCATGATTCTAGCATTGTAGTGTTCATAACCTATCTTACCACGGGTGTCTTTAAAGCATGTTTTCTCTATTGAGAGAAGGTAAACATGCTAAGCCAAGCTTATTGCGGTAATGATTACATCAGCATTGATGGCAATGGTTACTCTTTCTGAAGTAAATTTATCACCAGGAATAAAGGGTCAAACGCTGGCGATGGATACTTTTCTTGATAGAAAGACGAAGACCCTATAACAAGGGCCAATCTCCTAGCAGATATTTTCCCCCAAGGCTTTATATGGATAATTTGTGATCGCGGCAGCTCCAGATCGATACATTGCCACCGGTTCTCGCTGAACATAACAACGGCTGTCAGACCAACAAAAATGATACAATCATTATAAGAATCGAACGGTCCGAATATGAACCATGAGTTCAGAAAGCCACCGGAATATCCGTTTCCGTACCTTGTCGGTACTTTGACTGCGGTAGTACGCATACTTTCTAGTGACTTCGCATTAATATGCCTCTCTCGATGCTGCGAAGTAACACCTGCAAGATTGCTCTAGACCGAACCGTTTTTATAACACAATGCTAAAACGTATGGATTTTATCTTAGTTATTGATCTAGTTTGGTATATAGTTGCGCATAATGGTGAACTGTGATGGATCATGAGCTAATTACCTTGAGCAGTATCGAATAATGGAGGAAAGGCAAAGAGCGGGTCGCTACTCTAGCAAGATCTTACTTCGCTTAGTTAACCTTACCTTAACTTTATATTGGCAAGGGTCTGGTAGACAACAAAAGTATACTCCAAGTCTAATTGAAACTGGTGAAGGTAATGGAGGTAATGGGGGTGAAGACTACCTAGTATCATGCTGGCAGAGCTTCGGTTGACAAAGTCCTGGCTTCAATAGAGCTTTAAATTAATGTCTATCTTCGATAGTGAATGCAAATAGTCTCGCTCTAAAGGCGGGGCACAATAACATAGCCTTATACAAGCGAACACGAATAGCTACTGTGAAAACAAATTCATAAACCACCAAAACGTTACATAGACATCAAATGGAACAGTGAGAGATAGTATGGAATGCCAGCGGTCTTAATCCGAGAAGATATGGCGATAGGTTAGTTGTATTACTTTCTGAATTTCCTTCCCATATAATAGGTGTATGTACGTCATTATTTCATCCACGAGCCGCTTATGATAAAATACAAAGCTATCGATGGGTAAATGAATAATGAGTTTCAAAAAATAAATGCCTAGCGGATAGTGTACAATGTGCAGAGAAGCGACAGCCTGTGTATTCAACTTTGTTTGATCGGTGATGGAAAACGACGTAATCCGTGTCCTCAACAACAGTACTTGGGATGAGAGCTGATTGTCCTTTTGGGCACTCCATGAAACTTTCAGTAATAGGAAGACATGCAACAAAAAAGCTCAGAGTTGAACCACTAGTTCAATGTTGAATATAATTCTACCTTTATGGCAATTATAAAAAGGAGGATTAGCCAATCGAACCTACATGAGATACAAACGCCAAATCGTAATTAAGCTCTAGCTTTAGCATATCCGGAGCAATGTTTATCAAATCTCATATGATAATCGCTACAACTCCCATTATAGTATCTAATTATATCAAAGCTTCAAATACAACTTGCGAAGGAAGTAGCCTAAGTCCCGGACTTTAAGTCCTGCACCAGGAGAAGCACCGATATATCTGGCCACAGAACATCCACCACAAAAAGTAAACCTTTTGAATGGGAAGTAAGCCCCAATTCCTTCCTATCCCCAAGAATAGCGAAACGAACATGGAGAAATGATCCAAATGGGATTAAGGGAACTAGCCTAATATATATCAGTGTTATTTTACACGGGATGTTGACAGGAGGAGAGTGTGAAGATTTGTTCGGTAGGCATCACTAAACAGCTCGTGGCTGAAGTTTCCTCATACAAAAGATGATAACTACACATTGCATGGATTAAAGAACAGGAACTGCTGCAAAAATAACCCACTCAACTTGCATGGTGTAAGCAAGCACAATTCCCATACTGAGAGGTAACTTTACATATTAATGATGGGAACACTTCACACAGTGACACATACTACCTTAAGTTTTCCAAGCACTCAATCAGCTTCTTACACATGTATCCACTAATTCCACATTCGAACTATTATATGAACCTTACATCTGTGTAGAATCCAGCTATATCGACTAGAAAGATAGATGCTATGGGCTTGCAACTGACTAGAGATGTGGCCACACAATACTCAATAAATATTGTAAGATCTCACCGAATGAAACTTGCAAGATCTACACACCCCCTTACGATAAATCAACAATATCGCTGGGAGATTAATTCAACATTACAATAGAGTATGATTGAAGGGATAGGTTTGCACATCTATGTATCTAGAGAGCCTCCACTAATCCTGAACTATGCCATCACCACCCTCATCTCTTAGTGATTTAATTATAAGTTCACGTTTCATCATAATAAAGTAAGGTAATCCTCAATTCATACATTTGCTCGGCAATTAATACAGCCGGAGTAATATTAATAGTAGATTTATGTATATATTAAATATAAGTTTTTATTTTATATTTTAATTTTAAAAACTTGAAAATCTTAAATAGTTTTTTGATAAAAATTAATAAAAATTAATAAAAATAAAGTATAATTGTCGGCTTGTGTTACGAGGGATGCGATCTAGATCACGTGGAAGTGGCCTGGATCCTCGAATGGTTTATGACTAGGCGTCAAGCAGGGGCTTTTAAAGTAATATCAATGGTTGCAATTCGTAACTAATAGTAGAGTATACTAAATGATTGATCTTGAGCACGAAGCTCCTATATACAGGAAACCCCTCTGGTTTATATAGATCTGGACCTACGATTCGTATGGACCTTCGATTCGTATCCTTGTATATGTAGGGTCCATCACGTGATCTCTAGGATCAGACTATATGTCCGAGCTTGCTGAGGGTGGGGAGACCACATGAGGCGATTACCATACAAATTTGTATACAAATTGCCTTGCTTTTCGATGAGGCCTAAGGTCATGTGGACAGGTTGACTGTTACCTTGTAACAGCTTGCCGATATCAAAATCTTGTTGGACGCGAGGTTTACCTGGTGTAGGTGATAGAAAATGAGAAACTCGTTTAAGTGAGTCACGATCCTGACGATCTGATTGGTCTAAAATACCCCGGTAAATACCCCGGTAAATAATCTAACAAAAAGCTTGGCATAAGCCTTACAATTTTAGACAAATCTAACTTGAAACTTTTTTTAACTTTATTGAAATCATTCAACTCTATTGAAATCATCAACTCAATTTACAATTCAATTAAAATCATCCAAATCATTCAATTCAACTTTATTCATTCAATTCATCTTATTCAACTCAAAATAATAATGATTATTATTATTTTTAAATAAAAAAATTTAATTTTCAATTATCAAAAACAAGCTGATTGTAACGATCTGGTCGAGGCAGCGGCTGCCTGAGGTTTCGTATGGTTGGTAGTTGTAGGTTAAGGCTATTAATCACTGGTTATCCACTTGAAAGTGAATTCGTTACTAGATCGGTCGGAATGTAGATAAACTAATTGATAACTAAATTGAGCATGAAGCTCCTAAACTATGAAACTATCCTGATTATATACTAATAAACAGAAAAGAGCTTTGTGAAGCCCAAAAGCTTCAAAAATCTTTTGGAGCTCTAGGGGCTTTCCAAGCTTCTAGGACTTCTTATTACGTGATTGATCTTGAGGCCTTTCCTTCCCTGGAACATTTATCCCAGGAGCTTTCCTCTAGGAACTACAGCCCTTGGATACGATATCCTTTAGAATGATTGTTCTATTACAGCCAATTAGCTAGGACATTTGTCCTATTCTAATATAGTTATTTAGGATACTTATCCTAGGAATCCTGGGGTTCTATTCATAGGTGATTAGGCTTTCTGAAAGCAATGGTTAAATCACATCCCCCCTGTAGTCGGCATATGAATCACCGACATCAATAATACTACTATAATCTAAACCGTGAATCGTGACACTGATATTCTGCCTGCACCCTTATATATATTTAATATTTAAATTTATTATAAACTTTTTAAAATTTAAATTTTCATTAGACTTTCTCGAAAAGCCAGGGGTCCGGGGGGCGCAGGCCCCTAGTAAAATAATAAAATAATAAAATAAAATACGTATTTGTTATAAAGTTATTAACATTAAATATATCTGATTATAATTCTATAACAAAAAGAAGGGTTATTATATTTTATACTAAGTATAGATATACAAGACTTATTATATCTATAGATTTGCCTTGATTAATAATAGAGATGTTTACAATTAATCGATGTATTGAACTCCAGCTTTTGTTATAAATTGATACTCCTCATTAGAGTTAAATTATAATACACTAATCTTGACATCTAGTTCAACCAGTATAACATAACTCATAACTTCCAATCATCAAAAGGCCACAACTCCCTAACATCCTCCTCAGTCATCTCACTCCCCTCTTCACGAGCACTTTCCAAAGCCGTGTTGAAGACTTCTTTGTGAGCACTTCTTACCTCATCCCAGCGATCAATAGGTAACCAGCCGTCAGAATCGGTATGTAGCAATTTTATGAGCACCAGCTTGAGCTCCTGGACGTGTTGAAAAGCCTTGTATGCTTTTCGATGGATCTCGAGCTCTTCTTTGGTAGGAATGTAAGGACATTCACCAGTTAGGCGCAAGTCTTTCCAATTCTCTACAAGATCAAGAAACTCTTGCCGCACTGCAGCCGCACTGTCCCTCCATGAAGTATTGGAGTACTGGAATGGCCGCACAAGCGACTGATCAACTGATCTTGCCACCCGCAGCTTCAGAATAAAAGCTTTCATAAAGATTTCATAGGCCTGATTACAGTACGGAGCGACCTTGCGCATCTTAATATATTGTTCAGACAGAGGTGGTTCACTGTCTGAAGTTGCTTCGTCTAATGACTCCTCTTCAGTGCGAGGATCTGGGAGGGCCGCAAAATCCGGCATATCGTTTGCATAGATGAAAGCAGGTTCAATTGAGCTAGATTGCCAGTCAATAAGACATGTAATCAAATTTGGATCTTCATTCGAAACATAAGTATTCCTAGCGTGTAAATCTGCATGAAGAAGAGTTGGTGTTGAGGCACTCTTGATTTGCGGTTGCGTTATCAAATTTTGAAGTATTTTCTGAGTTGCGTTTAACAAATTCCGGTGTTCTCTTACTGTACCGAAGTACGAAGATCGTGATGTGTCAATGTCAATATCGGAGGATGGAAGTTTGGAGTATCCATTAGCAACTAGTCCTGAGGAATAAGCTGCAAGATCTTGCCCTTCGTGCTGTGTTAGAAATTTGTTGATAACGAGAATGCGGAACTCTTCACATACAAGGGCCAGCAGGAATCGTAAGTCCTTTCTCCGTTCCACTAGCATTGCTATCCCAATATGTAGTTGAACAATACGGTCCAATACAGAAACCTTGGCTTAAAGGTACCTTTAACGTCGAGTCAAATGGTGCATTCTCAAAATAATTACTTCCATATGCTGGAAACTCAAGTGCTGCTAGTTGCTGCATCGTCATACAGACTGATTGGAAACATTTCATATATTGACTTCCGGAAATTGTAGGACATCGCTCTTGTAGCCGCACACCCTCAACATGCTTCATAATAATGTATTCACTACCAATAGGATTCCTTGAGTCATCCGACCAATCAAGAATATCCGGCACAGGAATCCTTCACTACATTCTCAGGTCAATTACTGAGCATTCTTCACAAAATCACAAGATACTTACCATACATGATAGTCGCTACCTCCGAATTGGTAGTCAGAGTCGAAGGACCCGCAACACGAGTTGGCAGACGCGCTACTATTCGTTTTCCATCATTCAAGAAGAATATAAGAACTTTTATTGAAACCGCCCTCTTTCTTCTCATAACTAATAATGTGAGATGAATCTGGACACAATGATAGAATTTTCTTGCACAGTTCTTGGAATTGGAAATCGATGCGTCGTAAGGCCCGCTGCGCTTTATCCCGGTGTAACCATCTCCCGCTTGTGTAGATAAATGGAAAGAGGGCTAGGGTTTGCTAGTGATAAATTATAGAGCGAGTTAGATGTATCATGTGATTTTACGATCTTGGGATGGGGGTTTGATAGATGGTATGTTTATGGTGTTGGAGCGGAGATTAGAGGTGGATCTACGGAAGATGGTGGGAGAGAGGAATTTGGAGAACATTGATACATAGGTATATCAATGGCTGAGAGGACGAATGGAAAAAGCAAGCGCTATAATTGATGTTAGAAGAGGGTATGTCAATTGCAAGAGCCAGTACCATTCATGTTGCTGCCCGCATCATTAAGATTATCTGTGCCAGAAAGTCACATGATGATTAGGGATGTCGTTACATTCTATCCACTGGCGATCCTACACGCAAAACATGTGTCAACATATTTCCGTAACCACATTTGCCTTCATGAAAAATCGATATACAGAGCTGCAAGTGAGATGATGAGGAAAATCCAATTTTTGTACTCTGCAAATGATTACTGCTGAGGATAATAGGATACCCGTAATTGCTTCTCCCATCCCATATGCATTTATCGCTATGAAGAATCCCATGAAACCACACCCGACTCCCAATCATATCATCTATATATCCAACTCCTAGCTTCCAATCCCAAGCCGATCGTAGCCAAAAACCCTATATAAATTCGGATCTGAACCTTAAACTCTATCCAACTCCTCAAAATCCCAAATTAATGGAAAGTCCTCGAATGACAGACGAAATGACATCCTAATGATAAAAAGTCATATAATCACAAATAGAATTAACCCTCGTTCCTCCCCCAACCAACATAGTCATACCACCAGCATGATCCTCGCCTCCTTCCATACCCCAATTTCCCCCTCTTTCTCCTCCCCCTCCCCTTCTCAACAAAATATCTCTAATCTTTGCATCTGCAACCACAGCGATCAAACCCACAACTGCAAAAGCAACTGGAATCTTCTTTGCGAGATTGATCCTCTCAGCTTTGGTTTTCTTGGTCCACCATTTATGCAATCTGGCGGAAATTGTAGGGGAGGTATTGCGGAGATAACGAGGCTCGATTATGCGAGGAGTTTGGCCCGCATTTGGGAGGGGGCGACACGGATGGGCATTGAGGGATCGAATTGGATTGTAGCGCATTTTTGCGTCGGTGTGTGTTAGGAGGATATAATTTCTTGGTGTCGATTTAACTCGGTTCGTTGACTTATTTTGTTCGTCTAGATGAATATGAATCTATTGTTTCATATTCGGCGATAGGAATTTGTAAATCTGGATTTGAGATAATGAGTTGTGCGATAATTTTTTGGAAAGGAAAAGAAATTCATCTAGAATTTATAATTTTTCGGGTAAAAATGACTAGATCCTGAGTGACCTATGAAGCAAAAGTTCTAAGATAATTTGAGATAGTGCGGCACTACCACCTACCTAACTGCCACCAACCTTCAAACGCCGAACTAGTGGTTGCGGGGTAACCAGTTGTAGAAAGGCCCTCAATGTTCGTTATCTGCAAAGACTCCTGCATTACATGACGTTCAACCATTCGTCCCTTTACCGGCACCACGCTCGAATGATCCTTTTTGAATAGCAAGGTTTGAGTTCCACAAAATTACTTCCAAATCACCCGGCCGCTTTCCATCCGTACAGGCACCGATGGAAATATCCTATACGATTCCTAATGGCAAAACCATGCCGATGAGACGTGGTTACTACCACTTTGAATATTCCTTCCCAAAATTGGAGCAAAAAACATGAATATGGAGAGAAGAAAGAAACAGCATGACACAACACAAAAAAGCATACCCGAAAATCCAACTTCCCTTTACGAAACCGCAGAATGATAACTCCGCTTATTACTGATATCTATAACCACCCATAAATCATTCAAATGATATTTCCACGTACCATGATCATCATAACATATAGTTCATCCTCCACCCCACATTTTATTTTTCCTGTCCTATCCTTTTTGCTTCATTCCCGTCCCATTTCCATTTAACCACCAAAATCCATTCTCAACGCAATAGTTGGTTCCCTTCCTCCGTCATCCGCATCATCCGTTTTCCCTCTCCCACCCTCTTTCCCTTTAACCAAAACACCCTCCATAAATACCTTCTGCTCAGGTGTCATGCCACCAACCACAGCTCTAAAAGCCGTCGGATCAGCAGCCGCCATCTCAAGGAGTCTGGCATTGGTCTCTTTCCAAACTTTTTCTCCGTCCCCATTTGCACGTTTCAATAATGTAGGTACGATAACTGACATAGCTACTGCCCTCTGTTTGCCTTCGACTGAAACCACAAATGCTGTTAGAGCATGCAACGTGAGCGCTCGAGCATTTTCGGGGTCTTCAGTTGCGGTATTAGTGCTAAAGGTAATAAGGCGAGGTAAAAGATACCGCGCGATGCTTTGATCTGCGGGGGTCTTTGGCGTTATTAGGAGGAGACTACGAATGCAGTTCGCTGCTACTTTTGCAGTCTGTGTGATGGTGTTAGCAGATTTCATCTCAGAAGAAAGAAGTGTCTTACCATTCGATCACTTAGGCAATCTACGAGTTCATCTAGGAAACGAGTGACAAGTGGAACACTGGCAGATAAATAGTTTGTCCCACTACTAAGCAATAGCGTTGAAGCGAGAAGGGAATTCTTAACACATGGTAAAGATACTTCTGTTTCTCGCTTTTGGGCATTCATGTAAATTGACAGGAATCGTTTGAGGCAGCCTTGTAATTGTATGATGCTGGTATTGTTTTTAGAATTTTGTGTTTTGTGTGATGCTGAGATACTCGTGATAAATCGTTTGAATATCGGGAGCGATTGAGGAACCACCACAGCTTGGCAACTTCCTGTTCCAAGAATGGTAGCAAATATGTGAATGATGCAAGCATGCAAATCTGTTTTGATTATTGATGGGAACACTTCAGCAGCATCTACCAATGCATTAAGGGATACTCTGACGAGAGTAATAGCTTCTTCTGTCAGTTGATGGCGAGCAGGCTGTTGTGCTTCAATCAAATTTGGTAGAAGCCCAGCAAGTACCAAGACGATAATCCTAGTCAATTCAAACAGCTGCTCAATATCTTCCGACAAATCTTCACCCTCGGCAACGTCTGCTTTCGTAGCGGAAGGATGAGAGATGCATAAGCTTCTTGCAATCTGCACGATAACGGTTTGAACATCAAGCCCTTCAGTGAGGACAAGGCGATCAAGTAGGTCCATAGTTTCCGAGAAGATTGCCTCTCGGTAGATCGCGTGACCGGATACACTAGGATGCAGAATCTTCTTCAAAGCCTGTAAAATCTCGAGTGTTTGTCCCTTGGATGCGAGGGCCTCACTTCCAGGTTTAGCAACGAGGGCTTCGAACGCAATTCCGAACAAAACAAAGAAGAATGCGACTGGTTCATCTCGATAGTTGATATCATTACCCTTGGAATTTCCGTTTGTTGAAGGGGCATCGGCTTCCTTCCCATCAAGCGCATTGAAAACAAATTCACTGTCCTGCTCGATGAGACTTGCGATAGCATCAACAAGCTTGAGCCATGAATCTTGATAGAATCTTAAGAGAGTTTCTCGGTTCAATGCAGAATAAATACTATCCAAACTCCCGGACAAAGATGGAGGACCTAAGCTCATCGAGATGTCAGGCTCAAACCTTAAACGTGCAAATTCTCTTAGCGAGGCGAGCCACAAGGGAGTTAAGGTGCCAATGTATGGCTTAAGGACATCCACAAGATACTTTTGTTCTGTGCTGGCTACTTGCAACTCGGCCCAAGCAGAAAACACTGCCATCTTGACCATGACCTGAGCATTCGAGCTAAGACCTTTAAGATCTCCAATAGACGCAACTTCGGATTCCGTCGAGAAATTCTCTAATGCAGTAACCAGAGTTTTGAGGATACGACCCATTCGATCGACATCTGTAACGATACCAGTTGCAATAAAGGCGGCACAGACGTTAACAGCCTCAGATGCTAATTCGGGCGAAGAGTCAGCAGCGAAAGCTGGTGTGAGAGCAGAACTAATCTGAGCTTGGTATTGCTCCAGAAGTGGAGCTTCGGCAAAATCGGGATCTGGCGTATGGCCAAACATCTTCAAGACTGCATCGATTATCTTCAGACCCCATACGCGAAGTTCCACTACATTGGATGTAGAAGCAGAAAACGCCATTCGAATAACATCGGCTACCCTCTTTTGCAAAGCAACTTCAGCAGCTGAGCTGCCATTAGCTGCTAAATCCTTGCTAACCAATGCGAAGATCTCTCCCAAACAGCTCATGGCAAATGTTCGAACCTGCCACCTAAGTGGTTCTTGACCAGCAGCGGGGGTACTCGTTTCTTTGGTCATGCCAGAAGCAGCCGCAAAACCTGCGACTTCTTCGTCTTGCAAATCAGGTAGGGCATTAACCTTTGAAGTTATGGCCGTTGAATCTTCTACCTTGGGCCTTGTCATGGACAGGACGGTTTGGCATCTTTGCAGCCATCGTGGGGTTTCAGTCAAACATGACTGTTGTAACCAATTCCGGATAACATTTCTTATACCATCGTGAGCAGGGTCCGAATCCAAAGCAAGCCATAGCTGATCTTCAAAACCAGTTTCAGCTGCTTTGACAACATCTTCCGAGTTGCGCTTCATGAGATTGTACAGACCATCAATCGCGATATCTCTAAGTAATGATACGTCGGACTTGAGATCTTTTTGAAGAAGAATAACATAATCTACGAATTCCATATGACCTGGAGCATAAAGGGCCAGATGCTCCTGGCATTTCAAGCTTCCTGCAAGGACTAGAATATTATCTTCTGCGCCAAATTGTCCTACCATTGTAAGTATTAAATCCCGCGCTTTAGTCATATCCTGAAGATCAGGGCCAAGGACATTGACCAAAGAGTCTATACAACGCGCAATGACCGCAGTTGTGGACAACTCTAACTCTAGATTCGAAGTCGCCAAAGAAGAAATTTCTTCATTATGTGTGTCTGAGACATATAACTGGCATAGCATGCCAAGTGTACTGGAAACATATCCAGAAAATGTTAAACCAGCTGAATCTGCGACACGCGATAGAGACTCAAGCGCCCAAATATGAACAGTCGGATGCGGATCATTGCACAAGGACATCAATATCCCTAATATAGTCTTCAAATGAAAGCCTGCCGCCATTCCTCCAACCTGGGAATGAATGCACCCTAACGCCATTGCACAACCAGCTCTTGCACTCGGCTCGCGGTTGCTCACAATGGTATCAATAAGGTATTTAATTTCCTGGTTGGTGTATGTATTACCAGAGATGTTACAAAGTCGAGCTAGGGATTCGTAACCAATGTTCCGTACATATTGATCTTGATGAATGACGAATGACCGCAGGATTTCTTGCATGAGCTTCTCTACAGCAGGATTGGTGAGATCGCCTGGAGGAGATGATGTCTCTTTCACGGCCACCTTCAATGCGCAAAATAAGGCGGTCGCAATGTTGACATTGATGGCAGCCTTCCTTCCAGGATCTCGTTGAAGCGCGCCCGTGGATAGGAACGTGGCAATTTGCTCTAATATACTTTCTTGAATCTTCGGAGGAGTAATCGGGAAAGCAATTGCGAATAGCCTAATGGCTATATTTATGACCTCTGTAGCGGGTGGGTCTGGTAAACTATTGTCTTTTTCAATATCACCCAAGTACAGTGAAATGGAGTCGTGCTCAAGCGAACTGCATATTGGCGATAGCAATACATTTGATATATCAATATCCGATCCGGTTTCTTTTATCCAGTCATCTCGAGACCCATTTTCTTGTTCAGAGGCCAACTTTTGCACATTGAAGCCTCGAACGAGTCCTGTGACACCAAACCCAGAATTGTCCCCAACATCCCACACTGTCTCGAAGTTGCCAGCCGAGCTCGCAATCGATGAGGATAAAGAACTTGGACTATAGTTTTCAGGGTCGGCGAAGAATGATACCGCGAGCGTGAGAAGATTAGATTGTAACAGTGCCTCACTTCCACCGACTGGACTAAGTGTAACTAGCCTCGCATAGCATTGAAGAACACGACGCTGAACCATCAAGTCCAGATCCTGCAGTTGTAATGATGGAGTCAATCTTTGTGTAACATCATCCGACAATTTTTTGGATGGGAGACTTTTCAGGAATGCTGAAGTGTTTGTAAGCATCGCAGCAATTCGTTTTGACACATCTGCCGTCAGGAGACGGCTATTGAATTGCAAAAATGATAAAATCGAGCCAAGTGCACACTCTCTAACATGAGTGAGGAAGGAAGATTCGAGAAAGCTCCGTTGAGAAGTATTGTCCTTAGCAAGAGGTTTTGGTAACGCATTTTTCCATAGTAAAAGTAGTTGGGACAGGTGGATCTTCACAAAATTCGGTCCCAAGGACATCAACCCGCCGATAAGTATCCATGCTACCTGTATCTGAGTACTTGAGACACGCAATTCCGACTTGCTACTGGATTTAAGAAGATTAGTTGCGAGAGAAAGCACGCGACTGTTGACATCCACTGAGCCATAAAGCGGCTGTAAGTTTGCTGTGCTAATCATCGCAGACAATCCATTGGCGTATCCCACACATCTCCTTGGTGAGTTTCTTCCAGTATTCAATAAGTTCAATTCTCGATTGACACTGTTCATGCATATTGTGAGGCATGGTAATAGTTGCTGTGGACAAGCCAATGTGAAAGTTCGTAAACAATATGAGGTATAGATTTGAACCGTATAACTTGGGTGTTGAAGAACTTGTAATAGTCCATCCCTACAACCTTCTGCAATCACATTCGCGGCAGATCCCAATGTTTTAATCAACGACGCCAATGCGCTGAGTGTGGCAATGAGTGTATGTTTAGAAGGCTCAGCTCTTTCTTTGATCACCTGCGGGTAATTTTTCAGAATATCATTGACCAACGCCTTTGCAGCGTCCAAATGCCCAGATTCACCAAGTATAGAGCGGCCGACCACGTCTTCTAGGATGATTTGCACAAATTTCCGTGTACTCAACAAACGATATCTGTTACAAGTAATGTTTGCATGGCTCAAAAGTTCCACGGTAAGATGGTCCACAATCTGCATATACATCGTTTCGACAGTCCTCTCGCTCATACTTTTGAATATCCGACTGTAGCAAACAGCTATGCCAGCGCGAGCTCTATTGGTTGTGGATATTTTGATATACTGATTTGACAACACTTTCAAAATCTCTTGAAGTGTAAGAACGAGTATTTGGCTCTTCTTGTTGCCGGTGGGGGTTCCAGGCCTCGAGGGCATTTCATCATCATCAAGCCCCTGGCCAGCTATTACGGATGAACGTTTGTTGGTATTCGTCCTTTTGATCTTCTTGATCATAGGTATATCATTATCTCGCGGAGCCTCCTCCGAATGGCTTTTCACCAACGCCTCTGCGAAACACTCTGCGGCAGCCTGTCGAACCAATGCGCTCGGCGAATCTATTGTCTTGAAAATCGTTGACTTCAGACTTTCAAAATCGCTGGAATTATCGTAATACTGCGTGAACTTGCACAGACTTTTTAAGCATCTACAAGCTGCGATCTGTACCAATGCGGACTTTTCAGTTGAAGCATAACTCCTGGCTTGTTTCCATATATCCTTCGCGATTGTGTCGTCCATGCTTGTCGAAACCATTCCCACAATCTTACTCAAAGCCTTGAATATCGCGGCTCGTAGGCCCGCATTGTTTTGCGCGGACTTTAACAGCTTCAGCAACGCACTGCATGCTAAAGAATGTAACCCAATCGCGCTGTCTCCAGCGGCTGCGAAGACATCTCCTAAACAATAAACAGCCGCATGCTTCGTTCTGAAATCCCCATCCGTCTTCGTCTTTCCATTACTGATTATGCCGACTAGATCATTTACTGTTTCAAAAAGCAGCTTCCTATCCCCTTTGCCTAGTACATGTGCGAAACATCGTCCCAAATTATTTCGAATCACCCTGGTAGGAGGGGGAGCTGCAAGATTGAGTATTTGAAAGAGCTCTTTCTTGAGGTAAAGCTGCTGCGCCGTACAATCGTCTGGCTCCAGGCCTTCCACATGTTTTGTGAGCGTCGAGACGAAATTAAGGAGGTATAAATCTTGTTGCTCTGATGGGAGGGATTGGAGCTTCTTGATATCGAGCTCTGGAGTGGAAGATGGCTCTAATCTGCCTGGAAGTTCACTTGAGCCATTTTTGGAGCTCGGTCTGCCTGTCGATGACATTATTTAATATCTGTTGTATCTATTGTTTTGAATGTCCTTTGAAATTTGGACATTCATGAGGTGGTTCTGGCCTCATTGCACGCTCCTTTACTGTACTGTACCAATTTACAGAGGTGTTCGCGACAACGATCGAAGGTCAGCCAATCGGAAGCCACAACAATATTTATTTTCAAAGCTCGAGATCAAACCTGATATAAAATTTCGTCTTCGGTATGACAAACATGCCAGCATTTTCTAGAGGTCTAAGACCTGTCCTTCGGACTGATTATATCTCTTCCAAATGTCTACAATTTTCCACTACGTCAGTGGTGTTTTCAGGTCACAATCGCTGGTCAAAAATCAAACATGACAAAGGAGCTGTAGATGCGAAAAAGACCAAGGCTCGCTCTATCATTGCGCATGATATTGCGCTGGCTGTAAAATGTATGTTATATGATATGCCATTGGTTTTTATATTTGATACTAATTCATTATATAAGTACATGGAGCCAACCCATACATAAATCCAAGACTGGCGGCTGTTCTAGCGGCTGCGAAGAAAGGTACATAACGGGGTACATTCCCTCCTGGCATCTATATTTGCAAATACTCACGTTGCCATAGCTGGTTTTCCGAAAGCCTCCATAGAAACTGCTCTAGCTCGTGGGCAAGGAAAATCAAGAACCGGAGCTGCGCTGCAGAAAGCAACGTTAGAATGCATAATGCCGCCGCAGGTTGCCCTGATAATTGAAGCCGAAACGGATAGCGTTAATCGTACAATGATGGAATTGAGACATCTGGTTAAAACTCATGGAGGAACTGTGACACCTACAGCATATCTGTTCCAGAAAAAGGGATGCGTCACATTCGAGAAGGACGAAAAGAATCTGGGCGTTGACGATGTGATGGATGAGGCGATCGAAGCAGGGGCCAAAGATTTAGAGGTGGACGATGAGGGGAATATTATTGTTTGGACGGAACCAAATATGGTAACAGTAGCCGGAGATACTCTGCAGAAGGAATTCGACATAAAAATCGCAAGTTCGGATATCCTCTGGATTCCTAATGAGGATACAAATGTGCCAATCGATGCAGGGGAGGCCACAGACAGACTTATGTCTTTCATTGAGTCTGCAAGAGATAATTCAGATGTTCAGGGGATATATGCGAACATTGTTCAGGGAAATATTGAGGATGGACAGTGGGAAGATTTGATCGGTGGATTAGACTGATTAAAAAGGGTATATATTTGATTTAGACACACACAGAGGTAGAGGGTAGACTAGATTTACAGTGGGTGGCTTGTACGATAGGAAAAGCATCTCCCCGCCCCTCGACCCCAATTCTAGAGGAATAATTCCTGTGCAACCCTTTCAACTTCTGAGTCGAGCAAAATTTGCAAACGGTCCTGAACCATAGGTCCTCAAACATGCGCCTTGAACGCCAGCCTGCCTTGTAACCAATTCTATGCCATGACCATTCCATGCGATATGTTTGTCGTCATTTCCCCCACACGCCACCCTGTTGCTATTCTCCTCATCAATTTTATCCTCTTCATCATTTCTCTTCCCCGTTCGAGCCGTTAGCGCCCCGCAGCCTTTGCTCTCTCAAATATAATCTCTTTTGCCTCAATCTCTCCAGCTCCGCTTTGATCTCATCCTTCTCAAACGGTATGCGATTGGTTTGCTCAACCTTCGGCCAGAAGTCTGGGACCGAGAACCGTTGGTCGAGATTTGTGCCATAGTAGTACATGATTGCGATTGGAAACATGATATACATGCCAAACTATTCTATTGTCAGATTGTGATTCCATGGCGGGGTCTGAAGTGGTATCTAATATGCTGAACTGTGGAAGAACTGGTAATATTTACCTTGAACACTTCGAGATTAGGACCTCCCATGATTGCGGTCCGCTGTCTAGTATTGCGATACAATTTGAGTGCGTTGGCGTGGAAAATTCCTTTTCTTGCTCCAATTCAATGAAAGCTCGGGATAGATCCTAAAAATCATGCGGATATCAGACTTCACAACGACCAATCATATCATGCTGGCCCCTGGTGGATAACGGGTAAAGAATGGCCGAGGTGGGCTACCCCACAAATGAATGGCCTTAATGGATCCCGTCATTCATCAGTACGTATTTATAACTTTCATGATATTTTACCTGTGAGTTGTTTACTTTAATCCCATATGTTTTAGATTCCCTTCCAAAACCAAGAATCACGGTAATCACAATTGACAGTGAGAAGAAGTTTAATGCTTGGACCCAATTAAGATGTCTATTATCCGATAGCAAAGTTCATGGTGGGGTTCCTACCCATGATGAGGTTTTCGTCACAGTCTTGACAGGAAGGGTATTTGAGATGTTAATTTGGGAAAGGGAACTTGCTGACATAAATTCCTAGGACGCTACTTTTCAGCGTAAGAGTCTCCCGGTCACATGATAGCTACCATGCATTGATCAATCCATAGAAGACCGATATACAATTGGTAAACTGTTGGAATTGATCTTGCTCTTCATTGATTGACTAGCTTTGCCGCAAATAACCTCAATATAACCAATACCTTGGACACACAACCAAAAATCCTCATCACAGGCCTCAATGATCTGGATGTTAGCCTTTGAGCTGCATTAAACTTCTTCTCAGACTTTATACACTGCACGCCGCAGACCTTCTTTCTGTGGGGCCGCTTTCCCAAGTTTGAAACTCGTGGAAGGAGGAGCTTCGAGGGCTTTCGTCCAGTATTTGGGAATAAGGAAAGCGAATGAAGCTCTTGTCTTGGGTGGAAGAATAATTCTCGAAGGAAATGTTGCAATCTGGTTTTGTGAACAAGATTTCCGATGTGCAGAAGGGAAGAGTTCGAAAAATTGGTATTCGAGGGAAACAATAATCGACTGGGAATACATTTAATCGGCCATGGTTTGATACAAATCGAGCCTTGATGGGATAACAAGACAAAGATCTGCTCGATGCATAGAATGTAGCAGAGATAGTCTGCGGGTTTGAAAGCTTTGAGCGGGTAGACCACAGGGGAATTAAGAGAGATTACAAGCGGCGAGAAAAAGCATAGGCTGTAGATGCTTAGAACTTCGAATGTATAGAGAGGAATCGTTACCCCCAATGGATGGCGAAGGAATCGTTTCAGTAGATATTCAACCTTAAACATTATACCAATTTTGTGAAGCTCCGCATGAAAGTCGCAAACAAGTAAATCCAATTATGAGCCAAGAAAGTAAGTCCGCCCGTACTCCAACCCAGGACCACCTGATGGAGTGATTTATCGAGTTTTGGAAAGCGACGCGGTCTGCAAGCCCTCCCAGTTCTCCATCATCGTCTGTTCGTCCAGCTTATAGATTTGAAGAAGGCACCCATCTTTTCAATGGTAATTTCCAGTCGAAACATCTTGGTGTGTTGCTGGTATGACGTCATTTCGTACTCATCTATTAGATGAAACCGTGGCACCTTCACCATTATTTTCCATCGCAGCTCTCTGTCTCTCTTCCTGCTTCTGCCAATGGCCGCCCTCCTTATAATCCTTAGAAATGCCCAACGCACTCCTGAACTTATTATCTTGCTTAATTTTTGCCTCTGCCAACTCATGTACTTGATGCATCTTCAAACCTTTCATACTTGGGCCGTTACCTCTCTCCATCTCCTTCAAGAGCTTCTTTCGTAACGCATCTTCTTGTATTTCAATTTCTTCCTCGTCGACTCTATGCCCACTGTTAGCCCACCCACGATTAATGAATGCGTCTCAAGAACCTACCCTTCTTCTTCTAGTTTATCACGTAACTCAAAGACCTTGACTTCGACTTCTCGTTTCCTGTCATGCTCAAGGATCCCTTTATCTGGCTGTCGTTGTCTATGTTTAAGACTGTCGATATCCGTGGAATAAGGCTTAGCTTGGTCGCGAGGTTTCATATGCGCAAGATTCCTTTGAACGTAGCCTGAGGTTCCACTTCCTCTAGGCGTAGTAAGACCAACATTGGAAGACATGATGGCGAAAATGCTCAGGTTGTGGTTTGGTTTGTCTTCCTCACAGCTGGGTTGCTTATGGGAAAGTTGATGTATGGAGAAATGATTAACAAATGCTGATATCCCAGGCGGTGTACAACTAGCGTGGCAGAATACAAAATTATTGATTGCCCCCTCGATGTATGGGACAATGAAGGGCCCGCTCTGACTCACAATTTCCATACACATATCTTTTAATATATTCGCCCCTAAGTAGCATCATATTTCTAATCTTTCCAATTAGCTTTTATGAGAATTTCCACCATCAATCTTATTTGTATGAAAAATGCCAGCTTCCGACATTGAAGAAGTTGCGCGCACAGAGGCCGAACCCCTCACTAGACTCCCCTTTGGACCTATCACCAAGTCTCACATTTTAAACTGCTCTTATGATAAGTGGCATGCGAAGTACAAAGTTTACCCCAAAATCATTCTTGAAAAGTGCTGACAGGGTACAAGATATCGGTCCTCAACTCTCAAATCTCGAATCATCCCCCTAACTCCAGAGTTCCTTTCATACCTGAGGGAAGATGGCATAGTCCTTCCATTCGAGATTCCTACATTCCCTCCACCAGAAACTTACAACAACAACTCAACTAGCGATGGTTGGGATGAAGATACAGAGACAGAATTGGATCCCTCGGATAAGTTCTCGGAAATTCACAAACAAATACAAGAAACAATCACTGAGCTTGGCGGATCAGTAGTTCCCAAACTCAATTGGTCTGCTCCGAAAGATGCCACATGGATCAGTTTAAAACAGAACAGCATGGAGTGCAATACAGCAAACGATGTTTACCTCCTTCTCAAATCTTCCGACTTCATTACCCACGATTTAGAACACGCCTTTGATGGTTGTGCCGAAGATCCGTCCCTCACGAAAGAAAACATAGAATATGTTCTAGTTTTACGGAAATGGTTTAAAGTAAATCCATCTTGCGAGTTTCGATGTTTTGTACGAGATCGGAGGATTATTGGCATATGTCAAAGAGATCTAAACTATTTTGATTTCTTATTTCCTCTCATCCCAACATTAAGAGAAGCAATCCAAGAATACTTTGACAGAACTCTCAAAGATACCTTTCCAGATCGCAATTTCTCATTTGATGTTTATATACCAGAACCATTCGACAAAGTGCGGTTAGTGGATATAAATCCATGGGCTCCTCGGACAGATCCGCTTTTGTTCTCCTGGCTAGAACTACTCACCCTTTCCGTACCTCCACCATTACTTGGTGTCGCAGATTCATCATCAGTGCCGCCATTGCCTGTTCTAAGTAGTGATGAAGATGACGGAGCAGATGTTGTGGAACTTGGATGGATGCCCGAATTCAGATTAATAAAGAAAGATGACCCGGAAGCATACAGCTTTTCAAGTCCGCAGTATAGTGCACACAAGATGCCACAAGAAGTGGTGGAAGCAGGTGCAAGTGGAGAAGGTGGCATGAGAGAATTTGCGGATAATTGGCAGCGGATGTTGAACGGTGAGCTAGAAATGATGAGAGTTGGGGAAGGTAGTGATGAGGATGATGATGATGATTATGAACCGGAGGCAATTGTTACCTGAGATACGAGACAACAATTCCTTTTGTGGCAAGGATCCATCATATTCGATTTATTTGGAGTGATGTAATGATATTAAAAATTACTCATGCGCCGAGGCTTTGCTTGTGGGGCAAATGTGCCGATTCCATTCTTCGGGAATCCGGCCCACAATCATATTAATAAGTCAACTGTAAACAGGCTTCGTCGGGGTCTAGTAGCAATGTCTTTGTAAGACTTAAGTCACCATGAGCTTGAAATTTTCTTTTCTTCATTTTTAGGTTTGTATCTTTTCTTCCCGTGCAATATCGATTCCTCTTTCCTCATTTTCTTAACTTTTTAATTTCAAGGTCATCATGTCACAACTCACAATTAACAAGCGATGGACCACCCGACAGTCTGGCCTCCAGGACCTCATTCTAGGGTCATCTACAGTCCCAACACCAGGTGACGGTCAAGTGCTTGTCAAAATCCATACCGTAGCCCTCAATTATCGAGATACTGAAGTGATGATGGGCCTATACAACCATCACAAAACTGCTGGCAATGTACCCTCTTCTCTGGTTCCTTGTTCTGACATTTCCGGAACAATCATATCATCTAACAGTTCAAAATGGAAGCCTGGTGATCGTGTTCTTGCAATATTTAATCAGACACATATCCATGGTCAAGTGACTGCAAAGGATATGGCTAGTGGATTAGGACTGCCGGCAGAAGGTTGTTTGCAAGAATATCGTGTATTCGACGGAGAAGGATTGGTCAGGAGACCGGAATACCTCACAGATGAAGAAGCTTGCACGTTACCAATCGCTGGAGTAACAGCCTGGATGGCGATTAATGGCATGAGGCCACTTGGACAACCAGCCGGGAAGGGAGAAAGTGTGTTGATTCTGGGAACTGGAGGGGTGGCAATCAGTGGATTGCAAATCGCAAAGGCCAGTGGCATGGAAGGTAAACTAAAAATCTTATCCCATTCCCGTCTCTTTAGTTCCGCAAGTTAAGTCCAGTCTAGTGATCATAACATCATCCTCCGACACCAAACTCGCCCAAGCCAAATCCCTCGGCGCAGATCACACAATAAATTACCGTACCCATCCCAAGTGGTCTGACGAAGTAATGAAAATCACCCAAGGTGAAGGCGTCTCCAATATCTTCGAAACAGGTGGTGCCCTAACACTGCGCCAATCATTCGATGCCATAGCTTTCGGCGGACTCATCAATTGCATTGGATATCTCTCGGGAAAGGAAGATGAAGATGCGGATCGTACGAATACGAATGTTCTAGCGCTGAGAAGAAATGTTACGTTAAAAGGCATTTTGAATGGACCCAGAGAGAGATTCGAGGAAATGTTGGCGTGGTACGAGGAAAAGCGGATTAGACCGGTGGTGGATAGGGTGTTTGGGTTTGAGGAGGCGAAAGAGGCCTTGGAGTATTTGTTCCATGGGGCTCATTTTGGAAAGGTTGTTGTGAGGGTTAGTGAGTGAAAGTTTAGAATCCTATGAGATGGATTGGACCGAAGAATTTTGCTTAAATGCGTCCGGTCCATGGGGTCAATGAGTTCTCGATCTGGGAAAACTAGACTTCGGTTATTTTATCATGATGTATTTTTACATTAAGCTACCTCAAGTTCCTTCTGATTTCATGCGAGTAAACGAATTTAATTAAATCTAGGAGACATTTGACATTTTATATTTGAAAGTAAAAATATCGTCTTAGAAAGCCACATTAGTGAATTCCCTGACTCTGTAACTTCCAATTGAACGTCACAAGGGCGAATTTGAAGACCCCCTTTCGAGACGATTTTCGATTTTCAATATCCAAATTTGGGCAGAATATTTAAAAATCTAAATTTAAAGAAACAAATGAATTTATCATTTTTTAACTTCAGGTAGATTTTTACAGGACATTGTACATGTTAATGCAAATACGAGTATATTTAAACAAGATTTAATGAGATTGTGTTCGGTAATTGACAAGAGCTAAAGTCTTTATTATGTATATATGATTATTTGAGATACTTGAGAGATGCTAATCGGGCAGTCCTCAGTGAGGATGGTGAAGAGTATAATGATGTAAGAAGTTCGGGTTATTAAAATTTTATAATAGTAAATCAGATTTAAATCTTTTATTTTGGAAAGTTATATAACGTTGTGAATATTCTCATTGTTCCTATCGATTAGCTCTTTACAAATCATATAATTAATCTTACTATGCGTTCTTATTACCAATAATTTACTTCAAGTACGAGACGGGTTTTAAGATTATGAACAGAATATTGCAGTAAAAGCTATTTTAAGTGCTGAGAGGACATGAGAGTTATACAGCGATATACTCGGGTGGGATTGGCCCTTTTTGAGCTCCGGGACTGACGAAATAAAAGAATTATTAAAATCATATTAAGTAATGAATCATACAAGGCACGTAATCTTCAAGCAAGATTTGGATTTAATGGGAAGTTTTAGAAGCTGGGAATCTTAAGATCTTACCATGAATCCGTGTATCACTTATTAGTCGTGTATTGGGAGAATCATGTTGGGAATTGTAGCTATAGTTCACAGACGGAGATGTGATAATATCTTATGATATACAGGACACTCTTGGCTTTTTATTCGTGGTTACTTTGGGTGATGGCGGCTCCTCTATAAACTCGTTGGGTATTGAATTTAGGTTCACAGCTAATGGTGAAGTAAATAAGAACAGCAAGTTGACAATGATCGGTGCTCACCCGTGCATTAGAAGCACATTGGCAGCCGAGTAGAGACGTAGAAAATAAGTTGAGTGTTTGAAAAGCTAGGATCAGTTCTTACTGTATTATTCATAACTAATTCAGGAACAACTCTGAACATGCTAGGCTAATAACCTCCGGAAATACATATCTTCTTCCAGTGTCTTATAAGAATCAAGGTAGATAGAGTGATAAAACCGACTTGTATACCTCACTTTGCGCCAGGTTTGGACGATGTGATGAGATAGTAAAGCATTTGTTGACAAAGCTTTCACAGACAGTTTGGGAGCGATCATGACGGGCTAGGCGATCGGCTTAGCATGGGTGATGAACAGCGCCAAGAATAGAAATCCTTTGGTAACTCATACTTATTTTCAGTTTCTCTGTGCAAACGATTAGTTTCCAAAGTATTCTGAGCCATTCAATGTCACGCTGAATCACTTACAACGAATATCGTAGGGCAATAGCACGAGCAAGTTCCAACAGGCTAATTAAAGCTTTCTCATCCTCTATCCAATTCAGCAAGGTAGCTATAGCTTGTATCAATGGAGTTTCGTAATTTTCATCATACGGCATCATAAAAGAGAGGGTCGCGAATTCGAAATACCGTAGATAGAACCCAGAGCAGCCCCAATCAAGGAGACTAATCGTATTGTCTTCTTTAAGGATCATATTCCGTCGACATAAATCCATGTGGCAAAGAACAAGTGGATGAGAGCTTAAATCTATAGATTTATCTCGTATTACCAAACATTTAGTGAGCCAAGCTTCCATATCTGCTACACAGGTAAAAGTCGTCCTTGCGCCGTCATCGCCCCAGAGATAACCTTCTGGCATTCCCCCGCCTATAGGGCCAGGTACGTGAACGCCCTGAATTTTTCCAAGGTGCTCGATAATTCTTGTAACACGGGGAATGATATTCACGTTTTCATCAAGATCGAGCTCATTTAGCTGCCGCCCGGGCACATACTCCATGAACAAGTAGCCAAAATCTTCCCAGCGGAAATAGCGGTAAACTTGGGGAATGTGAACAATATTTGGATCAACATTTCGATATGCAAATTCTTGAGATTTTGCCTCGGAAGCTGTGACGCCGAGCCCAAATTTGGCTGCTACATTGTCCGTGAGTCTAACAACTCTATCCCCTCCAAAGCAGCCCCCAATAGTCCTATCCTCTTTTATGAGCTTGTTGCAGAGTTGAACAAGAAATTCCTCGCTAGCTGTATGTATATCCAAGGATAAGTCTCCCATATCATAGGCGATGACTTTTGAGATGAATATGGATTAGGAATTTGTCTTCTTTTTAGTTGCTGAAGAAATTCTATTGATATCAGTTCCAAAGATCTCGGTTACAAAAGCGCTAAAAGATCCGTGCACTAAATTATCTAAGCCACCCAACAGACGAGATGCTACTCGAGACAGCTACGTACAAGGCGGGGGTAGTCAGAATGTGGGGCAGGGGACTTATGCCCAAGATAGTACAACACTTTTTCTGCATCAACCAAAAAGGAGCTCTTAGTTCCTAACTTCAAGAAAGATCAATGATAGATGGATGATATCCTTTTTTTTTGGACTAAAAGAACACTCTTTGTGGAACAAATCATAACTATTTGCCTTCTAGCGAACCCATGTCCAGATATATCACATCACGTGACTGATAGTACTGCAGCGGAAAAGCTGCTGAATGAGGGGCTCCGCCGCGGGCTCGGTATCTCAACTACACTGAAAGTTGGCAAAGCCCAGGGAAATTGTATGGGAGCAGTAACTTCGAGGCGTTGAAGGAGGTAAGCAGGAGATACGATGCATGCAGCGGATCTTTCTCAACTGTAGGTTCCCGGCAGCTTTAAGCTATGGTGATTTCGGTGGGTTAGTAGACAAAAGCCCTTCAATACCAACAGACGTAGAGGCAACATGAATAACATCTGCATTGTATGAGAAATACAGAAGTTTAAATAGTATGATACAAATGTGAAATATGAGAAAAGAAGTGTAAGACTATGAGAACTACCTCATTTTGTTCCTAAGCTCCATAACTTTATAGTATGTTTGTCAAAAGTCATACTGTGGATGGAGGTTAAGCTGCTGAACCACGGGCCCAGACGACAGAGATCTCCGTGTCTTCATTCTTGAGCTTTCAGATCTGCTAGTTGACTTACATTGCCAATTCTAACACCCAGATGACTTCTTCCCGGCACAAACTTGGTGGGACTGGCATTTGTATGATTATTACGTAACCTCATGGTTGAGCCACATCAATTTAAGGTTCCGCCACAGTTGAAACTATCATCTTCATTGCACCGGTTCCTCTTCAGTTTTGTGAGGCACGGTGCTGGTGCAGTCAGAGAGAACTCTACAGTTTGAGATTGATTCCTCTAATTTACAGACACTTTCCAATGCCTCGCCGTTTAGTTCCAAGGAATGATTCGGTTGAAGGCCAAATTCCTCCCCTAAAAACAAGTTGACTTGTGCAACCAATGCCACGAAATTGGAAGTTGAACTAGAATTCACCGAAAATGAAGGACTGAAAATCCCATCCTCTACTCTAGGTATCTTAAAAGCCAACTTTTGCTCCTGCTTATCTCTCTTGAGGTCTGTAATATCACGACATGGACGGCACGAAGTCTTTGATGCTGCAGAGTCGCCACTTGAGATCCAAGTGTGTCTTGAAACTGATCATCCGGACACCACAACGCTCGCGAACCTCTTCCTCTGCAGACGCTGACTGCTTTCATTCCAAACCTCCGTTGAATACTACTCGTCTTCAAGGAGCATCGGTACATGGTAGTGTAGCGCTAGCCTCATGCAAGTTACTGGTGCTCTCTAATATGTTCCTAGCTCCAGAATCGTACATATCATCATACTTCCCATGCAAATCCATCGTCCGTTTAGTGCTTTGTTAGGTAGATGTCTATGCGAGACAGTGTCGACAAGATGAATAGCATTTCCACGCAGCGGATTTTGAGACTACTTCTCTCCTAGCCCGAGGTACAGATCTGCTCATAGTTTTGGATTCTACCGCATTTTATCTCAGACATTTTATTAGTATATTTCATTTATAACCCCAACAAGGAGCCCAGCTGTATTGATGAGTTCTAGCTAGCGTTGTTTCAACCCGTCCAAAAAGTTGTGACTGCTTAACACTTTTCAATGAAATGCAGCATAGCTTCTTACGAGTTTACTGCTGTGGGCGTAGTTTTTTGAGATGGCCAGAGTCGCTCAAGGGCAGTGGTGTAAAGTAAACTTGCAACAGATATGCAGTATAGGTACAAAGGATCTTCACCATGAAGCTGGCAGACAATCTCTTATCCAGTTATTTCTTGATAGCGTAAATGTTTTACCACAATATTGGTCAGAAAGTACCCTCTGTTGTTTGTTCCGAGGTTCTGGTATACGGCTTGATAGATTTGGTTCTCCTCTGCAGGCGGAATAATGTATTGGTTTGGAGACTGTCGTCGAATGTTATCATGTTAATGAATTTGTGAGCACTAGAAATTTCATGTCGAATTCACTCGCGTTTTTAAATTACATACCTAGAATTCCCTGCGGGAGATATCTAAAGCAACTGCGGCACACGCAGCAAGCAATTATAGAACAGCACAAACGATCTTCCTACTGCCCTACTTCTCATCGCTGTACAGTGTCATGAAGCATTCAAATCCAACTTGCTTGGATCCTTATGTGTCTGTTTCTATTTTCTAGAACCTAAAATCTCCCAGATTTGCAACCTCCTTGGTCTTTATTTCCTTCCCTCCCTGGTCAAGAAAAATGATCGAAAATACTCTTCAGGTTGCTCACACAACTTATGCAGTTCTCGTCCTGGTATTTGTGTTAGTCTGTATCAGATTCTTATTAAGAAGACTCAAAAATGAGAGGATCTACCCTGATGACTGGCTCATGATAGCCGCTCTTTTCTTCGTAGGAGGATTTACGTCTACATTCCCAGTTCTTGTACGTTTCTTCTCAATCATTTTAAACCTCGCACATTACTTATTTCCCAACACAGCTTTACACCGGAAAAGGAACGCATGGCTATTCAGATAGCGAAACAATTGCGCAGAGTAATAATCGACTTTCCCTTATGACTGCAGTACAATCTAACATCACGACAGTGGAGTTTGACTCGAAGTACATCATGTTTGGCCGTATAAGTTACCTAACATATATTTGGCTCTTGAAAGCTTGTATCGTAAGTGTTGGGCGCCCGCAATTTCCTGGTGTATACCCCCTCATTAACTTTGCAGCTAATCTACTATTACCGTTTAACAAAGAGGCAGCCGGAACAGAGATATGTGAAATTTACTTGCTGGGGTATTGTTTTGACCTGGTCGACCGTTATGCTGCTGTGGATGCTTCAATGCCGCCCATTTAATTTGAACTGGAAGGTCACAGTTCCTCCTCAGAAATGCGCAGTGAGTTCTCAGAAACACAAGATCGCAAAATGATAGTTTTGCTGACTATCTTCGTTTTAGAGAGGGGTAAGTACTGGGTGTTTTCTTCTTCAGAAGATCATGCTGATGTTTAAAAGAAAACTGGATTACTTTTTATGTCAATTGTTAGTACAATTCTCTTTCCCAAGTTTTAGACTGACATTTATCAAGGCAATTATTGTGACGAATGTCGTATTAATCAGCATCCCCTTGCCAATGATTTGGCGAACGCAGATGGCAACAGTGTACGCACTTTCAACGTCCACTCTTTTCGCCCTCCATTCTTTAGATATACTAACCTCTTTTTTAGTACAAAATTCAAGGTATCTGGGGTCTTCCTCGTCGGTATATTTGTATGTAATAGCTTTCGCACCGTCTATCTAATTCTAACGACCTATAGCTTGTTGTGATATCTATTCTGCGAACCATCTTGCAGGAAAGTGGAACTCAAGCCATGGATGATAGGTACTTTTGGGGCGCTATGGAAGGTCTCCTCATGGTAATACACCGATACCTAAGGTCAGAAGACGAGAGATCCTAACACATTCATTTCAGGCGTTGTTTGCTAACGCTCCCGTACTCAATGCACTCTATCGTCGCATCAAGCATGGCGCTGGATCAAATCACCTCGCATCTAGATCCGATATCAGATCAGCCAGGAATTCAGATGGTATCGAATTGTGTTCGGCTGATGATTCGAGGGAGATTGATTTCATGGAAGCACTCCGGGTAGGACCTGAGCATGAGCCAGAGTCTATGAAACAGTCAGGCCGCGCATCCGCTGTATGTATATGGTGCCAAGCGCTTTTCAACTAGTTCTGCCTTTATCCCAAACATGAACAAGGCTAACACATCTTGAATCGTAATAGTCACCAACACCACCAATACCTGCCAGACTTGCACCTTCACCTTCACACCTTAACAAACACAAATTAGTTCCCAATACCAACATGCTCCTCTCTGTTTCTCGATCGAGAGGAGCATATCATGATTCACTCCAGTGCATCCAAACCGTGGAAATTGTGCAGACATCCGAACCTGCCGATCCCAAAAACCCCATGGCGACAAATTCATTGGGATGTGTGGGACGAGTCAACACTCAAATCACTCATCATGATTTCTCGCCTTTACCAAGTAACCCCGATCTTTACGATAAACTTTACTCTTCTGGTCATGGATCTATGACTTTGGGAGATATGCTAACTGAGCCTAATGGGGATGGTCATAAGCATTGAGAGCTGCGGGAGTGTGTATTTAACGAGGAAGAACCTTTTTCTAGCGTGGCAGGATCCAAGATGCCTAGGGTGGGATTGATTTGAACACGGTTTTTAAGTTCATCTGGGAGTCGAGCAGGGAGATAGCTCCCAATTACAACGAATCCCTCGACCACGACCAACAGACAGATATGCAGGCATGCAATACAAGATATAAGAGGAATTACTGTGGGGATTCACGGTGTAGGAGGGAGTTGGACATTCATTTTGTTTTGGGGCCGTTGGATTACGGGGGCCAAATCTCACAAATTTTTTACATTAAAAACGATTCATTAGACGGTTTCTCATCAACTGCAACAATACTTCGCTCTTCAGTCATCGTCTCGGTTGGCTCCTCCTAGGTACAGCCACCACCGACACCAACTTCCTTTTGATCCTAAACCTTTTTACCTCTCACTTCTCTTATCCTCATTTCATCATTTCAAAGCGCACAAATTTCGGGAAAATTTTCTTTCTAGTCAGTCTGTCGATTTAAGAATTTCAGATATGGCGCATATCATAGCATAGAATTGGCACAGAAGGATAAGCATAACAAGGCATAGCGAAGGATTTTTAGCAATTTTGATTTGACTGGGAAAGAGAGGTTAATTTTTGGTTTACTCGTTTTTAGTTTACTGCATCTCGATTTGGTGTACTATGGAATGCACTTATTCAGTTTGTAGCATTGGGAACATAGATAGATAGCATCGAAAATGTAAAATTAGATGGCTTGTATGCTTTTAAGGTTTAGTAATTTTTGTCATTTTTAATGGTATATGTGTTCAGAGTATGGGAGTTGATATGCCAGAGGGATTATGACCGTACGTATATAAATGAATACAAGATACATGCATTACAAGGTTAGCAGATGAAGAAACGAAGAGTGTAGGATTAGGTGTTTTGAGAGAAGTATGTTAGTGAGTTTAGCTGCTATACGTGGTTGCAAAAGTCCCGGGGAACGTATTCTTGCAATTCAACAGTTGATTGTAATCATTTGTTGCTTGTTTCTCAAGTTTTCTTTTCAATTTTTCGGGGAATGGAAAGGGTCTCAAAATGCATTGCTATCCATTCGGGGCTAGTATGGTATTAACCGAAGCTTTCTAGGAACCCCTGAAAATGGTGTTTTATCCAAATCAACCCCAATCTACAAGGGCAGACTATTTCCACTGTAAATATTCCTATCGTTCTTTATGTGATATCTTTGTAGCCTTACACCTTTTTCTCAAATACAATCAATTTTTCTCCATTAACCGAGCATTCACACGAATGCTTAAAAATTCCCAAAAGCTTACCGTCTGAGCCCTAAAACCAGGGATCTACTGAATTAAAAAGGAATTTAAAAACGCTGCTATACTGTCTATCTGACCTCTTATACCACCTAGCTCCTGAGATACATCGATTTTATATCTCCATAGCCGAGCTCGGCCCCATTCTTGGTACACCCTCACGAGGAGTTTCTATAGATATGTTATTCTTGTAGAAACTTTCAAATTTCTGACATATTTTAGATATCCTGGAAGCTATTAGATATCTAGAGCATCCATTAAGTCCACACTTTAAAAATTATCACAAACATCTTCAAGAGGTGTCGGTTGATATTATCTCCACCTCAATAGAACACAAATTATTTCTGATATGCAATCTAAATTCATTAAACCAACTGCAGTACCTTGCAATTCGTGATTGCTCGGTTTTCTCTGTTCGTAATATATGTAAAGACCCATGAAAGAGCGAACTGGTATTTCCAGCTTCCTCGAATGCGTGACATCCTTTCTAGGTGGACAACTCTGCGTTCTGGTATTAATAAAAGCCGAACAATACATTAAAATTTTCCGACAGAAGAGGTAGCTTGAAGCAAAACCTTCAAGATACGCGAGAAACCAGGATCAGTAACCAAGATGTAAGGTTTTGTAAGGCGAAGCTCCTGAATATATTTAGTTGTTGCAGCATATTCACGAAGCAAATCTAAATCAATATTTCAAAACAAAGCCATCAGTAAATGAAGCAGCCAGCTTTCAAAGTCGCAATTCACCATTCTGCCTGGACGCCAGTCTTGACCGGAAGCTCTTCAGGCTTCAATAAACTAGATTCATGTGTCGTATTCAGCGCAATAACTTCTTCCCCGGAGATAAATATGAAGACAAAAGCAGTCTATTGTAGAAATTGAAGTACCAAACCAATCTTAATATTATTGCTCTTGTTCAACATGAGAAGCTCTTGCTATCATCTTACAACTTCTAGAATAGGAAATCCACGGAAGAACATGTTACAGTGAACCACTATAATAGCAAGGTTTAAAAAGAAAACGGCTTTGGAATTAGCTTTCGCGGACGGCCGAGTAGTTATTTCGAGGGGGATAAAAAGTAAAATACTAATTAGGAATAGGAGCTCAGCTCCGGGAAAGAAAGATAGACATTCAATAAAGATACTAAGCTACATTCCGGATGCAAAATAGAGGAGTTTCTCGTTGGCATTTGATGTGCTGTTGGAATTTCCGATAAAAACTCACCAAATCCCTTCTGAGTAGTGGCACATTGTGTTTTTATATCAACATGGAAGCCAGTCCTTCAAAGACCTGTACCTTTCTCATACTTAGCCAAACTGCAGTTCTTCATTGGACTTTCTGCTCATCTCAAGAACAAAACACAACATAACAAGTAAAGTGAGCAGCAAGAGGCCGATTCTTGAGGCACAGACTCCACTTGGTCTCACCACATAAGGCTGATGCGGAAAACCATAATTGGTGGGAGACTTGCAAGATTGTCTAGGTGACGAAATCTAAAGTCTGGTCTGTGGTAATGTGCTCTCGAAGAAGCAATCTACACAGCTGATTTGAAATGGCTACCAAGGGTTGTCGAAGTAGCTTCTCGGAGTTTGGCAACTTCAACAGCCGCACTGTGATCGTTTGAACTTTGTATGGTTCATGTCAATGTTGTATGACTGTGTAAGCTGTCTTCAATAGATTGACATAACAAGGAGGTTCTCCGAAAAGGACGTAAATGTATGTATTATGTAAGCAGCGAGGGAACCCTTGGAAGGGATATTGTCACGATGATGAGAACACAATGGCTTTGAAGTTCAGGTCTGATAACAAATATTTCTCTCTAACCTTTAGGAACATAAATTATTCCCGTCAACACCACGTCATTCCCATATCCCTCGCTAAATACCAAATATAAGGAGAGCTGAATGAAGACCGACCTTTGGCTTACAAGACGTCTCAAAAGTATTGAAGCTCGGCTCCACTAGCAATAGATGGAGCACCTGGGAGCTGAAATAACTAAGACTCAAAGCTTCGCCGAGAAGAAAAGGTGTACATTCGACTTAGGCAACTTTGCAGAACAAGAACGGTGCCCATTTCCGTGTCCAGGGCGATTGATATTTCCAATCTTACATCTTCTCCCCCTGAATGGTAGCAACAACCTTCCTACTATGTTTGCTAGCTCTGAACTCCAAATACCATATACCCTGCCAAGTACCCGTATTCAACTTTCCATTCGTGATAGGAATCGTAACACTAGCTCCTACCAATGCCGATTTGATATGTGCCTATGATAATTAGCCGCTATACCAAAACATCTCTTCGCGATTCCTTCCCCAATCCAAGGTAAAACAAAAATAACAAACAAAAAGAACAACAAACCGGCATATCATCCAACCCCTCCGCACTGTGTCTATACAATTCCCCCTTCCTATCCTCCGGCGCAATCCTATCCAAAGCATCACTCATATCAGCCCTAACATCCTCATCCCAATTCTCATTCAAACTCAGCGCACAACTCGTATGCTGAATGAATAAATTCAGGAGCCCAACTTTATAGTTTTTGATTTCCGGGATCGAGGATACGATGTGGTCGGTGATGAGATAGGAGCCGCGGGATTTGGAGGGGAGGGATATGGTTTTTTGTGTCCAGGACATGATGGCGGGTTTGGTGTAGCGGGCGGGCGAGAGGGAACTGGTGTAGGTGCTTGGGAGGAGGAGCTTGAGGGGAAGGGTCCAGAGGGCGTGGAAGAGCGGGGGAAAGAGCGCGATGAGGATGATTAGGATGAAGAGGATGTATAAAAATGGAAAGGACGATGTGGGTCCGGTGTTTGGGGGCGGGGTATTATCGTCGTCTGGTTGCTTAGATGAAGAGGAGTTTGAGGATGGCATTCCAAAGATTTTGGGTGTATTAATTGAGTTGCTTAGAATTCTAGTGGGGTTTGTGGACGTCATGGTTTGAAAGCTGCATAGAGTCAGTTGACAGGGATTAAACATTTATTTACATCACATCCATCAAGCAGTTATTTGTTTGTGCAACGTTCACTACACCAGAGTCTCTGCAATCGGGTGAATATAGTTGAGTGACTATCGAGGAAATTTTTTGGGATATCTGCAAAACATCAAAGCCTCATATCTACCCGGTCAATCCATCAGCTGTCCCAAGCTGTTTAATATTTTGACCTCTAAACGCCATTCCCATGTCTTCTATTGCTCTGATGACACTGTAATTATCCTGCAGTTTATTAAACGCCATTTTCTTCCTTGTTATCAGCTTCTTCCATTGTTTCATCATCGCCTCCGGCTAAAACAAGTGTCTTTGGCACATATCCTTCTTCTGGTCCTCCACCAGGAGTGACAGCTACCACATCACCTTTCTCATCAACAAACTCAAAGTTGTATCTTGACAATAAATGTGGAATTGCAGAGAGTTGAGGTCCGTATCTTGCTGTGTTATCATAAAGCTCGAAAAGTGGTACTGCGAGGAGCTTCATGTTCTTAGGAACACTTAGTACTTCTGTATATATATTAGTATTGCTGCACTCTGTAATTCCAGGTGAATATATGCATACTCTGTCTAGGAAGCTGAATATAATATAACTTCTTGCACTCCTTTGGTCTCGTAACATGCGCTGGGATAAATGGGTACATAAAAGTTTCGAAATTCGGCCTCCACCACTGCGCCAATGTATCTCCAATTTCCCACTCCTCATTCACGCCCTCCCCGCTAAACTGTGTTCCTACGGGTGCCAATCGCTCATTCAACCTCTGCTTGAATCCCTCTACTTCATCATCTTCGGGCTTTAAATAGTCTCCAGGAAGCTTGAAGAAGGCGTTTGCGATTTGGAGCATGAGGATATGAGGATGATTGTGTTCGTGGCAGACAAGAATTCCTTCACAGGTACGTCGCATACCGTGCTCGACATAATGTTCCTCTAAACGTTTGAGGCGCGCAAGGACGGAGGGGTCTTCTTCAGGTTGGGTTTCTTTGGTGCCGAAAGTGTAGTTTGAGAGAGGATAGAGACGAATTGTTTTGGGTTGGTTGGCATTAAAAGATTTTGGGAGGATGGGAGGATATGAAGTCTGCAATGCGTTGGTCGTTATAGTAGACATCTTGTAGATATCCCTGGTAGAAGAGTTGCCGGTTGTTTTAATGTGACAGCTTGAGATTGTCGCAAGTTAACAGTAAACAGAAGCTCGGACGGTGAGTGCGGCCGCCTCCATCCATTAAATTCCCGAAGACAAATCCTCGCCTAGCTGACTGATGGGCAGGCACTCAATACACCTTCTTATTTATTTGAATTTATTTGAATTTTTATGTTGTAATTTCAATGTTATCTTTATACTAGGGACATGATTATGGTTAATCAATGGCTTGATTTGCTTTTGCAATGACTCCTCAGCAATATTTCTCAATATCTACTTACACACTGTCACAAATAGTCTGAAGCCGCGTCTCGTCTCCATCATTCTTAGAGCTTCACGGGCCTACTTTTGCGGTATTGGAGTTTGTTCTCCAATTCTATCAGATTATCCTGATTAATGCAATCACGCCAAGGGCACTTCTCTATCAGATACCTGCATGCAACTACACAGTCTATGCCGAGATCTTAGGCATTGATGCGGCGAATACACTATGTTGTGGTCTTGCCTCTTTGCACAACCATTAAGAGGCGTTTAAGGTATAACAGCTGTCACAGCTTCTAACAAGATCACTTTCCTGGAAAGGCGAGAAAACAGAAGCCCCCACTTGTGATGATTCTGTCACACTCCATAACAAGCCAATCTGACTAGGTAGAACGAGCCAAGTGGCATGCAGCGGAAATCACTGTGGTAGAACTAAGGAGACGGGTCTTGCTTAAACTTCTCATTGCGTTGTATTTACAGTAATTTTCAACAATAAACTCCCTCCCCAATGAAAAGTTTATCGATGACCAAGGGCTTCATCTGTAATACGTTGTGATTCGTTGACTTCGGCGGGACGACCTTGTGCTTCAAGAGGGTATGGGGTTACTGGGAGAGATTCAAGGTGTGCTCGATGATGTTCATTGGCCTGTAAGATAGATTAGTATTGAAACCCACAGAATGTTCATGATCCAGTGCGAGGAAGAGCTTTGGGGAAGGGGTGTTTGGCGCCCAATGCCAGGGTGTAACCCACAAATGGTAATCCGCAGTAAGTGCAGTTGCAAATTTCAGGCTTGTCGGTATTGATGAAGATTCTTGGATGTCCTAATGGACCTCCGCCTCCATCACATGCAACTATACGATCGTGTGTCCATCGCACTGGTTGCTGGTGAATCAAGCTGATGGCTGCTTGTGGCGCAGGCTAGAAAAGAGTTAACATTTTGATGAAATGTTGCTAGGGAAAATCCTGAGTAGCCAAGCGCGATGGGAAATTACGCCGGCGTTGCTCTATAATAGCATACCTGGGTTTCCATAATGGTTTGCTCAAACCTAGGTCCAGACATTGCTTTCTCCCTAGGATTCTGACTGCGCGACCATTTTCCAACTCTATTTGGTGCCTGCATAACTCTAAGTTTTTCCGCAGCCTCTACACTTTCCTGCAATGGCGCATCCTTAACGTGTGTCTCTATCGGAAGCTCGTTGGTTTTCGAGACATTGGGAACCTTCTTTGGGCCATTTGGGTCATTAAGTTCTTGTTGATCGTTGGCAGAAAATGCGTAGGTCCGTCTGGCCGAGATTTGAACTCTGCGAGAAATTTGCCATACGGCTCTTGATCTGGCGGTGGACAACATTATGCTGATGTTTCAATTTTAATAGAGGGACAAAAGAAGTTCTTAAGAGTCGTTGTCGTTCAATTGCCAGGTCGCTTACGTAATACCCGTGAAGCTTAATCGTCCACCCTGCAGCCGCGTAAATACTTTTGCTTTCTTTCACCTCCGTGCGACCTGTTGTACTTAGACACTTTGTGGATCGTGGCAGCCGGTTGTTTACGACTAACATTCAACAGTATAATTTCATCCCGTCAATTACTTTACATATTCTCAATCATTATCTTTCTAATTTTTTTAATACTGTGAACGATCAACAATCTACAAAATGTCGGCAAGTGCAGGGACACCAACCAGTGCGCCAAAAGCCATGTCTTCGAGGCTTCTGACCATGAAATTTATGCAGCGTGCTGCTGCTGCATCTCCGACAAACGCATCGCCTTCTTCATTAGATGAGCCATCGCCAAAACGACAAAAGACAGCACAAAATACTCCTACAAAGATCAATGTCGATACTTTGGCAGACAATCGGGCGATTCAAGCAGCAATAGAGGAAGAGGAAGCCAAGAAGCAAGCCGCATTAGATCGAGCAGCCGCAGAAGCAGGAGATACACGATGGGTTCTGAGTTTCGAGGGAAGAAAGAACCTTAGTACCCCAACGAATATATTGCGAGTTGTACAAACTAGTTTCGCAAATTTAGATCTTCCTTCTCCAACAAAGGTGCAGCATACTGATGATGGCGATAACATTTTTGGAGATGAGAAACCGTTCATGGTTGGTCGAAGAAGTTTTGGAAAGTTCAATAAAGTTTTAGAGGTATGTGGTGTCTTCCGATTACTGCTGCTTATCATATACTAATAGTTATTGAATAGAAACAACAGAATCCAGATATAGAATTTTCATCATCAGAGGAGGAAAGTGATAACCAAGAATCCGCAGATGAAGATACTGAGGATGATCCAACAGGCGCAAAAGAATTGATAAAGGCCTCAAAACAGGAAGCGATAAAACGGGCTAAAGGGGAACGAAAAGCCAAGAAGAAGGCAGAAAAGGCGGAGCTGTTGGAGCTATCTAAAAAGAGAAAGAAGAAGCATGTCTCATTAAATGGTCTGACATCATTATCTGGCTCTGGGGGGGGCACATTTGGCTCGGGAGGTGCGAATAAATCAGACATAAAATGTTATACGTGTGGAGGAAATCATATCGCAAGGGATTGTCCAAGGGCGAAGAGGAAACATCAAGGAGATGGTGGGCCACCAAGGAAATCTCAAAGAACGAGATGAAGGTGGGGATTGGCAATGATAACACATTTTGCAAGAGGTTGTAAATACTGGAGAGATCGAACTGTTGCACGGGGTTTATGCCAATCAGTCCAGGAAGATTCTCAAGGATTAGGCACGACTGTTTACAATCACATATCTTTGGATAAAAAGCTCTCTGATGGCTTTCATCACTTGGGAGTATAGCAGCGAGGTGCAAAGGCGAATTTCACGATCAATTCTCTTCGGAGAAATCTCAATCGTCGCTAGGCACAGATAAAAGTCAACATCATGAAGTCATAACAGATTCATAGTACGAATAATAGAGATGTTTCAAACCTTAGTGATACTGAGTATCAAATTTCATGTTGCGATTCATGAGCGACTTTTAGAATAGTCATTACCTTTATGATACATTACCTAGCTCTCGATTGACTATATTCCTCACTTGGGATGTCAAATTTTTCCTTATCTATCTTGGCGCCTGAACACATACTTGTCTACAACGGATCTGTTAAATCACCCTTTCCGTCATTAGTTCTACACCTCACCTCATATCCTTAGCAGTACCCGAGGAAACGAAGGGATGAAATTTGTTATGTTCCTAAATCATGTTGTGCTGCTCTATATTTACTTGTTACCCCCTTTAAAAGAGGTTCCTCTCGCTCAGCACATATTCTTTTTTATCCTGAGTCTGTGTTAGCTAGGAATTTCGTTTTTGGCTATTCTCGCTGGGAGGATGGGATATGGTAGGGAAGATGTGGATGGGATAGTAATGTAGATGGAAATGGAACTGGAATAATGGGGGTAGAGGTGAAAGTCATATTGGAATGAAAACAAGTTTACAGTTCTCGGATACTCTTAAGAGGAAGTTGATAAATCGATTGCTTAGCTTAGCTATAGCTTAGTTTGAAGTTCACTGGAAATGGTTTCGATTTATTCGATGAAGTAAGTAATACAGAGTGTGATAATGGGGATGAGGGGAGAGTGAGGCGAGGTGAATATGGGAGGCGAGGATCAAAGGGTAGATACTCGAGTATGAGTATCCAGAGTGGAAATATTAGGAACTGTGTTAAGCTAGCTCAATATAAATAATTCGAGACGATGGTATGATGTGTTCAAATTTCTCGAGTGTTGTTTTACTGGAATGGACTGACTCACTCGTCTATTCTTGATATTAATTAGAAGCCAGGTATTGTGAAAATGCTTTTGGAGTCGAATGGATGAAGATTCATTGGGGATACTCGGTTTGCTATGACATGTAGTCGGATAAGGATACTCCTCTCTAATTCTCAGCACGGTATCGTGTTATGGGTACACTAGTTCATATTGCACAATCAGCTGATGTTTAGGCTCAAATGCTCAATTCTGTTTTGGCATATTCATTTTCATCTACTGCGTGGTGGGTTATGGCGGTTTGTTCGGTAGATTCAATATACGGAGTAGGTACTTTCTATTCGGAAATGGTATAATTAAGAAGCGTGTAACTATCTTGAGCACATTTTTGGGGGATTAAGACGGAGAGTTTTTAAAATTCGCATTATGTTAAGTGTTACGTTTTGGAGACCTGTCTCTAAAGGCCTTAAATGATTTTGATCTTTGGAAGCTGAAGGCTTTGTTGCTGGATTTTATAGGTACCAGGGGAGAGTCCGATGTGATGTTGAATTCATAGTCATATATTTGCTATCTTTGTGCTCGACTCGCACTTCATAGATTTCGGAAGCCCAATCTATTATAACAGTGATCTCCTATTGTCCTGTTCGGCGTATATAACGATCCAGATATTCGTGATTATATATCTCTTAGTTCTCATCTCTTTGTATCTTGGCATGTGAGGAAGACCTCCAGAAAGGGATTAACATCTCCCGGCCTCACCTCTATATCCTATTGAGTACCAAAAACACTAAGAGGAATGAGAATAAATTCAAAATGTTCTTCATTCTGACGGGCAGGGGGCGAGGAGAGGAAAGTAGATGTACGTTGTGTATTCAACGAAGTTACAACGGTGTGCGCGATTTTGAAGGCCAAGCGGAAGATATACTTATATTGCACCAAATAACACAAAACCTTTTAGCACCCTCGCCCTCTATTATCTCAACCCGAACCATCTTCCACATAGGTCTCCGTAGTCGAAGCATTGCATTTGCTTTCGATCAAGTGAATTATAATCGACTTGATCAATCTCGACTTTGCGGGGGAATAGGAGTGTGACGGCCACTTGTTTTCTTGCGATGAAGTTCTGGCTTGATTTTTGAAGGGGTGTGAGTTGAAACTTTGAAGTGGGCCGAATCACTCTAAAGAGTTGAGTCTTATTAGAATCCATTCTTGGAAATTTGCAGTAAGATTTGTGTCTAAAAAAACCCCCTTGGACAGACATCTGTACCAGAATCTGACTCTTGTAAATTATTCCTAGATACTTCTAGGTGTTGTAATCACGTCGTACAACGATAGCGACACCATGGCGACCAAAGCTTCTTTTTTGAGGCTCAAGCAAGCATTGCTTGATTCGGAACCGAAAATCTATCGGACCATTTATCCGGCTTACACCCATCTTTACACCCTGTGCTTACTTTCCATCCTTCTGTGACGTCTTCCCGCATGGTTTGGACACCACCTGGTGAACATGCCTGTCTGGCAAAGACGACATCAATCATTCCTTCTTGTTGCGAATGGTTACAAATGAGAAGGAAACAGATAAAGAAGGAATTAATTGTAACAGATGCATAAAGATATGCAGATGTTATACGAGCGAGATGAGATACAGTGACATTGCCTAGAAACTTGGTGTCTTGGTATCTTGGTATCTGTTTTGCGTATACTCCCTACATTGGCCCTTAAGTTGATAACAAGATTCCGTGTTCTCCAAATCCATAATACACGACATAGGAGGATGTGGGATGATAAAAAACAACACGCGACGGTCATAGTACGAGTTCTTAATTTACAGGAATTCTCGTACTTCTTAGTATTTGCAATTGGTACATGAAATAATCTATTTCTCGTCTCCGCTCTCAAGCAGCTGTAACCAAATCTCCAAATTTCGTTAACATTAAGCGACTAAACTTTCCTTAGCAGAAGCAGTGGGAGCTCGCATCCATGCGTCTAGGTGGAGCTGCTCATTGCTGATCATCACCTCTCGATTTTCTTGGCAATTCTTTTGCTGGCACACACGGGCAAAGTTCAGTGAAACACGACGGGTAGACAATTTTATCGGGCGTGATGAGTGTTGTGTGCTTCTTTTTCGAGGTGCGACTATCGTACATCACCTCGTGAAGCACTTCTAGGAGAAAATACATGAATACATCAACTTTCGATATTGAAAAAATGTTAAGAGGGAAGCCTGGTCTTTCGAGTTGGAAGCTTGGAGGTTTGTAGTGGAGATGAGGAACGGGGAAGACAAGAGCCGGTGTTTAACGACAGATGAAGGGGTAAATATGAAGTGGGTAAAGGAGTACCTAATCTTGAAGAAGAAATGCCATGAATGGAAAAATGTTCTGTTACGGAACTATTTATAATATCTAAATACGAATCCGAGTTTGAATCCTCTATTGATGTGTTTTGGACTATTGGAACAAAATAGATGATATTATTTCCAAGTTGGCGTAAGTTCTTCATCTTCCTTTAATCTTAATCAATGATCCCTTTTTTCTTCAAACTAAACTCTTCTTGTATTTATAAACAAAGCACGCACAGGCTGCACCACCTTACTTAATCACCACTTCTGCGAATGACCTAGACAGCTGGTAGCCTTGGTGAACATGTGAATGAACTGGTCTTCACTTAGCTAGCTATTTGTGGCAAATATGCACAAGATCCAAGTAAAGGATGGCTATTTGAGCTTGGCAGGGAACAATACGATAAATACGATATGCATACAGCTGCTGGTTTGTAAATGGGCGACATTGTGGTCTTTCAATGATCAGATCGAGCTTGATTGAAGAACAGAAACATCCTGGTGTCATGATTAGCTAACTATCAAAGCTAATCAATCCTAGCATCAATGCCATTATTGTCTCTATCATAAGAATTGATACTAACTTTTAAGTGCCTGGCTAGTGTTTACTTAGTATCAAATGCATATAAAGTAGCCCTACCGGTATTTGTATTATTGTCTATCAATCAACTCCACAGAAAACCTGCCCTGTGTGTTTGGATAAATAATATCTCTATATCACTTTATGTCTTTCTAATGTTTTCAACCTCGACATTTCAAAACCTCCACTTATAATTTTAGATAATCTTTCAAGAAAGCTCTTGCTTCTTGCTTCTTCGTCACAACATAGCCGCGTCACCCCCTGGATATAAACTTCCGAGTTGTCTGCACAGCACGAACGAACACATTCATTTTACTACTCAACTTACACCACGTTTCGATTCTTCTTATTGATTTGTACTTTACAATAACTTTAATTTGACGATTTTAATACACTTTTATTAATAGAATTAATTATTTCCCTTTCAAACTTTTCAAACTTAGCTTTTGCCAAGGGGTTCATCTTTATCTCCCACACCAAAGAAGCGTACGTCATCCCTGTGGTCAACACTACGGGCAAATTTTCGACACAAAGGAAGGTTTTTGGTTTCGCTTTCTATCAATACCATACAATACATACCAATATACCAGTCAGGATTCTTTATAAGGAAAGAATCCCTTCAATTGAGGGCTTTCGGTGTGTTTGACGTCTGGCGTTAGAGTTGGATTGGGTGGACAAGATTCATACGATCCGATCATGGCGAATACCTCACTTCCAGATGGCGAACCGCAATGGAATAGTAAACCACAATTCAGACTGCCAGGATGGGCAGAACCAGTTGTAAGTTCCCTTGTACCGTACCCACACTATGAAGTTTGATGACTAACAACCCTTTCACAGATCGTTGCTAGTATCTTATTCGGTTCTATGATACTCACGAGAAGGCATGGATACAGTGTATTCGATAGACGGCGAAATACATATGGATTACTGGACGAGGAACCTGATTCCGCACGCTCATCCGATGATTTATTAACTAGGGATTATATGATTGGGAACCGACGAGATTCAGATGTGGATTCGTTGTCGACGTCTAAATTTCCTCCTAAGAAAAGGAGATGCTGCGGAGCGAATCTTTTGACGCCGAATACCTCGAGGTTTAAGGATCATTATCACAGTAGGATATTACAGAAATTCCCTTTTCTGATCGAAATGTTCTATTGGATTATTACATATGCGTTTTATCGATGTACGAAGATCCTTTCGCAAGCAATGTTTTCTGAAATGGGCATTTGGGACGTGGCTCAGGATCATGGGTTAGCAATATTGGAATTTGAGGAATTCTCGTGGATAAGCTTTTTGTGGCCGGTGAGAGAACAGGATGTGCAGAAGTGGTTTTTGAATGGTCATGGGACGCTTTTGACGATCTTGAATCGTTCTTATGCATTGATTCATATTCCCGGTACTGTTGGGTAAGTTTCGAGCATCACTAACATTCGTTTTGGAGAAGAATATCCCTGACTGAAAATCAGATTCATCGCATTTTGGTACTACGTAGCACCATCTCATACAACCTTCGCAACAGTCCGTCGAACAATGACCCTCACCAATCTTTTTGCCTTCTGCATCTTCATCCTCTACCCATGCATGCCACCACGTCTTCTTCCACCTGAGTATGGATTTCTCGACAGCGTCGGCCGTAACAACGCTCAATCCGTCTGGATGCAAGGAAACTATGTTAACTCACTCGCTGCCATGCCTTCAATGCATTTCGGATACTCTTTCTGTATCGGCGTCACTATGATCTACCATTCCGGGGTCTTTCGTCGAAACTTAGAAACTGGCGAAGTCAGGAAGAACAAGTTCTGGACGCTGTTTTACATTTTCCTAGGAGTGTCGTATCCGCTTTATATATTAATCACGATTGTAGCGACGGCAAATCATTATTATCTGGATGCATTTGTGGCGTTTTTCGTGGCTATTGCGGCATATTTGTGTAATCGAATTTTCCTCGTCTTGTTACCGGTGGAGGATCTATTATTTTGGTGTTTGAGGTTGGAGAAACCTATTCCGACGACTGGAGATAGAATTAGGAAGAGAGTTATTAGTTATTAGACCTAACGGTCTCCGAAATATGGCGTCTTTTCTGTCTTACCCGTCAACGACGATGAAGACGAGCAAGAAGATCAAAGGGTATTTTCTGGCATTTTATTTTGGCACGGTCTGGGAAGAAAGGATTTCTGGGCGAGCATATTCATGTACATTCTATTCCCACATATATTTGTACTTTGTCTTCTTTTTTCTTTACTTTTAATGGGTATTTTGGATTGATACCAGCATGGCCTTTGAGCCTTTAAATCGGCGGCGCATGGGAAAGGTTGAAGCTTGTAGTTAAAATGAAAGGCCATTGACTGCAGGAAAAGGTCTTTATTGCATTTACATTTGAATGATGTCGTTTTGATTTTGATATATCAATCTATTTCATTCATTCAAAAAGCAGCAACAATAACCGAGTGCCATCTTCTGGGATAGACTGAAAGTTAAACGATCGTTAAGTGTTAATTGACCAATCAGAAGCTCGAATATATTTAAGGTTAACACCATACCTTAATCGCAAGGCTGAATAAAAAGCTACCCTGAAAAATGAGGAGGTTGGAGCTTCTTCCATCGCGAAAGCTCCAAACACGTCTACTTTCGATAATTAGCAAAGCCTTGTGTCAAGCTCTCTTTGATCGCATCTTATCCTCCCTCACATTCATTAATTTGATTAATTGAATAACAAATTGTATTGAATTGAATCTATCTTTGTCGTTCTTTAATCAGTTGACTTTGTATTTATTGTAACTGCAATCAATTCAATTCAATTCTACAAGTACTTCGACACACGCACGACGTGATTTCTTCAAATACACATCCAAATTAATCCTTATCTCCTAACTCTCAATACCCAAAAATGTCTTCCGCAGAGGATTATGCCGCCGCTTCTCGTAATCCCCCTGGTGAGAATCCAGGCGATATCGAGATGGGCGAGAATGCACCCGGTGCCGTCGTAATTGAAATCGACGCGTCAGCCGGCACAGAAATTGGCACCAATCTGCCCGAAGATGATGAAGAAATTTCTGTGCCCGAGCTCCCAGAAACAGCCATGGAAGATATGCCAGCGCGAGTTACCTATATTGATTACTTGAAGAGTCCAATTATTGGATTATTGGTCGGTCAGGGTGATGAACAAGCTCTTTTACATGCACACCAGGCACTTTTGTGCAAGAGTCCCTGGTTCGAAGAAGCATGTGGAAAATTCAGCGATGATGTTAGTGAAAAGCGCATTGATTTAATTGATGAAGATTTAGATGCCGTAGGCTGTTTCCTCGAGTACCTTTACACCAGCGATTATTTCCCGCGCAAAATCCCCGGTTCACGAGATTTGGAACATGATCCTGCGATGCCGGATGTGGACGAGACGGGTGATCAATTACTTAAACATGCGCGCGTTTATACCTTGGCGGAAATGTTGCAACTGCCGAGTTTGAAGAGTTTGGCTAGTAGCAAGATTCATTGCGTTAATAGTACGGCAAAGGGAGAGATTGCTTATGCGAGATATGTGTATGCGCATACGCAAAAGGATGATCAGACTATTAGGGCGCCGGTGGCGAATTTCTGGGCTACGAGGAGTCATACTTTGAGGAGTGAAGCGGAGACGGAGTTTAGGGAGATGTGTTTGGAGTTTCCACAGTTTGGTTATGATGTTTTGAGTGAGTATTTTATTTTTCCCACCTTTTTTTCCTATCCTTTTCCCGGTCCTCGACGGAGATTGGGAAAATGGATGGGGTGATGTTTGAACTTATGTGTTTTTGGACAAATACTAATAGATAATAGCACGTGTACTGGATGAAAAGCTCAAGAGAGAAAAGAACGACAAAATGCATCCATCACATGGTACACCCAGCAGCTCACGAAAGAGACCTCGACAAAGTGGAATTTAAAGACCTTTCAAATGGTTGAGTTTGGTTATTTTCGCAGGACGCATTTGTACTTAGCTATATGCGAAAATCTGTAAAAATTCATTGTGGGTATAGGCAGGCGACTGTCTGGAAGGAAAAATCAAAATCATGATGTCAGGTGGAGCAAAAATGGGGATTCTAATGGTAACGGTAGTAGAATGGATATGATATTATTATGTGACAAGGAGTTGCTAAAACAGATCAAAAGGGTCACTAGGAGAGGAAGAAGATGATGATGAAGGAGAAGATAAGATTCTCCATGTACCATTAGAATGTTCATATGTATCATATCATACTATGCCATACAATGACTAGCTAATACATGGGTACTAGATTGCTAGTTTGCTAACTAGTTGATGGGCTAACCAGCTAGCTACCTAATGGTACATCTTGTTATATTTATAGTAAGCGCTCATAAGTTTTTGCAACACAGCACTATCTGAATCTGAATGAGTAAGTAGTAGTCTATTATCTACTTAGTATATACAGCACAACATGCAGCACGCCTCCAAAAACCATATACCTATTCGAACCATACACAACACAACACAACACACAAAAATAGCATAACAAATCACAAATATCGTCTCTTCTCTTCTCTCATCTCTCCTCTTCGCTCCTCTATAATACATTTACTTCCTTTTCTTTTAATTCCCCTCCGGCTGCCTAATCAACCCAGACTCTATAATACATCCATACATACATCCATCCATTTCTCATGTACTAATACTAATACTAATACCCATTTCATTTCATTCCATTCCATTCCATAAATAATCGCTTAAACCCTGTTCCCTATTTCCGAACACCAACCAAACCAAGAAAAACCAAAGCAAACCGAACCAGACCACTACCATTCGCAGTAGTTATATTCATACACCTAACCTACCACGAATATCAAATACAAGAGCAAAGACCTCATACCTAATTCCCAAACATCATCATCTATCACATCGTAATGTAACCCTTATCTTTCTATCCTTCCCACATCATCCAAATATTTTACAATGTGAATCTATCCCTCCTCGTTCTTTCACTCCTCCTCCCATAGACCTTCAATAACCCCCCCTTGGATTTCTTATCCCCGTCACCTTTAGCAGATACCACCGGAGTCGCACTGGCCTCTTTTGTAACCTCGCGACTTCCAGTACTTCCACGTCCAATCCTCCTCCTTATGTCTTTTTCTTCTGAAGATTTAATAAACCGATGAACAGTCCTATGATCCAGAACTCTTTCCTCCTCATCATGTTTCCCCTCTTTATCGGTTTTAGGCCACATGTATCCATATAACTTACTATGTCTCTCACATCTTGGACAAGATGATCTCGTAAAGTAAGCATCTTTTTGAACAAAAGGTTCTTCGCAAATTTTGCAATTAATCCATGCTGAAGCTGGTTCAGCAAGAAGTGAATGTGTAAGTACATAATCGCCCGGAATTCGTACATTTGGCGCATGATCCAAGTCTGTAGTTGGTGGTGGGACTACCCCTCTCCGACGACGTCGAATTTTAGGTTGCGGTAGTTTCTTCGAGATTGTCATGGTTGAATCATCGATTTCCATGTCGGAGCCAAGGTCGGAAAGTGCAGATGAGTCTGCATCATCCTGTAATGCTGGATGTTGTCTGCTGGTATTTGGGCTGACAAGAACAGCTTCCCGCGGCGCACTAGCTGCCTTTTGCATCACCGAAGGCACCTCATTTAATTTTTTGGCCTTCTCCAACTTCTCCCTTTCCCATAATGGTCCTCTCCTTCGACCTCCATGGTTTCCTCGCTTAACATAGCCTTGCCGTTTAGATTTCGGACCGACGGAAGCAGGTTTCTCATCACGCACTACAATCGCGTCTTCGTCAACTGATGTTGCATCAGTTTCTCCTGTCCCCTCACCTGAAGGTGAGGATGTAAAACTAGCTCTTCTAGATTCCGAAGCAGAACTTGGCAACGTGATATTGCTGATACTTCCGTAGAACGAGGTAGGGGTGAATTCTTCCACCTTCACAATCAGTTGATTCTTCAGTCGTTTCATCGTTTCCGAGGGTGATGCTGTTGGTTCCTCGGAGTCTCTCTTTCGCTTAAGTGTGCTTGACCGTAATGGTCGAGACCTTCCGCGATCAATCATTGGCTCCGGTACTCCGGGTGTCACCGGTTCTTCCCATTCAACTAACAGGCTTTGTTGGAGTACATCTGAATCCGGCGAACTAGGCACCTCACATTCGTCCACCCCGCGTAGAAGCCCTAAAGGCGAACGTTCAATCCTTTGAGATGACCGCTGTCTTTTCGGGGTGGCCGCTAAAGAGTCATCTTCGCTAGGCACTCGCTTTAAAGATTTTTCTGGCGATAAAAGGTTGTCATCATTAGCTTCGTCTACCTTAGATCCAGGCAGAGTTGACTCTAATGAAGGTGAATCCATAACAGAGGAACGTCCATTATTAGCCGATGAAGCCGATCTACGTGACCTCGGAGGCAATTTCCGTACCTGTGGTCGTAAATTGACATCAGGTGTCATCGATTCGGATCGTGATTCTGATACTGAAGAAGGGAATCGTCGTCTGCGTCGAAGGCTATAACCGGGTGTGTCGAGGGTTGTTGGTTCATGTTCAATCGATAATTTGGGAATTGTCTCATTGATGTCATCAGTGGCCTGGGTCCATCCATTTTCGCGATTGTCTTCACAAGTCTTGCATAGGCATTCGCAATTATCCTCACCAAAATAGCTGTCTCCGTATGTGACCGTGATTTCCTCCCCAATTTCAATGTCCCTTACTGCGATAATTTCCATTCCGGCACTTCCAGTTGTCATTAAACGAGCATTTGCGCCACAGTCGTGATTTGCGAATCGAGCTGGTCCTAAGAATAGTGATGCGGCTTTGTTGCGACTTGACATGACAATGCTAAAATCTCTGCGACTATGATTAATATGTGCTTCCTCCTCAGGTGTCATGACAACTTGAATGCCGCAAAGATATTTGACCACTTCTCCTTTCCTAATCTCCCTCCGTGCAACAATTGCCGCTTCATGTGTAACAACGGTATATCGATTTGTGCTCGAGACCTCGAATGGGCAATCTGGGAGATAAATATTGATGTACTTCTTTAAATGGCGTCTAAAATCCTCTTTCTCTTTTTCGGACCTGAGACTTTGCTGGAATTTATTAAGACCTGGAAGTGCTAAAAGTTGCGACTCTGCTTTTGTGGTGTTCTTCTCAATGATCACTGAATTTTGAAGTATTTTGGTCACATCTTCCTCTCTAACCCCACGAGATGAATGATATGCAATGCGATTTTTGCGAATATTGGTCCAATAGTAAACCTGTCGGCTATTATTAGAAGTTATAAATTGGAGCACCATTTGAGAAGGCTTACTTGGTCAACAAGCGCATCTGTTAATATATCGTCGTATGAGCATAATTGAGCCAGGGTAAGTCGCTCCTTCTTCAATTGATTTGCTTTTGGTGGCATTTTGACGGTTGGAGTCGTATGTGAGGTGATGCAAGGTGTACAGAAGTTGGACCTACAAAAAAGCCAACGTTCATGCCGAGAGAAGAAGAGAATAATGTTGTACGAAGATGGAGGTGCTGACAGGGACTCAAGTAAATTGTTAAATATCCAAATGAGTGTATGGATGGATGTACGGGTTGTAAATCAAAACATCAGAATGAGTGATTCAGGTGAACGACAGAGATATTCGAGCTAGTTTTGTGACCTGTGATACATTCACTTTCTTCCAAACGGACGTCTTCCTCCCCTCTAACTTTGCTTGCTCGAGTAGAATGAAGGAGAAGCAAATACTTATGTGCTGAACCTAGGAGTAACGTTATGAGGGATTTGAAAATTGGAGAACGCTGAAAGGCTTCAAATGGTAAGAGAACGAGGAAAGAAAGTAAGCAGGAAAGGAATAATTGTTTCGTGTAAGATACATGATGACGTTCAATAAAGGATGAAGTATAATTTTCCACCCCTATTACCCAGTCAGTCTTTGATAGGATAGGATAGGACAATTGCTGAAAGAGGCTGGAAATAGAAACCTTGGATTATTGAGGCGTGGGTGAACATTGCCTATACCAAATATAGACTAGTGTCCTAATAATTTGACAATGACAATAGATAGATAGAGATAACCACAATATCAGAGAGAGAGAGAGAGAGACAAAGAATCTCCAGCAATACGGAAGTGAACCCCTCCACCCATCGTATTGTCCACAAGATGATTCAATTAAAGGTATGTGTGAAGGATTGCTCTCTTGCGTACATATAAAATACTCCCATTTCTCTTTCACTCATTACTTCAACTGTGGCTTGCGCATGTACAAAATACCAAAATACCCTCATTGCTTTGGACTCATTGCCTCCCAGGCGCATACATAAACTACACTTACTATTTCCCGCGCATTACTTCTATTGTGCTAACTCTCACATTATAGACGATGCTTAATTGCATCGACAATTCTGGTGCCGCTGTGGTAGAATGCGCCAAGGTCTTAAAAATGAAGAGGCATGCGAAGATTGGTTCGGACCCCTCTTGACTTTCTTTACAAAGCCCTCTCAGCATCATATCCCTCACGATCAGCCTCTCAACTTCATCTCATCGATCCCCGAGTCTGACCTCAATTTTCAGGAGACCGCATTATAGTTGTCGTACAAAAGCAACGCAACTTCTCCGAATCCGGTCCCGGTGCAAGTGTTTCCACATCAGCGGCAAACAAGGTTAGAAGAGGAGATATTAGACATGCTGTTGTGGTTAGGACGGTTAAGAAACTACAAAGGCCCGATGGAAGTGTTGTCAAATTCGATGACAATGCTTGTGTTTTGATTAACAAAGCCGGAGAACCCATTGGAACGAGATTAAATGGTTAGTTGTTGTCGACTATCCTCGATTGCGTTTTCCTTGTTAACATTATATAGGTGTGGTTGGCACAGAGCTGAGAAAGATGAAGTGGTCAAAAATTCTATCACTAGCACCTATGCATCTATAGACATCACCGTATAAAAAGGAATAAGCGTAGCATATAAAACCCGGCGTTTCCAAGGAATTTGGACAATGAAAATATATCCCCTCCCGTACTGATTGCCATGCCCCAGAAACTCATGAAATTTTTAATATATCCCCAACGCATGCAACAGACTCCATAAGCCTGTTCTCCCAGATAACAACGCCTTCCTCGAAACCGAAAACCCCGGGGTATTACTGGAAGATATGACCGCACGCGCAGCACACGTAGAAAAGTTTCTAGGACCTCTCATTAGCAAGACTTATTAATACTCATAAATCCCGTAGCTTACCATTCCTGTTTCCGCAGATCTCTGTTGAGATTGGAAAAATACAGCGTCCTCGTTCCTGCAAGCAGGACAAGTCTTATTTGATCGTGGAAGCTAGAACAAGAGAAAATTGGCATGTCAGCGGAGGTTTTCGAAAAGACCACAACAGCCATCAGAACTTCCGCAGAACTCTATTCAATAAACCCCACCACCTTCCCCTACGAAAACTTCTCCCACACCCATTGCACTCGACGCCCTTCCCTCACAAATGACCACATGGCCGCATAAAAGACAAAAGGGTAAACCCACAGTGGGATCAGATCCAACATCCTGAGTCACACCCGCAGTCTCACCAACGGCGTTATTGAGAATATTTCTGAATACACAAGAGGAGACGGCCTCCTCTGAATATTGACAAGTACGGCATGCGAATTGTAGACGGTGAGTATCGGGGTCCTCCTTTGGGTACAACATGTTTGAACTAGAAACTGATTAGCAGATGCGACAAAATCCGCTGAAGATGCAATGGAAGCTTACCATTCACTACAAAATCTAAAAGTGATTTGTTCCTCATTTTTCTTGTGGTCTTCGCCTGAACTGGATGATGGAGATGCCATGGTGATGTCTTTTTGAAAGAGTTTAAGATGTCGATAATCTTGTCGCAATAGCTGAACTGTAATAATTCCCTTGAATAAACCTCGTTATTTGGATCCTGGAAGTTGTTGAGGTCGATAATTTAACTGTGAAAGAAAATTTATTTCTTCTTTGATAGGTATTATAATGAATTTCGTTGCGTCGCGTTGATGAGAAATGTCGATGATGGATTATGGCTTGAAGTGGATTTCGATTTCGATGTGGATTTGGCTAGAACTATTTTGTGATCCCAGTTCAAAGTTTCCAAAAAGTTGCCTTGGTGGAGACGTTTGGTCCCAGGTTACTAAAGAAAGGAACCCCGCCCGCCACTAAACTTAATTCGATTCACCCTGTGACCAAGACATTCATTATCTTCCAGTTAATGCGCTTGATGGATGCATCTTCCACGCCTCTTCCTCCTAAAAAATACAATCAAAAAATATCAATTGTACAAATACAATCACAGATATCTATAGCAAAGGTCTCATCATCTCCATCACAAATTTGAAATCATTTAATTTGTAACACATTAAATCTAGAAACAGTTACACAATGGTAAAGTTTTCCCTTGGTTACTTTCCTTTTGGATTGTCCTTTCATTGAATGTTTACTTTCGTTTCGAACATTTTGACTCCATAGTATAATGCAATTAAACTTTACTGACCCCATTGATAGGCAGACGCAGGTCTACCAGCCGGATGGGAAGTTCGCACATCGAAATCTAAGAACATTCCCTATTATTTCAACGAAGCCCAAACCATATCAAGCTGGGAACCTCCAGCAAACACTGATACCGAAAAGCTGAAGGCATATATGGCTGAGAACTACAGTGTCTCGGAAATTGGGGATAGTGCCAATGGTCAAGATGAGAACCATGGAAAGATTAGAGCTAGCCATTTATTGGTTAAGCATAAAGGCAGTAGGCGACCAAGCAGTTGGCGCGAGGTTAGTTCTCAAAAAGCTCTTTCATTGCTCTTTCCCTTTCCGCCATCTAGATCTCGTATGTGTGATTCGCATTTGTCTAATAAAGTTTCAGGCTGAAATTACCCGCACAAAGGAGGAGGCAATGAGTATCATTCTTCAACACGAAGCTCATATTCGTTCTGGTTCAACATCATTGGGGGATCTCGCTGTTAGGGAGTCTGATTGTAGCTCTGCCCGCAAGATGGGGGATCTTGGTTTCTTTGGAAGAGGAGATATGCAGAAAGAGTTTGAGGAGGCAGCTTTTGCCTTGAAGCCGGGTGAAGTTAGCCATGTGGTTGAGACTGCTTCTGGTTTGCATTTAATTGAAAGGTCAGTTTTCAATTGCGAATTCAAGATTTTCTTACTAATCTTTCCCAGACTTGCGTGATATGATTTCGAAAATTGATACGTGGAAAGAATAGCAGAATTCTTCCCTTCGAAGTTTTATCCAGATATGATTTGATGCGATTTACATGATGATTCACATGGGTCTACCGTGAAGGAATCATTTATAGGAGTTTGCTGTTTAGTAGGCAAAGTCTCTGATTAGAAATACCACTTGCGCTGTACTATAATCAATCTTCCCTCTTTTACTGTTCGAGTCTGCATCCTAGTCTTGTAAGCTTCTTCAATGTTCCAATTCAGACCTAACAATGAAATGGCTTCAACATCTCTTTAGTTCCCAGTGTTCTACAAGCAGTTCAGATGCAATAATCAAAGAGCCTGAACGATCCAGCACTTTTCAATATCCCAATTCAAATCTAACAATTCAAGAATTTGAATATTCATAGTCCTTTTGAACATTCCAATCCAAATCCATCTATCGGTTGATGTTTCTGAGTCTGAATTATCTACCCTCATACTAGGTAGGCACTTTTCAATATTCTCATACAAGTAAGTGTGTATAGGAATGATAGTAGAATGGACTGAATGATCTTTGGGTTTTTGGGTTAAGAGTTTGAGGATTTGTTTTACTACTTGTAAGATATGTTGTGATGGTTTATTTTAGGGCAGTCTCCGAGGCACGAGTAGAAATAGAAAGGAGTAGGAATATTCATGGTTAATCTCAATTTTGTTTCAACAATTTATGAGTAAGTTTGGAGTTTGGTTATATGGAGAGAAGAGAAGTAATGGATACCGACTTTCTCGGCTCTCTGTTATGGATAGGAGTACTAGCTATAATCACCATAGAATAAAAATAAACTAAACCCATAACATATAATCCATATCTTCCACACTCCGCTATACGGTCCCCTTCCCCCAGCTTACCCAGTACACCTCTCCCACGGCTCCCTCCACTCCAAGCCTACACCCCTAAAAACCGCCATCTCTTTCTCTCTCAATTTTCCCTCCCCACTCCCCTCCACACATCCCTCTAAATCAATCCATTCCCCCGTCCTCCGATCGCGAATCCCACTACTATCAAACCTCCAATTTTTCTTCTCCTTAAAATATTTCCTTAAATCTCTCTGGAAAGTTGTGCCACCCGACCAACCAATTATCGCTGCGCCTGCTGTTTTCCACGGACTTATAATGATATCGACTCTTCTGTGAATATTTGGATTTTTGATTTTGGGCCGTGTAGTTTGAGATGTAGAGGGTTGAGGGAGAGGTTGAGAGGGTTGGGAAAAATTAATATCCTGCCAAACGACTAGAGCTTTATCCAGCGTGTCAAAACCCCCACGACTCCTTTCACCTTCCGCACGGCTCAAATCCACCGCATGTTGTCCTCTCTCTAAATTCCGTATCGATTCCAATAAAACATTTGTAATCCATCCCAGCTCTTCCAATCGTTCGGTTAATCCCGATATAAAATTAAACGTGAATTTTTCATCCGGATGCGTGAGTATAAGATCCACATCCCCACAATTTTCTTTCCCTCTCCTGTATCCTCCTACTATAACCATTTGATATCCTTTATCAATTTTCCTCGCTTCAGAAAGAACAGTGGAACTAATTTCCTCGACTTCAGCGCGGGGAATCGGAAGCAGAAATTCATCGTAGTATTTTACGCCAATTTGTTGGACGCGTGTTAGTTTGTCCCAGCCATATTCGATGATATCATCGAGATCGCGCCAGCCATTTTTATCGTAGAAATGGCGGGCCGTGGCATCGCCTGCGCCCCAGATATTGTAGAAGAGACGGAGAACTTGCATGCGTGGGTTAATTTGGAATTCGATGACTTCATCTATGGTGCCTGTGTTTTGGTATTGGAGGAAGAGATTTGCAATTTTTTGGTCGCACCCGGGGAGACGGATGACTTCATTGGGTGACGTGAGGACATAGGGGTATGCTGCTATGGAAGCAATGGAGGTACTGTATGCTCGAACGCCGATTCGGTCGCCGTCTAAAGTACGTTTTAACTTGATCGATTGGAGTTGGGTGAGGAAATCATCGTTTGGTGATGTTAATGGAGTGGGTCGTTCGCAGGAATATTGTGTTTTGAGGTATTCTGGTAGAGGTGGATAATGCTCGGGATCGTCATGTTCGGAGGTGGTTTGTGTGAGAAAGGTAGGCCGGGTGAGTGGCTTGCTTGATTGTTGGTGTCGATAATGGTGATTGTATTTGGGATTTGGGTAGCTTTTAAGATCGGCTGCTGCGCGAGTAAGAATATCTGATGGGAGGATTTTCGGTGGTTCCATTATTCGCTGTCCTTCATATATCAGGTAGTTATCCATTGGGAGTAACCTGCCCTCTCTCACTGAATCAAAATACCAATCTTTGTTCAAAACCTTGAAAGTATTTTGAACATTCAGAGCATCTGGCATTTTGAAACCCAGTTGAACTTTGACAGTCTCTCGTTCATACATACTTGCAGTTGGTACTGCGGAACTTGTCCCGTCAGCTGACTTCAACTTTTTCCTGCTAACTTCCTCATTATCTTCTTCCCCATCATCTTCTTCACTGGAACTAAGCTCGATGACTTCATATCCATTTTCATTCAATGTACTTTTCCGCACCTGTTTCTTCTTCCCATTTCCAGCTTTCCTCTTCTTCCCCGCGACTTGTTTCACCTCAGGCTTCACTTGCTCCAAGTTTTCTGTATTTTTTTCAACATTCGTGACATCCACTGTTGTAAACTTTAGCTTCCTCAACTCAAATTCCACTCTCGCCTTTGTTGGAATCTTAGTAAGTCCAACCTGGGCTTCCTGGACTGTGTATCGCAAAGCATTAAATTTATCCAATTCATCCTCCAACTCTTTTATTTCCTTATCATCAAGAAGAAATCTAAAAACATAAGTAGGAGGAAATTGAAAAGTCGATGACATTTCGAAGAATTGTTGTCGATCGAACAACAGGAATATGGTTTGGAGAAGCCAAAGGGGAAGAGATCTTGGCGAAACTTAAATTGATGACGTCCTCAAGTAAGGGAGTAGCCAGAAGATCAATCGCTTAAGAGAAGAATAAGAAAGTGAATTGAAGAAAACTGTATATCCATACTATATCCATAGAGTATATGTTCGAGAGGAACGGAGTTGGGGTTTGAGATGATTGTTACAATGAATGCGCACTGGCTAGCTTCAAGGTTGAATCACGTATGATGGATGATAACAGCTAGAGCTCAGACAAGCTTCTTTATGAAGCACAATAAGGAATCTCCTATCAATCACAATAACTTAGGATGCTTAAATATGGGGTATTTTTCAGCCCAATTGACCTGATGAGCTATTCACATAAAAGAGCAGTATAAATGAGGTCCATGAGGGGATATTAGATGAGCTAGCTACATACCTACTGTAATAAAATGTGGAAGAAGCTTCGTTCGCTTATAATCTATTAGCTACCCACCTCCACCACGCATCAACTGATCCACCATCGGACCCAATTACATTACCACCAGCTACTTCAACAGAAATGTTGAACTCCTCCATTTGTGAAAATTTAAAGTCGCTAGAACCCATTTCGCCAAGCCATTCATCTTTGTCTTCATCCTCTTCTGTAGACATTCCCGAATCGAGTAGACCCTTTGATCTCGAAACTCTGACTTTGGTAATTTCTCTCTCTAAACTACTTTTGACCAAGGCGGCTGGAAGAGCAGTAAAAAGATCCATCTTATTGGCAGCGATGAGTAGTGGCAGTTCTTTAGGTGCCTTTGTAGTGATTTTTCCATCCATGAACTTTTGCATGAGAAGGAGTAGATCGTGTAGATAATCCGCAGCCTCTCTTAAACCCTCATCTCCAGCACCCAATGTAGTGGCATCAACTTGATATATTACACCTCGAAGGTTTTGAGAAGCTGTAAGGTTTTCGAATGCATGATGTCGTAGTTTTCCATGGCCGGGAGTATCAATTAAGATGAACTTTTTGTGCACTTGATTTGCTGGATCATTGGCTGATCGATATTTGTCCGAAGCAGCTATTGTCTCAACCGGCAGAGAACATTCGGCGGATGAAGCCGTTTGAGAAGTGTGAGTCGTGGCAGGTTTATTCTCTCGCTCGAACTGTTATCAATTATCAGTGTTTGTGATGGCTGACTACTCACCTCATGCGATAAAGTGTCTTCTTTTGAATTACTTACAAGAGTAAGAAGCGCCGTCTTTCCTGAGCCGCTTGGTCCAATCAACAGGATAGAAGGTAAGGTTGTGAAACCCGCTGCACGGAAGACAACAGAGTGGAGGAATATTGGTATTGAAAGGACTAGGATAATGGTAATGATCAAACCCAAAGGCGAAGGATTCAAAAGTATTTGAACCCAATCCTGTGGAGAAGACATGACTGCGAGAATAATAGACCCTTGTTATCGCAAAACTTGACGCTCAAAGACTTCGAAAAGTACCTCAGATCCGAGGTACATATAGAAAAGTCTATGAGTTCGATAAATGGTGATATTCCAAAGAGGTTTCTCTTGCTAATGATGGTGTTGTGTGTTGTGTTCTTTTAACCTACACAAGGCTATGGAAATAATTTTGTGGTGGATGGGTTATGTGCAGGAGTTAGGGGTCCACATGCTGAGCTGTGCTATTTAAAAATCAGCCGTGCCCCCTTGTCATCATTTCTAGAATGAGACAAGCCCCAGAGATTAAAATAAAGTAGCAACGGGTACTCAGCCTCGTAGTTGTAAGCAATACAATTTCCATTGGAGCCACTGAACACAACTCATCAGCTTTTCAGTTATAAAGATCCTCACTCAGTGTTTTTTTCTCCGTTATTATTGACCTTTTTGCTTCATTATATAATTATGTTTATGTTGTCATAAATTTCACGATTGATGATTGAGATACCCTACATACCATAATCGATTTCATTTCCTCGACACCCCTCCAACACCGTCAGTCCGGACTGCCTGGTACTGTCATGGCCTTTGGAGACTCGAAACCATCCTCCGGGACGGAATCCTCGAAGAAAAATGCCCCAATAATGCCAAGTGGCAAGTCGAACGTCGCGGCGCCGGCCCTTAGTGAGGATAATCATGTAGAGCTCGGTGATATGACACCTCCAGAGCGGCCCGCGGATATAATGCAGCTGGCTCGGGTAGGGGACATTCAAGCGATGGAAAAGCTAATCGACAATGGTACTTTTGATGCTACGTATTGTGACGGCGAGGGTATAACGCCTTTACATGTGCGACTCGACCCTTTTGTGTAAGATTTCCCTGGCTAACGGATTGAAACAGTGGGCGGCTATTAATAATCAGTATGGCATGTGCCAATTCCTTCTGAAAGCCGGTGCAGATGTGAATAAGAAAGGAGGAGAGTCCGTAGCTACAGCGGCCATGTGGGCTGCTCAGAGATGCCATTATTATGTCGTTCACTTGTTACTGGAAAATGGCGCCGATCCTCTGATTACGGATGTTCAAGGATACAACATTCTTCATCTTGCTACGTTTGAAGGGAATATCTTCCTACTTGTTCTTCTTTTACACCAAAACATCAATGTCGACGTACTTGATACCCAGGGTCACACCTGTTTGATGTGGGCGGCGTACAAAGGATTACCAAGTTGTGTGGATTTGTTTTTAAGATGGGGCGCGGATGTTCATGCTACGGACGAGACTGGATTTACTGCACTACATTGGGCGTTGGTTAAGGGCTCCCAGGGCTGCATACAGAAGTTAATAGAGTACGGGGCGGATAGGTTTGCTGAAACCTCGACCGGCAAAACCCCAGCTATCACCGCTCAAGAGATGAAGACGGAAAGAATCTGGCATAAGGCTCTAACAGAGTGTGGCTACGATGAGGATGCCAAGCCGGTCGTTATCAGCTTCCCTATGTCTTCGTGGTTGTTGAAGGATAAGCGTGCATTCATGAACAAATTCTTCTTTTTATGGCCTTTCCTAATACTTTGGTCTATGATTATGATCAGTAGTCAAATGGTAGTATTTATCGGGGTGCCTATGGCTTTGTTTTTTGGGTATTCATTACAGTGGTTGGCCCAGCAATTATTAGAGTATGCTCCTTCAGATATGAGGCACCTGCATAAAACGGTATGTCCAACGAGATATTATACATTAGCCCCAAGAGCTTCGCTAATGACCTCTGTCAATTAGCCTTGGCTTGCAGGAATTTTCGCGGCTACATTGTTTTGGGTTGGCGTAAGATGGTTAACAACTTTGTTACCAGGTTTGTAATGCGGAATTTGCTTCTCATGGAATCTATACTAACAATTGTTAGCTACCTACGGAACTTATCCTCTCTCGAATTTGTTATTCTTCAGCTTTTACAGTCTTACTGGATATTTCTACTTTTGTTCGATGGTATACGAGCCTGGTCTTGTGCCAAAGCTGGGTGGTTTAACTCAACAAAAAGCTGTAATTGATGAGTTATTAAGCGAATGGAAATTCGACGAGCAAAACTTTTGCGTTCATTGCATGGTTAGACAACCCTTGAGAAGTAAACACTGCAGGCGATGCAATCGATGCGTAGCGAAGCATGACCAGTAAGCTCAAGGTATCCCACTTTCTTCAATCTTTTAGCTAATGTGGTAACCTAGTCATTGCCCTTGGATCAACAACTGCGTCGGTGTCAACAACCACAGACATTTCTTTCTTTATTTGGTGTGCTTACAGCTTGGAATTATCTCCCTAGTCAGAGTCACTATCGGATGTAAGTACAAATCTAAGGTTCTTGAAATTTATGCTAATTAAGGTGAAGATTTCGAAGGTTTCGCAGGGAAAGGCGAACAAGAATGTAACATTCTTTCACCTTCATTATGCGGTATTGTCAATTCTGACTCCTACACTTTGGTCCTGGTATTGTGGGCAATTTTACAATTAACATGGGTGACTATGTTACTGTTCGTCCAATTGATCCAGATCTCGCGAGCAATGACCACCTGGGAGAATATGCGCGGTACACACTCAGGAGGCAAAGCTTCTCAAGCAATCACAAACGCTCTTACCACAGGTGCTACCTCGCGGTCGGGCGGTCAAATTGGAAACACTGGACTTGGTCCCGATCCCGCTTTACCTCCAACTCACGCACCAGGCGGCCATGGCCATCATCACGCCCACAAAGCAGGCTGTTTCGCACAATGGAAGAAGATTCTCGGTGTAGACACATTCGTCGAAACCGCGTTCCATGGCTACGAAGGAAGCAAAAATCGACGCCGAGCACCCCAGAACCCATTTTCTCGTGGTTGCGTCCGCAACTGTAAAGATTTCTGGTGTGATCCAGCTCCAATTTTTGGGAAGAGAGAAAATGGTGCTGCAATGTTGGGTGGTCAGGTGATTAATTACACCAAGATGTATGAGACGCCATCGAGGATGGAGATGAGAAGGGGTGGGGATGAGGGAGGTGCCTATGAGAGTGTGGCTGCTGATGAGGCAGTTTAAATAAAACATCAAAACTTTGGGGCTTAGATGGAGTTGTGGTACCTAGGGAGCAACGATAGGTTATGATTCATGAATAAATTTTGATTGATTGTGGAATTCTTTTTTCCGGTTCTTTCCATGTTGATGCTGTTATGTGATACTCCGAATTATGCTTGAGGTATAGAAGGGGAAACTGTCGCAGAGTAGAAAGTGCTTCGCTTAGACACCTGTGGCATAACCATGTAGTGCGGCGCAATATGACAGCGTTAATCCTAAAATGTCAAACTTTATCTAAGTTTCCTCCACCATAGTCGAAAGCCCAATGCTACCAAGGATAAAAACAAAGCCACTCTGGTTATGACGAGTACATTCACAGCATTCAAAAAGATACCCATGGCACCAAGAGTGCTCCGTTTATATCTCCCTCTTTCGGTCCTAACGCATACCTTCCTGTCGTCAAATTTCTTTGCGACGAGAATCAGAAAGCACTTGCTACTACAAATTCTGGAGACAAAACTTGGGATGAATGCTAGCAGCAAATACTTCGCCATCGTGAAGGATATATTGCAAGAAAGATGTCAAGAATGCATTGGCATCATTTCCCTACTGGTGTGCTTCAGACCAACATCAACGACGAAGTTCGAACTAACCGGCAACTTTTGAAGCATTATGACGTATTCTCTTCATGCCACTTTCTTGATGTTATGTCCATATTCAATCACAAAACTGCTCTCAGCAGATCCTATCATTTATCCTCGATTTTTGAGCCAGTCTTTAGACTTGGAGGTTCTTACTCCTCACGTCGATTTTATAGATACTATGGCGCATAGCGAGTTTTTACGATCTATTATTGTTTTAAAAGCTAGAGGACAACGTAGCGAGAACATTGCGGTGTTTTCATACTCGGTGATGCTGAAGATTGCATCAGAAATATAGCTGTCGCACGGGAATTTTACTGATACATGTTCAAATTTATCCCGAGAATTAGGTGGTATGGTCAGTCCTGATTTGGTTTTATATGGCATAAGTCATTTGAGAATAGCAGATGCAAGCATTATGCTGTTGATCCCAAGAGCTAACAACCAGTCCACAGCTTATGCAATTGCTGGGCGGGCCACGAATTTCATAAGATTGGTTATTTTTCGTGATTTGGTTCAATCTCGCGTCGTTTTAGATAGCAGTCAATAGGAATAGCCGTGTCACAACCGTTTTAAGTATGTCATTATCACTGGAACCCACAATTGAAACTTGTTTTGAAGGACCTATGGACTGTGATAAGAGGCCTGAAGGCTGGCTGGTAGTACTTTCATACCAGTCATCTCTTGTATTAGATGCATTTTAAATGTGTTTTTCTGCAATTTTACCTTTACAGGTATTTATACAGCTTAACAACAGGTATTACGATACTAATTACATCAAAACTTAAATCAAGAGCCATACTTCTTCAGACTTTCGTGAATTTCTTTCATACTTGTATTATTGGAGGTGCCGGTACTCCGTCCCCGCTGCACTTACCTCCTTCGGGGCAATCCCAGTTGGACGACTAGTCCAATCCGGTGCTCTAGAATGATATCCAGGCATGCCCAGAAAGTGAGGCCGTAAAGACGCACGGAGTAGCTTTTGTTTGATGCATGCCACACGCAAAGTAATGAAACCGGTGGACATGGGTTCAACAAGATTCACGTCGCTACCAGCAACTCTGGTATCCAAAATTGGCCGCGGGATTGTGCAAGTAGAATTTGGCTTGGTTCTAACACAATATTCCAATTTCAATCTAGATCTGTTGACATATATCGAAGTAAAATATCCCGATTTGGAAAAACTAGATAATCCGAGCTCGATGAACTAGATTCGTTTTTCGGCGTCACATCAGCTGATGAGCCCACTGAAATCATGCAGTTTTATACAGGTACTCACCGCTGCAGCCAGATTCCCGTTCGGAGTATGGCAAATTAGTATACGCTACTTAGCTCACGCAGCGTAAAGGCTATGGTTGTTTACCGAGAAGCCAAATATTGTAGCTATCATACCGCGTAAATGAACTAACTGAAGTGCTAGAATACGCAATAAGTTGCTTGGCATGGTACTTACATGGCTATCGTTCCCTGATGGTCTAGGAAGGAAAATATTGTGAAATAGAATACATTTATGTTAGGCGATGCTGGTTTGGTGCTTGGATGAAACCAGTCACTAGACTCGCAGGTTCTTGTAAGATTACGATGGGATTATTAGTATTCCTACGATGCCCATGCTTTCCATTCGATATCGGTACCTTCCATCCTAAAATTGAGTTAAAAACCAAATTATTCTTTGATATTTGAAGTTATGCGAATCTCTTGACAAACGGTGGAATAAAATGAGAAGACGGGATTAGAATAGTTGAGGAAGCAAAGGAAGTGTTCCATTTCTCTGGCTAAGATATCCAGATTACTATTAATCTTTTGACGCAATACAAGTGAATGTAACGGTAGTCATGCGACTAGTGTATATTATGGTACGACTCTCAATTGTGAAATAGAAGACTCACCTGTAATTTAACTTTCGATAGGCTCATGATGATACAAACATCATTGTCGTCAATCGACGTGCTATCAATCCTTCTTGAACAACTCGAAGGTTAAAAAATATTCGGAAGGAAATTGGGGTTCTAGCTATAAGCTAGAATGTGCCCGAAGAAAGCTCATTACATATAGAGTGGAAGGAGTTCTTTATCATCAAAGCTACGATCCTGAGGCCTTCTAGTCGCACCTAATATATTAATGTCTAATATGAACTTAATTGACACATAATTGGAAACCTGAGACAACTACTTGCCCATTCCAGCATTGCTTGTTAAATCTAATTTTTTGAATAAAGTGACATTTGCATTTCGGCAACAACACCTGAAATGCAACAACAGCGCGACCTTGGTCAGCGATAACGAAATGAAAACCTGCCAAAGATGGACGAGCCCAGTTATACAGATGAGTAAAAGGATGACGGCGCAGAATCGTATTAAGAAATGGAAAGAGTTAGGCATCACTCTATCATCAGAAGCAACATTCCCACCAAATCCATGCACCATGGACAGGCAGATAGCACACCTGACAACGACTAGACGTCCTGAGCAAGACGACCAGAAGAAGATGAGCCAGGTACATAGAAGAAATCAAAAGCGTGCCAATACATGGATGTGTCAGAGAACGAGATATGGTACTCGACCCTAAAGGACGAGTATCTTGTCAGGGTAGTTGGATGGTTGACAATGGTCGAGTTGGATGGTTGACAATGGTCGAGTTGGATGGTTGACAATGGTCGAGTTGGATGGTTGACAATGGTCGAGTTGGATGGTTGACAATGGTCGAGTTGGTTCCGAGACAACCGGACGATTTGTGCCTCTATCATACCCAGCAACTAGGAAACGCTTTAGGACTGACCACAACTCGCGTCAAGCATGTGGACAGTCGCCTATCTACAGTATATCGTCGAATGAACTATATTGATTCAATGCGAATAGAATGAGTTCATTATTCTTGGTTCAAGAACCACGAAATTGCCAAGACAGAGCGCCAGATGAAAACGCTAGGATGTTTGAAGTACGTGCCTCCAGGGCCAGAAAGACTGAATTCACCAGGATGTTTCAACCTTGAACATTATAGTGATGTATCTGACAAAGGGTTTCTGGCCCGGGTTTCGCTCACAGTGCAACATGAAATTTAAGAAAAGGTCTTGTAGAAAGTTCTGCAATGTACCGGCATCACAGCCGCGCATTTGAGGGGTTATCTAGTGGCTTTCTGTACCATTGCTATTTCTCTCCAGCACAACAGTTGGCCTGGAGAGATTTGAAGCTTTGGGGAAAGGTATGTCGCCAACGACGGGATAGCGAATTTCGATTGGTTACTAATTCCACTACCATTGATCGAAATAACCGCTGACCAAGCGATCGATTGGTGTTTCACATACGGAAACCTGGTAGAAATGTTTGGAGATTCTCAGAACAAAGCTCTCGAGAACTGTCTTACCGCGTATGTAAAGAATAGCATTGGAGATGGTATAGATCCAGTGCACCACCTGAGCGCATTTATTCCCGCAGATCAATTTTTTTGGTTGGAGGCTTCATACAAAGCTTTCGAGTTTAGTAAGATTATCGAAACTGGTAATTGGCACAATCTGACGCCAAAGATTGAAAGCAAAGTGTTCAAAAATGCGAAGGAAAAATTCGATTTCTGGTGGCAGGATATACAAGGAAGTTGGGCTATATTCGCACCCGGAGTGCCGTTGAGAATCAGGACCGATGGAGGTCAAGGCCACAAGACATTCTCTACAATTCCCGTACCTTACGTTGCCGTAACGCTTGACTCACACGGAACCTTAAACCGATACTTGAGAACGGAATGTCTTATGCTGCAGTGTGCGCATCACACAGGACTGTTACTCCAATTTTTGATGACAGCATCGCGGAAAAAGGAAAGTATGTGCTCCTAAATTTCTTGTCGAAATCGGTCTTCCTTGCTCCAATTTGGTGGAGCAGGCACTACTTGGGTACGTCGAGTGGGATAACCGGATGGTGCTGAGAGAAGCGCGGCATCTCTTGGCAATGTCGGAAAAAGACTTTGCGATATTCTATGAAACACTATTGCAGGCAGCCGCTGGACCACTTGATATTATGTTGGAAGAGGTTGTTACGCAAGAAAGGGCCTACGAGGACAAGCCATTCTACAACGACATTGAGGCTGGCAGACGCAACGATATAGCGTCAGATGATGATGTTATGTTGCCGTGTAAAGGAGATCAGCTCACCCTCCAATGGCAAGGGAAAGGTGTTGACCGCGAGTATGCAATGGAAACGACATCGCCACCCATAACGCCCAGTGAATCGAATGACATACCGAGACAAACGCAGACATACGAGCCTAGGCAGGCCTCACATACTCCTGCAAATCCTCACGATTCACCCCCTCAACCTCTTTGGTCTCAAATTCATCTACGCAGAAACGCTGTCAACCACCCGCGACAAAACGCAGAGTAGCCTCTAACGAAATCACTATCCAGTCTCCTTCTAAGCGTCATCGTACCGAGAAAGAAACTATTCCCTAGTATGACAGAGTGATAGAATTCCAGGAAGTTACATTAGAAAGACTCCAAGTTTCACATTCAACAGCATCCATAAAAAAACAGTAAAAAAGAAATTATCAGAGCTAATTGAATTATACGCTGGCGGGAAGGTCTGACTCGGTAGAGTTTGATGATATCGATGTAGTCAATATAAAATGTATCAGATAACAATTCCTGTTCAGTGAAGAGTGAGATACGAGATTGATGCATTAGCTCATAAGAAGCATGCTGGATGAGAATGAAAATAGCTCAACAGCAGTAGAAGGTAAAATAATGAAGAGTGTCTTGCCGGGAGCACTTGCAAAGAGACATATACCAACATGCATTTTTGAGCTAAATGGCAATAGAACTTCAGAGACACAATAGAAGATATAAATCGCAGACCAAGGTCGAATTTAACTAAGCCTTGTAGTACTCTTCGATATTTAGATTTGAAGTTGGTAATCAGAATGGTCTTTTAGGGTTAGATATCTAAACCATATATAGCTCGTGTTTCCATCTGGTGTTTATCTCGTCTACCGCGTGCCGGATTAAGTTACCAAAGCGGTGTAATTCTGCCGCGCTAGCTCAGCAGTGAGTGATCGGTGTCGGTTATTTTTTGAGTCCAGCTCCCTCCTTGCACCCCACTACCCCAAGCTTTTGACACCATCTCCATATCGCATGGCTACAGTAAATAGCAAACTATCGCCCTAGACTTTAAAAATGGCCGATCATACAGCAACGCTCAGCGCCCTTCTTCGTAATTCTTCAATTACAGACCATGACGAAATCCTCAAAGCTACAAATGACGTATTAAAGACTTCTAAACTCGACCCGGATGTCTTGCACACCCGCGCCGTTGCTCTCCTCAAACTCGATCGATTTGACGATGCACTAAAAGCCCTCGAGGAAGGTGGAGATAAATTGGCGTCTCAATGTATTCTCGAACGCGCCTATGCTCTCTACAAGACAGGGAAACTGGCAGATGCGGCGAAAGTATGTGAAGAGGGTAATAGTAGGGGCCTGAAACATGTTGCTGCGCAGGTTGCGTATCGTGCTGAAAGGTTTGCGGATGCGGAAAAAATTTATAGGCAGCTTGTAGAAAGTGCAGGGGCTGAAGTTGAAGATATGGATTTGAGGATTAATGGACTGGCTGTGGAAGCGCAATTGGCGTGGCAAGGCGGGAAAGGTGAATTGAAGAGCAGAAATGAAGATCTAGAGACGTTCGAAACGTCGTACAACGTTGCTTGCGGGCACATTGCTAAGGGCGATTATAACAAAGCAAACTTCTTGTTGAAGCGGGCAAGGGATTTGTGTGAGGCTCTGGACGAATTGAGTGATGATGAAAAGAGGGGAGAAGTTTTACCTATTATGGTGCAACAGGCATTTGTGCTGACGAAGTTGGGAAAAACTGCGGAGGTCGATGTGTTAAGAAAGATGATTACACTCGCAGAGTATGTTTGCCGCATTTGTCAAGAAACTTTGAAGCTGACCAATACAGTGTGCCCGAACCTCAAACCAGAATCATTGCCCAAAATAATGCCTTAGCTACATCAACCGATATCGAAAATCCCTACCTCGTGAAACGGATCTTTGACTCAGTTCCCAACTTGTCGCATAGAGAGAAGCAATTTGAGCACCAAGTGAACATTCTGGAACGAAATCATTACACAATCGAACTCCAGGCTTTGAAGTATGGAGGAGTAGCTAAGTCTACATTGTCAGCAATCTCAAAATCGCCATCACCAACTGTCTCACCGTCGATCAACAGCCTTTCCGTTCTTAACGCTGCAGCTCATGCAGAAGACAAAGAGGGGAAGGCTGCATTAAAGCAGATACTACGACTACTCGAGAAACGACCAAACCATGTTGGGTTAATCCTTACGATTATCCAACTTTACGTTTTGACGAATAATCCTGGCCCAGCGATTTCCCTTCTAGAAGCATTCTTCAAGCGTCTCGAGGAGTCTACTAATTCGTCAGATCAAGATGTTCGATATGCACCTGGTTTAGTAGCGCTTCTCGTCTCTCTCTATCGTTCAACTGGTCGCACGACCCCTATAAAAGCAGAGCTTGGAAAATCAGCTTCTTATTGGCGGCAGAAATCAGAACCCTCCCCTTCTCTATTCCACGCAGCAGGTATCTCCCTACTTGAATCCTCTGATCCTGAAGATTCCAAAGCAGCAGGCGAAATTTTCTCTTCCCTTCGCTCTCAAGATTCTACCGATCGTATCGCAATCGCCGGATGTGTCGCGTCATACGCTTCATCCGACTTCTCCAAAATCTCCTCAGACCTCAATACCCTTACACCAATTCCCCAACTCATCTCTGGTATCGACGCTGAAGAATTAGAAAATGCCGGTATCCCAACCCTACCATCAAATAATGCCCCAGTGTCTTCCGCAGAATCACTCAATTTATCAAAGAAACGCGCCTTAGATGAGAAAGAAAATGATGCTCCAGCTAAAAAGCAAAAGACAATAGGAACGCGCAAGTCTAAATTACCAAAGGATTTCGAGGAGGGTAAGAAAATGGATCCGGAGAGATGGTTACCGCTTAAAGATAGAAGTTCTTATAGACCAAAGGGGAAGAAGGGAAAGAAAAAGGCTATGGATACCACTCAAGGAGGTGTTGTAAGGGAAGATGCCCTTGACGGTGTCGAGGCACCGGGTAGTGGGAAGGTTGTCACAGGTGGCGGGGCTGCAAAAGGAAAGAAGAAGAAGGGAAAGCGGTAGAGGTTGAGGCGAGGAAACGAGTGCAAAGTAAATAAGGAGATCTTCCTAGAAAACTACAGGGTTTGAGTGTATAGCCTTTTCGTTTTAAAAGCATTTCTCGATGTGTAGATAAATAAAATAATTTTGCAATGAGTTAGATACTTAGGTATATACTCATTTACATAGGCATATGAATACATGATCTATAGATTGTATATATATATGTATATATATACATCCTTACTCGTCTTTGTATAATATTTAGGAGGGTGTTTCTCTTCATATATCCTCTAAAGTACTAAAAATGGACCCCTTACACCAAAAGGACTATCCAGCCAATCAAAGACAGTGGATGAAAATAAGCGAGTGTTTTTCGTAGGTTAATCTAACGGGGAGCATGGAAAAGCCGGGTCTTCCGTCACATATAGCATCAACATAGACCGACTGAAATGCCCAGTCAACTACTGTATGATCTTAATCTCATGCCTGGATCGGGTCATAGCTCTAAGCTTTTGAAACTTCCTTCTTCTTTTTGTCTTTCCATCTCATTCCCCATGTGAAAATGAAGCAGACGGCTGCTTATTATTCCGCTGTCATGGAGAAAATGCGATCAATGGGTTTGACGTAAGTTGTAAATACAACTCTCAAGATATACTAGAACTATAGACGGCCAATATGGTCGAACTCATGTATGGCACAGTTTTAGGCGAGTCCCAGCCCAGGAATGTTCGGCCAGCAAGTGTAGGGGCTGTTTGTAATTGTACAGTAGAGTGTTTGTTCAATGTTCAATATTGATTTCAAATAATTCAGCACAAGTCTTCAGCAAGGTCGAAGGTTCCTCTCTCTCCTTTTCTCATGTAGGCGACATCACACTTGAAGATGATTTAGTATTTATTTTGAAATGTCACGATGTTTTCTATTTAGATGGATGCAAGTAGGAAAGCAAGGATGAAAGTTTCTTCTTCACATTGTGTCACGGGAAATGATTACTATATCAACCCGATTAACCATTCGTCAAGAGTGGCGTCACTTTTGTGTGACACATTGGCAGTCTCAAGTGTGTGTATTCATTTACAAACGCGGTTACCGTTGAATTTGACAGTTATTAACTCAAATACACTGTAGGAAGGTTGCGAAATCCATTGTGACCGGAAACCAGGAAGAGAAGGTACTCAGTTACTGAAGCCATGGATGTGCCTCGATCCACTTCTCGGAACGTTCCTCGTTCATCTTATTGTATGCCTCAGTGACCTCTGGGAACCCCATATCTGCAAGCTTCTTCTCAACTCGCACTCTGTATTCATCATCGACCTCATACACATTGTCGCGAATCCGGCTTACATTCAACGCTCCGCAGACAGCGAACTTGGTTCGAACCCATTCCAGTGGACAGTACCCAGCCAACTCCCAATCGATTACCGTAACTTTATCACCATGGACGAGAATGTTGGTTGGACCAAGATCATTGTGGGAGAAGACAAAAGTGGAGCAGTCCATTCCCAACGATTCGCAATGCTTTTGAAGTGATTCTGTTTGATAGTCTTGCTGTCCCGATTCGCGAAGAGGATCCATCCAATGAATGTCGATTCCAGTCATTGCCGGGGACTGAAAATTCTTGAGCTCCATGCAGATTTCGGCGACTCGGGTCACCACATGTTCCTTCTTTTCCTCGCTCATATCCCACCATCTTTCATTGAGTCTCTCGCCGGACATTTGTTGTTCGAGCATGTAGATCCTGTCCTCAACTTTCATAGAGACCAAAAATGCTGGATATTCGAAACTAAGCGTTTGCTTAGCTAGAAATTCCAATGTATCATCTTCTCGCGGCTGGTCCTTGTGAACTTTTTTGACCTTGAGAACAAGCTTATCACCGACACTGAAAACGGCAGATGCATTCCCGACATCATGGATTAGTCGCAAATGGCTGCCCGGAGGAATAGAAACCGAGTCTGGTACGGTTTTAGGCGCTTCGAAGATTTTATAATCAATGAAATCCTTGCTCAACGGTTCGCCATCGGTTGGTTTTTTGTTGTGTTGTATCATGTACTTGCCCCCGAGAAGCCAGGTATTCTCGCCGATTTGCCTAACCGATTCGCGAATGTGACAGAGTGATGTCATAGTGAAAAGTGACAAAGTAGAACGATCCTGTGTAGTACCAAATAGGGGTAAAAAACGAGTTGTTCGAACAATATTTGTACGAGAAAAGGAAGTGATATAAAGATGGGTAACAGGCGGAAAGTATGAGGAGGTACAGGCTGCGCAACCAGGAGAATCCTAACTCAACCCAATTAGAACTTAAGGCACCGCCAAATAGGCTTCCTCCTCGGATGCTCGCATACGTGCCCAATAGTTGATTCAGGCTGGATCGACCATTACACACCGCCCTTCTTTCTTTGATCTGGTTTGTTTGAAAGAGAGAAGCTGATATGACTATAGAATACCCAGTCTCATATCTATCAAAGAACTTCTGATATTTCAAACAAGATCTCTGAGAACTAAAACTTTAAACTCTTTTCACTCTTTTTTAATATCAATATTTATAGATTATTCTTTAGATTTTCTATTTTAGAACTATTGAAATTTTTAAAATATAAATCTCAAGTTTTAACAAAATTAATTATTGAATATAATAATGTTTATTATTTTTATTAATAAATTCAAATAATAAACTTTAATATATCTTAATTGAAAATATTTAATTAAGATATTTAATATATCATAAATAAAATCTTTTTATTATTGAGTTTAATATTATATTATTATTCAATTAGATAATAATTATAATAATTCAAGTTTAATAATTTCTCTTCGATTAAATTAGATCTTGAATAATATATCAATATCATCCAATTAATTAACTATATAGATTAACAAAAATCAAGAAGAGCTTTTAAACTTGAAGAATTATATGTTTGATAAACTAATCTATAAACTATTAAAAATCACGGTACTTTCCATGGCATCATTTCAGCCGTATCTGTTTAGATGTCGGTATCCCCGCACACTCACACTCAAACCACGTCACGCACGACACAAAAGGTCGCCAGCGGAATCTGTTTCAAATCAGGAATCATACATCGACCAACACCATGAGCCATATTCGCATAACGATGGGCCAATGAATTTCACTAGCTACCCACCTACCTAGGTACTCTCTGACATAATCTCAGGACTAATATCATGAAAAGCAAAGAAGAGTACCGTAACGAAGAGCAGTCACGGTTTCGGTGTTTGTAAGACTTACTCCGTGCAAAGCTTAGGATATGCACAGAAACAAAACTGCTTAAACATAAGACTAAGATAAAGATAAAGAATCCATCTAATAATCATTTATTCATGGAGACCAACCAATATTCTGCGATCTGTTTAATATAGATACAAACACATATATGTAAGCTATGTGAAAGATGCAACAGAGTACAGGTAGAACCTCCAGATCCAAATCCAATCGACCTCCCTACCTCATCTCTCTCATTCATGCACGATGCACCAGTTCCAGTTCACCAGTTCCAGTTCACCAGTTCCAGTTCACCAGTTCCAGCAGCTTGTTTACCTTGTCCCATCCATAACTTTAACCCAAAACCTTGCCTCACAACCTAAGCCCACAACCTACCTACCTGATAATCATCCATCAACATCCACCACCAGCAAACCCACCCACACACCAGATCATGCATATTTCCCAATCAACGAACACTTGCTTCTATTTACTTGCTTCTACTTACTGTCCCTCTGTCTCTCTTTCCTTCTCTCTTTCTCCCAATCTGCTTCTACCCGCTCCCCGACTTACATTCGATTTACATACATCTATTCATACATCCACCAATCCGCTTTAAGATATGGCTTTTCCTTTTCCTTTTTATTGCTTACTATTTAGGCTTTTTTACAATCACTATCTAGATACCTAGATACTACCGTTGTTTCTATGCTTTCTTGTATTTACTATTTACTGTCGGCCTTAATAAGTCTTACTTGGCTCTATCTTTCGCTTTCATCCGAAATTGTCTATTCTATGGATTGGTGACTTATTCTGAATTTTGATAGCTTTTGTTGCAGCTTTGAGTTCGTCAAGATATGCGCGTGAATCGCTCTATGTGTGAAGCCTGGAGACTTTCTAACATTATCGATCTAAAATACTTTACTTCAGTATCTCACATCCATCTAAGGAAAACAAGACGAAATATAATATTTATTAATTTTCATTGTTATCTCTATTTCCTCTGCCGCGTCTGCTGCGATATTAATCTCATTCCTAAAAATGCCCACATTTCATCTCATCTCATCTCACTTACGCCTTCACCATCACCTCTAATTTCATCTTCCTTCAGCCATCCATCGATCCATACTTTCGATTTCATCAAAACAGTACTTTCCATCACATATTCCTCTCACACACCTTTTCGATCATGCCACCCCCAAAATCAGAACAGTATCTCATCTCCCAATTTCCATCTGCATTCATCCACTACCTCAAAATCAAACACATTCCCCAAAACGCCAGCCAGCCAATAGGGTCAGCATCGAAAACCATCCAGGGGTACCGTGCCATAGTGCCATACCATAAACAACCCTTCGCATAGATATGTTTGGACCCCAAGCCATTTCACTTTCCTTTCCTTCCCATTCTTCCTACCGTCCATCCCACCCTTCCCAACCGCTAGTATACATACGCGGAGTAAATACTTTCAAAAGTATGTGTCAAATAACCACTACAGCAAAGAGGAAGAAGAAAACAAACGAAACGGGAAAACTAAAATATTGCCATAAAAAACGAGCCACCAAATACTTTTATTTGTTGCGAAAAAATAACCCCACCCTTTTCGCTTTTTGAAGAAATATCAATCATCTCAAGTATTGTAAAAAGGAACCATCGCGAGCTAAGAAATGGATATATAAAGGATCGTCGTTAGAATAGTTGTATGCGCGCTATGCTTTGGTTACGCAGAAAATATGAAGAAAAGAGACTAGAACAATGGTATGAAAATGCTGTGTGTTTGTGGGGAAGTGATATTCCTATGGGTAAAATGCGTTATATCAAGCACCGACTGCTTCGCAAGTAGGACTTGGTAATCGCTCATCTGAATCGATGCATGAAATCTCGTGTTGTTCATTGGGTTCAAGTAGCGATCGCTCATCAAACTCCATTCCACGAGGCGAGGGTTCTGGTGTGTAGAATTTTGTTTTGTCATTACTGCTTGAATCTTCGTCCTCGTTTTCGTCTTCGACGGGAGGTAATGGACTTCGTCGACCGTCTGATACACTTATCGCCGCTTCGTCGTCGTCATCTACATTGACAGTGAGGTTTGGAGATTTTTCTGGAGTTTGTGCAGAATATTTCCTATGTAATTCCCGGAAGCTTTTGGCCGTCGCGGTACTAGTGCTGGCAGCTGAATTATGGCGTTGACGAAGCTGGACAGGTTCGGCGAGTATTGAGTGGAAGTCATCATCAATAGTGGCATGAGATCCTGCTTCCGAGTTTCTGCGCGGCTGTTTACGGAGACGTAGACGTTCTTCCGGTGACATAGCTTGAAGCTCGGTCCCGAATGTGATGACTGAAGCCTTTTTGCCGTGCACGACAAAGCTTCCAGAGCCACGAGGAAGTATATCATCTGTAGTATTTTCATCCGACATACCAGCACTCGAATTCGAGTCCTTCCCTTTACGGCCACGATGATGTGATGGAACGTGTGCTTCGCGCAGGGTCTGATGTATGCTGCGGCGAATCTTGCCTTTGCCAAACTTGTCCTTGTCTGTTGTCTGGTCTTTATTATCTTCACTCGCGACATCTACATCTATCAATCCAGTCTGCTCAAGAACAGATTGCTCGGCAGCATCAAGGTTTGGATCATCCGAAGGTCTGGAGCTCAAAGTTGGAGCTTGTTTCAAACTGGAATGAGAAGGCTGAGTGGCAAGACCAGGGCTCGGAGGAATTACACTGGGTATCGAAGGCTCGAGTGGAGGCTGTTCATCGTTTGTCAAAGGCGGAAGTTCCCAGGATGCTTGAGCCTTCTCATTCGAGCTTGGTCGGGCATGAAAGACGTCATCCATCATTTGGCCCTTCTCGGGCGGCGGAAGCGAATGACCAGACGTAGAAGGCCGGGTTGTGGAATCTGATGTCGGGGATTTCGGCGCGCCGCGTGGTGTTAAACTACTTGCCTTAGATTGTAACCGAGTAAGAGCCGATCGTGCTGACATCGGTGTATCTCCGTTTGACTCTGTCTTTTCCGTGAAGCCTCCCTCGATACTCTTTTCTTCATCCAAATCCAAAATCAAAATGTCCCGGTGGCACTTCAAGCGCCAAATCTCCATTCTACCCCATTTCAATTGCGCGGACATCCGAGCTGCTGCTGATAGAACATTATCTCTTGTCTTTTGTTGAACTGGAGCTAGAATCTGTAAATGGCGAGCATTTCGAAGTTGTGAGTCTAGTTGTTTCACTGCGACGGTAAGCTTTTCTTCGGCTTCAGCTACTTTTTGTAGCATGATTTGGCGACGTGCGGCCAAGATATCGTCCTGCATCTTGTTGTCGATCTTTCCGCTGACTATAGTAACTTCGCCAGAAGGCGTTTGAATCAGTTTTGCGGAGTCGTTTTGGCTTTCTAGCCTGCGGATACCTCGATTACGCTGGCCTTCGTAGTTGCCTCCAACCACGCCCCGCATACGAACTCCAGCGGTTCTGAATGCTGCAGCATAATTAAGCTTAGCAAGCCAATCATTCATCTCATCTTCATTATCGGCTAAGAAAGTTTCCTCAAATCCTCCGTGGCGAACAAAGATGAAAGCGTGCTTATGCTTCTTGTACGTGGAGTCAACCAGAGCGACTGCATCATCAGTGGACATTAATGCATCGGGCTTGAAATGTTCTAGCGGGGGCTTGAAAATTACAGGGCTGCCATCATGACCTTGTTTGATATGTGTCTCGTGCTGATGTATCAAGCTTTTGATCCAGGTGGTATTCCGGAAAAAATACAATTGAGCTCCGGTAAGAATAGCTCCCCACTCTTGCCATGGAGAACGAGTCTTCTTCTTCTTCACATCTTTTCGCCATAGTAAACCAACCTTGGTGATTTTAATATCCACAATACCAGCCTGTGCTTCCTCGGGGTTTGTGACCGTTTTCTCTGACATGAAAGCATCCGGCCGTGATCTGGCAGAAACTATCTGTAACACACCGGTCTTGAAGAAGGTCTTCTGTAGATTCTGTAAATTCAGGGACGGTGCAGTACCAAGATAACTATAATGTTCGTCAAGATGCATAACTTCCTTGAGGTTGGGGCGTAAAGTATCAAGTTTGCTATCAAGAATTAGAGTATAAGGGTCAACTGGTTCTCTCGAGGGACGTTTGTTAGGATCGCCGCCTCCACGAAGTATCTTCGACTTCTTTTTCATCTTGTGAGGTATAATCCTTTCGCCGTTAATGTCTAAATCGTCCTCCACATGAATAAAGGGTGTATATGAAATGTTGTCAAAAAAGCACTCCAGGATCTCGTCAAAAATTCCTTCGCCGTGGGTGTTCTTGATGTAGTCTGCCTTTGTCATTTTATGTTTGTTGTTTTTGTTAAACACATCTGTATGTAGGATGAGAAGTGAGAAAGCGATGAAGTAAGCTTGATCAGGAGATGCATAGATGCCAGGGTTGCATTCATGATACCTATTAGCAAAACCTTGTAAGCATCTATCAATTTGCTGAGTCTCCTTGGGGAGCTCAACTTCCATGAGCAACTTTCGTATGGCCATATCCATTGGGTCCCCAAAGAAGCCAAATCCTCTCATGTAGCTACGAAGAACAGCCTGGGAGAAAGGATCCGTCCCTTTTGATAAGACACTAGCTACAACACCTCTACTAACAGCCTCTTCAAGCCTGACCAAATAATTAGCGGGCGTGTCATCATCAAAACGCTCGGGCAGAATAATAGGCTCTTCTCGGGCCAATTGCATAGAATTATTTTTCGAAGTATTGGATCCGGGAGTGGTAGGTCCTGAATTAGTTGTTGGTTCGGAGCCCTGGCGTAGTCGAGCTGAAAGATTAAATAAATCGCCAAAACTCTTCCTCCCTGTGGATGTAGAAGTCCTGCTTGGTGGTAATGTAGGTGTAGGTAAAGCATCTTCATTTGGTGCATTCCTTAAAGAGCTCAAAGTGGATGAACGACCGCGCAATGTCAGTCTGGAACGGGTGGGTGAAGATCTCGAAGATGACGCCGCGGAACCTTGTCGTAATAATGGGGTAGCTGGCCGACCAGATGATGTCTTCATCAAAGCACTTGGAGACGAAGAGGTATGTGACGGAGATGGCATTGGAGACTGAAAACCATGTGGGGTCAAATCATCCGACGACTTCGGGGTTATGGCCCGAGCCGGGTCAGATGGAGGAGCTGTAGGGTATCTTGTAACGGAAAGCGAATGTGAGGAATCATGCTGCGCGGACTTTTGTGGAAGATGGCTAAGATCGAATAATGGAGCGGGCTTCTTCCGACGAGGGAGACGAAAGAAGGTGGTTGTCGTTTGCACCGTATGTGTGGTTGTAGTGGTCGTTGCATAAACTCCATGATCATTAGAACTTGCATCTGATCTTGAAGATTCAGAGAGTCTGTTCACTGGTAGAGCCAATGCCGAGGATGCTTCGTCTCCATATGCAGGAGGAGAGCCACCATTACCATGGGTCACTGGCCGATTTGGTTCGTCGAAAGTAACCCGGCTTTTATTGCTCGGTCCCGATTCTGACATTGTTTTCCTTCGTTCCTTCTTCGAGAGCATTTCAATATTCAGTGTATCTTCTTGTGGCCCCACACGATCGCTATCCACAGCAGGCGATTTGGTACGGCCAGGAAGTCGAACTCGCGACTTTTTCTTGATTGGGCGTCCTCCATTGAAATCCATGGTCGGAGCCGTGGTAATAATCTCTGGGGCTGGTATATTGTCAGCACTATGCCAAGAACGCAGGCCCAGCAAGCAATTTTTATTGTCGAACTAGATATGGAACAATCAAATGTCTCTAGACCTCGGGGAAAGAACGTCAATGGGAAATACTTGCGATGAGGTATCGGAGGAACGTCTTCAGCTATTGAAGCGTTCTGAGCCTGTAGTCGCGATCGAGTGGACAATTGTGAATCGGAAGCATGTCGAAACCTTAACATGGAGAAGCGACGATGTTTCGAGGTCTCCTCCTGTATTGGTGGTGTGCCCGATCGCTGCAACGATGTAGGATAATCCGTGGAAGGTCTATTTAGCATGGGTAACGGTGCCATCGTCCCTGTTCCTGCGAATGATTGGAAATCACCAGGCGAAGGTCTTCGTGTCATTTGTTCACTCGCTCTGCCATGTGGAAGATCGGAATCGAGAATTGGATTCAGAGTGTTGGAATCAGTGGGATAGAAGCTATGCCGTCGCATTTCAGCGTCGCTGGCAGCAGCACGACGACGGAGTAATGGCATTTTGGAGAAACATCGAACAACATTGATCCTACAAAAACTTGATAATTAGGAAACAATTGATTATTCCTGTTTCAGCTGAAAACGAAAATCACATTTGCAATTTAGCAAGGAAAAGAACATATGGGGTATGTATTGTATTGTGTTGTGTTGTTGATTGAAAGTCCTCCTGTCTTGTCTCGTTATCCCTTCGTATGAGGCTGAAAGGCTAGGAGGGATCCCTTGGAAAGATGCTCAAATCGTAATGAGTGGATAAGAGGAAAGTACAAACGGGGGGGGGCGGATTGGTGGGCATACCTAAGGAGAAGAAAAGATGGGAGAGACAATTACAATGGGAAATTCAACTCAACTCAAGCTCTCAAGCTCTCAAGTTACTCTCAACTCAATAACAATTCAATTCAAATCAAACGAAACCAAAATACGACTCGGTTGAAAAAACATGGCGAAACAAGCCTTTACACGAACCAAGTAAGTACAAGGGCTCGAGTATAAAAAGAATTAAAATTATCTTTCAACAAAATTGAATTGAAGTTCTATTTCAGTATTTATCTAGAGTGAAAATTTACAAAGTCTCAAGTTTTTCCCCTGAGGTGAATGACGCAAACCTGGATGGGCTAGTAGGTTTGAATTGAAAGAACCTAAAACTTAACCTGGTAAAAGATCTTGGACTTGATACTACGGAGTAGCTAACTGGTGGTCTGTCGAGCTGTCTACATTACATAGATAGGAATAAGGTTAGATCTTGTAGATATGTAGGTGGTGATGTGCATCGTCTATTTGAGTACAGAGGGATTTGTGTAAGGGTATTTATACCAGGTATCTATATCGATATTGTATTTTAATTCTAGAGATACATTAGATTTCATATACATCATCATAACAAAAGCATTAGCACCATCTAACGAAAACGATAACCCAATACTCCAGCTCCCGAATACTCCTTCCTACTCATACATGAAACTATTTAGTGAAAGTTTAAAAGTAACTTACGGAGTACTGAAATCCTAAGGCTGTGCTAAAAATGGCTGCTGCTCCAAAGACGTCAATGATCATTGCCCCTTTAGAAAAGATGAAAAGATGTTCAGAAAATACTCTGAAACATAAAAGTAACTCTGCAGTACATATGACCGCAGAGTACAGGTTACACCGTGGTCCAAGTGGTTTAAGTGGTTTGGATATGGGTCAATAAAATTGATTCTTCCAATATGCAATTTCCTTGAACATGGCCATCGATAGCGAGTGATAGTTAGCCTTTCTCTGTCTGGATGGGGCCAACGTTTTTCTGGAAGGTCAAAAGTCGATATATTTTTAGATCAGCATGCACTCGGTTGAATGGCTTTCGAGCTTTCGAGCTTTCGAGCTTTCGATTGATTCGGAATGTTCTAAAGCTTTAGATGATCTGCAACGTGGAAACTTATTATTGTACCAGTGTACCTTGTGAGTAGCCCTCACATATTTACATACATTTGACCAAAACAACGTTGAAAGCAACTGAAGGACATTCTTTCGCGCCATTTACATTTTCCTCACATCAGCTCCGCAGTTCCCTCATGATAAACTTGCTTACCCCTCCCGTTGTATGAGACGAAAGAGGAGAACCACCAAGCAAGCAGGCAAGGCAATGAAGCAATGCAAGCTAAGTCAATCGTATACGAATCAAAGCGTTATTACCATCCAATTGGCCGACGCAGCCATAATCCATTCCGATTCTTCCAGTTGGTTATCAAATTACCCATTAAGACGAGCCATTCTCAACCTACAACACACATTTCTTGGCTTTCACTAGGACATTGATGGCCAGGCCAGGGCCTCTCGCACTCCGTAAGCGTTCCGTTAGCTAGGTACGTACAGCAGTCAATTTTGCCAACGTTGAATATTTGATCTACGTAAGGAATCATGCGAGAATCAGCCCTCTGTAGACATCTGAATCCATGGATGGCCCGATATGATATTTTGTTATATAAATAACCGTAGGAGTATCCTACTGATCTATGTTTTGGGACAGTAGACTTTGTGGCTTTATACCAAAATCTAGGCATTTGACTACCCTACCTAATAAGCCACATATATTCTCCATGCCAAAGATCTACTTGAAGTCATATTAAGTTTATTTAATTTAACATCCTTAAAACTCTTCTACAATTAAGAGATAAGATAATAAGAGCTGAATCCTCAGGTGCTGAAAGAAGATCTAAGTTACTCGAAAACATGACTGATTCACTGATAACTGGGATGAGATCCAAACGAGTAATTACTGAGTGAACAGCAGCAGGCTTACCAGAGCAATGAATGCATCGGGAGAGTCTATGAAAATACAGTAATGAACTCCGAAGAGATTAAAATCAATGTTTTAATACCTACAATGCTATCAGGTTATCCAAATTATATTGATGCTGAATAAAGTGCCAATAACGCTCGCTCCCATCCCTCGAAATAATAGCGGTTTTCCACAGCAAGACAATGACACCAGCTTCCCGCCGTGAGCTCCGTAGGCAGGTTGTTATCTATGAACACGAATCTCGTCTCAAGCTTACGTGTGTATCTATGGCTTCGTGTCTGCTTACCTACCTACCTAGTCTTAGTCAAAAGAGTATCACCACACTTCCTCCTAGAAGTATTTCCACTCTACCGCAAGCCACTTTGCAACCAGCCTTACAACTTTCAGTACCTGACTATGACTTCGACCGAGGAGACGAAGCGCCTGGATGAAACCAATAATGAAGTGGTAGAATACGATTCGGACGGGAGATCCACGACACCATACGTTGTATACCCAGAAGATGGCTACCCTTCTGACGAAACACACCCTCTTCACCAACTCCTCGAATCTTTCGGACCTCAATCGGAAACCAAATTAGACATACGTATATCAACGGTTATTGGGATAATGTATTGGACACTCCATCCAAAGGCGTCGGAAGTGAAGATACTAGAGGAAAGTTCTATGGTGGGTATTTATCTGGTGGTTGGATTTTTTGGCTTCATACCTGCGGTAAGGTTACTGATAATTGATATTTACAGGTCATTAGTGCAACGCCACAAAGGCTAGTGAAGCTTAGTGAGTTGTGGAGTTTGAGAGCTCAGTAACTTTTTTGGGAGGATGGTCGTTCGGTTGGTTACTGTAGAAGTCACACTGTGAAAGGTCGAAGTTGATGTTGTATCCCTCGTTTTCCTTGATCGGCAAAAAGCATCTGTACGGAGTAAAATTCATTTACCTAGGCAACCTTCCGGGCCCTTGACAGATAGATAGCCTCACCCACCTCGAATATAATTCTAAGCGCGACCCATAGAACTCACAACCTTCATTGTTTAATCACATTCTCTACATCTCCCAATGCGAAATTAATTATGTCGCAATCTCACTCTATACTATCATCGCTGATTCTCCTTGTTGCAATTATCTTCTGTATCCCGCATGCCATCGCAGCACCTTGGACCACGGATGGTCATGCTCAATTATCAACTGTAACCCCGCGACATCCTACACAAGAACCATCGGGCATTAGATACCGCAATGTGATTCCCCAATTGACCTGGTTGTGTGATACTGCGATAGAAAAGATATTTGGTCTCCCTCCAAAGGTCGCAAAGAGACCTGGTGTTCCAGGAAATGTTGCGCGACCTACCAATGCCCAACTTCCAGCGACTTTACTGGCGAAATATGGCGGCGATGTGGTTCTGCGATTCAACCTCAGTACTCCGGCAGAAGAACAGGCTTTGGCTGAGGCGGCAGATACACTATTTTTGGATGTTTGGGAATTTACAAGCAATTGGGCGGACATTCGTTTGAGGGAAGATGATGTATGTCAAATCATCGTTAGATGTTGTCGCAATGCTAACTGCTGGAATAGGTCCCCTCTTTACTCGGCCTTTTGCCAAAATCTCTACAAACTGCATACTCTCATCTGATGCCTGACTTGGCGAAAAGTATTTATCAATCCTACCCATCGATGGCATATGCAGATGCAGCCTTTTCTTCGAAGCATGTTGAAAGGGCATTCACTCCAGCTTTGAGAACTAGTAAGGTCGAGGGTGCGGATAATATATTCTTTCAAAATTATCAACCACTGTCCGTCATTATACCATGGATGCGCCTCATGTCTTCCATGTTCTCAACGCATGTTCGAATGATCAACATCGGAGTTTCTTATGAAGGTCGCGATATCCCGGCTTTAAGAATTGGTGTATCACCAAATCTACCTTCAGAAACAACCAAGCCACGGAAAACTATTATCTTATCTGGTGGGTTTCATGCTCGAGAATGGATATCAGTTAGCTCCGTGACGTACGCTGCTTGGTCTTTAATTACTTCTTATGGGAAATCGCCAGCTATCACAAAGCTTCTCCAGGAATTCGATTTCGTCCTTATTCCTAGTATTAATGTTGATGGATATGTGTATACCTGGGAGAACGACCGTTTATGGCGCAAAAACAGACAGCAGACCAATCTTCGATTCTGTCGCGGCCTCGATTTGGACCGTGGATTTGGTTTTGAATGGGGTTCATCGACTCAAATTAACCCTTGTTCCGAAAGTTATCCAGGAGACGCACCTTTCCAGGCTGTTGAATCGCATAGATTTGCGGAATGGGCTAAGAATGAGACCGAGAACAATAATGTTCATTTTGTTGGTTTCTTGGATTTACATTCGTATTCCCAGCAAGTCTTATATCCTTATTCTTATTCCTGTTTAGCCGATCCACCTAGTCTAGAAAATCTGGAAGAACTAGGCATAGGACTTGCAAAGGCCATTAGAATATCTAGTGGGGAACAATATACTGTTGCTTCTGCTTGTGAAGGTGCTATCTCTTCGAAAATCCCAGGCCACTCATCGACATCTAGAATGGAAATGGGAGGAGGCTCCGCTATTGATTGGTTTTATCACGAATTAGGAGTTCGTTACAGCTATCAAATTAAGCTGAGAGATACTGGAAGTTATGGATTCTTACTTCCAAAAGAGAACATTGTTCCTACTGGTGATGAGGTATTCAACGTTATCAAATACTTTGGTGATTTCCTTCTTGGCGACAAAGGTATTGAGAAAGCAAAATCTTCAAATGAAGACTCGATCACAGAACCCGTCAAATTAGAATCACCCCTTGGAGTTAAGGAAGAAGAGTCGGTGATTCCTAATGAGCTAGAAGACGAATATGAAGATATCAACTGGGAACTGAAGCGGAGGAGGCGGGGGTAAACAAGATAAATTGATATTGATATTTATAGGCGTTGTGGTAACCAGGTAATACCTTCTGGATGAGGCACTTGTAGGTTGTAGGCGTTAGAGTAATCACAGTAATTACAAAATTGAATTCACATGTTAATACTCCGTACTAAGGTACTTGGTAGATATAAATACTCCACATGTAAATCATTCACAAGGCATAAAATTACCCATCCAACCACTATTGCATACTCTGCACATAGCTCTGCATACCTAAATAGTTGTAATTAGCACATACCGCACACATATCACGACATGAGTACATAAGATACCTAGGTAGGCAGCTTACTTAACAGTGATTAAAAAAAAGTGCCGAGGATTTCCTCATCGGGGAATACGACTAAGGTTACGACTAAACCTCCGGAAAATGAAATCGTTCCTTATCCAATTTTGTGTACGTATACAGAGTACTCAACTGTGTACAGATATCCTGTACGCAGTATATCTACTAGGTATGTAGCCATGTAGGGGCGAATTCTAGGTATATCGGGCGGGGAGAAAGAGGGGGGAAAAGATGTACGGAATCTTGAGGTGTGCCGGAATGCCGGGTATGAGTGTGTTGATTTTTGATTGGGGGGTTTGTGTGAGGTGAAATTAAAATATTGTATCGAGTTTTTGATAGAGAGAGAAAGAAAGATATCGGTTAGGATATTGAGTTTTTCTTTTCGAGTGGATTTGAATTTTATTATACAATAATTATTATAAAAATAAAAAACTAAAAGATAAAATTTTAAATATAAAATTTATATTTGTTTTGTTTTTATATTTACTTTTATTTTTATTAAAATCTTTTTTTAATATAATATAATTAAACTTTTTATTGAATTATAAAGATGCAATTAAAAAAATATTTATATTTTTATAATTGATATTAGTTAATATTTTTAAAAAGTCAATTTGTTTAATTAAGATTTTATTAAATATATATAAAAATAAAAGAAATATTTTTAATATATAAATGAAAAATTCTCGTTATTAAAATTATATTAAACTATCTCAATATTAATAAAAATCAAAATCAAAACAATTATATCAATTTAAAAATTGATTATTCATCTGGATATTAACGGTTCTTTCGGAACGTTCGCTTTTCTCCCACCAACTCCACCGACTAGGAAATTGCCCACCGTTTGTGAGAGCCAACTATTTGATACCAAGTCACAACTACCGATTTCATGTATATTACGAAAGTAATCATGTATGCATCACAACATATGTCTCGAATTACAAAGCCGGCCTCTGCCGTAGTTACCGTTGACGATATCCTGCAGTGCTCTGATCAAGTGCGGAGTTCCACAGTTGGTCGCTAGCTTTACATGTATAAATGGATGATATCTTCCATTTCAGACGTTTTCTTCATTCTTCTCTTTTCTTCATGCGTTGGATGATTCTTGATTTGATTCGATAATTGAAAAGTGCTTCATAAGTTGATAGTTCGAACTTATAAGTGAACTTCTTACTACATTACTTCCTTCCACTTCTGATTTAAACACATTGAGTACATCTCACTTCAACAATCTGCACTACAACTATCAAATCATATCAGATCAGATCAGATCATCATGTCTCCAACTCCATTCAAAATTTCCGTCCCTCAAAGCAAAATCGATAATCTCAAAACCAAACTTTCTCTCGCCGAATTCCCAGATGAACTACCAGATGCAGAATGGGATATGGGTGTTCCATTAGCATCCTTGAAGCGTCTTACAAAAGCATGGGAAAATTGGGATTGGAGAGTTGCGGAAAAGAAGTTAAATAAGACGCTTGAGGATGCGCAGTTTACGACGGGTGTGAATGTTGATGGCTTTGGAGAGTTAGATGTTCATTTTGTGTGGCATAAGAGTGAGGTGAAGGAAGCGGTGCCGTTGCTTTTTGTGCATGGGTGTGGGTATCTCTTTTCTTTCCTTTCTTTCTTGTGTAGTTAAAAAAGGGAAGTAAAATGCTGACATGATTCATAGGGCCGGGATCCTTTCTGGAAGTTCTCCGTCTCCTTCCGCTTCTACAACAACCAGACGGTCCAGCTTTCCATATTGTTGCCCCTTCACTTCCTAACTTTGGATTTAGCGAAGGAGTAAAGAAACGCGGGTTTGGATTGGCACAGTATGCGGAAACTTGTCATAAATTGATGCTCCAATTGGGCTATGATGAGTATGTCACGCAGGGTGGAGATTGGGGGACGTTTGTTACAAGATCGATTGGGAGATTTTATCCTCAGCATGTGAGTCTACCGTCTTAGCCCTGGGCTTCCATCTTCCATAAAATATAGACACTGAGTATGTCACCCAGTGCAAAGCAAGCCACCTCAACTGTGTGCTCGGAAAACAACCCTCTTTTTGGACAAATCCCGTTCTAGCCCTGCAACACGCAAGTGTACCTTATACATAAGAAGAACGCGATGGTCTCGCCCGTACCAACTGGTTTCAAGTAGAAGGCACCGGTTACTTAATTGAACAATCCACTAAGCCACAAACCTTAGCATACGCACTCCACGATTCCCCCACCGCATTACTAGCCTGGATCTACGAAAAACTGCACGACTGGACCGATTCGTATCCCTGGAGCGACGATGAAATCTTCACCTGGGTATCCGTCTACTATTTCTCGAGGGCAGGTCCTGGAGCCGCGCATCGAATATACTACGAATATATGCATACGGTTCCCGGCCCGGGAAAATTTACGCGAGATGATTTTACCTCGTATATCGCGGGGCCGAAATTGGGATTGACGTATAATCCGAAGGAGCTTGTTGCGGTGCCTAAGACGTGGGGAAGGACGTTAGGGAATGTGGTTTTTGAGAGAGATAATGTCGTGGAGGGAGGTGGACATTTTTATGCGCATGAGAAGCCGGAATTGTTGGCTAGGGATTTGAGGGAGATGTTTGGGAAAGGTGGAGGGGCGTTTGGGGTGGTGAAGGGAAAGTCTGGGTATGATGGGGAGAAGACGGCGATGTTGTGAGGGAATGTCGAGGTTGTGAAGTGGTTCGGGGGTTGACTTGGTTGTAGCTGGAGAGTGAACTTGAGATGGTAGTAAGAATGGCTTGATGAGCCATTGAAATAATGACTGTACTGATTTCAATGCCACAATCATCAGTCTAATCCAAACACAAATCAACTGAATTTCTAAGATTACGTCCACTCTTCTTTCTTTGACATCGATTGATTAACTCAACAAGCCATATGCACCTCTACCTAAAATAACACACATCCCATCTCATCCATTATCAATTTCAAACCACATGTAAGAAGAGTACCTAGCTACCTAGATAACTTATCATGAGTGTCCATAATCTCAAGTAGGATATATAAATTTATAAATATATCAAGGAAAACTAGTGTATAGGAAAACTTGCAAATTGTAGATTTCTAGATATAACAAGATGAGAAGATGGGAATTTGAGAATACATTATAATATGGATTTTTGGAAGTTGGAGAATAGATAGGTAACTAAATAGGTAGTTAGGAAGGTGAATTCTGCTGTGACTTTTGGAGTGACTTCTTCGGTGACTACTTCAATGCGTTATGGGATGCGAGATGTGATTATGTTGCTTTAAGTCTTTTGTTTTGAAAAGGAGATTTATAGTCTATGATACAGTTTTTCTGTAAAAGCGTTTTTTCCACTCTACCTCCCTGCCTCCTCCAAAAGCCCCTCCCCGGTCAATCAGTTCTATACTCTCCTCTCCCGCCTCCCTCTCTGACCCACATTCACCCTCACTTACTTCATCCCCTCCAAAACCATCTGCACACCCATATACCCACACAAACCCATCAACCCGGTCTGAAAAAACCAATAATAGATCCCCTTATATCTTCCCTTTCCCTTCTCCCCACCCTGACTATAACCCCTCATATACATCCATCTAAAAAACGTCCACGCACCGCCGAAGACCGCCGCTGTCTTTGGAAACTGCAGTCCGGAAATCAAGAGCGCTGTGACGGCTATGGTATGGTTCTCGGTGAAATTCGCATGGGAGCGTTGAGCGCAGTTGAATCGGTAGGCTGCTTCGTCTGTTCGTGATGACGGTGCGTATGCGGCTGGATAGTCGATTTGCGCTGCTTTGCGGTGCGATCCGGTGTTGAAGCCGTGGATGGTATTGAGGATGAAGGTGGAGGTTGCGGCGAGGATTACGTAGCTAGAATGGTGAGAGGGTTAGTTGGGTTTTGGGTTTTGGTTGGGAGTGTGTGGGATGATGGATGGATGGTAATTGGACTAGGGAAGAGGGGGGTACATACCCGTAATCAGGGCTGAGGGTAATGGTAACCATTTTGTTTTGTGTAGGTTTATTTTCTTGGCTTACGCTGTATCAAATTTGGTAGACGTAAAGTATGTATTGAGCTCTTTGAAATAGTAACAAATTGAGAAATTGATATTTTACTTTCCTTTGCTTTATTGTCGACAATAGAACAGCAAACGCCCCACCATATAAACAAAACCTCGAAATGCTTCTAATCTCCACGAAAACCGGATTAGAAATCGATTAGAAATCATTCTCAGACTCCAAGTTATTCACTTGACTAAGGAGTAAGCTCTTTCGCCTTCCCCTCGACACAGACCTTCGAAAAATGCTCTGTGGTGGGTTGTGGTGGACCTGTGGTGGAGTTGGAAACCGTGTACTCGGATATCCAGATATCCGGACCCGTGTCTACGTGCGTAGTTTCGTGGGAGAATTGGTAATCGAGCTTGACTTCCTTTCCACCGGATTCTGTGTGTGTATTGTCCATGCTGACGTGTGTACGTAAATAAATGAATCCTACGTGTATTCATTGTCTCAGTGCTGAAACCAGACGGTAGAGAAAGCTGTGAGGAGCTGTCGAAAGGAATATAAACTTCATCCTGTTCGCACGAAGGATATCTTGGAGGTATGAAAATGAGATGGGGAGAAGTTTGGAAGTGAGCCTGGGAGATGTGAGATTTTTATACATAGGTATTTGTCCACATCATACCGGATTAGCTAATTCAGTCGTTCCATTGTTCAATCGGAGGCTGCGAGCACGTCATGTTTGATGGTATAATAAGGTTGGCTTTGTCAGGTGGGATATATCCATCACATATATGGATGTACCATATGTCGTGGTTGCTCGAGAAGGGGGTTAGAACTATCTATCACCATTGTAGATTGAATTAGTGAACCAAAACGCCGGGTATAAGAAAAGGTAATCTTATTTGACAATCTAAGATCCATTTTGAATCCAAAAAAAAAACATCACTCAATAGTTCATCTCTTCATTCATTTTTACAATATAAGACTTATATAACTCAATCTAACACCCCTCCTTACTGTTCCATCCACTTTTACCTATGTACTGAAAGAAATAAATCAGCAATCATTGCGCAGGTGGTCAATGATCGAATGCAGTATCTAACTGATCAGTGATCACTATATATCTAGAAATTTAGATGCGATTTTATAATGTTTTGCGTTTTTGGAAGGTATAGGGTGATTCTAATGGGCATGGGATAAGAATTACTGGGATTGGGATTGGGATTGGGGTTGGGGTTGGGGTTGGGGTTGGGATTAGATACTCTGTGAGAAATGTTTATAGTAGTTGAAGATGTTGAGAATGGGCGGGGATTCGATGTACAAGTGAGGATAAGATTTTTGATGGGGAATATATCCTTGTGGAGGTATCTGTTCAGAGCGTGGAGGTAAGTGGTGAGAACTGAGAGGCAGGAGAAAGATTGTGAAATAGTTTCGTAGGTGAATAGAGTGAGTGAGTTTGCTTAAGCTGGGTGTATTTATGGGTGTTAAAATAAGAGGATATTTCAATGGCTAGAACGCGCATTAATCTCTATTCTAAAATTTCTATTCTATCAATAACACCTGTCCTTATTCATTTCACCCGCATCCAATTCTCTACAACCCGGCCAACCCTCTAATAATCTCTACCACCGGCGGCACAGAAGTCAATGCCAGCGTCACAATACCAAAGAGACTCATGCTCAAACTACTCAGTGCTGCTGCTCTGGGGTCACTAGCTAGTAGTAATGCAGTAGCTATTGCACTAGCATTTCCGCCCATGGCAACACCGATGGTTATGTAATCATCAGGGCGAATTTTGAGGAAGGAAAGGAGACGATGACCGATTAGGACGCCGAAGATACCTGACATTATGGCAAGGGCAGCGGCAGCGTTAGTGTTTCCACCGCTAAAGAAAGCAGAGTATGGTTAGTTTGTTACGGATATGTTGGAAGGTTGGGAAAAGTGGCTAGTGATACTTACAGGTTACTGGCGGCGGGGGTAGCGAGCGCAAGCGTTAGAGAACGCACGGAGAAGGAAAGAGAAATTGGAGGGGATATGCCGATAGAATAACAGAGAGGTGGGTAGCCAAAAAGTGAACCGATGGCTAGAACAACACTTGGAATTGTAATGGGGATGAAGTGAGTTTTTTAGTTCATGGCGGTATTGAAACATGGGGAGAGCGAGGGAGACAATAGAGGCGTCAAGTACGCTATTACTATTGTAGACAAGGAACTTAGTAAGTTGAAGGCTAATAGATGGGTATATAAACTTGAAGAACTTACAACATATCACCAGCTCCAGGTAGAGGAAGGTTCCTTTCTCCATCCCAGTAGGCAATATATTTAGTGTTGGTTCTGTAAGCACCCAAAACTTCATCCAGGTTATTGCCTCTGATAAGTCCTAAAATCCATATACCAATTATAGTAATGCCAGATGACAATAGTACAGGATGTAAGAATTGCTTCCATCGAACTGAGAGAGATTGTGCTGCGAAATAGGCTAGTATATTGAATGTAAGTTGTACTGGCATTGCATAGCCGGTAGCATAGTAGACTGGGATCCCTATGAAAAGAAATATGACACCGTAAGTGAGTATATCCAAATTTCTATTAATAAACGCTGCCCAAATCTGAGCTCGTGTGAGGGGTAACGGCTCTTGTTCGACCGCAACGGTATCAGAAACAGGTTCTGGGGTGGACTTTCTGTCTCCGGAGAATCTCTTGGGTCTCTAGATACTCTGACCACAGCCGGTTCCTGCTCTTGTATAGGACTGACAGTATCGGTCGATGTGAAATTTGTATTACTTGATACTGCTAGAGGAATGGCATCATTCTCGGCACCCATTTCTTCGGCCCTCTCTATGATAGCACGCTTGCTTGAACCTAGTAGGATTTGAAGGCCGCGTACTAGCCAGGCAGTGACAGCGAACATGACCAAAAACCCAATCACTTTAAGACATTAGTGATTAAAAGATGGATATGGCGACAATATACTGACGGAATACCCCAATGATTTTGCCTACTTCCGCAGCAGTAATACTATCACTCAATGGCAACAGGACGAAACTATAAACATTCAGAGTCTCATCCAGCTATCTCAATTGATCCCATCCATGTGAAGGTGGGGACTCACGAGGGTGTGAAGAAGACATTGATATAACGGAGAGCCCATCCTGATGGAATATCAATAACTGATACCAATGCTCTCGTCCTTTGGTGTCCAATGAGAAGATCGATAATATTTAGGATAAAAAATAGTAAAATTAAGCATGCCACCGATGCAGGAAATGAGACAGAACTGAGTCCTATGAGAGCATTGACACCGAAGCATGCTAATAGAATCAAAACAATGCCAAAAGGAACTTGAATCCAAGCTTTCAGGTTACGTCTCCATGATAGACGAGCTACCTATGATATATTAGTAAATTAATATCTTCTAAAAAAGCCAGCAGTTATGATAATCCTCACCAACTTGAGAGCCTCAAATCCATCCGAGATAAACTCTCGGATATTTGGGGCCATTGTGAATTCTTTTAGATCGCTATTCGATCTGTGTAAATGGAAAAGAAACTTTTCATTCCCGGCCAAAAAATGTATCCAAGGACCAACAGCTAAACAATCACAGAGAGGAAGAAAAGTCTCAAAGAGAATGGGATTCTCTCATCACGAAAGATATCCAAGTGGGGGATTCGGAGAGCTCTATCAAACGCTGATCCCCCACAATCATATACCTACTATCGGAGAAAAATGTAGCTCCATGCTTAGTGATGGTGGAAAATAGAATTGCATCTCCATTTCTTACTCATTTGCAAAAATGATTTGAAAATATTATAGGATGTCAGAATCATCTCAGATGTTAGGATTGAATGTAATGTACAGTAGCCTTACATACATAAGGTGGGGGTTTTATACTCGAGGATAGGTACATAAATCTCCAACATTCACTGGAGACGCAATGTGAGGTTAAACAAACAGATACCACATACCCACTACAAAAGTGACAAAACGCCCCGAGCCTGGATCCAACAACAGCCCTTTCAATTCCCGCGAGACAATTTTCCTAAGATACTGGAATACTGGAATCTTCCTCTTTTCAAATCTGCAATAGAATCTTTCCGTTCCCAAAAGCCCCGGAGCTGATTTGGCTTCAGACGTGCAACAAAACTTCTGGAAAGCTTGTCGTATCACGGACTTCACCAGTATGGAAGGCGGCAATTTCGAATTTCTTCTGCAGATCCTAGAAGATTATGGCATACCTTTCGATCGAAATACAATTAAGTCTGATTATTCTCGCAATCCAGCTGCAGTTGAAGCTTGGATTTCGAAATATCTTGGTCCAGAAACACTTTTGACCAAAGATGAAGTCGCATTGTGAGCTGGCGTCTGTTCTTTCTGCGAATCATACTAACAAGGAATAGATACGAGGTACTTTCACAATCAGAAGATGCAGACAAGATAGCGAATTCCCAAGACTTATCGAGCATATGTGATTTGACCGACGAACAATTGTATACTGCCATCGAAGAATTACAAAGATCTACTACCGCGATTGAACAGCAGAGCGAAGCACTACGATTACAACAAAATGCTCTAGCTTTACTTGTCAAAAGCAATAAGAAAGTGGGAGCAGCACGAACGGAAGCAGATGCAAAACAGCTTCAAAAATGGGAAGCGGAAACTAGTCAGGCAAATTCGGCGGTGGAGGAACTTTCACAAAACCTGATGTATCAGTTATCAGACTTGGAACAACAAAACAAAATATCACAATCCAGTGCCAGACAGACCGTGGATGGGATATTGAAGGCAGATGATAAATTATTGACAAGCTTGCAAAAGCTTGGGAAGAGCTGGATCCTGGCTCTTCTGAAGATCATGATACTATTGCTAGGATAAGAGACCTTTGTGCGAGATATATCAAACATACTGTCGATGGAGTTAGGACAAAGCTTGACCGAATATATCTCGAAGCTCTTAATAATCCAGTTGGTACAGATTCGCAAAACACAAACAAACAGGAAGTCGCCGATTTACAAGAAGAGCTTGAGTCCTTATATTCCGAGGTATTACCTGTGGCTCAAATGTCTGCTGAGCAGCAATATTTGGAACCAGCTTTACGAGAGATTGCCCTGAAAGGGAATTCAGGTCAAGATCGAGCTTATCAAGCTTTGAAATATGTGAGTTTTGATACATCAAAGATGATATATTTCTAATGATGAACTAGATGCAAGAATGCCTTAATTTCCTCATCAAGCGTACAGAGATATATGCAGCGCATATGGAAGAATATCAATGTCATCAGATGGCCACTAAATTTGCAATAGATACCGGAAAGAAAGAGCTCCAATATCAAGAAGCTCCACAGCCTAGCAAATCTGTTACGCGCCAACGACAGAATTCTCAAGCACAAGTACAGTTCCGCAACAATCGCCGACGTTCTTCAATGTTTGAAGAAATGGATGCCGAATCACAGTTACTTCGCAATTTGGGCATCACACTTCCAAATGACAGTGACGCAGATGACGCGCAAACTGAGTTTCTCGATAGCTGCCTTCGTGAAAGGATTGAGAAACTTAAGAGTCACGCGGCTAATTTGGAGTCAACCACTGAAACCACCATATCCTCACATGTGCACAATGCCGATTATACAATGAAACTACTTTACAATGCCCTTCAAGCTGATTCAGTATACGGCGAGGTCCAACTACTTGATCCAGATATTGTATCATCATTTAACACATTTGAGGAGGAAATCAAGAATTTACAGGAAAATCTTGAAGCTGTGAATCTACAAAGGTTGCAACTGAAGAACGTTCATAAGGAGCAGCTGATAAAACGTTGGTCAAGATGACCATTTGTCTGAGCGGAAAAGAGGGCGAGAAAGATTGTAGCCTTGCAAAGCGGGTCGAAAGTTGGTAATTAGGGGGGATCTTCTTCATTATATCAGTCAATGTTAGAGATGTCTTGGAGACATTTCTCTTAGGTTTCACATGATAGTGGCAGATGTCACCATCATCACGTGTCTCGAAAGTTGAAGGAGGGCATATGTACACTCCGAAGCTTGTGGCAATGCAAAAATTCATCCCGAAATGCAAGGGCAAGCACTACACGTGGCTTACTAGAGGCTGATTACATCCATGTATGATGGAGGCTCATTCAAAAAAATCTTCCTCAGAAAGAAATTCCATCTTGGCCCACTCGGGTCTAATATGTAAGACAGAAATCGAGTCATATCCGCAGTCATGCACGAGATCTAGCATGATACTGTGTCCAGAAAGTCCCCAAAAAATATTCACCAAAAAAAAATCCTCAAATCATCAAGGGTACCTGCGTAACACAACCACTAAGGAAACAAACAATATGCATGTAATCCTTCATCCTTAACCATCTTGTTGGAATTTCTTTCCCCTGGCGGCTGCAGTGTTCGACGTAGATTGTGCGACAACCAAGCTTTAGACCTTTATCGCTAGGATTGTGCGACAAAGAGGTCAACAGTTAGAATCAGTTGGAGATATCAAATCTTAATATTTGATTTTGGGTTTAGTTTTAAATTTTAGCTGTAGCTGGTGATTTATTTAGACACACCAACAGAACATCATAAGGCTTAACGCTCATGGTGGACTTTACTCCGACCAAGTTCTCCATATCTCCACTGGTTGGTGACCCAAAGCAGAAAAATTGGGAGCGCTAAAATGACGTTCGTATGGGACTATGGTCCCGACGGACTTGCAGTAGTGAGTGACCATGAACTTGATGGGACATGACAGCGGTAGGTTGATGATGCAAGCGAGGAGCAAGTGGGCCGTAGCACGTGTCGGTAGGTATTCGGGATGTGTGCCACAATAGCAAAATCCATGAACACAATTCTCCGCCGCACAAATAAAACAATGACTCCTATCACCATACTCGCATAAAACCAAGACAATACTTCCTTCCTGTGCGTCGTAGTCCAAAATCCCAACTAGCTCACACAAAGCAAGCCACACCCACCCCCGCCGGTGCATCAACACAGCCTCAACAAATTATCGATTTTCCAAAGCCAAGTTAAGATAAGATTCAAGATTTGAGTCAAATGACGATACAGTGCGTACACATACACCACACACAGTACGTATCCGAGTATTTCCGTCAGTTGATCTTTGACGAAGATTTTTGATGTGGTTCTTGGTGCTAGGAGGTAAATTCCTTGGTTGACCTTAGCACTGCCAGCGTTGGATTTTAGAGCGCTTATGGGCACAGTTCACTGGTGGTCCGACGGGTATGCACCCCAAGTTCCTAATATCCCTAATAGCTAGAGTTACTCTTCTCCTCCATGGCACGTTAAATACACTTTTCTGGGGAAATATGCGGCTCACATTTATTTCTCGCCAACTTACATTGTTCTTCCCACTTTAATAAATCCTCTCATCCATAATAGACAGAGAAATGGGATATTCTTGATGTGTTGTAAGCGTGACCCAAATGAGACCTTAAATCCCCATAAAAATTATCGCCGAATTAAGAAGCTGCTAGGGTTTTTAGAAACAATTGGACATCAGACCTTGAGGAAACATCATCTCATCATCTCAAGCTTTTCCCATTATCATCTCATTTCATCTCATTTCATCTCATTTCATCTCTAATCCCTTGATTGGATTTTATAACCATTTTGTCAATTTCTTCTTTTTGGTCTATATATGGGCCATCTCTTCATGAAACGTCTCCTCTTTGATATTCATTCTTATAGGATAGAATAAGTACTTCCATCACGCGCGTCTGTGGTCTTGAGATTTGAGGGCCCTTCCCGCAACACATTCACACACTTAACAAACATCTACTCTGCTTATTTTTGACCTCCTTTCGATGGGATTCGACTCCATCGTGTCGGGATTCTATTTTCGGACTATCTTCTCTCTTCCCTTTCCTCTTTCCGTTTCTTTCGCATTGAAGAGGATTCTTCGTAGCTTTTGGCCAAAATAGCAACTGTTACATTCCAATCATTTTGATATCATTTCATTTATCACAAACGAAGCTGACAACATAAAGAACTTTTTACAACTTTTGCTCTTTACTCCTGCATTTTCATCACCCATCATCATTAATGCAAGTGGTTTCATTTTCAAGCCTCAATTCCTTACTTGGTACAACTTGGTCGAACTTTGGATTCTTTTGCGTCTTACTCAGCCCTTCAAGTGGCTGAGGCGCTTTTGGTTCGCCGCTTTCTTGCTAAAAATCTTGACAACCCTACCCACACTTTCTCTACCACACTAAAAACTTCCTTAGCCATCCTATAATAAAGACAGAGTCATCGGCCACTGTATGACCTAATAGTCACTATAAGACCTTTCTTACTAGACGGTCACGCTCCTAGTACAGTCGACTACTCAAGTGTTAGCAGAAGATACTTAATTCCTCTATACCCTTCGTCCATCCACACATTTCTTTCCACATTCTCCCTCTTGTTAACATATTATTACTTGAGTTTGAATTAATAGAACATCCTTCACATTCCTGTCGCTTCGTCATACTCACCTCGCTTACCTTTCATATATATCTTCTATTCCACAAGCTTCCTTAACGAATAACGAACATATAAGTACACCTATTGTAACTCACAACACATACCTCCACATCTAGTTACACTTCTGTCCCGTCTGCCTCACTTGATATAAAACAAATCACTTTTATACATACACATACACGTACTACCTTTCACGAACATATATCTTACGGATCAATTCAAGGAAGTCCTAGAACAAGTGAGAAACTTCTCTTCGTTTTGATATCAACTCGATAACACTAAGTCAATCGGGTCTTGGAGGACAGGTCCTACCTCAGCACATCCGACCCGAAGTTCAAAGTTCATCGTCACAATGTGCGTGACACATATCTATACCGATTGTTACCCCAACCGAACAGTCGAATTTCACCAAACAATAGTCTGTTCAGATTCGAAAGATGGGATCTCCTGCCCTGCTCATATCACCAATGAACATCCTCCTCGGACTCTCAAATCCAATGATGAACGCTCTAGCAAAGAATATATCGACCAAGGACTACAAGTACCTTCTACATCCAAACCTTCACCTCATAAATCCGCAACTGCAACTACATATCGTTACTCTCAAGGTGACAAGAAAGATAAACCTTCCGGTCGAGAACCTCGTCTTCCTTGTGATTGAAGAGTGCTTTAGTCTCAGCTTTTACACCACGTCGCAAGTCCCAAAGAACGTATCGTTATCGTCGATGCACCGGATAGTCCACAAGGCTCCAAGGCTCTTCAGAAAATGCTCCAGATTCTCCCGCAACTGAAGAATTTCAATCTAAGACTCAATCGAGCATGCTCATCGAAAATCAGCTAGAAAGACGTGGTCCTAATCACAGTCTCAATCCTGTTCCTACTGTTGTTATAGATCAACATCGCGATAAGAGAGAACGTTAGATGCATGTAAGCCTAACAAATCTTGACCAAAAGTTTGACGACACGAGGCATGATGGAGATGTTGATTTCCACTCTAATGCATGAGGATGCTTTAGGAAGGATACCCTATTGGATGGCATCCATTCTTCCCATATAAATAGGTCCAGCTTCTTGTCTCTGAGAAGGGGATTTGTGTTTGGTTGATTCGAGTCCAATGATGTGAGTATTAGTGGAGAAAATGGCAGTTGTGATCCAATGAAGGGGTAAACTCGAGATACGGAGTTTACTCTCGCCTCATTGATTGACAGGAGATTTCCTCCCTGGCTATTTAACCACGGTACCACCAAAACCTGCACACCAACTCTTCTACTCCCTTGTAGAGGAACTCAAATATATGTCAATCGGTTCGGTTGTCCGACGCATCTCCTCTTTCCAAGCTGTGATATCCGATCATCCCATCTCTCATCGTGTACATATGTACTCCCATCCATAATTATGAAGACGTGAACCCATCTCCACCTCCTGCATCTTTACGTCCGTACTCTATAGTATTATTCACAATTCATACATAAACTGGGAAAATCCCTCACTTCCCGAGATTCAGTTGACCTGCGTCCTTTTGCATTCATTCCACTTTGCGGACTCACTCCTGCGTTTTTCAAGCAATTCCCACTTAAATTCCCCCGCCATCAGCTCTTCACCGCATTTTTTTTGGCGGTAAGGAGTAGCTCAGAGTATCCATCTACTTTTTATCCTTTCACAAGCCAAAAAGTTTTCACTTCTTTTTTATAAACCTTCATAAATACAGAATATCGGGAAACGGAAGCTGGTCTTCTCACGCAATATCCTTCATTACAATAATCAAATTATACGTTAAAATGGCTCCCATGGCGGAAACCGTTACCATTATCAATAAATCCGGGAAAGTAGTGAGCACTGTAAGTATTTCTACGATTTTTCCGAAGTTCTACCTGCTTCCCCTCCATCGGATGATATTGGATCATACAGGATGTGCTGTGACTAATAACCACCTTTCATAGGGAAAACAACTGGTAAACATCTTCAAAGATGCAAAAGCCGCATACCAAGAGAAGAAGACACAATTAAGAGAAGAACACTATCAACGAGAAGAAGAGCGAGTACAGAGAGCACGAAGAAGAGCATACGAATCTCAGTATGTAATTGAAGATGTTGGAGAGGGAGGAGACGATGCACAATCGGTAGCATCTAGACGATCTCATCGATCCCATCGTTCACATTCTTCCCGTCAAGAGCCCCGATCAAATTCTCGTCCTCCTCTCGCACTCAACAATCATGAGGAATTTCCAGATTCGCAAAGCATGGCTAGTGGACGCTCCCACCGTTCTCACCGTTCCCATCGTTCGCATACCAGAACTCGTCACGAGTTGAATTTCGATGATTTGGAAGAGGAGGATGACATGCAAAGTCTAGCGAGTAAACGGTCACATCGTTCTCATCGATCGAAACGAAGTCACTCCGTTCATGGTTCTAAAGCTCCCACCCAACACGAGTCCGCAGAAACTCACCACGAAGATCCAGAAGAGAGCCTTTATGATCCTCCTCTCGCCACGTATAAACAACCATTTGCCGGGACGGAAATGACTCTAGTGAGAAGAAATACGGACATGCAAACTCCTCCTATGCCAGGCCATCTCGTGAGAAGAGAAACAGCTCCTCCATCCTGTCAGGGTGGCCAATTAGTCCCTCATCCGAAAACCGTACCGGATCTTCAAGACGACGGAATCGACATGGATTTAGCGTATGGAGATCTACCCCCTCATCTAGAATCTGACCATGAACCCGAATATGAACAACCCTCGTTCCACAACAACTCCCAGCAGAACTCGATGAAACAATGAGTAAACTAGACAGTCTTCTCATCGAAGCGCAATGTCTTCATCACACTGCTACAGGCATAATGTCAAATTTGCAAGCCAACCCCGAAGCCATGGCTGCCGTAGCCCTGACCCTCGCAGAACTTTCTGCACTTCTAACCAAAATGTCTCCCTCCATACTTCCCATGCTCAAAGCCAGTTCTCCAGCTATTTTCGCCCTCCTCGCCTCTCCCCAATTCCTCATCGCCGGAGGTGTGGCCCTAGGTGTTACAATCGTAATGTTCAACGGCTACAAAATCATCAAGAAGCTCCAAGCCACTCCCGAAAAGACATTGGAAGCTCCAATGGCCATGCAAGCTTTACCCGCTACTCCCGGCTACCCCGAAACACCCGGATTCATGGAACCCAAAGATATGCAACACGAATACGAAGAAGCGCTGCCATGTGAAGCGTACGAGAAGGAATTAAGCAGTATTGATATCTGGCGTCGAGGGATCGTGGATGCAGAAGTGGAAAGTGTAGGTACAAGTGTTGATGGTGAATACATTACACCTACAGCTGCACGACAGAAGGAAAGTCGAAATGCAGAGCGAATTCGTCAGCGAGCTGCTGAGGAGAGAATTGATGAGGATGATGAGGAATCGAGAGGGATCTTGAGTCGCTTCACTAGTAAACCTCGACGATCAAAACTCTTCCTGTCAGAAGTAGTGGGTCTCAATTTGAACCTTCGCCTGCTAAAGGGAAGGATGATTTGGAATCTACCCGTACTTCTCGTGAGAAGACCTCCAAGTCAAGCAAGACTTCTAAGAGTCATAGGTCAAGTCACTCAAAGAAGGATGATGAGAATGCATCGACGGCTTCAGGACGAGGGGAAAGAACAGAACGAGTAGAAAAAGAAGAAAAAGAATCCAAAGAAAAGAAAAAGAAGACTCCTCTGAGTATTTTTAGAAGCAAGACGGAAAAGAGTAGTAGTCATAAGGGAAAGGAGAAGGAGGGAAAGAAGATGGGTCATCATCCGCTTTTACTTGAGGTTTAAGTTGAGATTTTCTCATCTTGAGCTTTTTGTTGCGTGGCTTTGTGGTAGGCTGTCAGATGGTGTCTACTTACTACAAACTTCTATTCTTCTTCTGGGTGAAATATCTTACATCTTAGGCATGGCTTTACTTGCTTCACTTCACTTCACTCTTTTTTTCTTTTCTTTTTGCTTTCTTTCTACCTCATTTAGCGATTAGCATTTAGGTTTGGGGGAAAGGAGTGATTTTCTTTCTCATCTCTCTTTACATCTCATTTCATCTCGTCTCTCATTTCAAACCACCTCAGATTGGCGCGGAGACAACCCAACTCAGATCAGAGATCAAAGGGAGGAAAGCTTTACGATTTATACTTGGGTGAATATATGATCGGACGAACACATGAAGGGTTGGCTTGTTGAACTGTTGAATAAGGAAAGATATTAAGTCATGTACATGGATAGGTAGGAATATAATATCGACAGTAACGATACCGGAACAGATTGGATGCTTGGATGCTTGGATACTTGGATTTATACATTAAGGGAAGGATGGAAAGGAGATATATATATTACAGATACTGAGAGAAATAAAAATTTATAAAAATATTCTTTTAGATATTATAATTAATATATTGTTTAAGGTTATATTTTTTTTATATATTTGAAGTTGAAGTATATAATATTTTTTATAAATTTAAAATTATATTATTCCCTATCATTATTATTCTAGCACTCATTACCTCATTATCTCATGTAGAAATCTTTTTAATATTAACATCAGTGCTATTAATCATATCTAATCACTCATCCTCCGAATCACATTATTTCATATCATATCATATAAAATAAATCCAACCCAACCCAATGGATTTCCCTATCCAACTCCCCATCCAACTCCTCATCCAACTCCAATCCAGCTCCACATGCAACTTCCATCCAACTCCACATCCAAACCTAATCCCCAAACTCCTCATCCAAATAAAACTTCCAAACCATGCCAAACTCAACCTCTAACCGCCCTTAAATCCCAACCCAACTACCAGAAAATGCAACAAATCGTTATGCCTTGAAATTCATTCAATATCATGTACCTATAATCAACCCCAATTCGACTCAATCAATTCCATCCTTTTCCTTCCTTTCATTCTTTCAAACTAATCTCATATTCATGTTCGTTTCTCTCCTGGTTTATATTCCATTCCATTGCTACTTGCTTCCCTACCATCTACCCAAACGAGCATATACGCTCGAGGTAAAATTTCATGTCAATCCACTTTCAATCATTAATCTGTAACATTACTCTCCTTGCTCATACGAGGTATCGTGATGTGATATTAATCGTCTTTCATGAACATTGTCGCTATGTTCCATCCTATCGTGATATGTATGGCGAGGACATCGTTTCGAATTTCGCTTTCATCGATCGATTTCGCGAGTTATCGTATTTGTTCTCCCCTCATAGTAATCCTCGGTCCAACTATCCCGCGGCATCACTTTTGAGTCGAATCAAGGACCCTCTCAATCCAAATCACTCCAACCTCGTGATCACCCAATAAAATCTTCTTGGGAATTCATATTTTCATTCATCCGACACCCTTTCATTCAATAACCATTTTTCTCGAACCTCCAACCATTGTCCACCCTAGTGCTCTTAAAGCACTTGCATCCCTCGCCTTAATAATCGTACAAGCAGGTAACATTGGGTTCACAGGATCGATACGTGATGCATCTCTTGCCGCTTGTTCGATTGCTCCCATCTCCTCTTCGCATTCTTTTCCATTTAAAGGACATACTATTATTGGTTGACGATGAGTGATATCTCGAGCGCCGGATAGATGAACCTTTAGGCTATGTCAGCTCTGCTTTAAGAATGTGAATAGAATCAGTGAAAAGGAGTATTGGTAAAGTTCGCAAGCAAGAAATAAAAAAAAGAAGAAACATATATACCTTTATAACAAGAAAGAATTCAATCTTATATAGAGTTGCTGTCGTCGTAAAAGAATTAACAAAATGCATTGGAAAAGCCGCCTTTCCTCTCCTAATTATTCCCTCCGAATCCCTTAAATCCTTCGATGGATATATTAAACCAAGGGCTGTGAAGTATCCCGCCTCTGGTAATCTCGTTCCCACCGTCGCAGTTTGTTTTGCTATCCGATTGATCTTCTTCGTAGGTTCATCACCTTCAGGATTATATGTGATTTCTTCTTCTATCCCAATTGTAATCTTTTGTATGACTACTTTGGTAGCCTTTTTAACCATATAGGATTGGGTAATAATGTGATAAAAACATCAACAGGATCCGAGGGACCAAATGACCACCGAGGTAGTGAAATTCTCAAAGTAACAAGATGATCCGAATTATTCTCTGCTGATTCCGGCTTCTTGTACATGCCAAATGTTGAAATAGTGTCATATCTTTGCAACGGAACTGGAAATGCGAATTTTTTTTGTTCTTGGCCCTGTTGAACGGTAACCACCAATTCATAATAAGTTTCCGCTGTGCGACTAGGTAATTGCAGACTGGCCGGTGGGATCCTTCGATTTGATTCCTGTCCTCCTCTTCCAAATGGTATGAATAAAACGAAAGGTAGATCCATCAAAACCACACTTTCGCTTTCCTTGCCTGCTGTACATCGAAACAAGAGCAACTCCTTCCCAACCACATCGGTCGTTTCTCTTCGAGGTGTCCCCAAATGTTTCTTAGCTATCGATTCCGCGGATGGATGTATCGTTTCCCTTCGCTGTAAACATATTCGGACCAATGATATCGCTATCGGCGCAGAAATTCCAGTGAGGGGTCGAATCTCTACTTTACCCTCTACCCTAGGCTATAATCCCCGAATTAATCCCAAATCCTCATGGAACTCACAATCGCAAAACAGATGATCAAACCCCAAAGAGAAAATAAAAATCACCTACAAGCGTAGCAGAAATACCCGGATATCCAACTAAAAAATTACTGTTGGGAGGACCGGAAACTCGGACAAAGGCAGACATATCGTGCACACCCAAAGATCACTGGCGCCACCGCGCAGGTTTGCGCCGAATGGAAACAATGTTGTTGAGCAGTGTGAGTTGAGATTGAAAGTTCGAGTCTCATATGTAAATGTATGTATGTATGTTTGTATGTATGCGGTAAGTCAGTTTGCGCGAATTGTGGGGTTGCGTGTCGATGATATAACTTTTGGTGTCGACATATAAGCAAGGCTAAGCTTTCATTTGGATGGTTCTTGTGTGTCAGTAAGAGTATTCTGTACTAGAGAGACGTAGTTTGTTTGTAAAGTTCGTTTAGTATATTATCGAGTAAGGAAGGACTGGATTTCCTTGGTTCTGTGGTGGAATTGGTGGAAAGTTGATTTGTTATTGTTTTTCGATGCAGGTTGGAGAAGTAATAGAGGGAGAGCGAGTGTGTGTGTGGAAGAGAAAGAAGAGCGATGATGTTTTTTGATGAATAATGGGAATAATGAGTGAAGGAAGAAATTTCTAGAAATTATGATATGTCATTGTTAGGGATTAGATATTTTATTGAAAGGAATAGCTAATTAACTCAGAAATGAAATTACTCAGTAACAATTGAACGCGGTTGTTCTTTTCATGGATGTGGTTGTGATTGTAGATTATACGGAGTAGGTGGGTGGTTATGAAGCGTGGGTAGGTTGCTTGCTGGGTAGCTGGGTAGCTGGGTAGCTGGGTAACTGGGTTACTGGACTGGGTAGATAGATAATAAGCCTTGAAATAAATATGATGATACGGTATGATGCTTTCGTCTGATTGGTGGTCCAGACATCTGATCCAGCCTTTCCAGACTTTCGATAATACAAACCGACGAGACATCTATCTACAGATAATGAAATCCAACAACAAAAATCAGGTTGAAATAAGACTTAGCAACAATGAAAAGGGTTTCAATGCATGTATGTCAGTATAGATAGTAATCGGTGAAAAGACCAAGAATGTTTGATTTTTTTATTTAATAAAGATATATATCTTTTATATTCATATATATATATAAGAAAATCAATGATAAATAATAGTTCTAGATGAAAGCGATAGAAATGATAGAAATGATAGAAATGATAATCATCTCCCTCAAATTGCCATCACTCAAAACACAACAAGCTTTGAAGATCCGATCCACAAGAAATTGGCCCTTACATAATCCCATCCATCCACCTCGCCCAATGACAACTCTTACATGGTAGCCTTACATCAAGCCAAAATATCAGCCTTGCCCAATAAATAGCCTCCCACTCTCCCAGCCTTACACATCTCGCTCCAATATAAAAATTAAAGCATCTCATCTGAGTCTCAGTCTCAGCCTTCCACTCAGCTACCACATCATACCAGACCATACCAAACCATACCATATATTCACATTTACGTTTGCATTTATCAAAACTACAATCCAACCAAGAGAAAAGATATTCATTCATTGATCTCAAAAGGATCAAAAAAATCATCATCATATAATGTCAGTAACTTTACACACCAGCCTAGGCGATATTAAAATCGAAGTTTTCTGCGAAAGTGTACCGAAAACTGCTGAGGTAAATAACCATACTTTCCTTTTCTTTTGTTCTTTTTTTTCTTGTATTCTTTCTATACAATCAAAGGTCAATTAATGACGCTCCGCGGGCCACTACCGTGGAGGCTTCTTCGCTCCGCTCTACCATCCACCCAAAATTACACCACGTACCTAACCTCCCCCTCTAGAATTTCCTCGCCCTCTGCGCCTCATCCTACTACACCCAATCCCCAATCCACCGTCTAATCCCAACCTTCATGCTCCAAACCGGTACACCCTCCCCAAACAACCCCATCTTCTCCTCCCCTCCCCCAAAAGCCGGCGCCTCCATCTGGCAAACCCCATTTGCCGACGAAATTCTCCCCACACTGCGACACAACGCACGAGGCATTGTATCGATGGCTAATAAAGGAATTGGTACAAATGGATCTCAATTTTTCATTTTGTTTGCGCCGGCGCCGCATCTAGATGGGCAGAATACTGTGTTTGGACATGTGATTGGGGAGGAGGGGATGAGGGTTTTGGGGGAGTTGGAACGCTTGGAGGTGGATAGGAAGAATAGGCCTGTGGAGAAGGTCGTGATTGAGAGGGTGACTGTGCATGCTAATCCTCTTGCGGCGTGAGTGGGAGTTGTGGGAGGGGGTATGCGGATATAATAGATAATGAATGATGGGTATTAGATCAGGGACGATTAGGCTACACGTGCAAGACGAAAAAGGTACTTGTTCGTACATCATATATCGCCAGGGGGCGGCTAGAGGTTAAGTCTGCATGCGTCTAGCCCATTCTAGACAAAGGATAAAAAGATACCCATAGATGCATAACATCTACCATGTCAGCATCGGACGCAAAGATGGCCCTTATTAGGTAGTCTTCGGCAGTTATTCTAAGACAAATGGTCAGGCGGCCCATGCTACAGCAGCAATCGGGGATTCCGGGGCACCGTCTGTGTAACATTGGATGGATACTAGTTTCAATATTGGGGGCGGAGAAGCAGGAAGTAAAGCCAAGCAGGAATAATAGATAGATGAATGAATGAATGGATGAATGAATGAGATACGATAGAAAGATACCCAGAGAAAATGAACCAATCAATAATCATGATGGGGTCAATGGAATTTATCAATTTCTATTGAAATTTCCTCTACCTATACCCCTACGTACCTATACTCAAATAGCGCTATACCTAGTACTCACACCTTTACCTCATAAAGTCATCCGTTACGCTAGCATGTTTAACAAGCGAGTACTACTCGAGTACAGTATACGGAGTATCAAACGAGATATCATCATCAATCCGATTTCATACTTGTATACTAGGAAAATATATATGCATTAACCTTATTCGTTAATGTTAAAACCTTCACCTAATTGAATATCAAAGCATGAGCATGCTTGCAATTAGACGAATGCCGTAACGCCTCATGATATACTAGGGTACATATCCTAAAATCTATGTACCACCTAACTCCATGTCCAGGGTTAATGCGTTACCCCTCCGCCCGCCAAATAGCATGATCGCATCGTGGGTAATTCCCTAAGCCCAGTATCATAATGAGTTTAGGGTATACGTCATGATATATTCATACTCCCATACCTAAACCGATGACTTCGAAAATTATAGGATTACCTTCGACTGCTAACCAGGCGATACCTAAAAATTGTCAGTGGCTAATTTGAATCCCGTATTCCCATCTGAACTTACCACTGTAAACTACGAGCTTCGTGACTACCTCAACATCATATCTCACACGAGGTTTTTCTAGCCTAGAGAACATTTCCGTCTCATCTAGCTCATTTTCCTGTCCAACAGTAATCTCCTCCTCTTCAGCATTATCCCCTTCAAAACCTGGAGTAGATAATCCTGTATTGTACATAACATGGCCTGCCCCCATCATTTGTTCATATGAACCAACTCTTGACTGTGCTGGAGTCACTAAATTCATGCCTCCATCCATCGATGACATCCCGGACGTTACAGCACCGTCCATGGTAAGTTGCTGAGAGTCAAAACTATCCTTCGTTTCTTTCGTAGTTGTTTGACGTGAACTCATCCCTTCGAAAATATCAGTAAGACTATCTCTTCGTCTCTTTTCTCGATAAGCAAGAGTTTCGTATGCATCGGCAGCTGATTGGGGTCCAACAGATACAGCCCTACCCCGCCCAACATGTCGTATAGATGAGATCAAACTTGGCAAGTCGGATACAGATGGCATGACATTATCGACCTTGAGTCTCGATGGGATGTTGTTATATTCTGAAGCAGGCATAAAGAATTTTCGAGGTAAGATTAAACCTGTGTTTTCGAAGGCCCGAAAAATATGTGGAAGGAACTTCAGCAATGTTGGCTTCATGACTTCTCTCCAGGCAAAAATTGCCAATACCCCGATGAGAACTCGCAAAATTACAATGGTCCAACCCATGTGGTTCAGGTCGAATGGAACGGTTGCTGGAACTGGGATGTTCCAGGCCCAACCGCCGGAAGCATAATGCCAACCTCCAAGTTCAACTCCTATCATAACCGCTGCAAATGCGACACTATCGTCGAAACATGGACAATCATCAGCCGGCTCGGGATGGACCCTGATAAGAATGATAATGACAATGGCGATTGTTACAGGAGCCTTCCATGTACTACTGTGAAGGTAGTTATCAATCGTTGATCCATACACACACTCAACGACAGATATCAGAGCTCCTAATATACTCCCAACGATTACATCCACAAAACCATGCATACCACAATAAAGTCGTCCGAGTACAATAGACAAGGCGTAAGAATAACTGACAATTTCCAGAGCCAGTTTCGTTGTAGGAAGCAGTTGACATTCTGGAGAATGGAGAGTGAAAAGCGCATATACAGCCACCGATACGGCATTAGCAGAATGCGTTGATGGAAATCCATACTCGAGTGCAGCGGATCCTGACATAGTAATACGATGTAGAGGTGGGGATAATGGTCTAGGTAGTGAGAACATATCCTTGATAAATCCTGTTAAAAAGACTCCAGTTGCCAATATGTGAACCATCCTGAAATCCAGTTAGTCGATGTCTGCGACCAGCAGTCATGAAATCCATTACCCTCTTCCCAAAGATGTATGCCCACACCAAAATAGAATTGGAAGAACAATCATGAAAAAAGTATGTGTTCCAAGATTTGCAGTGACAGCGAAATAAGTGTCGAGTGCTGGGGATCGCATCTTATCCTGCATCCAAGCCAAATATGGAGTCTCCCATCGAATTAAAGGCAATAAAGCCTGTCGCATATTGTATCTCCATGGTGGAAGTTTGCGCTTGTCTGCGGGGTAGTTGTCAGTACAATTTCGCCGACTAATTTTGATGCTAACGAATAGAGTTTCTCTCAAAGACTCGAGGAGAGAATTCTAAAAGCAAAGAGGTACGTCTTCGACAAATCTGCTATTGCTACATCTACTGATTTGCGCGATAGATGTCTCAATAGCAAGATAACGAAACGTAGTAAAGGAGCAGTTTGCGTAGGAGTAATCCGTAATCACTATACTCACAGTGATCTAAGCTTTTCAAGCCTGCGTCGATAACATCTGCTGAAGGTGCAGTAACTGAAATGGATGGTTGGTGAGGATGGTTAAGGTTATTATTTGATTTCTCAAGCTCTAGGCCGTCGCCATTTGGAGTCGGACACATGGATGCATTCGTTGAAGCAGCATCTAAATATTTTGCCCGCTTGAAATCAGGAAGTTCTTATCTTCCAGCGAGGTAAGAGTCGAGGTAATTGGTTAGAAGAAGGAGTAAAATAGAGGGGACTTCCCAATCAAGAAAGAGAAAAGGAAGATAGATGAGCGACAGAAAATCAATTCTCATCAAGAGATGAGAAGGGGTACTTTGGGTGAATGTGCAGAACACCTTTCTTTCCCTTGAAGAAGAACGTTAAACGTCAATAAGGTTATTCCTTCCATGGATCTATTAGGATTGAAGCAACCCAAGATATTCCATTCCAATAAAACAATAGAATAGCATGGATTGGATTTGATTTGATTTACTTATCGCCGTTTTACTATTCTTTATCTTGCCTTGCCTCACTACTCCGCAAAGTATTTGAACATTTTACCTCACCAGCCACAAAGCCAAGCCACATCATAAATCCTCCAGCCTTTTCTTTCCGTCTCCAGCCAGAGAGTATGTCATACCTGCCACATTTATTTTTGGTGGGTTCCTGTTGCCCCAGCAACCATCGATCCCATGTAATTGTAAATAGCCTTCTCAACCAGACCACATTACCAAAGTTTAACCCTATCACCACCAACCAACCCACCCTTAACGGGAAGCCTCTCAAAGACTTTCTTCCATTCTTGAATTTCATTCTATCCATAATTACCATCATTCCACCATTCCATCCACATAAGCCACAACTTTTCATCCAAAAGTTATTCTATCATCAATTATTCCATTTCGGATCACTTTGCGGAGTCCTGCCTAATTATAATCATCGTCTAAGACATAAGGTTCGCGTCATTAAAAAGTCATTCATTGACTCCATACGCATTCACTGGTACGACGTCGGTCACAAAACATCGACCTCAGCTTCTGAAAGCAACAACCACAAAATAAATATAATGGCTACGCAATATCAATCAAATCAATATTCAAGGCGTGAAAGTGTATCCGAAAAATACGACGCGACTCCAAGAAGGAAAAATACTCAACGTCGAGAACAAAGTCAGAGATCGAGTGACGGAACAGTTAGCACAATGATGAGCAATGCTTCAACAGGGAGAGAATCAGCGGCGACAAACATGACGGAGGGTCCTTCATATTCAAAAAAGATTGTGGTGGTTGGTGATGGGGGATGCGGGAAGACTTGTCTCTTGATAAGTTATAGTCAGGGATATTTTCCAGAGGTATGATGATACCAGTAGTTGTGATTAGAGCTCAATCAATTTGTTATTTGGCTAACGCGTGTTTAGAAATATGTTCCAACTGTATTTGAGAATTATATTACCTATCCGACACATCAACAGACAGGAAAGACACTCGAATTGGCGTTATGGGATACCGCAGGGCAGGAGGAGTACGATCGTCTTCGTCCCCTATCATACCCGGAGACGGATCTATTATTTGTTTGTTTCGCCATCGATTGCCCCAATTCCCTCGACAATGTTATGGATAAGGTGAGATGAATAGGGGGAATTCGTGGCCAATTATCATACTAATCGAATTTATAGTGGTATCCTGAAGTTCTACACTTTTGCCCATATACACCACTCATTCTCGTCGGTTTGAAATCGGACTTAAGAACGAAACGTACTTGTATCGATTTGCTCAAAACTCAAGGTCTCACACCCGTCACCACCGAACAAGGAATGGCTGTTGCAAGAAAAATGGGGGCTCGTTATATGGAGTGTAGTAGTAAAGAAATGACCGGTGTAGATGAAATCTTTACAGAAGCCATCAACACAGTTGTCGTCAACGATCGAAGCAACCAACCAACCACTTCATCATCATCAAGTGGTCCACCCGGTACACCCAATTCCCAAGGTGTAATCATTCCGAAAAAGAAGAAGCGAAGTTGTCGATTCTTGTAATGACCCATTCCTTCACCACATGATCAACATTACGCATTCCGATAAAGCACGACACGAGCATGATTTTTTGAAACGACCTACGAACTGCATAACGTAACGAGGGTGTATAATTGTGAAAATCTGCAATCATGAAGCAGATTTTAGGAAATTGAGCCTTGCATTCATTAGCATTGCCGCATAGTCATTAGCCTTTCTTTTCTCCTTTTCTACTTATTTTTTCATCACACTCTCATACCGCTGGAGCTGGACGGGACTGGACTGGACTGGACTTTCTCCGGTAATTTTTTTACTTTACATTTTGATTTGCGGCTTGTTTTTTTGGACTTTCTTGTGAATCAGTTAGGGAATTTGAGGGAAACTGTGAACACAACAAACTGACTATGAGCGAGCGATTCCTATCGACTCTTTCTTATGTACAACGAAACTTTGTGGGTAGACAATGCATAACATACTCTTAAAGGATACATAATTTTTGACCTTTGGTTTTCTGGTTGGGGATGTTGTGAGGATGTTATCTTGGCATAACTCGTGAATATTATGAGGTATTGTGAAATGTAAATTGTAAATGTAAGTTGTAAATATAAATAAGGGTATCATACTCCAATCCGTAACTCCTTTCATATCCTCATTCATCCTCATCCTCATCCTTACTCATCCTTGTCCCGATTTATCATACACTCATGCAGTCAACCCTCCCTCCCCTTTTCCACTCCGCTTCCCCTTTCCTTCTATCCTTTCCCCCTACCACCCTACCACAAACACGTAATCCTCACTTCCTCGCTCCCTCGCCTCTCCAATCCAAACCAAACTCCTAACTCCGCATTTTCATCTCTCGTTCTCTCCGCCCATAATCGTTTCCTCTCCTCCTCCTCCTTCTTCTTCTTCTTCTCTGTTTTCTTTCCTCCTGGATTTAGATTTAAATATCTCGTCTTCGGGTATATTTGCATCTTCGGGTGAGGTAGAGGTAGAGGTAGAAGGATCGGGGTTCTTAGCCATTACGTTTTCGAATTGGGACCAGAGGGCTTCGACGGAGGAGAATTCGTTTCCGACCTGTTTTTGGGGAGGGGCAGGGGTTAGATTTTGGTGGATTTTTGGTGGTTTGATGAAGGGGGAGAGGGGGAAGATGGGGAGAGAGGGAAGATGGGAGAGGGAAGGAAGAGGAGGGAAGATGAGGATAGAATGACATACGGCAATAACGCCCTCTAAAGAACGATTTAGTTTATTTATACTCGAGAGGACGTGTTCAAAACTCTAAAGGTGGGTGGGTTTGATTAGTGATTGTTCTTGATTTTCTGGTGATTTGTGATGCGGAACTGCGAATTACGCATGCTAATTGCTCATTGCATAAAACACAAAAGATATGGTAAAGTAAAGCAGGGCAGATTTGAGCAATGTGATTTAAGCTAGACAAAGCTAAACCGAGTACTTGAGATGGGAAAACGCGGCAAGATAAAAAGAAAAGTCATTGCTAGAGAAGACAGAAGGAGAATTGCGAAAAGCAATTGAGAAATCATAGATATATCGAGGAGAGGGGCAAGAGGTGAAGAGAGGAGGTACCCAGAAGGACCATTGAGTTTAAAGGGAAGAGAAATTAGAGAGTAATAAGAATTCGTTTCTTACAACAGCTATTTCCCCCTAGTAAAATCTCGCGCTGCTGTTCGAAATAGGATTTTTCTGGTGCGATGGGGAGTCGGTTGGTTGAGGAGGACATTTTTTTTTGATTTTGCTTCTGCTTTGTACTGATTTGATAATGGGATTGGTATTGGTATTGGGCTTGAGATGGAGATGGCAGAGGAGTAGAGCAGTTGAGAGGAGGAGAGAAGGACAGACGCGATACGGTTGATGTGAGTGTAAGAGTGGTGATTTTGCACGTTGGTTGAATTCCTGGTATGATTTTGATTGTGATTGTGGTGTCGTATGGTGGGGTGATGAAGGAAGTAGGGTGTCTGTAGAATAGTATGGGGTGGGGATAGTGATGCGCATACTGAAGGGAAGTGTGACTTTTGCTCTTTTACTTTTCTTTGCTTGTCATATTATAACACAATACAATGACATGAAATGAAATGAAATGATTTCTATCCTAGCAAATGGAAGACGATCTTTTGTTTTGATTTGAGGAGCTGATTTCATTTCATTGAATAGCTGTTTTGCTCTTGCTGAGTCTCTACACCGGTATCCATGTATATTGGCATATGAAGATGGACTACGAAAGTTTGGCTGTCCTCGAATGCGGAATGGTTAGAAATATCACCCAGCTAACCTTACTTATACCATCTGGCAGTCCAGTTGTCAAGTTTGATGAGTTTTGCGTCATATGGCTTGCTAAAACCAGTTCATCATCTTTATCTATAGTCTGGATGGTGTGTGATTTACACATTTCTCCATGGTTTATGCGCCAGAGAAGTCCTGGCTTGCTAGTTATCAACAGTGACATTTTCCACGTCTGCGATACATGTATTAAGTAGTTAACTCTATTACATTGGTCTTTCATAAGGTTCTGCTCATTATTATGTCTTTTAACTTGGAATTTTTATCAGTATTATTCTATTCTGCTTGATTACTTGTTGAGAATTAGGAATATGTCGTTTGACAGCCAATAGTCTGGACTAGCAGACTAGACATAAATTTCCAATGTTTGTAAGATTTGAAATTTCAACTGAATTTGTTCTTGGCAAAATTACAGATATCTAAATATAACACAGTATTCCGATTAGATCCTACAATTCAATGTCTTCGCATCATTGGACTGCAGTCTGGAGGATTTCCTAACCCTGCCTTGCCCTACTGGCTCGCGGCACACTAATTTCTAAGACACAATCTTCTATCGTCTTCTAACGCTTCGTAAGAGTTTGTTTTCTGCGATGTATCCCCACCTAACTATCAAATGTAACAAGACAAGTCCTCACAGGTAATACTACCATACAACGTGACTGAATACTAGTTGTTAGCTTTCGAGCAAAATGTAGTTCGTGTACAAGGATACATACCTGTATAGACTCACTACGCTATGCTGACGGTCAAGTATCCTCTCAATCAATCTTTTCATAGTAATTGGACAAATCTCTCAAAGGATTACTATTTTCCAATGCGGATGATCCATGGCGGGCTATCTGAATGACGTATCCCATGTTGACTAAAAGTTCAAGTCTCAATTCTTCAGGAAAGTCTTTCGAGTTCGTTTCAAGTAATGAAGGAGGCATCTCCCATGTGAGTAAGTCGAGGAGGAATTTATGCATTAACATAGTTTTGGTTGTGTACTTCCACATGTAGGAAAGCCATGAAGTTGTGATGTATCCGGTCGCTTTTGTAAACTCATAGTACTTTTTTATACACTGGTTCTTCAAAGCTGGCACACGAGCCATATCGGCAAATAGGTAAAGATCTAGAAGCGCAGCCATATGAGGAAAACAAAAGTTTGTAAGTGCTACATTACCTCTGTCGTCAAGATCGCCACTTTTCGTTTCTAAAACCATGTTTCCATTCGAGTTGCTGTTTTTCACCAAGTCGTCATTTCCTTTAGATTCATCGAAGTCTATTATTGGTCCCTCATCGCTTTTGTTGTCAAGGTCAGACCCTTTGCTATTTTTCGCCTTTTCGGCTCTCCATTCAGCAATTTCCTCATGGGCTGCCAAGCTCTTGCTTGTAAAGCCAATCTCTGAAGAGCTTGAAAGTATTATCATTCGTCTTAGCAAATTCTATAGTTGCACGCTCAAGTCCTTCTGAATAGCGGTCGCAAGCTTCTCCAAGGTATGGCGAATGTTGGTAGAAGATATCCTTTTCGACTGTGTATGCGTTTCGATATTTGCCTACTCTAACATGAACAGTATTACGATCTTTTTCTCTAATACTTCATCAGCTAGTGTTCTATAGACTCAAAGAAAAGTATTGATATGCAACAAAAGCTTCGATAATTGTTTCCGTTACGTTCGCAGTCTATGGAAAAGTCTTTGGTAAAGCCTAATTTTACTTACTTTTGCTTCTCGACCATAGTTTTAATGAATGGTGACATATGGCAGTCGGGAGGCATACTGGATTTTGTTTTGGTAGGCTTTTCGAATTGTCAGAAGTCGACTTTCTTGCAAAGGTAGAAGCGGGTGCGCACAAGGTGCAAGGAGAGACCGGTGTATGGAAGTGTTTTATAGAAAGTGTTTGAATGCAGAGCCGTCGTTGTAAAATACGTTGTAGGTTGTTCGTGTGCACGCTGAATAAAAAACTGCTGTACTTTTGCTTGTCAGACATTAGACATTTGTATTTAGTCCGCTGCCGTACAAAATCTAGAAATAATTACGCTCCATCACAAATTGAATCCCTCAAAAATCCAAAATCTTGGACATGGAATCGCATCAACAGCCGGGTGTACTGATTTTGAGCGTATTCAAGTGGCGTGTATATAAATTATGGGATGAATCATTCATACTAGTTTTCATAACCCGCGAGCCAGAGCTTCTAAAAATTATTCACTTGTAAATCTCATCTTTATGATTCTATAGCACAGTATTTGCAATGTGTCTAATGCTTAGAATAGCAGTTTTGATTATTATCATAATAGAACTCAGAGAAACATGCTGGGATTCTTTTTGGTGGATGGTGGATGGTGGATTGAAGTAAGGTATAAAGATTTATGTTGGTGGGTATGTTGAAATATCTTGATGAAATTGCTGTATATATTCATTCGTTTTGTAGTAGATGGATGGGAGGGTTGGCTTGAACGGCGTGTCTAGGAGTCTGGACTACAATCCGAATACAAAATAGAAGACTTTCAAATATTAAAATGGGTTTGGAGTATTTAAACCCTTTAAAATATTTAAGAACATTGAAATCATACATTTAGTTTGTTTAATGCAGACTCTTGTATCTCCAGATTTGACCATCGGTTTAACCTCAGCAAGATGCTATATTCGTATTGAAAGCAGATGATATGGAAGATTTTACTTTCAGCGGCAAAATAAGCACGATAGATAGTTGTACCAGAGGTATGACTAATTATGAAATGTATCATCATTTTATTCATGTGAGAAAGGTGCGTAATTTAGCATTAATAGCTGATCGTGTATTGGTGTTAAGTTAGAATGAATTCGCAATTTTGTGTTTGCTTAAGTGACAAGGACTGGCACAAGCTGTCTTTAAATGCTAAGTTTGAAAGAATATTATAACATTCTTGGATATTAACCTTCTACTATATCATCGCTCCTAAACTTGTCTTTCTCTTCTGTTCCAGTTTAGTATGACCCCCCTTCGGCTCCAGAAATTATGATTTTCCAGAAAAATGATTTATTCCGCGCACGAAACATTGTTCCGCAAGTCTAACATTAAAATCCTGCTCATTCACCTCTTCGTCTATACTTATCTGAAAATTTGCTTGGCTCTTCATGTTTAGAATACAATGCCGCTCCAACATCATTCATAATCTTATCCAAATACCTCGCTTGTTTAGCTTCCGACGAAAGCCCAGGCTCCGGACCAAGCTCTTTCAATGTCTCCCTATAAGCAAGCACATCACCCGAATGATCAAAATGTCGAGTCGCCCTATCAACCCTCCTTTTCCACGCGCGTTTCTCATCCTCAAAATCCCCAACTCCGCTCATCTTCTTCACTTCAGCATGTCTCTCCTAAACTGTTCCACGGGCAAGCTCTCCCAGTACTCCCCTTCTTAAGCACCCCAATCGCCTTTGAAATCCACTCACATCTCGAATTCCCTTCATCCTCAACTCCTCCCACTCAACACTATCCATCGTATCCGGTCTCACAGGAAACGGCAAACACTCCTGCAACCTTCGCATACACCATACCCTATTCTCATTCCTCTGCACCCACCCAATTTTACACACGAACATCCTTCGACTTCCCATCACCCCCTTCATTTCCCCTCCATTAATATCAAATTGCGCATCTGCTTCTTCGCTGTTAGGTGATATATCTACTGTTTTCATTCCTTTAAAATCATTATACATTGTTCGGAATGATATCGTTGCGGAGAACAGCCCTGATTTCATGTCTTCGTAGCGATGGAATATTAGGTATACGTGTGTGGAATAGTGGTTTTGAGGGGAGACGTAGACGCCTGGGGCGTGGAATACGGGGTGCAGTTTTTCGCGGATGGAGATGATTTTTGACGAGGGTCGTTCACGATGTTTTTTCTTGGGTTTGGAGGATTTTTCTTCGGCGCGCCAGAATCCGAAGGTGGGCATGGTTTTGGGGGTAAGAGGGGGGATATTGATGGATGGGTATTTTGGTTGGGAGTGTACTGCTCATTGGGAGTTTTGGACGTGGTTTTCTGGCTGCTTGGTATAATTATGTATCTTTTTGCGGTTGAGGTCATTGGGTCTTCCAACATTGGCCAACAGATTGGTCGATGAGATGAGGTTGGAACTGGTCTAGTTGGTTTGGTCTGGTCTGGTCGGGAGTAATTAGAGAGCTTGTTTGTCTAAGCCTCTTGGATGGAATTTTGGTACGCAATTAGCCGCTTGTTATGATTTGATTTCTGTTATAGATTATGTATAATCATTTTTTGCTGTGCTGTAGTTATTGGAAATAACTTGATGGTAGTTAGTTATAAATGATTATTATATTGTACTATGATCGATCTAATTATTCACTAATAAATGATCTGTGATTTTGTACTATGATCTTATTAATATTATAGTATAATTAATATAATAATATAATCTTCTTTTTATTTTTTTTATTTATTATATTTTTTATTTTTAATAGAGTACTTTATTATCATTATTATATATTTAAAATAACTCACTCAATCAAGATAATACATTCAATTATTTTTAAAATAACTTATAATTTGATATCTTTATAATCAATAATCTCTCTTAATCGAATTTTTATATTTGA